TGCGTTTAACGGTTTTGGTTGCGCGCGTGCCGAAAAAAAAGGAACTTTCGCTTTATTTGAAGGTGATTGATGAAAGTTGATGATAGCTGACGAGACTGGTTCTTTTTTCTGGCAATGGGCGAGCTGGACGAGGTTGAATGGCCTTGAGAGCGAGAGAGATTTGAATTTTTGAGTCTCATCATTTTTGGGAATTTTGAGAATTTGAAGTTGACCGGAAAAATGGCGATTTTTGGGCAATTCTGTTGCGATGCTTTTCAAATTTTCATCGTATTTGACGTTCATCGACGATTTTTTGAGATGGGACGAGAAAATTTGGATTTTTAGAATTTTTTTCAGCAAATTTTTGCGAAAAATTGCCAGAAAAAAATTATTTTTGAAGTTTGAAGTTTGACAGAATTTGAAGTTGACCGGAAAATGACGATTTTTGAGCAATTCTGTTGCGATGCTTTTCAAATTTTCATCGAATTTGACGTTCATCGACGATTTTTTGAGATGGGACGAGAAAATTTGGATTTTTTGAATTTTTTTCAGCAGATTTTTGCGAAAAATTGCCAGAAAAAAAATTATCTGAAAAACGCATTTTTTCACATTCGTGGATTTTCCTGAAAATGTCTCATTGTGTCAGTTTTGATGACAAGTTTTTCGTTGTTAGAAATTTTTTATTCCAAAAGAATGGTCGGGAAAATAATTTTTTGGCTAAAAACTTATTAAGAACATTGTAAAAATGTTCTAATTTATCTTTTTTTTTCTTCATTGATTAATTTCGAAGATTTTGGCGCGAAAATGGAGATTTGATTGAATTTGAGCTCAGATTTTTTTTTCCAGCAAAAATATTCGATGTGAAATTTTTTGAAGTTTTTTGGTCTCCTAGAATGTGCCGCCAAAGCGCGATTCGAATCGCAATAATTGGCTTTTTATGGTCCCATCTTTTTTTGTTGTTATTGTTGAACACCTGTCCGTCAGCTGCTGCCGATGCCATCGAAACCTGTCTCCTCTTATCTGGGCCGCTCAATTCATGGTCCCTATAATTAGATGGATGGAATGACCATGTGGGGGAAACGCGCGAGTGTTTCTTGTTGAAAGCAACGAAACACCATCTGCGGACGGTTGGCCGAGCGCGCGTTTCTCGACGCAATTGTCAGAAATTGTGGAAATTTTGAATCGATATGGCCCGAATAACGTTTTTCATTGCGAAAATTTCAATTTTTCACAATTTTCTGCCAACGAAAATCCTTTTTTCCCGCCGAAGAAATTGAACATTTCGACTTGGAATGGTTTTGGTTTTGCAATTTTTTTTTTCCGCCGAGCCCCTTTTGCGTCTAACTCGCATGGGATCATTCAAATTATTCGAATGAGACGAATTTGCCCAATTTCTGATTGTGTTCGTTTTTGGTTTTTCGCCAAGAAATGATTGATGAATGCAATGTGCGTGTGGTTTTTTTGGCCTAATTTGGACCCCCTGCGGACCACGAACAGGTGGGACCATTTTTTTTTTGATTGACGGGTCGTCGTACAATTGGGACGTCGATAATTGGAGACGATGATTCGACTCGATAGTGTGTGAGATTGTGGATTATGGTAGATTTTCTTTTAGGTTATTGATAGTAATCGGGATTACGGTAGGCTTTTTCGCTTTTTTGTGTCTCGAAAAGAGATTATTGAATGGAAGTAGTACGAAAAACACTGGAAATTTGAATTTTTAGACCAATTTTGCGAATTATCTCGTCGAAAATATCGATTTCTAGGTAACCGTTTGAAAAATGTGATTTCGAAACAAAAAAAATTGCCAATTTCTGAAGGTTTTCATCTGGAATGAAAAAAAGAAAAATTGGTCTCACTGTGGGTGTACTTTGTGCTGCACCAATTATTCGCCAAATTTGGATGATGGTGGTTGGTGCGCGAAAATTAGCAAGTGCACCATTCCCCCCCCCCAATACCCGCATCTGCCGTCGCATTCTGTGTTGCCTCGTCATCAAAGAAGAATCGGACGCCAGATGGCGAACGCGGGTGTGTGTGTGTGTGTAACACATGGCGTACTCCTCACTCCTCTCTTTTTGCTTAGTCGTATCCAATTTTTTTGTGTTGTATCTCTCTCTCTCTCTCTCTCTCTCAATCTTGCTATCGAGCGACAAAGATGAAACTGTGCTCTCTTGGATTGGCTGCTCGCTGACACTATTACTACGGGCGGTGCGCGCGCGCGCGCAGCTGTTTTGCCGCCGTGGAGGATGTCGACACCTCAGCCGGTTTTACTCGCTTCAACTCGACTATCATCGTTTGACATCAGCGTTGTGCGTTTCTTGAACGGATGAACGGAAACCGGAAGACGGAATGTGCGCTTCCAACACTGGCTGATTGATTCGGATTGTTGAGAGGAGCTGGAAAATGTTGACGGTGGATTGTTGGACGATCGTTGAGAAATTGAGCAGCTTCGGAGGAAAAAAATTGAGATGTCGAATTCTTTGGAATTCTCGACTTTTAGAAATATTTTTTTTGGATTCTGAAGAACTGACGATTCGAATTTGAAGACATTTACTTTTTTCGACGAGTTTTTTGAGATTCGAAAAATCTTGAAAAGACATTTCTTTTTGGATTGTTGATTATTAGGTTAATTTATTGCAATTCTGAGAATCAATCATATGATTTTGGTGGTCTTACGGTTCCATATTTGGATTCTAAGCTCCTTCTCTGCTTTATTTTCCCTCTAATGGTCCCCATCTGCCTGCCAGCGTGCCATTGCAATCGTTTCGGAGGCGTTTTGATGAGATTTTTTTTTGGTGGCTTGAGCTTCGTCGTCGTCTTCTGCATTTGAGCTTAAAACGACGTAATTTGTCGGTCCTGCATTCTTTTTTTTTTGTTGATCGACTATGACGTTGGAATGAATGTTGGAAGAAAATGGAGGGGGGGGGATGCATTTTTCGAACCAAAAATTTGAATTTGTCGAATTTTTCGAGAAAATTTTGATTTTTTTATTGGGTTTCACAACCAAAAAAAGAACGAAAAGCACATGCTGTCTAGTAGATCGAATCCCTTGAGCTTGTCGAAGAGCCGCAAATGTTTTTTTTTGTGTTGAGAGTTGAGCGAATTTTTTTTATTCGCACTCGCCGCGGATAATTGGATTATGTGTTGTGCGTACTTTTCGGCGTCTCATTCGCCATTCGCACTCTCTCTCTCTCTCTCTCTCTCGCAATTGCCGGATAATCTAGATGGATGGATATTTTATTTGGTTCTTTTTTTGGCTCTCTCTCTCTCTCTACGTGTGTGTGTGTGTGTCTCATTTGGCTCCAAGAGCTGGCTCCCGAGACGCGTCGAGAAGAGTTCCAGTATGAATGAACTGGTTGACGAGATGCTTGAGAAATTGGCAAATATTGCCGCGAATATATCATCATCGGCGCACATTTTTTGATTTTGCATCGTGAACCGACGCGAGAATTTTTTTTGGAGATTTGTGGACACTGGAGATGTAATGTTTTTTTTGAAGTAGAATTCTGAAGGAGACTCGAATTGTTTCTTTTTTCCGAAATTCTGGATCTCATTCGATTTTTCTTGGAAGCTTCGAAGGGCCGAGCAGTTTAAGCTGAAAATCTGAATCTTGCCGCATTGAAGTTTGATTTTTTCTGCTTTGGAATATTGCACACTGGAGTCGAGCAATTTCGGATTCATGGAATTTTGCGACGAAATCTGAAATTTGATGGCGCGAAAATCCATGTGAACATCGTGCAAAAAATGAGCATTTCGATGCTTTTTCTTTCTCTTTGGGAAACCTCAAAAAACTGGAATTCCTAAGAGCACGACATTTAGACAAAAACTGACGATACGATTTTTTTTTCGAGAGAGTTTTATAATTTATTTTTAATGTTTGGCCTCGAAACTAATCGAAATCAACCCCGCAGAAAAATTGTCAATTTTCTCGATTTTTGTGACTTGCAAGAATCGTCCCGACCCCCCTGTGAGCCCTTGAGGGTGGAAAAAAAAATGCGAAAAGTTTTTTTCGTTCCCTCCCCCCCCCACCGTCTCTTCTCCTCGTGTTTTTTTTCTGTTGTGTGTGCCCGTCGTTTTCTTCTTATTTGGTGGAAGAAGAAGAAGAAGACGAAGAAGGAAATGTTATGTGTGTGTGAGTGTGCTCGCGTGCTCGCCACGGAGCAGCAGCAGCAGCAGCACGCACGCACTTGCTCGCCGAGCCGAGCCGTTGCGCATTTTTATGGACCATCGTAATATGGCTCGCTCTCTCTCTCTCTCTATCTATCTATCCAACTCTTAATGGTCCGTGGTCCGCGCACACACGCACGCATGCACACTTGTCTACAAATTGCGCACTCAATCCAGTTGAGCAAGCCGTTGGAAGGATTAGAGTCGCCGACCATTCTAGGTGTCTTCGATGGTCCCCTTTTCCCTCGCCCAAACAGCCGAGCCCAGCCCCCCCCCCCCGTCAATCGGCTCGGCCCGCCATGCATATTTGAGTGGAGACGCGTCGTCTTCAGAATTCCTCGGTGGATTACGGTGTGACGCGAAGACATGGGCGGAGCCTGATGGCTGTTGCGGCGGCGGCTGGGCCACGCCCCTTTTGGACCCCCCCCCACCCTTCTCCTCCTTCTCCTCGTATGCCGGTTTCCTCGCAAACGCACGCACACTTGGTTGCGACGGCTGCCGCGGTCGGCGGGCCGCTCGGCGTGGTCGTCTCGTGCTCACACTTCGCTCTGCGATCCCTAGTATTCGTGTGGTGCCTCCTCGTCGCACGTTGGTTGGGACTCTGAGGTCCGCCCCGTCGGCCCCCCCCCCCAACCTCCCCACTTCCCCGCTACTCAGCAGCCCGGCCGGCCAGTCGTCGTCATTTCGATTTTGTTGTCGACATTCGGCATTGGCGGCGACGGCGGAAATATTTCGCGTCGATTATTATTACTGTTGCGATGATGAGGCATCGCGAGCTTGAATCCTCATACTCTCGAACCCTTCAAATCCCGATCTGAAATGATGTCTCGAGTAGTCCGTCAAAGCGGCGCGTGATGTGTGCCGATTCCAGAGATGCTCATATCACAGCCAGCTTTGATGTGCGACTCGCATTGACCGCCATTTACTTCCCGATTTTCTCTTTTTTTGGATGATTTCAAGCATTTTCAAATTGTCCGTGTGGACTACACAATTGAAGTGCGTCCAAAAAGAGATGTGCATTGGTCTACGCGTTCTTCTGGATTATTCTGAGTTGTCTCGAATAGTCTGTGCGGACAATACGACTATCTGAAGCTTTTCCGTGTGGACTACAGACACACACACACACACATGTGGTTCATTCTTCTGGAAATCTGAATTTTACTATTGGTGTTTCCCGTGTGGACTACAGAATCGCTTTGACTTGTCCGCGTGGAGTACACGAGTTTCGGCGAGATTTCGAATTTGCGATGCCATGAGGAATTGAACCCGCGACCGAATGTGCGGCAGAAAAAAAAAACGAAAATGTACACAACACGTACTCGAGTTGTCCGTGTGAACTACACAGCTTGCTCGTAATCCTCTGACAGGAGGTGTGGATGACGTCACAAATGTCGCGTTTATTCTGCTTCCAAAATCGAAAAAATATTTGTTTTTGGAATTGGAATCCGTGTGGACTACACGAATTGGTGTTTCTCTTCTGGTAATGAAGTTGGTGTTGACTTGACGATTTCGAAATTTTTGAGAATTGAAAAAAAAAATATTAGTCTTGGAAAATGTGATGAGAAATTTTGTGTGGGATGTTTAAAGGGGGGCGGCGACGAAACACCGTGACGCGAAAATGCAGACAAAACGAAATTGTTGGAGTTTTGATTACTGTGTGAAACAATCATTTTGAAATGTGGGAACTTTGATGAGAAATTTTGTGTGGGATGTTTAAAGGGGGCGACGACGAAACACCGTGACGCGAAAATGCAGACGAATCGAAATTGTTGGAGTTTTGATTACTGTGTGAAACAATCATTTTGAAATGTGGGAACTTTGATGAGAAATTTTGTGTGGGATGTTTAAAGGGGGCGACGACGAAACACCGTGACGCGAAAATGCAGACGAATCGAAATTGTTGGAGTTTTGATTACTGTGTGAAACAATCATTTTGAAATGTGGGAACTTTGATGAGAAATTTTGTGTGGGATGTTTAAAGGGGGCGACGACGAAACACCGTGACGCGAAAATGCAGACGAATCGAAATTGTTGGAGTTTTGATTACTGTGTGAGATGAGAAAAATGCGAAAATTTGAATTGATTTGTTTTTTTTTTTTGAAATCGAAAAGCGTTTCAAATTACCGAATTTGCTAAAATTGACACAAAATTGCAGAGAAAAATTGGTCAAAAAATTGATTTCTTTTTTTCCAGACGCTATGCCTGGCGACCAAGTCGTTAACGGATCGCGATTGGATCTTCGAGAATTTTGTGCCGAAATTCTCGCAATTTTTCCAGGATCCGGCGATGCATGTGCGAAAGGTTGGTCGCGTTGTATTGAAATGGTCCGAATTGAACAAATCACCCAAAAAAAAGAAGAAAAATGATATTCCATAGATTTCCAATTAAAATTTAGAACAACACAAAAAAAGAAGCGTCGTACCATGTATTATTATTTTTTTTGTTATTGTATGTTTTTTTTTAGTCTGTCACCCAAATTTTTGGTCGTCTCGGTAATATGTTTGGCCGGAAATTCACCGAGATGTTTCTGGTGCCGCATTTGGCGATGCTGTGTCAGGACTCGAATTGGTCGGTACGAAAATCGGCGTGTGACGTGAGTTGATCAAGAGAGAGAGAGAGAGACTTTTTTCATTCATTTCACAGGCCTTCGTCGCTGTTGCCGAATGCGCGTCACCCACGGTTCGGAAGACGGAACTGGCATTGCTCTACATGATGTTGATTAGTGATATTAGCAAATGGGTATGTGATTCGAGTTGATCCGATCCGATCCATTCCAAATTTTAGGTCTCGTTTACCGCTTATCAAAACTTGGGACCATTCATTGCGTTGTTCGCCGATCCGACAATCACCGGACTTGAGCTCGTCGATGGCCACGTTCGACATGTTGATTCGCGCGAATCGCACAATCGCACGTTCACTAGCGAGCCGGATGAGTTGGATCGTTATGGCATTCTGCCGAAAGGTGCGTTCGTTTTTTTTGGGTTTTTCAACATTTTTCGAATTTTGTCTTCTTCTTCTCTTCTTCTTTTTTTTTGAAACTTTTGTAATTTCGTTGTTTTTTGCATCGGTGATATCCTCCCAAAAAAGGGCACAATTTTGACAATTTTTGGCTCGTTAAAAATTTCGAAAATTCTCAGTGATATATTGAAGCATTTCGTTCTAAAATGTCTAAAAATGTTTAGAATGATACTGTAGATTTAGAATTCTAAAAAAAACATAAGAATATGCTTAAATACTTAATTTTTGAACAAATCGAAGCGTAAAAACGCATAGAAAAAATATATAAAATGCCAATTTTGAACTAAAAATTTTGCTGAAATTTATTGATTACTGTAGTTTTTAATAGAGCATATTTGAATCGTAGAAGTTGGCCAAATAAGGACTCTGAAATTTTTTTTTCCAGACTCTCCTGATTCGTTGATTTAATTTTCAATTTCGAGGCGCTTATTTGAGTTTGCAGGAACCAAACTAGTTATACGCCAGCGGGATTATGAAGCGCACCGAAAGCGAGAAGAAGCCGCTGTCAAAGAAGTTGCCGAAGCGAAAGAGAGGGCGAAACGCGGCGAACGAGTGATGGACAGGTGCTTTCATGATTATACATTATTATTATTATTTTCTCGCCTCACCGACATCGACGGATTTCGTTTTCAGTGTCATATCGGGCATCAACAAGATGTTGAGCCCGTTTGAGCGAAGCAGTCCGTCGCAGAACGGCGACGGCAAACGATCGCCGTTGTCGTTGAAGGGAGCGGTCAGTTTGATGGATAAATGGAGTCGACGAGGACAACAGTGAGTGGTCCATTTTGAGAATGCCACTTTTTCTTTGGGGGTGGTGTGAAATTGTCATTGAGAAAAAGAAGATTTGCTTGATTTGAGATGGTCCCGAATTTTTTGATGTATATGGTACCAAATTTGGCGAGCATTTGAAATTTTGATTTTTTTTTCTGATGCTACACCATTTTTGCTTCATAACTGCACCAAAATTGGTGTGCAATTTGGGGTTTTGATTTATTTGAGTTTAATCGAAGACTGGGGGATTGGGCGAAAATTTTGATTTGTTTTTTTTTTTCAAATGATCATCAAAATTTTTGGTGGAAATTGTGCACCAAATTTGGTGTTTGATTGACGATCTGAAACTACACCATCTTTTGTGCCATAATTGCACCAAAATTATGATGGGAATTGAGAAAATTGCTCTTTGATTGAATTTGACCCCAAAAATTTGGGAGCGGGAAAATTTTGATGAAGACGTTTGATTTTTTTTCCGATTTTCTCATTTAAAAGTGTCAAATTTGAGATGGTCCCTCAAAAATTTTGGATGGTTTTTGTCAGATTTTTTTTTCTAACACCATTTTTGAAAAATTGGTGTGAAATTAAAAAAAAATGGTTCCGAAATCTATTTTTTTTTTGGCGAAACTGCACCAATATTGGTGTGAAATTGACAAAATCGATCTAGATTGAGAAACGTCAAAATTGGTGAAAACTTAAAATCAATCAAATTCTTGAAAAATTTCAACAAATTTTCAGAAAATCGATCGAATCATCGGATGCGTCGTCGCCGCCGCCGCCGCCGCCGCCGCTCGCCGATGGAATCGCGGCCAAGTGCAATTCGACTGATGATTTGTCGAAATTTGGTCTTGATGATGGTAATTTTCACACGATTTTCTTTCTTTCTTTCGTTTTTTTTGATCTACCCAATCTTTTCTAACCAAACGGGTCCGGTGTGTGTGCTTTTTTGCGTTTTTTTTTTAATCTAAAACAAAATTTTTAAGTTTTTCATCTCTCTTCTTTTCTTTTTTGGTGCTCCATTGCGTTATTCAGCGGTAACGTCGTCGTCGTCGTCGTCGTCGTCGCCGCGAAGTCGATGCTCGCCGAAATCGCGCGCGAGCCAACGCCATTCATCATCATCGTCGTCATCATCATCATCATCACACCATCACCACATTCACCATAATCATCACCATCTTCACTATGTGCACCATCCGGCGGCGTTCAATTTGCGGCAGAAGGTGTTTTTGAGGCGTCTCGGCGCGTTGCCGTCGTCGCCGAAACGCGTGTCGCCGAAAAAGGCGATGAAGGCGACGCGTCGCGAGTTTGTGTTCGATTCGCCGACGTCGCCGACGTCGCCGCCGCCGTCGGACGACGAGAATCGCGAGCGGGATGATGAACGCCAACAGTGTATGTTGTGAACTTATGGGGATGGGTGGGGTTGGAAGGGGCAACGGAAATGGGATTCCGATGAGGGCTTCCAGGATCAGGATTTGGATTTTGTTTGGGATGGATCTAAAATGAATTCAATAGATTGAGTTTGCCATTTTAGAATACCTAGAATATGATCCATTTGGATTTGAGGGGACTCTGATCATGTTTAGGATCAAAGGATCTAGAATACAAGTAGAGCTAGTTTGGATTGATCGAAATATCAGGATAATCACACGAATCTACAATTCAGTAGCGATCTAAGAATCAGAAGTCATAAGAAGACTGCCTAGGATAGTAGGAACAAGAGAATGAGATGTTAGAGGTCCCAGATCCATTGGAATACCAATCGGGACCCCTTTTTCGTTGTCCCCCCACCCTATTTACTCTATTAACCACTCGTCTTTAATTTCTATTTTTTCCCGCCCTAACCACTCGATTGTTTCGACCTATGTTGTACGCTTTGTTTTTCGAATTCGCCATCATCATCATCATAATTTTTTCATATTTTTTTGTTTAAATCGTATCTGAATATTTTAGACATGTCGACGTCGACGCCTGGCTTCAATGAGGAGGAGCACGTGGCGATAAGCGACGATGAGGATGATTTGAATCAGTCGTTTGTTGAACGCGATGTCGAGCAGTCGAAGGAAGAGCGCGAGAAGAGCGATGAGCTCGACGAGAATCAGTTCTCATCGTTGTCCTATTGGAATGCCGATTGTGGAATTGAGTGCGGATTGTTTGGTTTACTCGAAAACGTGAATGTGGTTTGCAGTTGCGCCGTCGACGAACTCCAGCCATTCGGCTCATCGCCTCCATCGCGACCGTACGTGAGCACCAGCTATCTCGAGAGTCGTCTTGACGTGACGAAAGTTCGATCGCCGCGATCGCGCAACCATTCGCTCGGCTCGTCGTCGTCGCCATCATCGTCGTTGCGTTCGTCGCCGCGACGTCACACGACCGAAACCGCGACGCTGAACACCGACGAGAAGGAGAAGCTCGGAATTCTCGACATTGACGAGATGTCGATGTCGTCAACGTCGTCGTCGTCGTCGGACGACGACGACGTTGCGGTGACGTCGCCAACGGTGAACAGCGATGTCTATCGACACGTGCCGAGGGATCTCGTTGAGTATTACATTCGTGTGGTGTCGCCAATGAGTGGCGCGTGTGCGCCAAGCGCCGCCGCCGATCCGGCGTTGTGTTTGGACGTCTATCGGCATTGCGCGTTCAATTTTCCGGCGGTGTGCTTCACACTGGGCAAAGCGGCGTGGCCGCGATTGCGCGGCGTGTTTGTGAAGTTGTCGCAAGACGAGCAGCCGAAAGTGCGTCAATCGATCGCCTACTCGATTCACGACGTCGCGACAATCATCGGCCAGGAGCACACCGACGTCGATTTGTTGCCGGTGTTTTTCGCGCTTCGCGTCGATCAGTGTTCGGACGTTCGAAAAGGGATTCTATCGAACATGTTCGAGTTTGTCAAGGTTGGCTCTCTCATTGTCGTTCAATTTGTCTTCTGTTCGCCTTCAGATGCTCTCCGACGAGAAACGCGCCGAAATCATTCTCTCGTTGCCGCAATTCTTTCCGGTTGGCGCTCAGCCCGGAAATCAGTCGCAGAACAGCGATTGGCGCTCGCGATTTTTGCTCATCTCGTAAGCTAGCTCGTTTTTCGTTTAATTATCGATCCAATTATTATTGTAGGCAATTATCGAAATTGTGCCAATTGTACAGTGTGAACGACATCAATGTTCACATGTCGGGAATTGCGCTAACTCTGGCCGATGGTACGATTTTCATTTTTGTTCTTTCCGCCCCCAATTTGTGAATTTTTCGGAATTTTGGTCGAAAATGTGATATTATTGCATTAAGAAAAAACTCAAATTTTGAAAAATCCCATTTTTTGCACATTTCAATATTTGGTGTTAATCTTCAAGATCGCGTCGCCGAGGTTCGCCGCGAGGCCGTGAAATTCGTGTCGACGATCGTCGGCGTGCTCGTCGCTCATGAATGGCGCGAGATTTGCGAGCGGCGCGGTCTCGACGCGACGACGACGAGCACGAACGAGGCGATCGCGAAACGGGAGGAGAAAGGCGAGCCGTCGAGCAGCAAATATTTGTCGGAGCAGTTCGTCGACGACATTGTGACGAGTTTCGCGAAAACGCAAAAATGGACGAGGCGGCAGACGTAATTTTTTTTTGCGTTTTTGAAAAATTGAAGAAAATCTGAAAATTTTGAGACTATAACGTCTTCGCGCAAAATTTTGTGAATTTTGCGAGGGTCCTGACAAGAATGATTTTTTGCCTTCAGCTTCTGCTTCATTTGTCACGAGATGTTGGAAGGCGGTCATTGCGATCTTCTCCAATTCAACTATTTCTTCGCCGGAACCCTTCGGAAGCTCATCAACGATAGTAAGACGACGACGGCGATGATTCGTTTACAATGAATGTTTCATTTCGTTTTAGAAGTGGCGAATGTCCGTTTGGCCGCCTGCGACGCGGCTCATCAATGGAAACGCGTCGGCGAGAGTTGCGCGATTCTCGAGCAGCTCGTCGATGACGACGACATCGACGTGTCGTTCGCCGCGCGCACCTTCAGCGGCATGACGTCGGCGGAATCGGTAAGCGCTTCTACATACATATAATTCGAATTGGCGCGTTTGGGTCTCGTATGGAAATTGTTGTTGTTGTTGCCAGCGAGATTTGCGTGATTTTAGCCGGAGCGCCGATGCTCAATCAATGAAGTGAGTGAGAGAGAGAGAGTGAGAGAGAGAGAAAGAGAAAGAGAAAGAGAAAGAGAGAGAGAGAGAGAGAGAGAGAGAGAGAGAGAAAGAGAAAGAGAAGAGAGAGAGAGAGAGAGAGAAAGAGAAAAATGCGATGATCTCGTTTTGATCTACGCGAAAAATAGGCTGAATGCCAAAAAAACTAACAATGACCGTGGTCTGGTCTTGGCGCGCAAAACTACAAGTGTAGATTTACGGGCGGACGGATATGGATAAGGATAGTTTAAAGGCGCACACCGCGCGCGTGTTTGGCTTACCTTCCATACGCGCTACCGTATTCTGTCTCTGCGAGACCCATCGCCACATTAGAGAAGCTTTTGCCAATTACGTTCGCTCAACTTTCTTTTTTGCAGCCGATTGATATTGGGCCGAGAACGACGAAAATGCGTGAGCGCGAAGAGAAGTTCTTTGGCGATTTGGTGGTGACATATGAGGGTGGTGGTGTCAAACGAATTTTCGGACACGGCGATCAACGCAAAGAAGTTTGGGTGAGATGATTGCAGATGTCTTATTTTTAGCTTTCTTTTTCTTCTGATTTTCGAATTCTTGAAATTTGTGGAATTTTTTCCCTCATTTGTATGTCAAATTTCCGTTTTTTGGCATTATTTGATGATTTTGAAGAGAATTTTTCCCTTTTTTTTGAAGGTCAAGCAGCCCGAAGAGCCGAAAGCGGCGATTGTTGAAGCATCGCCGAATACGAGTCAGAGTGATGCGTTGAGCACATTTCAAGCACCTTTGGAAACGGTAATTTTTTTTGGAGCACTTGTTTTTGCGAAAAATTGCCGAAAAAAAAATGAAATGGGCGGGGTTTTTTTTTCAAGTTAAATTTAATTGTGGAAATTTTCAGTGTACGACGAGCGATGAAGCGTTCAATACGACGCTAGTCGACAATACCGACGAAGTCGACATGGAAGTCGATGAGCCCGACGAGCAACCAACCGTCGACGCCTCGTCTCCGTCGTTGGCTCACGATGAGGCGGCGGCGATTGCGAAGAATTCCGATGATGAGACGATACCGGCGGATCCGGCGCCGACGGCTGAAATGGTTTGAAACGCGCGTTATGGTTTTTTTTTGAGTCATCACGAAATTGTGATTTTTTGCAAAAAAGAAATATGGGAATTTAGAGTAGTTTTATCGCTTATTTTTTTTATTTTTGATAGAAAAATGATTTTTTTTTTCATTTTGCGATTTTGAGCTGGAAATTGTCAAAATTTGTAGAATTAAACAATTGGACACAATTTCTTTTTTTTTTTTTAATTTTGGCACGAAACTCGACTTTATTTCGGATAAGGGTTTTTTTATTTGAAAACAGTTTTTTTTTTTTTTTTGGATTTTTTCGGAAGAAAAACGACGAAATTTTTATATTTTTGAAGAAATAATTTTTTTTTCCTTTTTATTTTTGACAGCAAAAATGAATTTTTTTTAATTTGCAATTTTGAGCTGGAAATTATCAAAAAATTCCGAAAAATATCCTCAAAATTTGGAGAATTAGAAAATTAGACAAAAATTTTTTTTTTTTTTTTTGATTTTTTGCTGGCCTCAAAATCGAGTTGATTTTGGATGGATTTTGATCGGAAGAAAAAAAACGGCGAAATTTTGGAAAATTAAAAATGTCTGAAATTATATTGCCAAATTTTTGATTTGTGTCTAAATTCGCGTTGGCTAATAAATTTTGTTTTGGCGAAATTTTTATGAAAATTTTTTTTGCAGGAAGAGCTCGACGACTCGTCGGAAGCCTAAAACCAAGAAAGAAGCTAGCAAATAATTTTTGTGTCTGTGTGTGTGTGTGGTGTTTTTTTTTGTCAATTTTTGGTATTTCAAACAGTGTGCCTTAATCTCTTCATAATTCAATGATTTTCTAGAAATTCAATTCGAAATGTGTGTGTTTTTTTTTTCACTTTCAAATTCGTCATTTTTCACTTTTTTTGTCTTTGATGACCTCGTTTTTTTTTGCCCCCCCCCCTCTCAAATTTTGTGCCGTTTTATCTGTTTCAGTTTTCGGACCACTAAGCCCCGCCCCCCGAATTGTCTCTCTAGTGCCTTCGATTATCATTTGTCTCACTTTCGTCGTCCGTCTCTTTCTCTTTCTCTATACTACTGTAGAATTGATTTCGTATTATTATTTTTATTATTATTGTTATTATTATTATAATTATAATTGGCTACACGCATACATGCAAAAAAACGCAATAAATATACCTCTCCCCTGTCAATTTGAGAGAGTTTGATTACTGTAGCCACGCCCATATCGCCAATTGTTGGAAAACGCGCTCCATCGCACATCGGCGCCGGTTGTTTGATGTTTTTGGGGAAAAATGCTTTGATGGTAGTTTATTTGCTTTCTTTTTTTAAATTTTGCTCGCCGCACGAGCAATTTTGAATTGAATGCGTACTAGACGATGTCTACGGAAACCTGAGATCCTGGGCGGTGGGGAATTTTTTGTTGGCGCCATTTTAAGTCTTCAAGATCACACTGCTTTTATTTGAGAGTTGTAGATGATGAATTTCAATTGTGTTGTGATCGTTGAGGATTGTGACTGTTTGTCGTGGTCCGTGAGAACCCTGAAATCTACTGGGTTGACGTGCTTCGAGAAAACTCGCACAATTTTCTAGTAAGTGAGGCAGTGTTTACAATTGAGAGAGCGCAGACAGCACGAGAGAGTGTTCTGTGGACGGAGACGCAGACATTGCGTGAAATTATGATAAAAATATGGAATTTTGTGGAACAACAGAGTTGCACCACATTTGACGACAAATTGCAGACGAACAATAAGAAGTAAGTGTTTAATAATGGTTCAGTGGTAGAATGTGTGTTATGCTAACCTGGATGGTCCGCGATGGTGGCGAGAGGATTCTGAACCACGCGAGAAAAAGAGAATAATGAAAAAGGGCTAAAAATGAAGCGAAAACCCTTAACAGTGCACAGCTAGAGGCAACCGCGCCCCACCGCACACTTCGGTGTCGATTTACGTTTTTTTTCTTTACGACTTTCTCTTTTTTATTTTGTTCCTCGGCCATTTTTAAGTCAATTCGCTTAAGCTTAGTATGGATTTAAAGCGTTTTCGAATCCAAATGACAGTTTTCTAAAATTTTTTTAATTGGAGTCGGTCAATTCTATATACGGAATAAATTAATATTCAAGGAACTAATTAATAATTAATTGGCAATGTTCTTCGAATTCGTGGAAATTGAGAAGCTAGATATTCAGGCAATTCTTCAAATCTTGCGATTTTTGAGCTATTGATCTACAATTGCAATTCCTGCAAAATAATTTTGAGTCACTAATTTTTTTCGCAACAAACTGCTTCAAATATCGAGTCGACTTCATTCCTTTGATTTGAATTCGCGAAATTTTCCAAGACTTGAATGGAATCTCGAAATCCTCGAAGATTCGCTCGTTTTTGTAAATCGCCAATCGGCCGGGTCTCGCAACGAATCGCAACGCAAACTCGCCGGGCATCGGCCAGAGTTTTCGAAGCTTTACCAATCTTGGCTGAAAAATCCAATGTTTGCTGTTTTTTTTTTGCCGTTTTTTTTACAAATTTCTTCTGATCTAAAAACAAGATGAACGGAATTTTGCCTTCACTGTGCAAATTGATTTCGAGTAGCTCATAATTCGAGGAATTTTTGAACATGATTGAATTCACTCGAGATTTGTTCGACGATAACAATGTGCCGCTCACTTCGATGGAATCTTCGAATTCCATCATTCGCACGAAATCGTAATCCTCTCCATTCTTATAGTCCGTCTGCAATTTGTCGTCAAATGTGATGCAATCGCAACTCACCACCGGCACATTGCAACCGGGCAACTTCAAAGAATTGGCGGTCTCAACAATAAAAAAAAATAATAAAAATAAAAAAATCATTTTTTTTTCTTGGAATGAATGGGTCGGTGCAAAATGCGTTTTGTTTTATTACGATAGGGGAGGGGAATATTTTCGATTTCGACTAGCAACCATGCAAATTTTTAGGGTCCATGATGAAAAAACATTGTTTTTTTTTGAGGGTCCCCTCAATTTCAATGTCGAAGTTTCGTGAATTCTAGATTTTCAGCCGACTCTTATTGATAAGGCCAACAACTACAATGAAAAAAGATAGTGATGATAGTCATTATAGCGAATAACTAAAGCATTTCTCCTAGTAGATTTTTCGAAAATTCGCTAGCGCGACAAAAACGCCAACGAGGCGGCCACTGACACAATTCGAGTGCGCATTTCCCAAAGGGGCTTCACTAAACAATAAGCAGCGTCAACGCGGAGCGTCGTTTCTAGTCGTTTTTTCTCTCATTCTATTGATGTTTTGCAACTTTTCTCAGGTAATTAGCGATTAAATGTCAATTAAATAAAATAATTTTCATATGGATTCTCCGTTGACGTCGAAATCAAGAAATTCTACAAACCATTGGACATTTTATAAAGAAGAAGTGAAGAAACCTGTTAATGGAATCTAACGTCGTTTTGGAAAAATTTTTAATACTACATAGAATAAACTTTTTAATGAAATTAATTTAGGAAAAAAAAATTAATTTTCGCAACGTGACCCGCGCAACTTTTCGCATGCGCCTTTAAAAATAAATAGCGGAGAATTACGATATATCGCGTCAATTTTTTGTCATTTTCGACGTGCGTGCATAGGGAATTCAAATGAAAAAAATTGATTTTTTTTTAATGTTTTTTTCATTGCATGAATAGGTCCATAAATAGAAGACCGGAAGATCATGAAAATTTCAAACAATAAAAAAATCTATCTGTTTGTATTCGAAAAATAATGCAATAATAACAATATAATATGTAATAATTTTCCTATTAATAACCTAAAAATCATTTGTAGATTAAATTTAAAAGAATTAAAAAGTCTAAAATATATCCTACTCTACGCTTGTTTAGTTGGAGGTTGTGTGGGGGATTGAAGTCCAAGAAGCTGTTTGATTTTACGACTGTAAGTTCTGGTCGACTCAATTGTTTCTTCCTTGTTACGATAATCTGTCCATGTATCGACGAATTCTTTGAAGTTCGCATCTTTTTGTGGGTCTTCGGAGTTAACTGGGCATTTCAATTTTTCGCAATTTCGAGATTTCGAAATTAAATCGATAAGTTTTTCTTTTGCTGGGGACCCGTCAAATTCGACTTTTAGATTATCGACCCGTTCTTGAAGAGCTTCCCAATCTTCAACTTTATTTGCTTCATGGTACAGCACTGTTAGGAAATTTAGGTTCCGTGCAGCTCTGCTATCCGAAGGAGGTTGTCAAAAATCGAAGAAGAACAATGCTGATTCGTCGGCGCCGCGGGTAGATTTACGGCGGATGCATGGTCTCGCACGGACTAACAGCTCATTTCCAACTTTTATTTGTGGATTCGATAATTTTTCAACCGTGCGACGTCGAAAACTCAAGTAAAAACGAAGCATTCACTCGTGGCGAGACCTTTTCCACCACCAGGGCTGTGCGGCAATCGGAAATTTCGGCAATCCGGCAATTCGGCAATTTGCCGATCGAACGTTCTCTTCGGCAATCGGCAATTCCATTGCCGCACAGCCCTGATGCACACGTAGTTCGTAGAATCAAATTGTGAATCTATGCTTGATGAAATCGGCATTTTTCAAAGAACGTTGCTCATTTTTTTCGATGTTAAATCGTGATTTTCAAATTTTCACATTTTTTCAGAATTTTCGAGCCAAAAATGATTCAAATCTTCGATTTTTTGAGAATAAAATTCAATTTAAAATTATCGCTTTTAATTTTCAGAAAGAATCCAATTCTAGCAAAATTTCGAGTTCAAATTTAGCCGAAAAAAACCAATTTTTGGCATTTTCTGGGTGAGAAACTCTCAAATTTTCACAGAAAAATCGAGTTCCGCTTCAAATTAACTGAAAATCGGCCAATTTCATTTTCGTCTTTGTATCTATTTTCTCGTCCTGGGAAAAATCGATTCGTCTAGTTCCAGTGAAGCCTCTTCTTCCACAAATTTCTGATTGGTCCGCTCAAGCCAATCACCGAAAAGCTTGGATCGCTGTGGTTCTCAATAGGCGAATCGTGACTAAAGTACGTGAAGCTCACAACAAACAAAGTTTGGCTGAGTAGTAAATGCGCGTACGCAGTCTCGCGTAATTACCCAACGCTTCCATTAATTGGAAATTAATTGAGAACAATTACAAAATACACTTTTATCGTTTAATTAAACAACAATAGTAAAGAGAATTAGGTGAATAATGAATACAATAATCAAACAAAAAATCGAATTAATTCAAGAATAAGACACCGTTTTAAACAAGGTCTTACAACGAAAAGGAAAGGTATTAAGCATTTTGTTTAATTTTGATGTTGAGATCAATTCATTTCTCGTTCAATTTGAATATTACACGTGCTTTTGAGTAGCTCATCACGTAATTTCCATAACGCCTTTGTCACGTCTTCTTCGCGAATCTGCCGCCCGTTCGGATGCGCATTCTGCAAGAAAAAAAATTGAGAAAATCATTTTCGAAATTTTTAAATGGGAAACAAATCGAAAAAAAAATGACATACTCTAATCCACGATGATGGTCCCTTGACCATATTCGGATTGATCGGCGTGTTGCGATGATTCGCCGCCAAATTCTTCTGCCAACGGCTCACCGACTTCTGGCGATTCGTCGACATCGACTCGATATATTTGAGGTAGGCTTCCGAATGCAGGCAGCGTCTCGACTGAATCGAGTTCGGCGCCGCCACGAACGTCGGCACCACCGTGCGCACAATCGTCCGCCCCGGATCCGCTATGATAACCTGCTGCGGTTGCGGTTGAGGTGGAGCTGGATGAGGTGCAATCATCTGCTGCTGATGCTGCTGCTGTTGTTGCTGCTGCTGCTGAATCTGCGTCACATACATCTGCTGCTGTGGTGGCTGCGATTGAGCATGCTGCTGCTGCTGTTGCGGGACCATCGACGACGACGACGGTCCCTGATGATAGACTCCATTCGGCTGCGGTTGTTGCGGCTGCTGATAGTGCTGCTGCTCGTGCGCCACTCCATTCTGCTGCGCCGCCGGCGCACCGTTCTGAATCGGCTCCCTTCCATACGGCACGTTCACCAATTGCATCGTCAACTCGCCGACGTCATTCTTGACGGTGACGTGCTTGAAGAAGTTGCGGCCAATCTGATTCTGGTAGACGTTTCGCAACGCCGTCGGAATGTGCTTCTCTTTGATGTGACGCTGAAGGCGCGGAAGCGACGGAAACGGTTTGCCGTCTTTGCGATTCCGCAAACACGTCACCCACATGCACACGAATTGTTGATCGCTGCCCACTGAAAAAAAAAACAAACACAATCAAAATTTGGAAATCAAAGTTCAAATAATTCACAAAGAAATCGGCGATTCCAATCAAAAATCTTTTTTCGACTAAATTGGTTCGGAATCTCAACACATTTTCGGCAAAAACGAATGCCCAAATTTGAAGCCAAAAAAAAATAAATGAACTCACAAATGATATGGCTGGTATGATGAAGTGTGATATGCTCGTTGAGCGCCGATTCAACGTCAAACTGCGAATCGCAATTCGACCATTTGCACTGATAGATTCGAATTTGTCCCGGCTGAAATGTAGACATTTTTTTTAACTGGAACAAAAAACGAATATTCAATTTTTGCAAGCGCCTTTCTTAAAGAATGTCTAGTCGATATTTCGCTTCTGCGGACAATTGGCAAGTTCCGCCAAAAAAAAATCATCGTCCGCAGACGTGAAACAACAAGAAATGAATGAAGAGGAGCTTTAAGATGAGAAATGTCTCCGCTACTCAAAATCGTACACTCGTTTATTCGGCAAAATTTGGGAAGCTAATCTTTTTTTTTTTTGATCCGACGAGTTAAATGTTAAAAAAAAAAAACTATTTTTTCGGTTTTTTCCCAAAATTGCTTGAAACCCGAAAATTGTCCGCAGCATGCGCAAAACAAATTTCGACGTACCAATAGCGCGCGCTCCTGCGCCGTCTTGATCGCGTCCTGTTTGGCCTTCTCAATGGCGACCTGCTCGGCGCGAACCTCATACTGCTTCTTCTGCTCATCCGACAACTTTTTCCACTGTAAAAAAAATCACATTCGACTGATTCTCATTCTCAATTTCGCCAAACCTCAATTCCGACGATTTTCGAAACCTCGCCGAAACCCGCCTCGGGATTCTCGTGCATTATGCGTTTGCGAACCTCCGCCGAAAACAGAATGTAGCCCGATTTGCTTTTGCCGACTTTCGGCGTTCCGAGCGCCGCCTGAACCGTCAGCGTCGACAACGGCAGAGGTGTTGGTGTGGCCGGCGGTTGTGGTGTTGACGGCACACTTCCAGATTCCGGCTGAAAATTTTCGTTGCATTGTTTTTTTTTTTTTTTTTGAAAAAGAGACAGATTCACAATATTCTCTTGGTGCTATTAAAATTCTCGCATCAAAATTCATCAGAAAATCGCCAAATTCCATGACTAATTCCACTAAATTGTTTTTTTTTCTCTCAAACACAATTATTTCAATTAATTTTCTCGGTGAAAAAACATAATGACTAATCTCATTTTTTTTTTCAAATTCGAAAAATCGGCTGAAATTTTTTCCGAGAAAATTTGTTTCGCAATCGAGCGCGTTTGCTTCAAACCGATATGATGCACTCCAAACAACATTTATCGATTTTTTTTCCTCAATGTCAAAATCGATTATGTGAGAAATTGGCACGAAAATTCAATGCATCGGCAATTTTCATGAAAAATCCAATTTTTTGGTCTAAAAGTTCCAAAAAAAAACCGTCAGAGTGTGGCTTTTTTGCAATATTTCTAAAAAAAAAAAAAAAAAGCAACAAACCTTGGGCGTCGCCGCCGTCGTCGGCGGCTGATTGACGTTCGAGCTCGCCACCGACTCGCTGCCATCCGTATCATCATCCATGAGCTCATCGAGCTGATCAAGCGGCATCGCGCCATCATTCTTCACCAGCGGCGACATTTCTTTTTCCATTACGATCGGCTTTTGGAACAAAAACAATTCCTCATTTGGTATCGACAAATGCAATCGATAATTCTGCAAAATCAATAAGAAAAATTCATTGAACGCACCAAAAAGCATTGTTTCATTTTTTTTTTTGAAGAAGAAGAAGACGTCAAAGAAGGCGGGTTCTACCGTAATCAGCGCGTCAGACGTCGAGGGGTCCGACAAAGCAAAAGCGTACACGGGCGTGGAAAAGAAAGAGGGCACGATAAGGGTGGCAGTGGCGGCCGGCCGCCAGTATTCCTCTGCTGCTGCAGGCCGCCTGCAGCCAGTGCCATCCGCATCAGCGAAGCAGCCGCAGCAGCAGCAGCAGCACAGCAATAACAAAAAAAAAACAACAACGCACGACGAATATCGTGCGGGGTGTGCGGCCTGCCTGCCTGCCTGCCTGCTGGCCCGCAGCCGCCGCCGCCGCCGCTGACGCGCATCGCACTCTCCTCTGCGTCTCCGCCCCACTCTCATCCCACTGGCGCTCTCGTCGTCTGGCGGCGTCTCTTCGCGGCGCGCACTCTCTCGCAACGACGACACACGCTGTCTGCCGGCGAGAGAGTGTGCGGCGCGCGGAGCGCACGCGAGACGACGAGAGCGAGCGAGCGAGCGGTTTTGTCTCGTCGTCGTCGTCTCTGATGGACGCACGCACGCACGCGCGCGCGCAACACGCAGCACACAGTCAGCCAGCGTCCTAACTGCGATGGGTGGGCCTGGGTGCATGGTGCATTGGGTGCAATGATGCGATAATGTGAACGAGCGGCCTTGTCAAAAATTGAGCGAAAAAAAAAACCCCAAACAAATGAAGAGCATCATGTGAGAATTTTTCAAATTCGCATGGAAAATCGTCACATTTTTGAATGAAATTGGCGCAGAAAATCGAGTTTTAGGCTAAACGTCGAAAAATTTCGAGATTCTTTTGACAAAAATCGAAATTTTAATGAATGCCAAAAAAAAATGCGCTTTAAAAAGAGGGGAACGAACAACGAACAACAACAACAAAAAAAAAACTCTAATCCATTCGGAACAGATTAGCATTTTTCTCTGCGCTTCTTCATCTTATTATTATTATTACTATTTCTTCCATCATACCTTCAATTTTCTCGCGTTTTTCGCATAATCGAGATTCATCGGCACACCGTTCATATCATCCGACGTTTCCTGCAAAAAACCCAAAATTTGGCCAATTTTTCAATCGACACCAGCCCATTTTTTGAGCAATTTTTCCTATCGATGTGGAAAAACAAAAAAAAAAAAACCTTCTTTCTAATTTTTTGCTCAAAAAAAAAACCGCTCAGTTTCTCTCAATTTTTCATATTTTATTACATCCGCAAAAAAAAAACGAGCACCCTGCGCTGATTTACGGCGAGTTAGCTTTAGGCAGAGTACGGTAGCCAAATTCGAATTACCGCCTTTATCAAAGTGCTCATTTTTTTGCGATGAAAAAGAAAATGCTTACAAATGCGAAAAGCGAGCAATTCTGCGGCGCCGCCGTCGTCCCATTGACTTGCGATTCGCAAACGAACACATCGCATTCGGCAATATCCGTTGGGCGTTCTGAAAAAGCCAATTTCGAGCATGCAAAAAAGGGAATAAATTGAAAAGTAAAAAACCTTTCACATAATTTTTCGGCGACATCACCGCACATCGATGCTGAATGTCGCTGAGCGGTCGCGTTTCGTCGTCGCGAAACACCGCGATCACCTCTTTCGGATAGAACATTCGGCCGCGATCATGCAGAACTTCGATGGGTCGCGCAAACCAGCCGCCGGAGAACCATTCGGAACCACTGGAAAATGAGCACAAAGTTGAAAAAAAAAATTAGATAAAATAAATAAAAATAAACATTTTTATCAAAAAATGTTCAAATAATCTTTTTTTTTTTTAAATTTTATCTGCACTTTGTTTTTCTTTATTGCTCACCTACTAAAAATTTTGACGTTAAAAATCTCGAAAAAGCGAAATTTTCAACAATTCTAGGGGTTTTCAAATTCTCAACCAAATGTGACCACTTTTGACATTATTCTAAAGCGATTTCGAAATAAAAAAAACACAATTAAAAATTTTTCCAAGCGTTTTACGCCCAAATTAGACAATTTTAGCTGCAATTTTATCGTATTGGTCCTATTTTAACAAATTTGACGCAATTTTCGACGCAAAAAAACATTAAATTTTTTTTTCAAATTTTTTCTATTATCATCCAAAAAAATGAGAATCCTGAAAGTTTGCGGCAATTCAAATTTCAAAAATTTTGGCATTCCTTCGAGACCAAAAAAAAAACTCAAATTTCTTGCCAACTAATCCGAGTAGAATGCAAAAACTCACTCATCCTCTCTCCAAAGCTTATTGATTCTCATCACATCGCAAAGCGGCTTCTTCGGATTGAACACCAAAACGAATTGGCCCAGCGAATAGAATTTGCCGGTGGCCGATTTGATTTGATGGAAATACGTGCGCGACGGCTCATCGTTCGAGTGCGACGGCGCCGGCGTCTCATAGCGATCAATGTCGAGCACGAGCTGCGATTTGGCGCGATCGTTGTCGTCCTCGTCTTCCGACTCGTCCTCCGGCGTCCTCTCCTCGCGATTCGCCAACGTCGTCGCCCGATTATTGCGTTTCGGCGACAAATGTTTCGCGCGTTTCGTGCAATCGAGTTGCGCGTCTTCCGCCGAATACGGCCACGCTTTGAGTTTCGCAAAATATTTCGGTTTGCCGTGATATTTGAATTCGCACAAGTAGATGTCCTGCAATTCAATAACAAAAAATAATAACATTTCGCATTTTTCAAACTATTTTTTTTTTCATTTTTTACAGATTTTGAGCAATTCAATTACTCTAACTGAACAAAAAAATAATTTTCTTTTAAAATCCTCAACGAATCAAATTTTTGGGGTGTGAAACCTTAAATTTTCAAGCTACATAAGTCGAAAATGGCAGATTTCCTATAAAATCGAGCAATTTGCAATTTTTACAAAAAATAATTTTTTTTTTCATTATTTTTTACCGGAAAACGACAATTTTTGCCTGAAAAACTATAAATCTTGAATTTTCTAATCGAAAAATGAACGTTTCTTTAAAAATCTCGAAATTATCACATTTTTAAGTCGAAAATCTCAAAATTTGAGGCCATATTTGTTTAAAATTCCAGGAAATCTGAAATTCTACCAAAAAACTCAACCTTCTATTATAAAAAATGATAGATTTTGCTTAAAAATTCCAAAAAACGACAACTTTTGATGCCGCGAAATCGGATTTTTTCTAATCAAAAATTCTCACCTCCTTTTCATAACCATTAATGAGTTTCGTGGTGAATGTGCTATGCGAGACAACAACGCATTTTCCGCGCAAACGATCCGCCAATACGGTATCGCGGAACGGTGTGATGAACACCTCCTTCTCATAGAATCGCCGACTCGCCAGATGAAGCGTCTCGTTGGGACGATACACCCAGAATCCTTGAATCGCCTGATCGCCATTCTCATTCCTGAAAACACACGATACAAATTTGAATGGAAATTAAAATATTCTCCAAATTCTTCTTTTTTTTTTTTTCAAATCATTTCTCACTTGAATATCCTCTCAACTCGAAAAATGTGATTCGGCAATTTCTTCTCATCGGTTCTCGAGATATAGGCGAAACAGGGCGCATCATATTTGACACCGTCAACCTCGAGATTCTCCATGTCAATTTCGGATTCGTGACGCTTCACGGCTCCCAAACACGCCGCTTCCTCCTCTTCCTCTTTCTCTTCCTCTTGAGCGCGACGCGCCGCCGTTTTTTCGATCTCCTCATCGATGTCCTTCTCGAGCACACTATAAGCGTTCGACACAATCCGATCTTTGCATTTCGCGTCTCTTTCGATCACAAATTGCTTTTGGAGAATGATTGACGCCGTGTACATCTGAAATAATTGCGCATCATTATTTTTTGGACAAATTTTTGTCTAAAATGTAGAATTATCTGAAAATTTTGTGCTAAAAATAGCATTTTTTTGATAATAATCTCAAAAATAAAAATGTGATTTTCGAATTTTGCACAAAAATTAATCAAATATCATTGCGGCTTGAAGAATTTAAAAAATTCCAAAATTTCATTATTTTGTCGTTCTCACCGGCGATCCAAATTTCGTCAATTCTCTCGCCTTCTCAAAAAGATCAAAAAAATCCTTCTGGAATCGATCCAATCGTCGATAACGACATTTATCAATGTTCATTTTGATCTGATCGAACGTGAATGGCCATTCGTCGGCCGGAACACCTTTCGACTTGAGAATATCCGGCAATTCGACAAATGCGTCCGCATAACACACGCCGTTCTCATCCTAAAACACGCAAACATTTCGCTTTCATTCAATTTTCTCGTTGAAAATCTACTTTTTTCCCAAAAATGTTGGCGAAAATCGACGTGAAGATGGTCCGAATCTCAAGTTGGACTCTCGGCACGCGTTCGTCCCAATCCAAATCGCGTTTCAGCTCAAGCAGCACTTTTTGAATAGTGACGGCGTCCTGAAAACCAACAATAATTGTAAACATTTCTCAGAAAAATTGATGGATCTTTTTTTTTGCCCCCACTAAAACAAGGGCAAGTGCGCGTTTAGCGAAACGTCGTAGCTCCGATATTTTCAACAAAAAATTTTCGCTCTTGTCCGCAATTCACCGCGACGATCAATTGCACACGCGCAAAGCCCATCAATTTCATGTGATTTTCAAAAAAGGAACAAGGAAGTTAGGTGATTAAGCTCAATAATTTTTTTTTGATTAAAAAAAATCTTCAATAAATACTTTCTTAACTAAAATTTTCGAAATTGACAAACATCCTATTTTTTTCATGTCATGCGCCTTTAAATCGAAAATAACAGCAAAAAAAAACCAACCAACCTTGAACAGCGTGGACTCAGTCTCGTTGAATCGGCAAGCGTTCGAAATCATCAACGTCAAATCGGCGACGATGTCCATCAATGTGAGATATGATTTGGTGGTCAATCGTTGCTGAATCCTCTCCAAATCCATCGGCTTCTTGATGATCTCATAATAGCTCGGCAGCTCGTCGCGCGACGGCAACTTCCAAAATTGGCTCGCTATCAAACGGCCCGTCTCGTCGCGAAGATCTTTGATTGTCGAGAACAAGCGCCACATTTTCTGCTCTTCTTCGGGCAATCTGCAAAGAAAAAATTGTACACCAATTGGGCGCAAAAAAAAACATACTTGGCGAGCATATCTATGGCGCCAATTTGGTGCGGATTCGCGGAACGACGCTGCGATTTGACCGGCGAGCGATGGCGTCTGAAAATTGGAACCCAATTAATAATTTTATGCAGTTTTGAGATTATAATTGTTAAATTCTTTAAAAAAAAGTCTTCCGAGTGAATTTCGTTACAAAAAACCTTCTCATCCAAAAAATTTCGCCTAGAAATCACATTTTATGCCAATTCTGACGAGTATTTCGCAAAAATCACACTCATCAATTAATTTCAACAAACTTACGTCGTATATTCCTCGTCATCTGACAATTCTTCATGTTTAACTCGTCGCTTCGCCGACTTTTTATCGCTCGGGCGTGCATTCCTTTAAAAAAAATCTAATTCTAGGCGAAACACGATTGAAACTCTCACAATCGAATCTTAAATTGAGGCGTACTGACGCTTGCGCCAATCGGTGCCGCTCGACTCGCTTCATAGCTCCGTAAAAGGACGTTCTCAAGCATTTTCGAGTCCTCGTAAATGTTCGATTTGGGCTCGTTGAATTCGCGAGCATTCTCGAACATCAGACGCATATCGTCGACCATTTCCGACACATTTCGATACTAAATATCAGCAATTTATTAATTTTTAGAGCTATACAGGCGTGAGAGAGAAAAAAAACTCGATTTTCGCAATCTGCACAAGCTTTTTATCAGATTTTGAATTTTTTAAATAAAAGTTTGAGAAAAACAAAAAGCGTAGTGCAGATTTTTTAAAACAAAAAAAGCATTAGACCAGTTTTTTGTTTAAAAATCCACAATAACATCATTATGGAATTAATTACCTGATTGGATTCGATTCGTTCTCGGATCATCTTCATGTCTACCGGCTTTTTAATAACCTCGTAATATTCAGGATAATCTTTGCCTGATGGCAAATCGAGAAATGCGCCAGCCGGCCAGTAGCTCTCGTCTGGACCCATCTACAAAATTTCAAAATTTCTTTGAAACAAAATTCTTGATTTTTTTAACATTCACAAAAATGTGAAATTTTGGTAAATTTCTACGTAAAACTATTGGAAAAAATCACCTTCTTTTCAATTTTTAAACTAACCAAATCAAAAAAAAAAAAAACTCAATATTCCCCAATTTGCTAAAAAACCCCAAATTCAGATCAAAAAATCGCGATTTTATCTTCATTTTCGCGTAAAAATTTCCAACAAACCTTCAAATTATATACAGAATGCCAAATATTGAGCATTAGATGCTTATTCCTCATTATATCATTCATTTCGGCCTGCGATTTTCGTCCGCGATGCGTCGACATCACTCCATTCGCTTTTTTCGGCGATTTTCTTCTCGTCGCCGACGACGACATCGGCGGCGGCGTCTGATTACTCTCCGAATCCGTATCCATCATTTCGATTTTAATTTTTCGCGTCATTGCGCTTTTCGCTTTCAGTGGGCTCGATTGAATCGTTTTTGGCAAATATTCCTAAAAAATTCATAAAATGTCAACCTTCTTGAGAATGATTAAAAAAATTTAATTACCGAAAGATCCATATCTGGCCGAAGATTCTTAACAGTGTCTAACGCGAGCTGGCCGAGTTTTCTCGCGGCCACGTACACCTCAGAGCCTTCGAGATTGTATTCGCAAGCATTTGAGCACATCTGAAGACAAAACAAACATTTCGTAAATTGTCCGCAGATAAAGTTTTATACAATTCTTCTATAAGACCGCGTAAATCTACACGAGCGTCAAATTTATAGGCACATGAAGAAAATTGCATACTATTGCAAAATTCTCGAAGAAAATCAGATTTTTGAAGTGAGACCAATTTCTTACCAGCATGACATCCTTGAGAAGCGATTCCAAATCGTATCCACCATTCTTGAGACGCTTATTGATCATGAACAACGAGACAGGCTGTTTGATCTCATCGTAGTAGTCCGGATAGCAACTGAAATTCACAAAATAAAAAAAAAAACAACGAAAAGCGTCTCACGTTTGACTGGGAAGCTCGAGAAAATGATCAGCCAGCGAGATTGATCGATCCTTCTCATGCTTCGCGTTCCGAATCGTCCAATACAGACGCCAGACGGGATCGTCGTTCGTCTCAGTGTCCTCGTCCTCTTCAGAATCCTCGGAATAATGATCGCCTGAGGATGAAGCGGATTGTTCAAGGAGCGCGTCGACGAGCCGTTTGGTTTTGGCGCGTCGCTGCGGATGAACCGAGCCCTTCTCCTCGAGCTTCCTCGCCTTCTCCTTGGCGAACTGCTTCAGAAGTGCGGCGTCTCGGTAGATATCCGAATCCTTGCCACTGAATTCCTGGAAACAAGAAAAAACAAGATTAATTCAATTTTTTTCGCGGAATGAGCATACCTGAGCATTATTGAAGAGCAAAAAGATATCATCAAGAATCTGGTTCATTGTCTCATATTTGTTATCGCGACCCTTCTGCGCAATCGTTTTCAAATCGATGGGATTTTTGATTTTATCATAATAGGCGGGAAATTCCTGAAATCACGAAAAATTCGAATAGAATCGCGATTTATCGACGACGCGGACCTCTTTGGTTTGAAGGACCCTGAAAGGGGGACATAGGAGGCGGCCATTGGTGTCTGTGTGCTCAAGAATGCTGCCGATAAGGTCATGGATCATGAGAAGGTCAATTTCGAACGGAGATGAGTCACGTTCGCTGGCACTATAAAAATTACAAATTAATCAAAATAATATTTTTTTTTGTGGAAAAATTCACCTCGTCTCTTCCTCTTTGACATTCCCCTCTTCCTCGGGCTCCTCCGGCTCCCTCGCCTCCTCCAATGAATCGTCTTTGTATTCCCCAGAAGCCACTTTGATCTTGGCTTCCTCGAAAACCTCCTTGATTCGAGAAGCGTCCTGGTATTCTTCGCTATCCTCCTAGAATCATAAAAATTGCAAATTTTTCTCTAGAGAAAGAGAGAAAAGCACAATTTTGAATTGAAATACCTTATAATAGCCGAGCGAATTGGCGATGAGCAACTCCAAATCGGCTTCGAACTCGTCAAACGTCATATATTCGGGAGTTTTGAGTTTTTGGAAAATTCGAGCGAAATCGATTGGATTTGTGACCTTCTCGTAGAATTCGGGATCGTGCCTAATCAACGTCAATTAATCAATTAATTATTCGATTTTATTGCGTTACCTTCTTGACGGTAATCGTAGGAAATTCTCAATAATTGACTGTTTTTGCGCGTTTTTGGTGTTCCTCAATTTCCGCATAACATAATCGCCTTTTCCAACCTAGAGCATCGCAATTTTTTGGAGGGAGTGAAAATTTGAATCGAATACCTCAATGTCGCGTTTTTCGCGATCCGCGAACGCCATTCTTCCGCTTTTTTTCCGTTTCACCGTCACCGGCGTCGAAGTTTCGGCCGCTGGCTGTTCGGAATCGGCGGCTCGTTTTCTTCGAACACTCATTATGCTGCAAAATCGATAGTGAAATGGTTATATAATACGGGACGAGAGTCGTCTTTGAAACGAAAAAAAAAAGCGCGCGCGAATAGACGTTTTGGCCGGACGCCAGTCGCCGCTATGCGTGGCGAGAGAGCGCGCGAATGCGAGAGAGCGCAGGCGGCGAGGGTGCGTCGCAAAACGCGTCAGCGAAGAGTGTTATTGGCGCGTCGGCGGTGCACGCCGGCGTTTCTTTTTCGTCGTCGAATATTCCGATCGGGGAGCGCACAATTTTTGCAATTTTTTTTCGATGACAACAACGACGCGCAAGCGCGTTTCGCGTCTTCCGCTAACGATGGAGACGAAGCGGCCGCGAACGTGCGAAGACGTGAAGTTGGCCGAATTGCTCGGAAAAATGCGCAACTCGTCGTCGCGAGATGAAGCGAAACAAGCCGGCAGCATTCTCAAGGCGTTGCTCAACACCGAAGAGCGAATTCGGAAATTTGTCGAGAATGAGGAGAATTTTGATGCGCTAGTGGCGATTTTTATAAAGCACGCGTCGAATTTGAAAACGGACGAGTAGGAATTCCATTGTTTTCTTGTTTCAACAACAAAAACTTTCAACTTTTGTAGGCATAATTGCGAAATTCTGCAATATTCGATAAGTATATTGGGGAATTGTTGCCACGTGGTTCCCGAGACGGGATTTTCCGTCAAAAAATTGTGCCGAAATTTTTGGGAACTCGGCGTCCGAATTCTGGAGAACTCGTCGATGGATATTAAGACGTCGTTGTGCAAATTGATTGCGAATATTTGTTTGAATAAGGTTAAAATTATTGTTTTTTTTCCATTCAAACCATTTTTTTGCTCAGGAACTCGCTTTGTCTTGGATATCGTCGAAGACGTTGACGTTTGATAATATTGCCGCGCTTCTCGACTCGGAAGATATGAAATTGGTGCGCCAATGTATTCGGGTGTTCCAGGTTCTCGCCAATGCTTCACTTACTAGGGTAAGTACGTTTTCTGTAGAAAAAATTGCCTTGAAATATTCAATTGTTTATTTTTTTCCGAAGATTTTAATTTAAATTTAATTAACACACATGTTTTCCCGAAGAGTTTTGGCCTTTTATTAATTTTCACGCAATTCTTCGTGAAAATTTGGCCGATTTGACATAATATTAAAATTTGGCGGGTATTGAAAAATTTTTAAACGATTTTTATTGCTTTAGCGAAAAATTTTTGTGAATTTCGAGTTTTTGTGATTTTTCTAGACAGAATTTTGTTAAAATTGTGCATTTTAGGAGAAAAAATTGTCTCGAAGCTAAAATCGACGATTTTTTATTCAAAATTTCAAAATTTTGTGGAGTTTTGGCGAAAATTATGAAAAATTCACGATTTTTTAATGAATTTTTAATTTAAAAAATGTATTATCATTTTTAAATTTTGTGTGATTTTTTTTCTCAAAATTTTTCAATTTTTATTCAAAAATTTGACTGAGAATGACGAATTTGAGCAATTTTTATAAATAAAATGACAAAACTATGTTTTTTTTTTTCATCATTTTACTTCAAAAACAGCAAAATTTTAACAATAAAATTAAAATATTGAAATATCGCCAACATTTTGATGGAAATTTGCTGAAAATGCCAATTTTCAAGAAGGTTTTTTGTGCAAAAACTTTTTCTTTTTCAAAAATTTGCCCAAAAATTCATTCTTTTATACCTTTCCACTTTTTGGGCATTTTCAGATAAAAAAAAGTATCTTATCGATTAATTTAAGGCATTTTTGAAAAAAATTCAAAAATGTCCATATTTGGTAGGTTTTCGTTTATTTTTTGTAAGCAGTTTGTTGTATTGCTTGTCGGTAGACGCGATTTGTGGCTGATAAGCTGCCGACGCGCGCAAAACGTGCAGAATTGATCAATACAGCCGAAATTGACCAAATTTGGGCGGAAATTGCGAAATTTTGTGATTTTCAAATTAAAAAAAAATGAGTAATTTGTGACGTTGGAAACTAATTTTTTTTTGTTCAAACGAAGTTGCATATTGATTTTGGCATATTTTTCTTTTTTTTACCATAAAAGGCAACCAAATTTGTTGTTTTCACCAAGAACAACAGATTTAAGAAATTTCCAACATATTTTTCCTTGCAAATTTGATTTTTTTCATTTTTCCCATCGAATTCAATGATTTTTGGAAAAAATTTTTACATCATGAGAAAAAATTAAGATGTTTTGCTCAATTGTTCTCAAATAGTTTCAAATTTCTCAATTCTTTTTTCTTGGCGTTTGAATTCTTAGCAGATGGTTCGAATGTATGCGCCCGCCATCCGTTCGCCGGCCACCCGCCATCAATATCGAATTGTCTCGAAAACGCGTTGACCTTCCTTGTGTAGAGACGTAGAGGGAAAACAACAAATAGGCATTTTTTTTGTCGAAGAAATGATGCTCTTTCCCTTGTCAGAGACGTAGAGGCGCACAAAAAAAGCATGACCATTTATTATTAGCTATCTACATTGTAGTATGTATTTACACGAGAGCCAAAATACGGAATGTTGAAGGGAACGTGCCGAACATCCGAATTGTTCAGTGGGTGCTCTTTCTTGGTTGGAAGTTGTGATGGTTTCTGATCTCTGGCTGATGCTTTGGGAAATCTTTGACTGGTCTTGGATCGTGCATTTTTTTCACCGACTCGGTTGGGTATGAGCGCTCCATCTGAAGTGGAGATGAACGAATTGAACGGATTGATCGGATTGATTACCTTGGCTGGAAGATCGGTATCGAGAATCTCGCGGACCTCGACCTCGGCGGCGGTGGGCGCCTCGACACGATCGGTTTCAGAGATGCGACGCTCCTTTTTGTTGACGACGCGACGGCCGCCGACGATTTCAGCGGGCAAATGGCCGGCTTTGAGTTCGACTTCGGTTGTCATCTTTCTGGAAATTGCAATTTGGAAATTGTGCGAACGGCGTTTTGTTGGCGGTTTTATAATGGAACGAACGATGGGCGGAGTTTCGAGCGCACACACACGCGCGCGCGCGAGGGCAACTGGGCGTGTAAACAAGATGCGAGACGAAGAGGGGCGGCGGCGCGGCGTCATGTGAGGCGAGGCGACCAGCGATCGACGCGCCGCGTTTTGTGTTGTTGTTTTTTTTTCTTGTCGAAAACACCGAAAGATCTTTGAATGTTGGCGGAAGGGCAAAAGAAGGACTTTTGGCAGCAACGGAAAAATTATGATGCAAATTATTAATTGGTATTGAAAATTACTTTTTTTTTACTCACAAAATTGCCGATTTTTAAGCGGTTCCCGTTTTACTTTCAAAATTTAATTAGTATTTCACTGGAAGAGCAAGAAAAATTGAGAAATGCGAATATTTAGGGGCAAAAAAAAAATGGGAAAGTTAAATTTTTTGCAATGGGGCGCGATTGCTTCATTGCGGTGGCCGCCGATTTCTAGGTCACGGCCATGTTTTGGATGAATTTTGGAAAATTTCAAGATTTTGTTTCTTTAAAAAATTATTGCATTTCGCTGGTTTTTATTCTCACGGTTGGAATTTGAATTTTTTGCGATACACCACTCACCGTTTTAATTATTTTCCTGAGAATGAAACGCAATTATCAATGGAAAATGAAATTAATTAGCGAAACAGCGTGAGCGAGTTAATTTTCAAACGAAAAATTCTATTTTTAGCATAAAATATTTTCGAATTGCACATATTTTCAGCGCTTTTTGGCAACAAAATTTATGGTATTTTGAAATTTTGCATAAAATTATGACTGGCGAAAAAATTTTGAATGAGGCAAATAATAGAAATGATCATTATTTGCACAATTGACTTGTTTTTGATACTGGTTTCTAGGCCACGCCCATTTTTGACCACGCCCACTTGATTGTAATGTTGAAAACTGGTCGCAATCTGAGAGGGTTTGAGACGAAATTTCGTAAAAATTTGCTTTATGTGTCATTCGATTCGAAAAACTAGCCGATTTTTTGGATTTTGATTGACAGAACCGAGAAATTGATAAGAATGATGTCATTTTTGGTGATTGTTATGAAAATTGGCCCCAGAAATGTTGATTAAAATGAGAATTTGAGCAAATATTTTGGATTTGAAGAAAAATGAGAATTTTTCAGATATTTTTACTATCGAATGGCGGTTATTACTTGGGAAAGTTGGTGCCGAATCCGGAATTCCGCGAGGACGTTGTCGATCTGCTTCGCGTTTTGCTCAGAAAACATTCGTCGATGTTGGATAGGCAATTGTTCAACAGGTTGGTGAATGATTTTTTTTTTCAATGAAAATTGTTAAGAATTTCGCTTTCGCGCGCAATTTTCTCAAAATTTTTCAGTGGTTGCGTTCCGGACATCGCCGATTTGTTCTTCGTCGAAAATCAAAAAAACGCGAGCAATTTTCGAAATTTTGTCATTGAGTTATTCTTGAAGACGGATGTCACCAGAGAAACGTAATTTTTATGATTTTTGCCCAAAAAAAATACATGTCAACCCGTTTTTTTTTTCTCTGGGAATACGGTAACTTTAAAGGAGCATTTCCTTTTTTGTTGTTGCTCACTGCTCTGCGTTTTGATGAAATTGTTGAGATTTTCGGCGAAATTTTGAAATTCTCATTTTTTTAAAAATTTTTTTTGGAAGAGATTTTCTTTTTGAAGAGATTCTGTAGGGGAATTTGAGAAGCAACAATTTTTTCAGGGGATTTTCATCGAAATTCGAAATTATTTTAGTTGGAGCAAAATTAGCAACTCAAATTGGCGTTGAAGCATAATTGCAATGCATTTTTCGAAGAGATAAAAAATATTCGCGTTGGAGCGCATTTCGAACAAAATTTAGACGAAAACATAAAAAAGTATTGGCATTAGAGCGCATTTGGAACATGTTTGGCGTCGCTCTGGAAGCGGATTTTTCAGAGATCACAAATACTAGAGCGCACTTGCAACCCAATTGGTTTTGTGTTTTTTGTAGAATGGAGAAAATGGAGTTTCTCGAGAAAGTGCTAAACTCGAACAATCCGCAACAAATTCGAATGCTCGGCGCGTTCTCGAAGTCGGCGTGGGGTCGAGCATCGCTTCGCATGTCGGGAGCATTGGATTTGCTCATTCAGAAGATGGTCAACACCGATTCGGACGAGGAGCGCCTATTCGTTGTTCAGACATTCAAAGAGTTTTTGCATGATAGTGCTGGTAGGTTTTTTTGAATCTTTTTTTTTGGGAAAATTGAATGAGAAATCGAGTTTTGAGTGGTTTTTTTTTCACAGAAAAAAAGTCAAAGTTTGAAATTGCTGAAAAAATTGGCATTTTCTTTCGGGTTTGGTATAAAAATTTTTGGAATTGCTTAGCTTTGAAAATTTTGTGCGAAAAAATGTACTCACTTTACAATTTACACATCTCAAAATAATGATTCAACGCGAAAATTTCGAATCGTTTTTGTCAATATTGACAGTTTTTGGCTTCATGATCGAAAAATAAAAAAAAATTGGGGAATTTTGTTGGAAAAATGGCGAAGAATAGCTGAAATGTTGAAATTAAAAACGATTTTCGTCGAAAAATGTTTTGTCGTTTTGAGCGTTTTGCGTCCTGCATCGAAATAGTTCAAAATTAATTGTGAAATGTGTTAAAATTGCCAAAATTGGGCGTGCATTTTTTTTTATTTAAAAAATTTGAAAATTTCGAGGAAAATGTCAAAATTTAGGTGATTTTTATTTGAAAATGAACTTTTTTTGCTCTAAAATTTGCAACTTTCGAAAAACGTCAAAATTGGGTTATTTTTTGGCGAAATTGTTGAATTTTTGAAAAAAAAAACGGCAAAATTGGTTAATTTTGCACCATTAATGGGAATTTTTTAACGTTCGAGAAAAAATGTCAAAATTGGGTAATTTTTTACCAGAAATGGGCATTTTCGACAGAAATTTTTGAGCTTTCGATAAAAAGGTCAAAATTGCGTCATTTTTTAACCAGAAATGGGCGTTTTTGGGAGAAACAAACATATTTTTTTTCAAATTAATGCGATTTTATTGCAGGACTCCGACACATGGGTGAAAACGAGAGTTTCATGCGAAAAATCGTCGACGACGTCGGAAAATTCGTCGAGAAACACCTCGACGTTTGTCAGCCGCAAATCGATTACGAATCGCTGAAAATGGCGGAGGCGAATCCGAAAATGTTTCCGTTCACATTGAAAGACACGCAACAACTATCGGAAGCGTCGCGGCGGCGGCGAATCGAAAAAGAGAACGAGATTGAGAAGCTGCACAAGGACTTCTACGCGGTGTGGGCCTATTATTCGCCGGCGGCGCCGAGAGCCTCGTCGCCGAATTACTCGCCGTGCGTGAGTCCGCCGCTGTCGGATCCGCCGAGTGGCGCGTCGTCGCCGACGATTCGGTGAGCTTTCGATTTCTCTTCAAATTTTCACCGATTGCCATTTTTGGGCATGTTTTTTGAAGCTCGGAAGTTTGGAAATTGGCCAAATTTTGCAATTTTTTTTTTGTAAAAATTATTCTTGAATTGTCGAAATTGGCCGATACTTCACATTTTTTTTGCTAGGATTATCGAAGAAATTTGATTGGAATTGAAATTTTCCAAATTTGGAATTATTGAATGATTGAAATTGTAGGCCGAATGATTCGATTCTTCACGAGTTTGTGCCGCCGGAACCATCATACGAACGGTTTACGGTCGAAATGCGCAAAAATTTGGAAATGAAATTGCCGAGAGCTGAGGTTGGCATTTTTTTACTGCCCAATTGCCAAATACGGACGAATTTCGGAGTGAAATTGATTGATTGTTTGAATTGCCGCCTTGGGTCTCGCACGGAAAACACGTTTACTGGCGATTTTTGATTGATTAGAAATTTGAATGAATGAGAAATCGAAGGGCGCAGTATTTTGCGTTCTTTTTTTTTGAGAAATTAAATATTTTGGTTTTTGAAAAGCTTTAAAATGACGGTGAATAAGCCGATTTCAGTTTTTTTTTTTGCGGGGGCCAATTAGCAGCCCGCGAAATTCAAATTTCTCAAAATTCGTCCGTCCGTGACTCTCGCGATTTTCCACTTTTTTCGGGCATATGTAAATTTTTGCAAAAATTAAAAATAAATTATCGAAAACCCAGAATTTCATGAATGAATTTCACGAGGTCCATAAATATTGTCAATTTTTCATAGCGGGTTTGGAACAAAACGATCGATGGCGAGTTGTCGTTGTTGACTTGGTTGTCGCAAGATGAGCAGAATCTGCCGCTTTTGGCACGCGTCGATATTGTGGTGAGGATTTGTTTCTTTGAAATTCAAAAAAAAAAAAGGAAAATTGTCGATAAAATTGAGATTTCTACAAAAAATTTGAACATTTTTTTTTGAGAAATTGAGAATTTTCGTCAAAAATTGAAAAAAAAAACCATTTATTCTAAAAATTATGAATTTGCTCGAAAATTACGAGCAAATTCTTTTTGAGTTGAACTTTGAGATTTTTGCGATTTATTGAAAAAACATTTAAAATTTTTTTCTGAAATTAAACATTTTTGTGGAAAGTGTCAATTTCTCATAATTTAGAGCCAAAATTTAATTTTTAATGGAAAAAAAATGCAGATTTACGATTTTTCTTTAAAAAATTTAAAAATTACGCTTATTTGAAACATTGTTCGAAAAATTGAGATTTTCTGCTGAAAATTGCTGAGTTTTGTGAGAGTTTTGAGCTGAAATTCAAGATTTTTGTGAAAAATTACAATTTTCCTCCTATTTTTTCGAACGATTTGCAATTTTTGGCCGAAAATTGCAAAATTATAAAAAGAAAAACTGTTTTTAAGTTTTTTCCCCAAAAAATTTGCGACTTTTAGAAATTTTTCTTTAAAAAAAATCGGAATTTTCAGTTTTGTTCTGTTTTTTTTGAAAAGTTGCTCAAAAATCTCAATTTTTCAAAAATTGTGTGTGCGCCTTTAAATTGTCGTTGCAGGACACGATCATCAATTATCTTCGAAACACGAGCAAACCGCAATTCCATTGCTATCGCGTGCTTCGCCGATTGGCGACACTCCGAACGCACGCCTATCAGCTCATCGACATGCAATTCCATTTGAAGGTGTTGACCGGTTTGTGCGCGACGCCGTGCCGAATGCTGAAGCACTCGAAGAAGTGCACGCGTTGCGAGAAGTGCGCCGAGCTCGGACGCGAGATTCTGCGCGAATTCGCGACGCACGTCGACAACAGCTACGGCGATGCGCACATCAACGCGCAATTCACCTCCGACGATTTGGTTGAGCGCACGAAGGCGGCGATTGCGAAAATTGTGCTCGTCAAGTGAGTTGGTTTTTTTTTTTCAAATTGAAATTGTGGAAATTTTGTTGGCTCAATTATCTATCAGAATCGCTCATTTTTTTTGTCGCGTTATGCGCCTTTAATTGCGTTTCTCTTTTTTTTCCCATAATAGGGCAAAAGGAAAGGCGGAAAATTCAATTCGCACGGCTGTGCGGCCATCGGAAATTTCGGCTATTAAAATTTTTCGACGATAAATCGAAATATAAATACCCGAATTTTCACAGTATCCCAAATTATTTAATGGACATTAATTTTTGTTTCGACGATGTTTTTTTTTTGACATAAAATTGCTGAAAATTAAAATTTCGGCAATCCGGCAATTCCATTGCCGCACAGAATTAGCAAAAAATCGGAAAACCAGCATTAAATTGTCAAAAAATTCTAAAAAAAAAAAAAAAGAAATGTTAGTTTTAAGCCGCGTTCTGTCTATTTATGTAATGAGTCTCGATGCGAACGTGTTTTTTTTTTTTTCGATTTCTCTTTTTTGTTTTATTTTTGCATTTTCTTAATTTTCCAAAAAAAAAACCAAGAAAAGAATTGTTTTGTTGAAAAAATTTTAAGCGATTTTATTTTTCTGAAAATATTTGCATTTCTTTTTTTTTCAGAGAACGGACCCGTCTGGCGAAGGTGCCGTCATTATCGGTGCTTTTCGAATCGCTCACTCAAATTTTGAGCTCGTCGGAGAATTTTAAGAGAATCGGTCTGAAGGCGGCCTTCGAAAACGGGGTAATTTGTGTGTGTGTGTTTTTCTTCTGAAAATTGCCGTCAATTTTTTTTTTGTTGTTGGTCCAAAAATGCCAAAATTTTCAGCCGTCAATTGTCTCGCAAATCATTGGCTCGTTGTCGATTTTGATAGCCGGAAAAAAAATACGGTAAGTCATTTTTTAATAGAACAGAATAAAAAAATGGAAATTTGTTTTTTTTTTTTTCAAGCCAGCTTTGCAACACCGATTCGTGGTATTTTCCGCCGGAAAACGAGAATTGCATGATTGAGAAGGCGAAAATTGAGGAGGAGTAAGTTGACGGTTCAAATTTTTGTTAAAAGAAAATTTTTTGAAAAAAAAAATGGAGTAAAATATTTATTTTTCTTTTTTTTCTCATTGAAATAGTTTGTTTACCTTTTTATTGTCAAATTCGCGCAGCCGAGGCTGGCAGTGGTCTTGCGGCGAAATAGTAATGGTGTAGATTTACGGGACTTAGTATAAGGCACCAAGACCTCTTTATAAATGTATTTTTGCCAATTTTCCTCATTGACAATATTTATTTTCAACGTTATTTTCGCTGAATTGACCCTTAAAGGGAGGGGGTAACCTTTAAGTGTGAAATTATGTGGGAAAATAGATAAGAAATCGAAAAAATCAAAAAACGAACGGAAAAAGAAGATGTGAATTGTCGTCAAATCAAGTGCACAAGTCCGCAATGTCATTTTCAGATTCAATTTGAAAATTTTCTTGCTTTGTGTATTTTTTTATTACTTAACAGACCGGAATAGGTATTTGAGAATAAAATATGTGAAATTGAAATAGGAATTTTTATAAATAAGCGAAATTGGAAAAATTGCGGACTTGTGCATTTTATTTGACGACAAACGTTGGATTTTCATTTTTTTTTTTTGGAATCTTTTCGATTTTTTAAATCGAGTTTCCATCATATTTTTAAATTTTCAAAGATTCATCCCCTTAAGCATTTTTGCTTGAAACTTTCCATTTTTTTCTTGTAGAAATACGCCGGAATTGTTGAAGTTTTTGGATGAGAATCAGGATGAGGTCGTATCGGCGCCAATGCACATCGTTTGCGAGAAGAGCGAGTACTTCCATGTGAGGCTGTTTTTTTTTAATTGTAAATTTATGCAAAAATTCCTTTCAATTTTTTTTGGCTTTGTAAAAACCGGATATTTTGTGGTTCTTTTTTTGTGAAAATTGCCAACAAATCTCAAGAAATTTTTTTTTCATTGTTTCCAGGGAATGTTCTCGTCGGGATTTCTCGAGCAGGCCAACAACGTGCGATCATTCCAAATCGATGGCGACATTTGCACACGCGACGAGTTTCGCCTATTCGTGCACCTCGTGTGCGAATGCACCGGCAGTTGTTCGGCGATCAACGACGCCGATCAATGCGCAACTATTTTGGAGGTTTGTCATTTTTTTTTGAGAAGTAGTCCGAATTCAGAGAGTTTCAATGGTCCATAAGCTTTATTGAAGATTTGAGGGAGTTGATAGGCTTGTGTGATTGGTCCCTAGACTATTTGAAAGGTTGCCAATGATTGGTAGCCAATTTGATTGGTCCCTAGCCGTCATGAGAGATTTTAAAGGTCCCTAAACGTAGGTTCCCTTTAGTGGTCCCTAAACATTATTCGAGGATTTGAGAATGGACTATATAGAAGGGACTATTTTATTTAGGCGGTTTGCGCTCTGAGACCCGAATGGAGTTCCCATTGGTGTCGATTTACGGCCTAGACTTGTCTGTGCTTCTCATATTGCCGCCAGGCCGCATTTTAACAACTCTGGAATTTGTTTTGCAGTTGGCCGATCGCTATTTGTGTCATGATGTGTCGAAAATGTTGTCATCCGACAAGGGACCATTGAGGACGTATCTACGCGGGACCACACTGCCGATACTTTTGCCGACGGCGTTGACGACTTGTGCGCAAGAAGGGTGTGTTTTGGTTTTTTTTTTTTTGACGTTAGAAGCAAACGCGAGAGAATTTTAGCGTTTTTTTTTTGAATAAAAATTAAGAAATTTACAATTTTGATTAGTTTTTGTCAATAAAAAATGACTTTATTGCAATTAAAAAAGGAATTGCAGATCGCTCGATTACGCGCTGCTGACATTGATCCGGTTCGCGACGCCCGACGAGATAACGACGGCGATGGAGGCCATAAGCGGCAATTCGCTGCTCGTCGAAACATTTTTGATCGCTTTGCGCAAATTCATCGACGCGCAACGCGTTGGTGACCTACAGTAAGCCGGCCTACCGTAAGTCGGCCATTTTCTTTTTTGTCAAGCTCGATCCCTCTTCTTTTTTTCTTCGGGGTTACTGTATCCACCGTAATCCACGGTTTTTGAAACCATCTCTCATGTTCCTCTGCCCACAGTAACCCACTAGTTTTGCTCATTCTGCTTTCATACTGTATTCTACGGGTACTGTATTCCTTTTCATCTTTTGAATTGCGAGTCTACTGTAGTCCGTCAATTGTTTTTTTTTTCGTTTCGGGTTACTGTAATTCAAATTATATTTAGTGTATTTCTTTCCAATTCCTACCGTAATCCCCCGCCACACTGTTTTTTGAGGGTTACTGTAGCTTGGCTATTGTAGTTTGGGTTACGGTACCTTCTTCCCTTATAGTTCGTCCCCCTACAGTAACCCAACTGTTGTTGAAATTAATGTATCTACCGTAATCCATTGTACCTATATTTGTTGAATTGTTCTTTTTTTGTGTGGGTGGTTTTCATACAGAATCTACAGTAGCCGATCTACAGAGTACCCTCACTAACCAGTCGGTTACTGTAGCTACCGTAATACTAATAATCGATTTTTTTTGGGTTATGTCTCTTTCAATGATTATGTGAATAATTTTTGTGATTTTAACAGTATAAATTAATTTATAAGCAACAAATTTGGCTACAGTAATCATGATGATTACGGTAGAATTGGCTATTACTGTGTCTTTTTGTCCTCAGCTTCTCCCTCGTCTTTTTCATCGTCGTCGTCGCTTTCCGAGTTTTGGCGCTTCTCCATATGATCGATTTCTTTTTTGACGTCTTCGACATCCTTAAAAAAATAGGCGTCAAAAGAAAAACGATGTTGGATTTTGATTTTGATGGTCCCACCTTGATTCGATGGTCCTTCTCGATTTCGTCGGCGTCGGGCACGATTTGAATTCGTCCGCCGGTAATGCAGAACGCGCCGGTGACAAGCAGCAGGCCGCCCATCTGCAAATGTCCATTGATGGTCCCCGAACGGCAGCGTTTTGGTTTCAATGGTCCCCCAGTGAAATTGAGATTAGATTTGAAAGTCACCGTAATCATTTTTTTTAACATTGTGGTCCTTTCACTGCGGGACCATTCGAGACGGTTGAAAAGAAATCGAGTACCTCGATACAAGAAATGAGGGATAATCCGAGCCAGAGGCCCGCTTGGCCGCCCAAATCGTTGATAATGTTCGAGACCTGAACGATTGAGATTTAAGATGGTCCCCAGTCGAACCACCACCAACCGTATAGCCGGCTTTCTCGGTGTAGAGCTCGTAGCTGAGCGTCTCGAAGAAGACTTGAAGCGTCAACGCGTTGTTCGCGTACCATCGCTGGCACGTGTTTCGGCTCTGGAATATCGATATTCTCATCTGCCGACATTTTTTGCCTGGCTTCTCTCTGCGCCCTCTCTCTCTCTCACCCGCAAAATTGTCCGCAGCTCGAAATTTTGACATGATTTTTAAAGTTTTGCTATTTCACACGGAATTTTGAATCTGAATTATCAATATTCTCATCTGCCGACATTTTTTGCCTGGCTTCTCTGTGCGCTCTCTCTCTCTCTCTCTCGCGCGCAAAATTGTCCGCAGCTAGGAATTATGATAAAATTTGTTTATCTTTGTCTGTAATTTTTTCAGATTTGTAATTTGAACATTTTTCAATGTTCGGATCTGAATTATCAATATTCTCATCTGCCGACATTTTTTGTCTGGCTTCTCTGCGCGCTCTCTTTCTGACATTCTCTCTCTCTCTCACTCTGTCGCAGAATTGTTCGCAGATCGAAATTTTAATGTCACTTTTTTTTATTATTTGTCATTTCCTGAAAATTTCGGCTTTGGAATATCGATATTCTCAATCTGCCGACATTTTTTGTCTGACTTCTCTGCGCACTCTCTTTCTCACTCTGTCGCGGAATTGTCCGCAGCTAGGAATTTTAAGAGCAAAAAGCCGCACCGCGAATTTGGTGTTCTTATAGGAACAGCTGCCGACACCGCCGCTGCTCTCCGTCGCCACATAGTAGCCTCGCGCCGGGAATCGCGCCAACGAGACGGTCGGCGTGTAGGTGTGCTCGCGGCACGGCGGATGGCACGAGCATTCGCGCAGCAGATCGATGTTCGGATTCGTCGGACTCGTCTGGCTGCCTTTCAGCGATTCGAGGCACTCCACTGAAAAATGTTGAATTTGTTGGTTCAAATTTTTCAGTGGAAAGAATGTTGGTCCCATCGATGAGCGGAGTCTATTGGTCCCCCAGGAAATGGGATTAAGGTTAAGATAAGAAGCAAAAAAAAAAACAAAAAATCTACTGAAAATTGAATTTTTGTGGTCCCAAAAACTGACACGCCGCTTTCGTCGGCTCGCATGGCGTATCGCCGGGTCCCAACGCGAATCGCGGATTCGCGCAACCGCACTTCGCCACCGTATCGCGTTGTTTGCATCCGTCGAAGCACGTTTCGAGCGTATACGTGAAATCCTGCAAATTTTTCGCCTGATGCCCAATTTTGGCGAAAATCGCAACAAAGAAAAAAATATGCGGTTTCGAGTTTGATTTTTTTTCACCCCCAACAATGACGAAAAACTGCACAAATTTTTTTTGCACATCTTTGAGAAATTAATTTTCTCAAATTTTGGTAACGATTTTCCATTGAAATTGGCAAAAATTGTTCTACAGTAATCTACAGTAATCGTTTTGGTTGCAAAATTTGTCGATTTCTCGAACACACTTGATAATTGTCGGTGTCGGCCGGCTCGCGATCCACACATGTTCCGTACGGTTTTTTCGCTCGAATGTTCTCCGTCTGAAATTTTTCGAATTTTTAATTACGACGACAAATGCGCTCTATTGCGAAAATAGTGATCTCCAACAAAATATCGCGCGGAAAGTGCGCTCTATTGCGAAAATAGTGATCTCCAACAAAATATCGCGCGGAAAGTGCGCTCTAATGCGAAAATGGTGATCTCTAACGAGATTTCGCGTGGAAAATGCGCTCCATTGCGATATTAGTGATCTCCAACAAAATTTCGCGCGGAAAATGCGCTCCATTGCGAAATTAGTGATCTCCAACAAAATTTCGCGCGGGAAATGCGCTCCATTGCGAAAATAGTGATCTCCAACAAAATTTCGCATGGAAAGTGCGCTCTATTGCCAAATCAGTGATCTCTAACAAGATTTTGCGTGGAAAGTGCGCTCTATTGCGAAATTAGTGATCTCCAACAAAATTTCGCGCGCAAAGTACGCTCTAATGCGAAAATAGTGATCTCCAACAAAATTTTGCGTGGAAAGTGCGCTCCATGGCAAATTGGCTGTTTTCTCGCGCAAAACGCGTGCGTGAACTCCTCGAAATTTCCAACATTTTCCATTTCTCGAAATCAACCAATTCAACGTTGGCCTTTACCAGAGTCACGGTATTTCGTTAGTTTTTTCGTCTACTGTATAAAAAAAAAATCAAAGTGTGCGCCTTTAAATTGAATCGCGCTCTAGCGAAAAAGAACAAAGCAGAAACTCGACCAATGAAATCGAGACGGCACTCTGATAGCCGACGCCGACGTCGATGCCATTGGCGTCGAGCATCGGCTTGGTGCCGCGCGCGTAGACGCCAATTCGAACGCCCGCCAATTTGGTGTTGGGCAAAAAATCGGTGACGCCGTCGGTCGTCTCCTGCTGCAAAACGCAAGAGAGCTCCCCCTGTCGAGAATGAGACTGACGCCGAGGCCTACCGTCACCGTGATCATGAGTTTGAGGCCGAACAGAATGCCTTGACGGCTCACCGAGTAGTTGAGCGACGGATTGTCGTTGAAAGAATAGCACGCGCCGTAGACGGGATCGACGAATCGCGTGAAGTCGGATCTGAATGACATGGCGTCAGATCGACGACGGGTAGCTGACTCACTCGCTGCACGGCTGCCCGCTGAACGTGCAATCCTGAATGAGGTCCGAATACGAGTAGAGGCCGGCGGTCTTGTCGGACTCGGGAATCTTGTAGGCTTCAAGGAGCTGCGCGTCGGCCATCCGCGAGTCCAAATCGTACTCATCGCCGGCAACATCCTATAAGAGAATTTGAGTGGTCCCCCGAAAAAATGATGGTTTGATTTGAATGCTCCCAAACCACTATTGTTGTTGCTTTTTTTTTGGGACCATCGAACCTTGAGTCCATATTTGTCGGCAGTCAGACCCCCGCCGACGGCATTTTTGTAGGCTTCCATGAGATCGTTCAAATCGGAAAATGCCGAATTTGAACGGACCACTCGATATTTGTAGGCGTTCATATTGCAAACGGTCACCACGGGGAAAATCTGAAAGAAAAAATCGTGCGAAAATTTTTTCAGTTGGAAAAATGAGAATTTTTGAATTTTTGTTTTTTCAATTTTTGACGAAAATGAGATTTTTTGCTGAAAATTTCCAAAAAAAAAATTCAATTTTTCGTGCAAAATTGGCCATTTTTGATCATTTTTAACGAAAATGAGAATTTTTGCGAAAAAAATTAATTTTTTTGTGCGAATTTGACAATTCTTTGACCATTTTGAGAAAAATGAGAATTTTTGTGGAAAAATTGCGAAAATTTTAATTTTTGAGGCGAAATTGATCATTTTTGGCAATTTTTAACAAAAATGTGAAAATTTTTTTAGAAATTGCGAATAATTTGAATTTCTCTTTTAACTTTTGACGAAAATGAGATTTTTGTTGAAAATTGACAAAAAAATCAATTTTTTTTGGCAAAATCGACTATTTTTTTGATAAGTTTAAACAAAAATGAGAATTTTTGTTGAAAAATTGCGAAAAGTTTAATTTTTGAGGCGAAATTGATCATTTTTGGCAATTTTTAACAAAAATGCGAAAATTTTTTTCGAAAAATTACAAAAAATTTGAATTTCTCATAATTTTCGGTCAAAAATAGACAATTTGTTGGAAAAACCTATTTTTTTCCAATTTTTCGGGACAAAATTGATCGAATTTTGTTTCTCATCAATTTTTGACTCAAAAATTGTTTTAAAAACTCGATTTTTTTTAGTTTTTCGCTCGAAAATTGCTCGAAATTCAAATTTTCGGCAAATCTTGGCAATTATGCAAAAAAAAATGATGAAAAAGTCGGGCCAATTCGGCGAAAATTGGAAATACTCCGAATTTTCGCTGAAATCTGATTTTTTGTGGTTGAATTTTTGCAAAAAAAACCTGTTTTTCGAACAAAATATCGGTTTTGACGATGGCCGGATACGAGAAATATTTGGATATCAAAATGTAGAGCTCATAGGCGAACATGCCCAACACGAAAAAGAAGACGACGATCCAGAAGACGCGAGAGATCTGAACGATGGATGGATTACGGTGGTGATCAGAAGGCGCCGACCTTATTCGACGCATTGCTGATGTGCGGAACGGCGGCGACCGTCGACCAATTCGAGAAGTCCTTGAAAATTTGCACGAATCCACCGGTTCGCATCACCAAATTTGGAGGCTTTGGTGAATTTCTGACGGTTCGACACCTATTGTTTGCTGTTTCAATGGTCCCTTGGCAACCGGACGTTGTCTTTTTTTTCTTGTGGTCCTTTGACAATGGAGATGGAGGCATTCTAGAAGGGAGTCCTCTTTCAAGAAAAAAAAACGCATCTGCGGACATTTTCGAAAAGCCTTTTTTTCAATGGAGGGCTATTTGAGAATGATTGCTGCTTGAAATTTGAGGAGGATCATCTGCGGACAATTGTCGGGAATTCAATTTTGGCAAATAATCCATCTGTGGACATATTTTTTTTTTCTTTGGACGGTCTACTCAAACAGACGCACTGCAGCCATCATCAGACTAACTGATATCAATTCCCATCTGCGGACATATGTAGTTGCATTCAAAATTTGAAGCGGAAACTCTGAGCGTGATTTTGTCGGGGCGGAATTGATTCGAAAAATTGGTTTTCAGCAAATTCGAGTTCATCTTCCGATCATTTTCAATAGTAGTTTTAGTTTTTCCGGCATAAGGCGTCTCGTCGAGCATGATGGTCCCTTATTTGGGGTTTTAAGGACCTTTCAGGTTTCCACTAGTTTTCTAGATTTTTAGCCTTTGAAAAACTCTAAAATATGCAAATTGTTTTTCAAAAAATTGAAAAATCAAATTTTTTCGAAAAAAAGAGGAAAACTTGAAAAATCTGTCATTCTGAAATTTTGACTTCAAAAGCGGCTTCAAATTTCTAAACAAACTATTTTTAAGAAATAGATTTTAGAAAGATTATCTACGGACCACGATAATCATTTTTGAGCTAGTTGACAATTTTTCATAAAATCCATCTGTGGACAAATTTGGAGATTTGATTTCTCGTAATTCCCCATGTGCGAACATTTTATTGGCTCAGATACTCATATTTCAGCTGTTGACATTGTTTTCTTGAAATTGCTGAAAACAATCTGCCAAGCTTCTAATTTTGATTCGCAATTTGGCGACTCTCATCTGCGGACAATTTTCTCGTTTTTGTAACGCACTGCAGCCATGATCGTGCCTCTCAATTTTCCAAATTGCCATTTTTTTTTTAAATCATCGCAACAAAAAATCGAGCAATTGTGGACCTTCGCATTTTTTTCCAATGGGTAGGCGGTAATTCAAATTTCGCTTTATTCAATGGGAATTTGGGTACCGTACGACGGATAACCTGCGAATCAAACTGATCGTAAATCGGCGCAGCCGGTTTGGTATTAGATTTTGCAACAAAAAAAACGATGCTTAAAAAATTACTTCAAGACGTTTTTACCCAATTGAGAGTGGTTAAAAAGCAATTATTTTTATTTTTCCTCAAAATCTGACGCAAAGTAATTTAGCCGAATACTCGAACGCGTTTTGAGTTATTTCACCTGCGGACAAATTTCCAGAAATTCATTGTTCGACTTCTTGCTAGCAATCATTTTTTAAGGATGATAATTTTTCAAAATAGAGAAAAAACGATCTGCGGACAAATTTCGAGATCGCCAATTCCCATCTGCGGACACTTTTTGAACGGTCTACTCAACCAGACGCACTGCAGCCATAGCTTCCACTACCATCTGATATCAAAGTTCATCTACGGACACTTTTTTTGAACGGTCTACTTAACCAGACGCACTGCAGCCATAGCTTCCACTACCATCTGATATCAAAGTTCATCTACGGACACTTTTTTTGAACGGTCTACTTAACCAGACGCACTGCAGCCATAGCTTCCACTACCATCTGATATCAAAGTTCATCTACGGACACTTTTTTTTTGAACGGTCTACTTAACCAGACGCACTGCAGCCATAGCTTCCACTACCATCTGATATCAAAGTTCATCTACGGACACTTTTTTTTTGAACGGTCTACTTAACCAGACGCACTGCAGCCATAGCTTCCACTACCATCTGATATCAAAGTTCATCTACGGACACTTTTTTTTTGAACGGTCTACTTAACCAGACGCACTGCAGCCATAGCTTCCACTACCATCTGATATCAAAGTTCATCTACGGACACTTTTTTTGAACGGTCTACTTAACCAGACGCACTGCAGCCATAGCTTCCACTACCATCTGATATCAAAGTTCATCTACGGACACTTTTTTTGAACGGTCTACTTAACCAGACGCACTGCAGCCATAGCTTCCACTACCATCTGATATCAAAGTTCATCTACGGACACTTTTTTTTTGAACGGTCTACTTAACCAGACGCACTGCAGCCATAGCTTCCACTACCATCTGATATCAAAGTTCATCTGCGTACACATTTTTCATTATCAACCCCCCCCCCCCCAAAAAAATGAGGGAGTGAAAGAATGAGTACTAAAAAATCTTTTTTTTTTTTGATAAGATAATTTTTTGCGCCCACTCAAAAATTTTTTTTGACCAAACTCGGCCCCCCATCATTTTTTTGATCTACCGCGATTTTGCGAATCTCTCGACTATTTAAGTCCATCAAAATTGACATTTTGAATTCTCATTATTTTCATTCCAAAAAAAAAACATGCCCCATCGCGGACTACTGTAGATTTTTGATTTTTAAAGGCGCAGGGGCACGCACGCTTCGAAATGGACGATGTCGACATTGGCGAATTGGTGATGCTCGAGAGAAGTCGCCCAAAATTACGGTAGTTCATTTTTTTGGGGGACAATGAAGGGCTTGTCAATTTTGTGAGCCCAAATATGGGCAGAAATTGGCGAAATTTTGAATTTTCAATTTTTGTTGAACTCAAAAATGTTCGAAATTGATTAATATAAATTTTTTTTTCGAGTGAAAAAATTGTCTCGCAAAAAAAATTCCATTTTTCGATCGAATTTATACAATTTTTTAGGGCAAAAAAAAAATATTTTCTAGAAAATTTAATAATTTTGCGTTGTTTTTTTTTTCTCAAAAAATTGATTTTTGATGAAATTTTTGCAATGATTTCATTTTTTGAGCGCCAAAAATGTGTGATTTTTGGCAAAATCTGGAAATTTTCTTCGCATTTCAATGAAATTTGTTCGCATTGTTTTTTTCGAGTAGAAATCCCGATTTCTGGATTCCCCCTCATCGATGAATTTTTTTTCGCTGAAATTCACTTTTCAAAATTCAATTCGATTCCCGAATTGTTTCCAATTTCCGTTGACGGCCAGCCCCATATAAGTATGATAATATCCGATTTGAAAATCGTCATCAAACAAAAAAAAACGCATTTTTTTCAAAATTGCGACAAAAATCCAGAGAACCATGTCAATTTTGACAAATTCGCAACGGACCATTGAAAAAGCCTTCACGCCTATCTTGAAATTACCCATCATTATTATCCAGCGTCTTTTGGCCGAAAAAATCGATTGACTGGGGGGGATCTTTAATTGATAACTAAAGGGGGGGGGTTGGCATTGCTCATATTAGCCACACGTTTCTTTTCATTTATTTTTCGTTCGCGTTGCGATGGAGCGAAGTCTCGTCGGGTTTCCAGCAGGCGCCTTCTCATTCATTTCGTCCATCCATCCATTCGTTTCTCCCCCCGTGCGCGCACGCACGAAAATTTTTTGGTTGGAGAGGAGGCATCGGACGGGCCGGGCCGGGCTGGGCCGCCGCCGCTTGTTGGTTGATAGAGAGAGAGAGAGAGAAAGAGAAGCGGGCGTTGGCGAGAGAGCACGCGTCGCGCGGAGATCACCCGACGAGATAGTGGGCGTCGGCGAGAGACGCAGCGAGACGCGCGCGCGTTTCTCTCCGTCTCTTCGCCATCTCGCGCTATCTCATTGTCTGTGTCTCACAGCGCGTATGAATGCGACGGGTGTGTGGCCTTGGTTTTAGTCGGTTGGGTTGTGTATAGCAGCAGCAGGCAGGCACTCTCACTTTGGCTTCGGCCTGTGTACACGACGAGCGCGCCTCCCTTCGGCCCCGGCCAAGCGACGTCTAAACGCAGCAGCAGCGGCCCGCCAATTTCGAAACCATCGCTCGCTTTTCTCTCTTTCCAATCTCATGTGTTGATTGCGACCCCCCCCCCCAGCCACCCTTGGGCCGGCCAGCCAGCAATTTTTTGTCCGTTGGCCGAGTGACCCGCCGCACACACACACATACATACACATAACAATGTATTTTGCAGCATGAGCAGCACGTTCCAACTCAATGAGCTCACCGAGGAGATTTTCGGGCATTTGTGCAATGTGGCGCTCACCAAGTGTAGCGATAAGTTTGAGAAGAAGCGCGCCGGGTGCGGCGGACGCGCGATGCGCAAACGGTATGATCTACGGAGTGGGCGGCAAGCGCGCTCAATTGCCATTCTCTTTTTTTTTGCAGTGTGCTGATCAAAAACTTCGTGTCGGATCTGTTCAAAATGCCGAAAAAGCCGGCGAGCGCCGAGATTAGCGATGACGAGTTTGACGAGTTCGAGTCGGCCGCCGGCTCGACGTTTTTCGACGAGGAGTTGGACGATGTGCGGATCGAGGATCTTCATGGCTATCCGAGCAGCAGTAGCGGTAGTAGCAATGATAATAATAACACGATTCCGCCGCCGAATGTAAGATTCGAGATGGTGGACGTCGAAAAAGAATTTGGTTTGATTTAGGAGGATTGTTGGCTTTCGCAAGCCGATGTCTACTCGGGACACTATGAGCAGGCGAGCTACGGATTCGAGATGGACAAGAGCTATCCGAACGCGGTGCCCTACTCGTACGACATCTACTCGATGATGTCGGAGCAGGCGAGTGATGGCGAGTTGCCGCAGGCGAGCGATCCGCTCGCCAGCATCTCGTCGCTGATGCATCCGACGGCCGACGCGCTCTATGGCGGCGTCGACATGATGGCCGACACGCGATTCTACACCAATGATGATTACTTTATGACGACGAGCACCGAAGCGGCGACGGCGTATGATGAGGTAGGAGAGAGAGAGAGAGAGAGAGAGCTGAAAATTTGAATGGAATTGTTCTAGTTGGATCGTGGCGAGACCGTTGAGTTGACGGACTTGGACGCGAGCACCGGTCAATCGCAAATGTCGAAGAAGCGGCGAAGCGCTGACATGTACGACGAGGAATTTACGAACGCGTTCCAGAAGCGTATAAAAATCTAAATTATTATGTATTAACACCGTTTTTTTTGTTTTTCTTTCTTATTGTTTTAGATCAAAATTGATTGTTCTCACGAATACGGGCGATTTTAACCGACTCTCAAACGAAAAACCACTCGAATTTTATGTGTCTCATTTAGAAGAAAAAAAGTCAAAAAAATTATTATTATTATTATTTCAACCCCCCCCTTTTTTTCCTTTTTTAATTGCTCCCACACTTATGATTATTATTTTTTTTAACCCCCCTTTTAACGATTTCCTTTACCGATTCTCTTTCAGAAATAATTTGAAATTGTGTGTATATATGTGTTTTGGCGAAAAAGAAGAAGAATCTCAGGAAATTATGAACATGTTTTAAATAAACGTTGAAAAAAAATACGAAAAGTTGAGGAGGAATGAAAGATTTTTTGAAAATTATTACAGTAGACGGGTTTAAAGGCGCATGGGAGAATTTGCGGCGGGTCTCATCGTGCGCATGTACGATGGCAGCTGTTTTTAAATTTTTTTTTTCAAATATTTTCAATTTTCTTCCATTTGTCAAGTTTTCCCTTGTGTGTTTTCTCAAATTTTTGGATTTTCAGAGAATTTTAAAGAAAATCAATGTGTATTAAACGTGATTTTCGCGAAAAATTGCGGATGTTCTGCCCAAACGCAACGTTTATCGATTTTTGCGGAATCTAAAATTGAGTTTTGCAGAATTGATTGAATTGAGTGTCTGCGGCAGAGAAAAAGTGACAAATTCTCGATTATAAAAATCTTATTTCGTGTACCTGGGCAGGTGTGGCGATTAAGCCGTCTAATCTCGACGCCACTACCGTTCGTCATCCAGCTTTAATCCGATGGGCCACAAATTTTGGCGAAAATTCGATGGAAAAAAATCGGTGGGAGTTGTTCAAAAAGTTCAATTTTGGCCAAATATGGGGGCGATTCTTTTAAAAAAAAAAAAAGAAGATAATTATCGAGAACGAGAGAAACCTATAATTTTTTGAATGTCAAAATCGCACAAAATTGAGCATAATTGAAAAAATGCCTATAATTTTTTGAATGTCAAAATCGCACAAAATTGAGCATAATTGAAAAAATGCCTATAATTTTTTGAATGTCAAAATCGCACAAAATTGAGCATAATTAATGGGTGAGAATGGCGAAAATTGTGTTATTTTTTGGCGAATAAAAATTAAAAAAAAATCGATGATTGTCGTCGGTTGCATGATAAACGGTCGAGTGTTTGCGGAGTTGTCGTCGAACGCATTTACGCGACAACGATTTTTTCTTGATGTTGCCGCCGCATTCAAAATTTTTTTTTGGTGATTTTTCGACAAAATTTCTGTTTTTTGAGCGTTTTTGCCCGAAAAAATCCGATTTTTCACATTTCACATTCATTTTGTGTGATTCGCTTTCACCCAAAAGTGGTATTTTAAGAATCTAAACGCCAAAAAAATGCAATTTTTTGAATTCTCACATTTTTGCCCTAAAATGAATGATTTTTAGGGGGGGGGGAACATTAAGGAAAATTTCGATTTAAAAAAATTTTGCAGAGATTAAAAAAATGAAATTTTATATAGAATAAAATTCCCTCCCCCCCCCAAAAAAATCGCAATGGCAATTTTTTTGAAATCGAAACCCCAATTTTATCTCAAATATCTTCTCACCTTGATTTTTTGCGCAAATTTCCCACCCATTGTCTTCCTAAATGTGCTATCAAGAGGGGGGTCCGAACAAAGACGGTGCCCATAGGAATGAGTCTCACAAAAAATGGAAAATTTCGAATTTTTGCTCAAAAATCACATATCAATGAAAATTTAAATTTCGCGCCATTTATTTCGGGCGGCAAATTTGAATATCTTTTTTCTCGTCTTACTTCTCTCTCAACTCGGCCCATTTCCGGTGGCATTTTCGTCCGGAAATATCAGTTTTCGACCACAAATTTTCTTTTTTTGCCTTCAAGCTTCATAAGACGCAAAAGCTCGCCTCGAATTTGGTTGATTTCTTGAAAATTTTTGGAATATTTGCAGAATTTTTGCGAATTCTCCACCAAATCCGACGAGTTTTGCAATTTTCTTGAAAAATTTGTGTCGCAGTATTTTTTTTCTCTTTAGAAATTCTATATAATACACCATTTTTCCATTCAATTATCGAGAAATGCTGCATTTTTGCAATTTTTTTTTTCTCGTTTCTTGTCAAAGTTTCGCCAATAATTCGATTTTTCTTGAAAATTTTTTTTTCTTCGTGAGAACCCCCGGAAAAGTTTCCAGATTTTCGTGTGAAATGCTCCTCGATTTTATCGACAAAATTCGAAAAATTTCCGGGATTGACGTAAAATGTTGAATTTTTTGTTTCGATATTCCAAAAAATTGCTCGAAAATGGAAAATTGTGAAATTTTTGGATCAAAAATTGCAAATTTTCCATTTTTGGCATCATTTGATCGAATTTTTATTAAAAATTCTAACATTTTCGCGTTTTTTTTTTTCATGAAAATTTTCATATTTCTTTTTTTTTTGTGTTTTTTTTGGAATTTTCCATAAAAATGGATTTTTGACACAATTTGGATCAAAAAACAAAAAAAATATTCATGATTTGCTCCCATTTGAAACCAATTTTGCCGCAAAATTCAAAGATTTTCAGTTTATTTGCTGAAAATTTTCAATTTTCACGTTTTTCTGGCAATTATTGGAAATTTCTATTGAAAAATGGATTTCGGTCAAAGTTTAAAAAAAAAATTATTTCTGACTAAATTTTTATATTGGATAAGTTTTTTCAAAAAAAAAATAAAAAAACTGAAGTCTGACACAAATTTTGGCTCCAAAATTCCGAAATTTGTATTTTTTTTCCTAAAATATTTCAAATTTCTTTTTTTTGTCTCCAAAATGTTTAAAAATTACAATCTGGATCGATTTTTTTTTAATTTCAACATTTTTTTTTGTATTTTATATTATATAAAACTAAAAAAAACAATGTTGGTCAATTTTAGTTCTTAAAAGGAAATTGAAAATTTTGGGACAAAAATTCATTTTTTTTCCTAAAAAATTCCAAATTTCCTTCTTTTTCGCCAAAATTCTTTAAAAAAAAATGGAATTTTGACAAAATTTTGGCTCAAAAATTCGCATTTTCAATTTTTTCCTAAAAAGTTATTTCTATTTCTATTTTTTGGTCGCCAAAAATCTTGAAAAAAACCACTTTAATCGAATTTAAAAAATTTCAACATTTTTTTCCTATTCAATATTATTAAAAAAAAAACCAAAGTTGGTCAATTTTATTTCTTAAAAGAAAATTTTGGGACAAAAATGCAAAAATTTTGTTCATTTTTTCCAAATTTCCATTTTTTGTCGCCAATTTTCTTGAAAAAATGGAATTCTGACAAAATTTTGTCGGCAAAAAAATTCGAAGAAATCTCGTCGTCGTTTTTTTTCGTCGCCACAAATATGGCCAAATCCGATTTGTATCCACTTTATCTCTCCACTTCTTCGTTTCGTCGTCTTCTGCCCCCAAATCTGATGTCATTTTTGAAAATTTGGCTGAAAATTCTCGAAAAAAAATGATTTTTTTATTTTTTTCGACGAAAAATTCCAAAAACCACACCGATTATTTGCATACTTCGCTTTTTCTTTGCCATCTTCTCACGTGCGCCTTTAATCGTCCGATTACTGTAGCGTTTTGTTTTACTCGCCAAAATTTTCAGATTTTTCCGAAAAAAAAAATGCAAAATTGGCGAATTTCGTCGTTTTCTCTTTTTTGTTAAAAAAACAAGTTGAAAAATGATGAATTTCCGACTCAAATTTTCCGGATTTTTCAAAAAATTTCCCAATTCCTAGAAAAAATATCAGAATTTCATTTGTTTATTTTAAAAATGTTGGCAATTTTGCAATTTTTTTGATATTTTCAGCTTCAAAATAGTCCAAATTTTGTCATTTTTAATTGGAAAAAGTAAAAAAAAATGAAAAATTTGATATTTTTGGTCTCAACGCGAAAATTCATTAATTTAGGATAATTTTTTCTGTGAAATTTGAATCCCACCGATTTTGCCATTTTTTTGTTCTTCTGAGACGAACGAAAAAAAAATCACTCAGCTTCGAGCAATTTGGGGCAGCAAACGCGCTCCATCGCCAACAATCTGTTTTTGGTTGAAAAATGCTTGATGCGAGTGGTTTTTTTCCCCCGACAAATCCTCTTTTGCCGCGCTTTCCCGTACTTTTTTTGTTGTTCGGCCGTCGAAATTTGCGAGTTTCAGTATTTTCGAATGAATACGCCTGAAACGGGCGCACTACGCCGAAAAACGTCGCTGAACATACGCGACACGCGAATCGCCGGATTATACGATTTGGGCAAAACGATCGGACAAGGCCATTTTGCCGTCGTCAAATTGGCGAAGCATGTGTTCACCGGCGAAAAGGTACGCGATTTTAAAAAAAAATTCGACGATTTTTGAATTTAAAATTGAATTTGAACTTTTTTGTGGAAATTTTCGCTCAAAAAATTGATTTCGATTATAGATTTTTTGTCCCGAAAAAGATTTCCTCGAGATTTGTCGATTTCTCGCAGTTTTTCTCAAAAATCCCCAAAAATCAATAATTTTGCCAATTGAAATATGAGTTTTTAAGCTTCATTTTTTGGTTAAAAATAGCAAAAATCAGAAAATGAAGAAATTCAGCACAAAATTGTTAATTTTCCATTGTAAATTCACATTTTTTTTGACAAACTTCCGACATTGAAGCGATTTGATCAGGGTTTATTAAAAAAAAACATTTGAGTATTGAGATTTGAGCTTGAAAGATAAGATTTCTAAAAATTTCCTCGATTTTATTGACAATTCGGAGAAAGCTTACAAAAATGTATCAAATCGTTCGTTTTTTCTCTTAAACTTTCCGTTTCGTGTTAAAATTGAATTCGAGAAGTCTCAAGAGAGACCTTTTGTTGGTGTTGAAAAACAATTAGTCACGAACGTCGTTTTAATGCGTCATTTTGATTTGGAATTAAAAAAAATGAAATTACAACAAATTTAAATAAAATATCATGCTTTTTTGATGGTTTCAATGAAAACTCAATAATTTTTGGATAAAATTTTCCAAAAAATTAAATTTCAACGTAAAAATTGTATTACCATCGAAGATTTTGGCAAATTTGAACTCGAAAGTGAACTTTTCCAAAAATTTGGCGTTTTGCGAATTGAAATAGCCGAAAATCGATTGTTTTATTGATAAAATTGTGGATTTTTTCAACATTTTTCACAATTCTAATGGAAAATTGAAAAAATAAAGATTTTTAAAGATTTCATGTTTTAACGAAAGATTTTTGCGATAAAATTGAATTTCAATTCGAAACTTCAATAAATTCTCACGAGAATTGATTTTCAGCCAAAAAGGTCGTTTTATTTTAAATTGAACCCACATTTTCGATGGGTTTTTGAAGAAATTTCAAAAAAAGCGAGTTTTTTGAAAATTGCAAGCTAAAAATTTACAGGTTGCCGTCAAAATCATCGACAAGACGAAAATCGATGAAGCGTCGACGTCGCATATCATGAAGGAAGTGAGATGTATGAAATTGGTGCAACACGCCAACATTGTGCGATTATACGAGGTAAAATTTGAAATTGCGCCAAAAACGCACAAAAAACGTGCAAAAATTGCTCGACAATTTGATTATGCGGCCGAATTTTGCAGGTTTTGGACACTCAGACGAAAATTTTTCTGATTCTCGAACTCGGCGACTACGACCTTCACGATTTCATCATCAAGCACGAGAAGGGCGTGTCGGAATCGTTGGCGCAACAATATTTTTGCCAAATAATGACCGCCATCGATTATTGCCATCAATTGCACGTCGTTCATCGCGATTTGAAGGTTGAAAACGCCTTTCTTCTTTTTTTTTCTCACCAATTTTTTTCCATTCAGCCCGAAAACGTTGTGTTCTTCGAGAAATTGGGAATGGTGAAGCTCACCGATTTCGGATTTTCGAATTGCTATGAGCCCGGCGAGCAGTTGAGCACCTCGTGCGGCTCATTGGCGTATTCGGCGCCCGAGATTTTGCTTGGCGACTCGTACGACGCGCCCGCTGTTGGTGAGATGACGATTTTGATTGTTGTGGAAAAATTTGAAATTCACAATTTTTGCATTTTTTTTTCGAGGAAAGATGAAAATTCGCGTCAATTTGGAATTTTTCTCATAACGAAAAATTGGTGATTTTTGCCTGCTTCGAAAAATCTGAAAATTTCTAGAAAAAAAAAACAAACTCAATTTCTACTTGAATAATCGTAAAATGGATTTCTAGATGTGTGGTCGCTCGGCGTCATCCTTTATATGCTCGTGTGCGGTCGCCTACCGTTCCAGGAGGCCAACGATTCGGAGACGCTCACCAAAATTCTCGATTGTAAATATTCGATACCGGATTCGCTATCGGCCGATTGTAAAAAGTGAGCATAAAAAAAAAGAAAAATGCGATTTTTGAACACACATTTTCAGCTTAATCCAATCAATGTTGGTGCGCGAGCCGAAAAATCGAGCGCATCTCGACGCGATTTGCTCGCATCCGTGGGTGTTGGCCGGCGATCGTGGATTATCGACGGTTTGTTGTTGGAATGTTTGCGATTTCGAATTTTGTTTTTTTTTTCCTTCAAGGCGATCCCACTAATTGTTCGCCATCATTTGCCGCAATCGGCGCATTCGACGATTGTCGAACAAATGGTCGCCGGCGGAATTGCCACGGAGGAGATGATTTTGACGTGAGTTGATCAATTCTTTGTTTTTCTCACACCAACGGAGGTCTTTTTGTTGTCCCCCTCTTCAAATTTTTTCGATTCGAAATTTTCTAAAGAAACTGTATGCGAAAAATAATAATTTTTAAGACGGACAGCAAAAAAAACTTGCCTTGTGAGCCGAAAATTCGATATTTTTTTTTGCATTTCGCTGAAAGAATTAAAAAATCGCGAAATCTCGTTTTTGAACGATGCTTTTACATATATAAAAATCGTATTTCGAGAATTTTCGCTTTTTTTTGAGATTTCTTTAAAAACCCATCGAAAATGTGGGTTCAATGTTGAAAAATCGACTTTTTGGTTGAGAATTTAATGAAATTTCGAGTTGAAATTCAATTTTATCGCAAAAATCTTTCGTTAAAACATGAAATCTTTGAAAATCTTTATTTTCTTCAATTTTCCACTAGAATTGTGAAAAATGTTGAGAAAATCCACAATTTTATCAATAAAACAATCGATTTTCGGTCATTTCAATTCGCAAAATGCAGAATTTTTGGAAAAGTTAACTTTCGAGTTCAAATTTGCCAAAATCTTCGATGATAATACAATTTTTACGTTGAAATTTAATTTTTTGGAAAATTTATTCCAAAAATTATTGAGTTTTCATTGAAATTATCGAAAAAACATGACATTTCATTTCAATTTGTTGTAATTTCATTTTTTTTTGAAATTCCAAATCAAAATGACGCATTAAAAATCGCCAATCTTTTTTTAGTGCAAATTTTTCATCGCTTTCTTATTTTTGCTGAAAAATTGAACAAATTGTGCCATATGAAGGCAATTTTTTTAGAAGCTTTGAAAAGATCCCAATCAAAATTTTTGAGAACGAAAATTTTTGGAACAAAATCGTCCAACGAAAAAATCCGAATAAAAAATGAATAATTTATTGTCTTTAAATTGTTTTTTCGTGAAAAAAAATATTTTTTTACCTAGAAAGAGGCTAACCTATTAAAAATTTGAATTTCTCTACTAAAATGGAACCGTTTTCCACAAAAATCGGAAAAAGCTAGAAAGCCATGGAAAAATTTGCGCCAAAAAAATTTTTTAATGCCAAAATTGGACTATTCCATAATTTTTGGAGTCGGAATTTTACAAGAAAGCTAAATTCGATATTTTTTGTGCAAAAATGCCAACAATTTTCATTTTTTAGGGTTTTTGCTTAAAAAAAACGGTCGCCATCTTTCAGCTCGCTGGAGAACGACGAGTACAATTCGGTGACGGCGACTTACTATCTGCTCGCCGAGCGCGTTCTCGCCTCGTATCGCGAAGAGCAGGCAAAAGAGCTTCTCGCGAAACACGCGAGTCTCGACGAGTCGTCGGATGTCGAGACGTCGACGACGACGGTGGCGAGAAGCGGCGGCAACGGAAGCAGCGCGAATCCGCGTTGCCGATCGCGCTCCAACTCGTGGCGAGCACGACCATGCTCGATACTCAAAGAGGAGAGCGAGGAGGAGTTGTCGAGCTATTTGCGTTCGGCGAGCCGTCAGAGCAGCAGGTATTTTGCGAGTTTCGCGTCGAGACCTCGACAATCATCTTCACTTTATGTGTGTGTGTTTCTTGTCTTTTTTTTTTTGTGCTGCATGATGCACCCCGATTTTTCTGCGCAGATTCTACCACGAGTTTGTGATCGCCTCGCCGCGGCGGTTAAGTCGACAAAATTCGGAGGAGCACGACGAGACGCGACCGATCACCTTCTTCATACCGACGTCGTGTGCGACGTCATCGGCGGCGGCGACGGCCGTTGGTGTCGACGAAACGCTGAGCCCGATTGATGAGCTTGACGCGGAGCCGACGACGGCGGCGGCGAGACGACGCGGCGATGAGGCGACGATGAATCGGAAGGCGAGCGATAGTTGTTTGCATGCCGCACACCAACTTGCACGCTCATCGTCTGTCAAACGGTTGTTGAGAAGGTGCATTTATTTTTTTTTGTCATTTTACCCAATGTTTTTTTTACCCACTTTGAAGCTTGAGAAAATCTCAGACAAACGATCTAAAATGAATTTTTTTTTACAGTAATATGCAGATTTGGCAAAAAAACTTCTAAAAACACTCCAAAAACCTCGGCCACGGCCACGATTTTCGAGGCCTATAGTAGCAAAATTGTTTGAAATAATTAAATTGCTAATAGACGGTAATAGAAGAGCTTGAATTGAAACAAATTGCTTTTAAAGGCGCATGCGATAAAATTTCAGAAATCTCGAGCATAGAGTACTGTAGGTTTAGAAAAATTTGGCCGTGGCCGAGGTTTTTTTTTCAAATTGGGCGGTTTTTAAGAGCCTTTTAAGAAGTTTTTTTTTGGTATATTTTCGATCGTTTGCTTGAGATGCCAAATTTTTTGCCGAGATGCTTGAATTTTTTGCCAATTTTGAAAACTAAAAGCTTGATTAAAATTTTGAAGCATTTCTCTCGATTGGATTCTCGTTTCAAGATTCAAAAACGAATGATTTTCATTACTATTCCGAAATCAATCAACAAATTCATCGCATTCTCAAGCATTCGCCAATTTCGCGAAAAATCGCGTTGCGAAACTCGTGGCTCGCCATCTCCTCGATAATCGCGTCGAGTTGCTCGTCGTCAATCGAATTGGGACCATCGAAGAATTGGCGAAGTTTTGAGCGCATCGTTTCGAGACAATTTTGATCGATTTCGGGATTTCTGGAATTTTTGGATGATCCCAAAAAAAAAGAATTTGAAAAACGAAAAAAAAAAACTATTTTGTTTTGTTTGCTCACTTGTACAAATTGAGTCCGTTTCGGAGAATGACGCGACGCGACGGCGACGTTGGAAAATTTGTCAAATTTTTGAAGATTTTCCCCAAATTCAGGCGGACATCGACGATTTCGATCGGAAAATTGTCGTCGTTGCGCTTGAGAATTCTTGAACGATGAAAAATGAAAAATGAGAAAATGGAAACCAAAAATCACACCTTTCGCACAATTCCTTGATATGAGCCCGAATGTGGATGACGGTCCGACGCGAGACGCCCGTCGCTTGCTCCATTGATTTTGTCGTTTCCCTATAATCGCGCATCTGCGGACAATTTTGCGGGTTTCGCGCATAACGAATTGAATTGTCAAATTCAGTTTTGTTTGTTTGTTTTTTGACGCGAAATTAACAAACTCTTGCATGCGCCTTTGATATGCACTGTAGTTTGACATGTGTTTGATACGCAGCCAAATTGCGAATAATTGTGTGTCCATCGGAAATCATTTGGTCTTGATGAGCTGCGGACAATTTCGCGGTTTTCGCGCATGACAATTTTAAGAACTAAATTATTTGCTGCGGACAATTTCGCGGGTTTCGCGCATGAAAATTTTAAGAGCTAAACTATTTGCTGCGGACAATTTTGCGGGTTGTGTTCGCTTACCCATTCAAATAGAGCACAATGAGTTTCATCATCGTTTTGAGCGAGATTTTCGAGTTCTCGAACCAACTCCTAATTCGGACACTTCGCGTCGAGCAGTCTCGATTTTTCGTTTCGCGACAACGCCACTATTTGAGAGAGAGATGGGAACATTGGCATTCAATTTTTGTCGTCGGCTCACCTCGAGCGTGTTGACGCGATTCCGCAACATCATCGTTCGGCCGCATTTGTCGCACATCTGACTCGACGCCAACAATCCGTCGTCCATTAGTTGGCGAGCCAAACACGCGTCGTTTTCGAATTTGTCGAGATCGCTCGCCGAACGCACATCGAATATGCTGCATGAGATCGCGCTTGATGCAAGGGTTACGCTGAGGGGGGTGGGATCGGCCTACGACGGTAGACGACTCACCTATTCGTGTCGGCCATGAGATGGCGAAATAAGCACCCCATCGGCGATTGATCATAATTTGAATCCAATAAGCAAAACAAAACAATTGAGCAAGGCTGGTTGGGTCACGTGAAAATTGCGATGATTCGACGATTGATTTGAAAGTTTCAAAAATTGTAGACCTCTCCGATTTGTGTGGTCCGTTTGTTGTCAATTCAGTGTGTCTACGCTTCTCTCGTCAACGAGCCTCATCGTGAACGATTTTCAGAAACTCGTCGCCGTCGGTGTCGATGTTCTCCGGCGTTCAACGCGATCGTGTGAGTCCGCAAGCGGTGCAGGATCTGCTCGAGCTCAATCGCCTCGGCGGCTATCGTGGACGAGCGGCGAGTCCGGAGAGCGTCCGCAGCAGTCGATCGCCGTCGCCGCCGGCGTCGAGTAGCGGTCGAACGTCGCCCGGTAGGATTTTTTTCTTTTTAGTTCTTTTTTTTTGGCTACGAATTGCGGACGTTGCGCCATATTTGACGACCACAAGAGCCTGTGCAATTTTGTTTCGCCGAAACTCAAATTGTTCAGTTTCAGCAATGTCGACGATCTCATCGATGTCGCGTCTGAAGGTGTCGTCGTCGGGCATCGCCAGCGGCATGCGCAAATTGTCGTCGTCGCCGCACTTGTTGGGAATTTGCGAGGAGACCGAAGACGGTCACGAAATGGCCGACACGGAAGAGAGCGTCCAACTGCGCACGTTCGATGAGCGGATTGGACGAACGAATCGGTTGGTTTTTGTGTTTTGTGCTTTTCGCGCGCTCAAATGCGAAATTGATCGAATCATGTGTAGATCGGCTTCCACCGGTGTCGTTCATCCTCATCATTCTATACAGGCAACGAAAAGCTCGGCGGCTTCACTTCTTACCACACCGTTTACGGTCAAATCGCACACATTGCCGACGTCGTCGCAATCGACGCCGAACACGTACAGGTGGGGGCCAATCATTTTTTTTTCTCATTCATGAATAATCGAAAAAAAAATCCTTGCAGCTCTGTTCGAATGATCCGGCCGAGACAGGCGATCGTCTCGCCGGACGTTTGCCGTCGTTACGATCAGCATTCAAGATTTCTGACGAGGTCCAAAAGGAGCACGAGGTGTGGAGAATGTTGTCGAGAATTTCAACGAAAAACCTAATTTTTTTTTGAGGAAAGAAAAATCGATAATTTTTTCTTGTTTTTCTAGTTGCTCGTCGTCGGAAGCGTCTGATGACGACGATGGACGTCGTCTGACGATGATGTCGTCGAAGTGCGCGTCGAAATTCGACGAGCGTCGTCGAAACGATGACGACGATGATGGTGACGGCGGAAAAACGACGACAAGTCGGACGACGACGACGGCGGCGACAACGTCGAAATCGGCGATGGGCGGCGATTCGGCGAAGACATCCAGCTCGCAAAGTTCGCAAATTGGCGGCAGCGGTGATAAGAGGTTGGCGAATTCTATAGAAGACGTCAATCATTATTTTTTTGATACACAATTTTCAAATTTTGGGCGGTTTTTGATGTTTTTAACAAAAATTTGAGGCGTATTTTTGGGAAACCCGCGACGATGTCCGCAGATTGGAATGAACAGAATGATAATTCATTATTTAGGGGCTCTATTAATGATTCGATGATGTCGCCGTCGGCAGCGGCGGCGCTTCGACCGATTCCCGAAATGACACTACTGGATCAGTCGACGGATCGGAAGGATCGGATATTCGCGACTTGTCCGACGACGCAATCGCTAGTGCGAAAATGGGCGACGAACGATGAGGATTTCGGGAGGAAGGCTGAAAAAGCGCACGCCGAAATCGGGCGATGGTTCGGAACACCGCCGAGGGAGATCCAGTCAGTTGGATTTTGGATTGATTTTATTTTTATTTGATTTTTCTTTTCGAGAGGAATAAGAAATTTTGATAGGAAAATGTTGGCCGAAAATTCGAGAAAATTTTGAGATTTTGAGTAATGTTTGTGAAAAATACGCTGAAATTGGAATTTCGAGCCAAACCCGGAATCGATTGATTTTCAGAAGTCCATCGAGCAGCGAGAACGATGAGAAACCATGGCTTCGATCACTTCGACGAGCACTATCGAGTCAAGAATTATTCAAGGATCATGCGTTGAATGAAAGATGCTCCATTGATTCGGGATGTTCCAGCGATGAGGATAATGTGAGACAAAATTTGCGCAAAAAAAAATTGAAAATCATTAAATATTGATTTTTGGAGCCAAAATTTTCAAAAAACGGGGAGATTTTTTAAGATTTGGTTGAAAATTTTGAATTTCAAGCGATTTTATTTAATTAATTTTTTACGCCCATTTTTGACTTTATAAAATTGAAGGGAACTTCTAGAATTGTTGAAAAATTGCAAAAAAAGTTGATTTTCAGAAATTGTGAAAAAAATTATTTGAAAAATTAATCTTTTTGGCGATTTCAATCAAACGATTTGAAGATTTTTGGAGATTTTTAAATTTTTGGCGATTTCAATCAAAAAATTTGAAGATTTTCAAAAAGATTTGAAGATTTTTTTTAATGAAAGAAATGTTTGTTTTCAGAAGTCGCCGATCATTCAGAATATGTACAATGATTCGAAATTCTCGTATTTGAGCACATTGCCAATGGAAAAAGTCGACAAATGGCTTCGATGCGCCGAATTTGTGTTTTAATCTTTTTTTTCCTTCCCGTATTTTTTCTGTTGTTAGTTTTAGGCGAAATTTTGAGGAAAAATCCTCTATTTTTTCTCGAAAATTGATTTTTTCGGGAATTTTAAAAAGATTTTTTGCACAAAAATCGGAAATTTTGCTTTCTTGGAAAAAATTGTGAATTTTGATTTTTTTTTTGGGAAAATCACGAATTTTTCAAAAAATATTGAATTTTAGAGCAAAAATCTCGATTTTATAATTTTTCTTATAAAAAATTGGATTTTTTTTTCAGGAGAATGCCGAATTTTTCTTTTTCGAGAAAAAATATGAATTTTTGAGCAAAAATCGCGATTTTATAGTTTTTTCTTCCAAAAACGGATTTTTTCGAGAAAAATTTGAATTTTAGAGCAAAAATCACGATTTTAAAATTTTTCTTCGAAAAAAATTGGAATTTCTGGAGAATTTCGGAATTTTTCTTGCTTTTTTGAGGAAAAATTTCGCATTTTTGAGAAAAAATAATGGATTTGCATTTTTTTTTCCCCAATTTTTCGCCGCCGCCGCCGCGCCGCCGGTGATAGATTTTTTGAGGCATTTTCTTGATGCGTAATTTAGGAATTATTTTGAGTATTATTTATTTTTTTCCTGATGAACTCATTTCGATTTCCTTTCCAATCAAAACCCCCCAAAATTTCTTTCCTTCTTGTATCATTTTTAATTTTTTTTTTTAAATTTCGAATCGATTTTTTCGTCTTCAGAGCTTCATTTTTTTATTTCACGAGATAGAAGAGAATCCATAAAAAATTGTAGATTTTTTTTGTCGAATTTTTGCTCTCGAAAAATTTGTGTCGAATTGCCCCGAAATTGTATTTTGTTGCGGAAATTTTCCGAGTTTTTCAACCGGTTTTCCTTTTTCGGATTTTAAGATGCGCATCTTGAAAATTGGCGTTTCGCCGAATTTGAGAAAATTCTCGACAGCGCTGGAATGGAATTCAAAGGTTGGCCGAAATTTTCTCGTTTTTTTTTCAAAAAAAATTTTTTTTTGCGATTTTTTGTTGAAAAATTGAAATTTTATAATAGTTTCTGCAATAAATTAAAGTTTTTAAACGATTTTCAGAATTTTCCGAGGTTTTTCATAATTTTTGTTTGAAAATTTTTGATTTTTAGCGGAAACTTAAAGGAATTGATGATTTTTTTTTCTGGAAACTTGGCAAAAAATCCGAATTTTCGAGTTTCAACTTCAAAATGTTGAAATTGCGTTGCAGGATATCCGAATAAGCGACGAAACGAAAAAATTGGAGGAATTTTGGGCGGAAAAATTGCAAAACGAGTTTGCGAATCGAAAAATCGACGAGAACGCGCCGAAAAAGTACATTCTGTCGATGTTTCCGTATCCGAGCGGTCGATTGCACATTGGCCATATGAGGGTCTACACAATATCGGATGCGACTGCCCGATATTATCGATTGAATGGATACAATGTGCGTTTTTGTTTCAATCGAAAGAAATTCGAGAAGAAAATGTGCAAAATTTGAGCTCAAAATCGAAATTTTCAGAAAATTTGAGCTCAACATCGAAATTTTTATCAAATTTTTCGAAATTTTCAGAAAATTTGAGCTCAAAATTGAAATTTGTATCAAATTTTTCGAAATATTCTGAAAATTTGAGCTCAAAATCGAAATTTTTATCCAATTTTGTAAACATTAAAAAAAAATTCGAAATTTTTATCAAACTTTTCGAAATATTCCGAAAATTCGCGCCTAAAATTGTAATTTTTATCCAATTTTGTGAACATTTAAAGCAATTCGAAATTTATATCATTTTTTTGTGAAATTTTCAGAAAATTTGAGCTCAAAATCGCAATTTTTGTGAAAATTCAAAAAATTCGCTCCTAACATTGCAATTTCTATCATTTTCCCGCCTAGGATCATTTTTTGGTGTTAAAAAAAACGTTTTCAAATTAATCGCTATAAGACCCTCCGATGTCCCTTTAATCGAAGCTCCTCACCTTTGCAATGGCGCGTTATTTATAAGGTAATGAGGTGGAAAAAAAGAAACGGAAACAATTTTGCCTGCATTTGGCGCTTTAAAGGCGCATACAGTTTGCCTGTCATTTTTTCCAATAAGCGCAATCGTTGCGGACTTGTGCATTTCATTTGACGACAATTCACACACAGACTCGTTTTTTTTGGCGATTTCTTCCTTTGGTTTTGTGATTGCCGTAATTATCGCGACTAATTGAATCCCAAGCCAAATATGTTCGTCGCGATCGATTCCGACGAATCAAATTTTATCAAACTTTATAAGTTGAACGAAACAAAAAACAACAAATGATAAAACAAAATCACCATAATCATCATATCTACATAGTCGTTGACGAACGAATTTCGGTGGGTGCGATTACTGTATTATTCGAATTGCCGCCGACGGGTCTCGCATGGAAAATTTCTCACAAGGAGCCATCTTAATATGAAAGAGTCTAGTTTTTATAAAAAAAAAAAGGGTGTGCAATTCAAATTGAAGCCAAAAAAAAACTATTTGAAATGTGGAATTTCGGCACATTTTCGATATTCACTTCCCAATTCGGACATCATCGTTTTCGCCGTCGACACGAATCGGATTGCATTTGAATAGACGAATCAGCTTCCCATTTCGCCTCAATTTTGGCACATATTGAACGGGAAACAATAGCGGCTCATAATCGTCGCCGCTCTCGACTCTGATCACTTCCAGTTCGACACCTTTCTTAAAATTTTCATTCGATTGAATTCAATTTTCAAAAAAAAAAAATTAAAGCCATTGATTTGATGGCCTGAAATTGATGATTTTCGTATTGTTGGCGTTAAATGACTCAAATTGGCGAAATTGGGGTAGATTTAAACTGATCGTTGACCGTAATATTAAATGCGCGTAGGCTATAATGCAATGTACGCAGTTTCGCGTACGTCTCACTGCCAATTATTTTTGAAATTTCGTTTGACAAAGCCGACAATACCAAAAAACAATTGCAAAATTCAAAACGAAATTTCTCAAAACTCACTGGTCCTTTGATAGTCGATCCGATTTGAAGCTCTTTTTTCGGGATGTCCTCTCTCGGCAAACGCCATGTTCCTAAACGCATTTACAAAATTCACAGTCATCCACATTTTCTCGACGAATTCAAACGTTCAAATTCAAAAAAAAAATTTAAAAGGGCGGGACCTTCAAATTCGCGAAATTTGTGTAGATTTAAATTTTTTGCGCGTACGTTTAAATGCAATGTACGCAGTCTCGACACGCATTGGCACATTGCCAATAATTTTTTTTAAATTTGGTCAAGTCATTTGACTCCGACAATAAGTAGTTGAAGAAAAATGCGCGAGACCCTTCCAATCAATAGCGGGTATGCGCCTTCAAACAATTAATTCAATTTTAGCGATCTATAAATTTGATGTGTTTTCAAATCGTCTTCCTTCTCGCCAAAAATTCAATGTCGTCAGACGCGTTGCGGTTCGCGTGCGGCTCTCGCTCATCTTTTCGAAATTCTTATTTTTTTAAATTAACAGCAACACGTCTGAATTAGAAGGTCTCGCGAGCGAAAAAAAAAATTCGGCTAGTCGCATTTTTGTTTTGGATACGGTAATTCTCGCAGAAATTCCGATTCCGGTAGACTTCGCTTTAAAAGGAAAATGCCAATTGTCCGAGAATTCCTCAGAAATTCGTTTCGCAACACACCGGAAACGGAATTCCTCGCACCAACCTCCGATGACGGCTTCACCGTCGGCCGTATAGCAGACTGCGCACGAAATTTCGAGCGGCAAAAAATTGCGCAAATCGATCAACGCGTTGTCGTAAATAATGCAACGATCGTTGGCCCAATTCGTCGTGTGATTCTTTTTCCGCTGAATCGTCGTGTAGAGCATCGGCTCGGTCGATTCGAGCATCGCGTAACGCGACTCGAAACGCTCGCGCATTTTCGAGCCCTGCGCGATCACGTGATCGCTGGCGATTTCGCGAATGTTGCCGAAATCGTCGTCGACGTCGACGTCGACGCGATCCTCCGATGATTTGTGGCGCCTCGACGCGCCGCGTCGGTTTCGCGAACGCTTCGTCGCTTTTCGGTCGGATTTCGTCGAAGCGTCGGCCATCACGACGACGTCATCGCTCGCTTCCGAATTGAGATATTGCGGAATCGAATCGTTGGGCGGTATCAGCTCGCGGTCTTCAACGCCGCTTTGAGAGCGCCCTTCGTCGCCTTCAATCGCATGTCCGTCGGTGTTGCGTCGATGCCACGAATGTCGTCGATGTCGGGCCCATTTCATCGGCAAACCCGCGTTCGCCATCTCCCCGCTGCTCGTCGACGCCACATTTTTGTCTCGATCGCCATCGCCATCGCCATCGTCGCCGTCACTCATCGTCGCATCGTCACGTCGCTCGTGCCTTCGTTGTCGTTGATCTTGCCGCTCGAAGAATTCGCGAATAACCTCGGTTTCCTAGAAATAGATTGGTGAATTTTTATTTATTCGAGCAAATTGCGCGAAATTTTTTTTCACACTTACTCGAGGCTCATCTTGTTGGTTGTTTTCCAGTGCTGCAAAAAAAATTGGAATCATAAAAATCTGTTTTGAAGCCAATTAGGATTTTTTGAATCTAAAAAAATATGTTTTTAGCTCCATTCAAGATTTTTTTTTTGAAAAATCACAAAATTCTCGTAAAAACACAATTTTTATGATAAAAAATGTAGATTTTCATATTCTTCACAAAAATCTTAAGATTCTGCGAAGATTTTTTAAAAAATTTTTTTCGAAATCTTCATAATATCATAAAAAACCAAAAATGTAACAATTTGCGTCGAAAAAAAAAACATTTTTGTTGGAAACAATATCAAAATGCCGTCGATTACCAAGCATTCCTTGAAATGCGCGAATGCGATGCTCGACGAACGCCTTCAGCTCGGTTTTCAAGACGACCGGCGCCGCGTTGGTCGTCAAAAAATATCTGCTCTTCAATTTCCACAACTACAATTTTGACGGTCTTCACAATTAATCAATGATCTCGTGAGTACCGTTTCATCGAGCGGCTCGTTCTCGCTCCTCATCAAATTGCCTTCGTTCAAACGATAGATGAGCTCGCGGAGCAGTCCGGCGCTCGCGTTTCGCTTCTCCTCTTCGGAGAGAAGCCCGTCGATTGTTGGACATTCGAATCTCCAATGGTCCACCAACGAGCAATACGACTGAATTAGTGAGAATCAATTCAATCATGGTGCCCCGATTTTCTTCTAAATCGCCTCAACGAGACAAACACATTATATTATTGTGTGCGCAATGATATTCTCGATTATTTGAAGTTCAGTGGGGTTTTTTTTGCGAAATTTCAATTTTCGGTGATTTGAAAAATTGTGAGCACAAAATTTAATAGCGAAATTCAAAAATTGAGCGATTCCGATATGAAAAAAAAACTTTTCATTTTTTTTCAATATAAATTTTCCACTGAGAATCTAACAATTTTTCAAAGAATCACATTTTTTTCTCATATCAGAATTGTCCCGAAAAAATTGATTAAAGGCTCAGAACGCGAAAAAATATGCAGGGTCTTGTGGCGACTAATTCCAATAGCCGCCTTCTTTTTCTCACTCAAAGAAATTTTGTTTTTGAGTTTCTCTTTTTTTTCTTCGCGAAATTTTTGACGTTCAAAAATTTGTACAATTTTTTGTCAAATTCGCGCTGGTGGTCTTGGCGCGAAACTACAAGTGTAGATTTACGAACCAAGGATAGGTTAAAGGCGCACTAAGGCAATTATCTAGAAATTTTTTCGCACGCCAACAATAATATGATTAAAAATTTTTGCGTAAAATCGTTGCGAGATCAAAATCGCTAATTGAATAGTCGTCCACATCTAAAAAAAAAGTGGCTAAAATGATTTTTTTCTTCCAATTTTTTTTTCTCCAATGAAATCAAACGTTTCAATTTTGCGCCTCATCGTTTTTCAACGATTCTCGCGAGCCGAATTGACCTACCGATAATTGTTCGGCGCACAAAACGCATAAACCGAGCATCGCCTCATGCATGACTCGTTTGTGTTGCTTGAGACGACCGCGATTGGCGAAAACTCTTAAAGAAAAAAAAAATTGGAATCATTGAGACGAAAAAGAAAAAAAAAACACACACAAACACGAGAGGAATTTCGGTGAAAATTTGAATTAGCATGTTCAAATTAAAAAAAAAAAGATTCTCGTTTGTTTTGTTTTTTTTTGGGCACGAATTACGTTCGACAAATATTGCACGAGACATCGCCATAATGTGGATTCCATTTTCGGTACATTGGAAACGATTTGTTGATTTGCGGATAAGATCGCGACGTCATCGACATTGATGACAATCGTTTGTTGTACGGTGTGTTCTCATATGTCAAAAGGCGGCAAATTGGATTTGGATGCGTGTCGTCGGGTATTCGAACGTTCAGCCACTTGAATGTGTGTAGAAAAAAAAAACAATACAATAGATAGTTCGAAATCGGGACCACTTACATAGGCGTACATGGCGTAGAATGAGGGGCACATGTCGGCTAGCAAATTGACACGATTGAAATTGGCGTCGTAGCTTTTTCTCTGCAAACCATCGCGTTGAGACATTTAGTGGAATTTTTGGCAAAAAAAAGGAAAAATGATGATTTTTTTTTGGATTTCTCAATTTCACCTATCAAACAATCGAAAAATTAAATTTAAGATTGAAAAATGAAATGTTTGATTGGAATTTCTCCACAATTTTCAATTCCATTTAAAAAAAAATGATTATGTGTGCAAGTTTGCGTCGTTGTGCGGAATTTGCCTCTCTCTTTTTTAGAACAAAATGTTTGATGAATTTCAAGCAATATAGTTGGTGTGGGACCATTTAAATGAGAGCAGCGCGCGAAATTCAAAATTGGTTTTTTCCAATTACCTTCAATTCGAATTCGCCATTCATCGATATTTGCTCGCTCGCCTCGTAGAACGTGACATTCGTCGACGGCCACGGATAGACCGAGTGTTGATATCGCAAATATTTTATGTTGGGCGCGTTGCTCGACTTGACGTCGGTCCTCCAGAAGCGCGCCGTCACATTGATGTCGTGCCGACGCATTCGCTCGCACGTGCTCAACGGCACCGATTGTTGTAGAATCGAATAGACCAATCCGAGGAGCTCGTCGGACGTCAACGATCGAACGTCGTCGTGATTCGCCTTAATAGAAATGATGGATCGAGATTGAGAATCGAATCGTTGATACCTCCACCTCCTCGCAGGTTTCGTACCAATGTTTGTAAAGTTGTTCAACGGCCCTTAAAAAAAATGAATTGAACTCAAATTGGGTGTTTAAAGGCGCATTGCAAAATGGTGACCGAAAGACGGCAACTCACGAGAACGTCAGCGAGCACAAATTGCACATGAATCGCTGAAACGCGTCCTCGTCGATTGCGTAGTGGCCGCGATGCGCGTCGATGTGCGCCCGAATGAATTTGGCCGGCAACGACAAACCGCACAAATAGCATGTGGCGTAGAACGATAACTCCGAGTTTTCGCTCACATCAATTATATAATCTTTTGACGGCTGAAAACGCGCGTTGAAATTGATTGAGGGGGCTCTGGACGTACTCGAAATGAGACGGCGCCGACCTCGTAATAATCGACCTTGTCCTCGATGGTTTTGATCAACGCTGTTGCTTTCTTGTTGAGCTCTTCGGTGGAGACATGCTTAAGAGAGAATCAGAACAAATGATCTAGAAAGATTGGTGGTGGGTCACTCACGAGAAGCTCACCATTGCCGAATGTGCTCTGCATGCTGGCGCAGACTTTTCGCCAATGCGGATAGATGTTGTACTCGTGAATGAATTCTTCTTTGCACAGAAGGCAGCAGAAGCGGCCGTACGACTGAAATAAAAATTTTTTGTTAATCAAAAAATTGTGTTGGAAATTTTTTTTTCTTGAAGCGAACCAAATTTCCGAGAATCGAATTTTTGGAACATCTTACAATGTGTGTGTCGAGATGTCGCAAGAGTTTTCCGCGTTCGTCGAACGACCACTCGCAGCCGCTCACATCGCATTTGTACTTGCGATTCTTCTGATTCGCCGTCGGCTCTGAAATGTGTCGATCGATTACAAACGAAAACTCATCGAGCTCATCGCGCCTTTCGCGGTTCGCCGCTTATCCGGATAGAACACGTCTTTGGCGATGTGTTTGACGAGAAATCGCCGCTTTTGCGGCAATTCCGGATAGTCGTCGTCGTTGACGACCTCGAAATTTTGAATTTGCCGCATGTGATGCTGCATCTACGGCTGGAATATCGAAAAATCGTGTGACAAACCAGATGACAATCATTGATAACGCCGGCGGCGCGCAATTTCGATGCGAATCGATCGATAGAAAAAAAACAACGTAAATTTGGAGGCGAAAAAATTGAAACTTACTTGACCATCGTTCAGGGTATATTAAAAATTTATATTTTCTTTAGACGATAAAAACTTGGCCATCAAAATCAGCTCTTGACAAGGGGATTTCAATAAAAATCCCCTGGGGTAAATCAAAAAAATTTGAAAAAATATTGTGGCCGCTGTTTTCGCGGCCGTACGTTTCGCGGCCATATTGAATATAGTGAAATTGGAATTTGAAAAAATAATAATTTTAATCGAATTTGATGATTTGCGAGATTTAGTACACTTTTGCGACTTTATTATTCTAAAAATAATTTTCACTATTTTGTGGCAGGTAAAAATGAGCATTAAATGTATTTTTTTAACATTTTTTTGCATAGGGATTAGAAATTTTTAAGAATGTTTTTAATCGAATGTGAAATTAAAAAAAAACATTAAAAATAAATGCAATATTATTCCAAAAAACTGTGAGTGTTTTTTCAATTCAAATTTTTTTTAAATGGTCCATAATTGTTCAACGTGCTCGTTTTTTTCTTTTGGTAATTGGAGATGAGATGGAATTTTGAGAATGTGTGCAATTTTGCGTGTGAGCAATTGCGGATCCTTTTTGCTTTTAAAAAAAAATCGCCCAAATTTCTGTTGCAGGTGATCCATCCGATCGGTTGGGATTCGTTCGGATTGCCGGCCGAAAATGCGGCGAGAAATCAGGGTGTCGATCCGGGCGACTGGACGCGGCGGAATATCGAAGCGATGAGGGAGCAACTCAAAAAAACGAGAATCCTGTTCGATTGGAATCGCGAGATTTCGACGTGTGAACCCGAATTCTTCAAATGGACCCAATGGATTTTTTGTCGATTATTCGAGAAGGGCTTGGTGAAACGATGTACCGCCGAGGTGAGAATTGGGTTTGTTTTAGAAAAACTCGATACATTTGAGTTTTGTGATGGCTAAAATTGAATTTTTCTGATGAAATGAATGGTTTTTTTTGTTGCAGGTGAATTGGGACCCGGTAGATCAAACCGTTCTCGCCGCCGAACAAATCGACAGCGAGGGACGCAGTTGGCGAAGTGGGGCGAGAGCCGAGAAGAAGAAGCTGAGGCAGTGGATGGTGGAGACGCCGAAGTACGCCAAGGTGACGAGCGAGGGTGCGAATGAGAATGTTGGTTTTGGTTTTGTAGCGATTGCAGCAGGGTCTCGCGGCGATGTCGACGCAATGGGGCGAAGTTGCCGACATCCAATCGAATTGGATTGGCAAATGCGACGCGTTTCGATTCATCTTGCCGGTTCGGGTAGGTGTTTTGATTAATTCCCAGAATTGGTCGATCAAAAATGTCTCTCGATGGTCGTAGCCTTTAGGGAAATGAAAAAAATATCGAAATTGAGATCATTGCTGACTTGTGCACTTGATTTGACGACAATTCACATCTTTTTCGCTAATGTAGATTTTTCGTTCATTTTTTTCGATATTTTAATTTTAAATCTTATCCACACCCCTTTAAATCCCAATTAGTACGCTGGTGTAAAAATTGAAAAACTTTAGACCCACCCCTTTAAGGGGTCTCTCTTTAAGTAGTGCCAATTTTTCGTCTGACAGAAATGCGACGGCGATCGCTCGTTGATCGATGAGACGCTGGATTTGAGGATTCTCAACATTTTCGACATTGCCAATTCGAATTTCGTCGTTCTGCGCAAAAACCATCCGCTGGCCGACAAGAGCGCACGCGAGTTTCCGTGTAAGTTCCGCAACGTCCGCAATTTGTCGTCGATTATGATGTCGACGATATAGTTGCCATCACATTTGAATTTTGGCAAAACGCATTGAATTCGACACGAAAATGTCGTCGATTGTGGCGCATTTGATATAGTGTCCGAAATTTGTCGTCAATTGTTGCGCATTCGACATTGTCCGCAATTTGTCGTCAATTGTGGCGCGTTTGATATAGTCTGCAATATGTCGTCAATTGTTGCGCATTCGACATTGTCCGCAATTTGTCGTCAATTGTGGCGCGTTTGATATAGTCTGCAATATGTCGTCAATTGTTGCGCATTCGACATTGTCCGCAATTTGTCGTCAATTGTGGCGCATTTCATGACGTTGCCCTTGAATTGATGGCATTTTTGCGACGAAAAAAGCGAGAAAAAAAATGATAGGCGCAAATGTCGTCAATTGTAGCGCATTGTACGCAATTCCTTGATTGCAGACAAACTCGACTACGAGGTTTTGAACGGTGTGACGGGCCGCTATATGGATGTGATCGTCGTCGATGATTCGTACGATTCCGACGCGGTGTTCAATCTCGACGCGAGACTCGGCGACGCGCGATCGGATGCGCCTTTAATGTCGCAATTCGGCATCGAGGTCTCGAAGCGAAAACTCGATTTGAATCGAAACGACATCACCGAAATCGCGGCGGTACGCCAACGCCAACGCCAACGCCTACCGTAATCCCAAAGTTGTTGCAGTTCGGCGGCTACGGTGGCTACGAGACGTCGCGCCATCTGACCGATTGGGTGGTGAGCCGACAACGCGGCTGGGGCACGCCGATACCGATGGTACTGCAGATCGATGGTCCCGACGCGATTGCGGTGCGCGACGACGAGTTGCCGGTGAGAGTCAGACGAAAAAAAAACAAATGAAAAACGCCAATTGTGTGCAAACACACGGCGACGCGAAATTGCGTACTCGGACCCTTTGCAATTTTTTTCTAGGTGATGTCGACGATGCGAGGCAAAACCGTCGAATGCGCGGCACTCGGCGGAATCGGAATCATCGACAACGACACGCTCGACACGTTTTTCGACTCGTCCTGGTTGGTCTTTCTTTTTTTTTTGACGGCCGAATTTGTTGTAAAAATGGGTCTGAAATTTTGAGATTTCGATTCGAAATATCAAAATTTGGCAGAATTGAATTTTTTGTTTAAAAAAATGAGTGTGTGCGGTTTTTTCTGGCCTAAAATTGTTGAAAAACATTTTTGAAAATGAAATCAATGGGTTCGCATCGAGACCCATCGCTTGAAACTACTTTTTTTTTTGACGAAAAACGCAAAGAAACCATTTATTTATGCGATGGGTCTCGACGCGAACACACTTTCGTCATTTTTTTCTGGGAAAAAATGAGTAAAATGCTTTTTTTTTGTAATGTTTCCAGGTATTATTTGCGGTATTTGGACAAATTCAACGAGACATCGATAATTTCGCGAGAAAACGCCCGAAAAATGCCGGTCGACGTTTATGTTGGCGGAATTGAGCACGGTTGGTGATATGGTGGTGATATGGTGGCGATGGTGGTGGTCAGAGACGCACGGAATTCCGTCGTCCGCCATCTGTGAATTTCCGTATGAAATAGGAAAAGAAACGATTTTTGTGTGTTACGGTAGCGATGTCCGCAATGGACATTACGCAAAAATGAACAGCGATTCGATCGGGACCAACAGGGAACACATTTTGGTACAAATTGGCGAAATAAAAATCGACACCGCTAAATTGAGGGCGATGTCTAATTGGAGTGTCGTACTGCGCTTGTAACTCAAAACCAATCGGATTCGACAAAATTCGGCTTTGGAATTGATCCGATCCGATTGGAAATTCGACGGATATGATTGGAAAATTGTCGAATCCGATTAGTTTTTTGGGTATTTTCGGATCAGATTAGATTTTCTTCGAATCCGATTGGTAAATATTCGAATCCGTTTTGTTTTATTATTTCAATTCGAATTGGATCCGACAAATATCAAAAAAAAAAAACAAATCCGATCCGACAATTTTCCAATCTGATCCGTAGAATTTCCAATCGGATAAGGTTGATTCCGGAGTCGAATTTTGTCGAATCCGATTGGTTTTGAGTTACCAGAGAGATTGTTAAATTGTCGGATCCAAATTTAATCGAATCCGTTTTGTTTTAATCTTTCTTGATCCGACAAATATCCAATCACTTAGTTCTTAGTCACCTAGTCGTCGGTTCGTCCATGGCCTGTTGAGACGCTTTTCGGTCCTTGGCTTGGGCGGACCACGAGGGTGATGGCTGATCCGATTCGAATAGAAAGATTAAAGAAAAACGGAATCGATTAATATCCAATCGGATCCGATAATTATGCAATGGAATCCAAAAAATAACCAATCGGATCCGATCATTATCCAATTGGATCCGACAATTTAACAATTTTATCTGTCGAATTTCCAATCGGATCGGATCGATTCCGGAGCCGAATTTTGTCAGATCCGAAAAAAAAAATCAAATCAACCGCTGTTCATCCGTTTTCGAATCGCTGAGAGATTTGAAAACCAAAAAAAAAAAGAAATGCGTTCCGTCTTCTTCGGTTTTTCGAAAATTTGAGAAACGTCGGCGAATTCGAATCGAATTTCAGCGGCGGTTCACATGTTTTTCGCGCGATTCGTCGCCTATTTCCTTCACGACATCGGCGTTTTGCCGATCGTCGAACCATTCACCGACGTGATTCCGCAGGGAATCGTGCGCGGCCGAACGTTTGTCGAGAACTCGAGCGGACGATACGTGTCGCCGGATGAAATTGTGCGAAATGGTGAGTCTTTTTGTTTTGTTCTTTTTTGGTTTTTTTTTCTCCCCCCCAAAAAAATGAGAGATTCCCAACAAATCATGATTGGTTTTTCGACGTTTTCTAGAAAATTTCGAAATTTTGTTGGATTTTCCTCGAAATTTTCAAATTTCATCATAGAATTGCGAAAATTACGAGTTTTTCATCGAAATTTCGAATTTCTATTGGTCTTTTTTCTCAAAAATTACGAATTTTTATTGAAATTTCGAATTTCGATAGGTTTTTTCACACTAATAGCGAATTTTTATCGAAATTTTTTATCGGAATCTCAAAAATTTGTCGAAATTTCGATAATCCGCCGAATTTTTCATTGAAATTTTCGAAATTTATCAAATTTTCCCAATTTTTGGCAGAATCGAACAAAATTTTTTTTAGAAAAAAATTCCATCGATTTTTTTTTTGATTACCATCAATTTGCAAATTTTCCCAGATTTTCTTCCCAATTTCCTCAAAAAATTGTAATTTTTTCAAAAATTTGGCACAAAAAAGCGATTTTCTTCGAATTTATTGAATTTTTAGAAGAAATTTTGAGAAATTTGCCCCAAAAAAATGACATCCAGCATTTTTTATAGCAAAAAATTGAGAAATTTTCCAAAAAAAAGAAACGCAGAATTGATTTTGGCTGAAAATTGAAATTTTTTTCTGGCGTTTCAGGCAACGAATGGGTTTTGAAAACCGACAATTCGTCAAAAATCGATGCGGTCTTCGAGAAAATGAGCAAATCGAAGAATAATGGTGAGATTTTTTTTGAAACCGGCTCAAAAGCACATTATCGATTTGAAGGCGTCGATTTGGCGGCGATTCTGGACGTCGATGGTGTCGACATGACGAGAATGCGATTGTTGGAATCGGCGGCACCGCGAGCGCCGATCAATTGGGGTGAAACCGGTAATTTTTTTAAAATTCCGTCTGAAAATGCTGAAAAATGAGGCAACTTGCGCGTTTCTTTGCCGATTTTTCAGAAAATTTGTGAAAAAAATGGATACTGTAATAAAATGTTAAAAAGCGCGACGAGACCCATGAGGCGATTTTCTCCTGTGCGTCGTTTTTTTTTTTTCGAAATTACGATATTTTTAAAAATTTTCTTTAAAATTTTTGATTAAATTAGCAAAATGGCAAGAATGTTGAGGAATACGATGCTTGTAAAATTAAAAAAAATATATTACACAAATTTCATTTTTTTTAGGAGTAGAAAATTTGAATCAATCGAATAAAAAAAAACTGATACTGTAACTTGGGAAAAAGACGCACGGCAACAAATTGTCTCATGGGTCTCGCCGCGCTCTTCATCGTTTAATTACAGTACCCATAGCACGTTTTATGCATTGGAAAAATTTGCATTTTTTTTAAATTACGATAGCCAATAACCGTTTTGTTTTTTTTTTGTAATTAAATTTGTTTGACAATGAAATAATGGTAGTCGGGGCGAGACTGCTGTACTCCGGGATGTAGATTTACGGGGGGGGATGCGTCTTTCTCTTGGTCTCGCGCGGACTAGTTGGTTATTTTGGGTCGGTTCGATAAATTTCATTTTTTGAAAAATCAACAATTTTTTTCTCCATTTTGCGCAAAAAAAATATTAATTAGGAATTACAGTAATTTACTTATACGAGACCCGCTTTGAAATAACGCGTGAGCCTTTAATCTGGTTACTGTAGATGATTGCAATCGAATGACGTTGGAAATGTGAAGAAATGCCAATATCATCGAGAAAAAATGAATCGTTCTTGTGAAGGAAAAAAAATGAAATAAGCGATGCGAGACCTTTTTTCAAGGCGCATACGCGTAAATCTACCCGCTTATGCAATAAAAATGGTGTCATGCCGATTTTGGGAAGAAAACTCGAAAATCTGATTTTTTGAGCGATCTGAAAAAGGGATTTTTGAGTTTTTTGTGAATTCTGAAATTCATTAAAAAAAATTTTTAATATTTTTTTGCCTTAAAATTTTTTTATTTTTTCTCAATTTGGACAGGAAAAAAACGAAAAGAATGATTATTTCTTTAAAAAAAAAACGAAAAGAATGATTATTTTTTTTAATTTTTTTTAAAGACATGAAAGGAACGAAAAAATGGCTGGATCGAATCGGCTCGATTGTGCAGAACGTGCGAAAAGTGACGAATTGCTCAAAAATCGATGACGGCAAAGAGATGCTCATTCGCGAATCGTACAATTTCTTCGTTCGAAACGTCGGAATGTGTTTGGAGGTGCTCCATTTGCACAACACGGCGATCATGAGGCTCCAGGGATTCACGAATGTGATTCGAGTGAGTTTTGCAGTTGATGCTCAAAAATTTTGATTCGAAAATGTTTTTTGCGTTTTTGCCAATTTTTTCAGCCTGAAAATTTCCAAAAATTTAGCATTTTTTGCTGAAATTTTGAAAAATTTGACAATTTTCATAATTTTTATGGATTTTTCATTGAAAATGTGAAATTTTTTGAATTTTGACACAATTCGAAATTTTTTTTTTGAGAATTTTAGAAAAAAATTTTTTGGCGTTTTTTGATGAGTTTTGTTTTGAAACTATTCAAACCATTAGAAAAAATGAATTTTGAAGTAATTTTCTCAAAAAATTTGACTTTTGAACTTGATTGTCTTTTTTTCTGCAGAAAATCCCACCGGAATATTTGGCCGGCAGTCCGGAAGGCATGAGAGCCCTCAAATCGCTTATTATCATGCTTCAAGTGAGTTTTCTTTTGATGAGAAATGTAAAATGTGAGCGTTTTTTTTTCACTTCAAGTTATGATGGCCGTGGCCGAGTTTTGGTGAGCGTGCTAGGCCACTATAACTCGGCCGCGGTCTTTCGAAATTAAATATGTAGTTTATTCGTTATATACTTGGTTGAATTACACAAGTTTGAGGTCATAAAGACTTTCAGATCGAACTTGCTTATATTTGAAAACTAATTTTTATAATATGTATTGCTGGTGTTGGCGCGACTGTGGAAAATTGGCTAAATGTCAAAATACAATGGAAGTGGTCTTGGAGCATAACGAACAGTAGCTTAAAGGCGCACCTCTTCTTAAAATTTTTTGGCATTTAGCCAATTTTTAACAATTATTTTATTGCATGATTAAATCCTTTATTTTTTTCTCTTCGCAATTTTCAATTTCAGGTCTTCACGCCGCACGTCGCCGCCGAATTATGGGACCATCTCGACGGATCGCAATCAACAATAATGGCCCAAAAGTGGCCGCAAGTCGATGAGGACGCCGAAATCGACTTCCTCCTCATGGTACGCCTCAATTATGATCGGCCGTGTTGAGTTCTTCATTTTTTTTTCTTTGCAGATCGATGGCGTCAGTTGCGGTCGTCCAACCGTCGATCGTCGCAAAATCGAGAATCTGAATTTCGACGAGCTCCAGGAGCGCTCGCGTCGCGTCGAACACTCGCAATTCCGCGCAATGCTCGACATGTCGCGTGTGGCGCTGAAATTCAACGAGGTCTCGCGACGCGCCGGATTCCACGTCACACTTCACGCGGAGACGACGAGCGGCTCACGCGACGAAAATCGCAAAATTATCGGAACGATTTTGGATCGAATTCAGGCGGAGAAGCGCGAAAAGACGTCGTCGTCGTCGTCAAGAAAACGAAAATCCAAATAAGGAATGTATTGATTAGTAGTAAATAATTTATGTAGGAAATTGATAATTGTTGGTTAGATATAGATTAGATTGATTGTTTCTTTTGTTCTTGTTGGTTTTTTTTTTCAAATAAATATGCATTGCTCAAATTACGGACGGCGAGTGGTCCGTTTAAGATGCGATCGCGACTCGAGTGGTTGTCGTTGGGGTCCTGAAAAGCGTCAATGATTACGGTAACGACTAAACGGTTTCCTTTGGCTAAAAATTAGAAAAGAATTACTGTAGCTCAATTCTCGGAATTATAAATATTATTCTAAGATTACTGTAGCGCAATTTTCTGAACGCGCTAGTTTTCTGTCGATTGAGACTTACTGCTCATTGAGGGCGCATCGATTGTCTCATCGATGTCTTGCGCGATATTCCGTCTCGCCGGCGTGTTCTTCATCAATTTTCGTGCGATTCGCTTCGCCGACGGCGGCACCGCCGACTCGTATTCGGGACTCTCGACTTCCTGCAATTTTCAAGGAACCCGTTCAACTTGTATTTGTTCATTTCAAGTGCAAATCTCGAAAAAATCCCACATCCGGGGACAAATCAATCGTTTTCAGGCTCAAATTTCGCAAAAAACTGCTCTCCCACCTGTTTGACAATATCAATCTCTTCTTCAACCTCTTTCGTTCCCGTCTCTTTATGCAATCGCTTCTGGAACTTCTTCAAATGCGACAATCGTCCTTTGCTGTCGCCTTCCGCGTATATCTATGTCAATTATCATAATTAGGACGATAATTAAATCGTTTCGCCAATTACCAAGACCAATTCGTCAATTTCATCGACGAATCGGCGAAGTTCGTCCTTCGGAATCGAGTCAAACTCAATCCAGTGCAAAATCTGACGACGAGAAAAATACATGGGTCCGGAGACGATTTTGGGACGGAGTCGCCTACCTCGCAATAATAATTCGAAGCCGCCGATTCCTGATTCGACAAGACTTCTGTCAATGCGTCGCGAAGCAAATTCACATGGACCGGTAAACGCTGAAAATCTCAAAGAAATTGCAAATCGGCGGAGAAAAAAAATCTCGCATTTTCGATAATTTCAAGTTTTTCTATTTTTTTATTCAAAAAACAATTACGGCTTCTTAAATTTTCAGAAAAAACTGAGCCAATTTTGGGAAAAAATTAAAGAAAATTTTAAAAACACTCAATTTTCCTTTTTTTTCGCAATTATTTCCAACCAAAATCGCAAAATGTTCAAAAATTGTTGAAAATGAAATTTTAAACAAATTTCATGGCCAAATAAGGAAAAATGGAAAAGTTTTGGCCAAAAACTATCAGAAAATTTTTTAAATATGATTTTCTTAAATTTACGCAATATGGTTTCCAATAATTTCAATTCAAACTTTCAAAAATTGGAATTTTCCAAAAAAAAAATGCGGAAAATCAAATTTTACCCAAAAATGTCAGGGCAAAATTGACAATTTCTCCCATTTTTCTTTAATTTTCGAAAAAAAAAGATTCAACATTTTTTTGCCTCGCCGAAAAAAAACTCACAGTCTCCTTTTTCGACAATGCCGAATGACGAGTAAGAATGGCAAAAAGCTCGGCATTTCGCTTGAGGCGATTGTAAATATCGGCGTTCGGGCCGACTTTGTCGATCAGCGTCGGATTCGTGTCCCATTCGATGAAGAACTGCTTGAACGATTTCGCGACCAGCATTTGATTTTCCCTGAAAAAAAACAAATCCGGCCAACATTTTTTTTTCGGTATTTCGATTAATTTATTTCAGGGTAGCCATCTAATTAATTATTCAAATTGCCGCCTCGGGTCTCGTATGGAAAATCCATTAAAAAAAACTGGCCTAGCCAAAATTTCTTACCATTTTGCCGCGAAAAACTTCAAAAATGCCGTCACCAGACTTCGAATCACCGCTTTAAAACTATCATCAGCCGCGAAATTCGTTCTAAAAATCAATAATAATCGCAAAATTGAGTGTCAAAAGAAAATCGAAAAACCATATAATTTTAAGTCGATATTTTTTCCGACTTGACTTACACCGACATGAGCGCAATAAGCGACTTCTGCCATTTCAAATCATCGGGATTCGTCTCCAAATTGAGCAACATCTTCGCGAGCACTTCAACCGATTTGATGACAACCTCCGAAAACTCGAGGTCCGCCTAAAAATTGCGATTTTAATCTCGACAAAATTGAAAACGATACTTTATTAGTCAATATAATATCGCATAAAAATCCCGTCACCGACGACTTCTGCTGAATTCGCTCAGTTTGGAGCTTGCGAATCCGATCGCTCACAATATCGACGTTGTTGTAGTGGATGCTCAAATCGCCGAGAATCGTCACTATCGAGCACTACAATAATGGAGAGCAGTTTCGAGCAGAAATTTCGCGAATCTCACCTTGATATCCATCGGCTGCTCATCGAAACTTCGCCAAATCTCGACCAATTCATTCTCGATGAAGTCGAAATCAAACGTTCCGATGATTCCGACACATTCGATGGCGAACAATCGATATTCGACATTTTCCGATGTCATGTGCGGTTTGATCTGATTTGAAAAACGCTCGTTTCCAAAAAAATCGCAAGAAAACACCGAAAACTCACCAACGTTTGGTATTTGGTTCTCAAGATCGCGTCGAGTTCGCGCACAGTGTCCGCTTTGAGGGCCGCATGGATCAAAGGAAGCTCATAATTCATGATTTCGACAAGGTACTGCAAACAATTGAAGCGATTTTCACATTTCTAGGATCCCCAATCAAAATGTCGAATAAAAAAAATTGGATAACAAAATTATTTTCTCGAAATGAATTTTATTGGAGAATTTGGACATTCAATTTTTGATCGACTTTGCGAATTTCGGCTTAAATCAAAACAAAAATCACATTTTTCGTTTTTTGAATAACTCAGAATCTCACGTCTCTCTGCTCGGGCGTGACTTCGGGCGCCGTCGCGCTTCCAATGAACACCGTCTCATCGCGAAGCGTCTCGTCGCCGCAACTCGCGCGCTTCATCATGTCCGAAATGCCGGCCGCGATTTCGGCGATCATCGTCTCGCCATATTTGACAACCGCCAAATCCTGGGTGACGGTGTCGACGAGCGTCTTCGGATTGCTGATGGTGAAGTAGACGTCGGTGAGTAGATCAATCCACGCTTTTCTGCGCAAAAAATGCCATTTTTTAATCAAAACTTCCACAAAACCCACTCTCCGCATGGATCTTTTTCCTTATGTCTGATTATCATGAGCAATGATTGAATAATCGCCTAAAAAAATTTTTGCGTTATTCTGCAACAAAAAAAAACGACAAATAAAAACTAACGGTTTGACGAACTCTGAACATTGGCCAATCGCCAACATTTCCACTTTTTTCCATACTTTGAAATAAGTCGACACATCTGCAACAAAAAAAAATCAATTTCTGAACTATGCGCCTTGAAAAAAGGTCTCGCAACGCGTGAACCCTTAATTCTTTGTTTTCACATGAACAGTTCACTTTTTTCCTGATGAATTTCGCATTTCCTTGAATTTCCAACGTCGTTCGATTAAAAAATTGTCGAATCGACCCATTTTTTGCTAAATAACTAGATGTTCCACGCGAGACCAAGAGAAAGACGCATCCCCGTAAATCTACCCGAACGCCGACTATAGAAAACATTGAAAATATTTTCAATTTTCGCAATTTCTGACAACACAAAATCGAACGAAATTTCCCACAAAATAAACTCCCAATTTTTCGGGATTTCTTATCAAAACTCCCACATTTTTCCGATTTTGTCAAAAACCGCCAAATTAAAAAAAAATTTAACGCTTTCTGTTCTAAGCTTCTTCTCAAAAAAAAAAACGAAAATCTAAAATATACCTCGATCAAATCATAATTCAAATTTTCGCGCGAATTTCCTAAAACCATACTGCGAGTAAATTTCCGGGTCGATCAGCCCCGCCGAGCCGCAACGACACTCCATGTTTACAGTGAGGCCTTCGTTTAATATTAATTTTGAATTGCATTATTTTTAGTAGAATTTGTTCTTGGAACAAAAATTGCTCAGAAGTTCACAAACAAAATGGATTAAACCAGCTTTCACTGTTTTTTTTTTCATTTTTAATTTGTTTATAATAAAGAAGCTTCCTTTAAAAATCTATTAGCAGGTCGGGGCGGCTCGATAAAAATTCTCACGCCGTTGCAAGTACGCCCAAAACATTTCCAGCTCAAAAAATGCGCCCAAAAAAGTTTTGGCGAAAAAAAATAAGCACTGACTTATAGACCAAAACCACCATTTTGACAACATCGGGCACAATTCGATCGATGCCCAACTGTCGATCCGTCTTATCGCGCGCGTTTTCGATGATGAACTCGACGGTCAGCCTCCAGAAGAACACGTGATTCGCCAACTTCTCAATGTCGTACTTGCTGAAAATGCCCAACATTCTATTGTCGTGCGAATTTCAGACACAAATTGTTTTTTTTTTGTTGCAATTCATCGCCACTTACTGCCTCTCAAGGACCTGCTCGCAACTTCCTCTCACGAATAGCAGATCGTTCGGCGCGATATCGGCAAACACCGCCCCTCCAAACCATTCCATCGGCTCGTGTTTGATATTATACATTTGACGGACGCTCTCGAATGCCGACATCATGATCAAACGCACTTGGGTGTACACCTGGAAAACAATGAAACGTCTCATTTGTCAGACTCCTAATTTGAATATTTTCTAATGAATTTTGGCAAATTTGCTCATTCTTCAAAAATCGCCCTTAAAAAACTAAAATTTTCTCATTTTTCAAGAAAATAATCTCCGAAAAATCACCTCCTTATCGCACAAATTTCCAAAATAGATCATCAAACAGCTGGCCGCATGAATATATCCCAATTGTTTCTTCGTATAGCCCGATTCGAGCTCGATTTTCTCGCCAGTGTGTGTGACTTCTACAAAAAAAAATAAAAGTGGGGATAATGTGTGCAAACACCGCGCGCGCAAATGCACACTTTTCGAAGAAAAAATGCGTATTCTTGCCTTTTTTTCGAAATTTGATGAATTTTTCTGACATTGAGTAATTTTTTCAGTTTTAGTTTTTTTTTTCAAATGGCTTTATTCCGCTTGTCGATCCTCCTTTGAAGGGGAAATTAAATTTCAACGAGTCCTGGGTAAATATGAGTATCCCCCCCCCAACTTGAACAAATTTCTACTAGTTCAATTTGAGGGGGTCTGAATTATGTGGGGGTGGTGTAAAATCATAGAGACATACCCAATTAGCACCCCCCCCCACACACAGTGGAAATGGGGAGCTCATCTCAGAACATCGGACCTTTCGTAAATGGGCCCTCCAAAAACAATTTCTGAACAATCAGCGTAAAAATTAAAAAAAAAAAGCTCGGCCATGACTGTTCGGCCATGTTTCTCCTAAGTATTAACCAAAAACTCATTGTTTGCTACGAATTACCGATGACGTCGGGGTCTCCCTCCATTTGCTGCTTCAGATGCTCCTTGAACATCAAATAATGCGTCGTCAATGCCGACAGCCACACATCGATCACGTGTTTTTTGACGGCGTCGCGAATTGTTCCTGAAAGTTTTTGGGCGAATTGATAACAAAAATTTATCCTACTGTCATGGTCCGTCAGACATTTGTAGACAAGATTCAGCTTCATCGGCGCCTCTGAGGCGCTCATTGGCAACTTGCCGAAACTTTTTATCGCCAATTCGCGAACCTGGAATCACCAAATCAAAATTTATTCCATTTTTTTTTTATGAACTTGCTTGAAATTTGATAATTTTTCGAGAAAATACGCGAAATTAACAAAAAATTTGTACAAAAATTGGATTGGAACAATTCTATTGTGAAAATCGTTCAAATTCACGATTTTAGAGAAAAATTGTCAAAAAAATTGACAGAAATCCGCACGGACCAATTTCGTTGTGAAATTCCCAATTTTGCTCTTTCCAAGAATTTGAAAAAAAAAATTTATGAAGCAATATTCAAAATTCTTCAAAAATTGGCTTTTCCTCAAATTTTCAATCATTTTCGCATAAATTTGCCATTTATTTTTCAAATTTCGTCGAAAATTCGCGAAACGCTCAAATCGAAAAACCTTGCAAATGCCACCAATTTCTCTTAAAAAAATGTCGACTTCTCAGAAAAATTTCCAACAAAAAAAAAACAGTGATCAAAATTCCAACCTTCAACGATTTGTCGCTCAACGCGATCTGCGCCAGATATCTCACATGGTCCGATGTGGTCGGAACAAACACTTCAACCGCCGTCAATCGGCAATCCCAAGAAACATCGCGGAACGAGAGCAACAAGACTGCAAAAAAATCGAATTTTTGAGTTCGCGCCAATCCATCCTACTTTCTTTCGGCGATTCGACGACCGCTTCTTTGAAATCGTGCGGAATTGATTCGCCTTGAATCGTCGCAAACGCTCGGATAGCCGCGATTCGTACCGTATTCTGGAAAACCACACCAAAAATGCCTGATTTTCTGCCAAAAATAGACATACTTTGTCCAATGCGAGATTTCGTAGTGTCGTGTACAATTTGCCGGCGTAATTCAAATCGAATATCGTAAAATCGGACGGCTCTTTTTTGAGCGCGATTCCCGACTCGAATATGAATCCAATGATTGTCGCCATGAACGCGCGCGCTCCCGTGTCGGTGCTCAAAGCCCACTGGAATTAAATTTCAAATTTAAAACAAATTTTTGGTTTTGCAGAAATGTGAAAATCGGGCGAAAAAATGCGAAAAATCAATATTTCTCGAAAAAAATGCCCAATTTTTATTGATTTCAAACCGAATTTCAATTTTTTCGCCAATTAAATTGATTTGGAATTCTTCGCAGTAGGCGAAATATCCAACATTTTGGATAATTCCATTATTTTTCCGCAAAAATTTGATTCGAATGCATTTTTTTAATACAATTAATTTTTTTTGGGGCATTTTTCAATACAAAATTAAAATTTTGTAATTTCATTATTTTTCCGCAAAAATTTGATTCGAATGCGTTTTTTTTTTAAATTGATTTTTTTTGGCATTTTTCATATAAAATTAAAATTTTCGTGTAATTTCATTATTTTTTTTATCCAACTTTGCATTTTTGGTGAAATGGATTGAAAACAGGCATTTTAAGGGCAAAATGGAGCAATTTTGGCAACTCTAATCAGCTAATCAATAAAATCAGCGTTGAGAATCCATCAATTTCAACTTGATCACTTTCAAATCTCACCTTGGACACAAAATCATCATACAAAAAGTCTAGAACACACATGTCGTCAGCATCCTTCAAAACCGCGCACGCAAATCGACAAACGACGCGAAGAACGCGATGACGGCACTCAAGGACGGTCGTGTCCTCAATCTGAAAATGAGCGTCTGCAATTTCGAGACAAACCCCCCACAAACCATCATGCAAAGTCGAATGTCGAGCTCGTTGAAGAATGCCCAACGAGCATCCGGATTTTTCGTTTTGTTAATCTAAAATTGAAAAAAAAAAAGGCATTTTCAACATTTTTTAATGCCCGAATTACTCGGTTAATCGCTGTGAGAAGGAGTCGGCATGCGTGCGCCGTGTTCTCCGGAATGTTCGTCTTGGCTTGAAATGCGGTTTGGAAACTTTGGACCACTTTGTCTCTGAAAATTGTCTCATTCTCATTTTCCGCCTTCCAATTTTGATATTTTTTCTTGCCTTAAATATTTATGCGGGTTAGTTGGCCTTGCAGACGGGGCTTGTTGTGTCGCTTGAGCGCCACCGCTGATAGTAAGACGATCGAACTCGGTTTCATCATGTACTGTGCTCTCAACCGGATGGACGACCGTCGGCTGAAAATACATTGATTCTCTCTCTCTCTAACTAAAATTCTATTTTTTTTACCGATTCCGCCGATGTTGTCGGTGTCGAATCTTCGGTTTCCTTCACCGGCGACAATTTGGCTCCTCTTATCTTCTTTTTCGGCGGCATTCTTCAAAAAGAAAACGATGAAGAATGCGGTGTATGTTTGCGTCACGGTGTACCGCACACTTTTCAATTGTACAGCAATAATTTGGAAAATTTTTGATTTTTTTCAAATTTAGAAAAAATAGCGCCGTTTTCGAGATTAGTCTAGAATTGAAAATCCGTATTGTTAAAATTATAATAGAGAACGTAATAATTCTCAAAAATTTTTCGAATCGATTTTCCCCGGAAACATTCGAAATGCGGTGTGTATTTGCGTCTCGGTGCGTCGCACACTTTTAAATCTACCGTAGCCATGCCGAATAAAGAATTAATATTTGAAGACGAAAAGTGAAAATTGGCGAATTTTGGGTGAAAATGGGCTCAGAACACGATTTTATTGCCCAAAAAGTATAGTCATTTTGTGAGATTTTTGGAAATTTCTTAATGGAAAAAAAGGAAATTTGAAGATTTTCAACAAAAAAATATTTTGCACATTTTTATGATTTTTTTCTATAGCTAGAAAATGGTTATTAATTGCGTGGAGATGAAATTTTATGAAAAAAACATATTTTGTATGAATTTTTAATATTTTTTACCCAAAACCCAAAGGGTTTATGCAAAAATTCGAATACTGATTGGGTGTAAAACACCAAATGGTGTCATTTCATATCAGGAATGATTTTGCACCCGTCCATTCGATTGCACCATTACACCATGCGATCATCCATCTATTTGGTGGATTTTCTAGAAGAAAATCCACTTATTTTTGCTGCGATATTTTTTATACGCAAAATTTTTGCAAAATTTGCACCAAGATTTTTTAATATGAGCTGGCAACTCAATTGAATTCGCATTAAAAAAAATTTTTTGACGCAATTGCCTGATTTTCGCGCTAATCGTTGAGAATCCTGGTCTCGCACAGAGATTGTAGAATATGTACCTTTAATCGCGCAACATTGAAAACATTCAGCTGCTCACAATGCATTTTGGTGGTTTTACGAAAATTGTCCGAAAATCTTGACAAACGAAACTCGTAAATTGTGCGTTTTGAGGATTTTGTGGCCTTTCATAACAAAATTTTTTCCATATTCAGCCGATTTCCTAGATAAAAAGAGTTATTGCGAAATTCCCCCTAAAATCTCGATTGCAGATGAGCGCTTAGACGAAATTTATGTGCTGACACGATGATTTGACATGGCGAATTTGATGTAAACGTCAAAAATGAGGAAATATTTAATAAAAACGAATGGATTGAATAAAAATGACGTTTTTCTCCGACAAAAAAAAGAAAAAATTTGAAATCGCGGTGCACTTTTGCGTCGCGGTGCACGTCACACTCTGCATTGCGTACCGTACCACCTCGCATAAAACACTTTTCGAAAACGTTTTTTTACATCGTCTTTTTTATCAGTTTTTCTCAAATCTTTCGAGTTTTAGAAAATGGCTAAACGTTTAAAATCAAATGCCCGTAAATCGGCGGTGAATAAGCTTGTGAAAAAGACCGACAATCGAATGTAAGTGTAATTTTTCCGAGAAAATCGATATTTTAATAATTATTTTAGAAAAGAGGAAAATCGAGTGATTCGCGAGAAGAAGGAAGACGAGCAAGCATTAAAAATCGTCCACGCGTAATTTTAAATGGCTTTTCAAAACGAGAAATTTCAATTTTAGGCCAAAAATTTCGTCGGCGATGTTCATGCGATATAACACCCAATTGGGACCACCATTCCATGTGCTGATCGATACAAACTTTGCGAATTTTGCTGTCAAGAATCGAATCGATCTTTTTCAAGGTTTTATGGATTGTTTGTACGCAAAAAGTGAGAAAAAAAATCGGAAAAATTGAAATATTTGATTTTTCCAGCAATTCCTTATGTAACCGACTGCGTGATGGCCGAATTGGAGAAAGTCCGAAAATTCAAGATTGCTCTGAAGGTTCTCAAAGATCCGAGGGTCAAACGGCTTCAGTGTGAGCACAAGGGCACCTACGCTGATGATTGCCTTGTTCAGAGAGTCACACAGGTAACATTTTTTTTTTTTGATTGAATCGTAGGAAACTCGTAAAATTGGGAAATATTTCGACTTTTTTTGGTCATTTTAATCGAAATTTTTCGTCAAAAATGAACCACCAAGAAATAAACGTCGTTTTTGTTTTTGAAATTGCCAAAATTTTCAATATTTCTTTGAAAACTCCGATTTTTGCGTAAAAATTGCCATTTTAACAAAAAATTATCGAAAATTCGGCAAAATGATGGATTCTTTTTGAAAAAAATTTAGAAAATTTGAATTTCCTTGAAATTTTCGAATGCAAGACCAAAACCCCGATGTCTCTAATTTGATGAGCTGCGCGAAAAATGGAAAAATAATTTTTTTCGTAGTAATTTAAGATTTGACCTTCAATCGACACTCTTTTTTTTTGAAAAGAAAAACAAATATCCAATTAATACCAAAAATATAAAATTTGCTGAAATTTTCGCTTCGAGACCCGGCACATCCTGAAACGTTCTTTATTTGGCAAGAAAACAGTGGAATGACAGCGAATAAATGTATTGTTTTAAAAATCGCATTTTTTTGCAGCACAAATGCTATATAGTGGCAACGTGTGATCGTGATCTAAAAAGAAGAATCCGCAAAATCCCAGGAGTCCCAATAATGTACATTGTGAATCATCGATTCTCGATCGAGCGAATGCCGGACGCCTATGGAGCGCCGATGAATTGACCATTATGCGTATAAACCCAATCGATAGACTTTGGTGGCGAGGAACGAGTGCAGAATGAACACGACGGGCTTCGCCGAGTTCAGCAAATCGAGCTCCTGCAATTCGTTTTCGTTTTCTTTTTGCTGTTGTTGTTGTTCTTGTTGATTTTTTATGAATTCAGGTTTGAAAAAATTCGATTTTTTTAGCGGACGACTCGATCGCCACGAGACCCAACTAATTACCAGCAAAAATTGCAAACATTTTGAAGACAAATAGAATGGCACCAATATTGTTCACCTGTTCGCCGTGCGGCGGTCCGAAGTCGATCCAGAGGAATCTGCCGCCGTCGTCGCCGGTGGCTCGAATCGTCTCAAACGGATGCTGCCACAACACCTGAAATCAGAAGCAGCAGCTCATTAGCGATCACGATGCGCGTTGGAACCTCTCCGGCGGCCGACAGCAGCGAGATGCCGTTGTCGAGATTGACGACGAGCTCGCACGTCTCGCCGCGCCACACGCACGGCGCCGACACCTGCGACGTCTGCAGACACGCCTCGTAGCCGCCGATGACGATGGCGCGAACCCAACGCGCGAGCTCCGCGTGCGTCTCGACGCGAATCGTGTGTGTGCGAACTCCTTGCTGGGTGCCGGTTCGCATTCGGAACGAGATCACGTCGGTCAGACCTGCGAAGTGAAAAAAAAGAATGAATTGGGCGTCGAATAGAATGCAAGTCCGCAGTGTTCAGACGGTGTGATTGCACAACAATTTTGAATTTTTCATTTGTGGAATGAAATAAAATTTTTTTTTCGAAATTCATGAAAATTTCGCTGAAAGCAAATAAATGGAAACAAAAATTTAAGAAAGCAACAATTTTCAAATAATTTGAGAAGGAATATTTCAATGACAATCAGTTTTTTGCCATTTTCACCCAGGTTGTGCAATCACGCCACATCAACACTGCGGACTTGCATTTAAATCGACGCCATCATGAAAAAGTCAAAATATTAAATTTCCGGCAGAAAAATTCGTAATAAAACTTTAATTTGAATTCGAAAATTGCATTTTTTTTTTCAGCAATTTCAAGATTTTGAAGAAAAAAAAATTTTTAATCAATTTTTTAATAAATTCGCCTTAAAAAAATGGGAAAATTCTCAAGTTTTTTTTTCAAATTGTAAATTTCAAATTGCTCGCACCTTTAATAACGGGCGCCGATCGCGAGCTCGTCTGCACCACCCTCGTCGCCACCAACGGCCGCGCCAATCTCGGCTCGGCCCATTCGGCCTTCAATTGCGGCACCGCTTCATAGAACAGAATCTCGCTGCACGTCAGCGTCATGAATTTCGGCTTCCACATTGTGATGCCGTCCTCGGCGACCTGCTCGGCGATCCATCCCATGTGGCGCACTTGCGGATTGCCGCCGAGCATTATGTTGACTTGCGCCAACGCTTGCGTCAGAAGGCACGTGGTGCACGCGTGAAGCGCCTCGAACCAGCTGTCGGCTTCTTCGGCGCTCGCGCAACGAATCGCCAGCGAGTACCGTCCCGACGGGCTGCGCATCTGAACAACGCCATCATGTGCGCTCCATTGACAATATTCGCTTTTTTAAAAATTTTTTTTATTCAATGAGACAATTACGCTCCATTGTGAAATTTTTCTCCTAATGTGACAAACGCGCTCCATCGAGAATTCTCAAATTGTTGTTAATTGTCGATCAAGTGCGCTCTATTGAGAATTTCTTAAATTCAATTTCGATTTGAAAAAAGTGCGCTCCATTGCCAATTTCTATATGTATTCAAATTGTTTCAATTTTTCCTATAGGCCAATGCGACAAGTGCGCCCCAATGAGAAAATTTTCTTTAAATCGATTTTCTTCAAAATTTAGAGAAACGACCAACATCGCACGTTGTGGCAAACGCGCTCCATTGATAAATTTCAAAATGTTTGCCGCAATCACAATAAAAAAAAAACAATTCGATCAATGGGAACAAGTGCGCTCTATTGAGAATTTAGAATTTTTCTCAAATTAAATTCAATTTTCTCTTTTCTCTATTATCAAATTTTGGTTATACTCAATTGCTTTCAAGTTTTTGTTTGCCTATGTGGCAAACGCGCTCCATTGAGAAAATGCTCTTTAAATCGATTCAAAGAAGTGGCCAACATCTCACGTTGTGGCAAACGCGCTCTATTGAGAAAATGCTCTTTAAATCGATTCAAAGAAGTGGCCAACATCTCACGTTGTGGCAAACGCGCTCCATTGATAAATTTCAAAATGTTTGCCGCAATCACAATAAAAAAAAACCAATTCGTTCAATGGGAACAAGTGCGCTCCATCGCGAATGCGGTTCCCAAAAATCGCGACACACCTCGAGAATTCGTCCCTCGGCGTCGGCGTCGATACCAGCCCTCGCCACATAGGCCAACTTGAGTCCGATGGTCCGAACCCGCTCGCGCACATCATCATCCCATTCGACGTTCTCGACGATATTCTCGCGATGCATCAACTCCTCGCGTCGATACTGCACCTGAAGGTCGACGACGCGTCCGGCGCGCTTCAACGCGCGCACCGCCTCGTCGTGCGAGGCGTCGAGAAGCGGCTCGCCGTTGACCGACACGATGACGTCGCCGACGAACAGCTCGCCGGTCTGATCGGCGGCCATTCCTTTGAAGATTTTGCTTATAATAATCGGCATATTATTGTCGCGGCCGCCTTTGATGGAAATGCCGAGGCCGTTGCCGTCGTATTTGACGACGCGCACCGTGCGCTTCTCGGATTCCATCTCATTTTGCTCCATTGTCTTCAAAATTGAGTGAGTGGTTTTTCTCGGCTTCAAGTGAGCGCCACAAGTGGGCGGCGGAAACGAACCTGAAGTGTGATGGCCGTCGGATCGAGTGTCGCCAGCACGCGATGCCATTGGCCTTGAATGAAGATGTCGACGAGGCCCGAACGGATCGCCGCCATTCCACCTGCTGAAATTTGAAAATTTCCACTTTTTTTTCAAAAATTCAAATTAGCGATTTTTTCAAATTAAATTTTCTTCTTTAAAAATCCAAAAAAATGACATTTTCGACACAAAAATGCGCTAAATAGAAAAATTTTGAGAAAAAAATAGTTTTCAAACAATGAATTTCGGAATTCCCAAGAAAAACGCACTATTTTGGAAGCTTGTCACAAAAAAAAAATGAAAAATGAGGGAGTTTGAGAAGTACGCCAAAAAAAAAGAAGTGCGAGTGTCTTTGCAAAAAATCAACGAAATTCGCCACCAACCCAAAATTTCGACTCGAGAGCAAACGCGCTCTATTGATAATGGCGAAATTGCCCGGATTATGAGAAAAAAAAAACGACTCGGCCCCTCAAGGATATCGATATGGATTTTTGGGACCCTTTGAAAGTACGAGGGCCCGATGGGCATTCGGATTCACTTCAACCGAGCTCCACGACGACTCTTGGCTCTGTTTGGAATCCCGAACATCTATGGAGCAACAGTATGGTTCGACATGGGACCATTCTTGTAGTATGGTCCCATGTCGAAAATCTCAAAAGGGACTGTTTGGAGCCAGAAAGGATCCTCGGGGATTTTCGAGAAGGATCATCTCCGGCCTAGAGCAATCAGAGAGTTCAATGGAAGAGCCAGAAGATTCCAGGACTTCGATGGTTCCTCGGAGGTAAAGTAAAGGGTCCCATCTCCGACTGGACGGAGTCTACTGGTCCGCATCCGACTGGCCATGATCCAACTCGCTAGAGAAGGGACCGCGTTGCCGATGAAGATGCGTTAGGCGGTTTTTTCGCAACAAATAATGGATTCCTAGATAATCGAGCAAGTGCGCTCCATTGTCAATTGCCAATTTTTGAATAAAAATCGATGGAAAAAATTGGCAGATTTTTGGAATTTCGCCAAAAATGCGCTAATTAAATAATGATTACATACGAAATCGCATTAGAATCGATGAATAAATGGGCGATAATTGAGAGAAAGCTCGAGAATCGAGAAAAAAAACGACGAATCGGTGCGAAATCGGAGAAGTTGGCGCACAAAATCGGACGCGGCGAATAATAGAATATATTTCGATGTTGGTCGACGGGCCGTGTGTTTTGCCGAGTCATTCGTGCACAATTTTCGTTTGAGCTTTCGCCTTGCCGTCTCCGCCTCGACGCTCTGCGTCTCTCGCGCTCTCGTCGTCTCGCGCCTCCTCGTGTGCCCCGCTCTCTCGTCGCTTCTCGTCTCGTCGGCGCTCGCGCGCCCGCGCGCTTCTCTCCTCTTTTTTCCGATTTTCAGCTTTTTCATCGTTTAATCGCCGTTCGACATTCATGATTCGCTTCGAAATTTCGATTTTCTTTTCCGTATTTATCGAAACACCCGATTTGACGCCACAATGCACACATGAATTCAATTTTTGTGCATTTCGTTTTCATTCTTAAAAAAAAAAAAGAAACATCTATTTAATTTTCAGTGCCTCATCTCTTATTTCATCTTTCACACACAACACGATCTCGAATTTCACATTAGATTATGGAATTGACAGCATTTAGGCATCAGGTAACCAATTGAAAAAAATTTCTGCGTTCGGGGGAATCGAACCCCCGTCGAATGCTTGGAAGGCATCCATGCTGACCATTACACCACGAACGCTCACGTCAACGCCTTGCTAGGCGGCCAATAACTGTTGCGGGGTGTCTCGTCGTCTGACACTCTCAATTCACACGCTATTTCTCTTGATATTGCAGGTAGGCGGTCATTTTGGCATATTATCATGTAACGGACACGTGGCAAAACCGTTCAATCGTCGAGAAATGGCTTTTTATAAGATGATGAACACCCAATTGAAGCATTTCGCGCCAGCATTTTGCAGTAAGCATTGATTGATGCGCAAGAGCGAGAAAAATGCGTTAAATTTGCAGAAAAAGTGACAGTTCGAGCGTCGACGAACCCGTCAACCGGTCAAATCATTTTGGAGACCGCCGAGATTTTAGAGTGCCATAAACGCAAGTGCAATAGTAAGCATGAAAGCTCAACGACAAGGTTTCAAAAAAAAATTATTTTTAAAATTCCCATCATTAAGCTGTTTTCAGGTTCCGGCAAGCGTCGGATGGTCATATTGCAGTTGATACCGAAAGGGAATGGAACCAATGGGCCGCCGAATGTCAATGCAAGGTTCGGAAATGTCAATTTCAAAAAATATGCTAGCTAGTGGCTGGCATGGCCTAGAAAAATCACTGCCAATATTAGGTTCGGCCACGGCCACTCTTGATGGATTTCTTACTTTTATTGAGAACAAAAACGTATATTTTTTTCAATTTCCCAAAGAAATTAAACTTCACAATTTTATGGAAATGAAAAAAATAGTAAAATTGGAATTACACATAATGTCAAAAATTATTCTGTGAGGTGGTCTGCGCTTTTTTCCTCGACCTAAAAAATTAGAAACAATACCTCGGCCACGGCCACATTTTCCGAGGCCTTCGATCAAATCGCTGCGAGAATCATCAATATGCGCCTTTAATCAAACAAATAATAAAATGTCTCAAGATTCTTGCAAAATTCGAAAAAGACGTGGCCGTGGCCGAGATTTATTGAGATTCTTTTGCGGGGTATTTTTTACGACGCCTTGTCTGCATTTGTGCGTCGCGGTGTTGACACCAATCAATATGGAATTGCTGAAAATGTTGCAGGTGGTCGAACGAATGCTCGGCGGCGATCCGGCTCCATTTCTGCTGCTCGAGAACGTCGTCGCCCACTTCTCGCGTCCGTGCGTTCTCGATTTGAAGGTCGGCACCCGACAGCACGGCGACGACGCTTCCGAATCGAAGAGGCGTCGCCAACTCATGAAATGTCGACAATCGACGTCGGCGACGCTCGGCGTCCGAATGGTCGGAATGCAATTGTACGAGGCCGAAACGAAAACCTACTCGTACGTCGAGAAAATGGAAGGCCGCCGAATCGACGCCGTCGGCTTTCGCGCCTACGTTCGACGATTCGTCAAATGTTGCGGATGCGCGCGTGCGGCGCGCATTAGGCACAAGCTCTCGATGCTTCGAAGTCTTTTGGCCGAATCCGAAGGCTATCGATTCTTTTCGGCGTCGATTCTGATTGCGTTCGACGCCGAAGCGGCCGATTCATCCAACGAGGACGCCGTCAAAGTCAATATTATCGATTTTGCGCATTCGACGTTTTCCGGATTTTTTGAGGCGAGTTCTAATTCAAATATAAATTCCACTATTTTTTTTCTGAAATAATTCATTTCAAAAAAAAATAATTTTTTAGACTTGTTTTTGTTAAAATGATTACTGTAGATTCAAATTTTCTCCAAATCGAGTCGAAAAAAACCAAATTTTAATATTTTCGATCCGAATTTTCAGGATATGCAATATTCCGGAGCCGATGAGGGCTGTATGCTGGGCATTGACAGCATTCTCGAAGCGATGCAACCATCAACGTTTGTAAGCCAATTTTGTTTTACGCAACCACTTTTCGATGGTGTTGCTTTCAGAAAAAAGAACCATCGCCGACAGTTTTCGACAAAAATCCAGTGTAATCTCGAATTGCGCTGAAATTCGCCTTATTTCACTGGTACTTTCCGAAACGGTCAATCGAAAATCATTCCACCGGTTTCCTCACTTTCAAAATCCTCAATGTGGGCGGAGCTCGCGCGGTTCCATAAGCGCCAATCCCAAGCAGCCAATTCAAGTGGTCATCTGGCTCAGTGGTTGGCGTGCAGACTGGAGCGCGATGGGTCGGCGGCTCGACTCTCTCCAAACCAGGGGCGTTTTGCCAATAAATATTTATCACAATTTTACATTTTCGGACTATCGCATTATAATTAGTGTCGAAATATGGCGGAATGTAGGCTTCTAATCGATTTTAAGCTTCGGCGCGTTGACGAATTCTTCGCCGTTGAGGAAAATGAACGAAATACACACGAAAAAGATGACAAACCAGAAGATTGTGGCGGTTAGGTTGTCTGAAAAAGGCGAAATTCAAGAAAACGAGCGCGTTAAAAAATTGAAACCTGCGACGAGAATACACAAAATTGTCATCGACATTGCGAAAAGCGCGGCAATGAGCGCAAGACCGTTCTGAAATCGCCGAAAAATTGGTTGGGGACCACGAAAAACGCGATCGACTCACCGGGTCCGTCGAGAACAACGGGGCTTCCATCGACGGCGGCAGAATCGATGGATCGACGACATAATTGCCAAGGAATAGATCAATGGCGTCCTGAAAATCGAAAAATTGAGGAAAAAAAACTGAAAATCACTCATTTTTCTTGAAGAAAATTCGCAAAAACGTGAGGGAAACGCTTCAATTCGTAAAATCTCAAAAATTTTGAGGATAAAAATGTGCATTTACTGAGCAAAATATTGAAAAGCTCAAAATTTCGACAAAAAAGCTAAAAAAAAAACGAAAATCTACAATTTTGTGCGATTTTTCTCAAAATTATTTTGAAAAAAGTTCGATTTTCAGCGAAAAATCTAAAAAATTCCAATTTTAAACCAGAAAGCAACTCAAATCTTTGTGAAAAGTTACATAATTATCAGAATTTCAACCGATTTTTCTCAACTTTTCAAAAAAAAAAATCTAAAATTATCAAATTTGAGCCAAAAAATTTTCAGAAAATGAAAAAATCGATCATCTTGAAGAAATAATCACATTTTCATTCCGGAAAAAATTTTTTTGATATCAAATTGAAAAAAAAAACGTGGATTTACTGAACAAAATATTGAAAAGCTGGAAATTTGGAGGAAAAGCCGAACAAAAAGCGACAAACTGCAATTTTGTGCGATTTTTCTCAAAATTATTTTTTTTTTAAATTCGATTTTCAGCGAAAAATCTAAAAAATTCCATATTTAAGCCAGAAAGCAACTTAAATCTTTTTGGGACACAAAAAACACAATTTCCAGCGAATTTTCTAAAAATCGACCAAATTGTTTAAATTAAAAAAAAAAAAAAACAAAATCCCAGTTTTGAGCAAATTTTCTGAAAATTATTTTTAAAAATGTTTAAAAAATTCAAGTCAGAAGAAAAACCAAATTTTCTCAACATTTTAACAAAAAAAAAACTCGAAAATTGTCAAATTTGTGCCAAAAATTCGAAGAATCACTCAACTAGAGGCCAAAATCACCATTTTTCTTTCCGAAAAAAAAAACAAAACAAAAAAAATCGCACCTGTCGATATCCGTCGTTGAAATTATTGCGAACATATCGGGTGATCGCATTCACCCCATCGTTCATCGCTCCATAATAGGTTCGTTTGCCCAATCGGGTGTAATCCGACTTCAAAGCGCCGGTTCCCGCGTACTGTCGGCTGCATTCGTCGCCATTATCAGCCCAAACTGCAAAAAAAAATAATTCGACAATTCCATTCGAAAAATCGCCGTTTTTTTTCGCCGGTAAATTTTAAAGAAAATCTCAACAGGAAAGAAAGACTCTCTCTCTCTCTCTCTCTCTCTCTCTCTCTCTTTCTCTCTCTCTCTCTCTCTCTCTCTCTCTCTCTCGATAACAACTAGCAAAAATTTTTTCCCAAAATTTTTCACGTCCAAAAAAATTTAGAAGAAAATAAATAATGAACCTATTCATGAAATGAAAAAATTTTTTTAAAAATCAATTTTTTTCATTTCAATTCCCTGCGAAAATTTGGCGCGCGTCACGTAGCGAAGTGGGTACTGTATTTTTTATTTTTCATTCTCCGTGCCATTTTTTTTTCAGAAACTTTGAGGCGGAAATGAGTAACGGACTGAAAAAAAAGGAAAAAAAAACAATTTATTGGTATAATTACTCCTAATTCGACAATATATAACCATTTTTCGTCATTTAGATATCAATTATCATGAAAAATAATGATTTTTGTGTTGATTTGATGTAGACTTCGCTCGATGACGCTTCTGGTGAACCTTTAGCCTTGATTAAACAACAAACTTACAAATTTACAAAGAAAAACGTTTTAAACGCTCAAAAAATAAAAAATTCAAAAAAAACCATTAAAAAAAAATTACAGTACCCACTTCGCGACGTGACCCGCGCCAACTTTTCGCGTGCGCCTTTAAAAATAAATTACGATATACTAACCATCGAGGGAATTCAATTAAAAAAATTGATTTTTTTTTCTAAATTTTTTTCATTGCCCGAAATGGTCCATAAATAAATCGACTCACGATGCTTGAAACGTGTGGCGATCGACGGAATCTCGAGCACTTTCTCATGGGCGCCGAGAATTCCGAGCAATCTGAGCTGCTGGTTGAGCGATTCGGCGGCCAACACCGATTGGACGACGTTGGTTCTGAAAATCTCGAAAAATATCTCGAGACGGACCATTTCTTTTCTTTTTCTCACCGATCCAGACAATCCATACAATTCGTTCGGAAAAACCCGCGTTGAAGTCTCGCCTCATTCGGATAAATTGGGTTGAACGCGAAAAATCTGCCAAAAAAAAAATAAACAATTCGAGCATTTTTCACAAAAATCTGAGCAAATTCGAAATTCCATCTTATTTTTTGCATTTTTCGCCCCAAATTTTCAGCAAATTCGATAAAATACGTAATTTTTCATTCAAAAATCGCAACTTTCCGCAAAAATTGCCAAAATTTCATTAAAAAACCTCCAAAAACCAGTGAAACTTCCAAATTTGGGTAAAATCGATAAAAATGCACAATTTCGATTCTAAAATTCGCAAATTTCAGCAAAAACTGCCTTCTTTTAATAGAAAAACTGGTAAAGCTTGAAAAAATCAAAAATGGTTCGATTTTTCGTCAAAAAGAAATTCTGCCCCAAAAAATCTGTCAAGCTGCTCAAAAATCACCGTAAAAAACTGGAATTTCTTTAAAATTGTCAAAATTTTGCGTTTTTTTCGTCAAATAATTCCACAAAATCCTACCCAAAAGCTGTTTGCTCGGCCGATAGTTGCTCTCGGAGCAAATCAATCCGGTGCCATTGCATCGCGCGGCATTCCTTGTGAAAATCGAATTGGTGATATCTGCAAATTTCGCCAATACAGACGTTTTTCTTCTTTTTTTTTTTTGATCTACCTGACATAATCGAGATTCGCTTGTTGGGCGACACGCTCGAGTTCCGAACCGACGCGTTTCTCACGCCCTTTTTGGTTTATCAGATTCACAATTACCTAAAAATTGGATAATTGGTAGAAAAATTTTAAAAATATTCCGTAAGTTTGAAAAGAAAATTCCAAAATTCCAAAAAAAAAATTGAAATAAATTTTCATTTCGAATTTAAAAATCAATTTTTTTTCCATCAAATTTGATCAGATGATTCGAAATTTTCAAAAAATTCTAATTTTTATTCATCAAATTTTGAAATATTTTTCATTTCTAGCATAAAAATTGACCAAATTTAGTCAAAAAACAAAATTTTCTGAAAAAAAAAATCAGAAAATGTTTCATTTCAGGTTCAAAAATCGATTTTTTTCCATTAAATTCGATCAGAAAATTTAAATAAAATTTCATTTCTAGTTTAAAAATTGACATATTTCCCCAAATAATGTAAAAAAAAAAACGAAATTTCCAAAAAAAAAATCAAAAAAATTTTCTATTCAGGTTTAAAATCGAATTTTTCATCAAATTCGTTCAGAAAATTCTAAATTCCCAAAAAATTGAACTATTTTTAATTTCTAGCCTGAAAAATTGACTATTTCACCAAACGTTGTAAAAAAAACGAAATTTTCAATTGAGGTTATAAAAATCGATTTTTTCATCAAGTTCGATCAAAAAAAAATTCAAAATTTCCACAAAATAATTGCTATTTTTAATTTCTAGGTCGAAAAAATCCAATTTTTTCGCAATTCCGTGTCAACCAATGTCACTTTTTTCGAAATTCTCCCAAAAAAAAAGATAATCGTCGAACATGCTTTCCACCATAGTGCAATTTGTGCCATTCAAACGATCGTTTGAACGCGGCGAGCTGATCATCGGTCGGCTTCATCGTCGGCAACGGCTGCCATCGCAAATTGGGCCGCTGCGACCACAATAGCGGAATCGAGCCGCGAATCTGCACGAACGCGGTGATGTTGTGATCGAACTCGACGATCTGCTCGGTTTCGACGTAATTCGCCGCGTGGCCCTCGTGATCGACGCCGCGTTTGTAGAAGCGAACGCCGGCGCGCAATTTGCTTCGTCGCGAGACCAACGCGATTTTGAATTTTTGACCATTCTCGGTGATTGTCGCCTCGCCGAAGAAGCCGTGAATCACCGGCAACGCGAAGCGATGAGCCTGGAACAACAAAAAAATTTCAAAAGAAAGAAATTGGTCTTAAATTTTTTAAACTAGTTTTAAACAGCAGAAGAATAAAAATGTTGAAGCTCAAAACGCGCTCACGCAAAATTGCACACAATGTAAAAAAAAATCTGTCTTGAAAATGCGATTCTAGTTGAAAATTAAGATTGTTTTTGCAAAATTCAAACGTTTCAATTTCTTTAAAGGCGCATGCCATCGTGAATTCACTTTTTGAGAGACGAGCATTTCCAGACGAGACCCCCGACTTTATATACACAAAAAAACCTTTAATTAAAAATTTTTGAAAAATTAGCACGAAATTCATATAATTCAATTTCTTTAAAGGCGCATAGGTCCAATTTTTTAAAAACGGGCAGTTTCCAGACGAGACGCTCATCTCAATAGAAAAAAACCAATGATTTTAGTTGAACCTCAGAAATTGTATGAAAAATTGGCGCCAATTTCAATTTTTTTAGTTGATCCCCGCGAAAAAATAAATATTCAAAAAAATAAAAATACCCCGGCGACTGCTCGAATTTGCGAGAGAAGATGGCCGTTCCACACGAATCGATCACTAGCCTGAAAAAAAATGAGCAAAATCGATGGATTTCAGATCGAAGCCAAACATTTTCGGCTGAAATTTGTGGATTTTTGTAGAATTTTTACGCAAAGAAAAATTTTCCAGAACAATTCCAGATCGAATTCGATTTTTCTCTAAATTTCGGCGAGCAAAATTTTTGTCGGAATTTTCCAAGCATCAAGCTAAACTCCAATTTTTAGACAATTTTAAGAAGAATGAAAATCGGCCAAAACGAAAATCCGAATTATTCGAGATCTCCGTAAAAAATATCGATTTAAAAAAATTTTTTGAAAATATCGCGCAAAAAGCTGAAAATAAAGCAAACTCGACCCAAAATTTCGCCTTTTTTTTTGGCTAAAAATTCCGATTTTTGTGAATTTTCATTTAAAAAAATGTCCGCTTTTTTTTTGAGGCGGAAAACAAAAAATGAAAGACCAACCCGATCGATCATTGGCATATTTTTGAACGTCGGCGACGAATTCTCATGAAGCCATTGAAGAGTTCTCGACAAATCGAACGTCGTCGAATAATAAAAACCGCCCGTCGACATCACATATTGAATCATTTCGGTGAATCGTCGATCATATCGAACCTGTCCGTCGCAAGGGACCATTAAAATGAGAAAAAAAAAATCAATTCGAACCTGTTTTTCGGTCAAATGGAGCACGGTTTTTTTGAACGGAATGATTTCAGTGTCGACAATTGACCAAACTTTGTTATTATTCACCTAAAATTGTCAAAATTCACTAAAAAAAAAGATCGAAATTTTCTTACATGTCCCACAACTTTTGCGTTGGTTATTGCAATTAGGGCGTAACCTGAAAAAATTATATTAAGGAAAAAATGAGCAACGCAAATTAATTAAATACTGGAATATTGGCCAAAAATTGCCTTAAGCAGTTTGAATTTTTTCAAATATTAGCATATCAAATGAATTCAGAGGTATAGTAAATAAAAATCAAATAAATGAAACTAAAAATATTTTTTTTAACGAATCAATTAGTAGAGAATTTTGTGTTCACTTTTTAAACAATATAAATGCAAAAAAATCAATTGAAAATCTAAATTTCTAAATATGGATTTCAAAGCTCAAAGGGTATCATATCACCGAAAAAATGAATTTCAATGAAAAAAAAACAAAAATAGTGGTACGGCCAAAAAAAAAGTTCACACACAGACACGCAAAATTGCACACATTTGATTCTTTACAATGAAGGAGAATTTTCAGATTTTTTTGCGAAAAAAAAAAAACTAAAAATTAGCAAATATTTACAAAAAGATATATCCAATTTTGCCGGATTTTTAAAAACATACCTTTTTGCTTCAAAATTCGAAATAAAAATGATTTTCTCAGCTTTTATCAATGCTTTAAACCTTCCGTTTCAAAATTCCAACATATTTCAGTTTTTCTTTTTAGAAATGTATTTTTTAAAAGTGTTACCGGAAACGAGGCGAATTGTTCCGAGAATTCCGTAGATGAATTTAATGTCCGAATCGGCGATCGGAATGCGTTCGGCGCGAGAATCTGCAATTCGTTGGCGATTCCTTCACACAACCGATCATTCGATCGACTACTCACCGACTAAACGTATCGCATTTGTGTGCCTATCAATCTCTAAATGGTACAACGCCGCCGTGCCGCCGCCCAAATCCGTTGGCTCGATGTAGAACTTCTCCGGATGCGAATATCTGCAAATTTCACAGCATTTTTGTTTTTGCAAACAATTTCCAAATGAAAAACTCACAAATTGTAGCTTTCGAACACATCGGTCTCGATGGTCTCCGTCATCTGGGAACAAAAAAAATGAGAAATTTTTCGGCCAACTATTGTGTTGTATTGGCGTCGAAAATAAGCAAATGAGTCAATCTATTATGCTATTCAAATAATTTTCGCAGTTTTTGGCTTTTTTGCGACGGAAAAACGGAAAAATCGAAGAAAACCGACAGTTGGCAGGTTGGGATGGCCGCGGAATTGTGAAAATAAACTAGGCCATATCGAAAACTCGGCCATATAGAATTTTTGTCATTTTTTGTTTTTTCATGAAATTTTTTTTTCAAATTTTCCCATTTTTAACTATTTCCCATTGAAATTTCTTGCAGGATGTCACTATCGCGACGCCTTATTGTCGACAAGACACTTTTGCGGTAAAAAAAGTTGCTATAAAAATGATGCAATTTTCGAATTTAGGTCATCTCTATTGGCGGTATCGTCGAATCGTCAAGCGCACGCGCGAAACACGATTATCAATTTCGTGCCGCAACAAGAAGCATGGGTTGTTGAGCGAATGGGCAAATTTTATCGAATTTTGGATCCGGTAATTTAATTTTTGGGGAAAAAAATAATTTTTGGACAAAAATTAAATTGTCTTCAGGGCCTTAACTTTTTGCTGCCGGTCGTCGATAAAATCAAATTTGTGCAAAATTTGAGGGAAATCGCCATCGAGATTCCCGAACAGGGCGCGATCACCATTGATAATGTGCAATTAAGGCTTGACGGCATATTGTATTTGCGTGTTTTTGACCCTTATAAGGTATTCATGATTGTCTAGACAAATGCCTATCGTTGTTGTTGTTTATAGGCTTCCTATGGTGTTGACGATCCGGAATTTGCCGTCACACAACTCGCACAGACAACAATGCGATCAGAAGTAAGGCATTTTTCACGATTTTCCAAAAATAGTTAAATTTTGGTAATAATCGTTAGCTAATTCGGAAATTTCTGTGAAAAAATGAACGAAAAATCACGATTTTGACTAAAAATAAGATTTTTCCCCAAAAAAGTTTAATAATTGCTTGATTTCAAAGAAAATTCTCAATTTTCTATAAAATTTCGATTTTGCTTAAAATTAGAATTTAAATCGAAAAAAATATTCGATTTCTAGCCACCTTTAACAGCTCGATTTTTTAAATTGAATTTTCCAAGCAAAAAAATTTAAATATAGAGATTTTTGATGAAAAATCGCGATCAAATTTTCACAAATCTTCGAATTGTTAGAATTTGCTCCAAAAATTGTGATTTTGGCGAAAGACTCACTCAAAAATGCGCGATTCTGAACGATTCGATGGTTTCAGGTCGGCAAAATCAATTTGGATACGGTATTCAAGGAGCGCGAGCAACTCAACGAGAACATCGTCGCCGCCATCAACAAAGCGTCGGCGCCGTGGGGAATTTCGTGTATGCGATATGAAATCCGTAAGATTCGATTTTTTTTTGTAGAAAAAAAAATAATCATTTTTGCAAATGACCATTTTAGGTGATATGCAAATGCCGGCCAAAATTCAAGAAGCGATGCAGATGCAGGTTGAAGCTGAGAGGAAGAAGCGCGCTGCGATTCTCGAATCGGAAGGAGTTCGTGAGGCGGCCATCAACAAGTAAGTGCTCGCAGATTACGGTAGATATTTAAAGGTGCACGTAGAAAAATTCATTTATTAAATATATATTTTTTTTGTCTACAAAATTTCAAAATTATAAAAAATCGCATGTTTGCACAAATTTCCCTAAAAATTTAAGAAATTGCCAAATTTTTTGCCTCAAAACTGCAATTTTGCTGGAAAAAGTGGATAAATTCCGATGTATGACTATAGGCAAATCAAAATTGATTTCAGCTTTTTCTTAATTCTGAAAATTTTGAAATTTCTCATGAAAATGCTTTTTTTGTCGAAACTCGTTGATTATTCGAATGAGTTCGAAAAAAATTGTCAATTTTTTGCCGGAATTCTGGTCATTAAATGTGATAATTAAAATTCTCAATTTTTAGAAGAAGAAAAAAATGCAAATTTAGCTGAAACTCACAAAATTTCAAATTTGACATGCAAGAATTTTGCAGAAAATTGAAAGATTCCAGTTTAAGCTAATTCTCGTTTCATTTATTTTTTTCCCCCCAATTCCCTTTTTTTGTTAATTTTAGAGCCGAAGGACAAAAACGCGCGGCGATTTTGGCGTCGGAAGCCGTTCGCGCGGAAAAAGTGAGGCAATTTCGTCGGGCATTGAAACAAGCAATTTTGCAGATTAATATCGCTACTGGAGAAGCTGAGGCGACATTACTTCAAGCAGAAGCTCGAGCGAAAGCGATTGAAAGAGTTGCTCAAGCGTTACAACAACAGGTAGAATATGTTCAAAATAATAGGGCATTTGATTAACGAAAATTGAGAGATTGTCCTTTTTGCAAAGAAAATTGAAAAAATTTCATTGAAATGATACTAATTATTGAAAAATTTAAAAAAAAATGTTCTTTTTGAAAATCTTATCTGAATTTCGAAATTTTCAAGGAATATTTCGTTTTTTTTTTTGTTTGAATTTGGTGTTATTGGCAAACTATGAAATTTGATTATTGAATATTTTAAATTTAAAAATTTGAAAATTTTCTTCTATTTAAATTGGATTAGACATCTCGAACCGGAATTTTTGCATCATAAGAGACCTGGAATGCGAATTTTTCAAGTTTATCTAACAAAAAATGCATTTAGGGCTCCACGAATGCGGCAAGCTTATCGATCGCTGAGCAATACGTGAACGCTTTTGGAAAATTGGCGAAAGAATCGAACACCGTCGTTTTGCCGGCGAATCTCAGCGAACCGGGCAGCATGGTCGCGCAGGCATTGGCAGTTTATAATAATATTAGCAAAAAGGAGTAAATTATTTAGAAAAAAATATTTTTCTTTAAATTGTTTTTTGTTTGGTTGCTTTTACGAGATTTACAGGTAAATATTTATTTGATTTGAATGTTTTAACAAATGATTTTTGAAAAAGAAAACTCCCGTTTTGTGTCGAAATTGAATGGATTTTTCTTAAATGCGAATATGGAAAGTCCTAATGAAGTCCGGCGAACGTGAAACGACGTGCTCGAACTCGGCGAAATTGATTCGATCGTCGCCGTCGAGATCCGCTTCTTCGATGACGCGCTCGATGATGAATTCGACCTCTTCGTCGCTGAGCTCGTCGCGAGTGAGACTACGAATCATTTTGCTCAAATCATCGTGTCCCAGATGATCGTCGCCATCGTAATCTGCAAAAAATGCGTTGAATTTTAGGCCGAGAGAAAAAAAAGAAATGGCAGTTAGTCCGCAAATGTGCGTCATAGTGTGTTTGCGGACTCGCCGATTACAGTAGTCGAATATTTTTTAAAAATTTTTTTGCGTTCGTTATTGATATTAATAGTGAAATTTCGGAGAAAGTGTGGAATTTTTCGCCTAATTTTGTTTGAAACATGCAAAATCGTGGTGAAACACAAGTTGAAAAAATAGCATGCGCCTTTGATGTAAGTTACAGTAACCCATTTTTAAGAGTTCTCAAGTTTCGATTTTTCGCTAAAAAATTCAAATTTTTGCGCGTTTTTCGTACAAACTAAAAGTTGAAATAATTTATGAGATAAAAATCGGCGATAAAAACGCACCATAAATCTTGAAAGCGTATTTCAATTTGAGTTGAAGCGGCGCCATTTCGGAGAACACGGAGAACATGTCGAGAAAATCGTCGAATGTGAGATTGCCGCGGCCGTCCTCCGAAAAAACCTCGCAAATTCGCCGCTTAAACGGATTCTCCTGGAAATTTTCTTTCATTTGATTTGTGGTTCAATTGCCCCCCACAAAATCCCACCTTCAATTCGGGCATTTTCTCAATTTCCTCATAGGTTAGCGAGATGATCGATGGACGATTGCCTTGCATATTCGTCGGCACTTTGTGAGGATTCAACGCGTAAAATCGCTTATACAATCGAATAATGTCTTTTCGCGTGAAAAATGTGCAATCCTGAAGGTATTTCATCGAGAAAAATGCGTTAATTCGGAAGTGCCAATCGAATTCTCAATAGAGCGCACTTGCATCATTGTCGTTTTTTTCTTAGCAACATGCAATATTCATCTTTTTCGGCTTCAAAAATCTTTAATGCCGATCGCCACGTGGCATATTTTTCCAAAATATTTTTAAAATCAAACTTTTAGTTTATTATTTTATCGAAGAGTGCTCGATCGGAAGCTCCAAAAATTGGCTTAAAAAATCAAATGATGCAAATGCGCTCTAATTGAACAAAAATTGCAATTTTGAATTAAAAAAAAACCAAAATTTGCTTCAAAGTTTTAAACGAAAAATTAGATTTTTTGAAAAAAACAGATATTCTCGAAAAATTGGAAATTTGTGATTTTATTTGAAAAATGAAACATTTTATAAAAAAACTATTTTTAAAGGCCAATTTTTATAGAAAAATTGTAAAATTTGGCTCAAAAATTCCCAAAAAATTCTGATAATTATTGAGAATTTGCGTCTTTCAATTTTCAAATTTTTTTTTGCGAAAATTCGAAACTCCAAATCTTGTTCGTAAATCTCTCGATTTCGTCTCAAAAAACTCGCAAAAATTTTCATTTTTCGTAAAAAATCGAAAATTAAAAAAAAAATGATATTTTTGAGTCAAAAAATCCACAATTTTTCGAGAAAACCTATCAGTTTTTGGCGGAAAATTTCGGTTTTTCTCAAAAACGAAAAAAGCATTTCGAAAATTTCGAACAAACCTGATACTCATCGAGTTGCTCGCGCGTGAAGACGCCACCTTTCGTGAATAAATTGAGCTCCGACAGGCTGCTCGCGTTGTTGCCCATTTTTGGTCCGTGTTGTGAGCCACCCAACTTTGCGCCTTTTTAGTTTTCGGAGCCTAACGGCGAGCCGCACGAGATAGAGAAAACGGAAATGAGGAGGACGACGGACGAGAGGACCACGACAGCTGCACACACACAACAAATCAATGGTCCCCAGCCGACAGCTCGACACATGTGTGAGACAATCGAAAATGTGGATTGTAATTTGAGAATTTGACTAATTTTCTATTAACAAATTGTGGTCCCTAAAGTGTTGGAGTTCAGCCAACTCAAAACCGATCGAATTCGATTTGAATTGGATTTTCTGAGTTGCCAGAGCTCAAAATTTTTTTTGATTAGAAAAAAAAGCAGTTTTATTACACTGATAATTATGCGAATCGTTTCGATCTCCTTATTTAGTAGAGCTCTTCGCGTGAGACGCGTAGAGAATGCCGATTACGGTAGGCGAAGAATGCGGACATCGCGTAGAGGACGGCGAGGACGAACGTCAAAAACTGCAACGAAACGAAATAACAATTTTTGTGGACCTCATCATGCAAGGAAAGAATTAAAAAAAATCAATTTTTTCATTTGAAAAAGCACAAAAAAAAAATTGCAAAAAAATCGTAATTTATCTTCAAAGGCGCACGCGAAAAGTTGGCGCGGGTCACGTCGCGAAGTGGGTACTGTAATTTTTTAATGGCTGTTGTTTTTTTCGAATTTTTATTTTTTGAGACGTTTTTTTGGAAATCTGAAAGAGTATTTTTCTTAATAAACAATGAAGATTCATCAGAAGCGTCATCGAGCTTAATCTGCAACAAATTAACACTTTTTTTTCATAATAATTGGTATCTAAATGCCGAAAAATTGACATATATTGTCGAATTTGGAGTAATTATACTAATAAATTGCTTTTTTTTCCTTTTTTTCAGTCCTTTAGCCATTCCTCCTTCAATGTTTTCAAAAAAATACGGAAAAATAACAGTCAGAATGAAAAATAAAAAATTACAGTGCCCACTTCGCGACGTGACCCGCGCCAAATTTTCGCGTGCGCCTTTGAAGGTAAATTACGATATATCGCGTCATTTTTTTTTGAAATTTTCGACGTGCTTTTCATTAAATTTTTTCATTAAATAGGTCTCGTCGTGCTCATCATTCATACGTACCGCGGCGAACGCCCACTCGTAGATGATGCGACATCCATTGTGAATGAGGCCGTCGGAGCCGATGTCGTTGCAGTTGTTCGACCAGCTGCCCGTCGAGTAGTAGGCTTCGACGAACGAGAGGATGAAGAAGACGCACGCGCACGTCACCGAGAACACGAGGTCCTGCAAAAATCCAGCGGAAATCGAAATCGCGGCGAGACCCATTAGAGGCGCGTCGAGACCGCCCAGCTTATTTAAAGGAGCACACTGGAAGCGCGTGGTGGATTCTCGTCGCAACAAGATTTTGTTTGGGAATCGTCGAGCGACAAATAATCGCGGAGAGACCTCGGCTTATTTAAAGGAGCATAGTGGTGAATTGAAAGACAACAAGGAAAAAAGAGACCCCCCCCAATATAAAATAGATCGATTTAAAGGCGCAGCTGTTAGGGAGGTGTGATGGTCCCGCGAGGCGAACCCACCGCTTCACGCCAACAGAAAAAGTCCAAATGGGTGAGATTGAGTGTGAAGAAGTAGGCGATGAGAAAGATGAACGTGAGCACCATGGCGACGCCGGCGGCGAGCAGAAGAAGCGTCTGGCCGAACAGGACGCCCTTGAATGGTCCCGGACCGAACACCGACGAGATGAGCGAGATGATGACCAAACAGAAGAACTGAAACCGAAACAATCGAGTCGCAAAATGGTGGACACCCACAATTTGGGTGATTCGCAGCACTCCGTGTGGTCCCATACAGTAATACTTGTCGGTTTGGCCACGCCCACATGACCATACGCTCTCCTCTTTGTATTTGGTGCGTTCCCTGCAAATCCCTTCAATTTTCTTTTTTTTTTTTGAGATTTTTGGTCTTGAAATTTTCGAGCAAAAATTGTGATTTTCAAAAACCACAAAAAAATTCCGAGTTTTCATTTTTTTTTTGTTGGAAATTTTCGAAAAAAAATTGGAAAAATGTTGAAACGCGAGAGAATATTAGAATTTTTAGCAAAAAAAATGCTAGAAAATTCAAATCTCAATTTTCAGCTTGAAATTTGAGAAATTCTGACATTTTTGAGAAAAATTGATGAATTTTTGTTGAAAATTACGGAAAAATCGAATTTAAAGCGAAGAAATACCCAAAAATAGAAATTTTCATCAATTTTTTGTTGAAAAAATTCGATTTCCATGAATTTTCACGTAAAATTGTCAAAAAACTGAAAATTTATCATTTTTTTTTCGTTAAAATCTCAAAATTTCCATCATATTTCGTAATTTCTAAAAATCACAAAAAAATCCGTAGCAAATTTTGAAAAAAAATTTTTTTGTTGGATATTTTCGAGAAAATAAATAATTTTTGGCAAGAAAAAATCTAGAAAATTCAAATCTCAATTTTCGGCTCAAAATTTCAGAAAGTCTGACATTTTTTGGACAAAACTGACGAATTTTTAAATCAAATATTTTAGAAAAAATCAAATTTTTGGCAAAAAATGTCGAAAATTGTTCAATTTTGGTCAAAAATATGACAATTTTCATAAATTTTTCATTAAAAATCTCAATTTTTACTTTAATTTGTCGAAAAACAGAAAATTTCACAATTTTTTCATTTAAAATCCGTCATTTTTGACATAAAATTTTCAATTAAAATCTCAAAATTTGAATTATTTTTCATTTCAAAGAATTCTCAAAAAAAATTCTTATTTTAAAAAACCCTTTTAAAAAAATTGAAATTTCACAATTTTTCATCAAAAATCCTCAAAAAACATTTTTTCGAATTTTTTTTTTCGCGAAAAATCCGAAATTTCCGTTTTTTTTTTTGGTAAATCTTCAATTTTCGTAAAAAAAAATGAGAATTTCAATAGCAACAAATTTTCTTTTGAAGGAAAATTTCCAAAAAAAAAACCTTTCAAATTTTTTTTGAAAACAAAAAAAACCTTGTGGTTGTTGTGACGTAGGTGCCATCGGGCTGCTGAGTCGTATACGTCTCACGTCGATCCATATTTGGCGTCTGAATTACTATTTGTATACGGTTGTGTGTTTTGCGACGACGACGTCGTCAATTTCGCGCATCGCCGCGCATTTTTACGGCCGTTTTCAACAATTACTTTATGATTGATACGATTTTGCGACGAATTTCGCCGATTTCTCATCGGAATTTCGAAATTTTTCACAAAAATATTGATGAAAAAATGGGAATTTGGCAGATTATTAAACAAAAATTGCAATTTTTGAGTTCAAATTCAAAAATTTGTCAATTTTTCACCGAAAAATTGCAATTTTGTGAGTTAAAATTCAAAAATTTGTCAATTTTTCACCAAAAATTGCAATTTTTGAGTTCAAATTCAAAAATTTGTCAATTTTTCGCCAAAAAATTGCAATTTTTTTTTCAAACGACTCAAAATATTGCAAATTTCGCCAACAATGCCAATTTTTTTTGGAATCAGCAAAAATTTGATGGAAAATGTGAAAAATTGTGCGGTTTTTTCGAGAAAGAAAATCGCCAACTCGATTTTTCAGCATCGAAATTTTTTTTGGTTGTGAAAAACTCGAAAATTCTCGATGGAAATTGTCGAAAAATGAAAAAAATTGCGAAAATTTTCGCGAAAAATGATGAATTTCGCGTATTGACGGCGATAAATAAATGAGAATTGAGACGAAATTGGAGGAGAGAAACAACCACACCCAAATATGGACAATCAATCGATCAATAGCATTGCGTTGTGTTTTTCGATTCGTTATCATCATTTCTAATCAGCAATTATCGATTTTTAGAAATTTTCGGTGAAAAATAGCCAAAATTTCGAGAATTCAACAAAAAAATTATCAAACTTTCAGTTTTTTCGACAATTTTTTTGAAAAATTTGTGAAATTTCCACTTTTCTTTTGAGAGTTTCTTTTTAAATGAAACATTGTTGAAATTTTGAGATTTTATTGAAAATTTTTGGGTTTTTATGTCAAAAATGACGAAAATGTCGGATTTTAAATGAAAAAATTTGAGAAAATTGCTGTTTTTCGACAAATTAAAGTAAAAATTGAGATTTTAAATGAAAAATTTATGAAAATAGTCATATTTTTGACCAAAATTGAACAATTTTCGACATTTTTTGCCAAAAATTTGATTTTTTCTAAAATATTTGATTTAAAAATTCGTCAGTTTTGTCCAAAAATGTCAGAATTTCTAAAATTTTGAGCGGATTTTTTTGTGATTTTTAGAAATTACGAAATATGATGGAAATTTTGAGATTTTAACGAAAAAAAAATGATAAATTTCCAGTTTTTTGACAATTTTACGTGAAAATTCATGGAAATCGAATTTTTTCAACAAAAAATTGATGAAAATTTCTATTTTTGGGTATTTCTTCGCTTTAAATTCGATTTTTCCGAAAATTTCAACAAAAATTCATCAATTTTTCTCAAAAATGTCAGAATTTTTCAAATTTCAAGCTGAAAATTGAGATTTAAATTTTCTAGCATTTTTTTGCTAAAAATTCGAATATTCTCGCGTTTTTCAACAATTTTTCGATTTTTTTTCGAAAATTTCCAATTTTACGCATTTTTCGTCAAAAAAAAACGTAAAAAATCGGCGATTTTCGACAATCTTTTGGCGAAAATTGATAAATGTTGACAATTTTATGCAAACATTGCCGAAAATTCTATAAATTGGGCGGGTTTTTGTGCAAATACGTCGAGAAATTGACCATATTTGGGCAAAAAATCTTCGATGTCCCCGAATTGCACCGTTTTCGATTTGAAATTTGGCAAAATTTCGACATAGCAAATTGATTTTTTCGTGATTTTCGTGGAAAATTCGATTCGATTGATCGTTTTCCATCGAAAATTTCAGGAGAATCGGCTGAAAATGATTGAAAATTGATCCGAAATCCACATAAAAATCGACATTTTTGGCGAAAAACACAAATATTTTGTCAACGTTGGCGCAAAAACACGACCGACAAAAAAAAAACGGATGGTCAAGGTCGAATTGCGGCCGATTGATTCGTCGATTCACAACGTTTTTCTAAAAAAACGGAAAAATGAGTGTAAATTATTGGATTTTCATTGAAAATTTTCAAATTTTTGACAATTTTCAGCGTTTTTTTTGCTCGAAAAATCTTTAATTTCAATTTTTCCACCGAAAACCACAATCTCCCAATTTTTTGAATGGTCCCATAAATGAAAATCGCCGAAAACGCCAAATTTTGGTAGCAAATTGCGACGCACCCAGAACGCGTCAATAAATGTGTTGCTGGCGCAAAATCGGATATCGTCAGTTTTTCACCATATTTCCACAGAGGCCACAACAAGAAGCAGGGTCTGAATTGCGTACAAATGACGGGACCATGTCAGCGTCAAAACTGATTCACAATGTACACTGGAAGAAATGGTCCCAACACTTTTTTTTGCGTGACTGAAGGGAGATCGAAATCTCTCAAAAATATTATTGTCAGAGTCGAACGATTGGACGAAATTTGAAAAAAAATTATTGGCAATGTGCCAATGCGTCTCGAGACTGCGTACGCGCATTTAATACTCAGTCAACGATAAATTTAATTTCGGCAATTTGAAAAAAAAAAAAGAATTGTGAAAAACACTGGCCGAGATTTTCAGAGTTTTTCTCGACGGCGGGAATTTGAAATCAGTAAAGACGAACCCGTCGCTGTTTGATTGACCTGCCTCCTGACTCACATAATGGCACACCACCGCAAGTCGCAATCCTCAACGTCACAACATTTTCATATTTTGAAATCTATCAAGAAATGCAAAATAGTCCCGTTGAGTTCTCCGTGAATCTACACGAGTACAGCTGTCACCACCGGACCATAAATTGATCGAAATACGTTCTAGACGATGACTATGGAAGCCTGCTGCAAACTCGGACGGGGTGGAAGGACATCAATTACCATATTTTCGAATAAATCACTGGCGAAAAGCGTTGCTAACAAATGGCTCGGGTTTGGCGCCATTTTGAACGTTCAAGATCGCAATGTTTCTCCTATTAATATGTTTGTTTGAGACCGCCAATTCTTTGAAGTTGCCCGGTTGCAATGTGCCGGTGGTGAGTTGCGATTGCATCACATTTGACGACAAATTGCAGACGGACTATAAGAATGGAGAGGATTACGATTTCGTGCGAATGATGGAATTCGAAGATTCCATCGAAGTGAGTGAATTCAATCATGTTCAAAAATTCCTCGAATTATGAGCTACTCGAAATCAATTTGCACAGTGAAGGCAAAATTCCGTTCATCTTGTTTTTAGATCAGAAGAAATTTGTAAAAAAAAAACGGCAAAAAAAAACAGCAAAATTGGGAATTTTCAGCTAAATGGAGTACTTCTTCGAAAATTGGGGCCGATGTCCGGCGAGTTTGTGATGCGATTCGTTGCGAGACCCGGCCGATTGGCGATCTACAAAAACGAGCGAACCTTCGAGGATTTCGAGATTCCATTCAAGTCTTGGAAAATTTCGCGAATTCAAATCAAAGGAATGAAGTCGACTCGATATTTGAAGCAGTTTGTTGCGAAAAAAATTAGTGATTCAAAATTATTTTGCAGGAATTGCAATTGTAGATCAATAGCTCAAAAATCGCAAGATTTGAAGAATTGCCTGAATATCTAGCTTCTCAATTTCCACGAATTCGAAGAACATTGCCAATTAATTATTAATTAGTTCCTTGAATATTAATTTATTCCGTATATAGAATTGACCGACTCCAATTTAAAAATTTTTAGAAAACTGTCATTTGGATTCGAAAACGCTTTAAATCCATACTATGCTTGAGGGAATTGATCTGAATGTTGGCCGGGCACTCGGCGCGGCTCGTCGAGCATCGATGCCGCACCGCCAACGACACCAACCAAATCGGCGCCAAATTTCGACGAAATTGCGTTTTGGCGAAAAAAGGACCCATTGTTGAATTGCTCATTAAATCGGCTTTTTTGAATATTTTTTTAATGACCCGAATCTATTCTCTACGACGACGTCCGTTTCGTCAGAATCTCTTCGATGAATTGTATCGTCAAACACTGCTGCTTCGCGTAGAGCCGATCGTACCCAATTCTCAACTTTCGCTTCGCAAACCACTTCCTTCGTTCTTCACGATCCGTCGCTCGACGTTCTTTATAAATTCCAGAATCTGATTGTCCCCCGAGCAATTCGACAAGTTTTTTAAAAATCGAATCAGACTATAATGGGACATCAAATATATTTCTATTGGCAAAAAAAAAGAGGATTTTATTATTTTATTCGAAATTATTTAACTATTTCGTGGAAACAAAAAAGGAGACAAAAAAAATAAGAAGCAATTGGGAAATTTCGACAAAAAAATGCTCTCGATATTCAGATCACCACTCTTTAAATTCACTTTAAAAGATTAATTGAAAAATTATATTCTTTATTATATTAACGGAAAAATTCGAATGGCTCGCCCAAATAGAATTCGCGTAATTTGAGTTGTCTCTGAATACTTCTTGCGACTTTCTAGGTCGTAAAGAAGCCGCCCGGTTGAGGATGAATATCCCCGACCTGCGTGAGACAGTGTGTCGATTAGCCTGACTCGATCCCCACGAAGGAGGTCCGAGTCAGTTGATCTCCTTCGCCACGTTGAGGCTCACCAGCATCATGCCGAAACCTGATGTGGGTCATCGCCGATCCCACCATGGGGATCACCCAAGGACATCCCACAACTATCATCCGAGGATAATAGAAGTAGAAGTGGTTGGGCAAGCCACGTCTGGCTGGGCCCCGGGTCTACTGGTGATATGCTAATGTGGTTTTTGTCTTCTCAGCATAGCAACTTACTACAAAGTAGTAGCAAGCCACTATGCCAAGAAGCACGGTCCATGTGCACCCGAAAGGCTGGACATATTGACATAGCTGGCCAATCCACGTCAATATAGGTCTGGGCCAGATGCCATCCTGACTAGTATGGAGGACACCCGGTGAAGCAAATTTCTAAAGCATAACCATCCATAACGCCTTTCCAGGAACTCTAGAGTACTTGAAACGGGGTCGTTTGGGTAGGGTTCGATTCCCGGCTACGGAATCAGGGCTGAAGGGCTTGCCAGGCCAATCACCCGAATTTAGGATTCAGCGGATAAGCCGCCATCCAGCCAACGCCGCGGCACTACGGGGGATCAGGAAGCCTTGGCGTTTGGGGAAATGGCCGACTACGGCCCTAATATAGCCTACTACGGCTCTAATAAAGCCGACTACGGCGGATTAAGTAGAATAGGGGCCCTTAGTATGGATTATGCTTAATGGTGGGGAACAATTAAGTTGTGAGGGTGAATCGATTCACCGGCATCCTTCTATCGGCGGCGGCAGCGACGATACCTAAATACCTAAAAACCTAAATAAAACAATTTTTAATACAATATGGAAGAGGGGAAGCCAGTCATTAGTGGAATGACTGGCATGACCGTAAGTGGTACGGTTTTCCCCCAAAAGAGAAGAGATGGTTGGTCCCAAACGGTAGGATCGAGAGAAGTCTCGAAGCTATTCTCGAAAGAAATTCTCTCGGTACCCTCTACGTGCTGCCCGCTTCATTTTCGAAGCTTCGTTTCCAAAAATGAGCACTGAAATGTCATACAAATTTCTTCAGAAAAAATAAATAAATCGTATTTGATTGACCCCGATTTATTTAACTATTGAAATCTATGAATTTCGAAACGTTGTGTAATCACGGCCGTATGAACTCTGCGGACTTGCATTTTAATCTACGCGCAAAAATTGCGATTTGTTGGTTTTTCCAATAATCTCGAATTCACGAAATTTCGACAGCGAAATTGAGCGGACCCTCAAAAAACCATTACGAATGGATTTTCGATGTTTCATCATGGACCCTAAAAATTTGCATGGTTGCTAGTAGAAATCGAAAATATTCCCCTCCCCCATCGTAATAAACGAAAATGCATTTTGCGACGGCCCATTCATTCCAAGAAAAAAAAATGATTTTTTTATTTTTATTATTTTTTTTTATTGTTGAGACCGCCAATTCTTTGAAGTTGCCCGGTTGCAATGTGCCGGTGGTGAGTTGCGATTGCATCACATTTGACGACAAATTGCAGACGGACTATAAGAATGGAGAGGATTACGATTTCGTGCGAATGATGGAATTCGAAGATTCCATCGAAGTGAGCGGCACATTGTTATCGTCGAACAAATCTCGAGTGAATTTGATCATTTTCAAAAATTCCTCGAATTATCAGCTATTCAATATCAATTTGCACAGTGAAGGCAATATTCCGTTCCTCTCGTATATCAATCAGTATAGTCTGGTAAAAAATTCGGCAAAAAAAACCGCAAAATTGGGAATTTTCAGCTAAGTGGAGTATTTCTTCGAAAATTGGGGCCGATGTCCGGCGAGTTTGTGATGCGATTCGTTGCGAGACCCGGCCGATTGGCGATCTACAAAAACGAGCGAACCTTCGAGGATTTCGAGATTCCATTCAAGTCTTGGAAAATTTCGCGAATTCAAATCAAAGGAATGAAGTCGACTCGATATTTGAAGCAGTTTGTTGCGAAAAAAATTAGTGACTCAAAATTATTTTGCAGGAATTGCAATTGTAGATCAATAGCTCAAAAATCGCAAGATTTGAAGAATTGCCTGAATATCTAGCTTCTCAATTTTCTTGCTTGAATAAACTTTTAAAAAATCTTTGGATTCGATTATTAAGAGGCCAATCAACGCGCTCCTCGTAAATCGCGCCGAGCGGAGCCGCCGCGCACACTCAACCTACTGCTACAGTAACGGCGCTTGGGAAAAAGGAGGGCGCACGCAAATTAACCCACAATTTCTTGCTTCCTACGCTTCGGCTCGCCCGTTCGCTTTATTTTCGGACTAATTTCTCGCTTTTTTTGCTATTGATTTTGAGTATTGTTGAAAAAACACAAATGTTTTATTCAGGTGTCGCAGGATCCTGCGCTTTGTACGCAATGCTAAGAGACAGTTACCGTAATCCTCGCAGCGATTTACGGAGTTTTTTTTTAAATAATTTTCTTTGAATTTTTTCGCTCAATTTTTGTATTTTCTTTAGAAATCTTTTATTAAAAAAAAACTGTAGAAACCGAGTTTAATTATTTATTTTTCAGAAAATGAAAAAAAATTTCGAAGGGAAATACGGAAGTTGAGCGAAAAAAAAAATGAATATGCCAAATTAAAAAAAAAAGTCCCTGTAAATCGCTGCGAGGATTACGGTAACTGTCTCTTAGCATTGCGTACAAAACGCAGGATCCTACGACACCTGAATAATACATTTGTCATTTTTCAACAATACCTCTTCTACTTTCAAATACGCTCGAAACGCCCAAATCATGCTATTTCAAGCTTTCCTGCTCTCACACTCATCGCCGATTAAGAATGCAGCTTGTCGATGACAACTCACCATTCGTCACGCGCATTTATGAATTATGACGTCGTCTTTTTTTTAACGAAATTTTCAATCAAATTTTTGCCAAGCATCCTATTTTTGATGGATGGATGTGTTGAAAATTGTGCAAATATTTTTATTAGTGCAAAAAATGTATGTACACTGAAATTTTCGGAAATTCGCTTCCAGCGGCAACAGAAATAATATTCGTGTTTGGTAAAAATTTGAAGAAAATCATCTGCGGACATTGTTGCAGGCCACCAATTTGGAATATCTAAAAAAAAGAAGGTCGTTAAACATGAAAATGGGATTCGTTTTATGAGAATCCATAAATGCTCATTGTTTTTTATTTTCAATTGTTTCAAAGGTCCCCCTCATTCATACCAAAATGCATCGAAACGTGTTGTTGCTTCAAATTTTGGTCCAAATTTTGGAATCCATCGATTTGTCGTGCTATACGCCATTGGTGGGCTCGAATTTCATATCAATCGATAAATTTTTTTTGATCAGGTGAACTACACGCGAGGCACGGCGCCGAAATTGCCGCGATTCATGAAATACGACGATCATATTCGAATTTCGGGCCGTCTCACTCAAAACGTTTCGCATTATTTCATGACGATCGTCATCGAAATCGAAGATTATCGCGCTGTGCTCAATTTGATGCCGGAAAATGGGAGCCGCTACGAGCCCGATTATGATTACAAAGACGTGAATCTAAATGTGAGCTTCATCCCTTCGTGACGAATCCCATCTGCGGACATTTCACGATTTCCCGCAAGCTCGAAATTGTCCGCAGATAATTTTCAATGAATTGCAGTCAATTCATTGGAAATCGGTGGCCACCATCTTCGATTCGGACGAACCCACGTTCGAATTGAAGATTGTGCGTCGAGAAGAATATTACTTCGTCTACAACCACAACGAATTCAAATGTATGCTCGTGCAAAGGTGGAATATCACCCGCGTCGAAATCCGTGGACTTGAGAACATTTCCACTATCACATAGTACGGGCCTTTCAAACCCCGCTCCCTTTCAGCCTAAAATAATTCGTTGCAACTTCTTTCAGCGTTTGCGATTGTCGAACGAAACAGCAAAACGCGGAGGACTACGCGAAATGCCTTCATTTTTGATCGCTGCTGTCCCGGATGAATGTCGGCAGCTCGAAATCGCATAAATCGAATTTCGTGCTTTTCAATGAACTATTTTCGAGTTTCTCAAGACTCGAAATACAGATTTATGTGGCCTAGAGTTTAAACGAATGATTTCGGCCACGGCCATGCATTCGCCGACCAAGCGTATGTTGGGTGCGTCGTCTCTTTAGTGGTTGCACTGTCTCTCGTCGTTCGTCTCGTCGTCTCGCGCTCTCTTAAATTTTCCAACAACAGCACTCAAATTGCTCGGTGTGTGTGTGTGCTTGCGTACAAAACATTTTAGTTTACGCGCATTGCTTGAAGGCAATTTTTAGAGCAGAATTCTCAACTAATTCGTTGTTCGATCGCAAAGAAAATCAAACCAAATCGAAATTATCGAATTGATTGATGAGTGTCGTTCCGTATAAAATGCTAACTTCTGAAATGAGCTTTGGAGAAAGAGCATTGGGTCTCGAAGCGATGAATGATTAAACCATTGATTCATTGGAATTTTAGGGGATTGTCTTGTATCATATTTAAAGGAACATTGGGAGTAAACGCTATTATCGCATATTGAAACACGATATTATTCGATAACAGAGATTGTGATCTACCATGTCCCTTTAAAGAATTGTGCTCAGAAGGAATTTGAAATATTTTGAGGGTTTCGGCATTTTTGACATATACACAAATTCACAAATGAAGCGCATACGAAAAATAATTATATAAAAAGTAAATTGGTCAATTAATTAATTAATTAGAGTTTGAGGCATTCGCGAATGTCGTCGTTGTTTCGCGCTTTCAGCCGACAACTGCAGCCTCTGAAAAGAGGAAGATCAATCATTTTTGTTTTCGCCTTCAATTTTCGATGAATCGAATCGTACTGCACGATTCTGTCGACTCTGATGTGGCCGATGACGTCGATCGATCGGTAGATGTCGGTGGCGTTGAAGACGTGCCGAAGGACGCCCGACTTGAAGATGTGCAACTCGCCGACTCGCCGCACGATTTTGATGCGGTACTCGCGGCCGGTCGGCTCAAACTCGGGAATTTTCGCGAGTCGCGTCGCCTATGAATGGGGTAATTAATTTTGGGATAATTGCCCAATTTAATTACCGTGCCCTCTTGCACATTGACGTTGTAGTAGATTGAGGCGGACGTCGTCTTCGAATTGGTCGCCAACGCGAATTGCTGATCCATTGTGACGCCCTTGTTGAGATGGATCGTCGCGATGTCGTCGAGGGTGCCCTCGACGGAGATATAGTCTTCGGGTTCGAGATTGTTGTAGAACTCGTAAACGGTTCCCAGCGAGTAATTTAGCTGCAATTAGTGGGTCGACTTAATTAGACGTTGGTTTTCGTTTTGAGAAGGTAACGCCCATCATTTTCATACTAGATTGCTAGCGAATTGAAATGCAAACGCGCTCTATTGATAACACGCCAAATAAGCACCTACCAGCGGAACATTGCAGCTGGGAAGCATTAGCGATTCGAAATTCTTGATGCAGAAGAAGACGTTTAGAAGCTTGAGTAGCATTGGTTGTTTTCTGGGCTCCGGAAAAATACGCGATTCGAAATGGCTGAATGGGAAGTTTTTTGATTAAATCGAACGTCATTTTCCATAAATCTCGTTTGTTTCCATGTCGTGTCTTTTAGTTTTATTTTAATAAAATGGTGCTGCGGACATTGTTGCGGACTGGTATGAGACAAACCAATCCCCTAGGGACCATTAAGATCTTCCCAAGCAGGGTTGTCAAAAAAACAGGGCCCCCCGGCCCGGCCCTGGGCCCTATAGGGCCGAGGCCGGGCCGGGGGGCCCTACAGGCCCAGTTTGAATTGCCGCCGACGCTAATTACACTAAACAATAGGCAGCGTAAACGCGGAGCGTCGTTTCTAGTAGTTTTTTTCTCTCATTCTATTGATTCTTTGCAACTTTTCTCATTTAATTAGCGATTAAATGTCAATTAAATAAAATAATTTTCATATGGATACTCCGTTGACGCCGAAATCAAGAACTTCTACAAACCATAGGACATTTAATAAAGAAGAAGTGAAGAAACGAATAATGGAATCTAACGTCGTTTTGGTAAAATTATTAATACTAGAATAAACTTTTTAATGAAATAAATTTAGGAGAACTTAATTTCATTCAATTTATAATTAAAATCTTAGAACGAAAGCGTTCAAATGCACTTCGCGCTTCCATATTATATTGGTCTACTCGTGCACTATGAAGAATTGATGAACAGTATCGAGACTTATGAAGTATAATACAAAAATAATTTTAAAATGAACTTTCATTTAAGGCATTGCGGACATTAAGCAAGTCTGCGTATTTAGCATTAAAAGAAAATGTAACAGCGTATGGCAAAATCCACGCAGCGGCTACGTTTTTAAATCCAGTTACGAAGGATTTGACGGTTTTACAAGACCTCTGCGACAAGCATTCGGTAGATAACTTATTGATAATTTTAATAATTGAATTATTCAGCTGCCATTTGATCTTTATGAAGATGCAGCGGAATATATCACCAATGTTCATAACGACTGCTTCAACATCAAAGAGATGCGGCAACAAGATGAGAACAAACCAATAATTCCGCTTCCATCCATATTACAAAAAATCATCCCCGCTATTGCACCAACGAGTTGCACCATAAATGACGAGATTAATCGTTATAAAATCGACCAGAATAGGAATTCCCCCGAAATCTATTGGCCTATGAATAGATCTATTTTACCCAATTTGTACCGCGTTGCCCGGAAAATCTTTTCATGTGCAACCTCTGAAGCTGCGGTTGAGAGACAATTAAGTCACGTTAAGTTCATTTTTTCTAATAATCGTAGACGAATGTCGTTTGCATACGCTGAAAAGCTCATTGTATTCAGTGAAATCCAGGCGAAAACCAACTTGAATATTTAATTTGTTTTCTATTACAATAAATTTTTTAGATATAAAACATGTAAATTTCAAACAATAGATCTATCTGTTTTGTATTCGAAAAATAATTCAATAATAACAAACTGAAAAATGTCCGCAGAAGTTTAAAATGAAAATTATCTTGTAAAGGTTTAAAACAACAGGGCCCCCGGCCCGGCCCTAGGCCCGGCCCTATAGGGCCCAGGGCCGGGCCGGGGGCCCGTTTTGACAACCCAGTCCCAAGCCTCTATCAAAAGATCGCTGGGTTTGGAAGCATTTGAGATTCGAATGTAGTCAAAAATAATGGATGGGTCTAAAACACGCAAAAAATCAGAAAATAATCCAAAAGCAGAATTGGGCGGAATTCCGAATTTCGCGTTTTGCAATTAATTCATCAACGCTGGGAATTTGCGTCAAATTCGGTGTTTGACGCACATTTGCAGATTTCGACATTATTTTTTCGATTGGGCTGAGGAATTCGGCGATTTCAAATGTTTCATTCCGCCCAACTCAGCTGTAGTTTTGGGTGTGATGTTGTCTTCTCTGAATTGCCTTCTCTATGGGACCATTTACGATTCGTGTGGACACATTAAGTGCACGGCGATCGAGTAGGACCCCCAAGGAATGTTTTTTGTGCACAGAATTAAAACCACATCTAGTTTCACGGGCGGTTTTTTAAAGTGCTGAAACCTTCTTAAAATAATCTGATACTGTCTGAAAATGCCTCAAAATTTGACAAGTCGACTTTCGCAATTTCCACAATTTCCATGGATATTTGTCTAGACGCTTGATTTATTTCCAAAGGCGCACATTGGTTTTGCTCGAGATGGTCTCGAAACGAGAGAAACGTCCAACGATTTATTTCAAATGCAGACAATCTTCAACGTATTTCCCGCTGTTTGCTGCTGACCGACAATCGCAATTCCTACAAAATTGAGCCACTTAATTGGCCAATTAACTCGCCACCAATCTCTCAACTTACAGTGTTACATTGTATTGATCGAAACATTTATCAAATGAAAGTGATGTGATCTCCCAACCGACGGGAGTGTTCAACTCCAATTTGAGCTCGTCCATCTTGTAGATCATCAGTTTGCCGGGTCGCCATCGAATGTTGAGGGCGTAAATGGGACCCGTCGGTGTGAAATCAAATTCAATATTATCGAAGAACATCTACAAGAAGCGGATTAATCAATTGGGGAGTGTAATTAAGCAATTATCAACACTGGGCTGAGTGCCATTTCTATAGTAGAGGGTCGCGGATTGGTCCGTGTCGAGTGAGTAGAGAAAGAACAGGTTGACGCTTTTCGGATTCCACAGGTAGAGCTTGCATTCGCCGACAATGTGGCCGTCGATTCGAATGGAATCCTCGAATTGAAGGCTGCGCGGAAATCTGCAACGATCCTCGTAGGGGCAGCTTTCCTGTAAAATTTCATCTCGACGTCGAGATGATCGTTCGAAGGAACGTCCGTTACCAATGGGGTATTGCATTCGATCATCTTCGAAATGACAATTACTGGCCAGGCAATGATCAAGAGCAATTTGAGAAGCATTGTCATCTGAATTTTGCTTTTGATCTACTCTTGTTCCACATGGCGCTTTGTCAATCTTTGTTTTGGTTTGACGGTTAAAGGCGCTAGCTGTTGGCCAATTCAAACGAGCATTGATGGTCTTGAAACGATTATTTTCTTAAAGGCGCATTGGAAGTGATAATTCGTTATTTAAATTTTTTTTTGTTTTTAAGAAGCGGTTAAGAAGCTTAATTAATGATGGGGGGCGGGTCATAATTAGAGGATAATTAAAGGCTTGAATACGCTATCCGAATAAAAATTGGGTCTCGAATGGAATACAGATTCTATCATTCACAAAAGAATTTGAGGAACATTTTTTTAGGGGCTCGGAAAAATGGCGCTTTTTTGAAATGACTGGCGAAAGAATTTTTTGATTAATTTGAACACTAATTTGCATAAATCTCGTTTCTATGTCGTTTCTTTTTTTCTTTTTGAGAAAGAGAGAAGACACAAAAAATGTATTCTGAAACATCTAACATAAGGACATATTGGACTTTTGGTTTTGAGTTAATTGTTGCCTTAATTATCAGCACTAATTGCCATTCACCTCGGATGGGGATGGTGTCGGTGATTGTCGTCGAGACCTACATATGTTCGTTGCTGATGACTCAAAAAATGGCAAAATAGTCGTCATAATCAAAAAATAATTGGTCGATGTCTGCGGAAAATCGACTAAATGCCAAAATAAAATGGATTGGTACTAAACTAAAAGTGTCGATTTAAGGCCTATGTATACGAATAAGTTAAAAGCGCACACCGAGACCTCTTTTAAAACTCCACAGAGATGAACGGCGACATAGGCACAATGGAAGGATAATGGAACGGCTGTAGATATCATAGGAATCTTATCTGCTAGGAACAATGTGTTTCGTGTATGGAATGAGCAGTATGCCTTCAATATGGGAGAATAGAAAAACCAGTTGATTGCTGTATTCAACATTTATTTCATATTAACACATTTATTTAACAAAAAAAAACAACAATGAAATGTATTGAAATTAAGAAATAATCAAACCATTATTTACTAGAAACTTCCATTGTATTCGAATAATTGACAAGGTTGCTGGTAGATCGTTTAATTTAATTAATAAATGAACAGTCATAGTGTAAAATCTTACAGAAGATTATCGATAACTTCTCGCACTATGCGTAGTGCCTTCGATTTGCAGTCATATGTGACTACTTGTTCAAAACCATGGATGAGAACATCTGTGACATAGATATTTGCAATAAAATGTAGGATGAATTCCTCTTGACATTTCTTGACATTTCCGCAACATTTCATCATGAATCGATCTCCGAAATATAAGTAACCCTTCGATGACGATGGACTCGATGAGTATGCCGGAAACCACTTATCTTTTAAAGCTACCTAAAATATAATTTTGATTTATTTATATTGTTAAATGGCCTATAAAAATACTTTTGTGAGAGCTTCTCGCATTAGAGTCCGACCGTCCCTATCAAAATATGAAGACGACAGATTGGAAGCGATCATAGGGGAAATCAAGTCCTTACATTGAAATGAGTAAAAGCTCGGTAGAATGAACTCCTCATGGCATTCCTTGATAACTTTATCAATACTGAATCCTTGCATAGGCTTTATAATATTTTCTTGACTTGTTCGCATCTTTTCAAATTCATTTGATACAGATCTCCATTGTTTAACAAGAGTATTTAACTGAAATGAAACATTCAATTAGGTATATATATATATATTTATTTATTTACATGGATGAGAACATCAGTGACATAGATATTTTGCATTGAAATGGGACCTTTATAAAGCCTTTAAAATAATTGAATATAGTCATTGGGAATACTTCTGCAGTTACGGAAAGACATACGGCACATACGAAATAGAAGGTAGACAAAATTTTTTTCATTTTTTGAAAAATAAAATCACTAAAAAATCTTGAAAATCCATTGGAAATAAACAAAATGACAGAAATGTTGAAAACGACATTCGAAAATAGTGAGGCGTGGTCGCATTGTGCAAAGCGGCGCACGGTTTTGAAATGCTGCGGCACACCTCTTCTATGCGCGTCTTCTACCAGTATGGAGCAAACTTTGAGTAGTTTGTGATGTCAATATCGGACAAACCGGCAAAACATATTCATATGACCAAATTGTAAATGGCAATCTTTAAACAAAGTGAGGCACAGTTGACTGAATTAGCATAAATCTAAGTAACATAAGCCATTAATTGTAGAAGCTAAACTTCGTCCGATGTGCATCATGTAATTTTCAAATTTTCATTGTTTATTTATTTGATTTTTTTGTCGTCCAGACGCCAATTATATATTGGGTATTCCATTCATATTCATTCCGGGAACCCCCTTCACTATGAATTCGAGCACATTAGAATTGAATTATTTACAAAGAGCATTCGAAAATAACGCCGCCGTGGCCGAATAATTCGCGACCACCCACTCATCTGACATCCATTAGAAATGTTTGAATTTTCACAAATTTATTCAATTTGGACAGACTGGCCAATTGCAGAAAATTATGGAATGCGATGCTCACACGTCATAGGTGAATTGCGATAGTAGAAAAAATAATTGAAACTTCTCAATCGATAAAAATAAAGTTTAAGAAATCTATACCCAAAACAATTAGGTGAATTTTGTGATTTTTGTTGGAAACAAACGACTTTCATGGGGACGGAGTGTAAAAATTTGAACCGCCCAACTTGGGCTCGTCAATAATTTACGATTTGACAGCGAATCACATATATGCAAAACTACAGTAAAGGCATTTACAAAAAAATAAAAAATAAATATTATTGATGACGTGTTATTATTTCTTTGCCTTCTCCGAGTCCGCAACAATGTCCGCAGCACCATTTTATTAAAACACAACGACTTTATTAAAACACAACGATCTCACAAATCTGTTGCCAAAATGACGCTTTTGGTGGGAATGAAGCCTTGTTTCTCGTCGGTGCCGCGCTGCACCCAAATCCATTCTTCCATTGATGGTCCGCAGCAACGGACCCATTCGCCGGCGGGCACCGACAAATCCAGCGGACAGCGAGCCGTGTAGGGCTCGACGACGAGCAGCGACTCGTTTTCCCTGCAAATCAAAAAACGAAATTGACAATGATAATTTTGATAGCATATGAGATTCTGACATAATTAGTGGGGAGCCCAATTAACTCAAAACCAAAATGGCAATGTGTCAGCGGGTGCCGTAAAACGAATTCTCGCCAAAAGAAACGACATGGAAACGAACGAGATTTATGGAAAATGACGTTCGAATTAATCAAAAAACTCTTCCCATTCGGCCATTTCGAATCGCGTAATTTTCCGGAGCCCAGAAAACAACCAATGCTGCTCAAGCTTCTAAACGTCTTCTTCTGCATCAAGAATTTCGAATCGCTAATGCTTCCCAGCTGCAATGTTCCGCTGGTAGGTGCTTATTTGGCGTGTTATCAATAGAGCGCGTTTGCATTTCAATTCGCTAGCAATCTAGTATGAAAATGATGGGCGTTACCTTCTCAAAACGAAAACCAACGTCTAATTAAGTCGACCCACTAATTGCAGCTAAATTACTCGCTGGGAACCGTTTACGAGTTCTACAACAATCTCGAACCCGAAGACTATATCTCCGTCGAGGGCACCCTCGACGACATCGCGACGATCCATCTCAACAAGGGCGTCACAATGGATCAGCAATTCGCGTTGGCGACCAATTCGAAGACGACGTCCGCCTCAATCTACTACAACGTCAATGTGCAAGATGGCACGGTAATTAAATTGGGCAATTATCCCAAAATTAATTACCCCATTCATAGGCGACGCGACTCGCGAAAATTCCCGAGTTTGAGCCGACCGGCCGCGAGTACCGCATCAAAATCGTGCGGCGAGTCGGCGAGTTGCACATCTTCAAGTCGGGCGTCCTTCGGCACGTCTTCAACGCCACCGACATCTACCGATCGATCGACGTCATCGGCCACATCAGAGTCGACAGAATCGTGCAGTACGATTCGATTCATCGAAAATTGAAGGCGAAAACAAAAATGATTGATCTTCCTCTTTTCAGAGGCTGCAGTTGTCGGCTGAAAGCGCGAAACAACGACGACATTCGCGAATGCCTCAAACTCTAATTAATTAATTAATTGACCAATTTACTTTTTATATAATTATTTTTCGTATGCGCTTCATTTGTGAATTTGTGTATATGTCAAAAATGCCGAAACCCTCAAAATATTTCAAATTCCTTCTGAGCACAATTCTTTAAAGGGACATGGTAGATCACAATCTCTGTTATCGAATAATATCGTATTTCAATATGCGATAATAGCGTTTACTCCCAATGTTCCTTTAAATATGATACAAGACAATCCCCTAAAATTCCAATGAATCAATGGTTTAATCATTCATCGCTTCGAGACCCAATGCTCTTTCTCCAAAGCTCATTTCAGAAGTTAGCATTTTATACGGAACGACACTCATCAATCAATTCGATAATTTCGATTTGGTTTGATTTTCTTTGCGATCGAACAACGAATTAGTTGAGAATTCTGCTCTAAAAATTGCCTTCAAGCAATGCGCGTAAACTAAAATGTTTTGTACGCAAGCACACACACACACCGAGCAATTTGAGTGCTGTTGTTGGAAAATTTAAGAGAGCGCGAGACGACGAGACGAACGACGAGAGACAGTGCAACCACTAAAGAGACGACGCACCCAACATACGCTTGGTCGGCGAATGCATGGCCGTGGCCGAAATCATTCGTTTAAACTCTAGGCCACATAAATCTGTATTTCGAGTCTTGAGAAACTCGAAAATAGTTCATTGAAAAGCACGAAATTCGATTTATGCGATTTCGAGCTGCCGACATTCATCCGGGACAGCAGCGATCAAAAATGAAGGCATTTCGCGTAGTCCTCCGCGTTTTGCTGTTTCGTTCGACAATCGCAAACGCTGAAAGAAGTTGCAACGAATTATTTTAGGCTGAAAGGGAGCGGGGTTTGAAAGGCCCGTACTATGTGATAGTGGAAATGTTCTCAAGTCCACGGATTTCGACGCGGGTGATATTCCACCTTTGCACGAGCATACATTTGAATTCGTTGTGGTTGTAGACGAAGTAATATTCTTCTCGACGCACAATCTTCAATTCGAACGTGGGTTCGTCCGAATCGAAGATGGTGGCCACCGATTTCCAATGAATTGACTGCAATTCATTGAAAATCATCTGCGGACAATTTCGAGCTTGCGGGAAATCGTGAAATGTCCGCAGATGGGATTCGTCACGAAGGGATGAAGCTCACATTTAGATTCACGTCTTTGTAATCATAATCGGGCTCGTAGCGGCTCCCATTTTCCGGCATCAAATTGAGCACAGCGCGATAATCTTCGATTTCGATGACGATCGTCATGAAATAATGCGAAACGTTTTGAGTGAGACGGCCCGAAATTCGAATATGATCGTCGTATTTCATGAATCGCGGCAATTTCGGCGCCGTGCCTCGCGTGTAGTTCACCTGACCAAAAAAAATTTATCGATTGATATGAAATTCGAGCCCACCAATGGCGTATAGCACGACAAATCGATGGATTCCAAAATTTGGACCAAAATTTGAAGCAACAACACGTTTCGATGCATTTTGGTATGAATGAGGGGGACCTTTGAAACAATTGAAAATAAAAAACAATGAGCATTTATGGATTCTCATAAAACGAATCCCATTTTCATGTTTAACGACCTTCTTCTTTTTTTTAGATATTCCAAATTGGTGGCCTGCAACAATGTCCGCAGATGATTTTCTTCAAATTTTTACCAAACACGAATATTATTTCTGTTGCCGCTGGAAGCGAATTTCCGAAAATTTCAGTGTACATACATTTTTTGCACTAATAAAAATATTTGCACAATTTTCAACACATCCATCCATCAAAAATAGGATGCTTGGCAAAAATTTGATTGAAAATTTCGTTAAAAAAAAAGACGACGTCATAATTCATAAATGCGCGTTGTTTTTTTTTTGCGAATTGTTTCAAAGGTCCCCCTCATTTATACCAAAATGCATCGATACGTGTTGTTGCTTCAAATTTTGGTCCAAATTTTGGAATCCATCGATTTGTCGTGCTATACGCCATTGGTGGGCTCGAATTTCATATCAATCGATAAATTTTTTTTGGTCAGGTGAACTACACGCGAGGCACGGCGCCGAAATTGCCGCGATTCATGAAATACGACGATCATATTCGAATTTCGGGCCGTCTCACTCAAAACGTTTCGCATTATTTCATGACGATCGTCATCGAAATCGAAGATTATCGCGCTGTGCTCAATTTGATGCCGGAAAATGGGAGCCGCTACGAGCCCGATTATGATTACAAAGACGTGAATCTAAATGTGAGCTTCATCCCTTCGTGACGAATCCCATCTGCGGACATTTCACGATTTCCCGCAAGCTCGAAATTGTCCGCAGATAATTTTCAATGAATTGCAGTCAATTCATTGGAAATCGGTGGCCACCATCTTCGATTCGGACGAACCCACGTTCGAATTGAAGATTGTGCGTCGAGAAGAATATTACTTCGTCTACAACCACAACGAATTCAAATGTATGCTCGTGCAAAGGTGGAATATCACCCGCGTCGAAATCCGTGGACTTGAGAACATTTCCACTATCACATAGTACGGGCCTTTCAAACCCCGCCCCCTTTCAGCCTAAAATAATTCGTTGCAACTTCTTTCAGCGTTTGCGATTGTCGAACGAAACAGCAAAACGCGGAGGACTACGCGAAATGCCTTCATTTTTGATCGCTGCTGTCCCGGATGAATGTCGGCAGCTCGAAATCGCATAAATCGAATTTCGTGCTTTTCAATGAACTATTTTCGAGTTTCTCATCGACGCAACAAAAAATGATAAAAAGTGTGTGGATTTCGAAACTTCGACACCTACCATTTGTCAAACTTCTTCTCACACTCGATTCGCGGTAGATCAAGGAAGCTCGAGGGCACGAATCCCAACTGATTGCTATCGTTGCGCACGTAGGCCCATTCCGAATCGCTCGTGTTGAGCACGGTCACCATTTCCGATTGGCGAACACTCAGATCGTCCGGCGAAATTGCGCTAAACTCGTGGAGGACGCTGGCGCGACATTTCTCCTCCTGCAAATTTCGCCCACATTCAAAAATTTGTCGCTTTAACAATTTTTCGTGCTGCGGACAATTTTCGCCGTGGGAGTTCCCAAATTTTTCAATTTTAGCCAGTTTTAACGATGTACAATCAAATCGCATTTCGAAATTTATCAAATTCCATCTTCCGACATTTCCCGCGTGCCAAAATTTGCACATTTTATATAAAAATCGAAATTTCACATATATTTCCATCAAAATGTGGAAAATTTCAAAACAAAAAAGTTCAAAACTGTCTGACTTCTCTGTACTCTCTAGCTCTCTTTTATCAAATTTTATTCAGAAAAAAAAAGAAAAAAGGGATTCAGAAAAAATTAATCGAAGATACGCGAATTTTCGATGGAATCGCTTCGAGTCCCATCACATAAATAAACGGCATGCGTCTTTTCAACTACCGCTGCTTTATTTTTAGGATTTTTGTTTATTTTTGATGACATTTTTTTCGTTTTTATTTGTAGGGATACGGTAGATTAAGACGCATGCCATTTATTTATACGATTGGTCTCGAAGCGAATCCATCAAAAACACGCGTATCTTCGATTCTTTTTTTCTGAATCGCCGTTTTTTCAAAATTATCAAAAATTTCAAAACCGTCTCACTTCTCTGTCAACTCTCTCACCTCGCCACACTCTCACCAAACGTCTGCGCCCTCCTCAATTTGCACACTATTTTCAAACAGACAGATACAGCTGATCGACTTCACGCAACTCCAGCGCAATCTCATATCAATTCGCATCTGCGGACAATTCCCGACTTCTCGTCACCGCCGCGCCCGCTTCGCATTTTCACTTATCAATTGCCATCTGCGGACAATTTCCAAGCGTTTCGCCTACCAGCTCAAACGGGATGCCGTCGTCCTTCTGAACGGGCAGACTATCAATGAACCTCTGCAAATTCGACTTCTCCCATTTGCGCTCCAAACTCGCCGCGCTGATCGCCTGGCGTGGCTGCTGGAAAAAAGAGAGAGAGAGAAAAATCACACCGCCAAACTTGCGCTACCGTAGTCCTCGACGAGGTCTTGCCGCGCTCGCCCGCCGCTCCCAAATACAGCTTACAGTAGGCCTGCGGAACGAATCCGCGTCGTCCGTCTGACAGTTGCACGTAAACCCACTGATCGTCGCGATAGAGCGCTTTCACCGTCGTGCCACGCGTCACACTGATCTCATCGGCCACCTGAAGCTACTGTACTTGTTGTACAAACGAAACGATTACGGTAGGGCTTACGGTAGCTGTGAAGTTTTTCGTCAATTGACCGGGTGTGTAGGGCTCGAAGTGCTCAACGCTGCCGCAATCCACCCATCCGCTATCAGGAGCTGAAAATGGCGGTGTTTCGGGTGACGGGTCGTGCGAAACCAAACCTTTTCCGGAAATCACCTTCCAAAAAATGCTTCGAAAACCCATTTGCCGCGAAAAAACCGATGCGAGTTTTTCGCCGATCGCCGCCCTCGCCTGTCATTTTGCATTATTTGCGCATTACGACAGTCGCTAGGCGGAAAAAAAACGATTTCGGAATCGACGATCTCAACGGAAAATACAATTAAAATAGGAATTTCGAGGCGAAAATCGATCAAAATCATCAATTTCAAGCCGATTTTTCAAATTTCAAAATCGTCTCACTTCTCTGCCGCCTCTCTCGTCGCGCCGCACTCTCTCGCCGCGTCTGCGCCCTCCCCGATTCGCGCACTATTTCCTTATCCGCCGCCTTGCGAATCAAATGCGGGCAAATTCATGAAAATCTCTTCAACACATTCAGCTGCGGACAATTTTCGGGGTTTCGCCTGTCACGATTTTCAATGTTTATCCATAGGAAGTGCGCGCAAATCGAATATAATTGCCGATTCCGACGGCGGCGAAAATGAACACGACGCCAATTGTGAAAAAAACGAGGCCCGCGTCATTTTCGCGCAAAATTCGACGATAATCGAGCTCTTCTGGCGGCCGAATGTAATTTTTCGTCATCACTTTTCTTCCTTCTGAAATTTCAGGCACTCAATTTCACATTTTTTTTCACATTTGCCAACTCCTCATTTCTTCGTTGTTTCTTGAAATTCTCATTTAAAAAAATTATTGATATCAGGATGCCCTAAAATGGTAATGACTCGAAGAGTTCGCGGCGAGACCATTGCGAAAAACAAAATTTGAAATTTTCGAAATTAAAATTTTTTTTAGGAAAAAAATTGAAAAAAAAATTTTCATCCCCCCCCCCTTTAAATAATAATATAGAATGGAAATTTTTGAAAAATGAGTTTTCTAGACATTTCAGCACAAAAAGCGCGTACCAGAATACTCGCAAATCGCCGTGCAAAGCGATTTCAGCACGACGGTTTCGTTCCGCTTCATTTTTTGATTTCCATAGAATTGAAGAGCTGGAAAAATTGGCGAAAGTCCACAAAACAAATTCTATAAAGAATGCTTACAAGTGTTAAAACTTTGAATATTTTTGTGAAAACTCAAACGAATCAATTCGGGATTATTCGAAATTCGAATTTTCGAATCTTCGATTATTGTCAATTTGGTGAATTTCAGCTCGGTCACATTTCGCCAAGAGATCACAAAATGCGAATTCGATATTGATTCGACATTCGCTGCAAATTTCAGCAACTCATCGTCGCTCCACATTTTTGTGTTCAATGATCTGCAAAAAGAAGCCCGTTCGTGTTTTTTTTTTCAAAATAAAATCTATCTGCGGACAATTCTAGATTTTGAAAATCAAACAATTTCGGTAAACTCTATATTGTTAATTATAAAAGTTCACTATTCTACCGAAAGTGTGTTGGAAATCCATTTTTGGTCATAAATAGATCTGTCGAAACATTGAAAATGATTATGGGAAAATATGACAAAATTGACTAATTTGCTTATTGCATTATTTACTGTGTTCACATTGTGTATAATTCTACAGTAATATGCGTGGTCAGCTTATCACTGCCACTTGCAATCAACTCGATGTGTGCCCGAATAGCGCAGTCGGTTGGTTGCGCGTTTCAAAGCGATGGTCGCGGTTTTGCTTCCGCACACCCCCATTTGTAACTCCGGCCCATTTTTTGCAAATAATTCTCTCGAAAAAATTACAACGGACGAGCAGTAGCGCCGATTAGATTCACCGAGCATACCTAATTCAAAATTGAAGCAATTGTTTCAAAATTTTGGAGTCTTTCGACATATTTACCACAAAAACTGTTATTAAACCATAATTAGTAGCAGTATCAATTTCGGCCGATCTTTTATATAGCTCAATCGATTTTCGCTTCGAGCCTGGATTTTCCAAAAAAAGAAACCTTGTCAAAAGATGAATCGAATTTTTTCAATAATTCAAAAAATGATTCTATCAATGTGGAATTCCAGAAAATGTTTTTTTTTATGTCAAAACAGCACTTCCATTTTTGGCAATTTGTCAATTCACGAAAGGCAAGTTCCGAGCGGGATCGATGTTTTGCCGATTTTGAGATCATTGCGACGGGGAAAAAATTCCAAAATTTTCAATCTCACCGATTTTGACCAATTTTGGCATACGTAATTGGGACCACTTGCCAAGAATTCTCACCAAAGGATTTTGCCGATTTGATCATTTTTGAGTGACTTATGGTCATTCAAACCATACTCATCAAGACCCGAAACGGCCGATTGACGAATTTTGTATCAATGCAAAAAAATTTTTTTTAATCGAAAAAAACTGGCAAAAATTGAATTTTTATATGAAAACCAATCATTTTTGGGTATTCCAAAAATTTCTGTGGTCAAAAATTTGATTTAAAAGAAAAAAAAGATATTAGTTGCTCATTAATTCCAAAAACCCAAAAAATTTGATTTTCAGTCATTTGTGATTGAAAAAAACTGAAAATTTTTAAATGCTTAGCCTAAAAACACTCAAAAAGCGCCGAAAATCAAAAAAATGCGATTTTTAACTAAAAAAAATTAAATGCAATTTTTTGGCGCTTACCCAATATTTCTGACTTTCAAGCAACGTTCGATTTGATCAAAATCGAGTTCAAATTGGTTTTCACATATTCCTAAATGATAAATTCTCGACAATTTTATACGCCGAAAGCATGGCTCTTAAGAAATATGAAATATACCATTTAATTGCTCATAAGATTGGTTAACTATTGCAAAAAGTAGAAGAATTTTTATCATTTGCTATTAAAAATGACAATTTTCACGCGAGAATTCACTTTTTAATCGGCAAAATTCGCTAAAATTCAAAAAAAAAAATCAAAATCGTCTGACTTCTCTACCCACTCTCTCTCACCGCCACACTCTCTTCCAATGTCTGCGCCCTCCTCGATTTACGCACTATGTCTTGAATTTTTTCACTTTTCAAACTTTTTTTTCGAATTCCGAATAATTTAAATCGTTCCCGTAATATCGTTTTCTTCCTTGTATGCAAATTTTGCCAAAAAATGTTCGATGAGAAATCGAAGATAAGAGGAACAAAACTTGAAATTGTTCGCCGCCCAAAATGTGTGGCAAAACCAAAAGTTCAAAAAAGCAGATTTTTCTATCAGCAGTTCCTGCCAAAACTTGAAATTTGATCGGAAGCCGGACGAATTGACACATATGGATCAAACTATGATTTCGAATATCATAAATCAGCTGTTTCGTCGATTCCGATATTTCGAATAAATGGGTTTTCACCGATAAATCAATCGGAAATAATTAATATATTTTAAAAGTTTGAAAATTGAAATTTTAATTAAAAAAAAGCGATTGAAAATGCGACATAGAAAATTTATTTAATCCACAGTACACTTTTCCATTTAAAACCGTGTGTGAAACATTCCGTGCGCCTTTAATGCATGTTACTGTATTATATTTTTTTCGATTTTTTTTCTGGGGTTTTCTTCAATTTTCCTGTACATATATTCGAACAAGAACATTGGTAAGCACGTCGAAAAAAATAAAAAATTGTATGATTAATTAATTTTTGCCTAATTTCAGGTGGAAAATAGAAATTGTAAGTCAAGAGAAAGGTACTTTTATAGTACAAACGTGAAGCTATCATACTCGAAGATGGGAATTTTCCAGCGCAAAAGGTCACTTAATTAATTCCCGGTTCGCTGGAACCTTAGAAAAATCGGAATCGGTATCTCCACGCGTAATCTCGCTGCCATCCAGCCTGCCAAAAATTCGCGATTCAAATCTCGCTTCCTCGGCTTTTCCTCGGCCCCTCCTCCTTCAACAACAAATGTTTCGGTTGAAAAGCTTCATTTCGATTTACAAAACTACCATAAATGGTTGTGTCGTCGTCGTCGTCGTGGCCGATTTTCGCCGTGTTCTCGATTCTCGCCATCGTTCTACTATTCAAAGCGATAACTGTGAGTGAGGTCAATTAAGTCGGCGCAATTAGCGTCAATAATTCAATTGTAGACCATCAGCGAAGATCGCTATTTTCGTCAGCGTCGAATCATCGAGAAGCTCAATGAGCTCGCCGAGCTCATGCCGCCAATTGAGAACCCCCAATTTTTGGAATTCGTCAATCTCCTGAAAACTATGAAGGAGGCACCGATGATAATTTTTGTAAGTTTTTGGTCCCAACACACCTAAACTAATGTTACAGTACGACTCGTCGAATATAGACATCTTGCGCAATCATATATGCAATTTGAAGTTCATTCCGAACACGCTGCCGCGTCTCGCCACGATTTCCTTTGATCGCCAAGGATTTGAGATGGTCAGCAGCGAATACCCGCAAATTCCCAATATTTTGATCGATTTGGAGCCGTTGAAAGTGAGCATTTTTTTTTGGTGCGGCCCGAATGAGTGTCCGCAGCATCTTAATAAAATTACAATCATTATTTCGCTGGCCAAGATTTTCAAATTAACAAAATACACATTTTTTTGGACTTTTTCAGTTTTTTTTAGGTCGAAAAAATGGAATTTTCCTTTCTTTTTTCGCAAATCTCGCCCGAAATACCCTCAAAAATCACCGATTTCAGTCGCAACTCTCGTCGAACGTTCAAAATCGCGGCTACATCATCTACCAATTGATATTGATGACGCGCGCGCGAATTTGTGCGGCTCTTGCGCGCAACTCGCTCGATTTTTGGGCAATGCAACAGGATTCGATATGGACCGGAAATCTCGTCGGAATGCGTCTCGACACGCGATTTCCCGACGCGAACCTCATTTTCGACACCGTCGGCAACGATCAGGTGGGCGCGCGCAAAAATTTGATTGGCATTTATTGGCGCCATCATTTAATTAAATTGTTGGCGTCAAACGACTGAAGGGAGGCCTTCAAATTGGCGAAATTGGTGTAGATTTAAATTTATCGTTGACTGAATATTAAATGCGCGTACACTATAATGCATGTATACGCAATCTCGCGTACGTCTCGCTGCCTCAGGTAAATGAAAATCAATCGGATTCGAAAATCATTTCGTTTTCAATCGAAATCGAATATGAATCTGTTTCGAATCATTCCAGAATGTCAATCGAACTCGATTTCAAAATTGAAATTGAGAAAAAAATCAATCGATTCTGAAGATTTTTTCAAATCGAATTTAAGCGTTTTATAAACCGAATTTTAATTATTTTTTAATCGAATCAGGCTAATTTATATTTCATATTTCTTCGAATTCGATTGGTTTTCATTTACCTGAGGCCTCGAGACGCATTGGCACATTGCCAATAATTTTTCTTTTTGAATTTCATCAAGTCGTTTGACTTCTCGACAATCGTTGCAGGTCGAGATCTACAATCGAATGCGCGGCTGGATATGCGGCTCGACGTTTTTTGTGCGCGCCGGCGTCGTCAGCACGCAATTCTTCGAGCAGGTTGGTCGCGAGCCGCAAAATTGAGCGCTGAAACCGCTCGATTTGGCGTTTCAAAAATCAATGAAAATTGTTTGGTTTGAAAAAAAAAGAATGCAAAAACTGGATCCGTGCGTGCCCACTTGCGCGGAGGATTTTACGCCATCTGATAGCCATCTAAAATTATCCACAGTTGCCAAAAAATTGCATCAACCGAAACAAAACCATTTTCGCATTTCAAGACACATTTAAGAGAGGCTGTTTAAAGGCGCATGCTTAATGTTGGAGTTTTAAAGGCGCATTGCATCATAGGCTTGATTGCGATTTTTCGCGTTTACAAAAGCGCGCGCACACACAAGTCCGCTCATTAGTTTTCAATGATCGTTTCGAGACCCATTTTAAAGGCACAGCGATAATACATATTTTGTTGCTAATTTTGGCGAATCGTCAATTTTCGACAGTTTGTCGTTTATTTCGCTTTTACGATTTTGTCGATTCAACGCGTTTTTTTTTTGTTTTGCCTAATGCGATATTCATCTCTGCGATTCGAAGTGAGAAGTGGGCGGAGCGATTTGATCTACTCATAATTTTCCGAGTAGATCAAATCAATTTTTGTTTTGAAATCAAGTGAAATCGAGCAATTATCAAAAAAAAAGATATTGAAAATCAATTTCAAGCTATGACTCAAAATTTTTCGTCAAAAAGACGTAAAAATATAATTTCCAGATTAGTTTTTGGTATCTTTTAGAATTTTTTCAGGCAAAAAGCTAAAAGACCTCCCTAAAGGATAAAAAATTGAAATAAATGGTAGCGCGCGAAAATGTGTGCATTCACCGTAACGCAAATATCACAGAAAAAAAATCCTTCAATAAATTTTTTGAAATGCTAAAATTTCTGCTATTTTTCAACTAAAAAAACTATTTTTTTCAGCAAAATCGAAAAGATTCAAAATTTATGAAAATTATTTTTAATAAAATTTCGGATTTATAGGTTGAGCGCCTCATGAGACATCGACAGAGTCCGGATTCGGCGATAATGACGTATTTGTGCGGAAATCGCAAATATAAATGCCAGAAATTGCCGCATTGGTGAGGATTTTTACAATTTTTTGCTTAAAAAACGAGGTTTTGTTCAAAACAATTTCCAAATTTGGAAGTTTTTCGAAGAAAATTGATTTGAATCGTCTCGATTTTCAATAAAATTCAATTGCGACAAAATTCGAGGCATAAATCTCGAGAAAAACTTTGAAAAAATGATTTTCGATGAGAAAATTTCAGGATAATTTCATCGTCGGACTATTTTCTCGCCAAGAGGGACATTGTCCCCGTCGTTGTTCAAGTCGACGCCGATCAGAAGGCGATGTCGAAAATGGAATTGTTCAAAAAATCGCGTTTCGTGTTTCGACACAAAAATGGCACGTGCGATACATCGGCGTTCGTCAGAATCCGGTAGGTAGTGAAATGATAAAAAAAGAGCCTAAAAAAATGCGAAATGAGCATTTTTAGGGAAAAAACACCATTTTAGACAAATTTTGAACTCAAATCGTCAAATTCTGTCAAAAAATTTGTATTTCTGAGAAATTTTTCCGAAAAATCCATTCTCAAATTCATGAAGCCTACAAAATTGAAAATTTCCCATAGAAAAATATTCTAAATCAATTTGGGAATCGAATTTTGAGCAAAAATTCCAAATTTGGGACACAAAAAATCGAAAATCTTTATTTAATATGTTTTTTTCCAACATTTTTATTTTAAATCGTGCAAATCCAAATTTGGGCATTTTCATTAAAAAACACTTTTGATCTACCACAATAATTTTTGTGAAAAGCCAAAATTCGAGCGAGATTTCAAAATTTTCCACTCTTTTTGTCTGAAATCGTTCAGTTTTGATTTTAAAACGAAAAGTTATCTTAAAAAAAAGCTATTGAAAATAAATTTCGAAATTGGGGGGGGGGTAAAAAAAGAAGCAAATCCATCAATTTCAAGCCCCTCCGCGTTTTTATTGAGATTCGTTGTAAAAATCGGGAAAATGGCAAAGTTTTCGGCTGAAAATTCGTTCAGATGCCATCAAATCAAGAAAATTCGAAGAATTGAAAAATTTGGTTGAATTGCCGCGAAAACAGCGTTGTTGTTTGCCGACTTGCGATTATTTTTTCGGTTTTTCTCGCAAATAGATTTTAACTTTTGGTCTTTGATCTTAATTTATTAAAAAACGGAGGCTTGAAAAATCAGAAATATTGAAATAGATGAATATTTCGCGAGAATGTGTGCGAAACAAAACTCCAAAAAAAACACCCATCTGATTTGAATTTTTTTCGCAGCAAAGTTTTTTTTTGGGACCCAATTAATCTCATATAAGCAGTTTCAACGGACCATCGAATTTCGGACACAAAATTAATTGGAATCTCTACACGAATATCTGTGGCAGATCAATTTTTATCCATATTTTATCTATTTTTTGTCCAAATTTGGAAAATTTCGTCCACTGTTGAGATTTGGACGGAAAAATTGATGAAATATGGATCGAAAGTGGATAAAAATCTGATCCGTCACAGATCCCGTTTTTTTTTTCAACGTGTAGCTGTCTAGAAGCTTGACAACTTTCAACATTTTACAGGCACTCAATCCGAAACGCTCTAAAGGACAAAATGCTTGCGGATCCGCGCTCGCCGGAGCCGCTCCGCACCCGAATATGGTACAAACTTCGATCTCTGCTCAACATCGATCCCTATAACAACAAGCGATTTTTGCAAGTGCACGAGTCGCTAATCTAGGCCTCAAAAACATTCATTTGTCAGTCGAAGGAAAAAAAACGATCGGATATTGCATAATAATTATAATGATAATAATTATAGTAATAATCATAATGATAATAATAATAAAGATAATAATAATAAATTCAGAATTCAAAAAAGAGGAGAATGAAGAGTAGGGTAATCAGAAGAATCACAAAACAATTTTTAAGCAAAACTCAATTTATGGTATTTTTGGGCGATTTTCGTAGCGGGGCAATTTCAAAAAGTACCGCGCATCATTTAAATACTACAGGTAATAATTAAAAAAAAATGTGGTTCAAAGAAAAACGAAGATTTTAAAACAAATAGTCGAGCAAATTCGATTTCAAAAAATACTTTTTTGCTTCTTTTCAAAACCGTTTGCTCAAATAAAAATAAAAAAGAATTGAAACGTTTGTGTTGATAGATTTCGAGATCTTTAATCTTTACAAATTCTGCTGTTTATTTTTATGGTTGCTGCTGACCCGCATCGAGTCCAACGCTCTTCATTTCTTATGTCGCATCATCTCAATGAACTGCTTCTGTTGGGCGCTCGTCATCTGGCTGAAGGCCCTCGCGATTTGCGGCGTCATCATCTGCGTGGTGACGCCGGCAGCCGCCGCCGCGCTGCCGTTTTGCATTATTGCCGCTGCTGAAAGTGAATAAGCTAATTAAACTGAAACTTCTTTGTTTGCCAAATTTCTCATAATATCCCATCTGCGGACAATATCAAATTCTCAAGTATGCAATTTTTTGCAATATTGCACAATCAACGTTAAATAATTTCATCTGCGGTCTATTTTTCGCAAAAATAACGAAAAACCCGAGTATTTACGCGGTATTTCAAATTTCAAATTAAACCATGGGAATTCGTGTACGATACTACTGAACATCAGCATTTAATGATTAATAATAATTAGGGTTCTCATTTTTTGCTGTTTCCGAATAAATAAAAAAAATATGTTTCCCAGAATCGCGTGCGCCTTTCAAAAACTTGAAAAATCATAAAAACCACCAGCTTTTCCTGTTCGAATTGCTAACAATTTAAAATTTTGTATATACAAATTTCAAGAATATTCCTTTCTCGAACTAGAAATAAATCCAAATAATCAAAAAAAGCTTCAAAAAGGTAGCGACTGATTCTGATAGTCGCTTTTTGTTAAGAAGCATGAGTTTGATTCGCAGGAAATCCGTATTACGGTAACCCGAATTCCCACTATTTAATTTCAAATTTGAATTGCCGCCTCGAAAAAAGTGCGATGGTCCGCTATTAGTCAATTCGCTTTAATTATTTTCAACTGCCGACATTTTCGAAAAAATTAATTCTTACCCAAAGCCGCCAATTGTTGCTGTTGCAAAGCGCTAGCCGACGTGGCCGCTGCCGCCGCCGCTGCCGTCGATGACGACGTCGACGGTGTCGACGAGCTCTGAATCACAATCACTCATAAGGGAAGTCATATAGGCCAACAAACCTGTTGGTGCTGCTGCTGTTGTTGCTGCTGCTGCTGCTGCTGCTGTTGAGCCTGATTGAAGTAATTCATCATTTGTGCCATATTCGGATTCATTCGTGCGGCCGTCGTGTACATCGCCATCTGCAATCGAGCGCATTTGCACGCGTCGCGTTCATTGCGACCTACCATTTGCTGAAGCATCGCCGGATTTCGCATCATCGACGCCGTCATCGGATTCGCCATCATTTGCTGCATGAAGAACGCCTGCATCTGTTGTTGGGCGGCTGCCGCGTTCTGTAGAGTCAAAATTATTTGAATTTTTCAATTTTCTAATAAGAGTTGCCACAAAAAAAATTGGAAAATTTCGCAATTCCTCTTCGAATATCTCAAATTTTTCCTTAAAAATTGCAATTTCACGCCTAAAATCACGGAAAAATTCAAATTCTACTATTTCGCTTAAAAAAACAGCATTTCTGCATAGACAGCTTTAAATTTTTACAACAAAAAAAATTGCCCACCTTTTTCGAGTTGGAGCTGCTGCTGCTCGACGCCGATTTCGAGCTGGAAGCGTTCTGAAAATACAAAAATCACAAAACGTTCGCTTAAAATATCAAAAATCTCTTACCGCCGTCGATTTCGATGCCGTCGGCGTGCTGCTGCCCGACGACGTCGAAGCAGCGGCCACACGCGAAACAGCCGGATTTGTTGGCGTAGCAGCTTCTGAAAATAGGACCATTAAATGCAAAATAAATCAGATTTTTGTTTTCTTCAAAATTATAATATTAATAATACGATTTCGATTTCGCAACAAAAAAATCCCTGAATATCACTATGCAGATGACAGAAAAAAAAACCAAAAACCTCGGCCACGGCCACATTTTTCAATGCCTACAACACCAAACAGTTTGTTTTTTCCGTTAAATCGCTGCAAGAACCATGAAATTTTTGTCAATTTTTAACGACAAACGAAATTCTAAAAAAACATTGACTAATTGCCAAGTGGCTCGAGGCAAAAAGATGAGCACGTGTTTGCGTACTTTGCACTTAAACGTACGAGCTACTTAAAATTCCGTCTTTCCAATTTCGGAAATCTATACCGAAATTAAATTTGCCGCCATCGATCCCTTATTTGACGCCGACAATATGCGCCTTTAATTCTAACGATTACCGTAGCTCTTTTATCTATTGTGATTGAATGCCGGCGTAGCGCGACGCCAAAAAAAAGAACAGTGGTCTCGGTGCGCAAAACTAAAAGCGTAAATATACGGGCGATAGTATCAGGATGAGTTAAAGGCGCACACCAAGACCCCTTTTTACATTTTTTGGCATTTGGCCAATTTCGCGCGACACCACTAAATATTTTTAAAAAAAATTTACGATTCTTGCAGCGATTAAATTTAAAAAAAAACTGTGATACTGAAATCTCCGAAAAAACATGGCCGCGGACGATGTTTTTAGATTTTTCTTGAAATCTAAGTAGCAAAAAGCAAATGCTCAAAAAAAAATGTGCTCACGTGCAACCGTCGGCGGGCGAGCCTGCTCAAACACCTGCTCCAGTGTGCCTTCGGCGATCTTCTTCTCAAACTCCTTCTCTTGCGCCGAAATCTTTTGATAGGCCTTTTTGAGGAAATTCGAGTGGTCCATTCGGATTTTTCGTTTTTGCGCCTGACGAACACACTGCTCGCAGTACAAATGCAAATCGTCCGGCGATGTTCCGATAGCCTACAAACAAACACATTGGAATCGGGCGCGTCGAGCCGAACGATTCGAACCTTCCAAGTCGGCGTGAAGTCCGTATGGCATTCTTCGCATTCGTAGCACGGCTCCGAAACTTTCCTAAAATCAAATTGCGAGACAAATGTTTGAGTTTGAGCAACTCACTTTTCAAGCGATTTGTCCTTTAAAACTCGCTGCACAACCAAATCCAATCCAAGCAAATAGGTAAACGCCGGCTGAGAAGCATTCGGTATGAAGAACATGTCAGGAGGCGGCGCTTTCGGGGCAGAAACCATCTGAAAATTCCAACATTTATGGTATGCGCCTTTAAAAATTGGAAAAAAACGCGTTGAATGAGTTCAAATCTTTAATCTTCCATGCACCTTTAAACTATTCCAAACCTCATCCCGAATGTTTTAATATCCACTGAAGAAAAAATGATATGCGCCTTTAAGTTAAAAAAAAAACACGTATATGCGCCTTTAAACTATCCCAAATTTCATTATATACTCATATTGAGTTAAGCAATTTGAATGGCGCAAAACTCGCACCTAAACGTGTATTCCATACGAGACCCAAGGAGGTAATTCTAATGCTACAGTAATCACAATACCCAATTTGTCATTGACAACAAAATCTTGCCAAAATCCAATTTTCAAGGAGCGAAACGCTGTGCGCCTTTAAAATTTATCAAAATACCTCTACGACAATTAATTTCAAAAAAAATTTAAATTTTAAAATGTCATAGTGTTGCGCATGCGGTTTAAACCCAAAATTTGTTCAGAGTCTGTTCATTTCAGCTTCTTGATGCGCCTTTAAAGGAAAACATCAAAAATCCTCACCATCAACTGTTTGTCCGCCTGCGCCCTAAACGCCATTCTCGCCGCCAAGCTCCTCTGCTGCGGCGTTTGCGACGCCATCAATTTCGCCTGCGCCGCCGTCAGACTGCTCGCCGGTGTCGTCGCCGTCGTCGCCGCCGCCGCAGATATCGCCGACGCTTCTTTGCTTTTGTCCTTGTTGCTCATTTGCTGTTGAGCGTTGAGCACGAGCTGGGCGAGCATTTGTTGGACTTGCGCGTTGCTGCCGCCGGTTTTCGACAACAGCAACGCTTGGGCGGCCGCCGCCGGATTCTGCGCAAGTCGCGTGAGAAGCTCCTGCTGTTGTTGCGGCGTCATTCCGTTGAGCGCGAGAAGGGCGGCGTTGCGCGTCGCCGGCGCATTCGAACCTTCAAAATATTCACATTTTCACACAATTCTTGGCTCATTTTGTGGCTCAAAACTCGAAATTTTCAGCAATTTCTTTTCACGATTTTATTCTTTAAAAAAAATCGAATTTTCCAAAAAATATTAATTTAATTTTCGCTTAGAAATTTTTTTAAATTCTGATATTCAAAATTACTGAAAATGACCCTTCAAATTTTGAATTTTGAGAAATTTTCGCAATAATCCCTTCAAAAAATGCACTTTTTGAGAAAAAAAAAAACCAAAATTTTTCAAATTCACCAACCTTTTTTGCCATTCATCGCCGTAGCCGCCGCCGTCTGATGCTTGCTCAATGGCGGTGCTATCACCGGCTTATAAGCGCCAGTGTTCGTCATGTTCGGCAAATTCGCCGTCAACTTTTTCGATTCGGCGAGCTTCTGCAACGCAATCGCCTGACTCTGCTTCATCTTTTTCAGCAGCGCCAATCCGGCCTCCTCTTGCCGAAGTTTCGATTCGGCTTCTTTCCGCATCATGAGTCGCTCGTTCAGCTGCTCTTGCGTCATCTCCCGGCTCAACGCCTTCAATTTTCATCAATTTGAGAAAAGAATCTTCTCAAAACGGTCCCAACCTTTTCATAATGTGCTCGTACAATCTCCATTTCAGATTCTCGAATCGACGAGTTCTCGCTTTCATCGGTCAACGCGTACACATCGCCATCCTCATTCGCCTAAAAAATGATTCTGCAATTTTCGGCCAAAGTAAAAATAAAATCCTACTCGAAGCCCAAATCGAAAGCATAATTGGTCCATGTCTCTTCCATTTTCCAATTTTTTCTTTTTCGTCGGCACCTCGTCGTTTCCGTCATCATCACCATCATCCATCAAATCGTCATCGTGATGATGTTGCTGCTGAAATTATTCCTTGAAAATTTCGAGGCTCATTTTTTTTCGCCAAGCCAAAACTCTATTGAAAATTAAAATTTTTTGAGTGAGATTCCATTAAAATCGAGAATTTCTGTTTGAAACGAAAAAAAAAATCACTAAAATCTCTTCGAAACACTCACATTGAGCGAATTGACGTCTTGAACGACATCGTCTTTCAGCTTGATCTTCTCCTGCGCCTTTAAAGCACTCGCTCTTGTGCTTCGGCGTCGCAGCGACGCCGGCGACCACTGCACCGATTCCTCGTGGTCCGCGTTCGACGACGACGACGGCGGATAGCCCTCTTTCGTCGGTGTCCCGTTATGCATCTGCAACAACAAAGAGATTTCGTTTCAAGACCCAAAATGTCGATGATGATGAAATTGGCAAATTTACAAGGCAAAAAAATTTGAAATTGTCAAAATGATGTATGCGCCTTTAACTTGATTCTCAAAATGCATTTAGCACAATTCGTTATTGAAAATATGTAAATTTTCAGAGAATTTCAAAATTTAACAGAAAGACTTCAAGAATAAGAGAAAAACGCCAAAACTTCTTGTCTATTCATAGGTTTTAAAGTTATAGTGATCCATGCGCCTTTAAAAACAAGAAAAATAATCAAAAGTATTGATTTCAAATACGAATGACCCTCAAAATGGAATTCGGTGTTTTGAATTTTTCAAAAAAAAAACGCCACAACATAATCTTGAGAGTCTTTCAAGACTTTCAGGAAAGAAAAAGATTATTGTTTTCGAATATTATTGGAAATTTCAGCCAACAAACCTTTAAATGATCATCAATATCCATTTGATTGCCATTCGAGCCGTTCTCGGAGACACCATTCAGCGTGCTCTTCGGAATCGTCTCAACCTGCAAATAGTCGTTTCGGCAAGGTCAAAGTCCAAATCTCAATCGATTCTTGGTTTTGTTTTTCGTCGCTTTCGCGCCGATAAAAAACATAGTGTTTTGAGTGCGCGACAGCCGCGACGATCCTACCTGTGCCATATTGATCTTCTAATTGATAAACGAAAACGTCCAAATAAGGTGAACAAGAAAAAATCCAAAAATTTTTATATTAGCACTTCAGCTGCTTAGAGCATTCGACGGAATCGGATTCTGAAAACCGAAAAATTGCAATTTTTGTACAAAAATTTCTCAGAAAAAGTAATTGACGCCAACCAAAAAAAAATGAAATAAACGCGGGTGTTTGGTTTGATTTGGGTGGTATATTGGTGGCGTCGTCGGCCGCACAAAAAATTGGAACGAAATACCATCGAGAGATTTGGCGAATCGGCGAGACCGAGAGAGTCAGAGTGTCAAGGTGGGAGGGGGAGGGGAGGGGAGGGGGTACGCCGGACGGGGGACGGGCCGGGCCGGGCTGGGCCGCTACCCGTCCCGCCTAGCGGACACGACGAGGATCGGTTTTCAAAAAAAAAAGAAACCATTCCAACAATTTTCGCAATGGGGCGAGTTTGCTCAAGCGAATTGCGCATCTTGGCACATTTCCAAAACAAATTTTCCAAGGTTATTTCTAATTTCCGCGTATTGCGACGACGATAGGCGCCTTCAAAATCATTCACTATGGTTTCTGACCACCTGCGGTATGCGCCTTTAAAACAATGCAATTAATTAACGAAACTAAAAAAAATCATTAGAAACAGATTATGCGCCTTTAAATCGCTAGGCTGAATCAAAAACTGAGAAAAATGCATTTAAACCACAAAACCAAAATTTCGACTATGCTCCTTTAAATTCGAATTAGATATATTCTTTTCAACAGAAATCTCTGAAATTCATTTTTTTCAAAAATCTGATGAACAGTCCTTTAAAAATGATTTTCTTGAAGCCAACGATGACTTTCATGATCGATTTATGCCTTCATTGAAAATCGCCTTAAAAGGACGAATCGGATAATGATTTTCAAGGTCGTATATCGACAGTTTCAAAATTTCCAGCAAAAAAAAATGGTTAATTGAGCAATTTGGCAAGAGAAAATTCGAAAAATTCGGCTCTTTTCAATTTTTGGTCGCGAAAAATCATTGAAGCATTCCAATACTCACCAAATAAAAAATCAAATTTCGCCAAAAACTGAGATATTTTCCAAACGTGAAATGACGCAATGCCGCAGGAATTTTCAACAAATTTTCGTGAATTATTCACGAAAACGTGCCACCCGATTTCCTATTATGGAAATCGGGCAAAATTTTGGGAATTTTTCAATTTTTCGCCAATTCAACCCGAAATTTTCTCAAATCTTCTTAATAGTACTATGTGAATAATTGAATTGAATTGTTTTCTTGGCAAAAACCAAAAAAAATTTCATGAAAACACGGAAAAAAGCAAATAAAAACGTGGAAAATCGAGAAATTTTCAAAAATGTTGCTGGTTACTGTAGAGTTTAAAGGCGCGTCGCCAAAGTTCAAAAAACAATTTCACGCCTAAATAAAATTAATTTTTTCGCAGAATTCTCAAATAATCTAAAAATTGAATTAAAAATCAAGGTTAAATGATTGAAAAAAATGATATTTAAATTTTTAAAGTTCGATTTAAGAGAAAATGGGGCAAGTGATAAATATTAGTAATAAAAATGACAAAAAAAGTAAAAATGAGTTGTGAGCGGTGTGAGCGGTGAGTAACTAGGCGCCTCTCAAATACAACAAACAAACATTAAGCGGGGTTGGTTGTGGTGGGGGGGGTCCTCGGGCCGGCCACACACACATAAGTCAATCGATTATTTCTTGTTTCGCTTCTACTACTCGAACAATGACACACACACGCACACACAGGGTCTTTCCCTTCATTTCGTTTCGCTCTCCTGTCACCCCCCCCCCCCCCCTTCCACCCCAACTGGGACGGACGGACGAAACAAGACGAAGCAGCAGATACGCGCACACACACACACACACACCAATTGAACAGATACACTCACACACACACACACACACATATATATATACCACTCATCAACATCATACAAAACCTATGATTCCATTTTTGGGCGATTTGACCGTCTCAAAAAATTGTCATGGTCCCATCCGCTCACTCTCTCTCTCAATCGACTGATGACGGACCCTTTTTGGTCCGCCACCCGACAGGACCTCAATACTCATCGCCTTCATTTTGATAGACTCGCTTTGTAGATAGTTTGAAGCTTTATCTCGTCAGAGGTGGGGCGGTGGGATCATAAAAATAATTTATAGCTGGATTCTAGACTCTTCTGGAAGCGTGCGAATAGAATTCTCGAAGAAACGTGGATTTTGATGATCTCGGCAATTCATAACTCTTAGAAGATTTGTGGGACCCCCCGAAGATGCACGATAAGGACCATCACAATTTTTCCATGAAGTTGATGACGATCTGAAAGAAAGTTGGTCTAAAAATAGACTTCTTAACGTTGGGTAAAGAATTTCTCAAAAAAAAATGGCTTGACAAAAAAAAAACGAGAAATAGAACTCAGGAAATGAGGGTTTCCTTTTTTGGGAACTCTCCACACCACATTATTTCTATATAAAATATATAGTTAGAGGGAGAAGCTCATTTTTCACATGATTAATTTTTGGTCTTATTGGGATTATCTCAATTTTGAGAGCATTCAGCTCGATTCAATGACTTTTCAGAGGCAATTGGGACGTGAGAAATTAAAAAAAATTTTGGATTCAATGTATCAATCTCGGATTTCTTATCAAAATTGAAGACGAGCAGCTATTTTTGATATGCGGACAATTCGCAGGAAATACATTTTCTGGCTGTGCAAAATTGAAAGAAAATCTGAAACGCGTTTTGAAAATATTTAGAGAATTTGCTGCTGCCGACTATTTATAGGTTTTGCAAATTCGAATTTCGAACAAAATAAATTGAATTGAGTCATCCGAACGATGAAAATTATAAGTGTCGGATTTCAGCTGCGGACAATTCACGGGCTTAAGAAAACCATATTCTAACTGCGGACGATTTGCGGGTTTCGCTGCCAATCATCGAACCACTGGAATTGTCCGCAGCTACGACGAACTTCAAAGCAATCGAAATGTCAACTTCTAGCTGTGAGCAGTTAAAGGAAATTTTGAGATGTTCTAGAATGAAACGTTTTGAGGATGTAAGAATTTTCATCTACGGACAATTTCCGTCGATTCCAAAACGCGGAAAACGGAAATTTTCGTGTTGTATGAACAATTCTGGACCATCGCATTTTTTTTCCGAGGGCGGCAATTCAAATTTGATGCTAAACAGTGAAACGGATAACATCCGCCCAAATTTTTGTATAGAATAGAAAAAAAAGAACCCTCCGATAGGTGACCGATTTTAAAATCAAAGTGGCCGATTTTTTTAAGTTTCTAGGAATTGCATCTGCGGACAATTTCCGGGATACGCAAATAGAGGAAGAAACGATTTAGAGTTTCCAGCTGCCGACAATCTACGGGGGCTTCCAAAATCAAGTAAAATAATTTTTCCGCAAGAATATATAGTAGTAATAAGTAGTTGGGGGAAGTGGCGGAGAGGAAGAGGAGGAAGAGGAGGGGGAAAGCGTAAATGAATATAAAAAAATAAAAAAAAACATAATGCCAATTGCGGAGAATTCGAAAAGTGACGCCGACAAATCGATATTTTCTCTATCTTAAAATAAAGAAAAATTAATAATGCTACACAAACTCCGAGTTATTCATTTTAAAGCTCGTAGTTCAAGACTAAACTAGAGAAGCTCTGACTACTTCAAAACTAAACAAACTCGTAGTTATTCTGCAAAACCCCTATAATTACAATAAATTGCAGAGAGCTCGATGAAAGGTTGAACTAAAATTGTAAATCCGGATTCACAAAATCCGAATCTCTCATTAGTAGACACTCATGATGGCTATAAGAAATGCGTGCTGCGGACAATTTCGACCAAGCGAATTGATTTGGGTGAACCGGACAAACCAAAAATGGAGATGCTAGAGACGCAGAGGATGATCGAACGCAATATAAAGATTGCCGAGTGTCAACCGAGATAAGCTATACGACAAATATCGAATTTTTTTGTTCGCGATGATGATCGTTGATGCCCAAATTATGGCTAGGGACCATCAACGCTTCGCCACCCAAAAAAGAAATGGTCCCCGATAATTGTCGGCAGCACAAACGTGGACTATTCTTCAGCGATTGCTTCTTGACTCCGCCCATTTTTAATAGTTTGAGATTGAATAAAATGTCCGCAGATGGTTATTTTAAAATTCTGACGACACTGATAAAAAACGTAAGAGGGAATTGAAAAAGTCCGAATCGCGATGAAATTGGGCCAATTGAGGTATTAGGCGACGAAAAACCTGATGATTGAAAGCTTATCGCTCGATTTTGATGATAATTTCGTTGTCATAACGGAAAAAATCAGAAAATTTAATGGAAAAAATGCTGATTTTAACAAATGGGATGCACAAAAATGGAAATTTCGAAAAAAAAAAAACACGGGTGAAAAGAGCCCGCAAATAAATATTAGGCCTTATTGGGTAATTAAATTTGGCAATTAAAATTCTCGAATGGATCCTAACAGAATAGTGTCCGCAGATGAATGAAATACAAGTTTTGATTTAAAATGTTGCCTTACGTGAAAACTGTGAACGCACGGTGACGAAAATTTGCGGACATGCGATTTTCCAGTCTGTTTTTGGTTTTTTTTTTTTTTTCAAAAAAATATATAAATGGTAAATATAGCGTCGTCCGGTCAATCTTTTCCGTTTCCGGAAAAAATTGTAAAATTAAATATGTTCGTTTTTTTTCTCAAGAAGGAAATGCAACTCACCTCAAGTGTCGTTGGCGCAGTCCCGCGAGATGTCCGCAGATGGGAAATGTTAAACAAAGAGGTTCGACTTCAGCTGGAATAAACATCAGATTGATACACCGTTAGGATGTACGCAGCACGAAAACGATTAAGAAATTTGATTTTGGCAACGATGACAAAAAATCGATGTCGCTTATTTCATGAGAGCGGAGGCCGTCGAAATGTGCATAATTTGGAGAGCCCCTCCTCCTCCCGAAACGCGACGAAATAGCGTGTGAATTGGAGAGGGCGGCGAGTCAGAGAACGACGGCACAAAAAAAACGACAACAATCAGGCGACGAACTCGGAAAAAAAATTTTTTTTTGGCACGGCGAAGAGGAAAAACGATGAGGAGGAGGAGGAGGAGGCCGCCGGCTCGAACATTCGTCTTTTTTTGGTAAACATTACACATTTTTAATCGAATGATGACCATTTTTTTTGGATTTTTCGACAAGCGTCAGAATCACCAAAAAAAATGCCGAAAAACTCGAATTCTATACAAATTTGTCGTTTTTTTTGCGAAAAATTGCCCAATAAACAAAATTGGCTTTTTTTTTTAATTTTCTGAATTCTAGGCGCCACAAAAATGAGAAAATCGACAAATTTGAAAAAAAATTGCAAAATTGACTAAAAGGTGAAAATTATTGATTTTCAGTATAAAATTGAGGACATCTGTTAATTTTTTGAGTGGAAAATTCAAAAAAATCTAGAATTCGACTAAAAATGCCAAAAATCACACGATAAATTAGCAGTGCTGCAATCGTACTCGCACGAAAATGTTGAATGTGACCTAGAAAATCAAAACCCATAAATGGGAAACAGTAGAACGACTAAAACCTTGAACTTTTGGGCAACACAGAAAAAAAACAGATGTTACCGTCGGCCAGCATTCAAGGCTTCTTCGGGAGAAGCTCAAAATGAAATAATATAGCGGGAAAAGGTGAATTGATGAGAGAACGACGGAATTTTTGTTGAAATGGGTGGCGTATGGCCGGGTGGGGGGAGGGGAGGGGAAGGAGGAGGAAGGGCACTGGATAGAGAAATAATACAACCGACACCGCTGGTGCCTGGTGTCGAGAAACCGGCGAAATAAGCAGTAATGATGAGATGAAACAGACAACAATCAACATATTTATGTGAGGAGTGTGCGTGGAGGAGTGTATGTGCGAAAACGGGCGGGCCCCGCACGCGCGCGGAGATGTTCGATTAGAAGAAATGCGGCGAACATCGCTGAAAATCCTGAAATTTTCATTCGGGGACTAGAATTTGGCGGCCGCGCATTTGGCGGCCATCTTGGTTTTCGCTTGCGCTTTCCCCCCAAATAATCTCTGCTTTTACTCGTTCGCTAGTAGTTGTGATCTTTTGAATTTTTGGCTTTATTTAAAGATTTTCGGTATTGAAGCAAAATGCATTAGAGAATATGGGGGATATCGAAAATTTGAATGTGAATTTTTTTGAAAAAGCTATTTTTTCCTATCTTCTCTTTTATAATAATAATAATAATAACAATAATAATAATTAGTATTATTATTATTATTATTGGAAAAGGCCTGATATGATTTCAAAAGAAATTTTTAAACCACAAAAATGCAATTTCCCTTTTATAAGAAGACAAGTGAATTCAAAATCGTCGAGGCTTGAAATGAAAGTAATAATAATAGGAAAGAAGCGTCTCGCGCGGCGAATTATTGACGGCTCGGCTCGCGTTGTCCATTTTTAATCTTGGTGGGAAAAATAAAAAATATTTTACGCGTTGAAAATTCAAAACGCGCGAAGTCGGTGCAAACACCGAGCCAATTAACATTGCGGACATTGTTCGCGCACCGTAACGCGTTCGATTTTTGTGACGATTTCTCTCAACACTTTCGCTATTTTTAGAATGTCTGGACGTGGAAATACGACAAAATCATCTCTAACATTCAAAGAAAAGGTATTTTTAAATTTTTCAACAAAATTAACCTTAATTTTCCAGTCTAGCTTGCGATTTGTTGAGCAGGAAGAGCCTGACTTCATTAAAGCGATGAAATCGAAGTTGGGATATCGGGAACCGGCAAAACTTGAAGATAAGGTTTGAAAAATGTCCGCAGATAAATAATTTGTAATGTTGTTTAGTTCGCCGATGAGGCGGGCCCGCCTGATTTCGACGATGATGAGACGGATTTAATGCGAATGAAGGAGGAAGATCGGCCGCAGGTCGTTGTTTTGGATTCCGCCACTGATTTGACGAAAGAAGATTTAGATAAAGAATTGGAGGCGAAACGCAAAGAGGAGGATGGTAATTCAGCAAAAAAAAATCGATTAAAAATTTTTCCAATTTGAAGACAGAAAAATCGCTGAAGGCAAAATCACGTTCAAAAAACCGGTGAAACGCAATGCGGATGGTAGTGAGGAAGTCAACGATAAAAAGAAAAAGGCGCGCGAGGAAATAGTGGAAATTAAAGTGCAAAAAAGTTTATTATCCTTTGGCGACGAAGAGGAAGAAGATGATTAATTTCGTTGTACATTTATTATTCAATAAATTCTTGTACTAATTATGAAGAAGAAAAAACTGGAAAAATTGTGTGAATTTTGTGAAAAGCTTGGGAAAAATGAAAAATGGGTACTGTATACATTTAAAGGCACATGTGAAGCAAAGTTCATGTGGCTCCCACAATGAAACTGGTACTGTAATTAAAATTTTTAATTTTAAGGAAATTATTTTTTGTGGAAAGTCGCGTTTTGCTCTATTTTTCGCCGCACATTCAAAAAGTTCAATGTATATCCACCATAATTGCAAGAAATTCTTTTCACAACTTGCGCTACAGGTATGGACGATGGCGAAAATTATTGGAACGCGTTCCGCTCCCACAAAAGACTTGCTAGCGATGGTCCCACATTATCGCCATGGATGGTAACATCGCTTCAAGCCACCAAAGTAAGCGTGTCTCTCAAAAAAATAAATTGATAAAATCCAAGCATTTCAGCTATTCCTGTTCGCCTCGTGCAATATTCTACTAACCCTGGGATCGGTGTTCTCGAAACTAATCATTCTCATCATGTCGACTAACATTCTTCCACATTCGCATTTAATTGATAAATTCTCGCGAAAATGTTCTCGCGCGATCGGTAATTTCCCGACAATTTATATCATCAATAAACCTCAACAAAAACAAAAAAGAAATAAAAAAAACCTTCAGTTCGACGCACATCGACGACAACCGCCGGAATCTACACGTCACTGTTTCTTGTGCAATGCCTACCGGATGTCATTCATTTTGTGCAGGCTTCCATGGAAATCTGGAAAGGACGATGCGGAAGTATAATGCGATCGGTCGGCCCAAAAATTTTCAAATGGACCACGAAAAAAAAACAATTCAAATTTTCAGCTAGTTTTTCTCGAAGGCCTTCGCGCTATTGGGCTCGCAGTTCTCACGTTTCACACCTTTCCCCAACTCGATTTGGCCAGGTATTTTGATAAATTTCGACCACAAATCACACATTTTCAGATGTTTGGCACTTGGAGCCTGCTTCCCGCTTGTCGCCGTCTTTCAGAGAAGCCTTGTCGCCATGATGACGGCTTCAAGAAACGGACGATCCTTCAAAAATCGTCTAGGTCGCTTTCGCTGCATTTTTCGCCGAAAATATTGAGTTTTCATTTTGCAGGACGCTGCTTTCTGGCGATTCCCCATGTAATTATGTGCCTAATTTTGCTATCAAGTTGCTATATTTGGACATTATTCGATGGAAAATTCACCGCCACAATTTCGCTGCCAATCGGCGTCATTTGTGCATCGATCGGCTTCTGGGAATCATGGATCAACGTCACCCACGCCAACACCTCATATGATGAGCTTTATCGGGTAAAATTGCGATGTTGGATTTTTTAAAGCACAAATTCAATTTTCAGATCAAATACGCTGTCCGAAAAATGAACAACTCTACGAAAGCGGCCGTCGCACTTTCCAGAATCATTTGCACCGTTTCCGTCATAGTAATCTGAACCCGAATGTGCCTTAAATGGATTTTTTTTCAGATTTCCGCTGTTTTTATGAATGGCCATAAGAAGCTAACCCTCGCCAGCTTCACCAAAGCAATTTTCCACTGGAACACAAGACAGAATCACACGTGAAATAAAAACAAATTAGTTGTTTGTCTTAAAATGCCGATTTTCAGAATGCTTCTGCTTCTTGCCTTCGGAATCCTATTCCTTCATCTCGCCATGCGTGGAATCGCGAGATTCTTGGCTGCATTGGACCTCCACCCGATCTCCTTCATCCATCCGCTCTCGATTGCCCCAATCCTCGGTTACTGTATTGTTCGGAACATTTGCTCATCGCCGACGTGCTCAATAGCAAGGGTAATTGGTTTCGTTCAGTTTTGGGTCTCATATGGAAAATGTTTTGTGAAAATCCAATCAAATCGAGATTTTCACATTGTTTTACAGCGGCTCAAAAAATTTGGACTCCGCTGGATTTGCGATCAATGGTTCCAGGATTCGCAAAACATGACCTCACCTGACTTTTACATTTGTCTTATTTGGCTTGTCGTCGGCTGCTATCGAGGTTGGCGATTGGTCCGACAGCGCTATTTCGATGCCAATGAGGAGATGTAAGCTTCTTCGCCATTGAATTCTCGCCGGTCCATGAATTTTTTTGAAGAATTTCGTCAATGCCGCCGGTTTCGAATGGATTGTGCATAGAGCAATCGTTGGTCATCTTCCAGCACTCGCTGAATCGGCAGGAGAAGACGACGCTCATCGAAGAGGACGATCCTTATGATGAGAATGATGAGCTTCGTATTCGGAATGATGAGGTTGATCGGACTTCGACGGTGTATGCATGCGCTACAATGTGGCACGAAACTGAAACCGAAATGCGGCAAGTGCTTCGAAGTATCCTCAAGTGAGTTTTTCGACTATTCTCCCATTGGTCGTATTATGATGGTCCATAGGCTTGACGTCGATCACGCGACTCGTCTAGTGAACAAGAAGCCGAATGAGATTCGCTATCGTCTCGAAGGCCATATATTCATTGACGACGCTTGGGAAGACAATGAAGAGGATGGAATTCAGAAGCGAGAGCCGAATGAGTATTTTGTGATGTTCTTCGAGCTTTTGAATGAAATGACCGGGTAGATTCAATTTTCGTCGTTAAAATTCATCAAATTTTTAAATTGTCGATATTCCGACATATTTGAATTTTCGATTTGTTTCGGTAGAAACGTAGTGGTTCTTTTTTTGCAAATCTTGGTTAATAATTTTGAACATTGTCTGCAATTTATCAGTATTGTTTAATATATCATTTCTATAGGGAACGTCTCAATGAGAACGGGAAACTGGAGACGAGAATTCTCGTGAACACCCCGTATGGTGGACGTCTTGTGGTAAAACTGCCTTCTGGAACCCTGCTTTTCGTTCATTTGAAAGACAAGAAGCTGATTCGGCACAAGAAGCGTTGGAGTCAAGTGATGTACATGTACTACCTTTTGGGACATCGCATAATGGATTGCCCGCTTTCCATTGAAGACCGACAACAGATGGCTGACAACACGTTCATATTGGCAATCGACGGCGACTCGAAATTCGAGCCGGACGCTCTTTTGCGACTTCTTCATTTGATGAACACGAAAAGCGATATTGGATGCGCGTGCGGGCGAATTCATCCGATTGGCAGCGGAATAATGGTGTGGTATCAGAAGTTTGAGTACGCGATTGCCCATTGGTTCCAAAAGGCCGCCGAGCACGTGTTTGGATGCGTTCTCTGCGCTCCCGGATGTTTTTCGCTGTTTCGAGCGTCGGCTTTGATGGATGACAATATCATGCACAAGTGAGCTTCTTTATTTGGACGAATTGCTATCAAACGTTCTCGTGGCTTCAGATACACGAAAACGGCGTCGGAGCCGAGACACTTTGTCCAGTATGATCAAGGAGAGGATCGATGGTTGAGCACACTTTTGCTCAAGCAGGGCTATCGAATTGAGTATGCGGCGGCTTCAGATGCGGAGACGTATGCGCCGGAAGGATTTGAGGAATTCTTCAATCAAAGGAGACGATGGACGCCTTCCTCAATCGCTAATACAATCGATTTGCTAATGGATTATAAGGTGAGAGGGATTTTGGAAATATGGAAAAAAATGCATCTATAAAAATGAAATGAAAAACTTATGTCTTGTCAGATTTCGGCCCGTTTTTTTCAAAAGTGGAAAGAAAACAAAATTACAAGAAATTTGCCCAGGTATAAAAACGAAAAACATAATTTTTATGCTTATAAAAGTCAATTCTTTATAAATAAATCAATGGATTTATTCAAAAAAAATTGAAAAAATTGCATTTAAGGTGCATTTTTTTTACTTCCAAAGCATTGGAAAAATATGTATAGTTGGAGTCCGGCGTGACTGTTGTAAGTATTCACAGGAATACGTCTTTTTTCTTGGACTAACTGATTTTTTTTGCATTTTTTGAGTCGTTTCAAAAGTATTTAAATCGAATGACGTTGGAAATTTAAAAAAAAACCAAACTTTAAAAAAATTAATCGTTAACGCGTTGCGAGACCTTTTTTCAAGGCGCATGTAAATATACCCGTGTACAAAGTCGCCTACTACTATATTGTGTTTAATTTTTGTATGAATAGGTCCACAATGTGTTTTAATCTGGATTTGTCACATTTTCGTTTTTTTTTTTTCTAACAAAACAAATATTTAGTAAATTTTAAATATTCACTGTGTCATCTCGATGAATAGAAAAAGGTTAATTCGAAGTAAAAATCGTGTCGAACAATTTTGGAAAAGAAAAAATAAAGATAAATGTCGAACAATTTTGGGGAAGAAACAATTTATTTTTCCAGCGAGCTTCTGAGAACAATGAGTCGATCTCGTATGCCTACATCGCCTATCAATTCCTCGTCATCTTCTTCTCGATGCTCGGACCGGCTATCATTTTCACGATGCTCGTTTTCGCGCAAGTTGCCGCGTTCGGCGTCGCCGGCTCCGATGTGATGCTCTACAATGGAATTCCGATCGGGTTGTTCGTGTTGCTCTGCTTCACCACAGAATCGAATGTGCAATTGGCGTACGCGAAGGTGATGTCGATTGCCTACGCGTTTGTGATGTTGGCTGTGCTTGTCGCCACCAGCAGTCAGATTGTGCTTGAAAGTGAGCTTCATCTCCATTTTTTATCATTGTAAAATGAAATTGCAGCCGTTTTTGCGCCGACTTCATTATTCATCGTCACCATGGTGTTTATTTTCTTTTTCGCTGCCTGCCTTCACCCAAAAGAGTTCACCAATATAATTCATGGTAATTAATTGATTATAACTAATTGCTCTTAACTATCCCCTTCTGCACATTAAAGGTATTGTTTTCTTCCTGATGATCCCTGCTACGTATGTGTTCCTCACGCTGTACTCGTTGATCAACCTCAACGTTATCAATTGGGGAACTCGGGAGGCGGTTGCGAAGGCGACGGGGCAGAAGGCGAAGAAGGCGCCGATGGAATTGTGGCTTGATAAGATTCTTGATGTTCTCAAGAAGGGATTGCGATTCATCACGGGACGCGAGAAGAAGGAGGAGGTGGAGAAGAGGGAGAGGCTCGAAAAAAAGCTGACCAAGATTGAGCTTGCTCTGAAGAATATTGATGTAGGGATTTAAATGAGCACGAGGTTAATTTTGGTTTATCGTTGCAGGACACCAATGAGGTGAAGAAAATTCTCGAAGAGAATCAGAAGCCGGAAATGGCGGAACATGAAACGCAGACGATTCAAGCAGCTGAAGGTGCCGAAGGCGATGAGAAGGCAATGAAGGAGGTGTTCAAAGCGAACAAGTATGTTTGGATGACGAACAAGCATCTGAAGGTGTGTGAGCGCGGGAAACTGAAGTCGGCGGAGAAGATGTTCTGGAATCAGTTGATTGAGACATATTTGAAGGTGAGGATCCCTGAGAGCATGACTTTCATTGAGACAACGCATTGCAGCCAATCAAATCGACGCCGGCCGAGACGAAGCAGGTTGCCGATGGTCTAGCGTCGTTGAGGAATCAGATTGCCTTCACAATTCTGCTGATTAACGCTCTTCTCGCTATGGCGATTTTCTTGATTCAGAAGCATAAGAATGTGTTGAGCATTAAATATATTCCATATGGTATCTTTAAAAAACCCGAATTTTCTATTTTTCTAATCAGATTTGTTTCAGTTGGCTTCAAACACACCAAGATGAATGAAACGACTGGGCAATATGAGAAGACTGACGAGCCGCTAAAGATTGATCCGCTCGGAATGGGAATTGTGGTGTTCCTGATTGCGATATTGTTCATTCAAACTTTGGGTAGATGCTTAATGGTCCCTTCAAATCGGTGCAATTTTTAAGGAATGTTGCTTCATCGATTGAATACCATGATTGGCGCGTTCCAGGAAGTGCGTAATCTTCAGGATTATGGGGTTTCGGTGAGGCCGAACACCAAGAATGAGGATGAGAGGATTCTTACGAATGGTTGGTTTATCTGCAGCCAATTGTTGCGATCAAAGTTGGAAACATTTTCTTCTAATCAAATTAAGAACATTCTTTGCGAAATCGGTTTAAACATTCCATTTCTATTTAAAGGCGCACAGCCTTTTTACATTTTTTCTTTTAATCTTTTTTTGACAGAAATTTTCGAGTTTTCGGAAATAGTTAGCATTTTCATTTTCGCATTATGAAAATGCTGTAATTGGATATACTGAAATTCCAATTTTCAACATTTTGAGACATTTTTCATCAAAATTTTAATTGAAAAAATCTTATTTGAATTAGTTTGAAGGTCAGGTTTGAAGGAAAAAATAAATTTCTAGCTGCGGACAATTTCGGGTAATGTTTCAGCGCGTTTGATGATCAACGCGACGAATGTGCAGAGCGGACATGCCGGCGATGGATACACTCGTCATCGTGCCGATGAATCCGACACTGGAAATGTGCTGTATAAGTTGCAGAAGGCGAGATTGGCGAAGCGAATGCAGCGAAGCGCGTTGCCGAGTTGATCGAAAGACAAATTAGAAATCCAACATAGATATTTAATGCATGTTTTGTCTGAATAAAAATTGCGAAATTTTTCGGTTTTGGTGGTTGTTTGTTTTTTCTTTTGGGTGTGAATGTGTCGCAAAACGCGCCAATTTGAAATACTTGGCCGCCGAAACATTTCTCGTCCGTGGCCGTTGAAATCCGCGGCGCCGCCGCCGCCGCCGATTGGTTTTGCCCTTATTTAGACACGTTGATTGGATGAGGTCGTCGACGACGCGAAGCGGCTCGCAGACCGCTGATGATCGCCGTTCGGTGGTCTCCGGCAACTCGAGCACCGCGTCGACATTGGTCGCCGATAGTATTGCCAGCGGAAAAACGGCCACTTCGCAATTGCGCAAGTGAGTTTTGAATATGTATATATTTTTTATTTTTTATTGGAAAGAAACAAGAATTAGGCTGAAATTTGAAATTTTTGGCATATTTCTTTGAAAAAAACCGCAGAAAATTGAGTATTTTTATTGGAATTGCGAAATTCCGTTTTTTTAAACGAATTTATTTTTAAATTAGAATTTTTTTGGCTAAATAGAAAAAATAGAAATGTTTGTTGAAATTATTCTGAATCGAGATTTTTTTTGAAGAAAAATGAATTGAAATTAATATTTTTTATGGAAGTTGATTAGTTTGTTTTTAATTGTTGAATTTTTAATGATTTTGAAAAATTTTCATTAAAAAAACGCGTCAATAAATATTATTGTCATTTATTGAAAGGAAATTTTCATACTTGGAAGAAATTTTGTGAGTTCGCCGAGATTTTAAAAATTCGAGTGTGAAATGTGCTCAAAAATCGATAAAAATTGAATTGTTCGCTTTTTTTTTTAAGAGAAAATATGTAAAATTCAGGATTTAATTCAAAAAATTCATATTTTGCTTTAAAAAATGACAAAAAAGTCGAAATTTGAAAATCAATAATTGGAGGAATTGGCGAGAAAACAAAAACGGGAGGACAATTGTGCAGGTCTTATCAGCGAATTGCTGATAGGAGGCGAATTGAACACCGATAAGCATTAAAAAATAGGATTATTGGAAATATCGAATCGAAAATGTTGATTTCACAGATTCACAGCCGGCGTCGGAAGGCCTGGATTAGCTCGAGAAGCCCGCGAGGCCGTTAGGAACGTGCTCATCGCTCAGAATCCATTGGTATGTGGAATTCAATTTTAAAGAATGGTCTCGAAGCGAACTTCAACACAAAACATTCCTCGATTAGTCATTATGGTGACGAAATGAAAATCGAAATTTCGGGAAATTGATATGATGCGGGGGGCGTGGCCTGGGTGAATCATTTATAAATTTGCAGCGAAAAGCGCCGATCAGCGAGCCGGTCGATTATGAGAAGTTCATCAATGAGCGAAGTATTCAGCTTGAAAATGACGCCCAACGCGAAATTGTGTTGTTCCCAAGAGATGATATTGAGGTAATCGAGAGATTCTTCTCGAAACGTTTTTATTTGAATTGGATTTTTAAAAAATCAAGTTTGCTCAAAACTAAATTGAAAACGCACATTTTCGGGGAAATATTTTGAGACAAAATTGGGACCGAAACGAAGTTTATTTTTGCTCAAAAATTACGATTTAATAGCAATTTTTGTGAAAAATGGGAGCCAAAAAACAGACCGGTCGGTTTTCAAACATTTCTATCACAAACGATTGACCGAATATTTTTTTTTTTTTGAAAATTTGAAGAAAGCCGAATCGCTGGATTGACAATTTTGAGATTTGAATCGATTGCTGACTTTCAGGAAGTGTCGGTGAATCAGGAATGCGAGACGAGTGTTCCGATGGTGAAGGCGAATGATATTCTGCAGGCGAAATGGCTTTTGACGCGAGAAGCGTTAAAGTTTTACACGTCGCCGCACAAATCCATCGTTTTCAACTACGCAAAATTTTCCGGCGATTATTCAGCGAACAACACGTAAGCATTATTTTGTTCGCCAATAGCTCACCCGAAATTGAATTTGTGATTCAGAAGTTCGGTCATCGAGAACGAGACGCTGTCATCGCTGGTGTTCGAATCGGACATGTCGCTCGAAGAGGAGCGCGCCGCGTTCAACATGTACGTCGGCGCCGCCGGCATCGTCAAAGAAGGCTTTCTACTCGTCGTCAAATCCGATCCGACGCTCTTCGACAATCTCAAGGCGTCGAAGAAGCGATTCTGTGTGCTGAAGCGAATGGAAGGCGGCGAGATCACGTTCGAGATTCGCAAATCGCCGAACGAGCCGCCGAAACGGGCGCCGATGAAAGTCGGCGGCGCGCAAATCAAATCGACGAAAAAAGGCAAAACGGTTCTTGAGGTTGGGAATCGGGAAAATCGCAATCCTCTCAACAACAAAAAAATGCGGGCATTTTCAGATCGAGCCGAGAAAAGAGGAGGTGTCGAGTTCGGAAGCGAAGAGCATTCTGCTTGAGTGCGACGAGACGCGAGAACTTGAAGAATGGCTCGTCGCACTTCAAACCGCCATCGCGTTCGCCACCAAAGAGGATGCGATCTCGACGTGCTCCGAACTCGACAAATCGTCGAAATCGAATGAAGCCGCCTCGTCGGGCAATTTTGGCAGAACGATGGCGCCCGATACGGAGAGTATTGGAAGCGAGGATAGCACGAATTGTGAGTTTGTGTGATACTAAGTTTTTAAATTTTTCCAATATTAGAAAATTAGAAATTTCACAAAGATTTTTGGTTGGTTTTTTTTTGAAAATCTGAATTTTGGAATCGAATTTTTGCCAACAAATGAAAATTTTGAATTCCCAAGAAAAACATTGTATTTTACAGCTCGTGGAAGCGAGACATGGCGCGGTCGAAACTCGGCTGCGAGAGCCCTTCAGCCGCCAATTGTTGACCGCCGAAACATGTTCTCCCTCTACTATCGATTGCAGGTAATTGATTAATTCGTCTAATTAGCCGAACAACATTCCAGCCGTTGCCTTGCCCGAAGTTTGAATCGTCGACGATGCTCCTATCTCGAATGAGGCCTCATCGTTCCAATTCGACGACCTCGTTGAACATCTCGGTGTCGCCGTCGATGATTCGAAAGACGTCGTCCTTGAAACGGTGATCTTGAAATTGTGTCCACTGATGAGTATTTGCATTTTCTTTTTTAGATCGCAGAACACCTCCGTTACGATATTGGTGCCGAGCGCCCCATTGTGCGTTTCTATTGAATTCCAGAGTTTGTTTCTTCGCCTTCTTGGACCTTCAGGAACACTTCAGCAGGTCGTTTTTTTTTTTGGCCTGCGAATCTCGTCGAATGTCGGAACATCGATTTGCGTTTAGATTGAACCGTTTTACGTCCGCCTTTTCATCTTCGACAGTCATGAATGCCGACGAGTCTGCGAGGAATTTCATGTTCTTGTCAACGGCGAGGAATTGCACATCTCGGAGCCAGTATTTGGTAATTCTCTAGCGAAATCTTCTACACGTCTTGTGATTTGAATTTGTTCAAGATTCTTCGCTGAAAGTCAATGGCATTCAACGAAGTTTGCTGGTCGATCGAAACGCCTCGAGATGCCTTGTCTACCTTCCATCGGCTCACAAGGATCTTTGGCTCGTGTGCCGCGTCGATCGTGTCCTTTCCGCCGACACCACCGCCGATTTGTACATGAAGTTGGCGTTCGATTGTAGGCGACGGAAAAATGTCACGATTGTGTAGTTGCAGGGCGAACGCGGACCCGAAGGCGACGATGAAACTGCAGAAGACGGTGGCGATGGCGATGACGAGATTGTGCGGACATCGGCAGAGATTCGCGTGGGCGGCCAAGTAAGTTTTGAGCTTTTTGTTTCACTTTTTTTTTGCCTGACGTTTTTAGCCAAATTGGGGTGTATTTTTCTGAAAAAAAGGGAAAAATTGGGATTTTCCGACTCTTGAAGCTTAGCCTTTTTGTTTTGTGATTGGAAAAAAATTGAGTGAAATCAAAAAATGTTCATTTTGTTTGCGTCATTCTTGGTTATTTTTTTTTTTTCAGACCGCTTTTCCCGAATCTTCGACTCGATTTGAGCTCGTCGGGCGGCTCGAATCAAGGATCGACGGCTTCCAAGACATTCCAGTTGTATCGTTGTGACGCCAATCGATTCTCGGATGCCGACTTGCAAAGATATTTGACGGATTTCAGCAAGTGAGTCGCAAAAGACAGAAAAAAAAATTATTGAGATATTACACCAATTGAATGATACGGATGATCATTAAAGGCGCATTCGAGAAAATTTTGAAAAATAAGAAAAATTCGGATATTTTTCCGGAAAAAAAAAAACAATTTTTTAAAGAATACAAAATAAAATATTATTCTTTTAAAAAATTCAAGAATCGAGAAGACGAACAAATTGGCGATACCGAATGGCACCGTCACCATCGCCGTCAACACTGAAGCGAAAATCACCGACTTCCTATGTAAGTTCAACAGGGGGGGGGTCTTGAGCTCACTGGATTCGAACGTGTCTAGATCGTGTCAATCCGTCGCTGTACCCGCTGAACCCGTGGAATCCGGCGAATGATGACAAACCCAATATTCTTCCCGTCCTTCAACTTCAGACGTTTGGCGATACGCCGAATAAGCCGTTCAATTCGCTTACAAATCTCCTCTACATTTATCCGTTAAGCCTAAAGTATGGTTTTCAAAGAATTGAAAAAAAAAGACGTCGAATTTTTTCTTAAAAAATGAGTTTCAATAAGAATTTCGATATTTTTGGCGGCCAATTTGATGAAAATTTTCGAATTTCGCCCTCAAATCTACCGTAATCCATTTTAGTCGGGCGAATTTCGAGAAATTGACACAAAATGAATAAAATAGAACATTGAATCTATGTTTAACCGCGACGCGACCGCAACGCGTTGGTTTTTTTTCGGCAACAGTAAAAGTTGGCAGGAAATTTTCGATTTCGAGCCTTTAAAACGATAGAAATTTTTTCAAAATGTATTTTTTAATGTCAAAATAGAGGATTGAAAATAGTTGAAAACTGATTGATTTTTGAGATACGACAATCAGAAGGCGTTCTCGAAAGCGCGCAACATCGCGTGCACCGTTCGATTCGTTCGCGGCGACGAGGCGATTCCGGAGAAGGCGATGGTCGATCGAATGTCGGCGTCGGGTCCCTACACGATATCGGCGACGTGCGCGGTTCAACACCATCAGCAGACGCCGACGTTCGGCGACGAGATGAAAACGCAATTGCCGCTGAATCTGACGACGTCCGACCATTTGCTCTTCGCGTTCTCGCACATCTCGGTGGCGGGCAACGCGAGCGTCAAAACGCCGGAATCGACGGAGACGCCGATCGGCTACGCGTGGTTGCCGCTCGTCTGGAAGAAAGACCGATTGGTGATGGAAAGCGACGAGCAGGAGTTTGCGCTTCCCGTCGCCATCGAGCTCCCCAAATACTATTATCGATCGAAGCCGACCGTGCTCGGCAAAGGGGTATTCGATTACAATTCGAATCGCGTCCAAACAATTTTGTTGAATTGTCGTTTTGTTTATAGGATGACGCGCAATTCGATGTCAAATGGGTCGATCAGAAGCCGTTGTTCCGCGTGCGACTTCGACTCGTCTCGTCGGTGTTCACTACTGATGCCAAGCTGCAGACATTCTTCCAGGTTTGTCCACACGGTTCCATGGGATAAAATTTTTTGAGGAATTGGGTTTTTCTTGCTGAAACTTCAACGAATAGTCATGTGATTATTTATTTGCGAAAAAATATTGAAATTGTTTTGCTTTTTTTTCGACAAATTCAAAGAAAATCCTATAATTTTTACAATTTTCTGTCCGAGAACTTGATATTTCGATGCTCCTTTAAAATTGGGGTGTTCATGGTTTTTTTTTTCAGTCTTGCGATCGATTGTTATCTAAAGGTATTATGGGAGATGCTGCGGACAGTTTGAAGGTATCAATTTTTTTCACTCAATTTTTGGCACTTTTTTTTTCTCAATCTTCTCCGCTTCTTTAATTTTTGTTATTAACCAATTGGCGCAGAGAATGGTGAAGAGCAAGTCATCGTCGCCATCGACGGCCATCACCGACGAGATCCGATCGTGTTCGCCGATCGCCGAAGCATCGATGAGCCGCTCGCCGTCGCTCAATGATGATCCGAATCTCAAGAATCTGCTGCATTCAATTCGGGTATTACCACGACGCTTTCTACTAGATTTCAGATTCTACTAATCACTTAGATCGTCATTTTCGAATACGCGAAGCTGATTTTGAATTTGCAGGTTCTTGGCGATGTTCCATTCGAGCGCCTCATCTCGTTCTTTCCGATTGTTCTCGGCCGATTGTTTGCAATTCTGCCGCAAGCGCCGACCGATCAGCTCGCCATCGCCACACTCCGCTCGATTGTCTCGATTTGCGACACGTGTTGCCTCAATGGGAAACCGCAAGTTGTCCGCAGATTCGTCAAATATCATTTCACGCGGCCGCTGGTCGATCGATACGCCACCGGAGACGCCACTGTTCATTCAGTCGTTTGTCGATATTTGCCGATTATGGTAATCATATAGATTGCTCTTCTTTTTTGAGACGATAGAATTCGTGAAAATTACCAAAACAAAATGGTGTTTTAAAGAAAATCCCATCCTTTTTCTTTCACCGATTTTGATGGTCCGAAATTTTAGATGCGCGAAATGCAGAGCGACATCGATGAGCTGACGATGCTTTACCGCCAATTATGGGTTCTCACCGACATTGTGATGAAGAGTATGGCGCAGACGATGTGCGCCGAGCAGCTCAACAAGAAAGCGCAAAAAGATCGATTCGGCGGCGAGCTACTCGAGCAAATGGGCCAGGTGCTCGAGGTCGGCGTGCCGCAGATCATCGCCAAACATCGCGAGATTCCCGAGGAGAGTCGATGCGCCAATTTGGCGTTGGCCTATTTCGTGCGGGTGAGAAGATTCGACGAAACAATTATGAATTCTTTTTGCATTGAAATTTGCCAAAAGAAAGTGCGATTGCGCAAAATTGGCTAAATGTCAAAAAAAAACCATGGCAGTGGTCTTGGCGCGAAACTAAAAGTGTAGATTTACGGGCCTACGTATAAGGATGGGCGCACACCGAGATATCTCCCTAAATTTTTTTGGCATTTTCTGTTTCTGAAATTGTGTCGAGACCCGTATTAAAAAAAATTTCTATTTAAAAATTTTCAGTTCGCTTTGAGTTTTGTCGATCGCGGCGTCGTGTTCAGATGGATTCATTTTTACATTTCCCATCTCGATGATACGGATTATCGAGTAAGAATTGCAACTTTTTATTCTTCTTGAATCCTAGTTTCAATTTTTTTTCAATTTTGAGGCGCTTCGTGAATATAAAACCGATCTATTGGAGATTATCTGTATGCACGAGCACTTTATTCCGCTCAATCTTCCGGTCCTCATCAATTCGATGAATCAGATTCAGCGTTTCAATTATTCGGGAGGCGTCGTTGAGACTCAACTTCACACCACCAATGGTAATTAAGCTTCTTGGATTTTTTAAATTGGCGCCGCCAATATTGCGAATGCCAATCAATTAAACATTTTCCACCGTGTTACGGTAGTGTGAAATGTGTGCAAACACCGCGTCGCAAAAAGCCACACGCAATTGTTCGATGAGATTATCGATCGAAAAAATCTGAATTTTTTAAGCTAGCGGCACCGGATTCCTATCGAGATTCTTCAATCAGATTTTTAATATTCCGACACTTGAATCCACCGAATCGGATCGATGTGAGAAACGGAGAACGTTCTGAAATTCAAGCTTTTTATATATATATTTTTTAGATGCATTATGTTCTGGAGAATGGCATTTGACGAGATCTTACGCGATGAATCACTTTTTGATTGGATTATTGATGCAGGTAAATAATAATTTTTTTTTCCACGGCAAGATTTGACAAAGAGATTTTGTTAAGGAGCTGACTGCTTGCTTAAGGGAGACGAAGGATTATCGAAAGCGGCCGATCTCGCTGCTTCGGAATCTCATCGCGAAGCATTCGTTCGACAAAAGATATGTTGATTTGGTAGGAAGAGATTCTCGCGTGAATCTTGCCAGCTCGATAGCTGCGGATTTTTTTTTTCTTGCAGACGATTCAGCGACGAATCGCGCTTCTCTACGCGCCCGTCGTCACGTTCGCATTGGACCATTTGCACGAGTTGGAGACGAATGAATATGAGGATTTGGACGCGACGCCGACGGGATTCCGAAGTTTCACGCAGCCGGCGAACAAGTGGCGATCGCTGAATCGCTACACGAATGCGGCGTCGGCGTTCGGACGCGGATCGCCGGCGAGAAATTCGAGTCCCGTGCCGTCGGCATCAAGACCGCCGCAAATGCCACCGCCGCCACCGCCGTCGTCGAGTGGATCGAGGGCTCCAACGAGCGCGGCCGCCACCACAGCCACCTCAACGCCGCTCGCCGAAAAGCTTAGTGATGTAAGAACAACAAATTCTATGTAGTGTCATCATGCTTAATTCAATATCTGCAATTCGTTGTTTTTTTTGCTTTTCTTATGGTCCCAAAATTTAGAGGTTTATTGTAATTTTTCTATCTCGCCAAACGCGTTGCGGTTGCTGCTCTTTTTTTTCAAAATTCTTTATATAAACGTGAACCGCAACGCGTCAAATTCTTGCCGCGAAAAATTTTTGGGAAGTGCACTTTCTAGAGCTGTCGTCAAATAAGGTGTTTTATGTGCAAACGCTATTCGGATTTTTTTTTTTCGCAAAATATTTTAAAATTCAATTTTTTTCGATTTTAATCGATTTTTTTGAATTTTCTAAGTCTCTACTCAAAAATCTGAAATTTTCCAACAGTGTAAGTAATAGCATTACGCAGAATTGCAAAAAAATACTTTCGTCAATTTCTTGTTCAGGACGAGATCCAGGACATCCTCATATGTTGTTTATACATACTCCAACGAATGCCGAAGCGTTTGCTGTCGGCGATTTGGGCGGAGAATGACGGAGCGAATGCGGAGAAACTGTTGAGGCTGCTCGAATTGATCGTCGAGGTGTTCAAGTATCGGGTGAGTGTCTCGAATTAATGGAATATCCCGATGATTGCGAGTGGTTCAGGGAAAAGAGCACGCACTTCGAAAGACGGCGGCGAACTCGAAACTCCGTTCGCAGTTCACATTGAATTTGCCGTCGCGGACGCCCAACTCGCGATTGTCGGTGGATCGAGGCGGCGGCGAGCCGCCGGTGGACGATGATTCGACGCCGACGAACTCGGTGCCGTTCCGCGTCCTTCAACTCGTCAACCTTTCGCAAGAAGTGGCGCTGATTGTCGTCGATGTTGCGCAGACGTTCGCCCATCAGCTGGCTAGTCAGCGGAATCGATGGCCGCACTCGGAGAGCTTGTTCGTTGGCATCCTCTCGCTTCATTTGAGACTTGCCGATGATAATTGGTCGGAATCGGTGCGGCTTCATGTCATCGCAGCGCTCGCCTTGTTCGTCAATTTGGTAAGTTTTTCCTTATTTCGTGATTTTTTAAGACATTATCACTATTTTTTAAATTAAAAACTAAGCCTTCAATTTTTTTTTGAATTTTTCCCTCTTTGCAACCACAACATTTTGAATTTCAGTTCCGCGTGCGATTCTTCGAAGGCGGACCATTGGAGCCGTTGTACATGCTGATCGAGAAGGTGCTTATCCAGATGGCGAGCCGTTTGCCGGCGGTTCAAGCCGCCGCTGCCGCTCTTCTTCAGTTGATATTGCGGAATGGCTACGAGGTGGCTCAAGGCTACTTTGGTGAGTTTTTCGATTTCCAGCGGAATTCCGCCGACACGCAATGTTTCAGCGACACAGGCGATGGCGCAGAGTGTTCAGCCGGCGTCGACGAAATCGTCGACAAGAAAGATGGTCACCAGCGAGTGGCTTGGGCGACCGGGAGCTCAGACAGGTGTGTACGATGGATAGAATGAATCGCTAATGCTCCGATGGCTTCTAGGTGTTGCTCTTGCCAGACTGCTTGGATTCCAGTCGGTGCTCTCGAACAGCTCGAACTTTGAAAGGGGACTGCTAGCGGTGGAAGCGCTTGTCGACACGAGAAAAGCCACCAGTTTCGATCTTGCGGTTCTTGTAAGATTCCCAAGAATCATCTGATTCTCAACAATTGACATTCAGGATCTTTTGAGACAGTTACGAGGTGTGATGTCGGCGACAGTCGCGCTGAAAGATGCTGCCAATGATCCGGTTCGAGCGAGCTTCCGGATGTCTCTGATTTGTCGAAATTTTGCAGATTCGCCTCGCCGATTTGCACCTTCAACTCGCTGACAGCTATCGCGGATCGGCGGCGTTGCGTAGCGCGTGGTTCGACACGCTCGCTGAGATTTATGAGCAGGACCGATGGTTCGCTGAGGCTTCTGTGTGTCATGCTCATTCGGTCGCCATCATCGCCAGAGAGCTGGAGGAGAACAGTGAGTTGGATGATGTCGACGACGATGAGCATGAGCTAATGTGACATTTTAGAAGAGATCGAGGTCGATTGGAGGATATTCGAATGGATTAATAATCAGATTGCCGAGACGGAGAACTCGAAACGCGATGCTGGCAATGTGCAGCCGGCGGGATTCACGACGGTTGGCAAAAAAATTTGTTTTTTTTTTCTTCAAATTTTCTCAACAAACAGCTTCTTTGGAAAACAGCCAATTTCTTATCAGCTCATTTTTTTTAAATCTTTTTTTTTTCACAGGAGAATCTCGCCACGAAAATTGACAAAACCGCGTCGTCGCTGATGCTTGCCGAACGATTTGAAGCGGTTGGACCGCTCTATCGAATTTTGGTGCCGATTCTCGAGAAGAATATGCACTTTACGGTGAGTGCTCTTTCGCTGAGAGACCTGATTCAGACGATTGTCTTTCGACAATTCTGAATTTAATTTTGCAAATAATTTGAGATGTTGAGATTTTATTGAAGTTTTATTTTGTGTTTGAAAAGGAACTTTAATTATTATATTGTCGACTGCGGAAAATTGGCTAAATATCCAAAAACACGACGACAGTGGTCTTGGAGCAAAACTACAAGTGTAGATTTACGCGCCTATAGATTAAAGGCGCATAAAGCGCCCCCCGAGACCATTCTTCGAATTTTTTCGATTTTTGCCAATTTCCCAGAGTCGCACGACGAATACTTCGAATCTCCTACAAATGTGAACATTTTGAATTTCTCAGAAAATCTATTATGCTAACTATTTTTTAAAGCTGTTTCACGCGCCTTTGATGTGTACTGTAGTTTTCCAATTGTTTGTAGCAATTATTTTTTTTTTGCGAGAAATCGGATTGGCGAGATTTCAGACGCTGGTTAGTGTGTACGCCGAACTTCAGCAAACGTATAGTCGAGCGGCGGAGGTTCGCACCAGCGGCAAACGACACCTCGGCACGTATTTTCGAGTGCGATTCTTCGGCGAAACACAATTCAGGTCATTTTATTGAAGAATAATTGGATTTTTTGTTTGTTTGTTTTTTTAGAAATGAGCACAATTCGGATTGGATCTATCGCGAGATGGGTCTTACTAGTTTGGCCGCATTTGCGCTTGGCATGAAAGAGAAGTGCCAGAGGATTTTGGGACATGATCGAGTTCAGATTGAAGCCAATGAAGTAATGCGGAATTTTTCGCGAAAACGAATGAAATTGATTTGCCCTTTTTTTAAGCTGGATTTGACGAAAATTGATTCGAATATTGCCTATGTGCAAGTGACTCATGTGGAGCCGGTGGCGAGCAGCGGCGAGATTGCGAAGAACGATTTCAGCATGCACACGAATGTCTCGTAAGTCAATTTTATAATGAGCACGAAAATTTGAAATAAAAAAATGAAGTTCCTTTTTTTCTTTTGAAAAAATTACCATATTTGGAATATTATATTATTCTTCTTCTTTTTGAGGCAATTTTGCTACGAGTGCGCAATGGTCGAAAACGAGAGGAAATTGTCGCGCGAGCCGTCGATCAGCGAACAAGTGCTGAATCGCACCGTGCTCACCGTCGGCGGTGTGTTTCCGGCGACGCGACGCCGTCTGCCGGTCGTCGGCGTCGCGCACGAGCGCTTCACACCGCTCGAGTTTGCGTGCCAAAAGCTGAACGTGAAAGCCGAACAGATACGAAAGACGCTGGCGACGGCGCGCGACGGTCGCGCGCTCGACGTCAAAGGATTGCAGCTGCTTCTTCAGGGCGCCGTGTTGCCGACGGTGAACGCGGGACCATTGGCGTACGCGGAGGTGTTCACGAAAGATGAGCAAAAAGAGAGATATGGCGAGAAGGGCATCAATGAGTTGAAGGAAGCGTTTGTGTAAGTTTTGACGAAGAGGGAATTGCCAAGAAAGACGATGTGTGCAATTTGTCGTCGAATTGAATGCATCGTGTGCAATTGTTTTATTTTTTGTTAAAGGCACCCCCCCCCCCCAAATCAAACTCTGAAAATACGGGGGATATTAACAGTTTTGTGTAAATTGGCGTCAAATTGAATGTATTGTCCGCAATTTATGTTTTAACGAAAGAAATTTGCCGGCGTGTTTGCACACAATACGCTTAATATTACGAGCACTTTTGAAAAAGAACAATCTCATAATATTTTTTTTTTTGAAAATTTGAAAATAAAAAATTGACGCCGAATTTCACACATTGTGAATTTCCAATAATTTTGGAACTTCCCTGAAATTTTTCTCGATTTTCTTAAAGGCACATGAGTTTGCTGAATTCAGGAATCTGATGTCGGCGTGTCAGTTGGCGATCGAAGCGAACGAATCGGCGATCGGATCCGACCAGCAAACGTATCACGAGGTGCTCGTTTCGTCGTTCGACGCGATGCACGAACGGCTGCAGACATTCTTTGGGGTTTCGGTATGCGCCTTTAAATGAGACCTTGAAACATGAAATACAATTTTGGATTTTCCAGTTGAGACCCGAAGCCGAGAAATTGCGTTTGCCGAGAAGCGCGATGCATGTTTTGGATTCGATTGGAGGCGTTCGAACTTGAATGTGTTTCTTTTTTCTTAATTTTCTCGCATTCCATGATTTGAGCTTTATCAGTTGCCATAATGTAATTATGCTAATTAGGCAATTTTTTCTAATTTTTCTTTCTATGGGTTTTGCTGTCGCTGTTTTCTTTTTTTTCCTGCACTCTTTTGACTATTATGAAGAGATTTTATTCGATTTTTGAATTTTTCGCACTTATTTTTTCACGTGTTTTTCATTCAGAATTTATCTACTTTCGAATTGCCATTTCTTTTTTCGCTGAAAATTCTCAAAAAATGAATTGCCTTTTTTAGAAATGCATAATGAGAAAAAGAAGCCGACAATTGATTATTTGACGCTTCTCAAACAGCAATTCAATGCGTTGCAGGTAGTCGAGAAATTGTGCAATATTGCGTGTCGGTGTTTGCAGTAGCTCGAAATTTTCAATTTTTCAGCTTAAAATGTGGGGATTTGAAGTTTCCGCGTGTGTTACTGTAGACATGACGATATGCGAACACCGACACGCGCAATTGCACCGCCAAACATGCGCAATGGTTTCAGGTCGAGCACGTCGAGCTGCGAAAAAAGTACGAGACGGTGACGGCGTCGGCGTCGCCGCTGACGACGTCCGATTCGTTTCCGTCGCGACTTCTCGAATTGACGCGAACGCTCGTCGATTCGTTTTTTAATATAGAATTGTGGGAGTCAAACGACTTGACGAAATTTTTTAAAAAAATTATTGGCAATGTGCCAATGCGTCTCGAGACTGCGTACGCGCATTTAATATTCAGTCAACGAAAAATTTAAATCTACTCCACTTTCGCCAATTTGAAGGCTCCGCCTGCCTTTCAGTCGTTTGGCGCTGACAATATGTTTTTGAAAATTAGCGATCCATGTCGTCAGATGCGTTGCGGTTCGCGAGCGGTCGGTTGATTGATTCGTCAGAATATCAGAAATATGTCAGAAATTTTTTAAAAATTAATTTACGCAATTCGACCACCTAGAACCTAGAATTTTTTTGTTTTTATTTGTTTTCCAGATTTTCTTTAAGAACATATCAAAATGCTGCCATTTTGAGGAATATTTATATATATTTTTTTTGAAGTGCTTCAATACAAGAAGCCGAATAGGAAAAATTGGTCAATTTTTTCTGAAAAGAGTCATTTAGGTTGAGAAATACTTTAAAAAAAAATTCAAATTCTGCTTTATTGAAACCAATCCAACATTGTCATTGAAGGTATTGCTGCAACGATTATCTGAATCGCTTTTTCGATTCGAAGCTCAATCCGACGCCAATCGTGTTCTACGCGTATCAAGGCAATTACACAGCCACCATTCGCTATCGATATGAATTCAAAAATCGGAGGCTTCGATTCAGAAAACGAACAAATGGATATGATTCGTATGAATTTAATGCATAAAACACATTGACGTGAAACGTTTGCATTTTTTGTTGGAAACTTTATTCCTTTGAAATTTTGATTCGGCAAAACAAAAAAAAAAGAAATGGACGAAAAATGGACAAGAGTTGGACGAACGAATGATGCGCTGACATTCCAATATCGACGACGTCGTCGTTGTCGATCGACGACAGCCGCTGCCGACGCATCGACGACGACGTGCAATAGCTCGCTGAGCACGGCGAGCAGCAGTTTGGGGAGCACGACGACGGAGACGAGGCGCAAGAATGCGACAGAGACGCATTGGCACAAATGGAACTCGATTCGACGGAGGCGATCGTCGCGATGCAATCGGATTCGGCAATTGGAGCGCGAGATGAACGCCGAGACGATGGAGGTGATGGCGAAGATCCGCGAAATGAACAAAATGATCCGATCCAAGTATGATTTGCATTCGAGGATTGGCACACGTCGAGCCATCTACTCATCGACGACGTTCATCGGAAGTCCGACGGCATCGGAGAGTCGAAAGAGTCGGAGGAAGAGCTCGAGGTTTGCGATTCGATTCGCCACTCGAATCTGTGGTATTCAGATCGACAGATAGCTCGTCGTCGGATCGTTCGAAGATCACGTTCACAACGGCGAGAAGCTTCAATCTGGTGAAGCCGAAGCGCAGAAATACGTTGGATGAGCAGTGCGATCACACGGGATTGTAAGCGAGACGACGATTTACGACTGATTCTGAATTTAAGGCCGCTTTCGCATCCGCTGGCGACGACGCCATTTCCCGGAAAATCATCGGCGGCACAACGGCAGCGAGCACGAGAGCTGCTCATCTCGATGGGACGCCAACAGATGAACTCGGCGGCCGATGGCGGCAGCGAGAGCCAATCGACGACGACGACGACCGAAGAGACGAGCGGCGAGAAGGAGCAAATCGCGGACGCGAGACAGCTCGTCGAGCCGGCCGTGTTTCCGAACAAATGTTCGCCAGAGATTCGCCAGAAGGCGAGGGATTGCCTCCGCGAGCTCGCCACTCACAAAGACGCCGAAAAAATGTTGCGATTGTGTTGCTCGTGTTGCTCAAAATCGCGTGTTTTCAGAACGAACTGCAATTATTGCGGAGCTTGCAAGAATTGCAGCAAAGGGTGCAACGCGATGCAATCGAAGGGCGTGGTGGTGACCGACGAGGATCGGCGAACGTTCGCTCGCACAATGAGCAAACTGCGCAAGCGCATTCAGAATCCGGAGAGCGGACGACAGAGGGCTGTCAAGTCGCCGTTCGACATCACACAATCGGCGTCGGAGAATGAGGCGGCGTCGACGGCGACGAACGACGCAACTGTCGATTCGGTCAAATCATGATCTGAATTGATTCCAAAACAGTACACAATAAATTTGTTCTTGAATATTTCGCATCGAGACCTTATTGATCCGCTAATTCGAATACAATTAGCCATGAGTTTTCTCGCAAATTTTCTGAAAATAAATTGAGGGTTTTGGAGATGGACTAGTTTTTCCCCGCGGCCACGGCCATTTTGCCGGCTACCACTTTTTTCTTTTGAAGTTTGTTTCACGGCTCGTCGCATCGTGGCCTAGAAAAATTGGTCGACACATTTTAGAAACCAAAAATTCATGTGCGGCACACAAATTCTGCGAAAAGCTACAAGTGCGGCACACTATCCCACAGGCTACTTTTGAAACGTAATGCTGATTCATCATTTTATCTAGTATTTTAAGACTTTTTTCTAGGTCACACCAATGCTGTGGCGAACCGTAGTTTTTTCAATAAATATTGGGTTTCTTTGCGAAATTTCTGAAAAAAATGAGGTTTTTAGAGATGGCCTAGTTTTTCCCGAGGCCACGGCCATTTTGCCGGTTACCACATTTTCTTTCTGAAGTTGCCTTTTATCTGCTCGCGATTATTTTTTAAATGTTTTCTTTTCGGCGAAAAATGGAAAATTTGAAATTTTATACAGACATTAAACAAACAAAAAAGAAAAACAAATATCGAAATAAAAATCATCCTCGACGGCCATCGCGACGGCCATTCTCACGGCGATTCTCATACTCGTCACGATACATTCGAATTCGAATCTCGAGCTCATTCTGTTGCCTCCAGCGTTTCATCATCTCATCGAGTTCCTCCATGTGTCGACGAAAGGAGTACGGCTCGCTGAAAATTTTTTTGTCTGCCTTAAAAATCATTCTATTTAATTTTTACTTTCGGTTCCTTCTGCGTTCCTCTTCGACTCGATTGGACCCGTCGACGTATGGTTGAAGCAATTCGCGAATCGTGTCGATTGCTGATGACATTCCGCGCTGAATTATTCAATTATTATGAATTTTCGGTTTGCGATTATTGTAAAACCAAATAAAGAATGCAGAAATTTGCTCATTTTCAATTTTGGAGCTCCAAACTTGGGAATTTGGGTCAATTCGAAGAATTCTTATCACAAATATTGTCGGCGTCTCTCACATTCGCACACTCTTTCCCTAACAATAAAGATTCGATTGTCGAAATATGGCAGAAACCATTCCAAAATTTTGACAGAAAATTCGAAATTCTCTTGATTTTCATCAAATTAACTAGAAAATTCCATCTAAATTGGGAAAAACCGATGAAAAAGATTGAAATAATCGAAAACGAAATATTGCGCGTCGAAAAAATTATGAATAAATGACGAGGAATCGCGGAGGAATCCGACGAACGCGGTGTTCGACGCCTCTCGCCTCTCTGCGTCTCTTCGCATCGCACACTATCTCTCTCGCTAATGAGAAAATCGACGTATCAGTTTTGGCAGCTCGAGATGCGCGAATTTCTCGCTCAAAATGCATCGACTCGCGATTGGAATAATGATTTTGAGAAAAATGCTCAAATTTAATATGCTTTATGAGGAAAATTGACAATAAAAAATGCGCTAGACGTCTCGATTAAAAATTTAACCAAAAGAAAATTTTTGGATTTTTTGAAAAATTAAAAAAAATCCTTTACAGTGCTATAATTCTATTTGAAAAAAAAAGTAACACCTCATTTTCCTATAACCAATCTGACGTTGTTAATCGCCTGAATGAACGCCCACGCGAAGTCTGTCGAATTTTTCTATCCGATGCGAATTACCAATATCGTGTCCCTTTGAGGATTCCCAAAATTCGAAAATATATTTTTTTGCAGAAATTCTCATTTTTTCAAATTTTGAGGATTTATTTTCTTCATTTATTTTCAGGTCTCGCCACATTTTAAAAAAATAATTTTGTTTTTATAATCGTGTATTTCGTTTTTTTTGCTGAAATCCCAAATATCTGTTTTGAGAAAAGTGTGCATTTTCGCGTGAGTGTGTCTACCCTAATTGCACATGTTGGTGTCTACAGTAGCACTTTTTTTTTATTAAAATTATTATCAAAGTTCGTCCATGCAAACATTAAAAAAAAAAAAACAAAAAATACATATAAAATAAATAAAATTCCAATCGAAGTGTTGTTATTTTTTTATAATTTCATTACAAATCAAAAATCAATCAAATACAGGGGAATTGGAAAATGTAAATGAATTTCGTTGTTAATCATCTCGATTTTTTCAACAGCTCGTTTGCGAATTTTCTGAAATTCGAAATTCGACGAATTTAAAGGCGCATGAAAATACCTTATCATCGGAAATCAAATCGCCGACGATGATCTCCTCGACAAAACTGGACGATTGTTGATGTTGGAAGAATTCGTCGAGAAAATTTAAGACGGCAAACTCGCTTTCTAAATCCAAAAATGATCTCAAACCGATCCAGATCAATCGAAAGCACTTCTCGAAAAATCGAAAATTCTCGAGTTGTCCGATTTCGTCGCGAGATAAAAATGCGTTCGAATCGCGCTGAAAATTCGAATTTTTTTTTGACTGAAAAAATCCATCGAAAAACTTTAGATAATTTGTAGAAATTCCACACATGTTCAAGCAATCCGATTCGCAAAATTGCTCCATCGTAATTCGCATATTCCACCATTTCCATCCATTTATCCACATCAATTATCTAGAATATCGATAATTAGATCAATTACGTCTAATTAAATATTACCGCTATCATTTTCGAAATTAGCCGATGGAATAGTTTGCTCCTTTTATGGCTTTCCCATCGCAGATCCGTTTTGATCAAATCGAACAAATGTCTATATTTCACGTTTATCGTTTTCAAATATTCGTCGAACATCAGGATCATGGATTCGTAGAAGAGTGAGAATGATTTCTCACGATGAACAATGTCTGGAATCATAGGCATGCGCCTTTGAAAATAATGGTCTCGCTCGGATTTGTTTCACAATTAAAATTTATAGGTTTTACGATGAAAAAAATACCACAATACGATTTTCAAAAAACAATTAATTTTGTTTAGCTTTTGAAAATTTATGCGAGAAAATCGAGTTTTATCTAAATTTTCCACTTTTTTGCACAAGGTACTGTAGACATGACAATGTGCGAATAGTGTAAACACCGTCACGCAGAAATACACGTGTTTTCAAACTGAAATGCGAAAAAAGTTGAAAATGAGCAAAAATTGGGTTCAAATTGATTTGTGTTGCAATTTCGCTTGAAAACTGTACAAATTTCGCTGTTTTGAAGAAAAATATTGAAAATTAGGAGAAAATTTATATCAATTTTCCTAAAATGAGCTCATTTTTCAGGATCAGTTTTGAAATTTTTTTCTATTCACGATTTTCACTTAATATTTTTTTCTAATTTTTGTTCAATTTTTAAAGGCGCATACCGTTGGAGTTATCGGCAGGAGCAAGAGCAAGCGAAATATTGAAGAATTTGCGAACATCGCCGAAATCACACTTGAAAAATTCGCGTTTGTTATCGACGATAATTTGGAATAAAAATTCGAACAGCTCGTATTGCTGATTGGTTGATTGTTTGAGCATCGAACTCTTCAAATCCGGGTAAGAAATCACCTAAAGAAAGTTTTTTGAGAAGTTTGTCCGCGAAATTTTCGCATCTAATTCTTACCAGCGCAATTTCGCGAATTTTTTGCTCGAGATTACTATGAGACTCGTCGAAAATTCGTCGACAATATGAAATAATTGATTTCCAGAAGAAATCGATTTGAATGGAATGATTGTGGCGTTGAATTGCTTGAATTGACCATTGCTGCATGTCGGATCGGATCAGATACGGGAATAATTCGAACAAAACCACATGGTACACCTCGAAATTCACTTGAAGATCGAGTTTCAGACGCTCAAGTCCATCGCATTCTTGGCATTTTTTGCAAGATTTTGAATGCCATTTAAATGGGAATGGTTGGCTAAGAATTTGCAAAATTGCCAATTTTGCTGAAATTTTGAATGAGCGATTTGGGTGTCTAATTGTTGATAATTACCAGGGCAATTAAGGAGTTGATCGACATCCGTCAATGATGGATTTTCAGATAATTTGGCTTTGGAGTTGCTCAAAATCTGCAAAAAATTATTCATTTCGGAGTTTTCTGGTAGAAATTTGTTCAATTTTCAAACCAACCCATAATTGTCATTTTGTAACTTTTTTGAAACCGGAAAATTAAAAAAAAATCTGCCGAAATGGTGATTTTCCCGTTATTTCCCAAAAATTTCGTTTTTCTTATTAAACTCACGACAATTTTCGTTTTATTCGGAAAATTCTCACGCATTTTCAGCGAATTGATTTCAAGTCTTACGTTGAAAAAGAAAATTGCAATTTTTCTCATAATTTTGAGATTTTCAATGAAATTTTGAACATTTTTTTCCTTTAAAAAACTTTCTGCAAAATGTTGACAAATTTTGGATATATTTTTTTAAAGATTTGAAATGCAATATCCAAGATATCCCCAAAAAATTGGTTCGATTTTCAGCCAAACTCATTTTCAGTCCAATTTTTTCAAATGCTCTGGTAACTCAAAACCAATCGGATGCGACAAAATTCGACTTCGGAATCAACCTTATACGATTGGAAATTCTATGGATAAAATTGGAAAATTGTCGGATCCGATTAGATTTTCTTCGAATCCGATTTTTAATTTGTCGAATCCGTTTTGTTTTAATATTTCAATTCGAACCAGATTCGACAAATAACCACTCTTATTCGTAGAATTACCAATCGGATAAGGTTAATTCCGGAGCCGAATTTTGTCAAATCCGATTGGTTTTGAGTTACCAGAATGGGCAAAGATGTCAAAATAAAATTTAAAAAAAAAATGAGCTCACCTTATTCAAAAATTGGTGGATTTTCTGAAGAGATGGCATATTATGACTTGTCGAGCAAAACGAATGGAGAATTGTCCAAATGACGCCATTTAGAAGAAGGTGTGCCAAATAATGAATGTGTCATTTGCCAGGAGCACATTCACAAGTCGCCACATTCCTTTTATGGCCATGTCAAATACTTTGACAAACTGAACGGCACCGTCTAATTTCTTTTTTTTTCCAACATTTTTCTGACGTTTTGATCGCAAAAAAAGAAACATTTTAATCACAAAATGACCAAAAATGATTATAATGTATGATATAATACAGTGCGCGTCATAATGATACGCCCCCGCCACCCAAATTTGGCAGTTTCGAGAAAACCATAAAAATAGGTGACTATACAATTTCGTTTTCGAATTCAGGACCATTGAAAACTTATATGTGCGTATTTTCATGAGGGTCCCCCAACCTTTTATGAGCTGAAGGCCGCAAGTAGACTGGAATGGAACAGTCGGTCACTTGCATACCTCAAGGAACTCGCCGATAGAATGCGAAACCGAACATGTGAAGTGATCCAAAACTATGGAGAGACTACTAATTATTGAATTTGTTGTGTTCTCGCATTCAAACCTGTTGTCTTATGGTTATTTAGACATTTTTATTGCGTTTTAGTTTTAAAAAAAAACGAAGTTGTTCAAAGGCCCCGATTTCAAGCCAAAACTAAAGATCGCTCTATGGATAAAATAACAAGATTGTTGAAAAATTGTAAAAAAAAAAATACAGAAAAGTAAGCAAGAAAAATGCAAAAATGCCGAAAGAAAAGACAAAAAATATGGGGTGGCGTAATGCATTATGAGCAGTGTGTGCTCTCGGGAGAGAATTTCCCGAGAATTCCCTAAACCACCCAGAAACAAAATTCTCGAGACTCCCCGGAAGCACCGAGAAATTTTCGAAATTATTAGTCTCGGTACTAAACGGGTAGTCGCGCGTACGGGAATCGAGAGTCTCGAGACTTTCTCGGGGAATTTTTCCGAGACTCCCGAGAAAGTCTCGAGAAATTCTCGCAAGTCTCGGTACTTTTTGGAAAGTCTCGGGAGTCCCGAAGTGATTCTCGAGAGAATTTCTCTCGGTACCGGTTAATTTTCTCGATTTTTCTCGAGAGCACACACTGATTATGACGCGCTTGAAAATCCAACTTTTTCGGGCTGTGCGGATACGGATCAACGGACCCTCATGAATATACGCGTGTATTGGTTTTCAATGGTTCTGAATTCGAAAATGAAATTTTCTTGTCACCAATTTATATGGTTTTCTCAAAACTGCGAAATTTGGGGGTTGGCGTATCATTATGACGCGCGCTGTATATGAATTATGATTATAATATATTTTTGAGAATATTTCAGCTCTCGTAATTTAAAACCAATCGAATCCAACGAAATTCGACATCGGAATCAACACGATCTGATTAGTAATTCTACAGATAAAATTCTAAAATTTTCGAAATCGATTTTTAAAATGTTTTTCAATTCTAAATTCTAAAAAATTCATCATATTCAAAATTCAAAAAAAAATCGTTTGAAGTGGTTTTAAGCAGTTCACAAGAATTTTTTTTTTTTGCAAAACAAAATTTTTCGACAAAATTTTTGAAAGCCAATGAAAAAATAGAGAAAAAATTAACATTTTTCAATTTTCTCTCATTAAAAAAATTTTTCACCTTTGCAAAGTTTAAACTGAAAAACCCGTATGCCAATTACAGAAAACTAATTTCAAATGGTTTTTCCAGTTTTATTTTTTCTACGTAATTTTCTTTTTTGATTTAAAATTTTTGTGTCCAAGTTCAGAGAATGAAGACATTTTTAAAATTGAATATTTGTGTTTTATTTTTTAAAATGTTATTGCCGTAGGCTATCTCTTTTTTTTTATTTTCTCCTTCGAACTGAATTATTCTTATCAATATCAACGAAAACAGCAATTTCCGAACTTTCGCACGAGATAAGACGAAGGTAGTGTGTCGGCACGAGAGACGCAGACAGCGGGAAACAAAGGCGCACGTATTTTAGCAGCGGCGACGTTTCGCCACGAAAAACCGCGCTCGCATAAATTTGAATTTGTTTGCGCTGACGCCGAACGCCGATTTTCTCCAATTTTTTTTGTCCGCTGTTTGCTCACGCGATTTATTCTACCTCTATGCACAATTTCCAATAATTCTTTCAATTATCGTGATTCGCGTTCGATTTCGCGTGAAATCTCGCGTTCAACACTTGAAAAATTCGCAATTTTGTTTCCAGAGCTATGCCGGTTGAAATTGACACCATCAAGGAGGGTGACGGATCCACTTTCCCGAAAAAAGGACAATCCGTTACCTGCCACTACGTTTTGACTTTGGAGAATGGCAAGAAGGTCGACTCGTCGCGCGACCGCGGATCTCCGTTCACCTTCAAGATTGGAACCGGACAAGTTATCAAGGGTTGGGATGAGGGTCTCGCCAAGGTGACTTTATCAAAATAATCAATTTCATTCAACAAAGAGTTGTTTTCAGATGTCGATTGGTCAACGCGCCAAGCTCACCATCTCTCCAGATCTTGGATATGGAAAGAATGGTGCCCCGCCACAGATTCCGGGAAACTCAACCTTGATCTTCGATGTCGAGCTCCTCTCTGTCAAATAAACTCACCGAACATCGCTGCGTTTTAGTAGCACAATTGCTGTTTGATTAATTATCTAAATAAATAAATGGTTATTTTAAACACATCATTATTAATTTTTGTTTCAATTGAGTCATATTTCATGAAATATCTATATTATTCAAATCAAACCTCTCAACGATGTTTTGATCTCCACTTGAGTTTGCTGATTATTCCAGTTGGCGCCGCCCTACGGAATAATTAAAAGCGCGCGAAGGCGAGTGTCGTTCATTAAGCGTTTGACCATCTGTTCGCCACATTTCGCCCAAACAATCTCATTTACTTCATTTCGAATCGTTTTACTGATGCACGTTTCGTGTTTTCCAATATGTGGTGACTCATCCAAATGCTTCCGGGCATTCAGTTCGCACCGCCCGCTCTTTACAATGTTATCAATCTACGCGCCTCTATATAAATTGAATTGTTTTCGATGTCCGCCCTAGGCACATTGTTTATTTCTTCATGTAAACAACCATCGTATCCATATGGTCTCTCGCGTTTTTTTTTTCGCTGTTAGAAAACAAAATTAGTTTCTATTGAGCGCGAATCCCAAAAGAAAAATTAATTAATTGTCTTCGCTATTCAGAAATGTCACAATTTCGTAATTTTCTCGTCATTTCGCAATCATGTTCGCGGCAATGTTTTGAAATTGCTCGAATGAATCATGTGTGTGTGTGCGCGCGGAAAAGGCGTGGCCATGCATTTGGGATACGATGATGAATTCGAGAAGGGGGGTCCCATTCAATTCATTTTGTTCCCCCCGCCTCTGTGAGTAGTTCGGTCAAGCAGCCGGCCGGCCGTCGTCGCCGTCTCTCTTTGTCGATTGCGTGCCTAGCCCGGTCCGGCCAGTCAGTTTTCTGCCCGCTCACTCGCCTCGCGCGCGCGCGCTTGGCGCTAACGACCGCACATGTTCCGTTGTTCTTCGCCTTCTTTTGCACTTTTCTTTCGCCCACTTCATTCCATTCTTTTTTTTTCAGAAATCATGTCTGGATGGGACGCTTACATTACGTCGATGACCGCCGCCACGCCGGCAATCAAGCGAGCTGCCATTGTTGGAACTGACGGATCGGTTTGGGCACGCACGAAGGACGATAATGTGTTCAAGGTAAAAGACGATTCTTTCCAGAAATTTGATTCCTTCCAAAAATGTATAAATACGAATTTTCTAGTCTATCAAATATTCCAAGCCAATTAATAAAGAAAACCCCATTTAATATGCATCTCAAATTACCAATTAAGGCTACCGAGGCCGAGCTCAAGGCATTCGTCTCGTTGTTCGACGATATCGCGAGTGTCCCGGGAAAGGGCGCTGACATCGAGAATGTACACTACGTCGTCCCGCGTACCGAGGAGAATCTCATTTTTGGAAAACGCGAGAAGAGCGGATTCTTCGCTGTCAAGACGAAGAGCGGTAAGATTTCGATGCGACCGTTTTTTGAGATTCATTCAAAATTTTCAGCCATCTTGATTGCCGTTTATGAAGGCACCAACGAAGTGTCGGCTCAAGTGAGACAAGCTGTGGAGAACGTTGGCGGATATCTCGTCAAAGCTGGATATTAAAACTTACAATTCATAATTTATGTGCGTATTCCGAATTAAGTGCATCTCTACATCTCCTCCATTCTCGCTTCCAACTCCTAAATTGTTCATTTTTTAGTTGATTTGTACGAGTACAACGGCGGAATCGTTGCAGTGTGACGATTCTCGCCATCTACGTCGTTTTTCTTCACTTTTTCTTCATTGGATTTTCGAGCTTTATCTCCATTTTCCCCTTATTTCGCTTTTGCTATTCATTCCCACCCCATCCCAACCAATTTTTCGAGCTCTATGATAACTTTTGCTTTTTAGATAAACTTTTATTTAAACGAGTTTCTATGTCGCGACGGCACCCGGAATGCAAACAACGCTGCCGCTTTCTTTGGGCAAACTTGAGGAACGTTTGCGGAAAAGTGATTGGAAGAAGAATGTTTGATGTTGGATTACCTAGGTATTAGCAAAATTCTCCAGTAATTCTACCAAAGCAAGATCTAGATTTGTTCATGGCTTCATGTCTTTAACGAATCTTAGATTCTCAGATCTTCTGGAGTCTTTCTGGATCTTTGTCATTTATTATAGAATTATTTTTCTTCGATATTTTTAGCGCAATATTTCGACAACATTTTTATATTCTTAAAATTGGCGCATTTCGATATTTTGATCATTTTTGAAAATTGGTGAAAGTGACACATTTTCAAAGAGAAGAAACTCGTTGAGTGTTGAGACCTGCATCCACGTGGAATATAAAATACGCTCACTCACGACACCATATTTTGATCTACAATCGGTGGCCGAACTTCTGGTGGCCGAATTTCAGGCGACAGATTTCTTTTGTTTGGCTGCAACAAAAATTTTCAAAATATTTTCGATGCATATTGGCGAGCGTCGCTTCTGCGTCTCTTCTCATCGCACACTCTCTCATCGTGATTGCGCAAAACAAAAGGATCGCTTTGTCTGCGCGAATTTCGATCCAAATGGCTCAAACACGCCTCGAGAATGTTCTTTTTCTTAATTCGACGTTCGATTATGTCATTTTTTTTCCAAAATTAATGCTGTCTATTCGATTTTAAACGAATTTCTGACATTCGCGAATGCGAAATTTTTTTTCGTAATTACTTAGATTAAAACTAGGCTAATTTCAAATATTCTCGTTGGAATTATTTAGTTTAAACTACTTTTAATTTATTTTTTCGTTTAAAATGACAACGCGCAAGTAGTGCAACCACCACCACGCGAAAATGCACTATCTTTGAAATTGCGATGTGAGAAATTTGAGTTTTGCGAATTCATATGTGAAAATTGTGTACAATTGAGCATTTCAGTGCAAAATGTCGTCGGCACTCGACGCGATTCGCGAATTGCTTGAGCCATACGTCGAGCCGGCTAATATGTCTGAAGAAGAGCGCAGAAGAGCCCGATGTGAGCGTCATGATCGATTGGCGGCGTAAGAACCTTGAACATATTATTTTTAATTCGAATAAAAACAAATTAAAAAAAATATTTTCAGGGCAACGTTGATGGCCTTGAGAAATGAACTCGAAGAAGTTCGTCAGAGCGTCGAGCGTTTGAACGCGGAATTGGAGAGAGAGACTCGCAATCGTCGCAATGGATAAAATGTGACACATAGTTGTGTGTGTTGATTTTGAATAAATCTGTTAAACAATATGGATTGTGTTTTTTGAAATAGCAACTTCTTAAAACGCCGAAAATCGAATTGGCTTGCTGGTCAAAATTTTCGTGATTTCGTTTTTTTTTTCGCGTATATATTGTCGTAGGCGAGCCTTCAAATTCACGAAATCAGTGTAAATTGAAATTAATTGTTGATTGAATATTTAATGCGCGTACGCTATAATGCAATGTACGCAATCTCGCTGCCTCGAGACGCATTGACACATTGGCAATAATTTTTAAATTTCGTCAAGTCGTTTGACGTCGACAATATTGTTGCCAGCGGAAAGTTGGCAAAATGCCAAAAAATTTTAAGAAGAGGTCTCGACGCGCACCTTTAACCTAGTCGGCGACATGTCCAAACTTCGGGACCCCTATATCGCATCACGAATGACCTGGGTTGATCACATAGCGAGATGAACAGGTGGAAGATGGACTACTCTGTGGCGGCCGTGGAATTGGGCACGGCCAAGAGGAAGGCCTCCCATGAGATGGTCTGACTCGCTTCAGATCACAATAGGAACAGCTGAAGGAGCCGTAATCACACCGTGGTCCACTCAAGCCAAACTTTTGAAACAGTAAGCATTACGTTTAAAAAGTAGCCTGTGGGATAGTGTGCCGCACTTGCAGCTTTTTGCAGAATTTGTGTGCCGCACATGAATTTTTGGTTTCTAAAATGTGTCGACCAATTTTTCTAGGCCACGATGCGACGAGCCGTGAAACAAACTTCAAAAGAAAAAAGTGGTAGCCGGCAAAATGGCCGTGGCCGCGGGGAAAAACTAGTCCATCTCCAAAACCCTCAATTTATTTTCAGAAAATTTGCGAGAAAACTCATGGCTAATTGTATTCGAATTAGCGGATCAATAAGGTCTCGATGCGAAATATTCAAGAACAAATTTATTGTGTACTGTTTTGGAATCAATTCAGATCATGATTTGACCGAATCGACAGTTGCGTCGTTCGTCGCCGTCGACGCCGCCTCATTCTCCGACGCCGATTGTGTGATGTCGAACGGCGACTTGACAGCCCTCTGTCGTCCGCTCTCCGGATTCTGAATGCGCTTGCGCAGTTTGCTCATTGTGCGAGCGAACGTTCGCCGATCCTCGTCGGTCACCACCACGCCCTTCGATTGCATCGCGTTGCACCCTTTGCTGCAATTCTTGCAAGCTCCGCAATAATTGCAGTTCGTTCTGAAAACACGCGAGTTGAGCAACACGAGCAACACAATCGCAACTTTTTTTCGGCGTCTTTGTGAGTGGCGAGCTCGCGGAGGCAATCCCTCGCCTTCTGGCGAATCTCCGGCGAACACTTGTTCGGAAACACGGCCGGCTCGACGAGCTGTCTCGCGTCCGCGATTTGCTCCTTCTCGCCGCTCGTCTCTTCGGTCGTCGTCGTCGTCGATTGGCTCTCGCTGCCGCCATCGGCCGCCGAGTTCATCTGTTGGCGTCCCATCGAGATGAGCAGCTCTCGTGCTCGCTGCCGTTGTGCCGCCGATGATTTTCCGGGAAATGGCGTCGTCGCCAGCGGATGCGAAAGCGGCCTTAAATTCAGAATCAGTCGTAAATCGTCGTCTCGCTTACAATCCCGTGTGATCGCACTGCTCATCCAACGTATTTCTGCGCTTCGGCTTCACCAGATTGAAGCTTCTCGCCGTTGTGAACGTGATCTTCGAACGATCCGACGACGAGCTATCTGTCGATCTAAATACCACAGATTCGAGTGGCGAATCGAAGCGCAAACCTCGAGCTCTTCCTCCGACTCTTTCGACTCTCCGATGCCGTCGGACTTCCGATGAACGTCGTCGATGAGTAGATGGCTCGACGTGTGCCAATCCTCGAATGCAAATCATACTTGGATCGGATCATTTTGTTCATTTCGCGGATCTTCGCCATCACCTCCATCGTCTCGGCGTTCATCTCGCGCTCCAATTGCCGAATCCGATTGCATCGCGACGATCGCCGCCGTCGAATCGAGTTCCATTTGTGCCAATGCGTCTCCGTCGCATTCTTGCGCCTCGTCTCCGTCGTCGTGCTCCCCAAACTGCTGCTCGCCGTGCTCAGCGAGCTGTTGCACATCGTCGTCGATGCGTCGGCAGCGGCTGTCGTCGATCGACAACGACGACGTCGTCGATATTGGAATGTCAGCGCATCATTCGTTCGTCCAACTCTTGTCCATTTTTCGTCCATTTCTTTTTTTTTATTTTGCCGAATCAAAATTTCAAAGGAATGAAAATCGCCGACAATCTGATTCATATCAATTTGCCACGTCAGAAATCTTCTTCACGTAAAATCACAAAAGCTAAAAATATGTACTATAAATTTCAAGGAATTGGCATCCGCTCAAAAAATTAGGCAAATTCCAATTTTAAAAACGAAACAACTTTATTGAGAAATAAAATAATCCGAGTCAGAAGTGCGAATCAAATTGCAAACTTTCTCGCGATTCAAAAGCGCTATCAAATAGACGAAAATGATTGCAGCGAGCGAGACAAACAGCGCGAATCGATAATTGCCGGGTCGCTTCGGATCCTCGCCATTCTTCATTCGATTCAACGCGATTTCCAGCTCTTTCGTATTCAGCGGCGTCTGGAAAACCGCACGATGAGTGCGAACGAGATGCCGGCTCGCTGAGCATACCTCATTCGTTTGCATTGCAAAATATAAAAATGAATGAGCGCTACACGTTTATTAAACGCGAAGAAAACCGGGGGAAAAAAAACTAACAAGGGAGGTCATTTTGCTGTCCGTCTTAAAATTTTTTTATTTTTTGCATACAGATTCTTTAGAAAATTTCCAATCGAATGAACTAGGTCTCTACCTGCGCAAACTTCTAGTTATCGAGATATGGACCTTCAAAGTTTTAGCCCCTCCCCACGTGAATTTTGCATACAAATGTGCGGAAACTCGCACATAAGACATCACGCTATTTCATTGCGAGTTTCCGCACATTTGTATGCAAAATTCACGTGGGGAGGGGCTAAAACTTTGAAGGTCCATATCTCGATAACTAGAATTTTGCGCAGGTAGAGACCTAGTTCATTCGATTGGAAATTTTCTAAAGAATCTGTATGCAAAAAATAAAAAAATTTTAAGACGGACAGCAAAATGACCTCCCTTGTAAGGAGACTATTTCTTTTGCTTTTTCTTCTTTTTCTGCGCCGACAAATCTTTATCCGAATCCGATTGGGTGTGATCAAATGGCGATTTTACCGCTTTCAAGCGGCTACTCTACAAAAATTAGCATTGATTTGCATATTGCCGAAGGCAGAAGAATTAAACGCGGAAAAAAAAATAAATTTTGCAACATGGGACATAGCTTATTCGATTCAGAATTTCAAATATTATAACTGGGCCAAAATTTTTTTCAAAAATTTTATCGACTATGATTTAATTTGGCTACGTAAAACTACAGTATCAATCAAAGGCGCATGCAAAAATTTGTTAATATCGTGCCAAGAATCCGAATTAATTTTGCCCTAATTTTTTTTTGAATTTCATACATTTCTGCTTCTTCGTTCAAATGATGAAAATTGCTTTTCTCGTAAACATTTAGGCGTAGATTAAAATGCATGTCCGTAGACTTGATGCGGCGTGAATGCACAAAGTAGCGAGAGCATTTTTAAATCACCAAAAAAAGCACACACACACCTCAGGATTCTGAATCTTCTTCCTCAACTTTTTGATTTCCTTCAAAAACATTTTGCGCTCCTCATCCGTCACCACAAGCCCCTTCGCTTGATACGCCTTACAGGCTTTATTGCATTTGGTGCACGTCTCGCACGTCTCGCATAGCTCAAGCTTCTCCGTGTGGAACGGAATCGAGCTGGAGCACGTCTCCGCCGAAGGCGCTGAAGACTTTGCCGTTTTCGACTTCTTCTTTGACGTTGCCTTCGATGTTTCCTTCTTGCTCGACGACGTCGTCTTCGATTCGCTCTTTTTTGTGGATTTTTTGCTCGATGAGCTACTCGAGTCCAGTTTTTTCAAGTTCTTTCCACTTTTGTCGCTGTCGGTTTTCGACAACATCCCTTGACCCATTGAAATCAAAAGAGCTCGCGCTCGTGCTCGCTGAGCCGCAGATGACTTTCCAGGGAACGGTGTCGTCGCCAGCGGATGTGATAATGGCCTGAACATTTTTTTTTTATCCCATTTTTTTTTTCAAATTTCCCCCAACTTACAATCCTTTATGGTCCAATGGCTCATCATTATTATTATTATTAATTCTTTGTCGATTTTCTTTTGCCAAATGTCTTGAAATTGATTTGCCAGAGCTATTCGAGCTGAAATTTTGTGTAATTTGCTTATTTTCTGCACGTTCCCAGAAACAGACCAACCTTTTTCCTGATTTTAAGCTCTCTTCTTCCTGATTACTTTTCTCATCTTGCGAATGAATGTGGTATTTCCTTCGAATATCGCGATTCATTTGGCGAATCTCGCGAACAATTTGCATCATTCCCTCATTACATCGCGAATCTGAGATAAGAAAAATAGAAAATCAGCAGAAATTTGCTTAAAACCTGACGCGAGTAGTTTTGCACGATTCGCCAATTGTCGTCTTTCCTTTGATCGTTTCGAACAAATCGATTTCGAGCTCTAAACGTTGAAAAATTGCTCAAGAGCATTGCCGACGACACTCCGCCGGTACGCATAGCAACTAGCCCGCAATTTAACGTAAATCCACATTCACAAATTTTTTATATTGAAATTTCGATAAAAATTTTTTTAACTCACCAGAACATTGTTACAATTAGTCGACATATTCCGCGATTTACACACCTTTGGTTCGAAAAATTGCTTATTACGTAAATTAGAGAAGAAATACTCAACATTTTGATAATTCGATGACGTTCAATTAATTCACATTTTTTTCGGCGTACGTGATTGAATTGATGGCGATCTTGTCGAGGGATTCATCGTCATTTTTCATTGAAAATTATTTAGTAGTCAACCTCTTCGAGATATGTGAGTTTGCAGATGTCGAATAATGGAAATCGGCTGCGGATTGCAGCGCGTGATGGATACAAAAATGGACGGAGGTCGCGCGGTGGCGCTGTCGGCGATCGGCAACACGAGTCGAATCTCAACGCGATCTCTTCGCAAAAAGAAAACCTCGCTATTGACGCCGAAAAAGTTTATTGAGCACGTATGTTAAAAAGTGTTCGCTTGAAGACCTGAAATTATAAGAGGAAGTAATAGTTGAAAATGAGCTTCAACACTTTTTAAGTTCTACAGTAACCCGTTTAAAGGAGCGCATCCAATTGTTTGCCAGAGTCTCGCCGCATTAAATGATAATGACATCATTTCCAAACGCAAAATCGAAATTTTTGGAAGATATTTTTTCAGGTTCAATCAAAACATTCATCGAAACAGTTCGAGGCCGGTGTGGCCGAAATATTCAAAGAATTTTATCCAGAGACGCCAACTTTTACAAATTTTTTCAAGAAATCTAACAAGGATAAGAATGCGAAGCCAAGCGAGTTGGAATTATCACTTTTTTGAATTTTAAAATTGTTTTAGACATTTGGCTTTACGATTCAACACGTGTAGTCGTCCCCGACGTTGATTATTATCATGCTTCATATGTCGATGGAGCTTCGAGACCCAGTAAGAATGAGAATTATTTTTTTTGTTAATGTTTTTGTGTTTTCAGATGAATACATTCTCGCACAGGCTCCATTCAACGCCGCTCTTCAGAAGGACTTCTTCAAGCTTCTCCAGCACGTCAAACCCGAAGCGGTAATCATCGCCGACGGCAACGAAGAAGCGTCGGCGTTCATTCTCTCCAAAACTGACAAGACGCCGTCGAAAATGTCAACGGAACGCTCGAATGACGATATGCTGCAGACAGCGCTAAATGTTGGCGGGCCGAAATCGATAAAACTGTTCAAATTGACCAAATTCGACGACAAACCGCCGAATGAATCCGAATTTCTGGACACTCATGAACGGGTTGGCGGAATTGCGACTTTTTTTTCTGCGAATGGAATTTTTGATTTTCTAGATTCGAAAAAATCTTGGCTGGAATCTCAAAGGCCCCATTGTGGTGGTTTGCAAGGATGGAGCGACAAAGTAAGCTTCGTCTAACGAGTTTCCATGAATTCCAAAAAAAATTCAGAAGTGGTATTTTTGTGCTTCTCGACATGGAAGCTGGAAGGTTGAAAGAGAAGTCGAAGGTGAGATTGACGGATTCAATCAAGTCGATTAGGTTTGCAAGACAAAAACTAGTCCAATCATATATTTTTTTTTCTTCCTTTTTTGCAGAAATATGCGCTCCAACACGTTTGACACAATTGAAAACTTCGAAATTGGTGTGAACCTTGTGCTAGAATTATGCAAAAGGGCGAAAAAATGAAATCATAATATTGCAAATAATATTGTTCATGAAATTATTGAAAATGTTAATAGAAAAATGAAATCGAGTACGAATTGTGGGTAGATTTACGGGAGGATGCGCCTTTGGCCAATGTCTCGCCCCGATTTAATCTGATATTTATTTTGGGAGTTTTTACAATTTTGAATTGTCATTTTCTTGTTCATATAATCAAGTATGAACGGATTTGGGGTGGAATTACTGTAGCATTTGAATTGCCGCCTTGGGTCTCGTATGGAAAAACGCTGCAGCGATTTTTGCTTTATTTAACCAACATAATTTTATGAATTTAAAGTTCTCACGAAAATGTGTTAAATGCCGGTACATAAGGACGTTTTATTTTACGCTATAAATTGGCAGCCCACGCAATTCAAAAAAAAAATTTGAGTGTCGATTTACGCCGCGTTGTTATGTGGCGCATCGTCCGTGTGGAGTACACAGTGTGCGTCGCGTCGTCTAAAAAATATTGCCGAAATCGTTTTCGGCAATATTTATTCAGGAAAAACAGCTCACGGAAGAAAATAATTTATAATTTTTCAGCAACAACAAAAAAAAAGATCAATCAATAAATATTCGAGCTCGTCGGTGCGCCTTTAATTCTCGAATACTCGATTCCGGTGAAGTTCGTCGACATCATCATCGTTTTTCGTCGCGAATTCTCAATAAGACAAAGGAATGCGGCCGGCTGGAAGTCGAAGTAGAGCTTGTGCGCAACCAACTCGTGCCGTCTAAATTTCTGGTAATATTTTGCAAGTGGCATCATCGAAACCTGACCAAATGCGGAAGATCGCGAACGCCGAACACGCAAGAGAGCCTATAATAATATCCTGCAACGAATTCCATTGAATTTCGTGTGACGACAAAACGAAAGAAAAAAAACCTTTACACCTCGCCGGCGGTCTCGTCGAATATTGCTGATATCTCGAAATATAATAGCTGGTGATGTTGTAGAATTGGCTGGCAACGATGACGTCGTGAATCGGATGAATCGGAAAATGATTGCGGAAGTTCGCTTCGACGTACGCTTTCGCGTCGAAGCCGCCCGGCATTCGCAGTTGCTCGGGATTGCCGGCGATCGTCGCCCACAGCGATTCGTCGGCGCACAGCGTGCCTCTCAGGAACTCGATTTGACGCCGCACAATCTTCAAATCGAGTGTGCGCCTTGAAAATTGGTCTCGACGATGATTTCGCTTTCAACGCGCACTCGCGGAATTTTTTAAAAGGTCGCAATTAAAGGCGCATGTGCCTTTAAAGTAGATCAAAGATTTTCGACAACTCGCCGCGTCGCAAAATCGTATTTAAAGGCGCACGCTTCTAGTCAATTATTTTGCAGAAAATCACTTCAAATGTTATTTTTTCATTTGGCTTAGGTGTCCTGCGCCTTTAATCAATCTCAAATTGCTGCGAGACCATATTTAAAGGCGCAAACTCTCCCCACCTCACTATTCACCATAAAATTGGCGGATTTTCGCGAAAACGTCGCCGACAGACTGGTTTTGAACAATGGAAGCGGTGAGTTGCGTCTCTGAAAAAAAGAAACCTTCTCGATGGTCCCTTGAGCTCGCCCCTCCCAACATTTTTGCGTTTCAATCGATAAAACTCGAACGGATCGACTTCGGCGTTGAACGAGCCGTTCAACGACGCCAAAATTCGCACCATCTCGATGTTCGACTTTAAAGGCGCATCGACGCCAGACAAATACTGTAAGAAAAGAATGAGAGACGTGATGAATTTTTTCTCAAATCCCCCCCCCCACCTGAAAATATTTCCAGTCGCTTTCCAAACGCGCCAAATAATCGACGCACTCGAACACCGACGTGAGAATCTCGTAGCCGCACCATTCGATTCGCTCAACCGTCTGCGCACAGTTGGATATTTACGGAGAGGCGCGTGCGCCTTTAAAACGACTTACGAACGCGCGGATATTCGGATAGCAGTCGGCGAGCATTTTGAGACGATTTTTGAACTGCTCGCTGCTTTTCCCGTCGATCGCAATGCAAAATTGATTTTGCGGCTGATAAATGGCGGACAGAAGCAGCGAAACCTGTTAACCGCACAATTTGAAGGTGAGGTCTTGACGCGATGCGCCTTTAAATTGCTTTCGCGTCAAGACCCCTCCACCATAGATATTTTTGACAATACCTGCACAAAATTGCTATGAACCAACATCCCATAGGCCAACGGGAAATTGCGCTCCTCGTCGGTAATGGGTCTCGTGAAGAATTGGAAAATCGACTGAAATGTCGCGCATCTGCAATTATTTGCCATTGTGGGTATCGACGCGATTTTCGAAATTCGCCAATTTCATTGTTTTTTTTTTCCTCCAAATTGTTGACCAATTTGCCTGATTCGAAAAATCTGTTAGAGTGCGCCTTTAAAACTGATTCGTCGACGTCAAAATATCAAATTTAAAGGCGCACGCGCCGTTTTCGCTCCGAGACCCTCACCGATCACTCGACTCCTCAATCATCTCAATAATGCGCGAATCGTTGAATTTAAAATTGGCGCCTCTCATGAGCGCCTCCTCGTCGCCGTCAAACATCTTCTGACATTGAAGGGTCTCGAATGGAATCAACTCCACACTGAAGAAATCGGATTCGTTTGGAAAACGCTCATCCAAACCTCGGCTGCTGGTCGAAAATTGAAAAAATCACAAAAATCGTCAATATAAGGCCGACGAACAGCGCCGCTTTCCGCGAGATCATCGCACTGACAAAATGCGACGTCTGGCTCGTTCGAGCCGCCGTCGATAATTACCATACGCAAACATTGCATAATTGCCACACACAAAATTTATTGACAAAACAATAAATTAATAATAAATTAGCTGGAGGGGAAAGAAGGACAGAAAAAAAAGAAGAAGAAGAAGAAGAAGATTCGGGATCGCGGAGACTGGATATCGAGAAGGAAGACCACAAAATTCGAACGAGAAAACTCTAAAGAGGAAACCAAAAGTTTCGATCTATCACAAAAAATTAATTCATTTAAATGAACAAAAATTATATTAAAAATGAATACCATTTATGCACAATTTACTGGTGATATGGGGATTGGCGGAACGCCGGTCCTCTCGCGAACGGATTGCCTCCAGCGGCGGATGGCGGTGGCGCGAATCCAGATGGTGGTGGGGCGAATCCGCCGGGTCCACCGGCTGGTGGTGGCGCAAACGAGCCAGGTCCTCCTGGTGGTGGTGGGGCGAAGCTTCCAGGTCCTCCGGCTGGTGGTGGCGCGAATCCTCCCGGTCCACCTTGCGGTGGTGGCGGTGGCGCGAATCCTCCAGGTCCTCCTGGCGGTGGTGGCGCAAAGCTACCAGGAGCTCCCGCTGGCGGGAACGAGTTTGGCGGCGGGGCGAATCCACCCTGCTGTGGTGGTTGCTGCTGCTGCTGCTGCTGTGGTGGCGGGAACGATCCAGGCATTCCTTGTGGTGGTGGTGGTGGCGCAAATTGCTGTTGTGGCTGCTGCGATGGTGGCGGTAGTGGTGGGGCTCCATAGTTTTGTGGCGGCTGTTGGTGTTGGTCAGCTGGCGGCGCGTATTGTTGTGGTGGAGGAGCATACTGCGGCTGATGTTGTTGCGAGACCGGTGTCGAAGCAACTGACGAATGCGACGGCGGTCCTTGTTGGAAACTCTGTGGTGTTGGCGGTGGTGGAGCGAATTGGTGCACCTCGTGTGGTTGTTGTTGTTGCTGCTGCTGCTGCTGTGGTGGTGGTGGTGGTGGCGGGCCGGCATTGGAAGTCGGGAACGACGGAATCGACGTTGGTGGCGGCGCGAATTGATTCGAAGGCGGTACACCCGCGGACGGTTGCTGTTGTGGCGGTGGCTGGATGAACGACGAGTTCAGCGAATCATGATTTGATTGATCGTGCGAGCTCTCCAATGGAATCTCTTCCTCAAGCGGAGCGTGATGGTTCTCGCTGAGCACCTGGAATGCAGTATTTCAATATAGGCTCAACAAATGCGAAAAATCCTACCTGTTCTTGAAGCGACGGCTGAATCGTGGCAGGAATTTCCGGTCTCTCCGATGGAACTGGGGATGGTGGAGCTTCAAAGTTCTGAAAAACCAAAATAAAAAAAATCAATATTATTTTTCGAATCACCTTGGCAATGAACTCCTCCTGTTGCGCGCTGATCGTCGATTTCGAAGCGACAGTCAAATTCTAAAATAATCAAACATTTTTCAGATAATTGATTCAAACTTTACCTCGAATTCGCTAGAGAGATTGTCCAGAGAGGAAACTGTGGAAAGAAGCTGGGCAATGTCTTGCTGAAAATTGCAAAATAATATACATTTCTACATAATGCTTTCATTCAATACCTTAATTTGGTCAACTTGCTGTTGGACGCTTCGAATCACATCATGAACCTTGGAATCAACAAAAACTTCGACATTTAGAACCCCGGTACGAGCAGCTTCATGATGAAGCGCGAGTAATAAATCACTATCCTCGGAAAGCGTTATCAAATCGCCATCTAAAAAATTAGTTTGTAATTTTTAAAATAAAAAAATTTCAATGAATATCCTACCTAAATCCTTGTACTTGAGAACAATGGTCTTCTCGTTCGAGATGCGGAAAATTCGCTGAGCAGTGAGAATCAAGTCGACAAGTGTCAAATCATTACTATGATGAAGGGACGTTTTCCGAACGTCATCGCCGAAGCGAGCCTTCAGAATTGTTCCTGTGATGCTTCCGTTTGATTGTACCATTCCTGAAATTTGAAAAATAATTGAATACAATTGTGAGACGTGGAAGAAATGCGAGAAAAACGCAAGGAAATCCATCAAGAATCCACTATTCGTGCACTATTCCACGTTCAATAACAATCTGCCGCAAACAGTGTGCCGCATGTTGCAGACTCCGCCCCTGACCGCACCGCCTCCTATTTTTCAAATTAAAATTTCGCGATTTTTGATAAAAAGTGCCAATTTTGTATAGGAGCTTTAAATAATTTGTGGGAAGTCAAATAGGAAAAATAATGATTTTTTTTGGGTTGGTGCTCGTCATTCAAGTACTCAAACAAAATATATTTTTTTAATGAAATTTAATTTTTACCTCTAAATATATAATATTGCGTTAAAACCAAAAAAATTTAATAAATTATCGGGAACAAAAAAAAACAGAAAAATTTTCAATGAGCTGTACACAATTAAAGGTGCATAGATGTAACTAACAATGGTCTCGTCTGGAAGATTTGTCGTTATCAATTTTGCTTGATTTTTTTTCATTTCAAAAGTCATATTTCAAGCAAATTGTTTAAAATTTCAGAATTATGCCGTCTTCCGACAACGATGACGATATTGTCGCTATCAAGAAGCCTCGATTAAGCCAGGAAATTACAATCTCCGACGATGATAACTATGTTAGCGATGATGGCGAAAAAGTTGAAGCGCCGCGGATGGAAGTTCACAACGTTTCCGATGATGACGATGAGATTGCAAAATACTCATTAGAAAAGGAGATTCTCACAATTTCAGATGACGAGCAACCAGAATCCTCAAATAAATGTAGAACACATTTTTTTTATTTAAGGATAATTCAAAATTTAGTCAAGTCCGCTGAGGAAGCCATGAAGGAATTCGCAGAAATCACCGACACTGATGAGATTCTCGCGCAATCTATTCTTCAAGACGTCGATTGGGATCTTAAAAAGGCGCTGAACGTCTTCTACGGTTCCGAATCCTTCAAATCCATTCGATCGCAAGCCGTAGCTGGAGTTTCCGCGTCAAAAGCGGAAAGTTCAGCTCCATTGAATCGTGAAAGTCTAAAGGCAATCAATATTTTGCTTAAAATGTTAATTATATGCTTTGCAGGGCCTGGAGATCAGCGTGATGTCGTGGAATATCGATGGCCTCGACGTCAGAAGCTTGACAACACGAATGAAAGCAGTCGCGAAAATTGTGAAGATGTAAAAAATTGAAAAGAAAATTCAAGAATGTCTCAATTTTAGTGCAAATCCTGATTTTCTGTTCCTTCAAGAGGTCACCGATCGCGGTTTGGAGCCCATCGACAAGCTTCAATCCCTTTATCAGGTCTTTTATTCAAATAAAGGTTCACCATTCAAAGGGCCAATTCAGAGAAAATGGAGAGATTTTAATGCAGAAAAAAATGACGCTTTTATTTTTTCTATATTGACCCGCAAAAAATTATATTTTTTGAAATTTGTTATTTTCAGGCTGCCAATATTACACCGCGATTCTCGTGTCGAAAAAATTCGAAGTCGGCAAACATGACGTCATCCACTATCAGAATTCGGGAATGTACCGAACATTGCAGATTCTTGAAGGCTTCATCGGCAACATTAAAGTGTTTCTGCTCACCACTCACCTTGAAAGTATGAAGGAGCACAGCGGGCAAAGGTGACCAAAAATTCGACTTGAAATTTTCTTTTTCCAAAATTGTTTTAATTTGATTTTTTGAAGTTTACAAGATTTCAAATAATGATGCTTAAATTAATTTTGAACTGAAAAAATGTTTTAGCAAGGTTTTGAAGAGAAACGAGGGTATCGTAATCAAATATCTTAAAATTTTTCTATTTTTTCAAAATTTAAAATTACAATTATCAAGAATGACAAATTCCGCAAACATTGGTCTCAACACGAAAATTTAAAGGCGCGCTCAATTCGCATTCTGCATGGACAAAATCCGCGAGATCATCGCCGCCAATCCCAATTGTTTCCTGTTCTTCGGCGGCGATTTGAATCTTCGCGACGACGAGGTCTCCTCAATTCCGGCCGGCGTTTCGGACGCGTGGATCTCCGCCGGAAGCGACACGCGCACCAAATTCACGTGGGACACACGCCTCAACGACAACAAGCGAGGATTCGGCGCCCGATTGCGCTTCGATCGCCTCTATTGGTACGCGCCGTTCAAATTCCGCGTCAAGTTCAGTCTCGAGGGCCGGAATCGCATTCGCTCGTGCCTCTGCTTCCCATCCGATCATTGGGCGATTCAATCCACATTCGCCGTCTAGAATATTAGCAATCCCAAACGTTCTTGTAAATAAAGTTTGACCTCTTAACCTTTATTTTTATTTGCTTGTGAATAATTTAGAAAACACCGAAAACGAAGGGAACCATCAAGAAAAATTAGGGGGCAAAAATAAAGAAATAAATATGAATCAATGGCTGATGTCCATGGATTCGATAATGTCGTACTTGTAAGTCTTGTGCTTCAACACCTTGGTGGCGCCGGTCTTGAACTTATACTCGAGGTCATTCGGCTCCGGACGCTTGCAGAATTCCGGAACAATTGGTCCCTAAAATTTCCAACATTTTTTTAAAGACGGTTTAAAAAATAAACCTTGAAGACAGTCTCATTGGGCTCAATGATCACAAGATTCAAGCTGTTTCCTGAAGCATTATCTCCGTGCATTCCAGCCTCCAAAGCGCGCTGCACCAATTTTTCAGCTTCTTCTTTCTGAAAATTCGATGTTTCTCAATTAAATATTAAAACTAAAGCGAATTTTACCGTCATGTCCGGTTTGTAGTCCCGTTCGAGGATCGTAATAGCCGCGTAGCTTCCTGAACCTTGCGAGGTGTATGGGAACGCCATTGTGGTACCATTGGCCGAGCACATATAAAGATGCGGTCCGGTTGGATCAACACCGCCGATCAATAAATAAGCCCCAATGTAGCCTTGGTACTGGAACAAATGTTGTTTCGCCTGGCGAAGCGCTGAGATAACACGAGCTTTTCGTCCGGTGTTGAGCTCCATAAGACGAAGGCTTCCTGATAGCATTTTTGTGACCTTGAAAAAAAAATAAAGTTTTCGTTTATCCTTCAAAAATTTTTTTTTAACCTGATCAAGATCGGCGGCAGTTCCGGCACCGCAAGCATAAATCGATTCTGTGAGCTTGTGGACCTTCTCGCAGTGTTTGTCGGCGATGATGTTGCCAGCGGTGGCACGAGAATCGGCGCCCATGACAACACCGCCCTGAAATTGCAAAAATTGAACATTTCCAGCAAATTTTCCAATTATTCAACCTTGAACGAGACGGCGACAATTGTTGTACCGGTGCTGGTCAATTTTGGCATTTTTCCACCCATTTTGCAAATAGCCTGATTACGAATACAGTTTGAGAAATCGAAGGCACCTCCGCGATCGATGTCCATGCGAAGGACTGCCTTTTTTACATCAGCAGACGCCATTTTATCTGAAAATAAAACTTTTAAAGAAAAATCATTTGATAATCGAAATTTTTAGCCAAAATTGGTTGAGGGGCTAAAAGAATGACAATTTCTTTTAAAATCATCGGCAACGATGCTCCAGTGTTTACGTTCGCGATAGAGCGCACTTGTCGCATTATGCGCTTACGAATTTTTTAATTGGAAAATTTCACCTAAAACTGGCTTAGTTTCTTCTGTTTTGCGCATTTTTCTATCAAAAACAATAAAATTATTTTAAAGTGCTTTGAAAATTATCAATAAATGCATAAACGTTGCACGAATTGTGAAAAAAGGAATGTTATGAAATATTTGGTAATTTCGCGTAATTTGAAAGATGCTGAATAAGATATTTATCCAATTCATTGTTACCATTATAATGATTTCTTTGTCTTGTAATTTTTATAATGTTATTCTTTTAGCTTTGATATCAAAATGGCTCTTCGCGTTGATTATGAGGGTAGCAATGACGTTGGAGTCTTCTGCACTCTCACAAACAGTTATTGTCTTGTCGGAATTGGTGGAACACAGAATTTTTACAGGTTTCATTTATTTTCCGAATTCAAATATTATTTTATTTTTCAGTATTCTTGAAGCAGAATTGGCCGATGTGATTCCAGTCGTTCACACTTCCATCGCATCCTTGAGGATTGTTGGAAGAGTGACCGTCGGAAACCGCAAAGGCCTTCTCGTGCCTAATTCCACTACCGATCAAGAGCTTCAACATTTGAGGAATTCGCTTCCCGACGAGGTTAAAATCAGAAGAGTCGACGAGAGATTATCAGCGTTGGGAAATGTCATCGCGTGCAACGATCACGTCGCCATCGTGCACGCCGAAATCAGTCAGGAAACCGAACAAGCACTCATCGACGTCCTCGGCGTCGAGGTATTCCGAGTGAGCTTGGCACAAAATGCGCTGGTCGGAAGCTATTGTGCTCTTTCCTCACAAGGGTGTTTGGTCGCCGCAAGAACACCTCCAGAGACGCAGAGAGAGCTCGCCGCGCTCCTTCAAATCCCAGTCGTCGCCGGAACAGTGAACCGTGGAAGCGAAATGATCGGCGCTGGAATGGTTGTGAACGATTGGGTCGCTTTCTGTGGTAATTTGATTTCGCCAAATTTTAACAATTCCAATATATCTCTTCAGGCCTCGACTCCACTTCTACAGAACTCTCGGTTGTTGAGTCCATCTTCAAGCTCGGCGAGCAAGGCGCACCAACAAGCATCAGCAATCAATTGCGCGACACTCTTATCGAGAGTATGCTCTAATTTTCTTTTTGTTACTCTTGTTTTACAATTTTGTTTTTTGTTGTTACCCCAATCACTGTACTGACTGTTGTTATGGAGAAGAAGAAGAAGAGATACAACGATTGTCTTTATTGTTAATACAAGTTGAAAACTTTCACAAATATTTGAGTCTGCGCCCATGTTTCGCCGGTACACATGTGATTTTTGAAAAAAAATCTGTAGCCTTAATTTATGTCACTTTTATTGATTACGATTCAAAAACATTGGACACACAGACAGTCTTCTTTATATGGTGAGAGATAAGTGAATGCGTGTGACACGACTACAATGTAGTCAAGGTGGTGCATAACCCCCTCAAAAGACACTCGGCATTGTTTCATTTTTGTCGATTTTCCTTAATATTTAACCCATCAATGTCATTCAACGCCACCAATGAGCATTTATCCTCGGTGCTCAGCACATATGCGGGCCGCGATAAAGCACTCCGATCGATGGCGTTCTACCTCCAGCATCGCTCGACGTCAAGTCCGACGCACTCAAAAGAGCTTCTCGCTCTTGCCAAACAGCTCAGCGCTGCTCGCCTAGTAATGCGGCAGTTCAATCATCCGAGTATGCTGAAAGCCTGCCAGCAGGTGATCAACACAATTCGATCAGACCGCGTCGGAACATCGATAGATCCGATCGAATTCGGCGCCGGAGCCGCCGTCACCGGAATCTATTCGATTTACGGATTCGTCGAGCTGTTTGCGTGGTTGTCCGACGCGAAAATTTTGGCGTTCGATTCGGCGCGCCTCTACCGCTATTGCCTCTACCTATGGCTGGTGGCGTTGGTGTCGGGAATCATCCGGCAGCTAAGGATCATCTCAAGGAAGAGCATCGACAAGGCCAAAGACGACATCATCACACTAATCGGATTAAGCGCCGACTTTATCAGCGGCGTCAACTCACTACCGCACAAGGTGCTCTGGGCGGGCAAGCTGAGCCTCAAACAATCCGCGTCATTCTCCCTTCTCGCCTCCATCATAGGATTCTACAAATTATGGTATCAACTCTTATCAATCAATTTATCATTTTTTTGCTCCGGTTTTGCAGGTGAAAAACTATCTCTCACAAGGTGTCGTCATTCTCGGGTATTAATAGATCACATCACCATTTGAATTTTTTTTGGTCGTACTTCAAAAGTTCAATAAAATCATTTTGTTCGTTGCTTATTCGACTTTCTGATGGAAAATGACGATAAAATAAATAGAACAAATTTTTGTTGTGTACGGCGAAACGTGGTGGGGTCAGAGACGCAGACGTTCGCGTGGCAGCCAACCCCCATCCCCCCAATTCAACAGCAAACAGATATCGTCGCCCATCCATTCACTCGTTTCAAGACTTTAGAACATGCATATTCTAGTGACCGGAGCCGCTGGCTTCATTGGAAGCCATACGGTGCTCGAGCTTGTCGACGCCGGCCACACCGTTTTGTGCATTGACAATTTTGCGAACGCGATTCCTGGTGGGTAATTTTTTTTAGACGCGCGAAATTGTCCGCAGACCGATTTTAGATGAGAATGGAAACGCGGTGTCGCTTCGCAGAGTCTCCGAGATTGTTGGCAAACCGATACCGTTTGAGAATGTTGATGTTTGCGATGAAGAGGCGCTGGAAAATGTATTCGCCACGGTAAGCGCGTTGAAATTGAACATTTTCATTAGTATCATTGTGTATTTAGAACAAATTCGATGGTGTCATCCATTTGGCGGCTTTAAAGGCGGTTGGCGAATCGGTCGCCGAACCATTGAAATATTATCAGAATAATTTGGTGGCTAGCTTGAATTTGTGCAAGGTTTGATTGAAAAAAAAAAGTATTTCTCAAAATGAACCATAGAAATCAATTTTAGATGTGCTTAAAGTACAATGTGAACAATTTTGTGTTTTCGAGTAGCGCGACCGTCTACGGTTCGCCGAAAGAGCTGCCGATCACTGAGAGCAGTCCGACGGGTCAGGGGATCACGAATCCCTACGGCCAGACGAAATACATGATGGAGCAGATTCTCATCGACGTCGCCAAAGCGAATACGGTAAGAGTTTGATTTTGTTTTCGATGAAAATCCCACACAATTTTCAGAATTGGAATGTGATTATTTTGAGATACTTCAACCCGGTGGGCGCCCACAAATCGGGAATGATCGGAGAAGATCCGAAAGGCGTTCCGAACAATCTAATGCCGTATGTGAGTCAGGTAGGAGAATGGCATTTTACAATTGTTATTTTCTTCTCCATTTTCTTTTCAGGTCGCCATTGGCAAATTGAAGGTGCTGACGATCTATGGCGACAAGTTTGACACGATTGATGGCACCGGCGTTCGAGATTACATTCATGTCGTCGATCTTGCCAAAGGTCATGTCAAGGCCTTGGATCGCGTCCGTGCGCAAGGTAATCAATGGAATTCGAGAATCACGAAATGTACGCATGTTTTTTCCAATTTAAAGGAAACATTGGAATCGAGATCTACAATTTGGGAACCGGCGTCGGCTATTCGGTTCGCCAAATGGTGGAGGCGATGAAGAAGGCGAGTGGTCGTGAGATTCCCACGCAGATTGGTGTGCCGAGGCCCGGCGATGTCGCGTCGGTCTATTGCGATCCGAGTCTCGCCGCTGAGAAGCTCGGATGGAAAGCCGAGTTTGGTCTCGACGAGATGTGCGCCGATCTTTGGAATTGGCAATCGAAGAATCCCAAAGGATTCGCCGCCTAATTAACGCTAATTAATTGTATTGTACCATATTCTCATGTAATTCCGAATTCTTGTGATATTTTCATTTTTCTTTCTTATTATTTTTTTTTGCCTCCTAATTTTAATTTCAAATTGTTTCCATTTCGGGGGATTTTTTTGGTTTAATACCTGGAATATTTCTATTTATAGTATATTTCTAAATCATTGGCAGTATTAAAATCGATTAGATGCGTTCGTTGAATGTTGGCATATTGGGACACGTGGATTGCGGCAAAACGACGTTGACGAAACGGCTTGCGCAGGTTTGACGGGGAGGGTCTCGACGCGAAATTGCGGATTTGTTCTGTTGCGATTGTAGTTGGCTTCGACGTCGGCGTTTGATAAGCATGCGGAGGCGGGTGGAAGGCGGAACACGCTGGATTTGGGGTAATGCGCCTTTAAATCGCATTCATAGAAATTGTATTTGATGAAACGTTTTGCTATGCCTTTAAACGAGGCAAGTATGTTCTATGAATAGTCATTGCGCCTTTAAAATGATCCACAGTAATTTTAGATCTTAAAAATGACATTTGAAAGTTCAGCTTTTCCTCAGTGATCATCGCTGATCGCCGAATCGCCTTAATCGACTGTCCCGGCCATTCGGCGCTGATTCGAGCGGTGCTGGCATCCAGTAATGTGTTCGATATGGCAATAATGGTAGAAACACTGAGAAATACCAACATTTCATTTTTTTTTCGGTCATCGACGCTTGCCATGGGATTCAGGCGCAAACCGCCGAGCATCTTTTGCTCGTCTCGATTTTCTGCCCCCGAAATTTAATAATAGTGCTCAATAAAATTGATTTGATCGAAGCTGCCGAGGTTTTTTTTTTCTGTCGCAAAATTGTCGTTTTTTTTTTCGCAACAATTTCTAGATTGAAAATGTAAAAAAGAAATTGAGAAGGGGTCTCAAAACGGTGGGAGTCGATGAGAAATGCGCGATTGTTGAAATGTCGCTGCATGACGATCATTTTCAACAAGGTAATTAGTGTTAATTACCTTGTAATTAACTTTTTTTAGAGAGACTCGATGTGTTAAAGGTTGCCATTGAGGAAAAATTGTTCGAGCCGGAAAGATTCGTAGAAAAGCCGTAATTGGCCCCCCAAAATAAGGGTCTCGAAAATCTGAAATTTTCAGACTTTTAGTAGCCATTGACCATTGTTTTTCGATAAAAGGCAAAGGCACAATCCTAACGGGAAGTGTGATTCAAGGAAAATTGAAGTAAGCCAATTTCGCCGATCTCGTTGATGTTTTTTGTTTCACCAGCATCGGGCACGACATCGAATTTCCGTGCTTGAACGAGACGCGCCGCGTGAAAACATTGCAGTGCTGGAAGGAGAATGTGAATGCGATTGAGGCCGGCGAACGCGCGGCGATGATGGTCTCGAATTTTGACGAGACGAAATTTTCGAGAACAATTGGTTCGTCGTCGGCCTGCAAAAATCACCCGCAATTATTATTTTTTGCATTTTCTAAATGAAAAAAAGAACAAATAGGACAACACTACGCTTCATTTAACAATGTTTTTCAATGAGCTACTATTATTTTGCGTGTAAATCGCCCTGGGAATTAAATTCAAAAACCAGAAATCGGAAAAAGTGTCGTCAGATTAAATGTATTGACCGCAATGCGCATTGCAGACCTGACGTACCGTACCCATATTTAATTTTTTTTTCAAGAATAAAATGCATTTTTTGCAGTTTCAAGCCCCGGATACCTTCAATCTATAAAAGAATGCCTCGCAAGTGTGAATCCTATCACATTTTTTCGTTCCGCTGTCAAATCGAAGACGAAAATGCACATTTCCATCGGATATGAAACAATAATGGCCGAATGCCAATTTCTGCGGGATTTTGGCGATGAATTTGAGCAGGTTTGATTTTTTTGATTATTAAAGTGATTTTTATTTAAAGCTTTCTGAAATGGAGGCGCCTTGTGTGGTACTTTTGAAGTTTGAGAAGCCGGTTCACGTCTGTCCAGATTCGTCAACGTTTTTCATGGCTTCTCGACTCGATCAGAATGGGAAAGGATGCCGATTTGCATTTACCGGCGTTGTGCAAAAAGTGAGCAAAAATGGAGGTGTTTTTTTCAAAAACAAATTCAGATTTTGTCTGAAAATGACCAAATTCCAAGATTTTCGAGAAAATGTCGAACGGTAGCTCAATTTTTTGTTGCCCAAATGAAATGAATTGTTTAGGGTATTATCGAACGTGTTGAAAACGACGGGTTTAGCGCAATTTGTACGGGAATGTTCAAACCGGAAACGAATTTCGACGTTTTTCGCGATATGAAGGCAATCTTCTTCAGAAAATTGTCAAAAACCCGAAACATTTTTGCAGGTGACAACTTCCGACGGCACAATTGGCCGAATTGAGGGCGCATTCGGCAAAAATGGCAAATTTCGCGTGATTTTCGACGCCAAAATTGCGCCAAAACAGGAAATTGAGCTGAACATGAAGAAATACCTTCACCAGAATTTAATTAAAAGCTATTTGAAATAAATATTAAATTTTCTTTTAGAAAAAACTATTTTTTAATGTCAAATCATTGAAATATTTCAATTTCCGCAAAAAAAAAATGCTAAAATTAAGCTTAGAAATGATTCGATGCGCCACAAATCAGCTAAAAACGGGATTGTGCAGGTAGGATTACTGTAGGGGGGCGCGGCGAGACCCTGAAAATGTCAAACTCTGTTGATTTTGCAGGAATCTCTCGTCTTCTGCAATTTTGCACAAAGAGAAGAAGAAAAACGCCGACTATGGAGATGACGGGTGAGTGTTCTCATGATTTGATTCAATTATCCATCGCTGGGCCAGATTGCCAATCGACTACAAGCTGAAGAGGTTGCGCGCCGGCAGCCGACGTCTCGACACGTTTGTGAATCGCGCGACGGGCAGCAGCGGCAGGTGGGTCTCGACGAGAATCAACCGTATGCCGAGTTTGTCGTTGATTTTGCAGCGACGTCACCAAATTGATAATGCAGGGCAAAGTGCGTGTGAATAATGAGGTGTACACGAAGAAATCGTATAATGTAAGAAAATCATGAATGATTTTGATCTGAAACTTTCCAAGAAAAAGTTTTTCGAAGAATTTTCGAGTAAAAATGCGTTTAGCCAAAAATTTTGAAGCTTGAAACCAAAGCAAATTGCGCCTAACGCGAAGAGCTGCTATTGGTCTTGTCGCGAAATCGCTGATTTTAGGTGTGCGTTGATGACGTCATCGAAGTCTGGAAACAATCGTATCCGGAGAATGCGGACCTCGCGATCGTCGACAGGTCCGAGGCATGTCCTTCGCTCTCATTTTTCACATCACCCTCGTTGTTCCAGATTGTCAACTATGACATAACACCCAACGGCTACGACTTCGAGGTGAAAAGCTGGAAGAAATTTATATCCGATAATTGGCGATCGTCTAATTAGTTAATTATTGTAGTGATTTTTTTTCTTTTTGAAAGAGGAATTCAATTAGGTTGGCAATTTAATGAAAAACAAATAGTGTGTTGGGTGAATTTACGCGTGGGCAAGTGCGCTCCATTGCACTCGACAAATTCGATGCCCATAATTACAGGTTTCTGTGGTGGGACCATTGAAATTGGTGTGCGACGTCATCATCCACGCGCGTCGACAATTTTCCATTTTAACAACAACTCGGCGATGAGGCGCAAAAAAACGTGCGCAAATCGAAATGGTCCGCTGGGAATTCGGCACCTCCTAGAGACTCATAGATTGTTTCAACACAAGACAGAAAAGCGAAAAAGTGAAGAAATTCGGTGTGGGACCCAAGCGACGTCATAAATCATGGCTTCAGGGCGTCTTGTTCGACATTTTCGAATAAACCCCGCATGATTCATAACCATTTTTTCGCGTTTTTCGTCACATAATAAGCCAAATTTCTGGCGGGAGTTGTATCGCGACGAGACCCATCTGCCTAGTTTCACGCATGACGGCATAAGAATCGCTCGACGATGACGTTGAGTCATTATTGGAAAATGTACAGTACTCGATATATTGTTTATTCATTTTTTTTGCCGCCTGAAACGAGGAAGTAATTATCGGCAATTAACGCAGAATTTTCTGCATTTCCTCATTTTCGTATTCGATTGAAAATCGCACATGACGAAAAAAACAAACAAAATTTGTATTTTAACTATATTATTATGTGACTGATTGTAGGCGTTGTGTTACGAGGCAATAAATGGATTATGAGCGCCGTCGAATTGGGTGTGAGCGCGACGCGACCGCGACGCGTCACGTGGATTTCATTTTTTCTATAATCGCATGTTTTTTTTTTCGCATTTTCCCGGCTGAAAAAAATGGATGATGGGGGGAGAAATATGTGCGATGTGACGCGTCGGTGTTTGCACACACAGTAACCATTTTGGAACATTTTCAAGCCTAAAATCAGCTCAAAATCGATTCGCGCAGACTACAGTAATTAAGTCGAACAATTTTTAGCCGAAAATTTGGAATTTCGAAAAACGTGCGCTTCGAGCATTTAAAAACAGGACCAAAAAAAAGTTTTCTTAATTTTTTTTTAAATAATTAATTGTATAGATGTCGCGTCCAAAAATGCAATCTCTTCTATTTAAAATTAGTGTAATTTTGCGTATCGGTGTACCACAGAAAAGTGGCCAGACGATTTCAAGTCTAAAATTTGGCAAATTTTCCCGCCTGTTCTGCTCCATAGCGAATTGGCCAAATTTGGAAAGAGGACGTCAGGAAATGACTAAAAATATAAAGAATATATCTCGACCGCCGTGCAAATGATCCCAATTACATTCATTTTTTTTCTTGTCTTCCTTCACATCTTCATCATCGCGAAAAAAAAAGAAGACGTCGTCCGTCTCCTCGTCGTTTTCGTTTTCGCTTGATTTGTGCTCGCCTTCAACGCTCCGCCCATTTTTGTTTTGCCGACGCCGCCGCCTCGTCGCGCCACGCCCACCGCTTCGGCTCATTTTCAACCGTCGACACCTTTTCGTTTCGGACGGCATCGCCATGAGCTCGGCTACAGTACTCGTTGCTCTCATTGTGCTGGTAAGCGTATTTCACGTTTCGGTCCCACCTGGAATGCGCTGATTGTCGAGTATCGACAAATCCAAAAACGATGCGCGCAACCTCGAACGGTGTCCGCAGCAGAAACTGCATATCCCTTTTGCGTCACGTTGGATGTCGCGAAAGAAAAATCCAACGTCAGCAGCGCGAGAATTTGTGCCCGACGGGCATCTGTCCATTCGCTCATCTTGCAGCAAAATTTTTCGTTTCGGGACCCTGAAGCTCGCAGCGCATTAATTGGAAAATGTGAGGTTGATGAGCTCCTTCTTAAGTGACTTGAGGGTTGCTTTCGTTTTTTTTTTTTTGGAGAAATAGGCGTCGTGCCTATTTCCCAAGGGACCATTATGAATGAAGAGGTTTTGGCACCCGAAAAATAAAACAATAGAGTGTGTGCTCCTTTAAAGTTTTTCGAATTCCCATCGAAACCCAAAACTCTCAAAAAAATCTCGAAATTGTTGAATTATTCAAATGTGCGCGTTCAGAGAAGAATAAAAACTGTACTTTCTCAATGGGCACTCAATTCCCTTATTTGGCATTCCTCACCCGATTCACCGCAAAAAAAGAGACAATTGATGCAAATGAATTCGCGTCTTCGCGAAACAGCAAAAGAAAAATTTCGACCATAGTTTTTATTTAAAAAAAAATTTTTTTTGAACTCACTATTTTTGTGGGGTCCCGTTGGGAAAATTCGAATAGGCGAAAAAAAATGGCGAAAGATTGCCAACGAAAATTGAGGGGTTTGATTCGGTACTCATAAATCAGCAATAAATTATGTCAGGGCTCTCGGAAATCAAGTCGGCATATTATTGATGGCCAATGCGCCTTTAAATTAAATGCATAAATTAAAGTGAAATACTTGAAATATTGAAAAGTTGGAAATTCTCAAAAAAACGGGAAAATTTGCAATTTTTCGAAATTGTTGAAAAAATAAATTAAACTACAGTAATCTAAAGGCGCAACCTTTATGTATAGCAGGTCTTGCATGGAACCGTACCACATTAATATTTTTAAAAATTTTTTCTCCTATTTTTCGTATTTTTCTTTGGAAAATTTTGATTTTTGTGAACACTTTTCAATTTTTCAAAAGCTGAAATCAAACCGATAATTAATTTGCAAACAAATAGAATTTTTGAAACCGCAAAACACTTTTTTTGTCTCCGCTTTTTCATTCAAGACCCACGCGAATTCCATGGGTTGCCAGAGCCCAATGTAATCCCTTGCTTAGAAGGAATCAAAGGCTTACACATGTGTGCCCTTTATTCCGTGTTGTTTTTTTTGCCCAATTGAAAAAAAAACGCGCGCGGATCTCGCAGCGAAAAATCGAACAATGACGTCATCTCATTTTCAGACAAGCTCACTCGCAGAGACGGCAGTTATTCGATTCCGGCCTGTCGGACAGATCTTCTATGTGGTAATTTTGCAATGTCTAAAAAAACCAGGCCTAATTTTTGCTCTTCTAGGGACGACCGCACGAAAAACGCGCTTTTGATTCATTGGTGAGTCGTTGTAATAGTAGTAGTTTCCCATTTTGTGGTGTCTCTTTTTGGCCGGGCCGACATACCCCCCAAATCAAATTCGATTATCTCCAGGCTGGTGGCGGATTCGGCGGATTCAATAAACGCGCGTTCGACAGTTTAGTAAGTGCACCAATGTTTCGCAAATTTCCCATCAACCATTTTTCCAGTCGGGATCCGGATTTGGGGCCTTCAACAAGCGCGCCTTCGACAGCTTGGTAAGTGCCGTCTAATTAGCGAATCTGAAACTTGTGATGGTGTTAAATAACCATTGCAGAGCGGCGGCAATTTCGGCGGCTTCAATAAGCGAGCGTTTGACTCATTGGTAAGTCATCTATCAAGCCTTTCGCTCATTGACCCTTATTTCAATTCTGCAGAGCGGCTCCGGTTTCGGCGCCTTCAACAAACGAGCGTTCGACTCACTATCAGGCAACGGATTCACCGGATTTGAGAAGCGAGCGTTCGATTCCCTGGTAATACCACCGTTCAACCGTCTTCAATTTCCAATGGTGACCATTTTTAGGACAACAACGGCTTCAGCGGCTTCGACAAACGCGCGTTCGACACGGTCAGCGCGAGCGGCTTCGACGATTTCAAAGCATAGGGAATCAACTACGAACTAATGAGTTAATTAATGCTAATTATAAAACAATTTTCGTCTTTTTCCATTTTTTTGCTTGAAAAAAAAACCGAAAGGAAACAACTCGTTTCATTGCAAATCAATAAAACTACTGGTGTGCTTGTGAAATAAATACTGTCGTCCCCTGTTAGAAATTCATTTTCACTCTTGTATTTTTGATAAATTATGAAAAATAAATTGTCAAAAATTCAGATCCCGTCGAATTGCGGGTTACTGTCGTTCCGAATGTGTGCAAAAGTGCGTGACGTGTTTGCAAAATTCTCATTATTTTTTTCGAAAATTCATCACATTTTTTTTATTTTTGCCCTTATTTCAATTATTCTTCAAAATATTTAGCTAATTAAAATTTTAGCGATGATCTTTGAAGAGCGAATAGTATTTTTCTGAAATTTCACGGTATTTAGAAGATAGGTACTGTAGTCGTGAAACTGTGCAATAATGCGTGACGTGTATTCACAATGCTCATTATTTTCCTCATAAATTCGTCGAATTTTCATTTTCATCCATTTTTTGCGCAATTTCACCAACGATCCTTCAAATATTCGTCATAATCTACATTTTACAGTAGATGTTCGCCGAGCCAGCGTCAAAACGAAAGTTGGTCGCGCAAAAACTACCCCAAAACAGACATATTTTAATTTAGACGTCTAAATTCCGGCGATTCCCTAGTCGTTGAGCGAACAATTGAAATTCAAGCAGACTCGCCATCAACTTCAAAGACTTCGAAACCCGATGTACCTATAAAAGTAAGTGAAAATAACATATTAAAAAAACAAATGTGAAAATGTTTTGAAGTGGATAATAAATGGTGTAAATCTCGAAGAACGAATAGCGAAACTTCGCGAGGAAATCGCAAAACACGGCAGTTCTGTGATCCCGCTAGTAGATCCCCGCGACAAATCAGTATTCAGATCAGGTAGAGCAATTTGGAACAATTTTTCGACAAAATGCCTTTTTTAGAATTTCGAAAAATGGCTTCTGCCGTGGAAGTTGTCGAAGCCGCCATGGCGCAACAAACCAAGCAAATAGAATGGAGTAGGCATTTTTTTAAAGCTCGTTTTAACTTTGAAATTTTTAAATATAATAATTCAGTGAAAAACGCCGAAGTCTTATTGGATCGCGATACGGCGAATCTTCAAAAGCGCTGCGAGCATCTCGTCAAAGAAGTCGATGAGTTGCGCAATCAGCTAGTCGTTTTAAAGTGCGCATTTCTTACACACCATTTTCGATGTCAAACCGTTTTCAGCTCGAACATCACCGCGCAAACGCAGCGCGCCGTCCAAGCCGTCGTCGACATCCGGTGCGAGGAGAATCTGTTGGACGTGTTCGATTGCAACGAGAATCGCGACGAGCTCTATGAGAAATACCGCAGTATCAGTCGGCTATGTGTAGGCGAATTTTGTTGCGAATGAACAACAACATCGACGATTTGCAGGAATACACGTTTCGATCGTTCGACGAGATAATGGAGAAGACGAAGGTTTTCAAGTTGCGGCTAGTCGCGTTGAAGCGAAAATTGAAAAAATGTATGATTTTCTCGATCATCGCGTTTTTTTTTGATTTTCGCGTCAATATCAGATTAAAGGTGCCTAGTCTTTTGGTCTAGGTCGTTCATTGATTCTAGAAACTTAGAAGCATTATCTATGGTCTCGCAACGATGATAAACTTCTTTATGCTCCTTTAATCATCGTTGACCAACTAAATACTAGAAATCGCTAGCCCACTTCATTTTGTCATAACTATAAGTAAAAAAAAAAGGTCGTTCGTGTCAAGACCTCACGCCTCGTTTAAAGGCGCATCAAAGCATCTCATTGCAGATACTGATCAAGCGAAGAGTGTGAGCTCGCCGAACGAGCCGCCAACTCTCGCCAGTATTCTCGCCAAACTCGACGAGGACGATTTAATCAAACTCGACCAACTGTGCCAATCTTGACGACATATTTTAACCATATATTTAACATGAATATCATTTTTTCGCGTCGAGACCCAACAGAAAATCACTTTTTTTGGTCGGAGATCGAACAAAAAAATTTCGCCGCGTTTTCACGTGGTTTCTTCGGCCAACGATGTCTGGTCGCAATCAAATCCAATCTCATTTTGTCGACGAAAATAGGTTTTTAATAGTTTTTTTCCAACAAATTGAGGACCCGCGCGACGAGACCCCCAAGGGACGATTTTCACTACCAAACAAAAATTCTACTTTACTTTTTTTGAATCACAGCGTGCATGGAAATAACCGTAATAGGCAAGGAATAACGAGAGAGAGAGAGAGAGAGAGAAAAAAAGAAGCAAAGGCGGGATTTTCGGGATATGTGCCAAAACTGCTCGAATAAATGAGATACGGAGGGAATAAGAAGGGCAACGTTGCTAGGCAATGACTAGAATGAACAAAAAAAAATAAATTCAGACCAATTTTTGTACAATTATTCGCTCGATTCCGATGAGCTGATGAGCAGATGCTCGTGCCCGCTCGCCACAATCACCACGTCGCTGGTGTTGCTATTTGAGCCTGACCGGTTGCGGACGTCGTCGCGGTTTCCGGCGCGACCCAATTCGAGACACTCGTCGTCGCTGTCGGTGAGCTGCTCGTTGGCCAACGCGCGTTTCGTCAACTGCGCGAGACGATCCCGATGCTCCATTCGCTCGACGGCCGTGAATTTGCGGACGAACAACGAGCGCATTATTCGGCCGGCGGCCGTCGTCGCCTCCAGCGCGCTCTTTTTCGGACCCCAATCGTCCGAGCCGAAGAATGACTGCAAAATTGGATTTTATTTTCAGATTTTCGAAGAGACAATTTTTTTGACAAAAAAAAACCGCGATTGTTTATTAAATTCATTTCAAAATTTCAATAAAAATTTCCAAAATGATATTTTTTTTAGTAGAAATCGAAACATTTTTCTACCTATACAATTCAGTTTTTTAAATTAAGACTCATCAAAATGTTTAAAAAAAACGATTTTTTTCTTAAGTTCCAAGTATTTTCAATAATTCAGACTTAAAATCTATTAAATCGAAATTTTTTAAAATTAAATTTGAGTCGAAAAATTAATATCAAGATTTACAGTTTTAAAAATTCGCAATTTAAAAAATTTTGTTTTTTCGTTCATTTATTTTTTTTTCGAAAAATACGCCAAAATCCTATTTTAGTTTCCAAATTTCATTTCAATTTCGAATCAATTCCCACTTTCATCAATTTTTCAAAGTTTTTCACAAAAAATGAGCCAATTCAACTCAAAATCCCACCATCTCCTGAGTTTTGCTCATCATTAACGACGATGAGCTCGAATTATTCGATGGTCCTTTCCTCAGCGTTCTCCGCCGCTTTCGGCTCCTCTCGTTCGGATAGCATCGATTGATGAATGAAATGAAAGGAAGGGTGGATCCGCCAAGGAAGATGGTGGTGAACAGAATCAGAAACAATGTTGTCGTGAGCAGAATCGACTTCTTCTCTTTATCCACATCCATATAAAGAACAAGGGCAAAGCACACAGCTCCGCGCATGCCTAAATTTCTTTTGGTTGCGCGCCACCCAACAAAAAACTTCAAAAAATTACCGCTAAACCACATAATTATCTGATTTTTCATTGAAATTTGCACATCTTTTCGAAATTGATTCACCAAATATGACAGCGGGAACACATTAAGGGCTCTTCCGAGCAAACAGAGCACCTAGAAATTAAAAAAATAACAATTTTTTGCATTAAAAATGCCTCACAATGCTCCAAAAAACGAGCCACGGCATAAAATTGAGTTTGATTGTGAAAAACGCCATTCCAATATAAGCGAACGTTGAAGTTTCTGAAAAAAAAAATGAAAAATGCCAAATTTGGGCAAAAATCGAACCAGAAACAAAAGAAATCGTCCGAAATGTGTGGCCGAACGTGATCTGAGCAATCGGGCTCACATTATGCCGCGTGTATTGAGACATGGTGATGCCGCAGAATAAAATCGCCATGATTCCTGCAAAAATCCGCATTCGCCTGGCCAAAATCGTCGATTACCTGATAAATTCATCGCTTCTGCCGATCCATAGGGAATGTAGGAGCAAATGAGGAGAAGGGCAAACTCCAACGACGGCGTTTTTCGAAGATCGACATGTTTGAAGAGCTGAAACCCGCTGACGCCATTTTGCGGACTCGTCATGCTACAGTAACACTCACCAGTGCGCTGAAAAGACCAATGGCGATTCCGAGCAACGCGGACAGTATGAACATGGCGGCGAATGTGGTGAACGCGCTGGCGAGAATCTCAGAGGCCGGCATCGAGTTGAGCGGCGGCTTCGAATGTCGGATCGCCGTCGCGGCGAGCACAATCGAGACGGCGTCGTTGAGCATCGATTCGCCGAAGACGAGCATGTAGAGGAGGCTCTCAACCTGCAAACTTCACGCGATTTTTCACCAATGCGCCTTTAAATCGCACCTTGACCGCCTGGAAGATGGCCAACGTCGCGACAGGATCCACCGCGGAGATCATCGAGGCAAACGCGAAGCACTCGAAAAACGAAAACTCGTAGATGAAACCAATCTGCAAAAGCAACTACAGTAATCATTTGAGAATCGCCTCGAGACGCAAACCGTTCCCAAAAAGTAGAGTCCTGCGCCGATGACCCCCGCTGAAATTGCGGTGCCCATTATGGCAAACGTCAAAATCGGGACGAAATTCGAGAAAAAGTAGCCCTTATTCAAATTGTAGGCGTTTTCGAAGATAATTGGTGGCAATAATACAAGAAAAAATACATCTGAAATTCGCATTTTCTCGAAGGCTCGTTGAGTTTTCCCAGCAGCTTACCCGGGCTTAAAGCCTCAATTTCGCTCCAATCTCGCTTCGAGTATGTTAGTATTAGTCCAATTAAAGCTCCTTAATTGATTTAATTACATAAAAGCCATATTGGAGAGATTACCTAGTATGACAACGGCGAGACTTTCGGGAATATAATGTATCTTGGATACGATTAGCATGTGGACGACGAGTGTTGCAAGCACAATCACAAGAAGAATGAAAAAAATCGCCTTAAATTGTGATGTTTTCAATGGTTCAAAATAAAATCTGCGACCATTGACCGCTTCTTTTCCTCCTTCTCGTTGCCGACGATTGCGGCTCCGTGCTGTTCAAGACTCGTCGCATTTGCGTCGATGGTTTCACTAAAATCTGTCGTTTCGTTTTTGGAAATTTCTCGAAAATCTCCATACCCGAGCACATCGGTTTTATTGAGTAGAACCTCGGCGCTTTTCGTCACCGCATTCTCACCGGATTTGACGGCGGCAATTTGAATAAATATTATTAATATCGATAAAACAACGCCTGAAAATGAGCAATAAATCTCGGAAAAACTCAATTGCCCACTTACCAGTCTGAACCGCAATCCACATATTCTTGAATGTTTGAGGTGTGACGTTTCGCGAGATATATGTTACAATCCGGTTTTTAGCAGCATTCGCTTTCTAGAAAATACCAAAAATGTGAATTAGTGAACACCATGAGTTTTGGGCTTCGAATTAATTTCATATGATGTACGAGTGTATATGTCAAAATTTTTGGAGGAAAACGTGGAAAATGGTGAGAGACCGCGCGAGGTCTGGAGAGCGGCGACGAAAAAGGAGGGGTGTTGCCCCAGTGAACATTACTATTCGATTGACACTTGAGAGCAACCTTCAAATCGCTTAAAATACGGAATAAATCATGAAAATTGCGTGAAAAAGAAGAAAACAAAATTCAAAGGCAATTCTGCAGATATAAGTACACGGTGTTTGCACATATACATCAAATTTCACGCTAATTATTTTTTGTTTTTACGGGGAATTCAAAATTTTCTAGTTTTTTACGTTTCCACCCACCTTTTTAATAAATCTATAGCTGTTGAAATCGTTCACGAAGTTCAACACTGGCCAATATCTCGAGACGCAATCTTTATAAACAGAAAAGTTCGCTCCGCAAATCGTTTATATCGCTTCGGAGGATCGCACGTCCCACGATAATAGTAAATTAACGAGGCCCTCAAAACGCTTTAATAGCGCTCTTAAAATTCCATGTTCGATGCGACGAAAATGTGAAATAAAAATTGAAAGCGTGCGGCGTCTGTTCAACACAAATTTCTGTAAACCGCAAAAAAAATTTTGTTGGCAAAAAACAAACAGTCAGCGCTTGGCCTATTTGCACAACTATCGAGTAGGCGAACAAGTCTCAACAATTTTAAATAATTGTTTTTAGGAATCGCTAAGAACAAATTGGGGAAAATGACCGATTTTCTCGAAATTATTCGATTTTCAGCAAGCAAATGCTTCAGGAGCTCATCACCATCCAGCCAGGAGCCTCGGCGCCGCCAGAAGAATCTCAAAGGCTCTCATGCAGCACAATTTCAGAGCCAAGTAATTTCAAGCAGCATTTTCAGTCTGCATTGCTCATTTCCAGGTCTAGTTCAGATCCCGCAATCAATTCCCGGGGTTCCCACCGGATTGGAGTACCTGACATTCCTTGACACTCTAATTATTCATCAGGTATGAGATCGTGTCGTGTTCCCTTAAACCTCACCGATTCAAGGTTTTCAAGTAGCCAAATTTTTCGAATTTCACTTTTGGGAAAAATAACCACGTTGAATTTAATAGAAATTTTTTTTTGAAAATTTCTTTAAAATCTAAAAGTCGACAATTCTTGGTGTTTTTCTGGAAATTTGCAGACCACGGTGAGCGTTTGCACCGATTTCGACAACAAGTACATTCTGACGAATCGGCACGGTCAACGCGCCTACACAGCCATCGAGGAATCAAGGCGATGTCAGCGGCTATGTCTCGGCTCGCGTCGCGGATTCACCATGCACATTCTCGACACGTTCGGCCGAGTTTTGCCGAATTATTGTCTTCCGTCATTTTCCGCGTTTTTTTTTTGTTTCAGGAAGTTCTGCGAGTCCGACATGCGTCCGATTTTTGTTCGGTGCTCTTCACATCCATCTACACCATCGAATTGCCGAATGGCCACCTGCTTGGCGTGATTCGCAAACGATCTCCGCGCAAATCCGTCAAAACCGAAATTCTTGATGAGAACGGGAGAGTCGCTTATTTGGTAGTTTAAAGGAGCATACAATTTCTACAAAAGAAAAACCAATTTTTGAAGATTGACTTCCCTGGAATCTGTGAATTATTTTCCATGAGTGATAAGAAGTTTCAGGAAAGTTCTTTTCAATTAATGTGCCTTTAACATCCAAAATTTTCAGGTAAGAACACCAACGGGAATTTGGATCGGCACCATCACCAAAAAATGGCTGGGATTCGGCAGGGAGACATTCACAGATAACTTCACTTTCGAAGTCGCATGTAAGTTGGGTCTTGAAGCGAAAAATACCCAAAAATTGGCGTTTTTCCAGTTCCGAGTGATCTCGACGTGAAATCGAAAACATATATAATCGGCGCGGTCTTTTTTATAGTGAGTCGCTTGAAAAAAAATTGGGACCATTGAAACACGTATTTCAGCATTTTTTCGTTTATAAGAGTTGAACCGATGAGTTTTGCTGAATGGCCTCATTATTTGTTCTAATTTATCTTGTTTTATTTATTTTTTGGAGCAAACATGTATATATTTTGCCCTCATTGCGAATTACTTACAGTTTAATGAATCGTTTTATAAGATTTTGCCGAAATTTCGCGGCGAGACCGCAAAAACATATTGAATTTGGTAGGTTTAAAGGTCTATTAGAAACCACCCCTACTTTTTAACCCCCACCCCTGCTATTCCATCCCGACTTTTTAACCCCTCCTTTTATTTATGATACCACCCCCACTTTTTAACCCCCAATTTTTAGGTATCACCCCTACTTTTTCACTGCACTTCAAAATTTGAAGTTTCTAACAGTAATGTTTAACAGTAAAATTTTTTAATATTTTCAATAATTCAAGTTATCAAGAGGAGATTCGCAGGACTGATGTCTAAATTAGATTTTTCAAAAACTATGTAGCGTTCTTATGAAAGGTTGACGTTTTGACAAAAGACGAAATTTTTCTGAACCGGGTTTTCCGAGAATAGTTAATTTCTTGTTAAAATTGTCAACCTTTCATAAGAACACTACATGTTGTCGGCGTCAAACGACTGAAGGGAGGCGGAGCCTTTAAATTCGCGAAATTAATGTAGATTTAAATTAATCGTTGACTGAATATTTAATGCGCGTACACTATAATGCAATGGACGCAATCTCGCTGCCTCGAGACACATTGGCACATAGCCAATTATTTTTTAAATTTCTTCCAGTCGTTTGACTTCGACAATAGTTTCTGAAAAATCTAATTTAGACATCAGTCCTGCGAATCTCCTCTTGATAACTTGAATTATTGAAAATATTAAAAAATTTTACTGTTAAACATTACTGTTAGAAACTTCAAATTTTGAAGTGCAGTGAAAAAGTAGGGGTGATACCTAAAAATTGGGGGTTAAAAAGTGGGGGTGGTATCATAAATAAAAGGAGGGGTTAAAAAGTCGGGGTGGAATATCAGGGGTGGGGGTTAAAAAGTAGGGGTGGTTTCTAATAGACCGGTTTAAAGGCGCGTTCCATAATTTATTCCAGGTCTCTCTTGTTGGATTTCGATTGTGCGTGGAAAACAACTTCCTTCGGAATATGGTTTTTGAATCGATTTCGTTGCGAGACCAACGTAGCATTTTTTTGGGTCTTGCGACGAAAACCAGATTGTAGGTGGCAAACTTCAATCGAATTCGTTGTAAAACCCAAATAAGCAAGTAGACGATAGGATTGTTATGAAAATTCGTTCTGGTCCCACAGCGATTGTTCCAGAGAATCGAATCGATAATTGTTTTTCGTATCTGCTTAAATTGTGCTCCTCGCTGCTCGCGCGCTCCCACGTCGCGACCAAAGCTGCACAGATTTCCGTCTTTCATTTTTCGTGTACCATAATAATTCAATGTCGCCAAATGCGTTGCGGTTGTTTATTGTATTCGCTTTTCGTCAGAAATAGACTATCTTTTATATTAACGGAAACACAAAAAACCAATTTCCTTTCATAAATGAATTAATATCGTTGTTACAGCGAATATTTCGTTGGTACTCTGAAAATGAGCACCTCTTGGATGCACATTCGTCGAAATATTCAAGATATCTGCGCTTTCACCTCAATTTCTCTCAATTGTTTTCTGCTCTTTTTAATTGAATTCCAGTCGCCAATTCAACTGGGAAACTATAAATATTTGATGATGTATATCTCAATGTCTGAAATTCTTTATTCGATTGTCGATGCGCTAATCAAAGCGAACGTCTATTCCTACAAATCCGTATTTTTGGCTTTTGTCGATCTCAATATTCATGATTTTAATCCATTAATCAATCGAATTCTTTTCAGTAAGTTAAAGAATGAGAAAAATCTTTTAAAAAAACAGGTGGTACCCCGGAATTGAACTCACAAAAGAGCGCACTTCTATCATTTTATTTTTTAAGCCAATTTTTGGAGCTTCCATTCGAGCACTTGCCGTTTCTTCGAAGAAATAATAAACTAAAAGTTCAATTTTAAAAGTATTTTGGAAAAAGATGCCACGTGGCGATCGGCATTAAAGATTTTTGAAGTCGATGAAGAATGCACGTTTCAAGAGAAAAAAAAAACGAAACCGATGCAAGTGCGCTCTATTGAGAATTCAATTTCAGTAGGAAATGCAGAGAAAATTGTGGACTTATTCATGAAATGGATTATTTTACGAAAGACGAATTTGCAATGCGAAAAAAGACAAAAATGTTTCTACGTTGCCCTATTAGTTTACCTCGGGGATATCACCGAAAATGGCACACTGAAATCTAATTTTAAAAAGTTGAATCAGAAAAAAATTTGTCAAATTAGAAATTTCCCGCAGTTTTGAAGACAACCCAACTGTAAGCTTTGAAATAACTTCTTTTGATAGATATATTTGAATTTTGAATTGGCGCCGAAACGCGTCCAGCAAATACAACCGCCCACGCATTAAGGCCGTTTCAAATATAAAACACATTTTTAAAATTCAGGTATTTATTGTTCTTTATTTGGTGTCTCTGTGGCAATATTCGCAATACACTTTACTTATCGTTATGCCGTAACCTGCAAGTATGTTTGACAAAAATGACACCAAAAATTGGGTCCCGCCTATCATGAGTGTCGATTTACGCGATGACGATATGTAAGCCACTGTGTGGAGTACACCAGTCGTCTCAAGACCATTTCTAGAATCTATCCGAATTTCGTCAATAACTAATCAACTATTAATTACAGCTCGCGTTTGAAACACTATTTTCAAGGCCGCTTTTTAGTGCTATGGTTTTCGATACCCGTATTATACGGATTGTGTTGGAATCAAATTTGTGTTATGCTGCTGGGACCATGGAAACAATTTACAGAATTTATAGAGTTTCAAAACGGCCAAAAAAAATCAAATTCGCACTCATTTTTTTTAGACCGCTAATTCTCGAAAAATTCGATCTACAAGTCAAAAACATCTTCTATTTCGGTGCATACTATTTTCCGAAGAACGTCGATTCGAATGAGCAGTTTTACAAAAATCTCATCGGAATTGGCCTTCAATCATCAATGACAGTACAAAAAAAATCGAAATTTTACAAATGTTGAAGTCGTCTGTCTTCCAGCTTACATCGATATACTGCGTTTTGAAAAACGGTCAAAAATGCTATATCGAAATCGGAAAAATGGACAGCGTCCCAAATTCGGGCCGCTGGAAACATTTACAATCGCAATTGTTCAATGCGCTTGTATTACAGGTCCCTACACTTATTTGATGCTCACATTTCGCTCTCCTCTTCAGACCGCAATTCCAGTCATCCTTATGTATATTCCGTTCTTCCTTTTGTTCTTCATCCCATTTCTCGACGAGACCATCGAGATTACAAGCAGCTGTATTAATATCACAATTGCGGTTTATCCGGCCATCGATCCTCTTCCAACTATCTTCATTGTCAAGAATTATCGAAGTGTCACAATCGGTGCGAATTTGGTTTCATCGACAATTTCGAAAATTCGTTGCAGCATATTTGAGAACGATTCTGTTTTTGGGGAGGAACGACTATATTTATTTTTATTTCTAATTTTTCTAACCGACTATATTTTTATTTCAATTGAAACAAGAATTATTTGGAACCATTTTAATTCATCATTTCGAATCTCACATTTTCCGGTTTTGCCGATTTTATATTTGCTTATATGGACATTTGTTTGAGCCAGAGCCTTCTGTCTTCCATTGTCAGTAAAAAATTTGTTCCATCTTCCGTTTTAAGTGGTCCGCGAAAAAACAGGGAAATTCCATGTAATAATTTTTTTCAATTCATTTTTGCGCGCAGTGAGCATTACGTAAAAATGAACAGATTTTTTATTGTCGAATTTCGATTATTGATTATCTAGTTTTTTTTTTAGAAACTCCGTCTTCCGTCACATTTTACTATTCAGGATTCCGTCAAAAAATTTCCATTTCCGTCTTTCGTTTTTTTAAATTCCGTTCAGCTCTGAAGAAAATGTATTTGTAGTATATTCCTGCAGAATCCTTGTGGGGAGTGCAGATGAATCTTCGCCACGCGATATAAAAAAAAAACTCATGCGCCTTTAATTCATGTCGAATACTTTTTTTCGATACTTCTCGTCGCTTACAACCTGCCGACATTCAAGTAGATCAATTTGGAGTGGATGCATCCAAATGCAATCTTCTAATATTTCGATATATTGCCGATATTTTTTCTTCAATATAATTTTTTTTAAACAATAAAAAAAAATTCCAAAAAATCCAAACTTTGTCAAGCGGAAAAATCACAATTTTTAGACTCGATATTGTAATTGATTACAGTAACCAATTATAAATAAAAGTACGCAATTTCGCGTAAAATATGCATTTTTACCTCGTTCTCAACAATTCGTCAGCGAAAAATCGCGGTTGGTTTTTTTTTCGTATAAATGGAATGACATCACAGGAGTTCCCTCAAGCCGTCGACGACACTCCATTGACCCATCGCCCTCGATTTACTAGTCGGTAAAAGTTTACTAGTCGGTAAAATTTTTAATGTCCCCACGCCAATATGGTGTAAATGCACCACATTTCGAAGAGAACCGAAATTTTTCGAAAAAAATAATGGAAAACAATTTTTTCGAAAAAAAAAACGACAAGGGACGATTCAACTCAATGAACGCCAATGTTGCATTTTTCATTTGGTCTCTTCGGCGATCGATGTCGAACCCTCCAACAAGCACGTATTTCGTTTTTTTTGCCCTTGCCAAGGCTTGTCTCTTCGTCTTCTCACTCTTCCCTCTCCATTTTTTAGCGAGACTAAATGCACGCACACATTTCTTGCTATTTTTTGACTAAATAGTTGTTGTTGTTTTTTTTTTGAAATAAGAATTTTAAAAAAGTGGGGCTTTAAATTGTTCCGTTTCGAGAGCCTTTTTCAGACAGGATGAGTTACATTCCGATGCAGCCGGTGATCTGCACCCAGCCGGGCGTTCAGACTCTTCAAGCTCCTCCAGGAAGTTGAGTGGAAACCCATCGCAAACGCGATTTGCCGAATTTCAGCCGTCTTGCCGATGCAATCAATTCCAGGCGTTCCGCAAGGTCTCGAATATCTCACCTATCTCGACACGGTCATTATCAAACAGGTGCCTCAAATCGCCAAAAAGGAAAAATAAAAGAGTTGGTGTTGACAGAAAAAAGAGCTCGTCGAGATCGTCACCAATTTCGAGACCGCCAATCGCTATGTGGTGATGAACGCCAACGGACAGCAGGCGTTCTTCGCGATGGAGGAGTCCGGCTGTTGTAGTCGTCAGTTGTGCGGTCCGCGACGCGGATTCGTCATGCACATTCTCGACAATTACCAACAGGTCTCAGCAGCATTCCGAAGGCGTCAAAATTTGCGATTTTTCAGGAAGTGCTAGCCGTTTAGAAGAAGTTCAAATGCTGCTCGCTCTTCTGCTGTCCATTGAGCATCTGCTGTAAGAATGAGTGCGCGATCGTATCGACAATCATCGGCCATCTCGGCTCAGTTCGCCAGCAATTCTCTTGCTGCTCGCCCGGCTACGATATTCTCGATGCCAACGGTGATCTCGTTTTCGAGGCATGTCCGCAATATGTCGTCAATTATAGCGCCAGACTGTTTCAGATTTGCGGGCCGTGCTGCTGCTCCATGATCACTTGCAGCGACAAAGATTTCAATTAAAAAGAGCAGAGACGACGGTAAAATTCCAAAAGTTTGTATTATTGAGGTAATAGTTTAAGATTTTATTAATGAAATTTAAACTGATTTTTTGTTAGGATTTCGAAGGAAAAATCGAATATCCGGAAAATACCGTCGCTTCGGTCTACACGAAATTGGAAGCGTGTGTCAAGGCATTGGCAATCATTACGGGTGGAAAGGCAGCGTTCTTCGAACGCGGTATGGCTGTAATTCTGCACGATGCCGTCGCGAATACTCTGATGAACGATGACGTGCCGTCGATATTCACTGTCAGTAGTTTGAAGAAGTTGCTCACCGCGAAAGTCGACAATTTCGCCGCCGCTCGAGCGGTAAGAATTTAATTTATTGTTCGAATTGTTTTTTGTTTGTTTGTTGATGAACATATGCTTTGATGTTGTTGCTAATTATGGTGATGGCTTGTGGTGGCTAACAAATATTCATTCGGAGAGAGAGAGGGAGAGGGCATTTAATATTCAGTCGACGGGTCTTGAAGCGATTCGATAAACAATGTACGCAGACAATTTCAAATTCCTCTTCGTCATTGTGTGCTTTGTCGCTGTTGTTGTTGTTGTTTATAACTCGTTCAGATGTGCTTATAGACATTTTTTGAATTGTTTCGTTTTGGGATAGATTTGCGGGGTACGCGTTTAGCTAGGGTCTCACACGGGCTAACAGATGTTTTTGCATTTGAGGGATCAACTCGATAATTGTTAATTTGAAGAAATACGTTGTGAGACCTTTTTTCAAGGCGCACGCCTATAGCAGTGATCAAAAGCTACTATAAATCATGATTTCAGGAGGGTTCTATTTTTGGTACACTTTTCTAACGAAAATGCACAGTAGAAAAAGAAAAACGCATTAAAATTGATTGCACGAGATGGCGAAGCCGGCGTTCGAATGTGTCTAGTTTGGTGGAACGACACAACGAGAGAGTATTCGAAACGAGGAGACGGCAGCGTTTCGGCCTCAATGATCCTAAAGTGCATGCCTTTTTTTGTTGTAGAGAAGAGTATTGAAGTGTTGAGATCGGCGGAGTCCTCGCATTAGATGAAATTCTAAAATTGATTCAAATGGTCCCTAGAAACGAAATCCTGCCAGGAAAAACTTTTGGCAACTTCTACGCCAACGTTTCACAACTTTTTAACAAGGTTCTTTAGAAGTTGCGAGTGTTGGCCGAGATAGTGGATTTCAGCATTTCAGATCCTGTGCGATGCCTGGCATCGACTAGAGCATTCACGCACATCGGTTTCATTACTTTGGTGAATTGGAATCATACGAGCATTATTGATATTGTGAGAATAAAAATTGGGAGTTTATATTTAATATATAAAGTTTGTCGATTTTTGATCGCAATAGTTGGCAAGAAAGCAGAAATAGAAAAATCGTAGAGCTCAAATTGGATATTCGAATCGTTGAAGCAGCTTTCAGCAGTTTTATCCAGAATTTTCAGCATCAGCGAGTGCAGTCGAGTGCCGTCGACGATTTTGAATCGTTGTTAGCGTCCTCGAAGTGCATAAAGTCCTGAAATTGAGCCAACCGATTTGAATGGTCCCCAGCAAGATTGCTTACAATCAAAAATGTTGCTCCGAGGAGCACGGCCTTCATTTTGACATCGAGGTCCAGTGGGACTGAAAAAAACCGGAATTTTTCGCGTCAAGACCCACCAATGACATACAAGTGACTTGGAAGGTGTCGGCGTCGGTGAACGCCTCCTTACAACAGCCACCCCATTTCTTGGTGATTGCTCCGACGACAACGCCATCCATCGTTTTGATCTACAAATCGCCTCATTGGGATTTGAAAGGCGCATGCCAATAATTTACATTGAAATCTTTGTCGCTGCAAGTGATCATGGAGCAGCAGCACGGCCCGCAAATCTGAAACAGTCTGGCGCTATAATTGACGACATATTGCGGACATGCCTCGAAAACGAGATCACCGTTGGCATCGAGAATATCGTAGCCGGGCGAGCAGCAAGAGAATTGCTGGCGAACTGAGCCGAGATGGCCGATGCTTGTCGATACGATCGCGCACTCATTCTTACAGCAGATGCTCAATGGACAGCAGAAGAGCGAGCAGCATTTGAACTTCTTCTAAACGGCTAGCACTTCCTGAAAAATCGCAAATTTTGACGCCTTCGGAATGCTGCTGAGACCTGTTGGTAATTGTCGAGAATGTGCATGACGAATCCGCGTCGCGGACCGCACAACTGACGACTACAACAGCCGGACTCCTCCATCGCGAAGAACGCCTGCTGTCCGTTGGCGTTCATCACCACATAGCGATTGGCGGTCTCGAAATTGGTGACGATCTCGACGAGCTCTTTTTTCTGTCAACACCAACTCTTTTATTTTTCCTTTTTGGCGATTTGAGGCACCTGTTTGATAATGACCGTGTCGAGATAGGTGAGATATTCGAGACCTTGCGGAACGCCTGGAATTGATTGCATCGGCAAGACGGCTGAAATTCGGCAAATCGCGTTTGCGATGGGTTTCCACTCAACTTCCTGGAGGAGCTTGAAGAGTCTGAACGCCCGGCTGGGTGCAGATCACCGGCTGCATCGGAATGTAACTCATCCTGTCTGAAAAAGGCTCTCGAAACGGAACAATTTAAAGCCCCACTTTTTTAAAATTCTTATTTCAAAAAAAAAAACAACAACAACTATTTAGTCAAAAAATAGCAAGAAATGTGTGCGTGCATTTAGTCTCGCTAAAAAATGGAGAGGGAAGAGTGAGAAGACGAAGAGACAAGCCTTGGCAAGGGCAAAAAAAACGAAATACGTGCTTGTTGGAGGGTTCGACATCGATCGCCGAAGAGACCAAATGAAAAATGCAACATTGGCGTTCATTGAGTTGAATCGTCCCTTGTCGTTTTTTTTTTCGAAAAAATTGTTTTCCATTATTTTTTTTCGAAAAATTTCGGTTCTCTTCGAAATGTGGTGCATTTACACCATATTGGCGTGGGGACATTAAAAATTTTACCGACTAGTAAACTTTTACCGACTAGTAAATCGAGGGCGATGGGTCAATGGAGTGTCGTCGACGGCTTGAGGGAACTCCTGTGATGTCATTCCATTTATACGAAAAAAAAACCAACCGCGATTTTTCGCTGACGAATTGTTGAGAACGAGGTAAAAATGCATATTTTACGCGAAATTGCGTACTTTTATTTATAATTGGTTACTGTAATCAATTACAATATCGAGTCTAAAAATTGTGATTTTTCCGCTTGACAAAGTTTGGATTTTTTGGAATTTTTTTTATTGTTTAAAAAAAATTATATTGAAGAAAAAATATCGGCAATATATCGAAATATTAGAAGATTGCATTTGGATGCATCCACTCCAAATTGATCTACTTGAATGTCGGCAGGTTGTAAGCGACGAGAAGTATCGAAAAAAAGTATTCGACATGAATTAAAGGCGCATGAGTTTTTTTTTATATCGCGTGGCGAAGATTCATCTGCACTCCCCACAAGGATTCTGCAGGAATATACTACAAATACATTTTCTTCAGAGCTGAACGGAATTTAAAAAAAACGAAAGACGGAAATGGAAATTTTTTGACGGAATCCTGAATAGTAAAATGTGACGGAAGACGGAGTTTCTAAAAAAAAAACTAGATAATCAATAATCGAAATTCGACAATAAAAAATCTGTTCATTTTTACGTAATGCTCACTGCGCGCAAAAATGAATTGAAAAAAATTATTACATGGAATTTCCCTGTTTTTTCGCGGACCACTTAAAACGGAAGATGGAACAAATTTTTTACTGACAATGGAAGACAGAAGGCTCTGGCTCAAACAAATGTCCATATAAGCAAATATAAAATCGGCAAAACCGGAAAATGTGAGATTCGAAATGATGAATTAAAATGGTTCCAAATAATTCTTGTTTCAATTGAAATAAAAATATAGTCGGCGTCCGGGGCGACGGTTGTACGCGGGTAGATTGACGGAGATGCGTCGGACCATGGGTCGGTTCGATAATTTTTAAATCGAACAATGTTAGAAATTCCAAAAAATGCCAAACCCATCACGAAAAAATGAATCATTCGCGTGAAAACAGCAAAATAAGCGTTTACGCGTGGCGAGACCTTTTTTCAAGGCGCATGCGCGTAAATCTACCCCGCATATGGCAATCGCCATATATTCAAATCTAATAGGACTGTTCGATATTAAAAAAAAAATTAGGTGAAGCTTTGGAGTCTTAAGCTCGTCGCTCGACTGCCATCCTTCCTCCCCAAAAACAGAATCGTTCTCAAATATGCTGCAACGAATTTTCGAAATTGTCGATGAAACCAAATTCGCACCGATTGTGACACTTCGATAATTCTTGACAATGAAGATAGTTGGAAGAGGATCGATGGCCGGATAAACCGCAATTGTGATATTAATACAGCTGCTTGTAATCTCGATGGTCTCGTCGAGAAATGGGATGAAGAACAAAAGGAAGAACGGAATATACATAAGGATGACTGGAATTGCGGTCTGAAGAGGAGAGCGAAATGTGAGCATCAAATAAGTGTAGGGACCTGTAATACAAGCGCATTGAACAATTGCGATTGTAAATGTTTCCAGCGGCCCGAATTTGGGACGCTGTCCATTTTTCCGATTTCGATATAGCATTTTTGACCGTTTTTCAAAACGCAGTATATCGATGTAAGCTGGAAGACAGACGACTTCAACATTTGTAAAATTTCGATTTTTTTTGTACTGTCATTGATGATTGAAGGCCAATTCCGATGAGATTTTTGTAAAACTGCTCATTCGAATCGACGTTCTTCGGAAAATAGTATGCACCGAAATAGAAGATGTTTTTGACTTGTAGATCGAATTTTTCGAGAATTAGCGGTCTAAAAAAAATGAGTGCGAATTTGATTTTTTTTTGGCCGTTTTGAAACTCTATAAATTCTGTAAATTGTTTCCATGGTCCCAGCAGCATAACACAAATTTGATTCCAACACAATCCGTATAATACGGGTATCGAAAACCATAGCACTAAAAAGCGGCCTTGAAAATAGTGTTTCAAACGCGAGCTGTAATTAATAGTTGATTAGTTATTGACGAAATTCGGATAGATTCTAGAAATGGTCTTGAGACGACTGGTGTACTCCACACAGTGGCTTACATATCGTCATCGCGTAAATCGACACTCATGATAGGCGGGACCCAATTTTTGGTGTCATTTTTGTCAAACATACTTGCAGGTTACGGCATAACGATAAGTAAAGTGTATTGCGAATATTGCCACAGAGACACCAAATAAAGAACAATAAATACCTGAATTTTAAAAATGTGTTTTATATTTGAAACGGCCTTAATGCGTGGGCGGTTGTATTTGCTGGACGCGTTTCGGCGCCAATTCAAAATTCAAATATATCTATCAAAAGAAGTTATTTCAAAGCTTACAGTTGGGTTGTCTTCAAAACTGCGGGAAATTTCTAATTTGACAAATTTTTTTCTGATTCAACTTTTTAAAATTAGATTTCAGTGTGCCATTTTCGGTGATATCCCCGAGGTAAACTAATAGGGCAACGTAGAAACATTTTTGTCTTTTTTCGCATTGCAAATTCGTCTTTCGTAAAATAATCCATTTCATGAATAAGTCCACAATTTTCTCTGCATTTCCTACTGAAATTGAATTCTCAATAGAGCGCACTTGCATCGGTTTCGTTTTTTTTTTCTCTTGAAACGTGCATTCTTCATCGACTTCAAAAATCTTTAATGCCGATCGCCACGTGGCATCTTTTTCCAAAATACTTTTAAAATTGAACTTTTAGTTTATTATTTCTTCGAAGAAACGGCAAGTGCTCGAATGGAAGCTCCAAAAATTGGCTTAAAAAATAAAATGATAGAAGTGCGCTCTTTTGTGAGTTCAATTCCGGGGTACCACCTGTTTTTTTAAAAGATTTTTCTCATTCTTTAACTTACTGAAAAGAATTCGATTGATTAATGGATTAAAATCATGAATATTGAGATCGACAAAAGCCAAAAATACGGATTTGTAGGAATAGACGTTCGCTTTGATTAGCGCATCGACAATCGAATAAAGAATTTCAGACATTGAGATATACATCATCAAATATTTATAGTTTCCCAGTTGAATTGGCGACTGGAATTCAATTAAAAAGAGCAGAAAACAATTGAGAGAAATTGAGGTGAAAGCGCAGATATCTTGAATATTTCGACGAATGTGCATCCAAGAGGTGCTCATTTTCAGAGTACCAACGAAATATTCGCTGTAACAACGATATTAATTCATTTATGAAAGGAAATTGGTTTTTTGTGTTTCCGTTAATATAAAAGATAGTCTATTTCTGACGAAAAGCGAATACAATAAACAACCGCAACGCATTTGGCGACATTGAATTATTATGGTACACGAAAAATGAAAGACGGAAATCTGTGCAGCTTTGGTCGCGACGTGGGAGCGCGCGAGCAGCGAGGAGCACAATTTAAGCAGATACGAAAAACAATTATCGATTCGATTCTCTGGAACAATCGCTGTGGGACCAGAACGAATTTTCATAACAATCCTATCGTCTACTTGCTTATTTGGGTTTTACAACGAATTCGATTGAAGTTTGCCACCTACAATCTGGTTTTCGTCGCAAGACCCAAAAAAATGCTACGTTGGTCTCGCAACGAAATCGATTCAAAAACCATATTCCGAAGGAAGTTGTTTTCCACGCACAATCGAAATCCAACAAGAGAGACCTGGAATAAATTATGGAACGCGCCTTTAAACCGGTCTATTAGAAACCACCCCTACTTTTTAACCCCCACCCCTGATATTCCACCCCGACTTTTTAACCCCTCCTTTTATTTATGATACCACCCCCACTTTTTAACCCCCAATTTTTAGGTATCACCCCTACTTTTTCACTGCACTTCAAAATTTGAAGTTTCTAACAGTAATGTTTAACAGTAAAATTTTTTAATATTTTCAATAATTCAAGTTATCAAGAGGAGATTCGCAGGACTGATGTCTAAATTAGATTTTTCAGAAACTATTGTCGAAGTCAAACGACTGGAAGAAATTTAAAAAATAATTGGCTATGTGCCAATGTGTCTCGAGGCAGCGAGATTGCGTCCATTGCATTATAGTGTACGCGCATTAAATATTCAGTCAACGATTAATTTAAATCTACATTAATTTCGCGAATTTAAAGGCTCCGCCTCCCTTCAGTCGTTTGACGCCGACAACATGTAGTGTTCTTATGAAAGGTTGACAATTTTAATAAATCTATAGCTGTTGAAATCGTTCATGAAGTTCAACACTGGCCAATATCTCGAGACGCAATCTTTATAAACAGAAAAGTTCGCTCCGCAAATCGTTTATATCGCTTCGGAGGATCGCACGTCCCACGATAATAGTAAATTAACGAGGCCCTCAAAACGCTTTAATAGCGCTCTTAAAATTCCATGTTCGATGCGACGAAAATGTGAAATAAAAATTGAAAGCGTGCGGCGTCTGTTCAACACAAATTTCTGTAAACCGCAAAAAAAATTTTGTTGGCAAAAAACAAACAGTCAGCGCTTGGCCTATTTGCACAACTATCGAGTAGGCGAACAAGTCTCAACAATTTTAAATAATTATTTTTAGGAATCGCTTTCATTGTGGTACGTAGCCAATCATTTTTTCACGTTCATCACTCATCTCGACGTCGTCATCATCATCGTCGCATTCCGATTGAGTACTTTTGATTTTTTCCGCAATTCTATTAAATGGTGGCCACCACCAAAATATTTCACACATATTCAAATTTGTATTCAAAATTTTTCTCTAACCGCCAATACATTTAATACTCAGTCGACGGGTCTCGACACGATTGATTCATTCATTGTGGTACGTAGCCAATCATTTTTTCACGTTCATCACTCATCTCGACGTCGTCATCATCATCGTCACATTCCGATTGAGTACTTTTGATTTTTTCCGCAATTCTATTAAATGGTGGCCACCACCAAAATATTTCACACATATTCAAATTTGTATTCAAAATTTTTCTCTAACCGCCAATACATTTAATACTCAGTCGACGGGTCTCGACACGATTGATTCATTCATTGTGGTACGTAGCCAATCATTTTTTCACGTTCATCACTCATCTCGACGTCGTCATCATCATCGTCGCATTCCGATTGAGTACTTTTGATTTTTTCCGCAATTCTATTAAATGGTGGCCACCACCAAAATATTTCACACATATTCAAATTTGTATTCAAAATTTTTCTCTAACCGCCAATACATTTAATACTCAGTCGACGGGTCTCGACACGATTGATTCATTCATTGTGGTACGTAGCCAATCATTTTTTCACGTTCATCACTCATCTCGACGTCGTCATCATCATCGTCGCATTCCGATTGAGTACTTTTGATTTTTTCCGCAATTCTATTAAATGGTGGCCACCACCAAAATATTTCACACATATTCAAATTTGTATTCAAAAATTTTCTCTAACCGCCAATACATTTAATACTCAGTCGACGGGTCTCGACACGATTGATTCATTCATTGTGGTACGTAGCCAATCATTTTTTCACGTTCATCACTCATCTCGACGTCGTCATCATCATCGTCGCATTCCGATTGAGTACTTTTGATTTTTTCCGCAATTCTATTAAATGGTGGCCACCACCAAAATATTTCACACATATTCAAATTTGTATTCAAAATTTTTCTCTAACCGCCAATACATTTAATACTCAGTCGACGGGTCTCGACACGATTGATTCATTCATTGTGGTACGTAGCCAATCATTTTTTCACGTTCATCACTCATCTCGACGTCGTCATCATCATCGTCGCATTCCGATTGAGTACTTTTGATTTTTTCCGCAATTCTATTAAATGGTGGCCACCACCAAAATATTTCACACATATTCAAATTTGTATTCAAAATTTTTCTCTAACCGCCAATACATTTAATACTCAGTCGACGGGTCTCGACACGATTGATTCATTCATTGTGGTACGTAGCCAATCATTTTTTCACGTTCATCACTCATCTCGACGTCGTCATCATCATCGTCGCATTCCGATTGAGTACTTTTGATTTTTTCCGCAATTCTATTAAATGGTGGCCACCACCAAAATATTTCACACATATTCAAATTTGTATTCAAAATTTTTCTCTAACCGCCAATACATTTAATACTCAGTCGACGGGTCTCGACACGATTGATTCATTCATTGTGGTACGTAGCCAATCATTTTTTCACGTTCATCACTCATCTCGACGTCGTCATCATCATCGTCGCATTCCGATTGAGTACTTTTGATTTTTTTCCGCAATTCTATTAAATGGTGGCCACCACCAAAATATTTCACACATATTCAAATTTGTATTCAAAATTTTTCTCTAACCGCCAATACATTTAATACTCAGTCGACGGGTCTCGACACGATTGATTCATTCATTGTGGTACGTAGCCAATCATTTTTTCACGTTCATCACTCATCTCGACGTCGTCATCATCATCGTCGCATTCCGATTGAGTACTTTTGATTTTTTCCGCAATTCTATTAAATGGTGGCCACCACCAAAATATTTCACACATATTCAAATTTGTATTCAAAATTTTTCTCTAACCGCCAATACATTTAATACTCAGTCGACGGGTCTCGACACGATTGATTCATTCATTGTGGTACGTAGCCAATCATTTTTTCACGTTCATCACTCATCTCGACGTCGTCATCATCATCGTCGCATTCCCATTGAGTAATTTTGATTTTTTCCGCAATTCTATTAAATGGTGGCCACCACCAAAATATTTCACACATATTCAAATTTGTATTCAAAATTTTTCTCTAACCGCCAATACATTTAATTGTCTCGTCGTCGGCAGCACAGAACGGAAGTCCAGCGAATCCGTCGTCTTTATGCAATGATCGCGCCGGGGTATTTGAGAACTTCTGAGACTTCTGAAATAAATGCATTTTTTTATTTGTCAAACCGATGATTGAGAATATAAGCAAATAAAAAGAACACAAAGGAGCCACCTACTCGTCTCATTTTGTCCATCCCACGAATTGCTCGATTTCCTTTTTTATATGAGTTCAAGAAAACCACCTTGAGCTGATCGGTGACGTCGGCCTTCTTCGTGTCGTCTCGTACGTCCTTCAACAATCGAATGGAAAGGCGTAAATCGTTAGTCCACTGAAATTTACAACAATTATTTCATCGTCGTCGTTGTTGTTATAGTACCAGCACAACGAAAAAATTACGCGGGATGAAATTGATGATTTCGTCGGGGAACAACGAAAGGACGCTAATCGACAACGAACTTTCCATCTTGGACAGATGGAGCGTCGCGTGCGCCGTCAATAAAATTTTTTCAGTCACTTTCTCTCGAATACCAACACTCCGCAGTAATTTCCGACGGAAATACAATTGGTCTGGAGCAGAAAGCGCAGCGTGCCTCGAAAGTTCGTCGGTCATCGAAAAGCGTCGTGTGATATCGTCCGTGACTGCTGATGTTGTGGCGACGGCGGTGGCGTCGACGACAGTGGTCTTTCTCGCCATGGGCGCTGTAGGTGCGATTTTCTTATTCAAGCGACTCATCTTACCACCTGGAAACAAAACACATGTAAAAAAACGTGAATACAACGAAGAATGTACGTCATTGATGGTTTTGGTGGTTACCACTAAAACCATCGACTAGTGAATATATGAAAATTATGAGAGGAAATCTTGATGGTGGCAACTATTAAATGAAGTTCGGATAGAATTGCGGAAAAAATCAAAATTACTCAATGGGAATGCGACGATGATGATGACGACGTCGAGATGAGTGATGAACGTGAAAAAATGATTGGCTACGTACCACAATGAATGAATCAATCGTGTCGAGACCCGTCGACTGAGTATTAAATGTATTGGCGGTTAGAGAAAAATTTTGAATACAAATTTGAATATGTGTGAAATATTTTGGTGGTGGCCACCATTTAATAGAATTGCGGAAAAAATCAAAAGTACTCAATCGGAATGCGACGATGATGATGACGACGTCGAGATGAGTGATGAACGTGAAAAAATGATTGGCTACGTACCACAATGAATGAATCAATCGTGTCGAGACCCGTCGACTGAGTATTAAATGTATTGGCGGTTAGAGAAAAATTTTGAATACAAATTTGAATATGTGTGAAATATTTTGGTGGTGGCCACCATTTAATAGAATTGCGGAAAAAATCAAAAGTACTCAATCGGAATGCGACGATGATGATGACGACGTCGAGATGAGTGATGAACGTGAAAAAATGATTGGCTACGTACCACAATGAATGAATCAATCGTGTCGAGACCCGTCGACTGAGTATTAAATGTATTGGCGGTTAGAGAAAAATTTTGAATACAAATTTGAATATGTGTGAAATATTTTGGTGGTGGCCACCATTTAATAGAATTGCGGAAAAAATCAAAAGTACTCAATCGGAATGCGACGATGATGATGACGACGTCGAGATGAGTGATGAACGTGAAAAAATGATTGGCTACGTACCACAATGAATGAATCAATCGTGTCGAGACCCGTCGACTGAGTATTAAATGTATTGGCGGTTAGAGAAAAATTTTGAATACAAATTTGAATATGTGTGAAATATTTTGGTGGTGGCCACCATTAAATAGAATTGCGAAAAAAATCAAAAGTACTCAATGGGAATGCGACGATGATGATGACGACGTCGAGATGAGTGATGAACGTGAAAAAATGATTGGCTACGTACCACAATGAATGAATCAATCGTGTCGAGACCCGTCGACTGAGTATTAAATGTATTGGCGGTTAGACAAAAATTTTGAATACAAATTTGAATATGTGTGAAATATTTTGGTGGTGGCCACCATTAAATAGAATTGCGAAAAAAATCAAAAGTACTCAATGGGAATGCGACGATGATGATGACGACGTCGAGATGAGTGATGAACGTGAAAAAATGATTGGCTACGTACCACAATGAATGAATCAATCGTGTCGAGACCCGTCGACTGAGTATTAAATGTATTGGCGGTTAGAGAAAAATTTTGAATACAAATTTGAATATGTGTGAAATATTTTGGTGGTGGCCACCATTAAATAGAATTGCGAAAAAAATCAAAAGTACTCAATGGGAATGCGACGATGATGATGACGACGTCGAGATGAGTGATGAACGTGAAAAAATGATTGGCTACGTACCACAATGAATGAATCAATCGTGTCGAGACCCGTCGACTGAGTATTAAATGTATTGGCGGTTAGAGAAAAATTTTGAATACAAATTTGAATATGTGTGAAATATTTTGGTGGTGGCCACCATTTAATAGAATTGCGGAAAAAATCAAAAGTACTCAATGGGAATGCGACGAGATGAACGTGAAAATGATAGATTTTTAGCAAAACTAAAAAAAAAACAAACAACAATCATAATGATAAATTGGCTGCGTACCACAATGAATCAATCGTGTCGAGACCCGTTTTTATTGAGTATTAAACGTATTAAATATTCTAACTTCATTTTTAAATTTGCGATTATTGGTTCGGCCGATGTAATACCCCCAGAATGTGTTTCCGCAAGTCTAATAACTCTAAATTCTATCAAAAATTGAAAATCGGAAACCTGGTTTTTAGACATCGATCTCGATCTTAACCCACTCGAGCTACCGTAACCTAATACCGATCCGGGGGTCCCATAACACAGTGAGTTTTGTTCGTGCAAATGTAATACCCTCAGAATGTGTTTCTATTCGTCCAATAACTCTAAATTCTATCAAAAATTAAAAATCGAGAACTTAGTTTTTAGGTATAGATCTTACCCCACTCGAGCAACCAAAACCCATTATCGAACCGAGGGTGGGGGATCCCATAATTCAGCGAGTTGTGGTTTGGACGATGTCAAACTCTCACTATGCTTTTCTACTCGTCCAATAATCCTAAATATCATTTTAAAAAATGAAAATAGAGAACCTACTTTTTAGGGATCGATCATACCCCACCCGAGCTACCGAAACCCAATAACCGGGGGGAGCTTGTTTTTGCGAAGGTTAATTAAACCATGGAAAAAGTAGCAAGAGCTTTTGGTTAGTTTTGATATGCAGGTTTTATCCGCAGTGGTACGATACCCGACACCTGTTCATATCGAAATTTAATAATATAACCGAGTTTAGCTCGCTGTTGCGCTTGATAGAAGTACGTTGAACAGAATTATAAAAAAAGAAAATGCCAAAAAAAAATAAAAACAAAAAACTGCAGCGAATTGTGCCGCAACGCGCGTACACCATTCTTTTTCCTAGCGCGATTACTGTAACAGTCGGATAGGTGTGTGCGGCGGCGGCGGTGGGGCGATTTACGCTGCGTGCGAATAAGAAATTTCATTTTTTTGGCGAACGGTAAAGCTAAAAATCACGAGATTTGTAACACAAAGACGCAATTATCTAATGACTTTTTAGCAAAAACAATCCAATCAATTTAAAAATTTAATTTTTTTCAAACAAGGTCAGTATATATTTTCTTAATGCTTCATCAAATAAAACTGAATTCTGCGGTTTTGGTCTCACCATGATTCGATTCGATGACCATCAAAATGAATGTTTGCACTCGAACATGTTCTCTGTCCAATCCTTATAATTGTTGTCCTATTATTTTTTTATTTCTCCTTGTTGTCTCCGTCTCTCGTTCTCTCTCCCGTCGACGTGCAGACTATACACATTTCTTCTGGTCGCAACCATTTCGGACACATTTCTACAACTTTTAATGCTTAACTTGACGATTTTTACCTGAAAATTGTTGATAATCACCGCAATTTCATCAAAATTCCTGCATGATATCTTCAGTTCCGCTTGTTTTTTTTGCGGCGAAAAAAGTGCGATGTCGTCGCTGGTTTTCGACCTCGCGGTTTTAGTTGAGTTAGTCGTCGTCGTCCCCGTTGTCGTCGTGCGTTTCATTTTCGACAAATGTCGACGGCGAATGATCAACAAATTCCGTGAGTCATTTTTTTTTTCTGAAACCAATTTTGTTTCATTTTCGGTGCCAAAAACTTTTAAGTGTTATCTATCAATTGACACAACGCCTTTCGTTTTCGATTTTTGCACGAATTACTTCCGCGTTCTAGCAGTAACATCGTTGTATCGATGATAATTGCGTTTCAAACAATCAATTTTCAAAAAAAGCAATTATTTTACGTTTCGATAATTCTCAATCACAATTTTGCAATTCGCGTGCATGAAAATTTTGCTCAAAACCCTAATTTAGATTTTTGAAAAGAAAATCAGTCTAAAATCTTTAAAAATAGGAGTAAATAAAAAATTTCTACGAAAAATGAAAAACCAGGTGGTCCGCAATTAACCTTTACGCAGCATTGCACTCATTTGTCTACCGTATCCTTCCAGAATATTTTGTAATAACTTCGTTATTTTAAAAGCCAAAAATGTCTCACATTTCACAACTTCGTGACTTTGTTTACGTCTAACAATGTACTCTCTGTTTTGTTTTTCTCTGTTTGTTTCTCACTGCTCGTTATATTTTTCTATGAATCGCGATGATTACTAAAACAAAATTTGTCCCAATTTTGTCACAATTGTCCTCAATAGATATTTGAAGAGAACATTTGCAATTTTTATTTAGTTTTTTAATCAATTTTTTTCAATTAGAAACATATTTAAATTCTTCCATTTTAAAAAATTGTAAATTTGTAAATTAAATTTTTCGGTAAACAGATTATAACAATTTCGTAATTATTTTGATCGATTCTTATAAATTACTAATTATAGCTAATTTCAGGATGAGCTACACTCCGATGCAAGTGATTTCGACACAACCTGGTGTAGCACCTCCACCAGGAATGCCAAGTAGGAAATCTCTGGCGCAAAAAATGTTGTTCCAACCGTTCCAGTCATTCAGACTGGATTCAGGCGCCTCAATCAATGCCAGGAGTGCCGATGGGTCTCGAATATCTAACCCTTCTCGACTGCGTTATCGTCCACCAGGTAATTAAGAGCCGCCCAATAAATTGGTGCAATTTTACGTGCGGTGTTCTTGCGGACGAAGCCCACGTCAAAACACTTGATTTGGATTGTTTTTTTTTTTTCAGAAAAAGGAGCTTATGGAAATTGTGTCCGATTTCGAGATGAATAATCGATATGTTCTGAAAAACGCCGCCGGCCAACAAGCGTATTTCGCACTCGAGGAATCCGGCTGCTGCGAACGCCAATTCTGCGGTCCGCGACGCGGCTTCACTATTCACATCGTCGACAATTTCCAGAAGGTTTTCCAACAATTTTTGATGAATTCCGCATTTTTTTTCTCTCTCATTTTCAAGGAAGTGCTCACCGTTCGTCGCGACTTCAAATGTTTGAGCTCGACGTACTGCGCAATGTGCATGTGCTGCAAAACCGAATGCACGATCACGTCGCCGAGCACCGGCGTTGTGGGCTCGGCTCGCCAGAGTTTCGGCTGCTGCTCGGTCAATTTGGACATTCTTGACGCCAACGGCGACGCGATTTTCAAGGTATTCGCAAAGTTCTTGCAAAAAGCCAACTGACTGAAAATTTTTTTGGGCTAAAAAAAAGCTCCTGCTGATTTCAGATCGAAGGCCCGTGCTGTCTGACACTGATTAGCTGTTCCGATAAAGAGTTCCCGGTATGGAAAAAAAACGCCGTGCGCCTTTAAAAAATTGTTTTGTAGATCAAAACGATGGATGGCGTTATCGTCGGAGCCATCACCCAAAAATGGGGAGGCTGTTGTAAGGAGGCGTTCACCGACGCCGACACCTTCCAAGTCACTTGTAAGTCGTTGGTGGGTCTTGACGCGAAAAATTTCGGTTTTCTTTTAGTCCCACTGGACCTCGACGTCAAAATGAAGGCGGTGCTCCTCGGAGCAACATTTTTGATTGTAAGCACTCTTCCTAGGGACCATTCAAATCGGTTGGCTCAATTTCAGGATTTCTTGCAATTCGAGGAACCGAAACACAACAACAACAATTAGAGCATATCTTTGCTCGTTGAACCTTTAAAATTAAAGGGATTATCGAAAACAATTTTCACGAGCACAATATTTTATATGCATCCAATTTTTTGTCTTACTTTTCAAACAATTCATCAACTAATAAAATCTCAAATATTAAGGTGTTCCAATCGAGACTCGAAAAACTTTCAATTGAAGCACCTTTAAAGCATAACTAGATCTTTTTACCTATTCAATTCCACATTCATTATATTTTCTGTTTCAACATAAGTCTTTAAATTGGTCTTAATGAAAAACGGTAAGGGTCCGGCAGCGACCGAGCAGGGTACTGTAGTCGTGGAAATCCGTCTCTCGGACCGAACTCAAATGGGCAACTTATTAGCACTTTCCATACTATTAAGAATTCTCATCAAAAATGAAAAATGTCCTAGATGCGCCTTTTTCATTGTCTAAAGCCGTGATGAGATACAAGTTTAAAGGCGCATTCATTTGCGACGTCAAACTCAAATCGCTATTGATCGAAATCACAAGAAAATTTCGACTAGCTAAAAAACAAAATCGAAACTTTTTTTTTCATTTTACAATAAGCTTTATCATCATTTGATTGCAAGGTATCGTATACAGTACACTGATTGTTGGCCCAATTCCCAGACAAAAATAAACTAAAAAAACACACACACACATACAAGAATTTCACGGCCGGCCATTAATTAATGAATGTGATTTCCTTTTTCGGATAGGTTTTGAAAATCGTGTGAAAAAAGAGAGAGAGAGCGCGCGCAAGAGAGAGAGAGAGAGAGAGAGAGAGAAAAAAGAAGAAGACAAAGAAACCTATACAGTTTACGAGTTTCAAATCAAATCGAATAATTATGATAATCAATTAAAATAATAATTAAAATTTGTCCTTATTAAAACAAAAACCTTCGGCTGCTGCTGGTTGGTATGGGCAAAAATGAGAAGAAGAAACTGTAATAATGATGATGATGATGAAGCTCAGAAGAAATCTGCTAACAAATAAAAATACACATGTTCGGTGGTTTAAACGAGGACAGTTCGTATCGGGCGGGACAGAGACGAAAAGTGTCTAGAGAGAGAGAGAGATGGGCTAGAGAAAAAAGGGGAAAATGTACAAGTCGGATTGTGTGTGGGTGTGTGCGTGCGGTGAAAATTTCCAGATATGAATACACATCAAAAATAAGTGCATGCTTCTCACGTGAATTCTTCGCGTTTTAGACCGACAGTTCACTTTAAAAGACCCGTGTCCCTTTAAATTCCCATCGAGACCTCAAAACACTATTACATACACACACACACGCACACACAAGTTGGACAGCGATGAAATTGATACCAAAAATGGAAGATGAAGAAGACATGATGAAAATAATGGAAATATCATGGGAAAAGAGAGAAAATAATCAAATATAATAATGATAAGAAAGAAAACATGAAAAAAAAGAAGAAAGAGAAAGAGAGAGAGAGAGAGAGAGAAAAAAACGCAAATTTCAAGTGTCAGCCGATTTTCAATCTCATCACTACTTCTCGACGGATCCCGCCGTCGCCGTCTCGCCTGACGAACCACCACCAGCTGCCGTCGTTTCACCGCCAGCTCCGCTCGATGTCGTCGGTCCCGCGCCGGCACCGCCAACCGTAGTCGAGTCTGTCTCGAGCGGTGGCAGAGGCCGACCTGATGGCAGTTTCGTTTCCGGATTTCGAAGCTCATCAAAGAATGGGTGTAAGCAAGCCTGAAAATCACAATTTATCAATGAAAAACAATCCGCTTAGATTTCCAGATTTGCTAATATCTCATCTTCTCGGGCCTACCAATGATTAATCGCGTTTCTACGGCATCGTTTCACCCCTCACCCAACAACAACATACCGCTTGTGGTGTTGGCCTCGACGTCGGCGTGAATTCAATGATCTTCGAGATGAGATCAATGGCTTCCGGTGGCGTATGTACGCGGAACACCTTCGTCCACGGATGCGCCTTGATTTGCGGGAATTTGAACTCCTTATAGTTTGGATTCATGCTTTGTATCTGTTCTCGCGTCGGCGTGCCAAGCACCTATAAAAAGACCAATCAATTTCATCACAACAAAAACCGGAAATTAAAGAAAATTTGTTTTTTTTTTTCGTTTCAAAGAATTTGGGCTTATCAATTCCGCTTATTGTTCAATAAAGCGTAGACGCCCGTTCGTCCCAAGAGAAAAAAAAGAAACCCCATTATTAATGGGGGGGGGGTACTGTAATTTACCTTAATTATTTCAACGAGTTGATCGACACCAGAATCACCGGGGAAAATCGGCTGGCCGAGCAACAATTCGGCCATGACGGTTCCTGCCGACCACACGTCAATCGAATTGGTGTAATTGGTTGCGCCAAAAATGAGCTCCGGTGCGCGATAGTAGCGTGAGCAAATGTATGACACATTGGGTTCGTTCTGGAAAAAAAAAACACAAACAATATTGCCAACTAAATTTGTCATTTCCCCGTAGGTGTGACGAATGCTGAGAACGAGATGAACAACATCAAACATCGTCAATTCTCTCGCATATTAGCAACACATATATACATTTTCAATTAAAAAAAACTAGTGCTACCGTAACCAACCTTGACAAGATATTTTGCCGAGCCGAAATCGCACAATTTCAGCACACCGCTCTCCGGATCGATTAATAAGTTTTGCGGTTTAATGTCGCGATGGCAGATGCCGATTCCATGAATATACGCAAGAGATCTCAGTAGCTGCAACATTTTTTTATAATTGAAAAAAAATTTAAACCCTATACCTGATACATGTACAATTTCACGTAAATCATTGGAATCGGTTGTCTTTGTTTTGAATAATGTCTCGCCACTCTAAAAAAAAAGGATGAACATTTTCTATCAAAATTTTTCTTTTTTTCTTTCAAGCTCACCGGTAAACCGTTTCTGGCACATATTCCAGTATGAGGTTCAAGTACAACTCGTCCTTTTTATCACCGCTTGAGTAGAAGAAATATCTGAAATATATCAATAAACCTTAAATGGCAAAAAATTGGAAATTACTTGAGTTTCACAATATTTGGATGATTGAGCTTTCGCATAATTTGCAATTCTCGATTTTTGAATCGTTTATCCTGAAGCACCTTCTTTATAGCCACCATTTCATTGTTTGATGACAATTTGGCGAGAAAAACGACACCAAACGAGCCGTTTCCAATCACTTTTTGGTCGTAATACGAAATTTCGACCTAAGCAATCAATATTCGACAAATAATTTTTTTTCCACTAAAAAATTCAACCTGCTGATCAACTCCATCTGTGGCAACTGACGCAACAACCATTGTCACTGGCTTTCCGCTCTTCAAAGAGCACGACAGTAGCTGTTTATTCATCACCCGGCAAAGTCACCTTGGTTTCCTGCAAATCGATCGATAATTTGCGACGTCAACATTTTATCATTTTCGTTTTTGCCACACAAATCGCTCGAGTAAATGCGCGCACTACAAAAGACAACATTGCGGTTCACGTGAAAATCGAGAAAACTCGCAAAAAAGAAGAACGATGAAATATGAACGCGAAATCGCGGCGACAGAAACCGATGAAAGCGCCTGAAGTGCGATGGAGCGCGGTTGCCGCCCGCTCGCCGCACTTCTAGACGCACCGCATTTTCAGCCACCGTTGACGTCATGAGCCAATTTTTGCATGGCGCTCGTCCTCGCGCGCTCGCGTGCATTTTCTCTTCGTCGACTCAATTTATTCACGGCGCTGATTCACAAACACACAACCGACTCCTAATGAATCCAATCGGGAGGCTGCCTATGGCAGGAAGCGTATTCGATGAACACAAACCTTGTCTGATTCGTTGGTTGTGCCAAAATCGATTCCAATCGACTTCAAAAAGACGACCAGAGCACAACGGTGACACTTTCTGAAAATCAATAAAATGGCGAAGTTTTTTTTCTTTTCTGGCAAAAGCAAAAAAGAGAAAACAGAAGTGGATGACATCAGACGAAAAAAATTGAATTCATTTTTTTTCGACAACCGTGTGATAATAGACGGCGGCGAAACAAGATTGCAATCCGCTGGCGATTATCGATTCGACAGCAATAGAAAAACGAAAAAACGCGAACGGCGACGGCCCATCACGTTATTACTATATTCATGCGTTTCTTTCCCGGGTTAAACGCTTCCAATTTTTTTTGTAACAGTCGTTAAATATTACGAGCGTCGCGGAACGTCGACTACGAAAAAAAACCCAAAATAAGCGTGGAAAACACAAAAAAATGAAGTGAGACGATGATTTTGGATGAAAAAAAAAAACAGGAAGCAAACGCGCTCCAACGTCATCATTTTTGTAGCAATTAAAGGCGCGGCTCAAAATTTTGAAATGGTCTCGCCGAGGACTGTAACCAAAAAACGAAAATTTCCCATTTTTCGCTTCGCCTTTTTTTTGAGCGTGTTCTCCTCGACTGATAATCCGCAGTTACGTCAGCATAAAAATGATCGCGTCTCGTGTTACTTTTATCGAAACATTTTTTGATTAAAAATGCGCTTTTTTTTAATAAAACGTTTATAAAAATGAAAATTAATCAATAGACGCCAAAAAAGGAGTTTATTTTGCCGGCCGCGCGGGCCTCCGTTCTGACGTCCACTCTTGTTTACATTACATACGCGGATATATCGCCGGCTTTTAGCTTTTCATTGATATTTATGCGTGATAGAAAAAGGGAAAAGCAGAAATGTGGTTTTCTTGGGAATGAAGCTTGGCAATATCGATTTATTTTTTTCTCAATTATTATTAAAAGCGAAAAATTGAACACTGAAAAAAAAACGACGACAGGCGAACAAGTCGAAGTGTGGCATAGGGGATGGTCGGCGGGGTGAAGACGACAGCGGGTCGCGGAAAAAAAATCACAACAACAGGCAGACGCCGATGGAATTAGCACGGACGGGCGTGAGAGACAAAGACGCAACGAGGTCGTTGGTGCACGGGCCATGGAATGGAGAGGAATGTAGCGGGCGCGCGCGGGGCGGCGGCGGCGGCCTCCTCCCGAAATGCGCGGCCACGCGCGAGACGCAGACGGCGCGAGACGAAACGAGCAGCTCTTGCTCGGAATCGATGACAGCTTCTTCTTCTTCTTCCTAGGCATCGCCGCCGCTGCCCGCTCAAAGCATAGTAAAAGTAATAGTAGAAGGAGATGCATGATGCGATGGAGAAGTGCAACGGCCGTGGCCGACGAAAATTTCTAGGCCAACTTGTTGACAGCAAAATTGAAAAAAAAGTGTTTTATTTTAAATTTATTTTTTTAGGAATTGCTCGAAGATGAGCATTCCAAGGCTGTCAAGAAAACTTTTAATTATTTCAATTTTTCCGTCATTTCGGAATTTTTCGGATATTCTGTTGTGGATTTACGCAAAAAAAATTAAATTTCAAAAAATTGCAGACCGACGACATGGTGACAGTGATCTCGAAAAAGTCAATTTCATTCATCGGGTGAGCAATTCAGATAACTAGCTCGAATCAATGTGCACTTTCTTCGATAATTAAGGCAATCATTGGCGTCGCAAATCGATCAAGAGTTGTTCACCAAATACTGTTTCAAAGTCGAACAGCTCATGGAGTTGGCGGGATTGGCGGCGGCTCAAGCAATCGCCACGCATTACCCAAAAGGTTGCTCATCGCCAATTGCACCATCTAATTATCGTAATTCAAGGCAAAGTTGCCGTTCTATGCGGTCCGGGCAATAACGGAGGCGACGGATTTGTGTGCGCGCGGCATCTCCAACAATTCGTGGGAAATTTGGCCGAAAAAAAGTGACAAAATGCCTTTAATTCTAGGGATTTGCTCCACAAATTGTCTATCCCAAAGAATCAAGGAATGAGCTCATGAAAAGCTTAGTACAGCAATGCCTTACCTCCGGTAGATGGAAATTCGCGAAATAAAACTAAAATTATTTCAGACATTCCTGTAAACTCTAACCTCCCGCAAGACCTGAAAACCTTCAATCTCATAGTGGATGCCCTATTCGGTTTTTCGTTCGTCCCGCCCATCCGCGATCCCTTCAACGACATCATCAAATCCGTGGTCGATAGTGGAGTACGCGTATTCTCCATAGATATCCCTTCAGGTCTCGCAACGATAATTGGCTGATCCGCGATGTAAAATTTTGTAGCCAAATATTCTCACTTTTTGAGCATTTTGACATCATTTTTCCTTTCAAAATTGGGTTATTTTAAGTTAAACTGTTAGAAACACGAAATTAGATGGAAATTCGAGTTCTGAATTAATTTAAATTTGATTTAATTAAGGTTGGAATGTGGAAACTGGCGCCAGCGAAGGAATCGGAATCAAACCGCACTCTGTCATTTCTTTGACATTACCAAAGTTGTGCATGAAATCATGGACGGGACCACATTTTCTTGGCGGACGATTCGTACCGAAGAAGCTTGTTGACGAACACAACTTGCGAATGCCCAATTATCCGGGGCACGAGCAAATTGTGAAAATCGAAGACTGAACTCATAATTGTAAATTAGTGGTTCGTGGGGGAAAATAAGTATCAAAGACGAATTTTTCATAAATAGTTGATATTGCCATAAAATAAAAAATGTTCCGCTATTTTTTGGCTGCCTATAGCCATATTCGACGCGAGACTCGATTCTTTTGGAGTGGCACCCGAAACAACAAGAAAATTGAATTATAGAAAGAAAAATAATTTGTTTCCTCTAGCTTTTATCGTCACGATGCCAATTTTCGGGCGAAATTCCCTCAAACTTTTCAATTTTCACCTAATCGATGAGATTGCGATGCGACATGAGGCAATTAGACGTTATTGAGTGTGCTTGTTAGCACGGGAATGCGAATACGCTTCAAATTTGCGTGATGAGGACCTCGAAGCACTCGATGCCCATTAGTATCGCGCTTTCGCATTTCTGAAATCTTTTTCAGCAAAATGTATACGAGGAAGAATGTTTGAAATGACACGAGAATGCTTGAACGAGCAAGATAAGATTGAGTAGGAAATTTTGGCAGTTTTTGAGCAAAAAAGAGAAAGACATGCATAGAAATGTTGGGTGCGCCAAGTCTCAAGAGGCTCTGGATTATCTCAACGAGGAGAACGCATTTAATTCGAGAAATTGTCTCCTGAAACGAACTGACTGTTGATAATTAAAAAAAAAACCGATTTTTTACGGTTGTCTGTGTTCTTTTCGACGGTGTACCCATTGGTGTCGACTTTGGTGAATTCAAGAACGCGGTGGGATAAACAAAGGAATTCGAAAACGTTACTTGTTGCTATTTAACTAAATAAATCCTTAATGAGAAAATGAACAAAAAGTGATAACTTAATTATTAATTAAGTAGTGCAACTTTTGGAAAAACATTCGAAAATCATTGATTTCAAAAGAAAATCGCGCGATAATTTTTTTTGAAAAACTCGGCCATTTTTTCAATTTCCTAGGCCACCATCGTTTTTCGAAATAATTTTCGCAATTTTTTAAGCGTGTTTTCGTTTGTTCTTACAGTTTTCTATTTTCAAACACTTTATTAATTTATGATTTGTAGAAATAAATATAGCTCAAACATGGAGGAAGACACCGATGTAAGAATATCGTTCAATTGTATTGTTAAAAAAATTATATTTCAGCGATGTACTAATGAATATTGCCTGAATATTCAAAAAAATATGCAATTGATGATCGTTCAACGCTCGCAGGAAAATGTGAAAATTAAAAAGTTAGATAGTTTGACGAAAGAAAATGAGAGTTTGCGTCTGCAATTGGTCGAGTGCGAAAGTTTGGCGCGTGGACTTCAAGAAACCAACGCTCTGGAATCGGCAACGCGAGAAAAAGCTGAAAAGGATCTGAAAGAAGTCGAAAAATTAACATAAAAAAAATAGTATTCAAATATTTCAGGCGATTGCAGATAGGGATTATTTCAAGCAGAAAGCCGACCTCTTCATGAAAAAAGCCGAGGAAGCAGACGTAAATTTTATAGGAAAATTGCAATTTAAGAGAAAATTTGATGGTTTAAAGGTTCATTTGGAAAACGCGAATGGCATCCGAGCGCGCTACGATGAGATTAGCGCGTTTTGCACACAAATTGAACAAAAATACGAGGATTTGCAGAAAAAATATGCGAATAGTGTGACGTTTTTCGAAAAAGTCCAAAGACAGTAAGAGAATTGTCTAGAAAATATTGCAATTTTCGTTCTTTTTTTTCTTAGTAATAACACATTGACAAAAAACGTGGACACGCTCAAGTGCGAATGCGATACGCTCAAAAGAAAACAGAAAATTTACGACAAATATGGAAAATTGGCGATCGAATTGATCGATGAGCTCGGTAGGACTCAGTTATTATGATTGTGCATTTAGTTCGTCGAAAAATTGCAGCAAAAATGGGCCCAGAGAAAGAAATATTGGACAAGGTGAAAATTTTTCGAAAAGACGAGGTCCGATTCGCATTCGGATGCGATGCGTGGAAGGAGCCGAGAAGCGATGATGAAATTGTGCCTGACGAGCGTCTTGGCGATGATGATGATGATGATGGTGAAGCTGAAGCTCCAAATCCCGCCAATGATTTGGCAATGAGCTCAAGCGATGAAGAAGAAGCGGTGGCGCTCGAGAGAATAATCAAGGTATGACATTTTTTGATTTTTTTTCAAACAAACTTCCTGTGATCGCGTTTTTGTAGTCGAATTTAGACAATTTCTCAATTTCAAAATAATTGAATATTCTAAAATTAAAGGCGCATGCCCGTTTATTTAACTTCCTATATGACGTTTTGAGATTCTTAGCTTACGACAAACGCGCTTCATCGCACTAGTCTCGTTGTGCCCGCGAATTTTTCTTTGTTTTTCGTCGCTCCACTATTAAAAATTGGAAATAAATCAAATTGAACGGAAGTTGACGTGAATGCCACGTGTCATATTTACGCCGAAAAACGCTCGCCGAAATCCGCCAAGAAGACAATCAAACAGGAAATTTCATCGGAAAAATTGACGCCGACGAACATCGAATCGAATCTTGAGAAGAAGATGTCGGAATTGCGAACGACTCGTCTCAATCCGGTTTTGCGTGGTCCGTTTCCGGAAACCGTCAAAGGCACACCGTTCGACTATGGCGTCATCAAGCCGAGAACCGTGTTCACGCATGGTGTTCCCGCCATCAAGCCCAATGAATTTCCGGCGATCAGCGAGCGCGGTGAAGCGTCGACATCCGGAAAATCGGTGGCGCCGGCGGCGACGTGAGTCGAAATTTGTCGATTAAAAAAACGTTTTCCATCTTCGCTCTTCTTTAGAACCATTCATGGACGCAAATGCGAAAGTGTTCGAGAGCAGCAGACGAAAATGATGAAAGTGTCGGCGAAAGAAATGGCAGCGAGACTAAAAGCTGAAGAAGAAGCTAAAAAGAATGAGCCGAAGGGCAAAGCTCGTATGAAAGCATCGAAAGTTGAGCCGTCGGTGAAGAATCTCCGAAATCGAAGCATCAATGTGAAGGATTCTGGAAATGAGTCGAAAGAAGTCGAAGCTGAGAGCCAGGAAGTGGTCACTAGAAGGACGCGATCGATGACTGCAGCCGAAGAAAAGGCGGTAAACCGCTAGAATTTTTTCATTGATTTGCTGGAAATGCATCATTATTATTATAGGCTGAAAGTGAATTTATTCGACTTCAAGATATAAGAGCAACTCGCTCATCTCGTAGATCCAAAAGTTCGGAGCCCGACGCGATTGCACGACGCACAAGAAGTCGATCAGCTCGGCGATCCGTTGAGCCGACACCGAGCGATGAGACACAGGTAATCCGATTTGGATGGCATATTACGAGTTCTATTAAGGGAGCAACAACAACAATGACAACGAAAAGTTTGGCAACGCCAAAAAGCTGCCAATCTGAGACCACTGCGGGACCATCGACGCGTAGAAGAATTTCTAGCTCATCGTCAACGACTTCGAAATTGTCGAAACGCGGAGCCCAGGTGAGTAACGATCTTTTTTTCTTATTTCAAAATTTTAAGACGCAGAAAAATGAACCGCCAAAGAAAGTGCAACGGAGAAGCAGCTTGTCGGAAAGTTCCGATGATGATGATGGTGATGATGGAGAAGGATCGCCGAATGATGAGACGATGGTGATCACGAATGAGCGAGACGATTTTGGAGATGCCCCAATAGTTGCAAAAGAGGTAGGCAAGTTTATAAGGATTCATATTTGAAAAACGAGATACACTATTCAAGCTTGAAATTTAGGAGCCAATCATTCAGAGCGCGACGGAGCCATCATCAAGTGATGCCATTGCACAACTGGCTAAGCCTCTGCTCAAGGAAAGTTCTGTGAAGCCAGTGCTAAGAAGCAGTGAAGCGGATTCTGTTTCAGAAGTGAAGAAATCGACGTCGCATACTGATGTAGCGAATCACTTAATTATGCAAACATTGAGTTTCTCATTATTTTCAGATTGTCGTACAGAGATTGAAGGCTCTTCAAGATCTCAGAACGAAGAAAATCACGATTCCAGTGGTCCCTAAACCTTCTTCAACTTCACGTTTGAATACCACTAATAATTCGGAGTCTTCATCGAAAACGAAGCGAAATTCCATGGATGCCGACGAAGCTGCTCCAGCTCCTGCAATTACGCCGGTCAGCTCTACGCCAGATGAAGCACCTCCTAGCAAGATAAAGCCTTCTCCATCGCCAAGAGCATCTCGTGGAAAAAGAACTACAAGGAATTCGGTGAGCTCGATTGAAGATGCGGCTCCTTCGTCGAGTCCGAGACCAACTCGAGCGAAATCCACTAGAATACAGAAGAAAACGCAAGCTGGTTCAACTTCTGAGCCTCAGCCAAATTCAACAGAATCGATATCTCGAGCTTCCAAACCGGCATCGTCTGAATTAAATGAGAAGGATCCAGATGCCTCCTCTGCCAAAGAAATCATGGCACCGAATTTGGAGTCAACTCAATCGATCGCGATAGACACTTCTGCACTTAATGGTCCGGCTTCCGAAACGCCTGAAAGTGCTCCTCCAGTGACGCCAGTTATGAAAACTCCGTCGTTGCGTCCATACTGGACGGAATTAAAAACGAGACGAACAACGAGAAACTCGCTGAGTTCGGCTGGTTCGATTCTGTTGGATTCGATTGAACCCGTTTCGGAATTACCGACGACCTCATCTTCTTCAGCTCCAGTTGTCAAGAATGAAACAAAAACTCGCGCGAGTACAGCACGTGCCGCGCGAAGTGCTGAAACGATTTTGAGTCAATCTAGTCAAGCTTCTATCGAATCGCCCGACGGGGAAAAGGAAGAGGCTTCATCAAGCTCATCATCGAGACCGACGAAGAAACCAAAACCATCGCGAGGAAAATCGAGTTCGCTCAAGCAGGAAACACTTCCATCTCCAGATAAAACAAACACTCAGGAATCGAAAAATAGAACTGGTGATCTTGTCAAGGTGGATAGTGCTCTGGCTCATGGGGAAGCACATCAGGAGCTCCAAGTCGACACTCTCCCAACTGTTGAGGAGAGTGTTCCAGCTCCAAATGACATCGCTCAAGATACTGAGAGTAGTTGTCCAGTTCAGATCGAACAGCAGGAAAATGTTGAATCACATCGATCAGCATTTTCGGAAAATTTTGAGAGCACATCTGGTCCAGCTCCAAAAGCACCGCAAGTAGAAATTTTTGCTGCTGCTAATAATGATGATGATGATGATGAATGTGGATCGTTGAAGATGGCTGATGAGACGGATAATGATCAAGTCGAAACATCGAGCGTGGTAGTTATTAATTGACCAATTATACTAGAACTACGTTTTTTTTCAGGATGAAATGTTTACCGAAAAATTTCCAACTGGTCCCAAGCCAACAGAAGCGCTGAAGGTTGCCGAATCCGAGCCACTAGTTGTGAATTCGGCGAAGAAACCTAAGGAGAAGAAGCTGGAAACTACTGCACGAAAGGTGGCCAAAATTCCGAAGGAAGCCAATGTGAAGAAGCCAAAACCTTCTCCAGCTCCTAGAAAATCGACGGCGAAGAAGGAGCCGGTAGCACCACCAAAAGTTGTCGAGAAACTTCTTCAAGTATCTTATTTTTTCTTTCTAATTTAAGAAATTTGATCGGAAAATTTTTAGACTCTTCAAATACCATCTAGATCGGAAGTTCGACATCAGATGGTGAGAATGTGTGAAAGCATGAGACTTATTCGTTCTTTTTCAGAAAATTAAAGAGACTCAAAGAGCTTTGGGTCTCGAGATCAGCGATAGTGAGGATGATGGTCCGGAAGGGTCGCCGGCGAAGAACGCCGCCAAATCGCTGTCGAAACCGCAACCGAAGACCGCGATTCTCATCGAGCCGGTGGCGAAGGGACGAGCGGCGAAGCGAGGCGCCACAATGAGTACGACGGAAGCGAAGAAGCGGAAACTCGAGAAGGACTCGCAATCGGCGCGGGCTCAGCTGCGTCAGGCTCTCGACTTGAAACTGCCGATCAATGAACTCAAACGACCGCTCGAAGAGCGAGGTTTCGAATGGACAGAGACGATTCCGCTGACGCCCGAAGAAGCGGTGGATGTGATGATTGAGGTATGAGATTGTCGATCTATCGAATATCTTATTAATTGATGATTGTTTAGTTCCTTCAACAATCGACACGAGCCGACATGTGGATGGTCCTTCAGCAGCATAGAAGGGAGGGCAACAGCGCGACATTGACGAATATCGACGAGCAGACGTTTCTTAGTGTCGCGGCGACGTTCAACAATGATGATCAGAAGCTGCTTGAGCTCTTCACTGAGTTTGATGATTTCGATTTTGTGATCAATTTTTAGGATACTAATTTCAGGAGGATTCTTTACGAGTTTGCCGTTCAGGATACGTTCCATTCGGCGCAGTGCGGATCGTATGCGCGATTATTCTGCCATTCGATTCACTTCAATCGAAAGGCGGATGATGAGCAGAAGGCGGAATGGATGAGAAAGTTGGCGAATGTTGTCGTTCTCAAGCATCCCGTAAATTATTGAGAAAAAAGATTTATATTGCAGAATTTTGTTTTATAGGCGCAAGCGATTAAGTGCATTGCCTATTGCCTTAATAGCACGTCGAGCTCGTATATGGGATGGCTTATTGAGGAGCTGGACGAGGGCACCGAATGGAGTCTGACGTTTCGACGACTTCTTCATTGTGTAAGGAGATTGTCTGATCACGTGCGAAATTGAATCGTGTGTGTTCAGGAGCCCGACCAAGCTGCCGTTGTGAATTGGCTTTTGCTGGCAAGATTTGACTACACGGCAATCGCGAAGCCGCACGACGAGGAGCTGACAAATGCGATGAAGAAGCTTCTGACGAGCATCGAAAATTCGGAGGATGTCTCATATAATGGCACGACTTGCGAGGTCGAGACATTTCTTTAAGAAAAATTTGAAAAATGAATTTCAGATTGGCGACGAAATCAAAGAGAATATCCGATTAGCGTTGATACTTGCGAAATCGGGAGACGTTGAACTTGTTAGTTTTGTGTTTCGGGTTCTCGAGCGAAATATGAAAAAGATGCAACACGCGTTTTTGGAGAACGACGATGATGAGGATAAAGGTTAGCATCAAAATTTTTGACTTTCTTTCAACTGCAAAAAATTTGCACTTTTATTTTGGAATAAAAGTTCAATTTTTAACTGAAATGGACACAAAAAGCCATTTTTTAATGCAAAAACTCAATTTTCGAGGATTATGTTGTCGAAATCAGTGAAAAATTGAATGAAATCAACGATTTTAAATCCCTTATTCGGAAATTCCAGGCGCCCATCTGTTCCAATCGGTCGATGCTGTCCGCGAGACGACGAAGATCAGTGTAAGAGAAGCGAAACAAACGTTGGTGGTGTTTGAATGGATTGTGACAATGATGCGCTGCTTCTCCGCGTACCACTCGCAGAAAATATCGAAGCCGATTGTTGATGCTCTCAGAACGGTTGCCCCGCAGGTACGCCGACGATTCAAACAATTGCCGCTAATCATTTGCTTGTAGATTGTTGAAATCAAAGAATGTGTGGAAAGCGACGAGAATTCGAAAATTGACGCCGACGGCAAAGTGTATATGCGCGAGATGCTCGGAAGATTCTGCGAGTTCATCTCCGATTTCACGACGTATCCGATTCAGAAAACATCCATTCACCGATAGTTGTATAATTTTGTAGCACTCATGTTTTACTCTGATCTCAGCAAACGCCTTATTACCGTTTTTCACCGGTTTTAATATATAAAAATAAATGAATTTGGTAACCAAGAAACTATGGTTTATTTTTTGTTGAACTTGATTCAAGATGCTAACGGCGTGTGTACGGTCCAATAAAAATTTATTATTAGCACCCTATTAAACATCATGAATTTAGTTTCAAACTTGGGAAATATAAATAAGGCGTGGTATTGCACACGCGCTGGATGTTGATTCCAGCAACTTGAAATTACAATAGAGATATTCATCACAATGTGAGGATATAAGAACATGTCAGGTGGGTGTAGGGAAAGATTGGTGGCAAAAGTTTGCAATCCTAAACAGCTTACTCAACTCTGTACGGCGTATGGTATTTACACAAACAGAAAAGAGCACGATGCTTAATGGGAAAGGGGAATGACAAACTGAGGAAAACAAAACAACATGCTGTAGAAATTCACAAGGTTCTATTGAAGTGGGAGAGGGATAGGGATAAGCGAACAAAAACTGGTATGCCAGATAAATATGCAATATTAATTAAATAGAAGGCCCGCATTGATGTTTACGAGATTTTCTACTGAATCGGGGGGGAACGCCGTTTAAGAGATTTTTTGGATCCATGACTGGAATTAGCAGATTTTACAATTACATAATAAATTAACAAAGGACTATATGATACGGAAAGTTACAGCAATTTGTCTAATTTTCAGAAACAGCATTTTGTTGTTGTTGTTGTTGAGGTTGATCGCGTTGTTGATATCCACGGCGGTTAAAGTTACGGTATCCACCATTGTAATTATGGTTGTAGTTTCCTCCGCGATTGTAGTTATTGTATCCTATAAATTAAAGGATTAAAAATATCCTAAATAGTGTAATTAACCTCCATAACCGCGGTTTCCACCACGTCCGCGTCCTCCATATCCACGGCGATAGTTCAAAGAGCGAACAGCGTTGTGGCCAAAGGTTTCTTGGTTCGTCTCGCGTTCTTTCTTCCAATCTGGACGGCCGTTCTTTCCTTCAGCCTTTTCTAGAGCTTCACAACTAATGTTATCGAAGAACGAGGACTTCTTATCATAGAAAACTTCCTTCTCCTCTGGCTCAGCCTCCTCCTTCTTGACTTCGTCTTCAATCTGTTATAAAATGTTTAAATTAATTTCCTAAAAATTGGTTGAAAAACCTTCAGTTTTTCCAAGTTGTCCGACAAAACTTCTTGGAACTTCTCGTTGGCTTTCTCAAAATCGAAGTCGGAGTCAAATTTGAGCTTCTCCCGATGATTCACTCTCGGAACACCGTAGTTATTGCGTCCTCGCTGATTGTATCCAAATCCTCCACGGTTGTTGTAGTTATTGTACCCGCGGTTGTTTCCCTGGTGTTCTATAGAAAAATAAATATAATTCGTCGCGAACTTTTCTATACTAACCACGGTTGAAACCACCACGGTTCATACCCCCACGATTGTTGACGATGTTAGCCAATGGGCTGTTTCTTGATGGAGTTCCAGCACGCGAAGATCCAGCAGAAGCAGCTGGGGCGCCATCAGAAGCCGGCGCAGATCGAGACGAAACGGAAATAATGGCCGGATCATAAGGCAATCCTCCGCCAATTGTTGCCATCTGAAAAAAAAAATTATATTGATGTAATTATTTTAATAAGCAAACCTTGGGAGTATCGCAAACGATAAGGTCCTTGATGTCGCTAGCCTTGAAAATGATGTACTCGTACACGTCATCTCGGGCGGCTACTGGATTGGCGGTTGCTCTTTTCTCAGTACCAAAAGATCGCACTAAAAGTAACGATATTAATCAAAAACTTCAATAAATGTGAAACCTTTTGCAAGCGCAATGGTCGAGTCGTTGGTATCAACGGTGTAAAGAATTCCTTCATAACGGATGTCGAGTTTCGAGATCAAGCTAATCTTGCTACCGATGTATGGTGTTTGATTCGCCATAATTACCTAAAAATAGAAATGGAAATTGAACGCGAGAAATGACAGTTACGAGCATTTATCGAAAAACAAATTAAACGCAGTAAATCTAAAAGAACGGTCTCATACCTATCCTAAATGAAAGCAAAACAAACGCGTGAAGAATTTTATGATTAGGAAGAGAAATGAGCAACTAATCGCGTTGTACACGAAACAAGTAGCGATACTAATCAAACGTCAAGCAGCAGGCACGACGTCCGACCCCTCCACCACAATTCATTCAATTTTGTCATCCCTCCTCATTTTCGATTAAAGGCGCATTGTTTGTCATGGGCGGCGATGGTCTCGCCACGATGCGACACCTCGCTTCTTGTTGGCACGCATCCAAGTACGGAATACTGGATTTTTTCAAATTCCACAATTTTCTGTTGTTGTTTTTACTCATTATTTCATCGAATTATTCCAGAATTTTCTATATTAATTTAAAATTTAATTTTTTTTCAAAAATTTTTTTCGCATTGATAAGAATAATATTGCTATTTTTAGAAATAAAGGCTACGGCATTTTTAAATTTTCTGAATAAAAACAATAACAACATAATTTTTGTAAAACGGATTGATAACGATATTATCATATTATTGTTTAAATAACCTTTCAATATAAAGGGCACAAATTATAAATAAATATTTTTTTTTAATATCAAATTTTAATTTTGCAGAAACGATCGTCGCCAAATTAAATGAGATTTAGGTAAAAACTTCAATAAAGAAGAAGTGAGAAATGATTTTTTAAATAAGAAAAAAAAAACGAAATTTCTAGATAGCAAAAGCAGATGGCGGGAATCACGCAGCACGCACAAACCCTCCAATTCGAAGATGATGAGCTCAACGAGATCAAATCAACGGGAATTTCGTGCGATCGTCTTCGACAAGCGCTAAAGAAATGCATCAAAAATTCTCACTGTGTCCAAATCGACGCACGCAGCGCAAAAGAATGCATCGACGCGCATGACGGAAGCGTTCCCGAGAAATGTTTCGCGCTGCTTCACAACTTTACCGATTGCAAGCGTTCGCTGGTGGATATGCGCTCAAGGTTTCGCGGACGAAAGGGTGATATCTAAAAAAAATACCATCTCGTGTATAGTCTAGATTAGTATACATAAATTATTGCGTATCATATTTGTCCTTTTCTTTTTAGTAAACTTCATTCAAGCATGCACTCGGAAAAAATTGCACTCATAAAAATTGGAAGTGTTGGGTACGACGATTGAAAAGAAACGGGAGAAGCAGAGAAAAGATACCAAAAATATGTAGGATAACATTTCGTTGATGTGAACAATTGAAAATCACAAATACAAATACCAAGAAGAAGACGAATGAAACAAAAATCGGCTACAATTATCACAGAGCGCCCATAATTAGCATTAATTTGACCGTCAAAATTAAATTTTTTTTAATTGATATTTTCGCCCGATGGCGCGAAAAACGAAAATAAGACACAACGGTTTGAAGCGGGTACCAGCAGAAAAGAAAGAGGAGAACAAAACACTAAAATATGAGAGTTCATATGTACACAAGCAAAAAAAGTTGACTATTTCTGGAATTTAAGATGATTTTTCGAAAGAAACCCAAATGATGACTAATACGATTCGTCTGTTAAAGCTGCATGTTTTGCTCTAGAATTGAAGGTGCTCCGAGAAATCGACGTAGAGCGCATTTTCGAGCCGCGTCACCGCGTGCTCATGCGAAAGGCTTCCCGACAGCACATGAGCGTCGCGTAGGCAATTCTGAAACCATTTCAACCCTGCTTCATCATCTCTAGATGGCTCACTTCGTTGCGCGGAATCGACTTGTTCAAATTGGCAAGTGTGAAGAAGAACGGTCGGAGTTCTTCGAAAGACGTCAGAATTTTGATGCCATTCAGCGAGGCCGAGTACTTCGTCATCGATTCTCGTGTGAGTTCGCCATACTGTAAAAACAAAACAAAAAAATCAGATCCACAAATTGCATTTTTACAAGTTGTTTCGAGAGAAACCAAAAACAATAACCCACCCTTTTCACAAGAAGATCATTGATGCGTTCAGCAAACGGCTTGAACACATTCGACTTGTCCGATGCCACCGACGAGACGAAAGCAAAATGGCATCGTTGGAAATTCGACAGATATCCAGCCGGCAGTGTGTACAGCGTTTCGAGAAGCTTGCACGACGCCAGATACATATGCATCCATTGATCTTCGCGCGATCCCGAGAACTCCTCGTTGCCGTTTCCATTGATTGCGAGCTGGAGTTGCTGCTCAAGTTGCGATAGGGCTTGCACCTAGACAAAACAACTCTTGCACACAGGAATCGAATGGATCGTATGAAACCAACCAGCTCAGTGACCATTATCGGCCAAACTCCGATCAAACTTTGCGGCTTCAATCGGAGAAGCAACACTCGAATACATAGGAATACCGCGGCGCGGATGACCGGCGATTGCGACACTCTCAGATTGTCCGATAAGCGTTCTGCAAAAAAAAGTAGAAGAAAATAAAACTCCAGGTATTCCTAACACGAAAAATGCTTTGTTCTTTTTTTTACGTTTCAATTACCTTGAATATCATTCATATGCGGATGGTACTGATCCATTTGCGATCCAAATACCACAAAAGTAAGCCGTTTCAGCGATTGAGCACGAGCTTCATACTCTTGCTCTTTCGACGACATGATGTTGAATGAGGTGTTCGGCGAATACGATATACTTTCTATAAATCTCTCATCAATCTTGTCAACCTTTTTCCCCTTACTAAGCAAATCCTTGAAAGACGTTCGATCTTGAGTCATCAGGTGATCAGTGACAATTAGCCAATACTTCAATGCCTGATTATCCATTTTGAAGAAGGCTAGAAAAAGAAAAAAAAAACAAATCAATGAAATCTCGAATTTTTGCAAATTCCTACAAGAGTCTAAAAGCAGATCAAGTGTGGTTTTCTTCCAAACCGGCCGCATATACATATAAGAGCTCATCGATGCCAATAGTTGCGAGGAAGCAAGGAAGAATCGCGCGTTCCTCGCATTCTTCGCCTTCAAATATGGAACGACATTCGCCCAAACCGCGTGCAGAATCGGCAGCACCTTGTCCTTCTCATCGCTTTTGCTGACCGAATCGAGAAGATCGGTGAGACGCTGAACAGAAAAAATATTAATAAATTGGTCCGACGGTTAATCAAACCTCGGCGAGCAAAAACAACGCCTGCGTACTATGCGCCGGATCCCGTTTGTTATTATTCGTATCTTTGATCGAAGCCCTCAAATTCGACGAGCTCTTCTTATCATTCCTCCCTTCTGTAAGCGTGGTGGTCGTGGAGAGTCCGTCAAGCGATGTCGGTCTGAACAATAAGCTCAATCAAATTCTCATGGATTCTCCGATTCGTACTTGTTCATCAAGGAAAGTGTCGAGTTTCTAGTTGATTCGGAAGCCGTAGAAATATTCGATGCCAGCGAGATGCTCGTCGCATTCACAACAATCGGACTCTGATCGACCGAACGAATGCTGACTGTAACACAAAGCGTGGAATCGAATGGTGGTCATCCAGGGCTACTACTCACCTCCACTGGAATGATCCTGTTTGACAACAAGCGTCCTCTTGAGCCACGTCGTCGTCTCGAGTTGCCAGCCGACAATCGCGTTCACCGACTCGGCGAGCTTCGCGCAAACATCCTGCACATTCCGATACATCGCCTTATCTTCAACAATGTATGCTCCGCCGACATATTTGACGAAATCGCTGAGAATTCTGCAAAAAAAAACGTACATTTTGCGACAAGAGAAAGAAAGTATCAAAATTACACAAAGAGCAAGAAGACGGCTCGCGGGCTCAACGACGACAGCGGCGCTTCGGAGAACAACGAAAGAAGCGACGGCCAGCAGAGTTGGAGCTGCGATTGCGGCACCACCGAGATGCACGAATGGACCAATTCGAGAAGGGGCTCCTCGGTAGGGAAATTCGTCTTGTCAATGGTGATTCCGACCTTGCTGGCTTTGAGTGAAGCTTCACGAAGAGTCGCGTTCACCGACGAGATCAAATCCTCAAATTTGATCACTTTTAGATTCAAAAGAAGATTGGTGATGTCCAATTGAGCCGACGAGTAGTCAAACGTCGCCTAAAAAAGAGACAATAAAGATTAAAAAAAAAAACTTCAAGCAATCTATTTTTACCTTATCAGGATCATGCTTTCGAATTGCCGTCGGTTTCACAGTAGACCTCGTAAGCCAAACAAGAGCCAACGATGTCAAGAATCCGTGCTCGTGATTCTCAGCGATCGGCGACAACAATCTGACGACAAGTTTGCGAAGCTGCTGAAACAAAGTGGAAATTCGAAAAATGCCCGTCAATCCATTTTTTCTACCGATGTCGTTCCGACGGGCACCATCGGCGTCTGATTGGTCCGAACCAGCGTCCAAACATTGCAAACTGTCGCCAACGAGTGCGGAAGCGCGCTGAGCATGTCCGATTGCGCCTGTCGCCATCCATTGCTATTCTGCCGACTGCTCTCGATCTTCGCAAGTCCAACGCCTCCATTATCGCCGCTCAGTGAGAACACCTTGCCAAGGGTTGAGAACAACTCCGTCGCGACTTTCGATCCCGGTATCACTGACATCGCGTGCCCGACGACACTTGACGATCCCGGCGTCGACGCGGATTGATGCGAAGTCATCGCTGATGTCGTCGAAGCGGTCACAGAAGAAGACGATGCTCCATCGATAACGCAGAAGTGGACAAGGGTGGTTAGTGATTCAAGCGTCGTCGCCAGATAGTTATCCGGATAGGATTCGGGATCAACGCTTCGGTCGCCCGGCGAATCAATGACAATGTCGCACGTGAGCGGCGGCTCATACGCAACACACATCGCATTCTCCATATTCTTGCAAAGCTGCTCAACGACACGACACACAATTGTGGCGAGCGATCTGAAACATCGTGGCGATTCGTCGCGAGCAAATCAACAAGACAATTCCACAAACCGATCCATCCAGGGTAGAATTTGTATGACAAATTGCATCCACATCTCGTGCCGCTGCGGCTGCTTCTTCAATGCGCCGAGAAGAATGAGCAAGAATGCTCGGAGCTCGACAAGTGATGCATGCGGCTCGCGACTAGACGCACGGTTGAATGAGTGATTGTACAGACTCTGATTCAGCGATATCCCGCGGCTATATAACGCCGAGCTTCCCTGAAATCACAAAATCGGCACTCTCGATGAGATTTAAGCGGTTCGCTTACATCACTAAAGGCAATGAAGCCATTCTTGATGTCGCTTTCGATTCGAATCGTGTGGGCAGTCAACGAAAGAAGCGCCAGATGGTAATCATCAAGAAGCGGGGCCAGTCGATGTCTGGCGTTCTCGCCAATCAATCCTTCGTTGAACTCGCTGATCGACACCGACAGCGGCTTATTCCTGAATAAAACATTCGGTTTGGACAAATCGCACGATTCACATACCCATTGATCGATTTGCGATCCGTCGGATCATGATCAACCGCAGTCAGCAAAAGGTGCAAAATGCATTTTTGAAGTTTGGCTCTCGTCAGAATGCTCTGCACAAACATCACAATCTGCTTCGACTCTTGCTCATTGATCATGGAAGCGAGCTCGCGAATGAGCTCCGTCAAAAATTTAAGCGCCGAGATCTAAAATAGAATTCACTGTTGGCGGGGGTGGTCAAGTTACGGTAGCTACCTTGCATTTCCAAAGCGCTTCAAGATCCGCATCGGTGACCGGCGATATCGGCGAATTCAAAAAATATGATCGTAGGTAATGGAGGGCAATCTGAATGCCGATTGTACGTTTAGGAAAAGCTAATATAATTTCTAGAATACCGTAATCAGAAGCTCAAGAAGAGTTAGATGCCGATGCTTATCGTCTTCTACAAGTGGCGATGACCAAAAGTGCTGACCGAGAATGGCTCGAACGTGTCTGGTGAGCAATTCGACGAGTGAAGCCTCTTCAGGCGACGTGCTCGCCGCAGTTCCAGATGATACGAGACAACTAGACAACAAAAAAATGAGAATCTTAGATGAGACCAGCAAACTATTACTTGAGAAGCATCCGATGTCCTGACGACGCTCCGCGCGGCGCCAACAACGCCGACAGAATTCTGAACGCTGTCTCGGCTCTGGCCAAATCAACAACTTTACCGCTCTCGCCGTACAGAAGCATATGAATGTGAAGATCCTCGAACAGCGGCGACGACGAGGTTCCATTCGTCGACGTCGTTGACGACACAGTTCCTGCATTCACCGCAACCGCTTTCGTCGAATCTGTCGACGGTCGCAGAATCTCGGATGTGTCGAATGCGCTCAAATCCTTCTCGGTCATGTTGAAGATGCTCTCCTGAAGCGAGTCTTGCCGACGATGTCCGCGTTTAATGCGAATCACCGGATAGCAAATCGGCGCCGGCTTCTCCTCCTTCTCAGTCACAACATCCTCGCTTCTGCAAATTCACAAATTATCAGCGTCGGATTGAATAATGTGTCGAGTTTTACTGCAAATTGAACGTTTCTCCAGTCGGCTCAATGGGCTTCGCGACAAGCATCGTGTTCAGCCTCTGTCTCGTCTCGCTCTCCGATTCCTCGTCTTCACAAAGTGTGTCGAGAATCGAGACCAATGTCTCAAACACCGCCGTCTCAACGCTCTCATTCAGCGAGAGCGTGTCCAGCGAATCCGTGTCGTCGTCAAAATTCGGCATGTCAGCGACTACCGGACACGGGCTCACGTGCCGCTGATTCTCCGGAAGCTGCTCATCCTCACAAGAGGACATCAACAATCGATTTCGAACATCAGTGATCCACGATGTGCTAGAACAAGCAAATCATTTGCGTGAAATTCGCGAAATGTCTATCTTACCTATCAGCACAAGATGGTCCCGTCAAATGATACAATCTCTGTTTGCCATCAGTGGTAATCAATGTGACTGCCGACATTCCACTAGGAAGCGAGCTGCAAGTCTCCGATGTGAGTTTAGATTCCTGTCGAAGGTATTGAATGGAGATTCTCGCCGTCACCGGATTCAGAAGCATCGTGGAGAGCATCTGAACACGCCACACTCACACATTTAAGGAAGATGGTTTGAGTTCAAACCTGAACAATCTTGGGAAGATCATCATGTTTGGCGCAGTCGGCAAACCACGCGGCGGCTGCCGCTTTCGGCCGCGTCCTCGACACACTCTCATCAGCGAGAACACCAAGAAGAATCATAACGGCGCGATTGAACGATTTTCGATACGTCGATCGTCCGGGCTCTTCGCAATTGTTTCTCGTCAACATCCAAACACGATGGAACGTCTTCACCGCTTCCGTGTAAACCATCTGAAAAAGGGAAATCAAGAGTCTTCAGAATATTCTAGAAGTCTTACGTCGTCATTCGAAGTCAACGCCTGAACAACGATATTCTCAACCTCGCTGCTCGGTTCATTCGGCTTCCTCGAGTGAAGCTCAATGAGCAAACGCGCCAATCGTTGATGATCTTTTCGGCACCAAGATTTACTAACACCGATCCAGACCGCTTCCGCACAAATCGCAAACGCCCTCTTCTTCTCAATGAACATTAGATCATTGCGAGTGAGGAATGGCTTCAGCAAGACAGTTCGCATAATATCCTCATCGTCACCATTGGTCGCATCGCTCGAGTGTCTCGACATCACCTCGTCATGTTGTTCAATGACCGACGCCGATTTCGTGTAGACTTTGCAGAGGAGCTCGAGAAGAGACGCGCGTGCCGCGACATCGCCGCACGTTCCGCTCTTCATCTCTTTGAGCCATTCAGCGGCATCGATAATCTTGAGAATGTTCTGAAGCCAACGCGGCACATCGCTCTTCACATCAATATTGTCGACGCCGACGTGATAAATCGGGACTGTCAGGAATGCGTCAAGAAGCGACGTCGAGGCATCGAGAAGCGGAATCAGCGAAGCTTGTCGATCGGCAAGGTAGATGTCAAACGTTGCTGATAGGGCCGCAACGCATTGCTGAAGACAAGAATCGACTTGGCTTCCTTCTGAAATCATAAAAAATGCTATAATTGAAAAGCATGAACGACAGTTGGCGCAACCAAAAGAAAGCAACATACCGCGTTCAATAGCCCTGGTTTCCTGATCAATAGAAGCGGTTTCATCAGCAAGCTCGACAACTGAAACTCGGGGTTAATAGTGAAGCAAAAACCAAGAATTAAAAGAAAATGAGGGTTCAGTGAATCCTACCTTCAATAGGAGATGGCGGATGCGAAGTAATGATTTGAAGAAGCTTCTGGCATACTGTATACAGCGACAACAAATCCGATTGTTTACACGTCGACAAAAGTTCGACGGAGGAAAGGCCTCGAAGAATGCATTCGAGCAATTTCGGCAAATGGCTCATTCTCAGATTCGCATCGCTTTCAACATTGCAAATTTCGAGGCAAACGGAGACCACCTGTGGATTGGCTAATCTATTTGAGAAATTGGCAAAACCGAAAACCTGTGAGAAGTCGTGAATGCCGTCGATCGTCGCGCCGTCGACGCCACCGACAATCTTCTCATACCATTCGCCGAGAAAACTCCAAAGAAATCCGGGCTCCAGCGAGTTGAGCAGCATATTGAACGTCTTACAGAGCTCGTCGCTTCGGCGCAACACCATCGTCTCATTCTCAACGGCATCGGTTGTCGACGACGACGAGATGCTCGCATTTAGTTGAAGTGTGAGCGCTTCGCGATCGCCAACAACCTTCTCCTCGACAACACCACCACCACCACCACCTTCTACTCGATTCTTTCGATGATATTCAGCCGATTTGCGGAGAAATGATGGGAAGACAGCGAGCAGAATCGATTTGCCGATGTCGGCTCGATCTTGCAGATAGAGCAACAATCGGCACACACGAACTTCGGCGAATTGCAAATTTTTCGATTCTTTTCGTTCGTCGCCGACGGTGTTCGAATTGTGCGAAACGGGCAGCTCGATGAGATCCATATCAAGGTATTCATCAATCGCTTTGACGATGAGCTTGAGGACGCGCTCATGGAAAAATGTCATGTCGATGCCATCGTCGGGCCCGCCGATCGATAATCCAGACACTCCAGTTGTCTCACCTAAACAATCATTTCAACGAATCAATGATTTTAAAAAAGAACCTGATCGATTGATAATCCATGTATACAATCGTCGATTCAACGACATATCACGTCGTAAAACAACAAATAAGCATTGTCGTAATAACTGAAAAAATCTCAAATTTCAGAAGGAGAAAATATAGTTCGTCGCACCTGCACAAAATCCATATCGGTCAAATTCGTGCTATCCAGCGGAAATGCGGCCACAAGGAAATCCAACAGATATCGCTGAACCAGCGGCGAGCCGTCGTCGTCAGCGGTGGCGCATAATGCAGAAACCTGCAATCTCGGCATTTTTAGACTTGTTTACATTTTTTTTTCAAGAAAAATCGCTTGAAAATAGGCGAAGAGAAAGAAAAATCGTTGGATATCAACCATCAACTCACCATATCATCGACATGATCGCCGATCACATGAATCTGATCATCAAGACTTTTCGACTTGTCGAATTTCGCGTTCACGTATATCATGGCAGGTAGCCGAACCGGCGGCTGATTCCGAACCGCTTTCCACAGCGACGCGTAGAACTCGCGTGGTCCCACCTTCTCACAAACCCGATCGAGCAACGTCAACGTTCTAAAAATAAGGATTTTGGTGTCAGACGATTTAAAAGAATATATAGGACCCGCTCACCTTTCATAAAACTCGGTGCCTTCCTCGAGCGCTGAGAGAACACTTCCAAGGAATTCTGGAAGCGCTGGCTGGAGATTCGTCTCCAACGGAACCAGATATTGCTCGAATATGGCGAACAGCGCCGACTTCACCTTGATGCCGCAATGATCCATCAGTGGAAACAAACCGCCCGCGTATAGGTACAACACTTCCGGCAGCTTGTGTGGTCCGAGAATATCGAAAATCTGTCGATAGGTTTCTAAAGCTTTGAGGTGAACACCCATTGGAAGCGCCCAGTGTAAGCACTGCCATAATCGTTTGGCGACTGTGACTTGGTTGGGAATGGCGCAGAATTGCGCGTTTGATTTGAAAACCTTAAAAAAAATTATTCTAAATTATTTTTGAACAAAAAATCTACTTTAGTGAGCTTGCCGAGCGCCGAGATCAAATCCGCCCATTCTGTAGAATTCTCAAAAGTTTTGAGGGCACGATCGACCGCCTGCGAGTATGCCTTATACTTGCTATCCTTCTCGACACCACCCGACGATGATGCCGACATTTTTATCTGCAAAAAAAAGTGACACATTATTCACAATCATTGTTTTTTTTTGTCGTTTGGTGTCAAAAATCAATGTCTAAATAACAAGTGAGTGGCAAAAAATTATACATATATATATATATATATATATCGAAATGTGAGGTGGCGAGGGAGCACGCGAAATGCGGAGAGAGCGCAGAGATGGAGAGAGGCCGGCGAAATAGTGCCGCGACTTCCTTAGGCGTTGGAAAAAACCCGAATAAATGTGTCGGGCCTGGCCGGGCCGGTGCGGTCGATCGGTGTGCGTGTGTCCGATTATTGTTCGCGCCTCAGGGCGGTTGTCCGAACACACACACACACACACACACACATATAATACATATATGGAAGGTGTTGGATCCACACCCCATCCCAATCCACTTGAGTGCCCCTCCCCACACGCGATCGCTGAAATTTCGATGTTTGTTGTTGTTGTTGTTATTTGCAAACACGCGTTCCGTGGGGGGAAAAAAGGAAACATTAACCTTATACGTCATCGGGTTTTCGGCGTCCAACAAAATTTTTGTATATGCAAAACCGATTTTTGAATTGCCGCGCCAAATTTAGTTTGCGAGTTTTGTGTTTCATGACGAGTATTAGATGTGAAATTTTTTCAAATGGCAATTTTCGATAACAAAATCTAATAATTCATTCGTTTTTTTTAAATTTAGGGATCCATGAGAAGAATGGGAAAAACGGAGAGAAATTCGAGAAATGGAGAAACACAGTATGTATTTTTCTTTTCAAAAAAAAAAAACAAAGTCTATTTTGACCCATTTTCAATGAAATTTCACACAATTTTTGATGTTATACAAATGCAACCCGCGCGAGACTCGAAATTTTTCGTTTCTCCCCGACGATTGAATAATATAAATATGCATGTGTCACCAGATTGTTTGCGCACCACCACGTCAGTCCAATATGCTTCAAAAATCGTTGAAAATATGAAATTTCGTGGAAATGCGGTTAAAAGTTAGGTTGAAGCGCGAAAAAAAAAAACAAAAAAAATTTGAAAATTAGCAGCCTCGAGCCAGTTCGCTAGAGCGCACTTGCGCAATTGCGCGAAAAAATTTGGGAAAATTCTCGGATTTTTGATGATTAATCCCGATTGTACTGCCGCGAGAAACCAATAAACGAAATCAGGTTATTATTAAATCCATAAAACCCACCAATAAACATTTACGATATTTCGAAACTGGGTAACACGAGGGAAACATTGTTTTAATGAAAAGATGAGCCCACCTTTTTCCTTTTGCTGAGTTTTCCCGGAGCCATTGGAATATATTATCGACGAATGGAGTGTTTCGTTTTCTACCAAAACGCGATCAACTAATAAAAAACGAAATTGGGCATCGTGGAACGTGGGAAACTTGCCTTTCTTTTTAGCGCCGGGTCATACCCAAACACAATTTGAATTCTTCCCTCCTTCTTTTTTCTGCTATCTTTTTTTCGAAATGACCACGTTTAAATAGAAAACGTTTATGTCAATTTAAAAAATTTAATAAAAAAAAATATATATGACATGATAGGAGATAATGAAATGCGAGGGGTTACTTCCTGAAAAGGAAAATGAATCAATTAAACGAATTTTTAAAATTTTGAATTTCGCGGTGAGACTCGTACTCTGACAATACTCCATGCACTTAATATTAGTTAGTAATGCTTCTTTTCGCGCCTGAATTTTTTGTGCATTGCAGCAAGTGCGCTCTATTGAAAAAAGTGTCTAAAGGCGTTGAATGGGAGATCAAATTTATGGTTTTCGCTTCAAGAGAGCACCACTGATAAATGTTTAAATAAATTATCGAAAATTTGAGATAAATAGATGTTTGGTGGAAAGCTACAAAAATAAAAAAGCATCTTAAAAATAATTTAATAAAAATATGACGCAATGCTCATTAAATCGCGAATTTCGTCAAAAGAAGCACGCAATATTATTCGAACATATTTATTGCTTTTAAATTGCCTTTATTTAAAGGCGCATCGCGCGACAAGACCACAAAATCAAACAATATTGGCGTAGTATGAACACGCACCCCTTTAAAACGCGCTCGTAAATTTTCGCATAAAACCTTTAATGGCAATTCGACATCTATATCATTACAACCATCCATTAACCCCGTCGCCGTGTTTTTTTTGTTCAATTTCTCAGCTCATCCATTTTGCTCGAAAATAAATTGTTGATAAAAAAAAACAAAAGCAACCCGTTTCGACGAATACGAAGATTGTTGTCATGCGACTACAACGTTTATTTAATTGCTAGCTACCTCATTCCGCTCATTTTCCTATAATATATTACCAATTTGCTCGCCCTCCGTTTTTTTTAAATGTTTACACAAGAACAGTGCGAACGAAAAAAAAATAGAAATTATGCAATGTGTTCACATCGCTTTTTCTCACATTTCATATCTCTATTATGTCATTTTTTATTCCATTGTAATTAAATTCAAAAATAAAGTTTGCTATATATTTCTTTTATTATCGCCCATGCAATTTTAAAGATTTGAAGCCTTCAGAATCGGGTTCTAACACCCTTATTTAATTAACTAATCATCAAGCTCTCTTTTTATTTATTGAAATCATTGCATGACTGTGAAAAATTCTCACAACAATTAGGTGAAGGTCTTAATGCGCTCGTTTAGCCTAAATTTATACCTAAGCCACTACTTTTGGCATTTTGCCAATTTGCACATTTTCTATAGTCTGACAATATCAATGCTCCCGTAAGTGATTCAGCATTTCATTTTCCAGAATTAAATTCTAAACCCCAAGAAGCTTTGGGCTCTTATTCGAATTCTACACTATCGCCGATACTCGAATCATTGTCCTCGCGAGAGATTGAGCATTGCAACCTTCTCGCGCTCGAGCTCTTAATAATAATAATAATACATCTGCACCTCGCATTGTTATCATGGCTCGCAATTTCAAAAGCTCATTTCTCTGCGCGCTTGACCGCAAAAGCCCATAATCATATCTTTGTTGGATATAGAATTTGAAGGCTTTATAGTTATATTCTAGGATCCATATAACTCTAAAAGCCTTCCTACTTTGATCGTTTCGAATTTTCGTGTCATTTTGGGTTATATTTTAGTTGCTAAAGCAATTATGACGACATTTTCAAAAAATTTCATTGCTTTTTAGATCTTGGAGATTTCAAAACCAACCGCTAGAATTCCGAAATTGGACCTAAAATATTCGCATTAAAAAAAACAATTTTTACTTTTTGAATTGATTCAATAGTCCGAATTATAATTGGAAACCGAAGTACAAAATCGATTCGGAATTATTATATTTTTTTTCAGAAGTTTTCAGAATCACAAAGCTGGAACAAAAGCCTTATTGGATTTAAATATCTACGCCGTTTAAGACAATTATGTAATTTTGCGACAAATCTTAAGACAATTTGTGCAAGTGAAAATATTATATAAATGGTCTTGTAAGTCGAATCTTTCAGAATTAAATTCTAAACTCCTTGATAAGTCATTTGGGCTCTTTTTCAATTTCCACACTAACAAGGGAGGTCTTTTAAGGCATCCCATTATCTCATTTCGATTTTCACAAATTGCAATTTCGTATGCAAAATTCACGTGGGGAGGGGCTAACAATTTGAAGGTCCATATCTCGATAACTAGAAGTTTGCGCAGGTAGGGACCTAGTTCATTCGATTGGAAATTTTCTAAAGAATCTGTGTGCAAAAAATAAAAACATTTTTAAGACGGACGGCAAAATGACCCTTCCTTGTGCTCGACTCATTGTTGCAACCTTCTCGCACTCGAGCTCGTAATAATAATACATGTGCACCTCGCATTGTTATCATAGCTCGTAAATTCAAAAGCTCATATCTCTGCGCGTCTATTAAGCCTCATCACCCTCCAAATGTGCAAATTTCAGCGCATCTCGCGTTTCACAATGCAGTGTGTGTAGGTCAAATAATTTCGATCTCCATGATCTTTCGATGTCATCCATTCGCGAGATTCGTCTGATCGTTGAGAATCAACTCAATATTGGGCGATATCAAAAATTGGCGAACTTTTTTCTTTGGATCGCCCAATCGATGACGTGAGCTATTCGATTTGAATACGAGCGTCTGGCGCGCGCCATTTCGGCCTGCTTCTCTAGCGCCCTCTCCTATTGGCATTCTCTTTCGCCCGAACCGTCTCACACCCTCTTCCATACGGGCTCCCGACTTGTCAGTCTTCTAGAATATACATATTATTATTATTATTATTATTATTTCGAATAGTTATAATATGCGTTTTATAGGGGCCGCGCGAGCCGCCTTTGATGGTTCCGAACGATCTCAATCATCATCTTCGCACTCATCTCTCCCGACTTCCAGCTCATCCTCAAGAATGGGACAAGCCGTGCTATAAGCAGTATTTTATCAAGCTTCTCCCATTCTCATCAATTTTTTTCATTTTTCCAGCACCATCGACACAATCGATGCGGTTTTTCCCGTCAATCATCCATATGATTTCTTCTCGTCGCTATGGCAAATCGTCATTGAAGAGCCGTTGATTCGCGATCAGACCGTCATCTACACTCATCGCAAAATTGATGGGATTCAAGAGGTTCGCAACATCATTGGCAATAATACCGACAATTTGGTATGTGTTTTTTTTTGTCGATTCTCGCCACCCGCAATATATGTATTTCCCATGGCCAAATTTGGACAAATTCTCGTTTTCCCACAATAAAAAAAAAACAATTTTGAATTTCGCGCCTAAAATCTACCGTACTCAATTGTTGTCATTTGATCATTGGAAATGATTTATTCTGTGGGAGTAACCGCGACGCGACCGCAACGCGCCGCTGATGGCAAAATTCCAGATCCAATCGCTATTGTTGTGCTCAAAGAGCACAATTGATGATGTCATGAGTATGCATCTGGACGTTGTCATAAAAGTGATGCCATTGACAACCATCTACTTCGAAATCAATCACATCGTCGAGGTGAGCTCAATGGTGGAGAGATCGTCAACATTTCATTTTTCGGCAGATTCTCGACTCGGTGCTCCCCTTCATTCTCGTCAATCCGGAATTGCGGATGAAAATTGTCGGATGGCTTCGAGGCGGCCGACACGTGACCTCGTCGACGGTCGGCGAGATTCTCCTGCCGGCCGCGCTCATCAACTTCTACATGGGCAAGGATGTGACGAAGGGCCGATCGGAGTTGTTGCCGACGATCGACGAGGTCCGAACGAAGAACGCGCAACTCGTTCGTCTCATCGACGCGATTCACAAAAGCGGCCTCTATTCGGCGGAGTCGATTCTGAACGCCATCGTGCCGCAATTTGTCGCTTACACGCGTGTGCTCAGAGGCGAGCGAATGTCGGGAATGGCCGACGATTATCAGAGTATGCTGAGAATTTTGTCGACGCACTTCGGCGATATTCCATTCTGGAATGCGATCGTCGAGATGCCTGAAATCGACGTCGACGATTCTGATGATTATTGCGGGGTGAGTCGTCGAAGAAAATGAATTGCAAAAAAGATACTGTTGAATGTTTAAAGGCGCATATGCGAAATCGGTGGCTGCGAAATTTATAAGAGAGGGAGAGAGGAATCACGCAATACTTTTTATTGGAATTTGCAGCAAAAATTTTTATTGCTTTAAAATTGTTTATATTTAAAGGCGCATCGCGCGACAAGACCACAATATCAAACAGTATCGGTGTGCCTTTAAAGAACATCACATTATGATATTTTGAAAACGTAAAAATCGCTCTTAAAAGGTTTTCCATACGAGACCCAAGGCGGAAATTCAAACAATATCGCAATCGGACCCCAAATTCGACCGTAGTAAGTATATGACCAAAATTAGAAGTATGAAATTAGATGAAATAGTTTAATAAAATATATTTCGATTTTTTGCGAAGAAATTGATCGAAAAATTAATTCGAATGCGATTTTTACGTTTTTTTTTTCTTCTGTGACATTTGCGTCACGGTGTTTGCACACAATTTCGCGTCCTACCATTTATTTCATTTTTCTCATTTTTCCAAGCAATAAATTGAGATCAAAGACCAAAAACGGAATGATATTTTCGAGAAAATACAAAAAAATCGCGAGCACGACGATTTTCCGGATGCAAAATGTTTCGTATATCGACACTCTCGAATTTTTTTTTTCGAATAGCTCAAGAAATGGTCTCAAGTGGAAAAAAATATACGAATTTATTATCAGTTTTATAATGTATTCATGATATTTGAGTAAAAAAAAATAAAGAAATTTTAAAATTTCGGATTTTTTCGGCGCTAATTCGAGCCCCTGCCTAATTTTTTTTTTGGAAATTTTTGAGTTTGGGTGGAATCTTCAAAATGAGCATCGTGGATTTTTCGAATGACAATAGCTACTTGAAATACAGCGCTCGTCATACGCCACCCCCCAAATTTGGCAGTTTTGAGAAACCCATATGAATCTATGAAAAGACTATTGAATTTTTGAAATCAGGACCATTGAAATCGGATATATGCATATTTTCAAGAGGGTCCCTTGATCCGACCAGTCCAAAAATGTTGGATTTTCAAGAGCCGACTTATGAAAATATGCAAAACTATGTTTTCAATGGTCCTGAATTCGAAAATGCAATCAAAAATTCATATGGGTTTCTCAAAAATTTGTGAATTGGCGTATAATAATGACGCGCGAAAAACAAAATGAATTCAGCAATTGAGTGTGCTTCTTCCATGCTTCAAATCGTATCCGAAACCGCACACGATCGTCGTCCTTCGCCAACTTCTCCGATGCATTCGATTTTTGATTCTTGCGTTCGACCCGTCGCCAATGTTGGTCCTTCGCGACGTGACGCACCGAATCCTTGACGGCATGATGGGCACAACCGATCATGGTAATTGGGGGGGGGGGAGCGCATCGGCCGGCCAGTTCTAATAATGAATCCAATTCAGACGGCTACGCGATCGTCGAGATTCTTGAGATGACCATCGATCTCGCCAAACAAATGCTCGAGATGTTCATCGGTTGTCTGAAAGAGGACGTCGGAATCGAGTTGATTCTTGGGATTCTTGAGAAGATCGTCGCCAATTCCACAGGATACACACGCATTGATCTGAAGGATCATTTGATGATTGTACGGATCCATCGAATCCATCGAAATAATCAAACACATTCTAGGCGTTGTCGCCGAAGCGATTCCGAAAACATCTCGAGAAATTGAACGTCGATGAGGTGATGGTTCGCGTCAAGATCCTCGAATTCCTCTGCTTCCTCTACACGAACTCCTCGAGTGTTCCCATCGAATCGCGCCCGTCTTCCGTCATCTACGCCGGCCGCAATCCGACACCGCGTTCGGCGTTCACTCCCGATGAGCTTCGACAAATCGACGAGTCGGCAATCTTGGAGGAATGCGCCGACGCGATCTACGAGGCGATCATCAAAGACGAATGCCCGTTTCCGATCGCCAGAATGGTTGACGTCTACAAGATTGTCTATCACACCATTCCGAATCATCGTCGAATCATTTGGAATTCGGCATTTTAATAAAATTCCATTTTTTTGTTGTTTGAAATTGCTTCTTTATGATCAGGTCCTCAATCCTGAACTCTATCTCCATTTTTTTGTTGTGAATTTTGAATTTTTTGACGGCGGAACCATTGAAAATGTGGTTTTGCAGGGTGAAATCATGTCAAACGAGGAAGCCCTCGAAAAAACGATGGTGCCGATCGAGGGGATGCTCGACAAGCGCATCTTCTTCCATCTCGTCCGAATGCCGGCGAATCCGTTTCGCTGGCGGCGACGAACATATCAGGAGTTGGATTCCAGCCAGAAGTTTTGAAATTGCCAGCAATTTTCAGGCATGTGCTGAAATTGGACAAAATCTTTGACGATTCGGATCCGAAGGAATTCTTCAAGACGATCTGGATTCTCATGAGGAAGAAGCCGCAGGTTTATCGCGAAGCTGTCATCTACATTCATCATCTCGTTCAACGCGTTGACGACAAGCAGGTGATCGTTGGTGATGACATGATGCCAATGGTAACATCAAAACCATTCTCATCGTCGCCCAAATAATGATTCGAATGATTCAGAGCGACGCGTTCCGCGACATCTATCATTATAAGGAAACGGTGATTCGCGACAAATTTATGGATATTCTGAATCAGGTGCCGAAGGATGTGTCGAATCCGCATCAGATTCCCATGATTCGGGTAACGATTCGCATTTTCTTTTAAAACATTTACGAAGAACGCTTGTCGGTGACATTTCGCGCCAGCGTGTTTGCACACACGCCTCGCTACAGTAACCGAATTATACGATATCAAAAAATAATATATTCGCTTTTTTTCGTTTCAAAGGTTATCCGTTATATATAAAGCGCTCGATTTATTTTTTTGACAATGATAAAAATTCGCATTTTTGTGTAATCTCCGCAAACGTCGAAAATTGCTGGCGGTTTTGAAGAAAATTTCTCGTGTGGCCTAGAAAAATTGGCTCGAGAATTCGGTTCGGCCACGGCCACACTTGATGGATTTTTTATTTTGATTAAATTGAATTAAATGAATGCGTATAATTTGCGTGAATTAATTGCGATTCCAAATTTTAGATATTAAAATAAAAGTCAAAATTTTGTGAAAATGAAAAAAAATGTAATTTTTGAAAGTGTCCCATTTTTCCCCGAGGGGCGATTAAAAAAAAGTGCCAAGCATAATTTTTGCTGCTTAAAATCGGAAAAAGAAGAGAATGTTGCAGATCGCAATTGAAATCCTCTTCGAGATCCTAACAAATCCCGAGCTCATTGCGAAAGGCCTTCATTGGTTCGTCAAAGAGAACGCGTCGGATCGGGCGTTTCCCGACGAGAATCTGACGAGGATTCTCGCGTACGCGCTTCTGCTGGACTACTCGGGTCTCGCGGCCGAACGCGAACACGAAAACTATCGGATGCTCACCGTCGAAGAGTTCGAGGCGACGAGCGACGCGCCGTTTCCCAAATGCGTCCAAATCGTCAATCTGCTCCGATTCCTCGAGTTCACATTCTACGGCTCGGCCTACAAAATCCTATCGGTGGTTCTACCCGATTTTCTGTACATGTCGGCGTCGACAAAAGTCAATTTTCCGACGTTCCTCGGCTACAAAAGCCTATTCGTGATGATCGCCGAGCAATTCGGCGAGCAGATCTTCTGGGAATCGGCCATCGAGGCGTGGAACCGCAAAGGCCGCGATTTCGGCGTCGAAGGAACGACGCCGTTCTATGTATTCGTCAATGTAATTTTGTTTTTCAATTTCGCGCCAAAATTAAAATGAGTCGACCCGTTTCCAGATGACCGTCATGCTTTCGACAATTCTGAAAACATTCTGCGAGCCGAATTTGTACGCGATTCGCATCATCGAAATCATTCTCGACGCCCTCAACACCGATCGCGGCCATCTAGACACGTTCATCATTGCGCGCGCCTACGCGCAATGTGAAAACTATTTGCTCAAGTGCAATGAGAGCCGGAATCAGCAAGGCATTTCCGGTGAGTTGCTTCTCGATTCGAAGAATGCGCCATGCCGACAGGCGCGTTGCGGTCAGCAAGTTCCTTTGCAAAAATGGGGTCTCGCAACTAGGTTGTGTCGATTTACGCCACACACTGTCAAGCGATGACTTCGTGACCATCTTTGTTTCGTCGCGTTCCAAAACTACAAAGGTCTTGCAGCGAAAATTGCTGGCGGTCATAATGAAAATCGCTGGAAGGGTGGAGCCGCAACGCGTCTGGCGACATTCGCAGAGCCGCAACGCGTCTGACGACATGTGGCAGAGCCGCAACGCGTCTAATGACATACGCCGAGCCGCATTTTTTTCCACGATTTTTTGAACTTAAACGAATTTCGCCAATTTTCAGCCCCAATTCCGATTACGGAAATGTTCAGGAAAACGCTGAATTGCTACAGTTGGGCGTGCAATATGAGTCCGAAAATCAATGTAGAAATTCGACTGGAGCATTTTCAAGGGGTGACGTTGCTGTTCGGTTGTGTCATGAACAACTCAAGCGGATTTCTGCAATCGCGATTGGCTCTTGATCTCGCCAACGTAACCGACTCGCCATTCCAGCTATTATTTTCTTTTTGTTTCATTCCAGCTAATCGATCCGACCCAATTCAAAATGCACATTGATCGCGACAACACCGACGAAGTGAAATTGCGCGCCACCGCCCTCAACATTCTGTGCGCGATCTCGTGGAGCTCGCAAAACCATTTGCACGCCGTCGACACCGACGTGCTGTTCGGCTACCGCAAAGTTCTCGGCATCATGACGCGCGGCGCTCTAACCGAGCTCGAACAATCGGGAGTGTTCCGGAAAGCGGCCGAAACGATTTGGTACGCGCTCGAGAACGACCTGTGTCCGGAAGCGCGTCGAGTGCTCACCGTCGAATTGATGGTTCTCCATTCGCGGTGCGACACTGTGGGCAGCGAGGTCGAGTATCTCATCATGGAAAAGCTTTTGGAAAATCGGGTGAGTCGAATTTGGCACTATTTTGAGATTCTCAAAAAAAATTTATTTTGGAAAATTTTTTTTGTTTTTTTTTTACTACGAAAATTCATCTATTATTTTTTTTTTGAAAAATGGAAACCCTGAATTTTTAGGGACCATCTTTTCACAGCGCAGAAACTCAAATTTTAATATTGGCATTTTAAAAAATATATATTAAAGAGGTTGATCTTTTTTGGTTCATTTAAATCGAAATTTGAATTACCTCAAAAATAAAATTTCGATGGTCCGAAAACTCGTCAAACAGATGTTCGTTTGTTTTTAAACAAAATCGAAATTTTTGCTCTTACATTTTTTAAATATAAAGATATAAAATACGGCTAAATATGTTTTGGATTCTCGCCGCGAAATAAACCAAATGTTCGCATGCGCCTTTAATGGATACTGTAGATTTGAATATGATTGATTCGCTGCCAAATCGCCTCCTGAATGCCATCCATCTTCTAGAATTTGTGCAGCGAGAATTAAAGGGGAGGCGGGTGTGACCATTGCGGACTTGTGCACTATATTTGACGACAAATGTTTAACTCGCGACGAATTCACGTAGAATTTCTAAAATGTGAAAAATTCGCATATTTTCCAACAAAAAAGCATTGTGAAAAATTATGAATGGATTTTTTCAAAACAATTTTTATGATTGCATGAATAGAATGGCAATAATTAGAGGTGGAAAAAAAAATGAGAGGACGCGTTGCGGCTCGCGTTGCGGTCACATTGATTTCAGAAACTAGACATTGAAATTTTCAGTCGAAAACGGTGTCGGTGATGCGACGCGTCAACGCGCTGATCCGCGAAAGGTATCCGCTGAAGCGCTTCAAGAAGTTCACGCTAATCCAAGGCAGCATCGACGCCTACCTCTAAGGATCCCATCGATCTACAGTTGCAATCATTGTTGGTCCCTTCTCCGCTCCCCGTCCTACCTCCCGGCCCCCCCGTGTTCTTTTTTTGTCTGTAAATTTTTGCACCTCTGATTTTATTCGTTTGTTAGACAACATTCATTTGGCTTTCATGATGATCCTTTGAATTAAATGATCCCGATTCGGGTCCCACTGGTCTCGTCGTGAATTTTTTTTGATTATGAAATTGTGGAGATTTTTTTGTGCAGAAAATTTCAATTTTCAACCTCACCTCTTTTTTTTTAATAATCTTTTTTGTCTTGATATCCTGCTAGAAGAATTTTTTGTTTCTTCTTCTTCATCATCATTTCCAATTTATGAAGCTTCGCAAAATTCGAAAAGTCGAGAAATCGGAAATCGTCGATAAAGAAGATGTTCGTCTGTTTGTTGTTGTACTTCACACGGACAATGTCACGTTGTGACCCAATTCTCGACACTCCGAAAACGCAAAATTTGAAATCCCGTCGAGAATGTGTTTCACGCGAATTATAAGAATTTTCGGGAATCGTCTGATTGTGGCGGCAATTCAAACAAGGGTCACCGACTATGAAAAAGAGAACACTGATTTATGTATTTTTCAAATTGCATATTCCTTTATAATTAAAAAAGAAAGTTCTTTAAACAATTTAATCATTTTCCGAGACGTTGAGTATTTCAGCAATATCTGAAACACCAGGGGATGCTGTTTTTTAAAAAAAAGAATACAAACAGATTGATTTATTGTTTGAAATTTCCTAAAAAATTTATTGAAATAGAAAACGAATTAAAGATTCAAATCGGTTTTCGCCTGGAGTTCACTGAAAATAATGAGATTTTCCAGCAAACGACATTCTTCTACGATTATTAGAATAATTGTCTTTCAACTTTATCAAATGTCCAATGGTTTGTAGAATTTCTTGATTTCGATGTCAACTGGGTGTCCATATGAAAATTGTTTTATTTAATTGATATTTAATTGCTAATTACATGAGAAAAGTTGCAAAGTATCAATGGAATGAGAGAAGAAACGACGCTCCGCGTTGACGCGGCTTATTGTTTAGTGTAATTAGCGTCGGCGGCAATTCAAACTGGGTCCTGTTTTTTTGGCAATCCTGCTGAAACACAATATGAGCGAATCAAATTTTTTTTCTCGTTTCATTTTTTGAGCGACTCAAATTCGAGACAAGGTCTCTCATAGTACGTGGTTTTTTGGCCCAATCTCGCCACTTTCATTTTTTTTACTGCAATTTCCTTGAGATGACCGCGCGGCGAACCGCAACGCATCAGATCTACGTAGGCTTAGAAACGCTATGATGATTGTAGGAAAAAAGAAAAACTTGAAAATCTCATTTTCACAATCGTTGCAGGAATCATGGAATATTTGTCGGACGCCTTTTACCCCCCAAATATTGTTGGCGTCAAACGATTGAAAGGCAGGGGGAGCCTTCAAATTGGCGAAATTGGTGTAGATTTAAATTTTTCGTTGATTGAATATTAAATGCGCGTACGGTATAATGCATTGTACGCAGTCTCGAGACGCGTTGGCAAATAGCCAATAATTTTTTTTATTTCAATGGATAAAATTGGAATTTAAAAATGTTACAAAAAAAACACTATTTAACTATTTATTGATGGGAAACACAAAAAAAATTAAATTCAAATTTTAGAATTAATTAAACACGCTTAATTGGGTCTCAACAAAAAATTTGATTTTTTCAGTCGACAAGCATGAAGCTTGGTTTCACCTAGCCGAAATCAAACCAAGTTTGTGGGCTTTTCCCAAATTGAACACAATCAAATCGAAATGTGCGATTGATAGAAGGCAAACATCGATTGTGAGAACAGAAAATCGGGGGGGGGGGTCCGATTGTGTGTAAAAATCGGGGGGTGAACGCCCTCATAAAATTTTTGAAAGTTTTCTAGTGTCATAAATCAGTGCGGGTCTCGCGGTACAAATTTTCGAACCACATCGAGGAACGGTTCATCAAAATGCGACGTCTACCTTTTTTTTTTTTTTTTTGATGGGCAATAAAATCATTGAACGATTAGAGATGGGTCTTGACACGAATTTGGTTGTCTCCTATTAAAGGACCATTCGAAATGATTCACTGGTTTGCTGGGGACGGACGGGTCTCAACAGGAACACATTTTTAAAGGGACACACCGTAATCCAAATTATCCCCCTGTGTTTTTTTTTTAAATTTAATTGCATATCGTTTGCGACACAATTTTGATATTGTTTCGTAATTCAATTAAAATCGTTCGCGTCGCAAATTTCTCGCATTTTTCCCCCAATTTTTTGCATTGTTATTCATTTTTTTTGGCAAAAAAATGCCAATATAAAAACCCGACATTCTCCACGCTTTTTCATTGTTTTCTCAATTCATTTTTTGTTTTATTTCTTTTCATTTTCGTGTTAGGACCCGAAGCATATGGCGTGTTTATTTAAGCAAATTGAGATGAGAACAATGAAAAAAAATCGATATAATTTTCTCGTTTCAAAACAATATATATATATATATAGTTTTTAGGATTGAATATTCGCGTCAGGACCCATTTTGTGAAACTATCACTTCGAGACCTAATTTGAGTTCATGTTGTTTCGTGTCAAGACCCATTGAATCGAAAAATAAATGATTGAATTACATCATAAACCGCGTTTCATTCAACAAAAGCCATCGAAAATTTCGCGTGTATTGAAAAATAATAATTTCTAGCCGGGCCGGTCGGCCGGTCGGCGGTTTTCCGAAAATTTCCATCGATTGCTGCCCACGCGATTTGCATATTTTTGCCGCCGCAATCGGACAGCCCAGTTTGACCGCTAATTATATTGTTGTTGTTGTTGTTTGTTTTTCATCATAGAACGCATAAATTTTGGCATTTGCCGTCAAATTCGGTGCACTTTTGTGCAAACACCGACGCTGCACTTCACACGCATTTCCTTCGCTTTTTTGGAACAATTTAGCGATAAAACTTTACAAGCAAACATTAAAAAGGAAATTATCGGCGCGATGGAATTCGAATGATTTGGTTTAGTTTTAAAAAATTATTATGGGTACCCTTGTACACTATTATTAGAATAGCAATGATGTGTTCTGCAAAACGCGAACCTATCAGTTCGAATTTTTTTTTGTGGTTGTTTCGCTATCACGTGTCCTGACACGAAAAAATCGTTTTTGAACAGCCATAAATTATTCGGGAATGTCACACCATACTGTTACACTGAACCCATGCAGTCATCATTCCAGAATCTCGTCTCAATGGGCGCTAAGAAGGTGTACACCGTCAATAGCGGCGCGGATTTGAAGCCGTCCGACACCGACGCAAGTCTGGTAATTGAACACGACTGGTTTTTAATAACTATCACGCGAAAAATCGCCAAATTTCATGCATTTTCGATTTTCCGGTTTTTATTTGTAATGTGTTACTGTAGACAAATTTACGCGTTCACAGAAGCGCAAAAATGCAGACTAATTCCTTTCGGTTTGATTTTTGCATTAATTTTGAGCATTCTAGTCAAATTTTGAACCCAAAATTAATATTAAGAACAAAATTTTTGCATTTTTGAATTGTTTTCCAAATTTGTTAGTTGATAACTATGATTTTAAACGCTTCATTCTCAATTGTTTTCCTAAATTTGCCAATTTCAGGCCAGCAAACATCACAATGCGCACGGAATTTCCTGGTTCATGGGCGCGGTGTTCATCGTCGGCGACATGATGGGCGCCGGGATGATCTCCCTACCATTGGCTCTCGGCGAAGCCGGCCTAATTCCGGGCACCGTCATCCTGCTGCTCGCCTCGCTATTCTCCGGCTACACGGGCATCCAATTGGGCGAGAATTGGGAAATGATGCAGGACCGCTGGCCGAAATACCGTTCGCACTGTCGCCGGCCTTATCCGGAAATGGCGTATCGCGCTCTAGGACCATGGGCTCGTCAAATCGTTGCCGTGTGTCTCGTCATCTCGCAATACATGATCGCTTCGGTTCTGATACTGATTTGCGCGGAGAACTTCACCAATCTTCTCAACACCTTCACCAATCTCCATCTCGACTTTTGCATTTTCATCGTCGCCCTCGGATTGGTCCTTTGGCCGCTTATCATGCTTCAAAGTCCAATGGATTTCTGGTATTTTTTCTTTCCATTAAAAGTTGGAAAAATAATTTTTGATATTAAAATTGAAAAATTACATTTTTTTCCCTCGTTTTTGCACATACATAATTGCAAATCGTGTCGAGACGCAAATATGCGGCTTTAAAAAATTTTCCAGGCAACTCGCTGTCATCTCGGCCGCCTCGAGCACCATCGCCGCCGCTTTAATCGTTGCGGGCTCGGCGCACGACATGCCAGTGTGCACGCAACAACGAAAACTGCCCGATTTCGAGTTCAAGAGCTTCTCGCTCGCCTATGGGACCATCGTATTCGCGTTCGGCGGCCACGGCGCATTCCCAACAATTCAACACGACATGGCGAACCCGCACAAATTCAATAGATCAGTTATCGCGAGCTACATACGTAAGTTCAGTAATCAATTATGAACTTGGTCTCGCAACGAAAAAGAAAACAAAAAAAAAACAAGTTTGCATTGTTTTCAGTGATAACCATCGTCTACCTGGCCATCTCGATCACCGGTCTTCTCTCCTACGGCGACAGTATGATTGATACAGTAATCCCATCAATCCAGATCAAATGGATCGCGCAAGTCGTGAATATCCTCATCACCGCTCATATCCTGCCGACGATCATCATCGTTTTCTCGCCGTTGACCCAACAAGTCGAAGAATGGACAAGAGTTCCCAATAGTGAGAAGCTGTTGGAAAAAAAAAATGAAACGATTTGTGAATATTCAGAATTCGGATTTTCGCGCTTCCTCGTCCGCAGCGCGATTCTCGCGTTGTCGGTGCTCACCGCGCTTTCGGTTCTCAAACTCGGCCTATTTGTGAACCTTGTCGGCGGCACCACCATCACTTTGATGACAATGATGCTGCCGTCGATCTTTTGGCTTTTCATGAAATCATCGGAATTGAAACGAGACGAGATGATCAGCACTGGATATGTTCAAAGGAATAGTCCCGATAATGTTCGCGCTTCGATTTCTGAGTATGAACTTTTGTTTCATTCAGAAAAATTTTATTCTCCTGGATCTTTTCCAAATCAAAATGCTCGATTTTTCGGCTATTTTAGGTTCTAAGTGAACTTGTTTCAAAATTTCACAACATTCATTTTGGGTCTCGCAACGAAGCGTCTCAATTTTCAGCGTCTTCCACTACATCCCATTCCACATTCTTCTCTTCAACGTCGTTTCCTTGAGTAAGCCGCAACTTCACCAAAAAAGGCCACATAAATCGATTTCAGCTTTCGGAATCATCGGAGGAATCTCGTCGACCTGGTCCGCAATTGAAGGCCTCGTCGTCACTGATCAAGTAACTCCGTGCTATATCAACTGGTAAACACTAGATATGGAATTATGCATGAAATTTGACGATTTTTAGGATTCGAAATGGATTCGAGACGCAAATCAACGGCGGATTTCTGCATTGTTGCGGAGAATTCAAAAATGTTTCGTTCTATGGAGATTCTGGAAGCTGTCTCAGACATTAATAGCAATATTTTCGATTTTTGAGAATAATTTTTGTTTTTTTCTCGATTCAATACTACTATTTTAAATAATGTTTTTAATAAATTCACGGGTATTTCGAAAAAATTGCAGATTTCGAGGAAATTAATAGGAAAAAATTCAAATTTGATTATTCGGATTTGTCTGTGACATTTGCGTCACGGTGTTTGCACACATTTTTGGTTACAGTAATTCATTTTATTTTTCATAATTTTTTTCCGGTTTAATTGGCAGCCCGCAAAACATATTTTGGCGCCAATTCAAATTTTTTAATTGCTTAAATTTTTTTAAAGAATTGGCAAGAAAGAAACAAATTTTGTTAGGCGTTTTCTTTTCGAAAAAAAAAAACCTCAAAATTTGAATTTCATTTTTAAAAAGCAAAAATCGAAAAGATCGCAATGTGATAAATTCTCTCATTTCAAAAAAATTCATTTCACTTTTCACTAGATGTATCATAATTATCTGCTAATTATTCAACTAATTATTCCAATTTCGTTTCAAACGATCACCGTTTTCAATTCAAAAGGTCAACATTTAATGGGAAACCGATAAAGCAATTTCGATTTTCAGCGTGCTCTTCGAATTTCCAACCAACCTCATTGGCAATTTTGACGAAACAGTTTGATTCGAAGAATGATTGCGAGTTTGTCGCGTATTCCAAGTAAGTCCTCAAAATCGTCGTCAAATGGTCCGCATGTCGCAATTTTGAAATGCGCTCGATTTGACGACAATTTGCACAATCGACTCGTTTTTTTTTCGCACAGATTGCGAATAACCAGCGGTTTGGGCAACGTCAAAGTGATCAACTATACGAACATCGAGATCATCGACACCGTCGTCGAGACGATTAGTCTCGATTCGCTGGAAGTCGCCGAGAATTCGGTGTTCGTCGTCCGCAACAATCCATTCTTGAAATGCGTCAAAATTCCGAAATTCAAACGCGAAAATTTTCGATTCATATGTAAATTGGTGGTCTTGATTTCTAGGTAGCCTTTTCGAAACTCGATTTTGCAGACATTTTCGTTGACGGCAACCCGAAAATGGACGGCGATTGTCTGATGGAGTTGCTCGAAATTTGCGACGTCGATTGCACACGAATTGTCGAGGAGCTCAAATGTGAGGAGAGGCGCGGTTCGAGACCCGGTTTAAAGGCGCATGAGTCAGTTGAAGCAGCGCGTTTTCGAGAAATCCCAATAATCGTTACGGGTCACGCCGCGAGACCCGGTTTAAAGGCGCATGAGTCAGTTGAAGCAGCGCGTTTCCGAGAAATCCCAATAATCGTTGTGGGTGCCGCCGCGAGACCCGGTTTAAAGGCGCAATCCGAAACCTCATTTTTTTTTTGGGAAACGCGGTTTTCGTCGCAACATCCGAGGAATCCCTTTAAAGGCTCATAGTCCTTAGTTTCACTTCGTCTCGAGACCATCAACGATGTTCGAGAATTTCAGCACCGCCTGCCGCGATCGCGCCGCTCTCAACATCTTCAACAATTTCCGTTTCAATCACGTGGATCTCGATCTACTTCTCAATCGTCTTTCAATAAACGTTGGCATGCGCCTTTGATTACTGTATTTATTTAGGTGAACGCGACGTCGTCCAAAAATGTTCACGTGAATTGAGCAATTCTTGTTTTGTTGAGGCTCATTTCGAAATTCGAGAAAATAATTGATGCGACTCGTTTCACTCATTCTCATCATCATTGCGATATTCTACCGGCAAATTGGCGCGAATTATGACAATTTAATTAGTTGGTCTCAATTATTTAATTAGACTCATTATGTGCATAGAATGCACAAGCAACGATGAATGGAAAAAGGCGCAGGACATCGATGGGCATCCGCTGTGCGAGTATATGAATGGCACGAGGTTCGTGGTCGAGACCCGTCTTAAAGGCGCATTGCATTTTAGAATCAAATCCGGTCACAGTGTGGTCGATGAAGCCGAAATGCTGACCGCGTTGAGTAGGATCAAAGTGTTGAATCGGTCGCACATCGAAATTGTCGGTCAGCGGTTCGCGATGGTCTCGTTCAAGAATCTCGAGCTTCTCGATGACGTCGTCTTCTCGATCTACGACAATCCGCTTCTCGAGTGCGTCGAGATTCCGCCGACGGTCAAATCGCGATTCGTCTGTAAGCGTTTTCAAAAGCGACCCACCAATCCCCCACTCAACTAGTGCTACCGTAACCAGACATCTTCGTCGAGGGCAATCCGAAGCTCGACGAGCGCTGTTTGGAGCAGCTCGACAAGATTTGCGATTTGACGTGCGAGATTCAAAAGGCCGGAAGTCTCGACGGAGCGCCGCTGACACTGCTATCATCATCATCATCATCATCATCATCATCATCGAGCACCTCATCATACATCCTCATGACATTCATCCTTTTATGGATTCGATAAAAGAAATGCAAATGGCGATTTTTGAGAAAACGAGAAAGCAGGCGGTGGTGGATAACAAACAAAAAGGCACAAATATGGTAGAATTAGTATCTAGAAAAAAATATGAAAAAAATCGAACCGGGTTTTGCGAAAATTTGCGCGAAAGAGAAACCGTATCGGAAAGACTGAAAACAACAAGACCGACGTGTGGAATTGGGTGAGCGAATCGCAGATGATCTACAATTCGCTCTCAATTAGTCACCGATTCGGCGGCAATCGGACCGGCTTCGGCGCCGAGCATTTGCCGTTGGAAGTGGCGCGTCGTTCGCGGATCAGCTCGCGTAGACGCCGACGTTTTCGGATTTGATCGCAGCACACGAAGATGAGCATCAACGAGATGATGAACGTGAACACGCCGCATGAGACGAACACGATCTCGCGAGAGTAGCCTGAAGTTGGCAAATTTCATATCTTGGAGGTCGAGGAAACAAAAAAAAACGAGCAACTTGTACGTAAATTTGAATTGAAACTGCATGAATTCGAGATTCACATCAACGAAAATTCTAGGCGAAAATTGAAATCGGTGCAAATTGTCGTCAAATGAAACGCATTGTCCGTAATTCACCAAGAGCAATTTTAATCGTCGTATTATTTTCACATCTGTTTCATACTCACAAAATGCCGTCAAATAAAATGCATCAATTTTTGGCAATATTTTTAGTTTTGCGATTTTGAAGCAACGAAAATCGAGCATAAAAATGGTTAAACAATTTTCGTCAAATAAAATGCGTTGTCTGCAAACACGCCGAATGCATCGCATATGACGGTAATTTGCACAATCTCGAATTTTACGGCGTCTTTCACTTTGTTTCGACTCACAATGTTGTTCATCGGAAAAGTCTCCTTCGACACAGTTATGAACACCGTCGCAGATCAATGATCGATGAATGCATAGGCGAGACCGTGACGCACAAATGCCGCCTCCCTTTAAAAATTGCAACGCTTCTTTTTTTTTCTTGTGCTTCTGAATGCCATACCTGCTCAATGCAGACTTGTCCGCCGTGGCATGTGAAGTGGCCCTGACACGATTGCGATTGCTCTTCGACATCCTCGCTGCTTGACGTCGTTTCGCCGTCGAGGCCTTCCACGGCCGTCCAGATTATCTGAAATTTTCGATATTTTTTGTTCGCCGAAAAAAAACTGAAATTGGAATACCTTGAATCCAACCCGCTTCTCCATTTCATCCTCCATTGATAATGGCGGTCCTTCTTGTGAAGTGAATCTAAGAAACACTTCTTTTGAAAAAAAACACACATTTTGCAATTCTATAGCCTCGCAACTGTAACGCGAATTAAAGGCGCGTGATGTTGGCAAAGAGGCATTTCGCGTCTTTACTCTCTTCATTTTTAGATGTCTCTCGCCCAGTAGATCAATCCAGTATAAATTTTCAGAAAAATCAAACCCCACAAGGATTACGCAATACGAACCTCACTAATAGTCGATTCGCACTGCTCAGATAGCTTTTCATTCCTTCTTCGGCATAATACAGTTGACTTCCGCAAAATTTCGCCTCGGAGATTTCCGACGAATCTTTGCGCTCGTTCGGATTCTCCTCGTGCTTATAGCCATCCATTATCACCAGAGAAGCTCGCTCGCATTCCGCTGAAACGAGATTTTTATAGAGAATTTGGCGGCGATCAAGAGTTTCAGCGCATTTCAGGTCCGCACTAAATTCAAAAAATCGATGACCTCATCAGATTATGCGGTCAGATAACATAGTATTGCGTCACAGTGCTCTTATGTGGGGACCCATTGAATTTTGATACCTGAGTGGGTATCATAACTGCGTTTTACTTTTTTTATTTGGGTAGTATCGGAATAATTAGGCAAAAATTATTTTTTTTAAATGATGGCTGACGTTTTGTTTCTATTCTGTCGCTTTTAAAATTTTAATATTTAAATAAATTTAATTAAAATGTGTATAATTAAATATTCAAATTATTTTAGATAATAATTATTATTTTAGATAATAGGCGTTTTTGACGCAAATAATTTGCAAAATTTACCAATTGTCGGCGCCAAATGCAAATGAACGACACGAATGTAGATTCTTTGACGAGCTTCGACGCGTATCAGCCAATTACACGTGGAATTTTTCGGATACGTCAACGGATAGCCGGGCGAGATGATTTCGCCGGACAATTGTCCGGGTTGCGTATGACCGCCGCATTCGCCGAATTTTGGATCACTGATGAATGAGTCGGGCTCTTTGATGGCCGCTGAAAATGGAATTTTTGGAAAAACGTAGTTTTTGAAATAATATTAGACTTTTTGTGTTGTTTTCATCCAAAAACTTTCGGAAAAATTCCGGGGAAAATCACCAAAAAATTCGAAACGATGGTCGATTGTGCAATACACCACAACGCAAAACTGCACAATTCGTACACTCAATCAAACTAGCAAAAATTCGTCATTTACGAGTTGAAATTAATTATTACAACTCAAAGAGTTTCGAAAAATTATTAACCTTCAGACAAAATTCGATATTGAATTCGAAATCCGCGATTTCCAGTTTTTGCCGAAGTCGTCACAAATTGCACCTGAAGCCACCATTGCATTGTATTAATAGCCGGTGGCAATGTATTTCCGCACAATCGCTCGCCGACATGATGTTTTCCTAAAAAAAATTGTAATTTATTGTCGCTAATTGAAAAAAGTCATTAAAAATCGAAAAAAAAAACTATTGAAAATTTATGAAAACGACAATTAGTACTCCGTAAAATCGTGTCACGATGTTTGCACAGATTTCTTTCTACAGTAGTTCAACATTTAATTATGTCATCAATTTTGAATTTTTCCGAAAAATTGAGAACTTTAGAATTTTTTTTTGAGAAATATCAATATTATATGAATTGCCAAGCTACTTTTGACAATTTTTGATCTTCTCACCATGTCGATCGACGACGACAATAATGAGATAAGCATCCAAGCATTGATTACTCAGCGGACTCGTGTCAGCCAAATCGAAATTGACGAACGCGAGCTGGATGACGTTGGATGGTGCGGTGGTGATGTTGAAGATGCAATCGAGCGGCGCCGAATATGGAGATGGGTAGCCGGGCGATTCGATGAAGCCTGAACAAATTTCGAATTTTGCCGACAAAAAAATGTTTGCTTCCGATCGATTCGAGATTTTCTCTGCAAAACTCGTTCGCTCAAATTTCTCCAATTACAAAATTTCGCTTTGAGACGCGATTGCGTCGAAACAAAAATAAAGTCCAGATGAGACCCAACGGAATTTCCAAATCGAGAAATTACAATGTTCGCTGCGAGACCCATTAAATCAAAAATCGATTGGCCAATTAATTTTGGTCGATTTAATTAGCAATGGTAATTATGAGGTAATTAAACTGACCGGTGGTTGGTGTCGATGAATGAATGTGTCTCATCGGACAATACGACGAATCGGCGACGGCGGCAAAAAAGAAGAAGGCGAGCACTCGGACCCGAACAAATTCATTCGATCTCATCGTTCGGACGGACCCTCTCGTCGCATTATGATACTACGAGCCAATGGGTCCTCAGACGAAAGTTGATAGAGATGCGTACGAAAGCCAATTGGTGGAGGCTGAAAAACAGAAAATGAATGAAGGGGAAATTTTCAGATTTTCAAGCAACAAAAAAAAGTGGACATTGCCGATTTTTTTTTCGCCAAAATTCTCGAAATTTGCACCAAAAAAAATTATGGCGACGATTTTCGAGAAATTTCAACAAAACTGAAGCATAGTGGCAAATTCGAGCATATTTCTCAAATTTTTTTTTGTTTCGAAATTATCTGAAAAACTGAAATTGTGCACTCCTCAATAAAAAAAAGTGTCTAATTCGAACGAACAAGTTTCGTTCACCAAAAAAAAAACGAAAAAACGACAATTTGGTTGGGGTTTTGTCGAAAAAAAGAAGAAGAAGAAGAAGAAACGAGTTAGGAGCCCAACCAAGTGGTTTGTTAATTACCGTAGAAGGCAAAATGAGTTTCTTCCAGGCAATCGGTTCGTTTTTTTCTTCGCAAAAAGCCAAATATGGCCCACAAAACCTCGAAGACTGTCCGCAGCGCGATCGAAACGAAATATCCTAGTTTTCTCTGTATGCTGCGAGGGTTTTATAAAATTGTCAAAAAAAAACAGGACTCGTGTTTGAATTGCCGCCACCGCTGCCAACAACAAACAGGCGATTGTGGCGCAACCCGGAAGGTGTCCGCAGATGTCTACTTTTGTTAACCATTCAAAAGCGGCGACCTAATGCTGACAACTTCTAGCTAAAGCATGCTTCACATTATGAAATAAGGGAGGAACGGAGGGGAGCGAAACCCGGGAGGTGTCGGCAGGTGGATTGTTTGATGAGTTGCTGCCGCCAAAAAGATTGGTTACATAGTTAGATACGCAAAAACCAGGGATATGTCCGCAGGTGCAAAATGCCATCTAGATTGTATTGAGTGGGTACGTGAGAGTGTGTGTATGGGGGAAAATTGTGTGTCCCAAATTTGGAGGCGCATCTGGCGAGCAGCTTCATCGTCGTCTCCCCCAAATTGAGAGGAATGAGAGATATAATGTTGGCGGGGCAGCTCCTCCTCAGCCTCATGCCGCTTCTGCTTCTGCTGCTGCTGCAGCTCTCCCAAACAATGAAGTAGTCCGACGGATGTGTCGACGGCGAAAATTGGTCGAGCAGTAGAAGAAGCAAAAAAGAAGAAGAAGATGCGCACACTTCGAGAGTTGCTCAAAACCAGAATTACGAGCAATTTCGGACCGGGGTTTTGGAGTCAACAACGAGCCGAAAAAAAATAGTCGAATATAAACGCAATCGCCGTGCTGCCGACAAAATTCAGCTCGGCGTGGGGTTCGTTGAATATCCCATCATTTTTTTATGGTCCCGTGCGGAAAATAGTTCAACACAACAACATTTTGCTGTCGATTTCTTTTAAATTCAATTCTTGCTGCGGACAATTTGCCAGCGAGATGTCCGCAGATAGATAAAAAAAATAAAAAATAAATCGAGAAACGAATCAAAAAACCGAATTTCACGTAGGATTCACGTTTCCAACGAATATTTGTGTTCTCATAAAAATTTGAATGTATAATCCAAAAAATGTAGGAATATTTTTTTAAAAATGAATTTCTCCAGGCTGATATTTCTAATCTAACGATGCCGGTTCGAGTCCAGCCCGACCAAAATCCGATTTTTTCGAGGCCACAAATTGCTTGAGACAGAAAAATTTGACCGATTCGCAATGGAGCGCGTTTGCTGCCGCGCACATCCACACGACTAAATTGAATGCGACACACGGAAAAAAAGAAAGGAGACGTCGAAGCCAATTTCGACGGAATTGAATGAGAAGGTGAAGGGAGGATGGGGGTCGAAATAGAAGAAGGTTTCGAGAATGAGAATGAATGTAATAAACCGACGGAGTCCAATCGGCGGCGTGCCCGAAAACTCGATTATTCAAATGATGGGTCCGCTCGAGTTTGAGTTGACCGCTCAAACCGACAACGGCAGACGAAGGGGGGGGGGGCTCAATATGTTATTTCTCTGCTGCCGACAATTTTTTTTCGCATCAAAAGAGCAAATTGCCAGTGTGTGTTTTTTCGGTGCAATTTCGCGTCGCCGTGCTTCTGCACACATTATTTTCTCTCGTCGACAGTAAGCATCGCATTCAATTTTCACCAATGTGGTGCAATTTGAATATGGGTTTTCTCACATCGAGTTTTTATATTTTTATAGTGAATCAAAAAGAAAACGAACAAGTACGAATCCAAATATGGCGTTTATTGATCGAAATTCTGCAAAAAATTGGAATTTCTCGCTTCTCTTTTTTGAAAAAAAAACCTGACGAATCCGGAAGAACGCATCCACTTATACAAATTCGTCGCATTTGTTTTATCGATTTTTCGCTCAATTTCGGATTATTTGAAACGCGAAAGACTGAAAACGCAATGTTTTTTTTTTGCGAATAATTTCATTCGTCAAATGAACAAGTGCGCTCCATGGCTAATTCGCGTCGCCACAAAAAAAATCGAATTTTTTCACCAAATTTCTTGCCCAAAAAACTGATGTCAGCCGTTTGAAAACTAAATTTCGCTTCGGGACCAAAAAAATTTGCCAATGCGTCTCGATGCAGCGAGAATTACGCAACATTGCGTACATTACAGTGCACGCGCATTTAATACTCAGTCAACGATAAATTTATATCGATTCATACTAAAATTTGGCAATTTGAACGCCCCGCCTTGAAAATTTTTTTGCTTGTTTGCGAAAGCAACAAACTGATTCGCAATAGAGCGCAATTGCCCAATTTTTTTAGGCCAAGCAAAAAAAACGAACTGATTCCGTAGAACTGATACAAAAGGCCATTATATTTTGGAATTTCGACGTCAACGAGGTTCGGATTATCGATTAAATCGATTAATAGACTATAAGCACGACTTAAATTTTTGAACGAGACTTTTCGCAATCCGGAGTTCTCAATTATTAGATGGCTGACCGCCGAGTGTTCCAATGTTTCGACGAAATTCCGAGTTTCGTTATCAGCCCACGTCTTGTTCATCCGAATCCTCAATTTGATTTTTTCAATTAAAAATCTATTGTTGAAAAATGACAAATGTATCCAGGTGTCGTAGGATCCTGTGTTTTGTACGCAATGTTAAGAGACAGTTACCGTAATCCTCGCAGCGATTTACGGGGACTTTTTTTTTAATTTCGCATATTCATTTTTTTATTTTTCGCTCAATTTTCGTATTTTCCTTCGAAATTTTGTTTAAAAAAATTTGCAGAAACCGATTTTAATAATTAATTTAGCAGAATAAGCACTTTTAAACGATATTTTTTTGGTAAAAACAGCAGAGATTAAAAAGAAATCATTTTTGTCGTTAATAAAATTATTTTTTCGTGTTTGGCTTTTTGTATGCGTTTCTATTATCTTGTTTTTGTATTCTTCATTTTCAAAATAATTTTTAGAGCGTCAAAATCTTCAAAATAATTCCCAACTCAACTGGAAAAATGAAAAAGTGCATATTCTGAAAAATAAATAATTAAACTCGGTTTCTACAGGTTTTAAATATAAGATTTCTAAAGAAAATTAGAAAATTCAGCAAAAAAAATTGAAAGAAAATTATTTTAAAAAAAGTCCCCGTAAATCGCTGCGAGGATTACGGTAACTGTCTCTTAGCATTGCGTACAAAACGCAGGATCCTACGACACCTGGATACATTTGTCATTTCTCAACAATAATCGTTTTTGCGCAATCCAGTTGTCGTAGGATTCGGTGTGTCGGTACGCAGTACACCGAGCATTATGTAGCCCCATTTTCTTGTATTTTCAATGAAAAAATAAAATGGAAAAAAAAAAACGAATTTTTTGAGGAGAAAATTTTGAAAAAAAAAATGCAAAATTTTCATCGAAAAATCCGCATTTTTTGATTTTTTTTTCTGAAATTCTCGAATTTTCCAGCAAAGTTTCTCAATCGATTTTCGAGTTTTTTTCCGATTATTTCTTCCATTTTTACCGAGAATATTCCAAAATTTTGCAGCCTTTCAACGATTTGTATGATGGTAAACTGAAGCCGACGCAAAAATCTGAACAATTATTGAAAATTGGGGCACCGAAATGAAAAATATTATCGATTTTCTAACCTCCTTTTTTCGATTGAATGAATTTCTGGTTCCATACACCCTCGATGCTCATTAATAATAGAATACTGAAGTAGAATTGACAATTTGCCATTTTTCGTAACAGGTTTTTGATAGAAATGATTCATTTTTCCGATTTTTTGGAGCTTCACGCAATTTTTTGCAATAAAATTGAACTTATTGAATTCTCAAAGTCTAAAATCACACAAAAATGTCCGCAGATATCTTTTTTTATTGAAATCGCGCCGAAAAACGAGTAAGGTGAGCAAGTGTGCTCCATTGCGAATTTAAAACAAGATTTCTCGCAATTTTCAAACTTCAGCAAAATTCGGCATAAAAACGGAAAGATTTTAAATATTCTGATAAAAAATTAATAAAATAACAAATTTTTAGATTAATTTTGAATAATTGAATTGGCAAAATCGAAAATCGCATATATTTTCAAAACCAAAAAATAAATTTTAAAGGCACATTGGCTATTCTTCTATTCACAGTGTCATGCGCCTTTAATTAATCACTTCATTTATTCTAATTTGGCGATTTAATTGAGATAAAAATTTTCTTAATCCATGAAAATTAAAATAATTGACAATTGGAGCCCGAAATCATTAGTTTTGAGGATTTTTTTTCGAACACCGTAATTAAAGGCGCATGCAAGATATTCAGAATAGAATTTCGCGGCAATCCATTCGGGCTTTTCCGAGAGAAATAGAACAAATTTAATTTCGTGGCTCATTGTCCGTGTGGAGTACACAATGCGCGTATCATCGTCTCGAGACCATTTTAGGCGTTTTGCCAATGCAGAAAAAAAATTGTTTCTTCCATTTTTCTGTTGAATAATTGCTAAGAAAATTTCGAAATTGCGATTTTCCAACAATTTTTTTTCGATTAAACGATAATATCTGATTTTCTGTTTCAATTGGAGATTAAAAGAAAATGCAAAAAAAAAGAATATCAACTAAATAATATTTCTAATCGGCATTATTATCAGTACATATAATAACGGAGGATTTTGCAAAAAAAAATTCAACAATTCATCGTCAACAACAACAACAACAAAACAAAAAATCAACAATAAAATTACCCGGGAATTCGAAACAAAAAAGACGTCGAAGAAACACAAAAAATCACTGCATTCCGAATTTTTTGAGTCGGAATCCATCAACTTTCGGCTCTTCATCGCCAGCGATTCGAAGAACAACAATTCGATCAACTTTTTCTGCAAAATTTCGATTCTTCGGAAGAATTTCGCCGGTAGATCAAAACCTTCTTTTTCGATTTGTCGCGCTCCAAATACAAAAACTCCGCCATTTTCCATCATTCCTCCATTGACTGCGTGCTTGGCTGTCGTCGGCGCGTCAGGCGGCGTGAACACCTTCTGATTCTCCTAGAAAATTAGATATTTCGAAATTTGGTGCATAAGAACATCAGATTTGACGCATAAATGAATAAATCAACTAATTAGTTATGCAAAACACATTTTAAATAGTTTAAAATACAACATAATTGACGACAAAATGCAGAAACTAACAATTCTCAAAATTTGCTAATAACCAAAATTGATGCAGAAATCAATGTAATCGGATGTTTTTTTTCGAAACCGCCTACTCCTTTAAGAAATTTCAATTCATAAACAAAGCACCAAATTTGACGGAAAAATGCAGAAACGAATTATTTTGAACAATATTGTCTACTCCATTAAGAAATTTCAATTCATAAACAAAACACCCAATTTGACGGGAAAATGCAGAAACGAATTATTTTGAACAATATTGTCTACTCCTTTGAGAAATTTCAATTCATAAACAAAACACCAAATTTGACGGGAAAATGCAGAAACGAATTACTTTGAACAATATTGTCTACTCCTTTAAGAAATTTCAATTCATAAACAAAACACCAAATTTGACGGGAAAATGCAGAAACGAATTATTTTGAACAATATTGTCTACTCCTTTAAGAAATTTCAATTCATAAACAAAACACCCAATTTGACGGGAAAATGCAGAAACGAATTATTTTGAACAATATTGTCTACTCCTTTGAGAAATTTCAATTCATAAACAAAACACCAAATTTGACGGGAAAATGCAGAAACGAATTACTTTGAACAATATTGTCTACTCCTTTAAGAAATTTCAATTCATAAACAAAACACCAAATTTGACGGGAAAATGCAGAAACGAACCAAATCGACGAGGGAAAAGTGTCCGTCATAGGAATAGGTCGCAAATCGGTCGCCTCTCAGCCGGCAAAGACCAATCGGCAAGCCGGGCATGAATGATTTGGGACTCGTCGGCGTCATTCGGAGCGCCAGCGAGCTCGCCGATTTGAGGATGCTCGCGTTCGTCGCCGCCACTTCATAGACGACCTTCTTCTGATCGGAATTCTCGGCGAACGCCGGATGAGTGCACAGGATCACCGCCGATTCTTTGCGCGCGATCACGTCGATCGGCAAATCGACTTTGACGACGCGCGATTGGCCATTCGCGACGTTGACGAGAAATACTTGGCATCGAGTTGTGAGCACCGCGGCGAGTTGGCCGCATCGCGAAACATCCAATTTCACGACACTTCCGCATTCGCCTAAAAATTATATTTTATTTAAAAATTTTGGAAAAAATTTGGTTTTTTATTTTTGAAAATCACGAAAACTGTGGATTTTTGAAAAAATGATTAATTTTTGCTCAAATTATGCTCTTTTTCATTTTTTTGAGGCAAAATATTTGAAAATTAAAGCAATAATAATGTCCCTCAAAAAAAAATCACAATTTTCGAAATTTTTCGCAACAATGTCAAATTTAGTCATTTTTTCGATAAGAAAAATCGCCAGAAAAGCCAATCAAAATGAATTCTCAAAAATTCCTACTCTGATCGATAACAATTCTCGGCTTCTTGTTCTCCTGTGCGCATTGAAACTGCAAAATCTCGAAATCGCCTCGGCAAACCGTCAGAACCTTCTCAGAAATCTACAAGAAAAACGTAGTTTCAGAATAATTTAGCCAAGAAAAAAAAAAAGAAATCAACCAACATGAAGAGCCGTCGGAGCGACGTCGTCGAATGTGGCGATTTTCGCAATTTTTCGCCTCGTTTCGGGCAAAATCGAATAAATCGACACATTTTTCGCCGTGCCAATCGCCAATTGCTTGCCGCAACGCGATAGGGACCAACAAGTGATGATCGTCTGTTTCGGCGAAAAAATTTTCGCGAGAAACACACTTTTGAAGTGTTGCGGCACGAAATCGGAGCCTCTCGTCGGCTCATCGTCGCCAGTTTGCTTCCACCAAACGTCGACGAAATTCTCGCCGCAACTCGCCACAATCTCGCCGCCAATTTCAATGTTTGTCTGCAAGAAAAAAAAACAATCAAAAGGCGTTTTTCGCATAAAACGTTGACACCCATCTGCGGACATTTAAGCCAGCTGGAAATTGTCGGCGTATGGACTTTCAGGTCTCCAAAACCGACAAATTCCAAGCCGGCAATTGTCCGCAGCAACATCGCCTTACCTTCCATTGTTGCACCAGCGGTCGACATCCATCTTTTCCGACGAAAATGTCGAAATCCTCTCCGGACGCGTAGACCTTAAAACACGACTATTGCGGATTACGGTATTCGCTGTGAGAATCGAAACCCGTCCATCATACGAGGCCAGCGATCGAACATCGCGAATCGGTCCTGTCCGCCGCCGAACCACGTCGTACTCGTTCGTCGCCAATTTTTTGATCGACGTGATTCGCGGATCGACACCAGCCACATTCAGCTCATCATTGACGATGCACATCGTCAAAATATGCGATTGCATACATTTGATTGCCTAAATTTTCATTCAATGGTCAAAATCACGTTTTGCCGATTTTTCTCGATGCCTGAATCAATGCTCCACTTTCGGGATTCCAAAGGGTTACGGTACCACGCGAGTCGCCACACGCCAAAACGTCGGATTTCCAAAAACGCACACTCCACGCTATCGTCGGATCTCGGCGATTCTATACAAAAAAAAGACAAGCAAATTGAAAAATTTGATTGGTTGGGTCCCATCGCGAACAACGAACCTCTCGATCCAAAACCAGCGTTCTTTGCACTTTTCCATCACCGGCAATCATAATGCCGTCGATGGCTCCAATCGCGACCTGAAAACAAAATTCGTGTGTCAGAATTGGCAAAAAGAAGAGAATCGTTCGGATTACCAGATTTCCGTTGCTCGACACATCGAACAATCGGCTGTCGACACCCAGCGACACGCTCGAGACAATCAATTTGTTGACGACGTCGAAAATGAAAAGAATCGACGAATGCGAGATTAACGCAACTTTCGAGCGATCGTCTGAAACAAAAATGCATTATTAATCGCTAGGGACCTTTGAAACAAGAAATTTCATTTCTTTTTACTAAATTTGCGCCGCTCGGTTTCTAGAAAATTGCAACATACTGAGAAAACTTGGGACCATAAATTCGCAATCAATTCTAGTAAAATATGACAATTTTTAGAGAATATGTAGAAATTTTTGAAGAAAACCAATGTCTAGGGACCATAAATTGAAATTCGAGAAATTTTGTCTCAAAAACAACGCGGCTTGTTTCCTATCATCATGAAACCTCGTTTAAAGGCGCATGGCAAAAATTCATTTTTCGATTCATCACTTTCAACTAGCACAGAGGCGAATTTGCAAAAATTGATCAATTTCGACGAACCATTATTGGAATGCTCGCAGGCGGCCCAAATCGTCGAGGCGGCAATTTGAATTCGTTTCACGCGTCGCGAATCGTGCGGATCCACAAAACATATCGAGCCGTTCGCGTGCGACACCAACAATTCGCCATTGGCGACGAACATCGCGTGCTCGATCGAACCATTTTCGGGGCACACGACGAGCTCGCGTGTCGCCAGCCATCCCGTCAAAACGTTGTAGAATTCGATGTAATCATGAGCGCCTTGTTTTCTGCAAAAATTCCTAATTCTTGAATTCAGCGTTCTCAGACAAATCCATTAAAATGTTTTGAGGTTTTTTGAGAGGCTAATGAGTCTCCATAATATTCTAGATTTTTTTCAATGAAGATTAAAAAGCAATGAGTTGATTACGAATTTATTACAGAATATTTGATACTCAAAATAATTTATTCGATTTAGCTTCTGAAACATTTTTGGATTTCTTTTAAATTTAAAATCCACATCGAATTTTCAAACTTATTCACTTTCTCAATTTATTTCTAAGAGAGAATGCGCATAGAATCTTCTTTAACAAAAAATTTCACATTTTAAAAACTATCAAAAACGCCTAGGGACCACAAATAATTTCCAACAGAAATTTCAAAGCCCAAAATCTCAAACATAGCAGCTTCTGGAGTGTTTCAACTCAAATTTTTTCAATTCCAAGACGAAAATATGATCAATTTTCACAAAAAAAATCGCGAAATTCTATATAAAATCCCTTTAAATTCGTCGTCTCGACCAACCTCTGCTTCCTGATAACCGCCATTTTGCCAGTCTGCTCATCGATCGCAATGATTCTCGCCGATTTCGACGCCGCGCCGCAAACCACAACATCATTCTCCACATTTATGTCCATCTAATATTAAAACAAAAATTTCATAGGCTTCTTTGCAAAAAATCGAACAAAACTCAAATATTTTCGCAAAAATGTACGAATAAAAAATACGACGAAAAATGAAAACAAATCGGATAGAATAAATACAATTTATTAGTGAAATATTCGAATAATAAGTGAATTATTAAGACAATAATAATACATATTTTTAATATTATTCAACCAAAATAAGAACAAGCATTAAATAAATTTCTTTTTTGGTTTTTTTCTCTCATTTTCAATTACAAATCAGTATCATACCAATTATTATGCTGATTATGCGACGAGCCGTTCAATGCCGCATTGATCGACTCCGAATGTCCGCCGTCATTCGTCGGGTACATTTCGGCGAAAAGCTCGCGTTCGAGCCCATCCCTCTGCCAATCAGCTCCAGTTGCCACGTCGTAGTCGTAAGACTGCAAAATTTGGCAAATCGTCACAAGACCTTCCCGAAATTGTAGGCGATTCAAAAATTTGACTACACTATCGTTTAGTAGGTATGCTCGCTCTCTAGCGCTTTTTGAATTTCGTGTCAAATCCAATAATTTTATATTTTCATTTCATATAAGCATAATGCCTAGATCTACAAAAAGTGGATCTTAGCGCGAATAAAAATTTCGAATATTGCAGACAATTTCGCTCTATTGCACTTGGTGATTTTATATAAAAAGCTTTGAAGTTTTGACAAAAAACCCTCTCCATCTCAAACCAGTCAATTCCCATTTGAAAATTGTATAAAAGCTGTTAAATGCTTCATATTAACTTGAAAATTTAAAAAAAAAGCGCGCAATTCAAAAAAAAAATCACGAAAAACAAGTTGGTCCCTTTAAATTTTCAACAATGGGTCCGTCGACGACGAACCAAACAAAAAAAAACTCACATTGATCATGCTCGCTTCTCCATCTCTCTTCAAGTTGTTCAAAACGCCATTCGCGTACGTCGCCACCGCTTTGTGGCGCGAAGTTCGCGCGTCGATGAGAAGCGCGGTGACACCGCAATCCTCGACAGCTCGCGCGCCGTCGGGCCTCTTGCTCAACTGGTACAGTAATCCGAGAAGCTCGCGCTCCAACAGCTCGTCGTCGTTCGACGACACCTCGGGTCGCGCCAACAACCGAACGATCAACTCCAAAAACGGCGGCTGATCGGGATTGCCCGGTTGTCCGCGATCGTCGCAACAACTCGCCGCCACCGCCGGATGGTTCGCCAATTGGTGCAGCGCCGACACCGCGCCCTCGATGACACCCCACATTGGAACGCCGTCGACCTCAATATTCGGATTCTCGTCGATCGCAATGATCGCGCGTCGGAGAATATCAATAGTCAACGATATGACCGTATCGCCATGAGGGGTTTGCTCCTAAACGCAAATCGATCAAAACAAAATCGAGTTGTTCGTCAAAACCTGCGTGAGTTCGATAAGATTCGCCGGCAGAAGAGCACTATTCCGAATCACACCAAGAGCCGCTTTGATCACCGGCGTTCGAAGTGTCGCGAGCTGATCGAGAACCACCGGAAACGCGCGGCACAGTCGCAGCTCATTCTGCGCCTCTTCGGCCAACGAATGTCTCGCCGTGCAGTGTCGCAGCGCGCACAACGCCGGCTCGGTGGCGTCCTCGACTTCGGGGAATCGTCGAATCGCCGTCACCAGCGCATCGATTCCGCGATGCGAGCAAACCGTTTGTTTGTTTCGCATATTGTTGCACGTCAGATTGCTCAAGATTCCGCAAGCGCACGCCGTCATCCCATCATTCGCCGTTTGAACAACTTCAAGAAGTTTGATGACCTGAAAAAAAAAAAACACGGAAATGTTCAAGAGACGAAAGGGAAACGCTTATTACAAGCGGCGTCAAGTTTTCCTCATTCGTCGCCGAATCCGACAAATTTCGCATCGCAACAAGAATCGCCGTCTGCGATCGCTCGTCGGTAGCGCGGCAGAGCTCGCCGTGAAGAGCCGGAAGGCATCCTGAATTCAAAACCATACAATTTCATTTAAAAAAAAACAACACTCGAATTTCGTACCGAGGCTAATCAAGGCGGGTTTGTTGCGCGGACACACCGACAACGATCGAATGCATCGAATCACCGTGTACATCAGTTTGCGATGTTCGGGATAGGCCCTCAAAATTGTCACCAAAATTTGCGGACCGCTCAAACTCAAAAACAGCTCCTTCGACGGCAGATCGTCGATGAGCAAGAAATACAAACTGTCGGCGACTTGCGCGAGAAGTTTCGGATTCGATTTGTGCAGGTGCGGCGTGAGTGCCTCGATCGCGTTGAGCGCTCGCGCCTGCACTTTCGTGGCTTCGACGTGCATCAGCAAATTGCGAAGTGTGGTGACCGCATAGTGAACAACACTCTTCAAAAAAAAATAGACAGTAAAAAATATTGTTTCTAAAAACCAAAATAAAAATGGAAACCTCATGAGGATCATAAAGCATGCGAATGATCTCCGCCAATCCGCCGCTTCTGAAAATCAGCATCGGTCCGCCGCGCTGCTCAGACATATGGAATAGTGCTCCCATCGCATTTCGACGAGCATTCACATTGCTGCTTCTAGAAACAAATTATTGATTGGTTTTTTTTCAGGTTTCGGACATCTGGCACAATTTTTGCAAAGAAAAAATCGAAAATTTTCGGCAAAAATTTGACGACAACAATAAAACGCAGTAGAGATTCTCAATTCAAAAAAAAATATGTATAAATCACCTTGACGCATTGATAAGCGCCTCGATCAATCGCGGATTTTGCGCAATCGACGGGTCTTCGCGCGACAACAAATACACACGATGAACCGCTCTCGCCACCACCGACTCGTCATGATCGCACATGAGCTCGACGAGGTCCGGCAGCGACAATCCCGTCATATCATTGCTTCCTTCATACGTCAAAAGTGTCATCACCGCGTCTTTGAGTTGACGCGTCGGCATTTGCATCTGAAAATTTCGCATTTTATCTTATCAATCGCCCGAAACAAACGAAAAAAATATATATATAAACGATATTCGGTGACGAACCAGTTCAATGATCGAATTCGACGATGTCGTCGCGTTCGCTGCCGAAATCGGCGGTGTCCAATCCGGAAACATTGCCGCGCGTATACGAGATGTCCTCGACTCGATTCCGTTCGCATCTGAAATATCAAATTTCAGAAATTCGGCTGGAATTCATTTAATTGTCGAAGAAAAAATATTTTGAACCCAAATGTTCGAAAAAAAAAAGTATTTCATAGCTTCTTAAAAATCTGAAAATGACAATTAAAGGCGCACATAGAGAAAATGCTGAAAAGAAAGCAAAACGGCTACCAATATTTTCACTCCAAGACCCTTGGAATCATAAAAGAAAAAATGATCTTTTTTTTTTCAAGAAAATTGCCAAAATCTCACCTCCATAAGCCGACGTGCCATATTCGGAGTGGCCAGGACGCAAAAGCATCTGCAAAAAAAAAACACGAGATTAAAACATTTCCGCAAAGTGTGATTTTGAAAAAAAACTACGATATATCTGCGATTCGAAACACGCAAAAAAAATCAACCTCAAATATCGAAAAGGTACAATTTATTCACATTTTGAATTTCTATAAGAGACCAAAAAAATCGAGATTCTTTACGACAATTAAGCACACGTAAGATGATGAGTCAGAAAAAAAAATCAAGGAAAGAGCAGCAAAAATCAACAAACAGAAACGAATGGAAACGACAACAATTCAATCAATACAATGTGCAGTTGAGAGGCGGAAAAGAAAGAGAGAAACGAGACCGGCGAGGGCCGGGCTGAGATAAGCCGGCCGAAAGGTCACCAGATTCGGACGAACGATGAGATTGAAGTGAACCATCCGCCTTTGGTGCCGCCTCCTGATGCCGATTGGGCCATCTCATTCGTTATCACACAACTCGCCGGATCCACATTAAGCACGTCGTCGTCGAGATAATCCGGATAGTCGACGGTTTTGTACTGCAAATTGGGATTGTTCGCGCCAATTGGGTTGGAATAATACGACGATTTCACACGACAAACAAAATCAAATCAGAAATTGAAAATGACAAATCCGAAACCGGACAGATTTGAGATTTTATGTCGGCCAAATTGCGATTTCAAGGATTTCAGGATTGGCAAAATTTCAAATTTTCGACGAAAAAGAAAGAATTTCGATAGTTTTTATCCAAAAAACAAATTTTAAAATTTTTTCTGCATTGAAATTTTTCTTTCCATTAACGAATTTTCTTTCCAGCAAAATTTGAACACCAAATTTCCTTCAAAATTAGACCAAAATCTTCTCGATTAATACTTTTGGAAGAAAAATCACATTTGAATCGAAATTGAAACAATTTTTGACAAATTCAATTTCTCTGAGGTGAAAACTTGCTATAAAAACGAATAAAAATTATCGTTTTACTTATAGAAACCAAATGTTTAAATTTGTGAGTTTAAAAAATAAATTTTTTAATTTGTTTAAAAAATGAAATGTGTTAAAAAAAAATAACAAACTAATTAAATTTGCTCACCTTTTGCTCAAAATCGCTAGCGTACATTTCGAATTTCTGCTCGACTCCTTCAATTTTCACAATTTGAGCAACATACTCACATCCGCATGAGAAAATGAGCTGTGCGACCTCCTAGAAAAAAAATTTAGTCACCTCTATTGAGGAAAATCTTCAATTTCAAACCTTCGGCTCAATGTTTGGCGATGCTCTGAGCACAGCTCGCGGATGTTGAGCCATATCCGTCAAATATACACTGATAATTCCTTTCTTTTGAAGTAACGCGCGTTCCAAGTCGCGTTTTCGGGACTGGAATAAATATGAAAATTCATATTATGATGTTTTCAGAAGATTTGCTCGAAAAGATCCAAGAGAACATTTTGTAAACTCTTTCTTTTGCGAGTCTTAAAAAGAATTTCACCGCGAAATTGAAATAATTCCGCAATTTGCCAAATGAAAAACAAATCTACCTCATTAAATTCATCCGAATCGAATTCAAACACGAGTTGCTTCGATTTTCGTCCGACAAACTTCCTGTGTGCTGTTGCACCCTTGTCCAGCTCCTTGACAGCGCTGACAAGCGGCTCGAGCGCCGCCGCTTCTTCTTTGGCCTTCAGCGAGTTCTCAACAGCTCGGAGTCGACTTGAAACGAGCATCAGGTTATAATTAACGCTAGGCGAGGTGATTTTCTCGCACGCCGCCGACAACGCATCCATTAGTTTGTTGGATTTGAGAAGGACGGCGGTGTCGTCAGCCTGCTCAGTGAGCAGCAGTAGAATCTGCAAATTTTCCCATTTTCAAACCACTTTTCTTGACAATTCGTGATGGAACCTTCACGACGTATCGAATTACATCAGGACTCTCATCGGATAATAGCGAGGGAAGTGTGTTGGCAAACATTTTATCCTTAAAAAAACATTTTTCGGGTCGCAAAATCATTTCCAGTTTACTTTGAGCACAATCGCGCGATTCTCGGGCTTCTGGCATAATTTATAATAAGCGCGGATAGTTTTCACTTTTTCCGCATTCTCAGACATGCCTTATTCCTGAAAAAACGGCAAAAATTGTCTAAAATACACGCAAAATTTGAATTTTGGCAGCAAAAAAGTGGGCGTGGCCAGTAGACGCAACATGCGGCACGCACTTGTTGAGACAACGCGGCGTCTACTTTTATTTATATCGCATCTTTGCTCGCAAAAAATAAACAAGAAATTGTTTATTTCCAATAACAAGAACAAAAAAAATAACAAAACAATGGTACAATATATTTTCAATTCAGACCTCCATTTTTATAGCATTTCCCTGCTTTCGCTTCTGGAAATCAAAAATTCGTTTAGGAAAAAAAAACACTTTGTTCAAACCTTAAATTCGCAGGGCAGGGCAAACAATATACCGGCTTCACCTCCCGCAAAAATAGTGGGTCTGAAAAATGCAAAATTTTGCAAGATTTTCAGGTTTTTTTCTACATTTTCGACGAAATCGACGTATCAACACAATTCAACGACTCGATTCTCTGATCGCGGCACGTCTGAGGTGTCTGATAACGCGATAGCTGAATAAAGAAGCATTTTGAAATTCGCGAGAAAAATTTCCATCAGAAAACCTGCTCAAATTCGATTTCCAGCCACATATTACTACAAACGCTGTCATGCTCAAAACACGTCGGCTCGATGGCGGCCGTCGGAGGTTCGTCGCCGGCCTCCTCGCAAATCTCCTGTTTGATTCCAACAACCATCGGCTCATTTTCAACGCGTTTTCTGCAAACTCAATAAAATTCATTAAAACAAAAAGCATTTCTCTCATCAAATGACACGAAAACCTCGTCAGAATCATCAAATTCCGGTGCAAATTGCAATTCGCCGCAAGCGTTTCGCCAATAATCGGCAATTTGCCGAATTGCGACGCCTGGATTTGACCGTCAACGCCAACCGTCACCACGTATCCCGTGTTCAATTGAACGGCAATGTCCCAAATCATTAGCTGATGGCTTTAAATAGCGAAATTTGGAAAATGTTCGCGCTTTCTGGAAAAAGTCGCGCTTCTGCGGAAAATTGGCAAAATGCCAAAAAAGCAAAACAATGACAGTGGTCTTGGCGCGCAAAACAGAAAGTGTCGATTTACGGGCCGAGCTTAAAGGCGCCCACCGAGACCTCTTTTCAAATACATAGTTTGCCAATTTTCCACAGTCGTGCGACAATACCAGTTCATCAGCGGAATCAGCACGTATCGCTCCTCGCCGTCCATTATCGAAATGAACGAGATTCCCATCGAATTCGGCGCCGGAAATGAATTGTACTCGGACTGGAACGTGAAGAGACCCTTGAAAAGTCGCGGCTCGCAAAAAACGCGAGATCCTACAAAAATTCGAGTGCCAAAAAAAATGATGGATGGCTTTGGAATCAGGGTTGTGCGGCAATCGGAATTGCCCGAGAAAAATTTCGTTCGGCAATCGCCGAATTTCGATTTCCGCACAGTACTGGTTTGAACTTTTTTTTTTGAAGCTGTGCGGCAATCGGAAATTTCGGCAATTCGGCAATTTGCCGAAAATCAAAATTTCGGCTATAAATTGTTTTCAACGATAATTGAAATATAAATACCGAATTTTCACGGTATCGCAAATTATTCAATGGACATTGATTTTTATTTCGCCGATTTTTTTGATATCAAATTGCCGAAAATATAAATTTCGGCAATTCGATTTCCGCACAGCCCTGGTTTGAACCCGGGCTGTGCGCCAATCAGAATTTTTAACAAATTGCCGAAATATATATTTTTTTGCAATTGATTGCCCGAAAAATCCTCAATAAGGTTCTTCAATTTGATATTTTATTTTCAAATTTGTATTGAATGAAAATTTCTTCGTCAATTCGTTTCATTTATAACTTCTACAAATTTTGCACGTTAAAATCTTTGAGAAGGCGTAGCCAATTTTGATGGTCCGTAAATTGACAACTAGAAGTTTGCACAGGTAGCGACCTACATCAATCGATTCGAAATTTTCGAAAGAATCTGTATGCAACCAAAAATAAAAAATTTTTTTATAGACGAACACTAAAATGAGTGAAATGCCATGAATACCGTGAAAATTCGGCGTTTATTATTATTACGAATAAAAATTGAAAAATTATAATCGGAAAATTTTGCGAGAACAAGAAGCTTCGGGAAATCTTGCAAAAAACGTTATTTTCCGCTACAAAAATATTATTAAATATAAATATTCCGGAACCTATTTTTCTGAAAAAAAAAGCGGAAAAATTTTCGTAAATCCCTGATTTGACCCAAAAAAAAAAAAAAACAAAATACCTGCAGTTTTATTCGTATTTTCTTCAATTCCCGACACAAAATCTACAATATTGATGACACGGACCATTCGTTCGCGGAATCCGACAGCAACTGGAATGAAAAGATCAATTATCGCAATGAAAATTTCTCGAAAACTGGGGAAATAGTTTTGTGAATAAAAATAAAGTAAGTTTTCATGAGAAAACACTTAAAAAAAATGGAAATTTCGAATTTTTTCTAAACAAAAAATCGTGAAAAACTCTCCAATCTGGTCGAGTTTTGGAAATTTGCGGAAATAAATTCGAATTTTGCCACCCAAAAAAAAATCTCACCGCTATTTCCATCCAAAAACGCGACATCCCACGCCGGCGACGCCCAACTCGGATCCACGTGGATCGTCGGATTCTCCAGACTCTTGCGCAGATCCCACAGAACAAGTGCGCCGCATGCGTTGACGGCGACGAGATACGCTCCGTTGGTCTCGGCACTCCACGAGATTTTCGTGATCGGAGGCCGACCGATCGCCAGTCGCTCAATTATTGTCTCATTCTCCTTCTAAAAAAATATATATGTGACTCTAATTTGAATTGTTTCACCCGTCAATCGCCGCGAGACCCACGCGACTTTAGAATTATGGAATTAAAGGATCATGGGTCTTCTGGCGACTGATTAATCCGAATATTCAATAATTCAGAATTTTTCGTTTTGGATTTCAATTTTTTAAATAATTTCTTATTTTTTTCTAAAATAAAACTAAAATTTTGAAAATTTACAATTTTGATATAATATAAAGAAAAATGAGGAAACTACAACGATCAGTCTGCTAGGCACTTTCAAATCATCAACCAATTGGTGAATTCACCAACTGACTACATAAATTTTCAATTCTATCAAAATTTCCATCAGTGGACATTTCAAAGCAAAATAATTTCGAAAAATTCGCGTTTTTTATTCTTTTCTCAAAAAGTCTACCTCTTCCTCAACCGCTGCCGAATCCAATCCATCAAGCGAAACCTCCGGCTGATTCAGAATCAAATGCGGCTCGGCCGTCACAATCCGCGTGCCGTCGCCACGATTCTCGAGCTCCACCGTGCTCGAGTCAATCCGATAGATGAGAACTTGTCCCAATGTCGTCGACAGCGCCAGATATCCGATGATGCCCGAGTCATCCGGTATATTGAGCCAAACGCTGTGCATTACAGTTCCGCGATTCTCAAGAAACAGTGAGAACCAATAAATGAGTTGTGATCTGAATTAGAAAAATACAACAATGACAATTTTTGACGAAAAAAAAACTGGAAATGCGATCACCTTGAAGACCTATCATCGATGCGGTGCCTCCAAAAGTGTACGATGCTCGAATCGCTTTCGAATCTCGTCTCGCTCTCGAATGTCGTACAGCAAATCACCTCATCGCCTAAAAAAATCATTTTTTAGAGATTTGAATATTATATATATTTAGACAGGCTAAAAGCCAACAAACTGAGGAAGAGGTCTTGGCGCGACGCGCCTTTAACCTTTCATTTCCAAATATACACATTGGCAACATCTCTCACAAATTTTTGTGCCATATTTCAACTGGCCCGACCAAAAAAAAATTCAAAAATTTTCAATGTTTATTTGAAACGAAATCAGAGGAATTCCCGAGTTTAAAGGCGCGCAACATTATTGAAGTCTGGTCTCGCGGCAACCGATTCCAGATCGGTCACAAAAATCCACTTTAATAGCTACGAGACTCAACTCATTTTTGGGGGGTTGTGATCCTTTAAACAATTTCATTTTTTTTCGACGATCAAACAGACAACTTTGCAAGCACTGAATAGTTCCATTAATTAAAATTCGTCGCACTTCGTTAAAAAAAATTTTTGACATTGAAATTTGCACCAACATTTTAGGATTTCTGAAGCTTTGTGGATACGGTAACTAAAGGCGCACGACGTTATTGGAGTCTGGTCTCGCGACGCACAAAACTCAAAAATAAATCCAATTTTATAATTTTCAGGGCCAAAGAATTACTCGCTGTTTAAAAAAAATTCAAGGCGCATACCATTCGGCATCGCGTTCGGTGCCACTTTGACAGAATTGATCGGCGCCCCACAATACGCCGCCGTACAATAGCCAGAGCTCGTCGGCTCATCAATCAATTGCGATTTGAGGGCGTCAATTCGAATTCCGTCGGGCACTCGACTCATCAGCTTCTTCGTTTTCTGTTTGCAAATCGTCACCGATTTTCTCCTCAAAATCTCGCGAAAGCTGCTTCTGAAACGGGCATTAAAAAAAAATCAAAATTTCAAAAAAAAAAAAAAAATAATCGCGTACCCTTCGGGAAGTTGCGTTGCCGTCCAAATCGCCGGCTGCAAATTCGCCAAAATCTCGCAATATTCGACGCGTGCGCTTCGCCATTTCGCCATCGCCGCCTTGCACGCCTCTTCGTATTTGCGCTGCTCAATCTTGTTCGGCCGCATTGTCGAGTCGCGCGACAGCACCGATCGCCGATAGCTGTATTTCACGGTGCCGTGACGATTGACCGATGTTCGCGGTGATGGTCCGACTTTCTGAAATTCGATTTTTGAGTGGTTTCAAGACAAAACAATACTGATATTTTCTTTTTAGGATGTTTTAAAAATCAAATTAAACTTGATGCCAAATTTTGACACGAGAAATAGTTTCGCCGCAGGACCTCATTCTGCATTTAAAGGCACATACTAAATAGGGCTTCATTTTTGCCGAAATTTTTCTCAAAAATCAAAAAGCTCCTTTAAATCCGGTAGTCCGACAAGAGAGATTAAAAAAAACATGAAAATGACTCACATTTCCGGCAGAAGCAGCTTCCTGTGGCAACCTGAAACAAAAAAAAACTGAGCGTCGAAGTAAGTCGAAATTGTCCGCAGCACGATATAGATAAATCACGCAAAATTTCAAAACAAGTGAAGTCCCATTCGGTATTGGCGTGGAAAAAAATGAGCAACTTACGAGTCCTTTTTGTTCTGCACCAATTTCTCGGCGCATTCGAGAAGATGCTCAGCGCTTTCGCCTCCTTTGCCGACAAATCCGCATCGATAGCACTTCCAGGGCTGCTCCTCAAATCAAATCTCGATTTCAAAAAAAAAAAAGCAAATCGACGAGTGGGAAATGAAAAGAAAACAAAAATTGGACCAACATCTTTATCAATATTGCATCGATCGACGTGATATTGAAGGCCGTAGGCATGAGCAAAAAGTCGATCGCAATCCAGACACGGCACCTCGCCGGTTTTGCTGTAGGCGATCGCGTCGCGAATCAGTTTTCGGCGCTCATCTGGCGTGAGACCGCGGAACTCATCAATCTTCGACTGGAAATGCGATTTTTTCCAGAAAATTTCAGCCAAATCTCTCAATTTCGATTAAAAATGTGCAAATTTTTGGGGAAAAAAGTTCAAAAGAGACATCATAAATTATTTTGCTCGGAGATTTACGTCTCGCGCGGACCATCTAATTATTTTGCTATTTTTTTTTGGATCGCTTTGATAATTTTTAAATCGAATGAAAAAAAAATGTTGCGAGACCTTTTCAAGGCGCATGCGCGTAAATCGACTCTACTATACCTTATAATTATAATACATCGGTTGAATGCAACTGTTGAGATGTTTCACGAGCTTTGTCGCCGTGTCAAAACTTTTCGAGCAATTCTGCAACACCAAATAAGGCGCGATTATTTCGAGATATTCGAGACCTCTCCAAAACACTCAAAGGGTTTTCGCAGAATTCTCGAGATCGTCTCGGTTTTCTTGTTTTCCGGCACGTTGAGCCATAAAAATGGGTTCTTCTAGAGCGCAAAAATTTTGATTTTTTTACTGCATCCAAAAAAATTCTACTTGATAGTCCGGCAAAGTCGTCGTTTCCGGATCGACCGCCTCGATTTTGCTGCGTCGTCCGCCCGACGACACCTTCGTTACTCCATCGCACTTATTCAGATGGCCGTTGAGACCGTTGCCGGTCACAAACGTTTTCGGGCACATTAGACATTTCAGACTGTTTTTCGCTTTCGAATATTTCAGACAGGCTGCAATTTGTTGATTTTGAAGACCCCCCAAGAAGAGGATTTCAAAAACAAAAAAAAAATACTTGTCAAAAATCGATTTCGCTCGTCTTGTGGAATTTTGTTGAAAAAATCGAGTCGGCCCTGAAATTCGAAAATGTCCGCAGATGAAAATCGTTATTGGCAATCGATTTTTGGTTGTGAAACTCGCAACGATTTTCATGACTTTTACGTGAAATCCGAATTAAAAAAAAAAACCACCCTCCTTTAAAATCTCGCAAAAATTTAAAACTGGCAGAGAAAATATGACAGTTTCTTGAGAAATTCTTATGAATTAGAGCCCAAAATTCGAACTTTTCAAATTATTTTCGAAATTACTGAAAAATGTTCTTTCAAAAATCTTTAAATTTTCATATTTCAGATAAATTTTGGAAAATTTTTCAGCTAAATAAAAATCTTATCAATAAAATCATTTGAAAAAGACTTAATTCTTTTTTTTTACCTACAAACAATTAAAAATATTGAATTTTTCATTAGAAATTTTGAGTCTAAAATCACGATATTTTCAATTTTTATTATCAATAGGTCACAATTTCTTTTAAAAAAGTTCAATTTTCAGCTAAGATCGTCAAATTCTTAACTTTTCCAAAAAAAAAACTGATATTTCAGGAAAAAAATGCAAAAAATTACATATTAAAATCCCTAGAATTTTAAGTTTTAAAGAATAATCAATTTTAAGTGTGTTAATATAATTTTGGCATTTTCAGTGCCAAAATTCTCAAATAAAATCCGAAAAAAAAATTCAAAACCAAAAAGAGCATACATGAAAACTGGAATACAATTCAAAGCATTGTTTCGCGGTGAGACCATCCTCGGAAATCGAGAAGCTGAAAACCTCATCGCTTTCCGGCGTCACACGCTCCTCCTTGATTCGTTTTCGCGGCAGGACCATTTGCTAAACAAAAATTTTGCAGGCGGCAATTTCAAAAATCTAAGATAATCAAAGGTCCCATCAATCCTGATTTTTTTTTCGTCGAATTTTCTCTTTTCTTAAAAATTTTATTGCATTTTTGTCACATTAATGGCAAGAAATGTTGAATGAATAAATAAAATCAAACAAAATTTGTTCAGATTGATTGAATAAATAATAGAAAAATTCGCAATAATGTTTCGGGAATGAATGAATGAGCAAAGAAATTATGTTAGAATTCAAGAATTATGTTGTTCTTTTCCGGTTTCAGCGTCTCCGTCTTTTCTAGTGCACATTCACATCTGGTGCGAGACCCTTCTGTCGAATGTCGGCCAAAACTCGCTCCGGAATTGTGTGAGTCTTCGTTGGCGATTGCAGAGTCTCGCGTTGATTTGTGAACAAATTTAGTTGCTCCTAAAAATTTGCAAAAAAAATTAATCGCAAATTGCGGCATTTTTTGAAAAATTTTCTCGAATTCGCAAATTTTTTTTCAAATTTTAATTTTCTTTCTCCATAATTTCTAGTGGTTGTTGAGAGAAAAAATTCCAATGTTTTCTTATAAAAATTTTATCGCTAAGAGAAAATAAGTTTTTCGCAATAAATTATAATATTTTTTTGGAAAATTTCCGCTCTAAATTTCAAACTTCCATTTAAGAATTTTCAAGCATATATTTTTAATGAAAATTTTTTCACATCCTATTTTCAGACATAAAAAGTATCAATCTAAAACATTCTTATTTTAAAAAAGTTCTACAATTTTATAAAATTAAGTTTTTTTTAAATCATTTCTCAAGCAATTGTTAATTTTATCGACACAACACTTTTTTGTTTAAAAAAGTAAAAAATGTTGAAAATTTTGCTTCTACTTTTCAAAAATCAATTTTCTGTTCTAATTTTTCAAAAAAAAAAACAGAACAGCCATTTATCAAAAAAAAGAATCATTTACCAAAAAACGCCAAAATCAAACCTTATAATGATGGATTATGTCCTGATCAGCCGGACAACTCTCGATAAAAGCGGCTGTGCGATACGCAGTGAGCACATAATTCCACAAATACGTGAAATTGTGCGGAATGTCAAATCTACAACGAAAAATCCAAATTCGGGGGCATTATCGCGTCAAATCGCGATGGAGCACATTTGCACTACCATCACAACTCACCCAAGCAGCGATTGGCCGATAATGCGAATATGATGAAGGCGTGGCATCAGTTCGCAGTCATACTCAGTCATACTATTTCCTAGCAAATATCTGCTATTACGCTCAGCAAGAAGCTGAAAAGTTTGCAATTTCTTTTCAAATTTCATGTAAAATTCGTCAAAAAACCTGGTCAATATTCGACAATTGCTCGCAAACTCGATTATAGTGCACTTTAATCTGCGACGGGAGCTCCTCGACCGTCGATGGCACCTTTTTCCCTTTGTCATAGTCGACTTTGGCGCGAAGGAACAATTTGAAATTGCGATAAAGGTTCTCAATTCGCTTCTCCACCGACGGGTCCTTCTCGAAAAGCGGCACATTGAATTCTTTGGCCAAATGGAAGATTCTGCCCTCGATCTCACGATTGTCTGTGTAAGTTTGCTCCCTGAAATTGGCGCCAAATTCAAAACAAAAAAAAAACAAAATCGTTCTACTTCTCCTCCTCGATCATAATTGGTGGTTGAGCTCCGAGGAAATTCTTCTTGAACGCTTCCGAGTTCACATTCACAGTTTTGACTTCAACTCGAGCAACGCCGATCTCGTAAAGCGCGTACAATTCCATCCAAAACTCTTGGCAGAACAAATCGGCGCCGATGCGGCGCGCGTCAATTCCCGACGCCTACAACAATCGGGCATTTTATCAAAATTCAAACAAATACAAATGAGTCATACCTTGACATACAACTCCAGCAGCGGTTTCGACGCGGCGTCGCCGTTCGATTGCACTTGATAGGCGTCAGCCATCTGAAAAATCGGCGAATGTTTTGCACATTTTCGAACAAGCGCGAAATTTGAAATTCGAAATCGGTGCGCGCACCGCGACGCGAAATTACGGACCGACGATGCAAGTGAGAATCGCCAAACTACTGCATATCATTTGTGGCGCGCCGACGGCGTTCGAATGCATAATCGAAATTGTATCGCGGGTCTCACGAGGCAGTATGATTGTGATGTTGGTGAAAACGCTATTAGCACTATCTCTTTTGACTATACGTATAATATATGCAATAAACGGGAAATGCGTTTGAAATGCTATTTTTTTGTTTAATTTGCTTCTTAAGTATTACACGCTATTCAATGGAAAAAAGAAACAGAATACAAAAGGAATGTTTAAAAAAAAGCAAGGTAAAACAAAAAATTTCAAAAAAAAAATGAAATTTAATTTTTCTCAAACTCAATGTGTTACTGTACCTTAAAAGTCCGCAAGCGCTACACCTGACGGCAACATTTTTGAAATTCTTTTTCAAAAAAGACGCGTAACAGAAAAAAACGGAAATGACAATGCAAAACTGGAATTGAAAAGAGGGAGGGAATGAGAGATCGAGAGTGAAATGGCGGATTCACATATATATATATCGAAATATGTACGAAACACGGATGAGAATCGAGAGGAAAAAGAAAACGAGAACCGATTTACAGTGCGCATAAATGAACTAGGCGAAGATGTCGAAGATTATCTGAATGTGTTTCGACATACACACATCAACAAATTAATTTCGGCATGGACTGGATCAATACGGCAAAAAAAAGAAACGCTTGCTAAATAAATAATTTTGGCGTCGAATTTTAATATTTATAAACAAAAAAAAGGGCGAATGGGCAATTGTTCACTGGAAGACCGAAAAAAAAAAACGAAGCGTTTTCGTCATTCATAATTGAAGAGACCGGAAAACGATTGCATAACCGCCTCCAGCCACCACCGAATCGGGTTCGGCCTGTCAGATATATAAAAGATACACGGCGGAAATTAATTTGGGGCGTTCCAATCTTCTCATTCATCTGGCATCGATCCAAAAACCATATACGGGACGAATGATATCTATTCGTTTATTGCGCACTCTTTGATCTATGCGCTATTTTCGAATGTGTCATCGACAACATTGTAATTATGCGCGATTTGCAAATTTTAATCATTTAATGTTATTGAGCGATCGCTTTGTAGAAAACATCATAAACGACAAAATGGGCAAAATTGGACACGGCGGGGGACAGAAATAGAAAATTCGAAAATTCGCAACAAGTAGGTCCGCATTGCGGACTCATGCGCCACATCCGACGACACCACCACAATTGACGACAGTTTCGCATGGATTATGAGATTCGTTGTGTGCACTTGAGCACCGTGACCGTTCCGCCTAATGATTTTCTCAAATATACACAATTGCGGTGTGATTTCAAAACCATTTTTAGTGCCCGAGTAAACGTGGGTGGTTGTGATAACAAAAAATGTGTATACCAAAAAAAAATGGAAAGTGAACGCTTTTGAACGATGACTATTTGTTTAGGTAAATGCGTCCCTGCGCAAATTTTTTTTGTTAGGGGAAGACACACACTGAGACGCTTGATTGATAAATGGGTGGCAACTTTGTCTTTTTAATATAATTTTTTCAAAATAAATTTTAAAAATCCGCGTAGACACCAAACTTGTTGAATTTTTCACGAAAAAAAAATGCTCAACGAGAAATTGTGTGCAAAATTGCGTCAGCGTGCATACACGGCGGCGGATTGGTTCACAATTTCAAATGTCAATTTTAAATTTTGCGAAAATGCTTAATTTCTCAGCGTGGCGGCAGAAGCGGGCGGCGCAATTCAACACGATGACATCGAATTCGACTCGCGATCTCGAGATTCGATGCAAAACCGAGATATTGGCCAAAAAAGGCGCGATAATAATCGCAGGGTGTCACATACACACACACAAAACGCGTCGGCCCCCAAATAACAAAACAGCAATACAGAAAAAAAAAACTTTGGCGGCGGCGCCCGATATGAATACATACCGCCTATTTATGCAAATTTATATGATATAACATACCGTTTTTCATATTGGTATAATACATGCAATTGTTCAAAGGGCGGTTCGTATAATATCAAAAAGAACAATATTTTATTGGCGGGAACCGGATGAGTAATGCAACATCTGCCGAAATTTAACAGTGTTTTTGTAATAAATATTTTCAAATAGTTCTATCTTATATATTGAAATTCATCTGCGGACAATGGTAGTGGGGGGGGGGCTAAAAAAGGATATGCGGACATTGATAGAGGATCGCCGACGCATTACCTTAAAAAATTGACTTGATGCCAATAGGAAGCAACGAAAGTCGCCGCACTATATATAACTAATATAAAAATGCATCTGCGGACACTCATCGAGGTTGGGCGACACCGGTCAACATTGATCAAAAATTTGCAAAAATGCACAGCGAAAACGAAACGACGCGTTTCTTCCCAGAGGAGCCGAAAAAAAAAAGATTGGGCATCGAATGCTCAAATAGGAGCATCATCGTGTGTTTGTTCTGCTCCGCTGTCTGTCGATTTTTGTGTACATTTTCAATACGAGTTTTTTGGGGGGTCGAATCTTCCTCGCAAAAATAACATTTCTATTTATCCGCTAATCGTCAAAAAAAAAAACAAACAAACAACAAGAAAAAGAGCAAAAAATGAGCGCAAGAACAAACCAAACAAATAATTGGCGGGAATTCAAAATAACAAAAATCTAACTGAAGAAATAAATCGACTTTTTGACTTCTTCGATATCGAGCTCTCCGGGCTCGACCTTCACCGTGAACATGTCCTCATACTTCTCTAGCTCGTGCTCAGGAAGCACCTTTCTCATGCTCTCCGTCAAATACGTTTTTTTGAGCCATTCGGAGCATTGCTCGACGATCGGCTGTGAGTGAAGATCGATGAATTGTTGGCGGCAGATCGCGTTCATCTCATCCACCGAATTCGCGTGCGTCCAAAAGCAATCGTGGACGGCGGCGAACGTCAAACCGCGACGCGCGCAATTCAATGATGTCAACATCATGTGCGTCGAGTCGAGCGAATGGACGAAATTCGGCGGGAATGCCGAGATCTGAAACGAAAATATGGCTGAATCAAGTAGATCAAAAATCAAAAAAAAGCTGTTGGATCCAATTCGGAATGCACTTCGAATTCTCGCGAAATATCAAATTCGATGATGATCTCACCTGCTTCATCGGAATCGGCGCCAATACCAGTTTGCCCTTTCTCTCAACAATTCGACAATACGGCTGAACGACGGGCAATCCCAGCGGTGTGATCCATTCAACGGTCTTCATCAACTCGCTGGTCCCTTTCGCGCACAATCGGAACCAATCTTTGAGGGCCCTAAATAATGAAAATCCCCAATCATCGAGGCCAATTCAATAATTTACATCGAGCTTTTGAATGCGTCATCGAGACTGGAGAACGTCTTTCGCGCCAGATATCTGGCAAATAACGCGCACTGAAAAAAAAACCGAAAATTTCTGGCAGAAAAAATTGATTTTCCCGCCAAAAATTGCCTTTAACATCTCATTTTCAATCAAAACTTGCTCACATCATCATAATCCATATTCATCGCTTTGAGTTGCCGCTTGATCTGCTGAACCGCTCCGTACATCGTCACCCCATAAACCGTTGTCATCACCGTCTGTTTGATCACCTTCCTCGGCACATTCTGCGGCAGCGCCTCTCTCAACTTCCGAGCCACCACCATATCCTCACCCCTTCCACGCTCATCTTCCAGCCGCTTCTGCTCAACTCTAAATTCGAGCATCCCAAAATGGGCAAGCTTTTGCTCACGTACCGTTTAGCAACATCCGAGTAGACATCATTGGGTAGATCGCATTTGGTCAGGTTCACCTGAGTGCCGCCTTCTCGGTCACGTCCCAACGCCGCGTAGTGCTGCAATCCGTTGCAGCTGCCATCCTGATGGACGGGAAGCTGGCTGAAATTTCATATTGAGCCACAAAATTTTGTCAACTCTTCGCAAAATATTTCAAAACGATACCGCACTGGAAAATCGCTTCGAGACCCCCACGAATTTTCTTTTTCGACAAACCTCAAAAATTGCGAGGAATCGCTGCCAAACTTCAAAGCGTCGTCGATCTCGATGCAAGCGGCCAGCGTTTGCCACGGCTCCTCCGACTCCATCCACCATTTCTCGCCGTTCAACGGGTTCCTCGCCGAATCGCGAATCGTCGGCATCAGCTCCTCAACTTTGCGCATTCGATCGGCGATGCTCGCGCGCTTCATCGTTCCCGTCAAATTGATGCAATGCAATTTGAGCCATTCGAGTCCATTCTCGCCGAGCGGCTGCTTTTTGGCGAACTTGAGAATACACCGATTCACATCGTCGCCCATATGCGACAAATACGGCGACAGCGGGTAAACGCGTCCGCGAAAATCCATGTTGTGCGGAAAATAGAGGGTCCGACCGCGAAAATGGTCGGCCAACACGACGCGATAGAGCATCCAGCACCACAGCGAATTGCTCTCGTTGCGAATTTTGATGGCTTCCGCCTTCCGACGAGCGTAATCTCTCCATTTCTCAACATTCAGCTGCTCTCGGCGCGCGTTCCTCCCAAACTCTTGCTGAAAGTCCGGAATCGCGATCGTGTCGGATCGCATCGGAATGCCGAGTTTGTCGAGCAGCGCCTCCGACGCCTTGTTGCCACTTTCAGCGAACACCTGCGATTCATTTGAATATCGCTCACCGACGCTTCGAGAGCACATCCTTACCTCTTTCAGAACATCCAACATCTTCTCATTGATCACCCATGGCGTCGATCCCAGCTGATTGAGCGCGTCAAACACCGGCCTCGCCTGTTGCGGCTCGCGAATCCGATTTCTCGCCTCGTCGTTCAAATTGACCGCCTTGAACTCGTACATATTGCGCACAATGTCCAATCGATGCGTGTACAACGGCCCGCCGATACCGTAATCGAGCCACGGCCTCGGCGGAATTGTCAGCGGCAGCGTGTCGGTGGAGAAGATGATGAACTCGAACGGATTCGCCTCGAACAACGACATGAGGTGCGAGTGAATCGCGAGCATTCGCGAGAGATTCTGCCGTTTGCCGTCCGACGCCACACGCGATTCCTCTTCGAACGCGATCGCGCGGAATGAGAACGCCGGACACCATGAGCACTTCTTCGAGTTTCTCGACGACACCGGAAAAACGCAGCTCTTCAGAATCACATTGAACAACACACTCGACACTTCTTTTCGTGTCATCGCGTCAAGATTGCCGATTTCGAACTGAAAATTAAATGTTGGGACCCTCTCAACTCCTGTCGTCAAATTAAATGCATTGTCCGCACTCTCTCTCTCTCTTCCGATCTACCTGATAATCGGGCTTGATATTCGCTGATTTGCACGCCTTCTCCCACCATTCTCGATGAGTGTGTTTCCTCGATTTTTCCGAATCTTCGAAATATTGAATATACGTGCCGAACACCTTATTCCAAATCTAAAATTCTCAAATATCATCATTATATATGTATTTAGCCATCCGAATTTCCGACCGTTTTCTCGTCATATCCGACTTTGATCTTGAAAATATTGCACAATTCGCGAACAATTGGCGTGACGAGCTCGTATTCGAATTGCGACGCGCCGATGAGATTTTGGCCTTGCGAACACACCGACATCGCGCAGAATGTGAGCAGCTCGACGAAACGATCTCGGTCCAACACCTCCAAGCATGCTCCAACTGAAATCTCAAACTAGAAATTGAGATTTTGACTACGACGCTTCGCGTTGACAGCACCGCAATCAAGGCATCAAAAATTGATACAAGATCATATATTGACGACGTCGCGCTACTTCGGAAAATTGGCTAAATTCCAGCAAAATTTAAAAGTAGGTCTCGGTGCGCGGTGTGCGCCTTTAATCGATCCTTATGCACAGGCCCGTAAATCTACACTTTCAGTTTTGCGCTAAGACCATTTCCATTGATTTTTTTGGCATTTAGCCAATTTTCCGCAATCGCGCGGCAACACCATAATTTAAAGGCGCAAAGGCCCCACCAATGGGATGCGTCTCCTCGGGATCCATTTTGCCCAAATTCTCTCGAATTCGTCCCTCCCAATTCCATTCTCGAATCAAATCCTCCGCGAATCGTTCCACATCGTCGCCTCTTGTCATCGTATTTTTGACTCTCATCCACATCGATTCTTCCGTTTTCAAATGGTCCGAAAATTTGCGCATATAGTCCGCCTAAATCAACAACATGCCTAGATTACTGTAATTGCGATCGTGTTACTGTATCAATATGGTCAAGTTGAAACGGATTGCCTCGATATTCATCGGAAGGACAATTGGATTGAAGCGGCGCGACGAGACGAAGCTCCTGGAATCATCAATTAGCCCGCGATCGCCCCACTGCTGGATTCTTACCATATCATATCTCGGTCCTGCGGACCTTCTCGGTCGCGCCACCTCAAATGGCGCAATTTTGCGGAGCTCCTTCTCAATTTTCAATCGATCCGCGTCACTTATATAAATATTCAGGTCTTCTAATCGACAATTTCTCGCCTAAAATACAAATGTCGCTCAAAAACAATAAAAAAAAATGCAATATTGATACGGAAAATGTCAATTTGGTGTTCATCGAATCGAAAATATCGGCAATTTGATGGCTCTTCGAATCGAATTTTCGCTCATCTTTCCATTGGCGAAGGGTGTTGAGCACCAATAAGCACATTATGTTGCTCGAATTGTCGTCTCTTCGAATTCCGCGCAATAAATTGCCTAAACCGCAGAATTTTTGGTCATAAAATGATTCAATTTTCATTAATAATACGCGTTTTTAAACTAAAATTTCTTTAAAATCCCGAGATTTTTGTCGAAATCTCACATTTTCAAGATGTTCTGTGATCAAAATTTGACGGAAAAACAAAAAGATTCTTACAAATGCCTAGAAAAATCGACAACGCCTTGTCCGAATTGATAGCATCGACGGTTCGCAGGAATTCCTCGAATCTTTTGCTCAGAACAAGAAGGCAAATCGGAAGAATCTGAAGGAAACATTAAGAAGACGAAAGAAGCCCTATAAGCATATCACCTCATCGTACGCCCGAATCCTCGTCTGATTCTCAGCGATCCTCATCAATCCTTGAATATCATCATTAACCGAGCATCTAAAAGAAAAGTTAAAAAATTTTTAACAATCAGTTTTGTTATTTCGTTTTATTATTTTTTTAAACTTGGAAAAAAAACAAAAAATTGATTAATAGTTTTTAATACAATTTTCTGCAATTTAGCAGTGAGAAAAAGTTAAAGGCGCACTAATTTAAATTGTTTGGCAGAAAAACTTTCATTATCGTATATGAATAGGATTTTAAAATATCAATACCGTAAGAAATTAAAATGGTGTTTGGCTGCATTTGAAGAACACTGTGGTCATATGCGATTACGAATCATAAATTAATTTCTTGAATTTTTTCTTTGTATTGAATAGTTTGATTATGGATATCTTTTAAAATTTGCATAAAAGTTGTCTGGATGCGTTTTTTACAGAATACCATGGACGTTACAGTCTAACAATCGAATTGTGATTAATTTCGAATAAAGGCAAAAACGCTACATTTCGAAAACTTTCTCTCTGTTATGATAATAGAAAAAATGCAGAAAATATGAAAATGGATGAGTTGAGCAAAAAATTTCCATAAATTGAATTTCTCTACGCATCATCCATTGTAGCCAGCAGTTCAAAATTCTAGGCCCGCCCTAATTGTTTGAGGCAAGTGCGCTCTATCATAATACAGCGTCGTTCGGGAACCACAATGTAGCGTCGATCGGAGGGGAAAGCGCGTCACCGTCAGAGTTCAGAGAGTGTGCAAACATGAGAGAATTGGCGGACCCTTGGCGTCAATTTGCCGTTCGTTTCGGCAAATGCGCTCTATTGCGTGTTTCGCACCGACGCCAGTGGCACTATAAAAGGCCGGCGTAGTGGGCAATTTGGTCAGTTCTCGCAGCTCCTCGAGTTGCGGGAAGCTTGCGGGCTCGCCGTGCCCCGCATAACCTGCGGGCTCCTCGACGAGCCTCGCAAATCCTGCGGTTTGGCTGTGCCCCGCATAACCAGCGGGCTGGCCGTAGCTCGCATTTCCTGCGAGCTCGTCGTGGCCAAGGATCCACTCGGTAAGTCACACTCATCGCAATCCTTCTTCTCAATTCCTCGCATTGCAGATCCCGATGAGAGCCACAGTCGTTTCTCATTCGAGCTCTTCCGATGTGCTATGTCGAAAGTGTCGGGGATTCTCGACTGGTGTGACTCGGTCAGCCAGTACTAACCCTACTGCAGTGTCGCTTCCAGGCCGACGTTAAACCCATATTCATGAGTAGACGTATCACGTGAAGATGAGCGAGAAAGGGAGATGGCGAAAGGTCGATGCTGCCCGGGGCGTCGAGCAGAGCGCGGGAGCGCATTCGAATGGTAAAGAGCGAGCCACAATCTATCAGAATAACTCGAAACCATTGCAGAGATCTCGGATCACATGGATCGAATCGGAGGCAACGTCTCGAAGCGACGACGAAGGAGCGAAGACGTCGGATAATCGGTATTTCTTGGGCCCGGGCCTAATTTTTTAAAAATTCATTATTATTCTTTTTCACTTTTTACCAAAGCCGGCTTCCCCTTCTTTCTTCCTGCCGTACCACTTACGGCTTCCCCTTCTATATCCCACCACTTGGGATTTCTCTCTCTCATCTCTCCGTACATTCGTACCACATACGTCTGTACACACTTCCGGTCCTACCGTTTGGCACCAACCATCTCTTCTCTTTTGGGGGAAAACCGTACCACTTACGGTCATGCCAGTCATTCCACTAATGACTGGCTTCCCCTCTTCCATATTGTATTAAAAATTGTTTTATTTAGGTTTTTAGGTATTTAGGTATCGTCGCTGCCGCCGCCGATAGAAGGATGCCGGTGAATCGATTCACCCTCACAACTTAATTGTTCCCCACCATTAAGCATAATCCATACTAAGGGCCCCTATTCTACTTTATCCGCCGTAGTCGGCTTTATTAGAGCCGTAGTAGGCTATATTAGGGCCGTAGTCGGCCATTTCCCCAAACGCCAAGGCTTCCTGATCCCCCGTAGTGCCGCGGCGTTGGCTGGATGGCGGCTTATCCGCTGAATCCTAAATTCGGGTGATTGGCCTGGCAAGCCCTTCAGCCCTGATTCCGTAGCCGGGAATCGAACCCTACCCAAACGCCCCCGTTTCAAGTACTCTAGAGTTCCTGGAAAGGCGTTATGGATGGTTATGCTTTAGAAATTTGCTTCACCGGGTGTCCTCCATACTAGTCAGGATGGCATCTGGCCCAGACCTATATTGACGTGGATTGGCCAGCTATGTCAATATGTCCAGCCTTTCGGGTGCACATGGACCGTGCTTCTTAGCATGGTAGCTTGCTACTTTGTAGTGGCTTGCTACTACTTAGTAGTAAGCTGCTATGCTATGAACACAAAAACCACATTACAGAATCACCAGTAGACCCGGGGCCCAGCCAGACGTGGCTTGCCCAACCACTTCTACTTCTATTATCCTCGGATGATAGTTGTGGGATGTCCTTGGGTGATCCCCATGGTGGGATCGGCGATGACCCACATCAGGTTTCGGCCTGATGCTGGTGAGCCTCTCCTTCAAGTGTCGAGCCTCTACGTGGCGAAGGAGATCAACTGACTAGACATTCCTTTAGGGGGATGTCGAGTCAGGCTAATCGACGCACTCTCACGCAGGTCGAGGAGATTCATCCTCAACCGGGCGGCTTCTTTGCGACCTAGCAAATCGCAAGAAGTATTCAGAGACAACTCAATGCTTCAAAGGTTCTCTTTAGGGCCCATCCTCAACTAGTCTTTTAAATGAAACCATAAGTTACTCCGTCTTCCACTTCTGGACCTTGTCCTTTAATATCTTATTAAACTACTCGATCGACGGGAAGTCCCATTGCGTTTCATCAAGAAGAAAACCCTACCTCATAATTCTGGCTAGCGTCGATTTTTTCATGACTTCCAACCGATTCCACGACGTCTTCTTTTTGTAATCCTTCTCCAGAATCTGCAGCAATTTCATCTTCCATTCATCATTCTTCGGCTTCTGCTTGATATGAATGGATTCCGCGGTGGAGGTGCTCGGAGAAGCCGTCGCTGCTACATATACCGTTTATTAAAAATCGAAAAAATGCTTTCCGGGCCAAATCAGGCAAGTTTCAACCCCCAAAGAAATATTTCCTACCGCAACGATTCTGCCAATTCCATATCCATGCGCTTCTGCCCAGCAGCCTTCTTTTCATCTTAAATCCGCGAAACTTCTATATTTTCAGATTCCAATCGTCCATCTCAAGTATCACAGAAACTCTCAACACTTCCAAATCCCGAAACAACGCGCACTAGTTTCAAATAATCTTATTGTTCAAACATTCAATTAGACAATGATGGCAATAGTGACATAGAAAATTTCACATTTTGAGCAAATGTCAAAGAGAAAAAAACGTTTCTAGATGAATAATAAATAAATATTAAAGAGAAGAGCGAAAAAGAGAGAGAGAGAGAGAGAGAGAGATGAAAAACACACTAGATTTTGTCGAGATATCATTTTCAAACTCGTCGATTCATGAAGAAGCCAAAAGAATGATAGAAGAGGAGCCAAAAAATGCACAATTTACGACAAAAATCTATGGGCCATTCTCTGAAACTAAAAAAAGAACGAACGAACGAAGTTGGAAATAATTTGAAATTAATTAAATCAAATAAAATCTGTATAAGGCACATATTAACAAATCTACACCAGGTGATTTAAGTGTGTGTGGGGGACCGGCTGAAAGCAAAAGAAACAATTGTAAAACAAGCACGAGGGTACGATTTGAAACGAACATAATCGGCGATAAAGGGTCATCGGGAACCCTTATGAATCGAATTTCTAGTAGAACATATTATTATCAAAAAAAAAGTGGGGGGGGGGGGATCTTCTATACAATTTAGGTACCCATAACCAGGGGGAAATAGAGTATTCGGTGATGGATGCATCAATTCTTTTTCGTTTTCTTGGTTTCGGTTTTCACGGCAAGACTTGTCAAAACTGGCGACCATTCAGTGCTTTGGAATGTTGGAGTTTGACCCCTGAAATCAAAAAAACTGTTATGTAATAAAAAACGAGAACAGCGTGAGTTTAACTTGGACATTTTGTTATTCAAACATTGATAATAAACTTTAATAATTTTTAGATAGAATTTAGCAAATATATTACTTTATTAAGGCGAGATTTCGAATAATTGCAAATTTTAGAAAAAAAACGAATGATGCAACAAAAATTCCGCAACATGTGAGCTCGGTGTTCACACCGATTTCTCAACTTTCTCCGCCTACCGTAATTAAAAAATTAAATTACGCAACAAAAAACACAATAAAGCGTTAAAATACATTTTGTTAGAACATTTCGTTGTTTCAAAAAAAAACTAAATAACTCGTCACGTGTTAAACATTCAAAAAAAGAGACAACAACACCTACCACGTACGTTACATCCGTTTCGATCCTTAACTATATCATGAAAATTATTATTTTTGTAATTTTCAAAAAAAAAATTTTTTTCGCAATATTCTCAAAAACTCACGATCGATATGATGGCGACGTCACGTGCGATCGAATATTCGGCGTCGTTTCATTCGTCCGCTGATTAAGTGCCGCCCATTTCGATTGGATCTCAAGCTCCTGAGCCTAAAAAAACAGCATTTTGGCGCCAAATTTGAAAATTATAAATTAAGAAAATTGATTGGAAATCGGCCTGAGAAAACTCAAAATTGTGCGCTTTTAAGGTTTGTCGAATTTTCACGTTTAAAAATCTTTAAAATTTCATAAATTTTGAGGAATATGTATTTTTTTCAATAACAACAACAAAAAATCACCATACCTCTAATACCTTTCTCCTCTCGATCATCTCATCATTCTCAAGGGCCAATCGACGCTGAAGCTCTCGAATCTCCTTCTCCTTCTTCCTCAACATCTCCATCGACTCATCGACCGTCGACGCCGTCGAGCTCAGCGAACCGCCGACAGCCGGCGAGCCTCGCGATCGTTCGAGAAGCGCACATCGCGATTTCGTCAACGCGTTGTCGCTTCGAAGTAGATGATTCTCTTTGCGCAACGCGATCACCTCCTTGATCAATTTCGTCGATGATCGACGAGCTTTCAAGCTCTGTCGCAACTGAAACCCAATTATTTGTAATTCGAGAAACAATCAACCGAGATTGTTTGAATACCGGCAATTTGGCCATCATCTCCTCATACTGTTTCCGATCAATTTGCGATTCGCCGCGTCCTCTCGACGGACCATCGTCATCATCATCGTCGATCGTCGCCCGATCGGTAGTCGTCGATCCAGCATCGCTATTCATTCGGGGAACAGTGGTATGTCGTCGAATGTTGTTCTCTGAAATTCCAACTTTGCTTCAATTTCAGTTCTTCAGTTTTTGTCTTTTAAAATTTTTCAGACAAAAAAATCGGGAAACGATTAAATTCAGCATCGAAATTTTGTTTTAAATCTTTTTTTTTTTGAAACCCAATTCGATCTTACTCGGATCGGCAACGCCTCCTTCCTGCGAAGTTCCATGAAACGTCTGAATGCGTCGCGGTTTGGATCGCGCCGCTCCGACCGCCGCCGATTCGCCGGAACTCGACGAGTCGTCCGACATCTCACTGGATCGTTCGAGTATGTCGGCCGCATCCGCTTTGTCATCAAAAAACGACCACAAGTCGGAGTCGCGCGATTCGCTCATCCGATCAATCAGCCGATTCAGCGGCATCGTTCGCGCGCGTCGCAACTCGCGGAATCGCGCGCGCACCGCCTCGCGAATTCGATCCGAAATGTCGTGGCGCGATTTGAACGGCATCTCGGCCATGTGGGCTCGAACCTGATCGAAGAATTGAAGTCGCGTCTCGAGGTAGTTGCTCAACGTCTCCTCTTCCGAAATTCGAGATTCTAAAAGGAAAAAATATTTTTAAAATTGGAATTTTCCTTTTTTTTTGCGCATTTTAAAAGGGAACCCCCTTGAAAATGATTTCATTCTCTCGCCAAAAGTACCAAGTCAAGAAAAAACTCACTGAACAGCTCCTCAAGTCGCGCCAACCAACGATTCTCATTCTCAAACTGCATAATCGATCTCTGTTTGATGAGCTCCTCCTCGTTCGTCTGCGACAATCGAACACCTTCGGGCGGCACCTTTTTGGGCGCCTCCTCCAGAAACAGCACCCATTTTTTGCGTTCCGACGACGACGAGAACGAGATCTCGAACAGCACCGGTTTGCCGCCGGATATCAGCATTATCGAGTTGCCGCGCGCCGACGGCCGCGTGAGCAACGATTTGACGGGAAGCACACCCTGGTCCTGGACAAAGTGCAATCGATTGCCCTTTCGGTAGAGGATCACGATGATGTCATCGAACAGGACAAGCGTGATCGGAATCATGTCCGATTTTCCCGACGAGTGGGTCCCATTCGACACATTCGGCTGCTTAATGAAAGCTTCGCCGATGTGGACGAGTCGGCGATTCGGCACCGCGTTGATCGACTCAATCTGAAATCGCGAGATGTGTCCGCAGACGACAAATGGCTTAACCTACATCAAAATGATGTTGAATGAGTTGATGGGGCATCAGCGGATCGGCGACATACAAATTGGTGTGCGACGACGGTTCAATCTGAACGCGAATCTCGTCCCATCGTCGAGACATGTGCGCAATCTGCAGGTTCTCATCGATTTTGTGCGCGAATCGGCGAGCAGTCTGCAACGAAAAAAAAATTGGAAATGAATATATACCAAAATTGGCTCGATGTCAGAAATGGTTTCGAAATGCGCGTCGTGTACTCCAGGGCTGTTCGGCAATCGGCATTTCCATTGCCGCACAACTCTGGTGTACTCCACACGGACAAACCACCATTTAACGCGTTTCTACTGCGAGACCCAACAGTAGACTACTTCGACATTACTCAATTTTCTTTTCAAAACCATTTTTGGCAATTTTCAAGCGTTGTCAAAATTCGGAAAATCGCGCAAAAAAAAAAAGCTCACATCGAGCGCCTTAACCGTCATATCGTGTTGAGCGCTGAATGGCTGCTCATTCTTGAGGATCGTCTCGAGAAGCAACGAATACTTCGTGGCTCGTCCAATGATCTTCGTGAGCATCGGCTTGAAGTCATAAATTTTGTACAACGGCTCGTCCGCATAGGTTCGCTGAAACACAACGAATAAACGCGTCGTCGAGAACGAATCAAGTCGAACCCTAAAAAATTCGGCAAACTTCGAGCTTTTGCTCATCAGATGATGATAAAGCTGATCGGATCGCTCTTTGGCGACACCGAAATCGGTGTAAGCGTCGCAGCAGAGCTTCGTGTGTCGTCCAGCGTCAATGTCGAGCTCCTCGCAAATGATATCCGAAATCGTGTCCACTTCAATATTCAGCTTCATTCGCTCGGTGATCTGCTCGAGCAGATTCAAATGGAATATGAGGAGCGGATCGAGAACATCGGGTATCAATATATCAATCTCCTGCTTGCTGACCACATTCTCCTCGATCAACCGTTTTCGGTATCCCTGAACATAGAAATGGTCCAATATCGAACAAGAACGAGAAAAGAACAAAACAAATGAAACAAGACATTTGAATGACTCACATGAAGCAGAAATGCAATGTTCGCGCAATGACGTTTTTCCATCAAGTACAATTCTGAAACAATCAAATGATTTCTGTTGTGACCGGTCTCGAGTCGAAAACAAAAACTGAATCTTCTTGAATGTCTCAAAGATAAAAATATATTTCTGGAATTTTTTGAATCAAATGACAAACATTATTCCATCTAATTTCGGAATATTTGAAGAAAAAAAATTTCGTTTTAAAAATATTAGGTGGAGTGGAAATTTCGAGATTTTTGAATACTATTTTTGTGATTTGAGGTAGACATTTTATTTTTCTGTTTTGAATTTACGATTAGACTTGTTTTAAGCTTTCATTTTTAGGACATAGAATTAAAAAGACAGGTTTATGGTCTGAAGTTTTTCAAATAATTTGGAAGTAGCCAGATTTTCAGATCTCAATTAGAACTTTTTAAAGATATAAGCTACAATACAATCAGAAAACTTCAGAAAATTCCATTTCTTTGCCAAATTTGCGGGTAATACCTTTTATGGTACTATGCACGTTTCGTAATTAAAATGCAATATCGCAAAAAATTATTGTGGGCCATCGCACTTTTCGTGGCGGTAATTCAAATTCGAATTAAAACAGTAGGAATTAGAATACCGTACTCTGAATAACCTGAGAAGTTAACTCACCCTAAATCGGCACTGGGTGCTCGTTTCTTTGCGAATGTAAATTCCATGTTTAAAATTACATTCGCAAAAATGCGAACATTCAGTGTAGATTTACGGTGAGTTAGCTTCATGAGTTTTTTCGTACAACGGGATACCCAAATTCCTAGTTTCAATTCAAATTTAATAAAAAATGCAATGGTCAACACATTCAAAGAATGTTCGGTTTTTTGCAATGTTAATGCAATAAATATTTTTTTTTTGAGTAACTAAACATTTTCTGGGAGTATTTCGCGCCGAAACCCTTACCATAAATGGCATCCTGCTTTTTGACCTGCTTCGTCGACAACGTACTATGCCGATATTTCTCGTGCCACGATTGATATTCTTCTTTCGCAAACAAATCATATTTTCCATAGATTTTGTCGAGCTGCGACTGAAGTGTGCAACTCGACGACGGAATAGTCGCGATCAATTCCGAAGAATCCGACGACGGCGAGTTCAGGCGGGAAATATGGTCGGGAAGGCCTGCAAAAAAAAAGACATAATCCGAATTGAATAGGTGAGATGAAAATCGGAAAAAAAATTGGGCCAAAAAAAAAAACACATGCTTGATTCATCTTCGGCATCGATGAAATCAATATTATCATTTTGCGGCGGCGGCGGCTGCGATTTCGCGAGATTCTGCCAAACACTCGGCGAGACAAGACACAAATCCTCTTCAAGCATTCCGGCGCCTTCAACAATCCGCATGAGAACCTCTGAACAATATTCGCGACATCATCATCAACATGATCGGCAGAATTCCGATTATCGTCAATATGCAAATCGTGTGGCAGCAGACCCCGTCGGAGAGGACGACAACCAAAATGTCGATTAATACCCAACAGCAAAAAAAAATTGGGTAGTAATTCGTAGTTTTGGTATCAAATATCAATGTTCAAATCGAAAGTTGGTCGAAATTTTCTTTTCGTTGTGATTTCACTTCGTGTTGGGACCCGAAGAATCAGCAACGAAGCCGCATTTTCGGATCGAGGAGGTCTCGTCGGGAAATTATTGCAAAATTTCAAACAAAAATGTATAGTCCATTTTTCGAATAAGTTACATTAACATTTATAAAACAAAAATTCGCGTCGAGACCTTTTGAGTACGGTATTCTCTACCTTCAAATATAGTAGGTCTTGTGGTCTACAAAAATCCAATTTTAATCGATTTCGCAACAAGTCTCAAACAGAAATTCCACGAGAATGGCAAATTTCCAACAAAAATTGATTGGTCTCGCGCGCGCGAAAATCCATTTCAAGATCACCGCAAAAAAAAATCGCCGGTTTTTTGCCATCTAAGGAAAATATTGACTTTCATGTCTCATTATTTATTTAGTGTCGGCGCGATTGCTGTGCGGCGTCAAACACGACATATTAAAAACCAATCAAAAAAAAAAAGAAATAATAAACGACAGCAAATTTTCGGTTCAAAATCTCCCCCCGACGGGGCCGCACACAATTCATTGACAGCAATTCCACAAACCGTCATTGGCGTTGTCGACAATCAGACCGTATCGATCAATAATCGATCGGCATTCCTCTCGATACGAACTCTGGACGGCGATCTTCTTGAATATCTCGAAAAGGCCCGATTCCGACGAACAGCGAATCGGCGCGCGTTGGCGATTCGTCGCGATCGCACGAATCGGCTTGCTCTTCCGACTGGTGGCTCGCGATAGCGTCCTCGTCAGAATGCCCATCACTTTGCCATCGTCCTGAAGCGCTTTGAGTTTTCGCGTCAGCCATCCCGACAAATTTGAGGCGGTGGCCGTCGTCGACGACGTTTCCGATCCAATCGATTTCGTGTCGCTCGGCATCTCCGCTGATGACGATGACGACGACGCCGGCAGCGGTGTCAGCGAGCTGATGGTGATGGTGACGGTCGCCGTCGGGCTCAACGAACAAATACTCGGAAATGAAACACGCCGGTTCTCGCGTTGGCCGCCAACTCGCGCCGCCCATTCGCCGACGCCCGCCGCCGCATTTGCATCCGATTTCGGCGCACTTCCGCTGCTCTCGCGTCGGCGATGTTTCGACGCCATCAATCTCGACAATCGCTCCGTCGACGGCAATGACGACGACGACATCGTTCAGAAATTTCTGTTAGTTCAATTACGGAATGGGAAAAATGATAATAATGGGGATTTTTTGATTAAAATTTAAAAAAAAATGATGCTCAATTTTGCTAGAAATTTCCAACAACTAAATTATACTTAAAAAATTCAATTTTTCTGAAAAACACAAATAAAATCTGTGCGAGACCACAAAACGTCTGGTTCACTTCAAAATTGTTGCTCGAGACAAACACAAAAGAACAAAAAAAACTTTTTCAAATCCTATAATTATGCCCAATTTTCGGGTGGGCCGATCTAGAGAATTAAAAAAAATAACGACGAATGGAAATACTCGAAAACAACGAACCGGGCCAGTTCATTTTCATCGAAAACAATCGAATTTTTGTGTTTTTGGCTTTTATTCAAATTTGTTGTCGCCGGAACACCGACCACGAGGCTGATTATGGGAGGGAGACGCCCAAAAATGGCATCACGAATCATGAATTCGGAAAACAAACTGATAATACCATAAAAAGGTAGATTTAAACAAAAAGAAAACGCAAAAATGTATTAAATTCCTAAGGATTTCAATTTTTTTTGCAAAATTGTCCAATTTTGTGATTTTTGGAATTGAACTCTTCAAACAAACAAAAAATTCCAACTAAACCGCGAAAAATTGTGGTTTCATGAAATTTTTGGCTGTTTAAAGACCATTTCTGGGGCCAACAATTCGATTTTCAAGAATTTCAATCATTTTTAGCCCGTTTCAAAACGAATTCCGTGAAAAAACGCGTTCAAAAAGAAATTAAATTTCTTATTAATTAAAAAATTGCAAATTCAATTAATTATTTTTTTTACAAATTTTGAGTCATCGTTTTTTTACTAACATTTGCAAGTATTCTTTTCTTCAAATCTTATGAACTACCTACCAATGGTATCTCAGATATCTAGAGTGTCTTTCAACAAAATATTACTATTCCCGGCTTCAATGGTCCCTAGCAGAAAATATTCTCCAAACAAGTGTTGGCCTTAAATGGTAACCTCTAATATTTTTAAAGGAAATGACAACATTCCTATATTCAACGTTTTCAGAATCCTTACATAAAAATCCATTAAAATACATTTTCGTCATTAAATAGGGTTTAGAAAGTAAAAAAAAAATCGATCAGAAAAACTCGAAAAAAAATCTATAGAAAAAAATATTAAAAATATAGTCTGCTTCCAAAAAAATCCCGGGCTACGAAAAGCAATCGCCACAAGACTCTACTCATTTTCCGCATTATGAGCCTATAATCGATTACTTGTTTTTGATTTCGCGATTGAATTGAATTTTACCCACAATTCTCATGGAAATTTCTTGTTATCAAAAAATTTCAAAAAAAAAAAAGGAATTGAAAACTGAAGAAAAAACGCAAAATCATTGATTCAAATGGGTTTTCGAAATTTTTTTTTGGGTACGGTAATGAAAGGCGCTGAGTCTCGCAGCGACGGTGATTCGGGTAGCCACAGTAAATTGTTTTTCTCGAAAACAAACTATAAATCGCGCTGTGATAGCATTTGGCCGGAATGGTGTCAAGAGGTGTGCAAACACGCCGGCCGGCCGCCGCCGTCGCCGCCGCCGCCACCTACTTCGTCGTCGATCCACCGTATACAAGGCGAGATTCGGCGTCGCGATATTCTGATAAAACGTCTGCGTGCGGAACACCGTCGAGCCGACGCCGATCGACGAGACGTCCGTCGAGAATTTGCGTCGCGCACGCCGTCGATTGATGCGCGATTCCATGGTGACGAGGTCGACTCGACTCCTCCGAATCAACAACGAACAATTGAATCAGCGAGGAGGAGGCAAAAAAAAGTCGAAACAAAAAAGCAAAACAAAAAAATGACAGAACAAGAGTGTTTGACAGTGACGCGAACCCCTCGCAAGCGCCGGCCACCTCACTTCCAAATATGGAGGAAAAAATCGAGGCAAAAACAAAATTGATTACCATCATGCGACGATGACTCGAACATTCCCGCATCTGATGTTGGCAGAACCGAGGCAGATGTGCTGCGTCTCTGCAACCAAACAATTATTCGAACGCGTTTTCAAATTGGTCGCCCCGACACGAAAAATTTTGTCCATTTTTCAACATTTCAGAAAACCGACGTCTGATATTTTCAGAATTTCGTGCCAATCAACTATTTCTCTTTTTGGCAAATTTTTGAACGCAAAAATAATTAAATCACTAAAAACCATGTATTTGGTAATATTTTTTTAAAAAAAAAAAAACGATACCTGCTTTTCTATCATAATTATAGAAATTAGAATAATTAAAACTCGCTCAATAAATTTGTTATCCATACGACTCAAGGCGGCAATTCAAATGAATTTTTTGTGTCGATATTCAAAAATGTCCGTAGCAGGGAATATTGATTAATTTGTACAATTTACTGGTAAAAACATTAAATCAGTAATGCTCAACTTCAAATTCGCTAATTCTCTGTAGATTTAAATTTCAGAGGCTATTACGCATTGAATGACTGATTTCGAAAATTTTAAATTGTTCTCGCCTTAGAAATGCAAATAATTTACAAAACCAGGAATAAGTAAAAATTTCACTGGAAAATAACAAACTAAGCATTCACAAACGTAGCGAGACCATGACGAAAAGGCGCGCTCGTAAATCTACCCACGGGGTCTCATTGAAGAAATGCTTTTTAAAATCTCATTTGTCGACGTTTTTGATATTCAAGATTGTTCGCATCGAAATATTATTTATGAAAGTATGTTTGAAAAATTTCACTTTTACATTTGCATCTGCGGGCAATTTCAGAAAAAAAGGAAAAATAACGAAAATGTTTTTGTTGCGATTAACTCGAATAATAAAAATTCACCCTCGAATGGTACAAACCGCGATGATCGATGCTTATCCGAAAAGACATGGCTCAAAAATCTCGAATCAATAGAGCACAAAAAATACAAGACGAGAACGGGGTGGAAAAATGGCAATTTCGCCTCGAAAAACACAACAAATCGCGCGTTCGACGTGTTCAAAAACATTGGCGACGAAAATAACAAATGAAATTTCTTTTTCTAATTTCGTTCTTTTTCGTTTTGGATTTTTTTTGTTGAGTTGATTACCCGCTCTCTTAAAATGTTGCCGAATGCTCCAAAAATCGCGTCCATACGGGCGAGAAAATTTGATCGATTTCGTTTTTGCTCGAAAAAAATATATGCGCAAATTTTTTGCCGCGCGATTTTGTACTCACAACACACGCATACAATTTCGAGAGTGGACGACGTCGTAAAACAATCAGAAACGGAAGGCAAGTAGAAAAATATGAAAGACGAAGCAAACACTCACATTTCCAGAAGCTATCGAACCGGCGAGATTCTGCTTCGACGAACGCTGATCGAGATCCGAAATGATGTCGGCGAGATTCGCGCGATTCGGCTGATTCTGAAAATCGCATTCTTTTTTTCCAATTGAGATATTCAAAAAAAATTTGATTTATTTTAAAAAATTCAGAAATTGATTTTTCAATGTTTGAAAAGTGTTAAATATGAACATTAAGACCAAATATGGGCATTTTCTCATAAAACATTTATAGTTGGTCTTAAAATTAATGTTAATATGCAAATTTCAGGAAAAAAAAACTAGAAAATAAAAAAAAACTGGTTTTTTGTGCAATCTGCGTTTGGTTTTGAGAGTTTTTAACAATGTCTAACAGTTTTTTTGGGAAATCTGCACAATACCACAACAAACAGAATATAATTGAGAATTCTCAATTAAAAAAAAAGTGAAAAATCCAGTTTCAACAATATCGAGCCTAAAAACTTAACCTAGAGTGGAAATTTATGCAAAAACTCAAAATTGAAGAATTCCTGAATTAATTTAAACTGTAAATACAGATTTGTAAAAAATAAATCTAAAACTAATCTCCAACATTATTTTTTCGCAAGAATCATTGCCCAAAACAAGATGATTTTGAAACCCACCTTTTTGCGGAACAAATTGCCAAACGTGAACGTATCAGATCCCGACTTCTCTTTTTTCGTTGGTTTGCCAATTCTGCAAATGCTCAACGCTAACAGCATACACGACAAAAACCGGCGGGTTCACATTTTAAACTTGGAGCGGTCTTATGAGGAATACGTTGATTAGGGAGTGGGGTTATCACACAAGGAGAAGCACACGAGAGCACACAAATCAATGGACTTACGAGGACACAGCGGTAGAAGTCACGCAATAAGGATCATCGTCGAGGGACAACGATATACACATCCAGCTGCATTTTATTACGTTTTCTTTTTTTTTTCTCTCTCATTTTCAACAAAAAAATCAACATCTGCCGCCCAAATTCGGAGTTAATCAACCCAAGAGGTGAAACAAAAAAAAACGCGACGAACACAGACAAAAACCAACCTTTGCTTCTTTAAGCTTTTCGTTCGCGGTTTGAGATGCGCTTGCGCCGACGCTAGTATATTCGCCGCCGCCGACGATCGCCGCTTGATGCCGATCGGCCGACCGACACCGTCATACTGATCGACGACACGTTCGATCGCCGACGCGCTCACCGTTCCGCGCTTCATGATCTTGCGCAGGCTGCGCCGCACAAACGAGTGCTGCTGCTGTTGCTGCTGTTGGCCGATCGGCGACGACGGCGTCGGCGGCTCATGGACAATATCGGCGGTCGCCGTCGACGAGATCGATGTCGTTCGACGATAGATCGCCGACAGCGGCGGCAGCTCCGCCTCGACGGCAGCGTCCGACAGCCGGCCGTCGGTCGTCTCGACGACGACGTCCAGCGAGCTGCAAACAAAACGACGACTTGCACAAAGAGAAAAAAATGAAACAAAGGAAACATTGGGTTAATCACCAGACACCCCACAGTGCAGCGCATTCCAAAGAAAAAAAAATAACGACGATTTCAACAGAAAATGAGGCAAACCTAGTCGATCCGCAGGTTCCAATCGTCCCATTACCGTCAATAGGCGATCTTAAGAAGTTCTCTCGACTGGGCAGCGATTGTGGTGAGTACATCTGTAAAGAACAGAATAAAAAATCTGGAAATTTTCAAATAATAAAATGACGAGGGTCACATGACAATCGACAATGACAATATCTTGAGACTTACTCGTTGATTTCCGATAAAATCGACGAATTGATGTCCTAGCAAAACGAAAAACTCATTTAGAAGAACGAAAAAGTTGGCCGAAGACCCAAGGAATTCAGAAAATTCAAAAAAAAATCTGCTCAATCGTTGGCTAATTTCAGAATTTCGGAATTTCAATGCGGAAAACTTCAACGATAAAAGAAAGTAATGTCCAAAACTTGGAATGAGAAAACTTATTTCAATTTTCATCTGGGGACCCCTCACGGCTTAAAATACACATGACTTGAAGATCCATGGATTTGTATACATTTCGAAAATGGATTTTATAAAAATTTCTGCTGAAAATTTGAATTTTTACAACAAAAACTAGCAATTTTTTGTACACTTTCGAGAGAAATTGAATAGTCTTCAAAGCCAAAATTTTGACTCTCTTTTACACTCTCAAGACTCGAAACTATTCAAAAATTTCATTTGCGACCACCTTTCTTGGCAATTCGAATTTCGATCGCTTCAAGACCCATCGGATAACGATAGCTTACATTATGTCCACTCATCGAAAACGGCGGCATTTTGTCCTTCCACGATTGATTGCTGGCGAATTTCGTGGGCGTCGATCGCGTCGAGACCTTTCGCGAGATGAGCACCGGCGGCGGTTCGGCCGTCGACATCGGCACCGGTGTGCCTACAACAAAAAAAAACAAAAAAATTACATATATATGTGGACAATATGTATATCGATGAGAACATAGGGAAGGAACTCGAGAACAACTCGACTACAGTGTTCGTCTCTCTTTTATTTTTCGACTTCTCTCCCCTTTTTTTGCAAGATGGACGAAAAAGAATGCGCCAAGAGCAAATAATGCAACAAAATATGAATCACTCGCGCAATTTTCACCAGTCGCTCAAAAAAAAATAGGAGAAGGCGAAGAGGAATATATATTATAATTATTATATCCAACGTCGAATTTATTTAAAATCTTTCTTTTTTCGACAGAGATGAAAAATCAATTAATTTACGCGATTTTCATGACGTACTGATATGATAACATACACACACGACTTATCAATTTGGTTGTAAATCGACCCGAACTGTGGTTTATGATTCTCAATAATATTAAAATGATTAGGCTTATAATCATTTAGGGGAAGAAAATATTCGGGGGGAAGGGGGTCGCGTAGAACTTCAGCCAACTCTTATAATCAATTGCGCAAAGTCGTCACGAGTTTCCCAAATACATTTTCTCGCATACATATTTTTTTATTTTGCAAGATAAATCTCTAAAAAAAGCTGACTTTCACTCCAAGACCCCTTTTCACAACCTAATTTTCTTGTTCAACACATCTTAAACACTATTTCTGCAGTTACTTGAAGCAAAAAGGTGCACTTTATGAGAAAACCCGGTTTTAGCTCTAAGACACTAACGAATCAATGCACGCATGCTCCTTTAACCAGGAATACTGTAATTACAAGAATCTTGCAATTTTATATCTCGGAATTCAAGAAAAATTTCCAACAATCTGAAATTTGTGCAATATTGCGATTTCAATGAAACTATTAATATTTCGCCAAAAAAAAAACTAGTTTTTTTAATTTTACGCAAAAAAATCTCAAAAATCACTCACATTTCTCCTGAATATACTTATAGGCGCCTCCGCGATTTTTCGGTTGTCCGCCGCTCACTTCATTCGCCTTGTTCAATATGAGCATATCGTTGTCTCGCGCGTCGCCGACATCGTCATCCTCCTCCTCATCGGTGCTCGCCTCGTCCTGAAGCACCAGCATCAAACTTTTGCACCGTCCTTTCGATTTCAGCGGCGACGATTTGTGATCGAAGTGAAATTGCCCAATTTGGTCGACATTCTCCACTTCGGAGCTTCGTTTGAGGCGATTCATCTCGGTGACGTCGTCGCTAACGACACGCCTGAAAATTCGTCATATGTGCCAATATATTTTTTTTAAATTTATCATAAATTGCAGAAATTCAAGAATTGTTTGAATTCAAACATTTTTTGAAAGAATTTTTTGTTAAAGTTTTAACGTTTTTCAGAAAATATAAAAAGATGTTTTATCTAATATTTTAAATATTGAAATTTCGTTTTTTCAAATAATTTTAGTCAAAAATTAAATTGGTTCAAATTCTTGGCGTAAATTCAACATTTTTTGCCTTTTTTTTTAAATTTTCACAGTAATTTTGCATATGTTCGAAATATTTTGATTAAAAAAAACAAATAACCGTGGTTACCAGAATCAGCTTCATTACCGTATACAAAAAAGATTTACGCGTTTCGAAAACCCGTTTAACTCTTTTCTTAAACCACTGCTTTCAGGATTTTTTTTTCAATTTTTTTTTGATATTCAAATTTCATCCAATTTCCAGTGAGCAAAGGCAATTCAATCTCTAAATTCAAAAAAATTAAAATAATCGATTTAAGGCTCATAATGTGGAAAATGAGTTGGGTCTTGCGACGATTGATTTTGGTAGCCGTTTTTTTTCTCTTTTGGAAACTATACCCAGTGCACTGCCCAACTTGCGTAGTTCCCCAATTTTCATTTCTAGGGATTTTTTTTTTGCAAAAAATGAACAAAATTGATATTTCATAGTCAAAAAGCCCACAGGAAATATCAGAATTGATTGCGCCCGAAAAAAATTTGGCGAACAATACCACACCATGGTTCCGCCCAATTGAAAGCTCTCACCTGTGCGCAATCGAACTATTCACAGGATACATGCTAAGCGGCGCGCTACTGCAATGCGTCATCGGGTACGAATGCTCGATGACGTCGCGATCGACCGAACGAGTCACCGATGACATCGCGGCCGGTTGTTCGTGTTCCGATTCTTCGGATATCGCCGGCAATTCAGACGGTTTCCGTTCGTCGTGCGAATATCGCGAGCGGTCTTCGACACTATCTGAAAATCGAAAAGAAAAATTACAAAAAACAAAACGAGGAAATTTGATATTTTTTCGGAATTTTCAGAAAAGTCAAATTCTCAATTTATTTTCCTCCTAAAATAGGTTTCGACCAGCTAATTGTTTTTAAAAACATCATTAGAATAAAAAATTTCGAATAATATAACCTACGTGTGAATGAGAATCTTGGCATGGTAGACAAATGACCATTTTTCCACATAAAACAGCGCCAAATATGGTGTTTACTAGGCGCGCCAAATTGGGTACCTAACCGTGAGAAAAAAAGCCGTTTATGGTGCGAGGAATGAAAATCTCGCCAACTCAATATACGGGAAGCGCAATTTTTATCAAAAAAAATTTTCCAATTACGGTCAACCGGTTCCCGAATTTTGGTTGAGAATAATTGCAAAGCAAGTCACCAATTAACTTTTCTAAATTATTTTCACTTAATTAATGTTTCAAAAAAAAAAAGAAAGAAGACATCTGAGATTTGATAGCTTGCGTCTTCCCTGCTGTATCATTTCTAGCAATACGAAATTTGTAAAAAATGGCGCCATTTCATTCCATTGATTATTTGTCGCTGCATATTCAATACAATGCGCTATTGTGTTAGGAATGTACAGAATATGTCATTTCCCACCAACACATACCATTGGGAAACCCGGAATGATCGAATGAGCTGAATGAGATGCTCGCCGTCGAATAGGCGTCCGGCGATGAGACCGAGTCCTGAAGCGAATAATTTGCTTTTTTTTTGCGCAAAAATCGGCATAAAATTTCAAGTTTTTGGCTAAAAAAAAGATTTTCGAGCCATCTTCAAGTATTTTAGCCAAATCTCAAATGAATTACATTGTTTTTCATGTTATTTTAAAACATTTGAAAAAAGAGTACCTGAGAATAAATTCTGGCGTTTTCGTCGTTTGTCTCTCTCGCCAAACCACCGCTAATGCCGCTATCAGTGAGGCCTTTCGACATCTGAAATGAAAATTTCTAAAATATTATTCAAAAATAATTTTTTTTCATTTATCTTTCAAAATCTAGACGAAAGGCACAAAGTTTCTCAGATTTTAAAAGTTTGATCCCTAGATAGCGAAGAATTTCATCCGCTTAGCCAACAATTCAGAAAAACAACAACTCACCAGGGTGTCGAAACTGCCATTACAGATTTCATCGTCCTCTTTCGCGGCGACGACCAAGTCACCTGAAAAATGGCGAAAAAAAAAACGATTAATTAATTCTGCCGTCTTGTTTTTCGGTGACGACGAACACAAACCTAGCGACTGACTACGATCGGCGTGTTGGGGAGCAATCGTCGAGTATTCTTCGTGCTGCGGACATTCGGACAACGAATCGAGGGAATTTCCGATGCTCCGCGGCGTCGTCGAGCGATAAATCTGCTGGGCGACGGCTTTTGTCGCCGCCGCCGACGCGATTACTTCTTCAATGATCATCGGATTCGGGTTGGAACTCGATAATTCTGGATAATTATTGCTGCTATTGCTGCCGCTGGCCCATGTACCTTTAATTTCAATTAATAATTAATTACTCTATTTAATTATCTACCTGGAAAATAAGAAGAGGTGCAAATGGGCGATGCGGCTAAAGGAATTCCAGGCGATGCTAAAAATTTTGTTTTTTTTTTTGTAATAATATTTTGAAATTTCGAAATCTTACACCTAGAATCTTCAATAAAATAACGAAATTCGGTAGTCGGAATGAAATACGATGTTGGATAGTGATGAATATCTCGATCTGATCTGATTACCCCTAAAATGGTAAGTAAAATGGCGGCAAAAATTGACACGAAAATGATGATTCGAAAGTTATGAAACTGGTTACTGTAGACAATGGGAATGTCCGTAGTACGCAATTACAAATTACAGTAACACTCAAAAATTTAAAAAAAAAAGACGTTTTGTAAAAATTTTAGTTGAAAATTTCCCAATCGAATCGCCAACAAGAACACGTGACATGGCGAACACATCTTTATGACAAGCTCTAGCAAATGACAAGCCAAGCAAACAAAAATAATGTTTCCAACCTGATTCAATGTTCGAGGGGCTCGTGTAGTAGCTGCTGCCGGTGACAGCGAACTCGTCGCTCAGCTCGCGTGGTCCGTCTTCGCCGCTAACGCTGAAAATGGGGAATTAGTGATAAAGACGTGCGATGGCAGAGATGGGTGTAACACGATGATTGGCTAGCCCGCTAGGAAGAAATGATCGCTTTCTCTTTTTAAAAAAACATACACAACTAACTAACATGATGGATCTAGAGATAGTGCGGATACTGAAGAAACCCAAGGACGCCTAATGTGAGCGAAAGCGCCTTCTAAAACAAGACCGCGTTCGTCAACGAATGAATGAATACTCATCAAAACATTTTGCGGACGGCGCCCGGTGCGGCCCGGCCTGGGGGCCAATTTACGATTGGGTGTATGTATATGATCTCGTTATTTTTAATGTGAATTCGTCTCCCTCCCATCAAGGCGATCATCGTTGTACTACGCAGAAATGCTCTTTTTCAAAAGAGTTATTGAATGCAGTGCACAACATTAAATAGCAGTGGTACTGTAGAGATGATGTGTTCATACACCGAGGCGACATTTTGCATACTACCAACTTTTTCGGATTTCAATTTTTGATATTGAAATTTAATGTTGTATTCAAATTTTCAATATTTGCATGGATGAATGATAAGTAGATATTTTTAGCAATATTTTTTGTTAGATTTTCGAGTCGTAAAAGAAGCAAGATTCACACTCGATTTTATGACTTTTCGCTGGCCAGGCAAAGCGAAAAATCTTTTGCGATTTTTCCCTCCTCAAGATTGAGGTCGGTCATGATCGGACAGGTGCGCTAGACAATACAAAAATATTTGAATATTCGCATTCCGATTAATAAAATGCCAGTGACAAATGCGAAAAAGAAATCAAAAAATTTCAACTTTCTAATGTCGATTTAATGTCCGCAGATTCATTTTCATATCTATGAATAATTTTGCAATTTAAATGTCTGACCGCGCTGGTAATAAGGTGTAATTTCTCATCAAAACCGGGAAATGTTCAAAAGTAATTAAGAATGACGAAATCCGTCGGAGAAATGAGGAAACCTGATCAATCAAATGCGAAAATCGATTGATGGGTTTGTGTGTTTTCGTATTCCATTGAAAGCGGAATCGTTTTACGAGGAAGCGGTTTTGATAAAAAGGGACCATTTTGTGTTTGGACGTCGAAAGCAACAAAAAAAAAACAACCAACTAAAAGATGAGACGCGGCGGCGGCACAGCTGTGGTCAGTCGGCAACTAAAAAGAAGGGCGATAACAAAAGTTCTATGATCTGACCATTTATGGGACATGTGGGCGAGAGGGTGTTTGTTTTTGAACTAGCGTCACTTGAGAAAACTCAATTTTTTTGGGTGTGGCAACTCGCTCTCGTCATTTGTGTTACTGTAGTCATATTGCGTGCAAGGACACCGAGGCGCAACAATGCACACTTTTTCGCATTTCAAATTTTTAGGAGGTTGAATGAAAAAAATCACATTTTTATGGTTTTTTTTTTAAATTTTTTTGTTTGCAGGCGAATAAAAAGTTTTGCTGAACTCGGCAAATTGTCAAGAAATCAACAAGCGGCTTCTACAATCACCGTAAACGAAAAATGAAGGTTCAACTTGAGAAAATATTAGTTGTTTAATTCGAATGGTGAGAATTAATTTATCAGAGATTTGAAAGAAAAAACATTTTCTTATGATGAAAATAAACGAATTTTTAAATTTTCAAGTTCAAAAACGCAAAAAAAAACCAAAATTTTCTCACAACTCAAAGCAATTGTCGATTAAACCAGGTGATATTAAAATGCTACGAAACAAAACCAACGCGGATGTTTCCCACGAGTTGAGCGCCGGAAATGTTCATCAAAAAACAAACATCGAAAATTGGATTCGTGTTGAAACAAAAAACGAGCGACAAAACCCGATAGACGAAGATGAATTCGCCCGACTGCCGACAAATATGGACTCAAGGTTCGATGGTCCCCCAAGCTTATATAAATCGTTGAAACGCTAGCCGAAAAACAAGTAATAATTAGGGACCATTCAAAACAAATCATAGTTTTGTTTTTCTATTGTCCGTTGAGGATCGGAAACAAAAAACGATAGACGAAGATGAATTCGCCTCGCGTCGCCAACCCATTGGCGGCTTTCGAACGACTAAGAGAACACGAAAAAAAAATTGGAAGAATCGGCTGTGGAGAAACGAGAAGAGAGAGAGAGAGAACATAAAACGCGTGCCAAACGACATCGCTGACGACGCGACGGTCACTCAACGACGACGACGGCGGCGAGAATGAGTGATTCCCTCTCTTTGTTTTATGGGACGATTTGAATGTTTCGGCGAAGGATAAGTATTTTCGAGAAATCTATTCAAATTTATGCATTCGGTAATTGGATAAGCGTCTGGGGGTCGAACCTCAAAGATTTTCCGATTTTCAAACAAGGCCTAGACTGCATTTAAAAATTAATTAAAAAAAAAAGAAAAACGTTGTTTTTTTCTCTGCATTCCTCAATTATATAATTTTCATGAAATTATTATATTATTGAATAGTTTGAATATGAAAATCATTTAATATTTCATTAAACTTGATAAATTTAATATTAAAATGAATTGTTTAATAAAAAAAAACTAGGATATCTAAAAATTTCTGATTCGACTAGTCATCTTCTATTTTGGTTATTACCAAAAATTTCAAACGGTGGAGATGAGCAGATCCATTTTGTGGGACCATCTTCAAATTTCTCAAATTCATCCGATGGTGATCTTTGGTATTATAATTTTCTCATTTATCATTTCATAAATACTAGAATCGCTCACTTCAAATAGGGCCTTAAATTGGAAAATAAATGAATTTTTATGGACCTATTTATTCATATCAATAAAAATTTTAAAAATGTGAAAAAAATGCAAAATTTTCCAATGTAGGGCTGAAAAAAAAAACAATTTTAATACTATGCATTAAATTTTTTGTAAAAAAAATATATTTCATGAATGAGTCCTAAAAATGAAGGACCCGTTGGCGAGATGAAATTTCAAAAACCGAAAAATCGCTTCAAAAAACGATTTTATCAACTACACATGTACTACTAGTAGGTCAAACAATAATAAAAAATAAAGAAGAGATTGGAATTAAGAAATAAACGGGTTATACGCGCGTGTGTTTTGGGCGACTGGTGGAGGAGAGACGCTCGGTCGGTCGGTCGCGCGCGCGCGGGCTGGGACAGCCAAAGCGATCCAAGTGAGCGCAGTATCGCGAGAGACGCACACGTCGCGACAAATTGGCGATAGGTAATGGTCATCGTTGGTGGTCCGTTGCCTACAGTATTTGTCGAACAATGTCCGCAGCAGTGTTATTTGATATGGTGGGCGAACAAGGAGACAAATTGCACTTCGAAACCCGCGAGATGTCCGCAGATGTTGACGCAGTAAGAATTTACACTAAATGCCCTGCCGCGCTATGAAGGTTTATCATAAATTCTAGCTGCGGACATCCCCCACAAATTGAATGGCGGGTTTAAAGGCGCATCGGGTCTCGAGGCGAAACGCGGGGGAAAACAACAGGAAACGAGTAGTTTCTCGCGCGTGTTCGCTTCTTCCTCCCACCCAACCTCCTAACAACTTTTGTCTATTTGTTCGGACGATTAGCATGTGTGTGTGTGTGCGTCGTCTGTTGGAGTGAGCGACCGTTGCTAATTGTTGCGAGGTAAGAAAAGTTGTCGCGCGAGTTTTTCAAAAAGTCGAGCCGACTGGATGATCAATCAATTGGAGGGGGGCGGAGTTGGTTTCCGCTCAAGACCCATCTGATGCAAGATCAACATCAGTGGTCTTGAAACGAAATACTGTTGTTTGCAAATGTGGTATTAACTGAGCTGACTGTCGAGGGGCGAATGAGAATGAAAAGTAAAAATTGGAAATTTTTGAAAACCCCTTTAAAAACTGTTAAGGTTACTGTAGGAATCAATGGCTGGCAAAAAGCCAAAAATGGTCGTGTACTCCACACGGACAATCCCAGCCAGCAATGAATGGAAGCGTTTAATATTGTTTTAAAAAAAAAGTAACAATTGGGTCCCGCAACGAAAACCGACCTGTTCAACGAAAACGTGACATTTCTCGGGGTGTCGACGATCGGCGAATTGCGCGTCACCGGTGGCGGATTGACGGGAAGCGGCGGCTCATTCTCGTCCATGACACTGAAACGCGAATTTCGCAACGCATTTTGTCAACGGCCAAATAAGGAAGATGAGGCGGGAGGGGGAGTTTCGGACAGCAATATGGTAGATCAAATAAAAATTGGTACAATTGGAAATCCCAAAAAAAAAAATTGAAAACCCACAAAAAAATGGTGGAAGGAAGTGCACAAGGAAGGAATTTGGCGAAAATTGTGGGTGTGTGAAAAGCAGAAAAAAATTGAACGATAAGAATAATCGATATGCGAGTGTGTGCTTTTACAAACACACACAACTATGCCCTCCAAAAACGACCAATTTTTATCAATATTGATAAAAAAAATTGACATGGCCACAATTTTTTTAAGGCGATTCAGACGGATTTTTAAGAGACTTAAAAAATTTGTAAATTGGTCTCGAAGCGAATTCAAGGGGCAGCTTATATGTAGCGAAGACCATTGGAGTGGAAAACGAGATTGCTGTAGCATTTGAACCTTTGGGTCTCGAATAGAAATAAAAAAAACCTTCATGGCGAATTTTGGTTAAAAAACGGAAAAGAGCATAATTTTGGGAAATTTTTTTTCAAATTGTCAAATTTTAGAAAATTAAACGAAAATCCGCGAAATTCAAAATTTTTTCAATATCGCCCGTTCATTTATTTTTTTTTCCAAAAGTTTTTTTAAAGGAGCATTATCTCAGAAATTAATTTTTTGCAAGAATCCCGATTTTCAGCTGCCACTTTTATGATTGGAAAATTTTCCGAATAAGATTAAAATGTTTCCAATTAGAAAATTGGATATGCTAAATGCGGACCAATAGAGCCCGCCCATCGACGCGGCAACTCGCCGGATAAGATGGGACCAAAATTCATTGAACCCCGTTGGTCCCTCCCGGGTCATACAGTACTGGCCATAAAGAATGTTCCAAATGGTTTATCGACCATAACTTTTTTTGGAGTAGACTATTTTTTCCTATTTTTTTACAGGATTTTGTACACACAATACGCATATTTACAGCTTTTCTGTTTGCAGAAATGTGCTGAAAATTATTTTTTATACATATATATTCACCTCTTATTCTAAGAAAGTATTCTATGGTTTTAAGAGACGATAGTAATCTCGAAGGGTCCGAAAGTGCACATTCAATTTGATTCAGAAGACGACCTCCGAAATGGCTTAATTGATGATCGTATTCTGAATTAATTGCTCATTCTTAAAATATCAGACCTATGCTGAAATGATATTTTTTGAAATAGTTCGCTTTTCTCAAAGGAAACAACATTCTTCTAGGCGCTATCCAAAAATTTGCATTTTCGAATAAAAATTTACTACGTCGCCCTCCAATTTAAGATTGAGGATCCTCTCGCGGCAATTCACATCGGACCCCCGAGCAGCAGCAGCGTCAGATCGGCAATCCATGCTCTTCAGATGACTCTACGATGAATGACGATAACCGAGCGGACGAGCAGTAGCTTCAGAGCGGACTCCGTTGATTCAAATGAGTACAACAGAAAATTGGGAGCTGCATAAGAAGGGAGGAGGGGTCACGAAAAAATGAGTAGCAGATAATTATTTTCTCATAATTCCAAAATTCTCAACGACACTCCAAATTTACAGTGTAGATCACTTTTAGCGAATTAAATGACACGAATTGAATTTTTTCAAATTTGAAAATTTTCGCGCCACGTCATTGCGGGCGTAAACAACGAAGTGTCGTAACCGCCCTCGTTTTATTTCTACTTTATTTTTTTTCGATTCCATCGCCGGAATCAAGTGGCAATTTTCGTTGATCACGCAAATTAATACCCGAAACCGTCGAAGAATTGAATTAAAATCTGCTGTGAAGCTATTCATGTGATGAAATCGACAAACTTCCGCTATTATCTGTTTCAGCTGTTTCATATTTTTTAAAATTTATATTGTCGGAGTCAAACGACTTGACAAAAGGTTAAAAAAAATTATTGGCTATTTGCCAACGCGTCTCGAGACTGCGTACAATGCATTATAGCGTACGCGCATTTAATATTCAGTCAACGACAAATTTAAATCTACACCAATTTCGCGAATTTGAAGGCTCCTCCTGCCTTTCAGTCGTTTGACGCCGACAATTTGGAATAAAATGAATTTGTTTCAAAAATTCAGATTTTTGAATTTTCATTGAAAGTAATTAATTATCGATTGGGCTGAAAAATTTGCAAGCCTAAACCCGTTTCAAATAGATATTATCTCATTTTATAGAGAAGGTCTCGAAGCGATCTAAACGAGTATAATCTTTGAACCAAATTCCAGGGGGTCTCGAAACGAATCATAAAGATGAAATCAATTTTTCTAAAAAAAAACAACTCTAGAAAAACCTATGTTGAAAGGCGACAACGAAATATTCAAGGAGCATCGTATAATTGTTTGGCAGACGTACGTCGAGAACTGGTCTCGACACGAACACCCACCAACATACATACATATTTGCATAGAAACAATGCCAAAAATTTCTAAGGAGGCGAAAAAGACGAATGGAATGATTGAGGGGAGGTTATGAGTCAGAAAATATGCGGAACCAGTTTCGACGCAATTCCGAAATTGATACGAGATTGAGGTGGTGGTGGGCGGCAGCCAGATATCGCCTCGCCAGCAAACCCGCCTGTCAAAAATCGCCGAATGTTTATTTTCTTTATTCCACATTGCGTCACATGCATAATATCGATATGGGGAGAAGGACAGCGTCGTTTGGCCGACGGGGGATTTGGTCAATCAATCCGGGGGACGAGCACCTGGATGGTCCCAAGAGGCGTATGTGTCTGCTCAAATGGTCGCTGACAATGGAAAAATACGTTGAATTTCCAGATGGCTATAACCCCCCAGTGCAGGCTGGAATTTTGTGAACAAACTCAGAAGGCCTTCTAGAGTACGTGTGCAAAGTTACAAAAAATTCCAAGACGGAAATGACTTACCTTGTGAGATGGATTTCATAGAAATTTCCAAATATTTTGGGTTTTGACACGAAATAAAAGGAATTTGAATCAAATTTTCACACATTGTGCTATTAAACATGTCATTTTTCTTTCATTCGCCGCCTAATTTATATTATATGTCATAATATACATATTAATGAATAATTCGCATATATAAATATGAAGATAAAAGGGCGGCGATCGGCAATGAGCAAATATGGATCAAAAAGGGCTCTTTTTAATTAGGGGTTCTTCGCATAAAATTTAGATGATTGAAACAGGTTTACCAAAGAAATCTATTGGTGAAATCAGACAATTCAAAGAAGTCTGTTCTAATTTTTTTTCAACAAATTTTCGCTCTTCAAAAAAGGATCTTCTTTTGAAAAAATGTTCAATCATTGAAGAATGAATGGAATCCTATGGATCTAGGAATCAACTATTCTGAAATCGACTGCGTCACGAGAAAGCTCGCTTTATCACTTTAGGCGTACGGTAAGCACTCGGTGTATACACACACAGCCGGAGTTGACGCGCAATTGCAGAGATTATTTAGCTTTTCTGTTTTTAATATTAATTTTGGCAGCTGGATTTGAGAATTTTGTTTTGTTTGTTTAATCATTTAGATAAATATGTAAAATGTATGCATATTGCTTAAACGTGCTCATTTTTTCAGGTATTTAATCGATGCATATGCAAGGCTTGCCAATAACCGCTCTGTTAAATATCTTCTAGTTTTTTTTTCATATGGTTGTTCAATTTTCTTCATCAAGGATGGGATTCTAGATATTGAAAATGAGGAATTCCGATTCAATTATAAATATTTCTGAAAACAATAATCCTGACATTGGTCACAAATGAGGTGAAAAGGTTTGCGTGGGGATTCGGACCACCCAGTTTCATCACTTTAATTTCTCTAATTTGACGTTATTGAAACAATTTGTTCGTCTGAAGTGATTAAATTTTTCGAAAATGTCAAGATTGATGAATATAAAGGACAAAAAATGAAGGCTAGGAAAAAAGAATTGGTCTATAAACAATTATCATTGCAACTTTTGTAAAACGATGACTACTTCCACCTCTTGTCATAGAAGCCATTGTGGATTAGTGCGAAGAATCCAGTACCTTCAAAATGAAAAATTGAGAGCATCCTGCTCAATTGAACTCCATCGTCGCACGAAAAATGCGTCAGCGAAGCTCGTCATGACGTCAAACATTTGTGCGGGAACTTAAATGACACCATATAGGGTGTGGCTATATTACGTGTGCACAAATTTAACGCAAGTTCATACGCCATTTACGCATTTTTTTAAACATTTTTAATTGTTCATTTCATTTTTTGTGATCTTTCAATCATTTTCTGAAAATTTTATGGAGATCAATCCATCGCGTTGCAATCATCGACTTGAAAAAAAGTACATCTTGAAGAATGAATTGGCGTTAAAAAAATAAAATATCATTGCTTCAAATCTCCTCTGCCACCTGATAACTGGAATTATTTGAAGGTTTAAAAATCACAGCTAAAATCTACAAGTCAATTAAATTTTCCTTCAAGTCGCCAAAAATCATATAAATGGTCATCGGAAACTTAATTATTCTTGCCTGAAATCATTAGTAAAAAAATTAAATAGAAAAAATCACAAGTAAAAAATATATGTAACTTTTCACGACCAATTAATTACGAGGAGATTTGAGATTAATTACTTTTTCTCAAATTTTAAATTTACTATATGCCCCTAAAACCAATCAATTGTTGTTCATTTCCTTGAAATCGAGTAAATCTCCGATTATTTCAACTTTCAGCTAATGTGCAGCTTATTCGAAAGTGTATAGCGGGTCGACCCTCGTTTAAAAAAAACACACAGCTCATAAATCTTCCCATTATTTGCCGTCGATAGTGGTTTTTGAAAGAATGATCGTCACATTTCTTATCGCCTCAAAAAATCAAAAACGTCGGCCTCTCCAGAAGCTCCACAAAGAGTATTTTTATTATTATATTTGATTTTTTGTCAAGACAATAAAAATATGACAATGACAGTGAAAATTAAAAAAAAAACAAATTATTCAAATAAAATACTTAATTTTTTTCGAATCTTTCCCATTTACTTCATTGATCTTCGGGCAATTATCTGTTTTAATACCTTTCAATGTGTTGTAACACAAGTTCGCGCTCAGCTTTTCCCCTATCACTACCCATCCTCCTTTTTTCAGGCAGGATGACTCTGTACAGCGAGCCGATCGACTTCGAGCCGAGCTACTGGCTCATCGCATTCACTCTTGGCTTCTACTTGTTACTTACGTGCATGATTATCGATTATTGGGACCACTATGGCGCTTATAGGGACCAAATTCATACTCACATTCGACCACGCCGCTACAACAATCGCAGAATTGATTAATTCCTTCTTGTTTTATTCATTTTTTTAATAAATTTTTTATGAGAAGAAAATGTCTTATTTTTAATAAATTCCCATTAGTCGGTGCTCGATATTCGTTTTTGGGCGGCTTAAAAAAAATTAAAATTAAAATTAAGCAAAAAATACAAAAATTCGAATAACGTGCGGTCGTGTTGCAAATGTGCACGCGGCGTCAGCAAAAAAGGCGTGGCCAGTTTTTGAAAATGCTATTTTTCGAATTTTTTGGCGTTTCTTTCCGTTTGTCGAGATAATTAATCAATTTTTAGGTAATAATAATGACTGACGCACAGCAACAAGATATTGATTATGGAGATGGCGAGAAGTATGTGAACGACGAGTCAATTGAAATCGCTTGGGCCATTAAGGTACCCGAAAATTATTAAACCTAATTTTTATGGTTTTTTTTTGCTTTCTTTTAGGCCGGAGAACGCGCCAACGTGCACATGAATTTAATAATGCGATGTAATACGCGAATTCTGCGACTCAACAAAATGCAGGATGAGATTGTTTCGTCGTTTCGCAAAGAATTCCCAGATTTGAATGTTGAAAAAGTGACGCACAAGGAATTAAAAGATGATGGGATGAAGGAGAAGTGGAGGAGTTGGTGTGAACAATTCAAAGATGTAAAAAAATATTTAGATTTTGAAAAAAAAAATAAATTTTTTCAGACAGTGGATGATTATTCTATGGGAACTTTAATGAGAATCGAAGCCAACAAAGCCTACAGCCCTGATAATACAGTGGTGGTTCCCAGGGTAGCTAAAGATTATTTTTTTGAATGTTCTATCTGAAATTGTTTCAGATTATCTATCTCGCCATTGAAATGTCTCGAAACGTTGAAGGAATCAACGAGCGCTTAAAAGAAGAATACACAGCCCATCATAATTCGCTTGAGAGCCTTTAAAACGTTTTTTTTTTTTTCAGGGAAACTTTGTCATTTTTTTGTTGTGTGATTATAAAAATTGAACCCGTTGTTATTAATATTCTTATTTCTTGTTTAATGTGTCAAATTTCACATTTACTATCGCATTTTTTGCTAAATCATCAAAAAATTAAATCCGTTTTTCAGAAAATGTCGCTTTTCGGAACAACTCCGGCGACATCTCAAGCCAAACCGCTCTTCGGTATTAAGAAGATTCTGTTAAAAATTAAAGAGAATGTCGAATTCCAGGCACCACCTCAACACCGTCGTCTGGGACCTTATTTGGGAACACGACGACACCTTCTACGGGTTTATTCGGATCCACAGCGACTTCTTCAGCGGCTCCGTCGCTATTCGGCTCGACGACGACAACAACGACGTCGCAGGCTGGAACCCTATTTGGAACAACCTCTAAACGTAAGAATTTTTCAAAAAATTCTAAAAAAAAAGAGTGTTTTTCAGCTTCTGCAACTGTTGCTCCTTTATTCGGCTCAACTCCAGCTGCTACCACAACCACTTCAGCTACTGGTAGCTTGTTCGGAACGACGACAACGACGTCGACGTGAGATTCTGACGTTTTTGGACCTGTTTTTATTTTTGATTCTTTCCAGAATCGGTGGAGGAAGTCTCTTTGGATCATCGACAACAACTGCTACAAGGTAATTTGATGACGCTATTAGTGAGAAAATTTGAAATATTTTAGCACCACATCTACGGGAACAGCATTCGGGTCTACGCCAACGACGCAGGCGAATACTTCGCGTAAGTTGTGTTCTTTCCGTTTTTTTTTTCGAAAAAGAAACGACTAAAATCTCAGTGGGACTTGGCGGTGTCCAACAGCAACAGAAAACGCTCGGCGGCGCTGCGACGACGACGGCGACGACAACATCGACGACTGGTGAGAAGGAGGCGGCCAAAGATGGCGAATTGCAAGGAGCGAATGAGATTCGGCAGATGATTCCGGCTCTGGAGTAAGATTTTCCAAATATTTGAAGGAATTATTTGGACGCGAAATTTTGACCAAATTTTTAGCATTAAGATGAATAGTTATGAAATTTTTGGTTTTTAAATGTAAAAATGTAAATTATTTTTTAAAAAATCACAAACTCGACCCACTTTTATTGTGCATTTTTCAGAGAGCGTTTGAAAAAGAACCGGGACATTATGGAAGAAGTTGAGAATATGCCTGTTGATAACTCAATATCAATAGACGAGCTGATTGACAAGGCTCGAAGCTGGATAAACGAGGTTCGTCGGAATGTGCGCGATGCGAACGACATGTCAAATTATGTCGCCGAGCTTGTTTCCGAGGATAAATACTTTTTGGACACGGCAAAACGTCTTCAGGATGCGTCGAACACCAGCAATCAGACGACGTTGTGCAATCTTATCAAAAGGTTTTCGGAAAAAGAAAATTGAATTTTTATGGATTTTTTCTTAGGCACCTTTACGAGCTCACTGACAAATATGATGTTGAGATGGGAAATATGCAGCAGAGAGTCGAAGCGATTCGGACCAAGTTCGAGCGATTGCTCAGTGGTGAGCCGGCGCTATCAATGGAGGAGCTGGATGAGCTATTTAAGCGATGTGACAGCTCGTATGCGAATGCTCAAGCTCGCATTCATGAGACCGGAAGAGAGATTGAGGTATGTACCGTTTGATTTATGAAAATGAAAATATTGACAGCCAGCCAGCTTTTGTTTTTTAGAATCTGTTTTTATTTTTGCGAAATCAGTCACCGTGGGAACCCCCCTTGATTGCTAAATAATAAAAATAACAGAATTTTTTCAATTTGAAATATTTTCGGAAAATCACAGGATGAGCATAATTTTTGTTGAAAATTTCTTGAATAAGTTGAAAAAATAACGCCGAAAATGGCTGGAAAATTCTAAAAGCGCATTTATTTTATAATTTTTAGAATGTGCAAAAAAATATTATTTTTTTTCTGCAGGCTCTCAAGAATCAGCTAATTGAGCAGGGCTACACGCACCTACGCAAAACGTACCAACAGCATTTGCCGAAGGCGGCGGTGGCGAGCAACGAGGGCGCCGAGTTCTTCCCGTCGCACTCGAGTTTGGCGATGATCGGCAGCTCGTTGAGAGCGCCGGCGACGGCGACAGCGCCGACGGTTGGAGGAATCGGACTCGGAACCGGAACCGGATTATTCGGATCGAGCACAGGTAGAAGAAGATGGTTATTGAGAAGCTCGTCGCGAGACCCGAATTGCAACATTTTTATTTTTTAAAAGTCCCTTTGTTGAATTTCAAAATCAATTTTAATCAGAATTTTGGCCTACAAAATTGCAGTTTCCTTCGAATTTTTTGATTTTTGATTGGAGATCGAAAACAGAGTTGGTCTCGCAGCGATTGATTCCGGTTTTTGAATTTTTGCAGACAGAAATTGTTGAAACAATTTTTGCATTTATGTTTTTTTTTTTCAGGTGGCACTAGCCTATTTGGTTCCACAAATACGACGAAACCGGCATTCACCGGTGGCTCGTTGTTTGGAAATCTGACGAATCCGTCGACGACCACATCGACAACCGCCGCCACCACCACGACAAGCTCGTCGTTGTTCTCGAGCTTCAACACGAAGCCGGCGACGACGATTGCCTCAACCGTCACAAACAATTCGAGCGGTCTGTTGTTCAGCATGAAAAAATGATAATTCGTTATTTTTTTCTCTCTGTCTTAAATTTTATTTGACTATTTGACTCATCATCTTATAATTTTTTTTTATTCATTAAATATAATTTTATTCGATTTCTGTCATGTTCTAATCGATATTCGTCAAACAACGCGAGATGTTTGCCAAGGACCACACCAGATGTCAGTCAATAGTTGACCTGCTGCGCGCCTTCGTTTGGGGTCACGGTCAGTCGGGACCATCGAGACGGCTCGCCTAATTTCCGTATTCTTTTTGCCGTGACAGCGTTTTTTTTTTTGTTTTGAATTGTCCGCAGATGGAAATTCGGATATTTTTTGTTAATTTTTTTCGTTTCGAAAATGTTTTCAAAAAATCATATAGTTGCTGTACGCGGGTAGATTTACGAGAATGCGTCTTTCGAAATGGTCTCGCCCGGACCAACAGATTATTTCGCATTTTATGGACCGGTTCGATAATTTTTTAATCGAGCGACCTTGGAAATTCAAGATAAAGTTCACGCGTGGCGAAACCTTTTTTCAAGGCGCATGCGCGTAAATCTATCCCGCATATAGATTTTGCCGCCTATACAGGGTGGCTGAAAATTACCCGGACTAAAATTTCGAGCCTTCGTGAGGCGCACTGGTGCTTTTTCAGCGCAATGTTTTTTTTATTTTTTTAATTAGCAATGTTTTTTTTTACTATCTCTCAAATTTTCATGATAATTGATTCGGTTTTAGCAAAATGGCGAAGCAAAATGCACACTGACCCGCAATTATCACATTGCACAAGTCCGGAATAAGCACGTATGCAATTTGGAAGCATCTGGGAATTCCGAAAAGCACCGTCTACGATGCAATTTCTCGTTTCAAGGATCTTGGCACAACCCAGGACCGTGCAGGCAGAGGAAAAAAAACTGCGATGACGACTTCTTCGAACCTTAAGATCGTCCGAGACAGAATCAGACGAAATGCTCATCAGAGCATCAAAAAGATGGCTTCCGCCCTGAATATGTCACGAGCTTCAATGACAACCATTGTTAAAAAGAAGCTTAAGTTGACTCCTTATTGTGTCAGAAAAGTGGTCATCCTTTCTCAATCCAACAAGCTCAAACGGCACCAAAAGGCAAAACTCCTTTTGGCGCGCGCGCGGGTTGGGGAACATCTGTCGACGGTCTTTTCGGACGAGAAGCTGTTTACCGTGAAGGCCGTATTCAATTCGCAAAAGCATCAAGTGCTTGCCCGAACGTCCGAGGAAGCTTCAGAACTCGGCCGGACAATTCATCGTTCGTCGTACCCCGTCAGCGTCATGGTCTTCGGTGCCATCTGCTCCAATGGCAAATGTCCTCTGATTTTCGTGGAAAAGGGAGTCAAAATCGACAAGTACTACTATATCAATGAGATCCTGAAGAAGAACTTGCTTCGTTGGGCCCAAAAACACTTTGGTGGAGAACGATGGGTGTTCCAGAAGGACGGGACGCCAGCTCATACTGAAAAGTTTACGCAGGAGTGGTGCGCCAACAATTTACCCTCCTTCATCAACTCAACAGAATGGACCGCCTCGTCTCCTGACCTTAATCTGTTGGACTATTCCGAATGGGGGTCTTACAGAGTAAGGTCCGTGCTAGGCCCCACCCGAATTTGGACTCTCTAAAGAAAGCGCTGGTCGAGGAATGGGACAAATTGTCGGTGGAATACCTGCGCGCCACGGTCGACGCATATCCTAAGCGTCTTCGCGCCGTCATCAGAAACCGAGGAGATCGAATCGGACAACGATAATTTATTTATGTTTGTTATTGTAAAAATAAACTAAATATGAAATTTGAGTGTGTTTGAACAATTATTCACTGAAATACATTGGTTTTCATATAGTCCGGGTAATTTTCAGCCACCCTGTATACAAATTTTAAAGAGCCTAATTTCGTCGGATTTATTATTGATTTGGCTCCTGGTCCCTGAATGGACCATCCTTAGCCGAAGTTTTGGACCTTTATAGTTTTCAGAGGATTTTTTACGAGGAGTATAATTTTTTGAGTTTTTTTAGTATCTTGTAGCATTTTAACTCAGCGAATAATTTATTTTGATACATTTTTTTCAAATATTTTTTTTGGGAAAATTTCATGTTCAGAAATTCGGAAAAAACCAAGGATAAACAAATAACGAATCTTGAAGATTGAGAAAAAAAAATATTTGGTCGATATTTGCGAGCAAAATTCCATCATGCAATTCTAGTCCAAAAAAAATTGGCAACGTTTATTTTTCGAGTGTTGCCCAATAAAAAAAAGGCATTTCATAAATTGCTATTAATTTTTTAATTGGTCTTTTAAAACGCCGAAAACGAATTTTTTTACAACTCGAAATTTCTGTTTTTTTTTTTGCAAATTTTGTGCAATTCGGGATCTTCAAATTCGCGAAATCAGTGTAGATTTAAATTTTTCGTTGGCTGAGTATCAAATGCGCGTACACTATAATGCAATGTACGCAATATCGCGTACTTCTCGCTGCTTACAGAGAATGTCAATTTTGACGACAACTTTGCGAATATTTCTGAACACGTTTCGAGAGTTTTAAAGGGACAATACACAAATATATATATTTTTAATGAAAAAATCTCCATTGACCCCAAATACGGTTAAAGTCAACAATTGAAATGTCATGAATTTCTGGAAAAATAATTATAGTGCGTTTCCCCAAAAAAAAATTTTTGCCTCAAGACCTTAGGTCAGACGACATTCAATAATTTCAGACTATTCTTTTTTCAGTTTTTCTACATTCTTCCTTAAATTCTTCTTTTCCATTTATGGGACCATTATAACACAGGCTCACACATTTTTTGGCAATAAGTTGACTAAAACAAAATCCGATCATCTGCATTCCAGCTCCTTGTCGATCAACTCCAATACGCATAATTAATATAATATTAGGTCCGAAACCTTCTAATAATCCCACCACTCTTCGCCATCTGTCCACCATTCCATACTATCGCAATTCGAATCGTTCCAGATGAATTCGAACGATGGTCCGCTCAAATTGCGTTCGCGTCTTGCGCGCATCGGCAGATGTGTGCGATGCAGTCTGCGCTACGCAATGCCCGTCGGAATCCATCTTCGCAACAGCATCGATGTGCGCGATCTCATCAAGAATACGATGCTCGACTTTGACTTTGCCATCACGATGTGAGCTCAAACACTTTTTTGTTGTTAAAATGGTGCAAATTTTGGCGCCAGAAAAGTCGCAGATTCGCTTCAAAAACCTTAACAAAAAAATTTTGTGTTGTTCTTTGAAAGTTCGATTTAAAAAGCATAGCTTGTAATCAAAAAATGTCATTTCTTAAAAGTGAAATGTGTGCAATATTAGGCCAACGTGTTTGCACACAAATAAATTAGAATTCTCGGTAGTGAAAAAAACAGTAGTGGAGTGAGGAATCGATTGTCTTAGAATTCAATCCTTTTTCTTAAAACGCGGGAAATTTGAAATAAATAAATAGAAATAAAACACGACTCGCCGTAACGTACGCGTGGCCTAGAAAAAGTTTCTTAAAAATTCGGCACGGCCACGCGTGATGAATTAATTAATTTTGAATGAATTCGTATTTATTGCGCGTTTTGACGAATTAAATGTGATTTCAAATTTTGAATATTAATATAAAAGTCAAAACTTTGTGGAAAAATAGAAAATTTTTGCGGAACAGATTGCAAAAAAAACCCAAAAACGCGTTTTGCCTATCAGATAAAGCAATAAGTGGAGCAAAAATTGAGTTTTTCGTGAAATGCAATGAAAGTAAAAAAGAAAATCGCGACTAATAAAAAATATATTAAAAAAATAAGATATTAAACACATAAAAAATATTTTAGAAATTATTTTTCCAAGAAAAAATCTGAAAAAAGATGATTTTCGATGAATTCAGTATTTCAAAAAAAAACAGTCACCAATACAATAATTAAGAAACCCCCCTCTCTCCAAAAATCAATTTCAGGCCAATGAACCTATTGGACAGATTGCGCAAACGTGTCGGCCGCACACAATTCTATCGGGCCTTCTGGCAAGTGGTCGCCGATTTTCCCGACTGCCACGTGGCTGCAATGATGTACTTGTACAGGGCGTTCGACAAAACGAAGACGACGGCGCAGCAAATGTATTTGTTCGGCGACAGTCTCGAATTTATGGTAATTATTGGAGGGCAGAAAAAAAACAGAACGAATGATGAGAAAGACGCGCTCAATTCGATGTGTGTTATTTTCAGATGGAAGGATTCATCGAGGTGGCGCAAGATTACGACAACACGAAAGCGATCGAGTACCTTCAGAGGTTCCTCGTCAGAGCGTTTCCTCTCGACGGACCACATTTGAGCGAAGCCCAACTCCTCGAGGTAATTCAAATATGTATATAACGAGTCTTACGCGAATATTGAAATTCTGTGATGTTTGAGCCTCGGTGTTTGCACACATTATGTGAGCTTAAGCTACAGCAATCCGAATCTTTTAAAATGAGTGAAAAGACGTCGGCAACCAGCATTATTTTTTTTGCGGAGTCTGTAAATCTGCATCAAAATGTTTACACACATTTTGAAATCACTTTTTTCAAAATTTAAAATTGACCTCGAAAATTCTTCTATATTGACGGCAACAACAAAGAATTTTCGAATTCATCTTTTTGAAATATCCGAGAATTCTCGGAATTCCAATGAATCTGCGAATTTGCGTAACAGTGTTTCCTTCATTTTTTGTAATCCTTGAATTTCAGCTTGTCGAGCATTGCATATTCTTCGTGCTGCATTCCGATGGTCCGTTGGTGACGAGCTTCTACACATGGATTCTGAACTCCACAGGTATTGTCTCATTTCCCAACGGGACCATCTCATCTCAATCGATTCTTCCAGATCATTCCGACTTGAGCTTTTTCTATGATCGATCTTGCGAACTCATTCTGACGGCGATGAATCGCTTCCTCAACGTGAACACACTGAAAGGAGCGATCCATCCGGAATACCGCTACGTCGACATTGCCGACGTCAAGATCTACACGGAGATTCTGTTGTGTCGGGTGCTGATTCAGATGCAGAAGCGCACCGAACTCGGGCGCGTGCTGTTCGTCAAGATGTTCCCGCGACTCATCGACAAAGCCGACGAGTTCCATCGAGGGCCGCGCGATTTCAGCGGCCGTCGCACCAGTCCCCAATACCGTCGGATGTACGAGTTCGAGCAGTACTGCGGCAATCTCACCGATCAGCTCGAGCCCGACTTCTTCTGGGAGTACGTGCTCGGCTGTTTCGAGTTGATCGCTGACAATCAGACCGACAACATCTCAAATTTTGCGAGGGTATTTCGAAACGAAACAAAATCGACATCTCCGCTTCTTTTTCAGCTTATCAATGGATGCTTCTTCGGCGCACGCTGCTTCGACAATGATTCGGAAGTTTGCGGTATTAAAGTGATTCAAGCGATCATGAGTTTCCTATCATGTCGTGAAATGCTGACAAAATGCTACCGGGATGACATTATCACAATTGCCGGAGTCGCTCAGAAAATCGTGCTAAATCTCATCGAAAGAATGCCCACGAATGATGAAGGTATACTACTTTGAATGGGCCGCAACGCAGCCGCGACGCCTCTTAAGAACAAATAAAAAAATTAATTTAATTTAGCGGAATTTAATCTAATGAAAACGTAATGCATTGTTCAAAATTTTTCGAGCTTCAAATTTAAAAGAAAATTATTGAAATTCGGAAGAAAACACATTTATAATGGCGTTGAAATTGAAAAACTGATTAAAGGAACATATGATTTTTTTTTAACATTTTCGAAACGAAACATTTTGCCAAAATTGCTGAAAAAATTTTAACGCGAAAAAATGTGTATTACGGTAACAACAAATGTGCAAACACCGTGACGCAAATCCACATAACAACTGTTTTCTATTTTCAAAAAATATTTTTATTAAAAATTTAATTTTTTTCTAGAAAGAGGCATATTAATCGATCTGCGCGAGCAATGCATTGCCGCTTTGTCGATGGCCTGCGAGCTATATGTCCCAAAGCGATCACAAAATTACGTCGCCGGTCTCAACCACACAACCCAACTGCTTTCAAACTTCCTCAGTGTGCCCATTGGCCCAAATTTGGAAGGAATCGAGTCAGAAAGAGTGTCCTCTTGGATTTTCAACGTCTTAAGGGTTGGTTTACATTTCAAAAATTCGTGTTTTTTTTCAACACGCTAATAGTTATAGGTGATATCGGTTCACGAATGGCTCGTCCAGTTTGCCGATGGCAATCATGGTGATGCCCTCACTCGGGCGTCACTCCTCCAGTTTCTCAGTCACGCTTATGTGAAGGCGAACGAGTTTGAGCGAACGTCGCTTCTGACGCGGGCCGATCGCGCCCATCTCGATCGTATCGACGTGTTCGCGACGGGCGTCGAAGCGGCGTGGATCGGTTTGGAGCAACAGCAGAGTTTCATGTATCACACGCAGGTCACGCGATTGATACGAGAGGCGCATTCGAGGAATTCGGCGGAGTCAAGCAGCGAAATTGAGAATATGATAATCGAGAGACTTTTGAGTGGAAATAATGTAGGCAATTTCTATTGAAAGCGAGATCTTTTTTAATAATTGTCAATCATTTCAGGCGAATACCGCAAAAACATTCAAAAAATTGTACGAGGTCATTCGATCGGACAACGGGAAACCTTTTAACACAATTCCATTGATTCTATTCAATATTTAAAAATAAATAAGTTAAAAATATCCACAGGGCTGTTTTTTTTTGCAAATCAAGAGAAAAACTGTTGAATTGATTTTATTGATTTATATCAATTGTCGTCAAATGAATTGCATTGTGTGCAAACACAGAGTCGTTGAAAATCATGACAAAATTGTAATCAAAATAAAGTGTCGTCGAATAAAATGCATAAGGTGCAAACACGCAATATTCTAGCATAAACGAATTCTGGAATAATTAGGTCTCGCCACGATATTTTCGTGTCAATAATCCAATCAAATCGCTTTCAGTGTAATTGGAAATTGTCCGCAGCACAACATTATTAACAAGACCCTCGTTTTTTACCATCGATCAACAAAAAAACGCGCATGCATAAATGCGCATAAAACGCGCGTTTAATTGCTCTATCTGTCTAACACCTTCACTTGGTGCTGCTCACCGCCACGCATTATTACCGCGAGTCGCACAATCAGACTCACACACACACACACACATACATACATACATCTCTCTATCGATTGTTGGTTGTTAGGTGGCTCTCGCCAACACTTATTCTAATAAACCAACCAGGTAGCTGTGCGTGTGTGTTGGTGCATTCGGCTCCGAAATGCTTCTGTTCAGGTGAGCGGCTCCACGGAAGCATACGGTAGCACTAGTTGCGCATTTCAGATCCAACGATGCCGCCAAATTGAGAAAATCGCTTCCGAAATTGCTCGCCAAAATTTTCGTCAAATACGCGCCGGAAAAGACGTCAAACAAAAAGTCGAAACATTTTTTTGTTGTTGTTGCCACGATCCTCCAAAATTTCAGATTCCGCCAGAATCTCAAAACCCTTCTGAAGCGATGCGCCAAAATTGGCGTGGCGTCATTCTTCACCGAATTCTGGCGGATCGCCAACGAGTTGCCGGAATCTCGCCTCGGCGCGATGACCTATTTGATATGTATGGTGGAACATCTCGAGAGCCGCGTTTCGATAAACGGCGACGACGATGAAGCGATGGTAGACGACGGTTACGGTAGCAATTTTTCAATTCGAGATTACTGTAGGTCGAGGCGTTCTGCAAAATGGCGTCGATCGACGCCGACGAGGCGCTGAAGCATTGCCTCCTCAAATTGTTGGCGAAAATCAATGATAGGTGTACTGTAAAAAATCAATGATAGGTGTACTGTAGTGAGAAATGTGTGCAAACACCTTGACGCAAACATCACGACCAATTTTAAAAACATTTTTATTTTCGAAATTCAATCATTTTTTCGAAGTGGAAAAATTTCGCTAGCCCGCGAATTGTCCGCAGCATGAATTCCATATTGCAGGCGGTGAAGCCACGCGAGTGGATAATTCAAATGAGTACAGGCAACTGTCAGGACCTACTGCTTCGCGCCAATCTCCTCGAATTCCTTCTCAACGTGCGCAGATGTTCACTTCGAGCGAAAAACTCGTACCTCGAAGAGGATCTGTTCATATTACCGCGGTGTTTTCCGACGTTCGTCGATCCAATTCTCTCATCGGCCGACACGCAATTCATCGAGAAGCTCGAATTTTACGAGTTATGCGCCAACGCTCTATGGATGTGTCTGACGAGCAAAACCTACTCGAGCTATCACTACAAATGGGCGGTTCAGCTTCATCGAATCCATTTGTTGGACCACAGCGATGGTCCGAGTTTCGTTGAGAAGTTCATCGTCGATCATCTCATGTCCGATGACAAGGTGAATTTTGCGCATATTTGCCCCCTCTTCAAGACAAAAGAAACAAGTTCTCGATTTTTCAGAAAATCGTCGCGAGAGCCCACGAGACATTCGACACATATTTTCAAAGTCTGAATTCGCGAACGAACGTCATCAGACCGCTCAACTCGGTCTACATGCTTCTTCCCGAAATGTCGCCTAATAGTTCGTTGTAATAAATTTCGAAGCACCGAAGAATTTCATCAATTGGTCCAACTTAACAAAAAAAAGGCTCCGTTTGAAAATTCGAGTCTGAAAAATGATTTCCAATTGATTCATATCTCTTTTGTGGTCATCGACCATCATAATACATATTTAAAAAAATGCAAGTTGAAAATAAAAAATTTCCGCGAGGGACGCTCTCCCAAATGAAACAAATTCTCGGGAAAATGGAATTCTGAATCTCGATTCTTTCAATAATCAGAGAATTCATTCGGTTTGCTATAACCAGATGAAAGAAAAAGGAAATAATTGTCGAGAAATGACAAGTTTATCCAGGTGTCGTGGGATTCGGCGTTTTGTACGCAATGCGATGAGCCAGTTACCGTAATCCTCGCAGCGATTTACGGAGATGATCTTTAAATTTTTAAAAACGTTTTTTACTGAGATGGTGTATTGCAAGATTGCGGTTTTGGAGTAAGATTTTCCAAATGTTTGAAGGAATTTTTTTGAACGCGAAATATTGACTTATTTTTTAATTTAATTTTATTTCTGTAATGTTATTGCCAAAAATTGTCCGCAAATGAGTTTCGAATACCCGAAAATTGTCCGCAGATGAGTTTCGAACACCCGAAAATTGTCCGCAGATGAGTTTCGAACACCCGAAAATTGTCCGCAAATGAGTTTCGAATACCCGAAAATTGTCCGCAGATGAGTTTCGAACACCCGAAAATTGTCCGCAGATGAGCTTCGAATACCCGAAAATTGTCCGCAGATGAGTTTCGAATACCCGAAAATTGTCCGCAGATGAATTTCTATAATTTGAAAATTCTCTGGTGATGAATTTCTAAACAAAAGATGTCCTCACAAAGGCAACCAACTAGTATTCTAATAACCCCTACCGTACCCATCAAGACCTCCCCCCCATATCATCTCAAATTACTAAAAAAAAATGATAACCGTTCGCCAGTTTGTCATCTCGCAAAATTGATTAATTGACGAGTGTCAAAAGAAAATAAGAAGACGAAAACGAATTTCTCGGGGCTTCGTCTGTCTTGTTTATTATATGGTTTTCGGCGCGCTCATATCGATTCCATTTCAACCATCGTCGTCCCTCTCCCTTATAAGGCAGCCAAATCGATCGAGCGAGCCGGTCGGGCGCGCTCGTTTGTGTCGGAAAAAACACAACATGTGCCTTCCCACATCGGAATGCCCATTTGTGGTAGCAATAAGGCGTGCGAATCGAAGCCAGCGCGCGACCATCAACAATCGTCGTCGTCGTGAGACCCGTTACGGTCATCGCCGCTTTTCATTTTTTTTCACTCTACGCATAAAATGCGTCTAGCGATGCTTCTTTAAGACGCGCAATAACACATTGCTTTATCAATTTCTTGCTGCGGACAATTTTCACCTAATTCTTGTAGTGTTGCCAAAACGAAAAAAATCTCATCCCTACTGTGATTCATCAATTTCATGCTGCGGACAATTTCTAATTGCAATACTCATTAATTCTTCGCGAATTTCTCTTATCATCAACCTCTATTCAACGAGCCCTCATGTTTCTCGCCATCTCCTCTCGCGCCCAGTGCCGTCCGCCCCTTTTTGTGGCCACTCGCCATACACATCTTGGCCACAGCTTGCCACTCGCCTACAAATTATTTTTTTCGCCTCAGCGATGTCTCTCAGCAAACTGGTGGACGACTCGCGTCCGTCTCTCGACGACGCCGTCGGGGTCATCGTCAACGACTATGTCAATTGCGCCACCCGCACCCAGTACGAGCTCGTCGAGGTTCAACACGAACGTAACGTAAGTGGCGAATCGGGCGCGGGTCTTCAATGCGATCACACGTATTCTAGATGTTTCGACGCGCTCGCGGCGTCGACAAATTCTCGCGAATTTGCCGATTCGTGAAAGTCGTCTCGCGCTTCACCTACTACTCGCTGAAAACGCCAAATCTCGCCAATCGGTTGGCGTCGATTCAAGAGAAATTCGGCGAAGCCGGCGTGTTCACTGAGTTGTGGCGCGTCGCCATTGGCGACGTCGCAACGCGTTCCGCCATCATGCGCTACGCGTGTAAACGCCTTCACGATAATGGCGGCGATTGCAGACAACTCGTTGGCGACGACGTCGGCGTGATGGTGAAGGCGTTGTGCGCCATCGCCGACACCAGCGACCTTCGCCATACGCTCTACTTCGCCACGTGCTTCTGCTTCAAGAAGCGCTCGCTGGCCGACGATGAGTTCGTCGCGCTTCTCCGTCGCCTCCTCTTCATCGCCATCGAGCAGCGTCCGAAGCACACCGGACGCCTCATCGGCTGGCTGACCGGCTCCACCGACGACCTCAACTACTTCATCACCTACGCCGAGCCGTGCGTTCTCGCCGCCATCGTCGACGTCCTCGAGACGGACACCTACGAGGTGCCCAACAACGCTGGAATGCCATGGGAGAGTCCGGCGATGGAGGTGGTGTTCGGCGAGTCGCGCGTCGCTCAACTCATCGCCGGACTCATGGCGGATCGTCGAATCGGCGAGTACGTCTTCCGCAAGGTGTTCGCACGACTCCTCGACAAGGCCAACGAGAATCGCCGCAAGTACGCGAGCGACAAGCGTCGAGAGCATCGCCGAAATTGCTATGTCGAGGCGTTCGTCACGCTCTACAAGGCCACCGCCAAAAAGGTGTTCCATACGGAGATGATCAAATATTGCAAGAGCGTCGTCAAGAAGAATCCCGCGGATTGGACCGACAACGACATCGACGATTTTGATCAGGTAAGTGTGAGGGCGCTCGGAATGCCACGGTTGTCCCGATTCCAGGTGATGTGCTTGTACATGGACGTGTCGGACAAAGATCCGAGCATTGGCGAGTACGCTCCCGAGATGCTCAGCGTCTGCTTCGACATTGTCACCTCGCCGATCTTGATCCAGAAGTTCACCAACAGTCAATTCCTGATGACGTACGCCGTCCTGCATCGTCTCCTTCAGCACGTCATCGATCAATTCGAGCTCGGAAAATTCGACAACCTCGGTATGACATTCATTCCAGAATAGGTAATTGCGATTTCAGTGGGAAGTCTCGCCGAGGAGATCCGCAACAAGACAATTCGGGCGGTCTCATTGTCGTGCGAGACGTTCATGGCGACGCCGGAAGAGCGCTTCCGAAAAGCCATCGACATGTCGGCGTGCCTCTTCGAGAAGGTCTCCTATATCTCGCTTCGCTATCCGGCCGGCGAGCAAGTCGACGAACGTGACGGCGCTTCGGAATGGCTTCAGAAGATCTTGAAGGTTGGCTGGAACGTTGAGACAATGAATGAATAATCGTCGTTGTCTTCTTCAGGTGATCGACATTCCCGATTGGATCGAGAAGATGCGCGAGGAATCGTCGGAATTGACGATGCTGACTCGTTCATTGCTCGTCGATCTCGTCGTGCGATTCCATTTGGAGTTCACCAACACCACCGAGGACAATGCTCGCTATCCATACTATCTCGAGAAGACGATCATCACCGAAGCCGACATGAAGCAGCTCGACGAGTTGAGACTCGATGAATGCGGCGCGATACTCGCGCGAACCGCCGAACATCCGAACGATTATCTCAAGATCGTCCATCAGATCAAAATGCGACAAATGCGAATGAAGGTGCTCGTGTTCACCCGCGACGAGTACGATGAGCTCGAGCGCAAAAACGAGGCGTCGCTGAAGGCGAACGAGGCGCGATTCGCCGAGTCGGCCGCCGAAGATCCACTGGCCCGTCGACTTCTCGCCTATCTCGAATAATCCCCCCAATATCAATGAATTTTTGTTTTGCCAATAAAGAATTTTCAACGCTGCTGGCAAAAATTCTTGACGGGTCCCAACGCGATGCGATCATTCCTCTGCGTCTCTGCTGTCGGCCGCACCTTTCCCATACATGTGTTCGATATGGCGTGCACTTTTCGACAAATGCGCCTTTGAACAAAGTCCCATCGAGACCCGATTCGCATGCTCAATTGGTACGGTTCGCGGCAGATGCTGAGTTCATTGTTTGTTGTTGTTTTTTTCGTGTCGAGACCCTCGATTTTTTTCTCTCGCGCCAGATGCTTTCACCACCTGCCTGCTTTTGGGTGTGACACCATCACCATTCTTGTTCCAGATCGCGCCATGGCGATGTACGCGCTCTCGCCGGACGTCCTTCAGCACTGTCTACACTCGAATCCGGAGAATGTGGTTCGAGCGGTGACGATCGAGATCGAAGGTGACAAATCATGCGCGGTCACAATTCGAATCGATCAGGCCGTCGTGATCCCATCGGAGAAGCTTCATCCAGCACTCGACTGTGTTGTGGGCTCCGGTGGTGAGCGATTGAGCAGAATGTGAGTGATTCGACGAAAATCGAGAAAAATTCGAAATTTTTGAAGCTATCGCAATCATTTCCACAAACTGAGCACTTATTTGGCGGATCCGCGCAAATTCTTCATCGACTATCACAAAAAGCACGTTCGGGTGTTGAATCGAGCGAAAGTGCCAAAGTTGAAGTTGCTCGGTGCGCGATATGACGAGATGATGAGCATTTCTGACCAAATCAGATTCGTTGGAAACGACTTTGATCACATGGTATAACTTTTCTAAAATTTAATAGATTATTTAAGCATTTAAGATTATTGTATTGCTCAAAGTTTCTGAAAATGAGCAAATTCAAGCTCCAGAATCGTTCGTGACCTTTTTGGCTTATATTTTCCCACTGGATAGTTCTAAATTGACGGATGAGCAATTTATCAAAGTATTGATTTTAAAGATCAAACCTATCTCAAGAAAATTTTCTAGCTAATTCTGCAATGCTTGTCAATGATGCCTGATTATGGGGCCAATTTTTCGAATGTTTTTATTGCCTGGCTTTTGAGTAAATCCGGTATACAAACAAAACCAAAATATGAATGCAAGCTTTAAAATTTCTCGCAAATTACTAGACGACACCAATAGCAATTTGATCAAATGCCGTCAGGGGAAACTTGAAGAAATCGACTCGTCGTTCTTCTTTGAGCGCACATTCCCATTATTCAAAATCGCAATGGAGCGCTACCTCGATTCTGGAATGGCGAAATATTCAAGAAATCCATATGTGGAAATGAATGTGTGCAAAATACTCACCGAATTTCAAACGCATCCCGATCTCGGCAAATTTTTGAACGGCGCGTTTCTGGTGCCGGCGATTCGCAAATACGATGAATGGCGGATTGAAAATGCGAAAAGGTTGGCGAAGTTCATAATTAAAATTTCAAACCTTGAGTTTAGGGCAAATTTGTTTCACAAGGCCTTCGGCTCATTAATTCAACTCACTCCTGCCGAATTTATCTGGGATTTCATCAATTATTATTGCGATACTAATATCAATTGCTCAGATGTTTGGAATGACACTGAAAAAGTGCATGAGATTTCTACGGTAAAGTTGCATCACAAAAAAATTTAAAAAAAAAGAACGAGAAAATTCAAATTCAAATTTCCAAAGTGTTCGCTATGACGCAATATTGCAGACAATGCATCAAACATGACGCAACTCTATTTCAGGTTCTCGGCATTTGTTTCTCTTATTTTCACGATTTTGGCGATGCCAGCGATCAGGCAACGCAACTCTGCCAGCGGATTCTTGAGGGATTCGCGAATCCGAATGTGCTCCGCGCCAACAGCGTGCTCGATTTGAGCAATCTGTTCATTTCGGCGGAAATTTGCCTAAAATCCGCGAGAATTTTTCCGCTCTTCTATCCAGAGAGATATTGCCATCGGCTGCAGACGTACCGATATTTCAAATGTCACGCTCTCGGCCTATTCAATTCGCTGTTGGACGCAATTCTGACAATCGCCGATTTTCATATGAGGGATTCGCGACGAATTCTGAAGATTGTCGATCTCATCGAGTACGCCGAGCTTTTCGTGAAGCCAAGCTCGATTCTGAACACGAAGCACGACAATTTCGAGGCGTCTCACGTCAGCACATGGGTCAAAAAATTGGTGAATGTATGAAACGATCGCTTGAATTCTTCATAATTAATTCTCTATTAAAGGTGTTCAATTTCCACAAATTTCTCACCGAAATGAAAGCCGGCGAATGTCGGGACATGGAAATTTTTATAAGCCTTCTTGAGTTCATCTGCAGAATGTATATGAGCAGCGCGACACCTTCGAGAGGCGCAATGATCCACGATCAGAATCGGTTTCCGCTCTTCTCGAATCCCATTCTCAAACGATGCGATCTGAGGTTCATCGACAGTCAAGGGTTGTTCGAGAGTTGCGCGGAAGCGCTCTGGATCGGACTCGAGTCGAATTGGTGTCGTCATTGGCACGTGACGATCAGAAGGCTTCTCATTCAAATCCATTCAAGGGATCTCAGCAAACCGAGCAGCGAAGTCGAGAAAATCATTGTGCAACGACTCCAATCAAGCGATGAGGTAAATTTCGTGAAATTTTGGCGATATTTTTCAGCGAAAAATTGCAGACAATTCGAGAGAAGACGATCTACATTTGCGAGGTCATGTCAGGAGCGATTATGACTTCTGACAAGCCGTTCGATTCAGTTTCCATTAACATTTTCTCCATCTAATTCCAATTTTTGAAAAATTATTCCAGTTTCAATGCCATTTTAAAACGACGTTCGCTATTTTCATTTTATTATTGTATGTTCAAATTTTTAATTTCAAAGAAAACGAAAAAAGGATTCTTTCTTTGATGATTTTTTCTAAATTTTCAAAATTAATTTCCTGAATTTTTCAATTTTTTTTTGACTTCTCGTCTCTTCTTAAAGCATTTTCAGCTTCTTTTTGTAATTTGTGTCAATTGAATTCATCACAAAACAAGTTCTATTCAATTTCCAAACATTAATATACTTTTCCCTTTCGTTGAGCTTTGCTCATTTCAATTTTCGGTGCAATTTTCATCGGCGATTCTAAATTAATCAAAAAACTTGGAATGATTCATCTTCGTTTGATTTCTTGGCCTCATCTGATGTGTTTTCAAGCCACTCCCCATATTTTCATGATTCATTTCAGCTTTTTTAAGAAAAACCTCGTTATTTTTCAAATAGGACCCCAACTTTCGCATTTTATATTTTATTCAATTCATTTTTTTGTATTTTCTTTTCCGAATAAAATGTTTTTTGCAATACCCTATATGGAAATTGTACAAAAAAATTAGTATACATAAATAATTATTTTTGACTTTGAAATATAAATTTTTCTCATTAAGCGAAACAACCACTGCAACTGCGCTAACAGACGAAAAATAGTTAAAAAATAGTTGAAAAATAGTGCAGACTTTGGATGAAAGAGGGATCTGTAACAGATCTATTTTCAAGTCTATTTTTCATCAGCGCTTCATCTATTTCTCAGCCATTCTCTATCTATTTAGCATCTTGGATTCATCTATTTTTCATCCATTTTATGTCTTGTCTCTGTCCCTCGTTCTTGCATTTTTCATCAGTTTTCTATCTATTTCTCATCCATGATTCATCCTTTTTTTAACCCATTTTTGTCTACTTCTTGTCTCTTATTCATCTATTTTGCGTCTATTTTTCTTCTGGATGGTTTTTATGAAAAAACAACAGTAAACGGAAAACAACAAAATAAAAAAAAGAAAAATACAATAAATTGTTTAACATTAGAAATATCAAATTTCAATTAAATAGAAAAATGCTGATTGAAATATTCAGCGGCATCGGGCTTCAGTTTTTTGAGTTGGTGCTCTTTTCCAATTCCATAACTTTGCTAGCGTGGTGAGATCCTTTCTGATCGTTATAATTTGAACGAAGGCGATCGCTAAAAGTACATGGTGTTATTTAGTGAAACATTCGCATAACTACATGAAAGTAATCGCAGACTCTTTGATTTGCACAGCAACTGAAGTAGCTTGATCCGTCGTTGGAGCAATATCTAATCCAATGAACAATGCTTCTTAATTTTTTTTAACATTGTTCACATATGTATGTATTAAACTTGAATTGCAGATAGCAAACAAGAAAATTTGAAGTCTGAATAACTATAAGAAAAATCTAAAACATTATATCTGAAACATACATCTAGTTTTTGCCTTCCGTTAGTGAGCAATCGAGTCAAATCGGCTCCTTCAATTGGCAATTGTAGATGTTTGTCGAAGTTTTCGAGCATGGTTTCATCGCATTCGAACATTGCAGATTTTTTCTTTGAACATCTAAACTTTTTAGGCATGAGCTCTGGAATTTCTGCCGTTTTTTTGGTCACACTTAATTTTGATACCTTTTAGTATCAACATTACAATTCCATCTGAACAAGTGTGTCCAAGATTGTATTGTACGGCTTGACATATTGCACCATTTTCGCCGCAACAGGACCAAATTCATTAACACCGCGAATACTATCTTCTAGAGTCTTATCCCCAAATCTGTCCAATCGTCGATCTTAAATCAATATAAGCGATGAATAAGAGGGTTTAAAATTATTATTGATTATTACCGTTTCCAAGTAGTGGTTTGTGCAGAGTTCCGTGAGAGTCGCAATAAAAACAAGCTTGTGGACTTGAAAAACCGCTCATTCCAAGAATTTTTCTTTTTGCCTTAAACTGAAATCTATAGAAATTTTTATCACTTAATCCTTACTGGTTGGTCAGAAACGAGTGACACGAGGTATGGAGAAAATAAAATATTGTTTACAACAAATGTTGACCCTTCGCCTTCCAATCGATTCATTATAATATCCGTGACGGTATTCAAAACAAGGGTTGTTGGATTATTAGCTTTTAATTGCAGCATTCCACAGACTACAAGATTAATTGAAAGTTGCGACTTCATTGTAGGCAAATCCACTAACTGTAAAGTAATTGGCCACAAACTTCCTCTAAATGGCACATCTTTAATAAACAAATAATAATAATACCTGAAATGTCCTCGGGGATTGACGCCGTCCAGACTTAGCACCATGCTCAGATCACAATGATTTTCATCCTCGTATTTCCATGAACTGGAAAAAGAACTTCCTTGAAGATTGTGTGTGAAGTTTGGTGCTTTTTCCTTCAATTTCTTTCGAATTTCCATTATATCGTCAAAGGACGACTCCACAATCCCGCGAATTTGTTCGGTGAGAGGCAGCATAAGAAAAGTCGCCAAATCGCCGCAACTGAAATTGATCATAATAATGTTTGAAATGTGGTATATGTGTTTACCATTCTTTCTCTCTTCGACATCCACACTTTTCGCATATTGAACGCTTCATAATATTCTTCTTGAAATCATACCACAATGAGCGGGCTCTTTCAATCGGGATGAAGTTTTTAATTGTTGCCAGTCGTCTCAAAAAGCCTGCAACCATTTTTTGTCTTTGGAAAAGTATTAGTTTTACCATTTTCTGTATCTTTTCCGAGTACCGAACTATACATGCACAATAATAGTTCATCGGCCAATTCCGATACACGATCATGTGCGGGGTAATTCGGTACGCATGACGGCCCGACTACTTCGGAGAATTCTTCAATTTCGCTTTCAGATCGTTCTCTCATGAGATTCTCTCATGAGAAAGGATGTTGTTGATGCATCATTTTCATTATTTTCGTTGTTCGACGATTTGTTTCGAAGTGAAAGCCGGGCGTTTTTTCGAGCAAAGACCACACGTTTGGTCGGCATGCATCGCGAACCAGCAATTTGATCTTAAAATAATAAACAATCAGCAATATTAATATACGAAACAAACCTACCTTTCCTCAATTTGAGACCTTCTTTGGGTAATCGATGGCGAAGAGTTTTAGGCATTTCCAAAATTGATTTTTAAAAAAATTGTGATTAACATGGCGCCATCTGCATTCACATTACGATCAACTGCACAATTCCATCTATTTTTCACCCTTTCAGTGTCTATTTCTTATCATTATCTTCTATCTATTTTTTCCCAATTTTTCATCTATTTGTCATCCATTTATCGTATATTTTTCACCAATTTTTGAGATAATCTATTTTTCGCCCATTTTTCTCCTAGTTTTTATCTACTTTTCCGAGTAATCTATTTTTCATCCACCTTTTCACCATTTTTCGTCTGTAGCACAGTTGCAGTGAACCTTGAAAAAATTGATTCAAAGGATTTTTCAGCACAATTTTCCTTGAAAATTATTTTAAAACCAAGATTTCCTATCAAATTCCGATTAAGGTGGTCCGTTGCGATGGTTGGCAAGACAACCTCCAACTTCTCGACATCTCCGTTCGAGGACTGCTTCTCGAGTTCCTCTGCAAAATCCGAATCGCGACAGTCGGGTTCTCAAAATTCTATGGGACGCCATGGCGACCAATCATTCGCCAACCGCCAAAGTGTTCGCTTATCTTCATGGGCCAGTGTGGTCGAGCAAATTTTGATCAGAAAATTGACTTCAGACGATGGGGTAATTCTAATTAGCCACTTAATTAGGCTACTAATTATTTCAGGAGGTACGAGAATTGGCGGCAAAGGCCTTTGTCAACTATTATGATCAATTAAATCCAACATTCGCTCATGGCAAACTTCAAATTCAAAACGTCGGAGCTCCTGCAATTCGAGGATTGTCCGCAGATGATTTATTACGTAAATTATCAATTATTTAATTTATTTCTTTTTTCCTTTCGATGTTGAGAACGCATCAGTGACAATCTTCATACGAGTCTTGTCGGCAAACTCGGCGCGAACTCCATCGAATAGTCTAAAAAGTTCGAAATTCGGAGTTTCGCGCATAGCAAAATTACCCATTGATCACCGAGACCACCGAATTCTTCAAATCACCCGGATGAAGCGGAAATTTCGGATTGGAGCCGACCAGAAACTCGTGCTCGAGTTCCGAATAATTCTTCGCGATCACATCGCCGCCATTCTCTTCCGTTCGCGCGATTTTCAATTCGGCGCCGTCGAGAATCGGGAACACCACGAGTTTCGCGAATTTCATCGCGACGTTGCCCTCAAGATTCGCCGGCTCGCAGAAGCTTCGCGCAATTTTCGTTTTCGTCTGCTTCGGCGTGTCGAGCGGATCAAGGAGGAAATCCGGCGATGAGCATCCCATCTTCTTGCCGTCACATCCCGGAATCTGAGGCACCGTCACATGCGGCACAGAATTCTGACCAACAAATTTCAGAAGCTGAAAATCATTTTCTGTGAGTCTCGATTTCAAGGGACACGAAGAGAAAAATCCGAATATTTAAAGGCGCATATGCAAAAATTCAATTGTTTGAAGAAAAAAAAAACCAACTCGCGAATGATTCACCGCCCACTAAAAATGTCCTACCTTCTCCGAAAGAATCGCAATATTCTCGGCATCTTCACCAATCAAAAGAACATCGGGTTTCACCAATTTGGCGTTGAGGGCGTACATAAGTGGCACCAAGTTGCCTGACAAGCTGGTGCCTTCGCAAACCGTCGTCTCATCGCGAGTCACCGCCGACGCCATTTTGTAAAAATCAAGAACATATTGGCTGCAACAAATCGCAAATTTCAGAGAAAATCGCAAATCAATACCTGCTAAAGTAGCCGTCAATTTCCGAAGCGATCTGAATCTTCACATTCGACTCCAATTTGAGCTGCTTCAATATCGACGCGAGCATTTCGCGATAGTAAATTGCACGAGCGTCAATTGCACCCCAAGCGACTTTCTCATTGTCCAAATAAGCTTCAATGTCCGAAATGAGGACGGTAGCGTCGACGGGAACTCCAGAAGCAATCAATTTCTGGAAAAAAATTCAAGCAAATGATTTTTGTCGAGGGAATTTTGACTTTGAAAAATGTGCCAAAACCAAATTTGTTGCTTAAATTTTCTTAAAAAGTGGAATTTTAAGCTAAATTTTATTGAAAAAAAAACGAAAAGAGAGAAACGAACCTTCATTTTTAATAAACCGCTAACAAATCCTAAATGGAATCGCCCTTTGGCGTGACAGACAAACGCGATTCGAAGCGGTTTCGACGTCGAGACATTTCCAAGCGTCGAATTCAAGTGCTCCGGGCAGATAATCTGAAATTCGAGAAGATTTTATTGTCTTCGCAAAAAATTCTTAAAACCTGCGAATCCCGCGAGAGCTCTTCAAGCCATTTCGTCTGCTCCTCGTTCAATTTGACAATCACTTTCTCGGATTTTGGCGTTGATTCGACATTCACAACCGTCTGATATCCTTTTTCTTTGGCATTTCTCACAACATCATTGTCGCATCGAGTTTGAACCTGGAAAATCGATCATCGAAATTTGAGCTAAACTGAAAAACGCCCACTTTTTCGAGCAAATTCACCAGGAAATCGGAGAGATAGTCTTTCAAAGCGTTCTCATCAATTTTTCCTTCGAGGTAGGCCGATTTTAGGGCGTCAAAATCGAAAAATTCGCTGAAAATCTCGAATTTTACAGAAAAGAATGGTACAAAAAATTACTTATTGGCGATTTTAATGGCTTCGGGGCTCACAATCGGGAAAAGCACATAATTATAAAATGCGAGAACCCCGTTGTCCGGCTGGTCCCTTGAGCAAGCAGCTCCAGCGATTTTCGCTCGAACTTTCGCCGACTCGTCAAGAACATCAATCTTCGAATCTTCTTCGGAGCTCAATCAGATTCATAAGAAGACGACCAAAAAAGTAAGAAGCTTAAATACCTGCTCATTTTGGTTCCAGTCAATCCAGGGACCATCGGGTTCATCAAATGCCATCGTTTTCCAAGCTTCAACTTTGGTAGCTGCTCTTCAGCAAGAATGAAGATTTTCCGTTGATCAACGCCACCAAATTGGCCGTCAACCTACAATTTTAAACATTTTTTGAGCCATTTCTAACAGAAAAAAAAGCAGAGCCATTTTTAACAGAAAAAAAAACCTTTAAATACTGTTCATCTAAAGCTTGCAAAAGTGGATAGAGGAGTCCTGAGAGAAGAGGAGAAGCCACTTGCTTCACAACTTCGGCTCCCGCCTTTAAAGCGTCTCGCTGCGAGACCTGAGCGCTGAGTCGAAGCACATCATTCGTATATTCCCTAGAATTAAAAAAAATTTTCCAAATCTTTAAAATGCCCAATAAAAGACGTACGTACAGAATTTTTGGAATTTTCAAAAAAAAATTCTTTAAAAAACTACAGAGATAATTTCAAATCGTTTCGAGATTTGTAAATTTTCCAATTTGTTTCTAAACGAAAAAAAAAACTAAAAAATAATTACCTAGAAAGCTGAAAGGTGGTGCCTTTGACAAAATGAAGACGATCGATGGGAACATCGAGCGATTGAAGAAGCGCTTTGATCACATTCTCGTAATAGACGACGCGATTCTCGAGCAATTCCCAAGTCGATTTCATATTATCCAAATACGCGTGCAAATCGGCGAACAAAATTGTGACTTTGAGGCCGGCGCTGAGAAAATCGGCGATTTTTCGCATCGGCACCAAATAGCCGACGTGCGGTTTGCCGGTCGTCGCCGTTCCCCAATACAAATGCGGAATTTTGCCATCCGTCGCCAATTGTTTCACCAATTTGTCGACGCCAAGCGATTCCTGACGTTTTTCTTTCTCATTTTTTTGGAATTTTTTCTCCAATGAAATTGGAAATCGTTGAATTAATTCATTTTATCAAATGTGAAATCGGTATCGTTTGAGTTTTCAGCAATTTTAAGCAATTACAGTCAATTTTTTGACAAAAAATGAAATTTTCCAAAATTATTCTTCGCTCCCACTGATGTGAGTGGCAAATTCTTCAAGCAAAGATTACGTGGGAAAAAAAAACAGTTAAAAATTAAGATATTGCAAATAAATGAATGGCAAAACTTTGACTGTTTCAAACAAGGAAAAAAAAACATTTTAACTCTAAATATTTTTTTCCGTTTAAACATTCCGGAAAATCTGTGTTTTTATTAGCTTTTAGTCAAAAATATCGGCAAATAAACTCGTTCAATAAAATTTTGAAATAATAAACGAAAACCAATTAAAACATTTTGGAATTTGTATTGTCGACATCGCGCGACTGCGAAAAATTGATTAATTGCCAAAAACTATAAAAAAGATCTCAGTGAGGGCGCCTTCAACCTATATTTATATAGGTCCGTAAATCTACACTTTTAGCTTTGCGCCAGGACCACTGTAATTGGTTTTTTTTTATCATTTTGCTAAATTTTCCGCGGTCGCACGAACGCCGACAACAACTCTCTACGAAGAGTGATTCTACATGAAATTCCATCTGCGGACAAATAAATTCTCAAATCCAAAACGGACGTACCTGCAAATTTCGAACAATAAGCTGTTTTCGTCGCAAGACCTCCTCGGAGATTTCTTCTTGCTTGTCCCCAGACATCTAAAAATGCGATAAGAACAAATTCGACGAAAAATCGATAAAATTCTCGAAAACAACGAGAGGGAGAAAGAAGGAAAGAATTTAAAGAAAAAACTTGAATATTTATTTTTTTAAATACTACTATTAAAGCCTAAAATTGCCCGCGCGAAGTGTTCATCGTTTGAGTCGTTCCATGAAAACCCCCGAATTCTCGCCGAGTTTTCCGCCGTCATACACCCCGAATTGCGCATTTTCCAGATTTCGCTCGTTCGATGGAATTCCCAGTCTTAAAAAAAAATTCGATTGGAACGAACAATAAAACAAAAATGGCGAACCTATCAAGTGAAAATTTCGCCATTTTCGGCACTATTGGCTGAATTAGAACGCTGACAACTCGCAATGTCTCATATGTAATGAACATAATGCTCTCCAGCTGAAAATTCACCAACAATTTTCCAATGTTCACGCCAAAATCCCACTTTTTTCTCATTTTCCTGGTGCTTCCAAGGCTGATTTAATTGAAAAACGCGATTCGCTTCCTTCATTATCGCCATCAAATTCTCAATAACCTTATAATACATCATTTCATCGTATAAGCTGACACATTTCTCTAAAAAACTTGTTTCTTGTAAAAAATTTTTTTCAGAAAATTGATTACCGCGCGCTTCTTGAAGCATCTGAATCAGATTCTGTGACGAATCAACAACGTCCGAATCCAATTCGGTGATTTTCAGGCACGGATAAGTCTGAAAATACATTTTTAACATACAAATTGCCCAATTATAACCAACGTTGGTAGAATTCATCTTATCAATGGTGCTCCGATTCAGTAAATTTCCAAAATTGTTCACCATGTCGCTATTTATAGTTTCCAGACAACTGGAAGAGTTGAAATCTGCAAAAAGAACCCCACAAAATGCCGTTATTTTACTTTTTTCTTCTTAATATACTTGAATCATCGCTAGGATTTCCATTTTTCAGCAAAAAATAACGTAGACCTTCTGTCGAGAATTCTTCAATGGCTGAAATTGGGCTGACGACGTTTCCGAGACTTTTTGACATCTAAACCTTATTATTTCACTTTTTTTGGTCAAGAAAATCTCAAAAAAACCTTGACATTATTGACCAGCCAATGGCCATGAACCAAAAACTTCGAGGGTAATGGCAAATCGGCGGCGAGTAGGAATGCAGGCCAATAGAAGAGATGGAATTTGACGATGTCTTTGCCAATGACCTGACACGTCGGCGGCCATGCTGACGATGAGCTGGGCCAGCCGGAAACGCTCAGATAGTTCACCAATGCGTCAAGCCACACATAAACCTACAAATTTTCGGCTAAATTTCTATATTTTTAGAAACCATGCTTCGTCTTTTCGCGAATAGTGCATTCTATTCCAAAATAATAACAAAAATTCAGTTTTTAAGTCTTTTTTAGATGTTCTTAACAAAATTCCAATTTCGAGGATTCAAGAAGCGCCGAAAATTATACCGTCTGAGAAGGATCATCGGGAACCGGGATTCCCCATGAAAGTCGGCTGCTCGTTCTCGAAATCGATAAATCCTCATCCATTTCCAATGAATTTTGGGCGGTTTGCACGTATTTTTCGGGAACAATTACGTCTGAATGCAACATTTTTGCTCAGTTTAATACCAACAAAAAAATAATACCCTGATTCTCAATCCAATCGCAAATTCGCGAGCGGAAATTCGACAAACGAAACATGTAGTTCTCCTCTTCGATCCATTCGACGGCCGTCATTGATGATTTGGTCACCTTCACGGGCTTCCCGTCGATTTTCGATTCCATGACCTCATTCTCCGGCACGAAACATTCATCAACGATGCTATAATAACCGGAATATGTGCTCTTATAAATATGGCCACGGTCTCGGAGGTTTCTCTGAAATAAAATGAGGGGCAATTGCGAAATATTGGGAAACTTTGAAACCCAAAATTGCTGAACAGCTTTCTGATGGCTTTTGTCAGTGGTCCTTATAAAATGCGTATGAGAAATTTCGAGTTTCTCGAATAACTTTTGAAATTTCGCTGAGACTTCATCGCAAAATTGCTTGGGACCCTTTCCGGCATTCTGGGCGGCCCGAAAAATCTGGAATCGAAAATTTTCCTCAAAAATTTGAAATTGTCAACCTTACTTCCATGCTCATCGGTTCCAATGGAGAAAATCGCCAAATTCGACGGATTCTTCAATTTATTCCATCTATGGGCTGTGTCGCAAAGTAGTGCCGTATAAGCATGCCCAATATGAGGCTCTAAACATAAAAATAATAATACTGAAATTCATTGCCTGCTAACATGGGAAATTTGAAAACAATAATCTCATTTTTACCTGCATTTGCGTAAAAAATAGGAGAAGTGACGAAAGAGTGAGAAGCGCGTAAACCCGTCGAAAATCGATTTGATCTTGTCAGCATAGATATTCTGAAATGTAAATGTTTCCTTCTTTTGGAATTAAAAATGATTTTTTTTTTTGAATCCTTGAGTATTCGCAAAATTTGACCGAAAATTTCGTAAAATTGCCAAAAATAAAAAAAATCTGTTGGCCTAATGTTGCAAGTGCGCTCCAGTGGACGCCCGCTTCAAAACGCGCCACGTTCAAACATCCGAATCTCATGTACTAACGCACAACTCTCGATTTGGCGTAAAAACGTGAACCCGCCCCCATATTATTATTTTTAATATATTTTATTCGTATACTCGGCACAATTTTCAACTGGTCATCTGTACAGAATGCCGCCAAAAAAAGCGCGAGCGCCGTCGAAAGCAACACTCAAAAAGGAAATCCAAAATCAAAGTAATAATAATTTGTTTCCGAATTTTTGCATTAATTTTTCATTCATTTAGTTGGCCATAAAACGGAGCAACTTATCGAGAATCTTGAGGCTTTAAAGATTAGCGAACGACTGAAGGGCATTCAAACAATCAAATCTGTATTACCCGCGGTAATTTGATTTGAATTTTTTTTCTAATTAATTTTTAAATTTTTAGGCTGTTTTAAATTTGAAATTAAAAGATGTTCTACAACACGCGAATTTCGTGGAGTTCCTCGAGGAGGCTTGTAATGGAGTCTCAGGCTTCCCTGATGAGAAAATGGTAATTTAAAAATATATTTATTGTTGTGAATGGACGAATTTCTCTAATTGTTTAAAACCAATCTTATATGATCAAAATTCGGCTCCGGATTCAACTTGATTAGAATGCTAATTTTTAAGAATTTTTAAAAATTGTCGTATTCGTTTAGCTATTTTGGATGTTTCCGAGTTCGGTAATTTTTCAAATCTGTTTTTTAAAATTTGTCCAATTAGAATCGATTGGTTTTGATGTGCCAGAGTTGAGAAATTTGAATTACCCTTATTTAAATTGGTCAATGAAACCCCGATAGTCAAATTTTTCGAATAACCTAAAAGATAATTGTTTTTACGTAAAATTATATATATATTTTCCTTATTATGAATGTTTAAAATCTCGGTAAATTTAATAAGCGAACCTATTGCAACTTTTTAGCAGAAGGCTATAATAAATTGTAAAAGTTTGCGCAATTTCTCAGCGTGTCAGCCGAGATTTTCCATACGAGACCCAAGGCGGCAATTCAAACGTCAAAATAATGACACTCCAAATTTCTTCTCGTCCATGGCAATTTATATAGTTTTTTGGGATTTAAAATGTTTTTTTTTCCAGCCTGAAGCTGAGCACGATGATCCCGCTGAGGCGATGGAGTTAAACGTCGCCGGCAGTCCAGTGAACGACGAGAACATGAGCGCACCGTAAGCTGTTGTTGTTGTTTATTCATTTGTTGATTTGTTTGTTTAAAGAGTCAGCAGGAATGAGCACAGGAGACGATTAAAAACGCCGCTGGGCGTTGAATTGCCAGTGCCTGATGTCATAAGGCCGAAAATTGAAGCCGAATCGTAGGAAAATGGTTGATTTTTTTGTGAAGAATTGCAATTTTGTTTGCAGAATTGGATTCCGATTGCCCAAAGTGAACGAGGAGATTGCGTTTTCCATGGATGGCTCGCCGCTCGTCATCAACGGCGCTGCTGCGACGGCGAAGGCGAATCCGAAACTCGAGCGAATTCGGCCGGTTCTCGAGGCGCAAAATGCTGCCGAATTGTCGCCGACGACACGCGAGCTCGCTGACGCGGTTCATCGTCTAATCGCACGCCAAGAAGCGAAAGCCGGTCTTCTGAAGCCGAAAATTGAGCGCGAGACGGGCGTCTGATGAAAAAAAAAAAAGAAGCGACCCCACGGAGAGGATAAAAAATGAATAAAATCATAAATTAACTACTAAAATTTTGGCAAAAAAAATCAACTAAATTCCTCGAAATCACGCTTCTGTACAATATTCTTTTGATCTCATTCCCAATTTTTCTCTATATTTCTCTCTCTCTCTCTCTTTTTTTGTTTGTTTTTTTTTCGTATTTCTTTTGCTCTCATTTTGACTCGTGTCTTCGATAATGTGGAACTTGTATTATCAAAATAAATGTTTAAATAGAATAATAATAAACAACACGTCGTATAGTTAAACTTTGTCGATAAACAAAACACCCGTGAATGTAAACAATACGAACATTGAGTGCCTATAAAAGGCATGGGTTTTTTTTAATCTTGCAAAAAATAACAATTTCGGCTTTTTTCACAACCCGTTAAATGTCCGCAGCTAGTATTCTTGAATATTACCTTTCTTTCCGGAAATTTGCTATTCTTATCGAGGGAGCCATAATACCTTTTAAAACTTATTTTTTTTACCCCGCTTGGATGCCTTTTAGACTTACGGTGATGCGCCTTTAAAAGTACTGAAATTACGGTATCTCGATCGCTGTGAGACTATAAATATGACTATTCAAACAGTGAGTTGTCCGCAGCACGTTTTTTTTATTATGAGAGAACTACTCTCTGCCTGCGATTGATACGAACTCTTCGAGACTCAAGTAAAGCGAACACATTCCAATAATTTAATTAGAAGTAATAAAAAAAGAAGCGCTAAATCGAGGGCGATGTGTGAATGGAGTGTCGTACTGGTAGTGTAAAAATGACTTTTGGAACTCCGAATTTCTCAACGAAAACCAACCGCAGGTCGACGTTTTCGAATAGATAAAAATGTCATTTACAGTGATGCGCCTTTAAATGAGGGTCTTGCCACTCTTATTTTGACGCTGGGAGACCCGAAACTGAATCCAATCAACCGCCTATTTCTGTCTCTGGTAACTCGAAACCAATCGGATCCGAATTGAAAAAAATGTTTCTAACGGATCAGAGAATATACCAATTGGATTTGAAATAATACAAAAATCGAATCGGATCCGAGGAATTTCGGATCGGATCAGAATTATTTAAACAAATCTGATCTGAACAATTTCCAATCGGATCCGAACAACTAATCTTATCCGACAAATTTCCAATCGGATCGGATTAATTCCGGAACCAAATTTGGTCGGATCCGATTGGTTTTGAGTTACCAGAGATGCTCTAAATTTTATCCAGGTCACGTGAAAATAGACACGTAGAAAAATGTGCAAACAAACAAAAAGTGATTGCACTTGAAAATTGGTCGAATCCTTTACGACGATTCTTGTTTTCTCGTTGGTGGCGCGATTTCACGGACGGGTGCACTTTCACCAATTCGCCGCCAATCGGGGGGGGGTTTGGCGGCGGAGAGACGCGAGCCCACAAAAATCAGCGAGCGAAAGAAATAAGAGATGTGGAAGAAGAGAGTCATCGCGTGTGCGAGTGTGAGTGACTTGCCGGCGGCCGAATTGTTCGTGTTTTTGCCATTGGGATAGAAGAGGGCCGTTTTTTGGTTGGTTTGGTTTTGCCAGCAGTGGGCGCGTCGGCGGCGGCGGCGAAATAGCGCGCCGCGTGCTGAGACCCATCCATCTCACTTCGGCTAGCTGCGGCTTCTGCCGCTGCCGCTGCTGCTGCTGCTGCTCACACACTTGAGCACCAGTCCAGCTATTCTTTCATTCCATCCACCCACCCTCCGCTTTTCTCGTGTTTAGTACAAACCCCATACATGGTTTCATTTTTTCGATGAGGTTTCTACAACGATTTTTCGAGCTTTTCCTTCAGCGCGCCTTTAATTACTGTCTTTTCCTCTTATTTTTATTTAAATTTGTCATTAAAGTTAATGGTATCGTAACGGTCGTCACGAGACCTAACTTTGTTCATGGTATGATCCTTTGACTACCGTACAGTCCAATTTCTTCAATTTTTACCGAAAAAATCGTTCAATCCAATGAAAATAACCACGTTTTGAGCAAATCTTCACTTTTCGAGGTTTTTTCTCGTTGAATGCATTCCCGGAATCTTGAATTTAAATTACTTCCGGAGAAAAATTAAAGTATGCTGCAAAATTGCGTCGCGGTGTACTGCGGACTTCCGCAAAATATTTTTTTTCACTTTTTTTGCCCAAAAAACTTCCTTCCGCTTTATTCATTTTTCCGCGCCGTTTCGTCATTTCATTCTTTTCTATATATATATAATTTTTTTCGCGCTTTCCTGACTCTGCTATACGAAATTGCGCAATAGTAATGGCAAATCAAACAGATAGGCGCGGTCGAGTGAACAGTCGACGCGCAGCAGCAAAAAAACCGATTTAGTGTTTATTTTTTTAATGGTTTGTTATAAAAGACCGACGAGGTTATGATATTTGCAGGCAATGGCCCCGCTCAAGGTCTACGTGGCGAGCGCCACCGCCAATCCGGAGGTAAAATAATTGGAATTAATTTTTTTCTTCGAATTTTCACAAGAATTTCAGACGAAATACCGTGTGCAGCGCACATTGATGATTCTTGATGGTCTTGGCATCCCATTCGATTCCATCGATATCACGAAACCGGAAAAAGCGGAAGAGCGCAAATTCATGAGGGAGAATGCGACGAAGAGCGGTCCAATTCTTCCGCCGCAATTTTTCTACAATGACGAATATTTGGGGGTAAGAAGAAATCGACAAAAATTGTGTGTTGAGCCACTCTATTTGATGAGCTCTTTTTTTGGCGTTTTTGAAAGATGGTTGATTCGGCGGCGAGACATTTTCTCCAATATTGGCGCGCAAATTAAATTTTTCAATTTCAAAGCTTCTTTTTTTTTAGGAATATGCCAAAACCGAATAAAACTGACCTCAGTTCTAGCAAGGATTCAAAATTTGTTAATTTTTTATTTAAATTTGGAATATTAAAAATATTTTAAATTTATTCACAAATTTTCGTAAAATCTACCAACAACGATCACATTTTTTCGCGAATTTTCTTTTTTTTTCAAATTCAAAACCATAAATTTTCAGGATTATGAGGATTTCGACACTGCCGTAGAAACCGACACCATCGTCGATTTCCTTCGTCTTCTTCCGGAAACTTTGGTACATAATTTGTCTCTAATTTGTTTTGGGGGGTGGTTTTTCTTCTTGCAGTGCTAACCCTGATTTCCTTTATTTCACACTAATCTTCCAATTTCTAACAGGGTAACCGAATTCGTGTGGTTGATGCTAACAAGTGTGTCGAGCGGATGTTCAGTAAACCGAAAACCGGTAGGTCGACTAACGCCACTGAAAAAAAAAAACAGCAGCGACGAATAAATGGTTAATTTTTGAATTTTTGGATCGACATATTTTAGGCGTCAAATGCCGACACTAATGAGAATGGGAAAAACGAAGAGGAGACGGCCGTAGAAGCGACGACGACAGCGAAGACGGGTAGCAGCGATGAGCAACTCGGCGAGGATGAGGAATGGGATGAGGATGAGGAGGAAGACGAGGAGGAGGAGAAGGCGCCGGAACCTGATCCAGGACCTTCCGACAACAAAGAGGAGAAGGTCGAGGATGAAGCTGAGGTGAGATGGGGCATCAAGCTTGTCTAGTTGAAATTTTAGGTTGCCGAAACCGCAACAATCAGCCTTCCGAAACCGGCGAGTCCTGACGAATACGACGTCGATGGGGAAGACGAGGAACTGGAAGGCGAAGACGAGGAATGGGACGAGGATGAGGAGGAAGAGGAAGCATGATGACTCATATTAGCGCGCAATCAATTTTCGGGTACATTCGCTGTTGGATTCTAGTCGCCGCCTATTTTTTTTAAGAATTCAGATTTTTGCCTATTTTTTGTATTGATTCCTGAAATGCTTCAAATTTATTTTTTGCATTCAATTATGATTTTCTTTCACTTTTTTAGGCCAAGCTTTCTATTACCATCGCAAAAAAAAAACAGAGCGGCGCTTTGAATAATTGTGGACCATCGTATTTGGCGGTGATTCAAATTTGAACACTGTAACGTCGGGTAACCTGCGAATCAAACTCACCTTAAATCGAAGCAGGGCGTTCGTTTTTTTTTGCGATAGTAATACATTAATGTCTCCTCTTTTTACGATAAATGCTGTATTTTAAATTGTGTTCGGTGGAGCGCACTTGCCTCAATTGATCCAAATTTCTCCCTTTTCGGACAATCCTCTCCTGAAAATTTGCTAATTATTTATTATGTCCGCAAACGGGATGCATCAACAAAACAAATTGTAACAAAATGAATACCTAGGACGGAGCTCTAAATAACAGAATTAGTAATATACGAGGAAGACGAAGAAAAAAAAATAGAAATGTCAAATACTGTATGCTTTGGGTGAACATCGTATTATGGAAGTGAATTTGTTTTCTTTTTGTGGAATACTATTTGAAAAAAAAAGTGGAAATTTTAAAGCTATTCGGCGCCGAAATATTTCGTCGAGAAATGATTCGGATAAAGCGAGGTGATGTCTGAAGCGACGACGGTGATTCCCGGAAATTTGTTGGTGATGTTCTTGAGACCTGAAAATTGGTTCATTAAAAAGAAATTGCTCTTTTGGCTGAAAATCGAATGTGAAAATTTGACGCAAAACAGCTGACAATAGGGTTGAATTTTTTGGAACTTTCAATTTTCGAAAATAAAATGTTGATGAATTATGAAAATAAAAAGAAACTAGACAATTCATGTACAAAATTGTCACAAATTCGAAATATTTTCAAAAATTTCGAATTGCCGTGAACGGACAAATCTTATCGGTGCCATAAAACGTAATCGGGGTAGTTTTGTGAAAATTGGACCAAGATTCAAGAAGAAAATTTCAAAAAAGTCTTAAAACGAAGTTTGTTTTGAACAGAACATCGGCAATTTTTATACGTACCTCTTAAAATATTAATATTTTTGTCTGGAGTTCTACAGGCTTAGGAAAGAGCAATAATAATGGTCTTAAATTTCTAGAAAATTGACAAAAAAACTTCAAAAATTAAATATCTTATTAAAAAGGGACTAAAAACTGCTGGAAATCAGCATCATATTAAAAAATTTGGTATTGAAATTCCAGAATTTTTCCAGAGAAGCCTTAATTTTTCAAAATCACAATTTTTGCGTACCGATTGGCGAAATAAACAACGAGACGAGGTAGATGCTACCATCGCGAACGCCGGCATCCTTCAGAACTTCGATCGCCTTGCACACGGTGGTGCCCGAGCCAATAGTTGGGTACAGAAGGAGCACACGGCGAGAGTCGATGTCAGGCAGCAATCGCGCGTACAGTATTTTCTGTTCTTCTCCTGAAATTTGAGCACGTTTTTCACGCGGAAATTTCGCGATGAGCAAAACCGATGAGAATTTTGCCGATTCGAATGCTTCGGCAGCACTGGCGCAACGCGATTTCCATGGCTTCGCCGCTCCGGCACAACGACACTCCGCAATTTCCGCGGCTAAATTGAATTCCTGAACGCGAATTGAGCAAAATTTCTGAATTTGCAGCATGATTTAACAAAAAACTTACCATCATAAGTGAAGCATGTCGGCGTGACAACCTGAATCTCCCTGTATGGCAAATGGTTGAGGCATTCCTCGATGACGAGTCGCATTAGGCGATCCGCGTTGAACACGAAATCCGAATTTGTGGTATTTCTGCAAAAAAAAAACGACGAATTTCACTTAAAAATCGCAAAATTTTAATTACTTGTCTTTTAGAATCGTTTGAAGTTCGACGATTTGTGGGCGTTTCTCGAGAAGCACGAAATTCGTGCCCATATTCTGAAGATCGGCGATCAAACCGTCGACGTCTTCGTCCTCTCGTGATGCCCCGTTGCAGATTATCGACATGTTTCGTTTTTGAATTTAAAGCTGAAAAATTACGAATTTCACGCACGAAAAGCTCGATGGCAAAAAATTGTGCGGTGGAGCGCGTTTGACGCAATCCAAACACCGGAAATTCGAAAATTTACAATTATTTGACGATTTGATGATGAATAAATTGAGATTTTCATAGAAAACGTAATTATAATTATGTTGTGAATTTATTGCTTAGAAAATTTTCAAGTCGAATTTTTTACAAATAAAAAAAAGGCTTTTTAAGGGGGCAACTGAGGCAAGCCGTGGTAGGCAACTAAAAACCAAAACAAATTGAAGGCAAATGCTGTTTTAATGGCACCTTGAAACGGCAATATCAATTTTTTTCAATATTTCATCGACAAATGCCACAAAATTGATAATATTTATTAAAAACGGTCCTGAAAAATTGATGATAGCCAGGAAATATTAAATTTGAAACGCGTGTTTTTTAAACAGAGAATTCAATAAATATCCTATTAAAATTTTGTGAAATCGAGAAAAAAAGCTACGCGGAAATTCGGGCGGAGAAATGATGGTGTGTTTCTGCCATATTTGTGTAATATTTTCCCGACAAAACCGCAAACCATGTTTTTTTTTTACAAGATCTTGCAGCGAGAAATTTTGACAGCCGCTTTTTTTGGGGACAGGACTACCAAAAAATTAATAATTCGTCTGGTTCATAAAAAAAACTATTATTTCGCATCATGAGCCTTTAAAAGATTATCTTACTTCTTACCATTGCAAAAAAAACGAGCGCCTTGCATAATTGTGGACCATTTAAAACGGTGGGAATTCGTTTTAAAACGGTGGGAATTCGAAGACCGTAAATCGAGGTGCTCTTTTCTTTCCGAATGTACTGTTTTCCTTTTCGAATTGCTGAGAGGCTATAAATAAAAATTTGTGCATTTTTTCGTCGTGGTGAATGCACAGTAATTCCAGAAGGATCGCTGTTCGTCTTGAAACAGTTTAACACTATCAGTACGACACTCCATTTAAACATCGCCCTCGATTTAGCGCGTCGCGTTAAACTAGAATTTCAGTTCTTTTTTTTTGACAAAAACCCGCGAAATAAAAAAAATTGTCACTAGTTTTGCTTCAAGTCTCTGGAAGTTCAAAAACCGCTCAATGATTTCAGTGTGGATTCTCGAACAGACATCATTATTTCCCGTCTACCGACTGCATTTGACGGCTCCTGAACAATTGGAAAAAAAAACTGAAATTTTCGCGCTGGAAAAATAGCGAAAAATTCCTCGAATTTGTAAAGCCGGAAATCCAAAAAAAAAACAACAACATATTTTTAGAATGATATGAGGTGTCCTCTTCGAATTGCGCCGCCCGAAAATTCGGCATTCTATTGTTTACCGCTTCAAAATTAACCGGGTCCGCCCTCCTCAACCCTCACCATCTTTAATCCTATTTTCATAAGAAATGCAAATTTTTTTCACGTTCGTTTTTGTGGTCTTTTTCTCGCTCGTCGACACTTTTCTTAAATTTTCGAATTTTGATGAGTTCAAAAAAGAATTTTCGCCGCCGCCGTCGTCGTCGGAATCTTGATAATGAAGAGAAGCGGGACGCACAAAATGAGAGACGTTTGGAAAAATCTAATGATAATTCAATGTTTGCCTCGCCCCGTTGCCCATTTTTTTCCTTCAAATTGTGACTTTCGTCCCCCACTAATTTCATTCTTTGATTTTCACTCCTGGAAACGAAAAAAATTTAACGAGAATTGATGATTTTTCGAAAAAAAATCGACGATTCAAAATTTTTTTTGCTGTCAACGGTTACTGTAGATGACAAGTCCGCAATTGCGGACTTGAACTATTTCATGTCTAAAATTTCATTATTTTTTCTGCAATTAGATTTCCTTTCTTAAATTGAATTTTTATTTATGTTTTTGTGAATTCATTGTACAATTTTAAGCGTTGAAATTTAATTTCATGCGTTTTGTGCGTCACAAATTTCATATCTTCAATTCAATTGCAATTTTCCCAGTGGATTACTGTAGATGATAAAGTCCGCATTTGCGGACATTTTTAGTGTCAAGCTTAAAATCGTGTTGAAATTTTCTAGATGGTTGATTTCAAGATTTTTTCATCATGAGTCATTCATTTTCAATTCAAGTGCAATCATAAAAAAAAGTCGATTTCAAATTCTCAATATTTCGCGCAAACCCAACAAAAAAATTGTTTTTTTGCTCGGTTTGCATCATATATCATTCATCTTCAATTTTCGTGTCCTAAATCAGTTGATTTAGTCGACGGGAAATCGCACATTTCCGTTTTTGAATAATTCAAACTTTTCGGGCGGCGTTTGATTTTATTCGAGATGAAAAAACACGCGAAAAGAAATCGGATTTCATCGCAGATAGCCAAACAAATGAAATATTCATTGCCAAATTTGGGCGATGTGTTGCTCGGTTCATTTCAATCGTCCCCTCATTCGCAACAAGGCGATGTTGCGAGTTAATTATGCTTCTCTCTCTCTCTCTCTCTCGCGGCTTGAATTAGTCGTCAGGTGAAGCCCAATCAAGCTTCTATTTATGATTTTCCAAAGAATCGCCAAGTCGAAAATCACTCTCTCTTTTTTTTTTCGCTAGACGCCTTTGCCAAACCCTCTAAAGTTTATTGACACTTTCTAAAACTTATTAAGAATCGATGAACTTAAAAAAATTTTTTTTTAATCTTATAAGATATTCCAAAATTTATTGAGCAAATTTTTCTAAATCATCTCAATAATAATAAATTCTAACATCTTTTAATAATTTCTCTAAAGTTGATCGAGAAAAATCAAAAATATTATAGAGAGACGTTAGTTTTTCTCAATGAATCTCAAAATATTTTATTCGATTTACCTGAGCTCATTTAATCGGAATTGCGAAAAAAGAAAATCGCCTTCAAAAAAAAATTTCAGCGCGCAATTTTTTTTCGAATTTCCGTTAACACACGCAAAACAAAAAATTCAACATCCAACAAAAAAGAATGAGTGTCGAATAATGCGAAATGGTGTCATTTCGCGTGCGATCGATCATATCCAAAATCTTGCCGGCGCTCTTTTGACATCGTGTTCGGCTAACCGATTTTTGGGCATTCGAATTTCACACGGTGAGTTCAGCTTTATCAAGTGAGCCAGAGAGCAAGAGAGCAAATGATTTTGAGCAATAATCATTCAATTCACGCGCTTTTTAAGAGCGCACTCATCGCAAAAAAAATATTTTTGCCAAAACAACTACCGTAATCCGGAAGTGAGTTTTCCGGGCGGGACCATTGCGATCGCGAAACAGAAGACTATGGAACTATTCGCTCCAATTTTTGTCCGCAGCACTGATGATATAGCAACTCTACATGAGTTTCAGTTTAATGCGAATTTTGCTTTCGTCTTACTCAATCGATTAATAAGAGTCGTGCTGCGGACAACCTTGCAGGTCAGATGTTTAGCGAAATATTAATATCGCCCCTTTTCTTCTTGACGTGTTGGGTCCCACCACGCGCTTTAAGCATTATCAACAACATTGAGTGTTGAAGGGACCCCTACAAAATGCTTAAAGGCGCATCCCAACGGGTCTCGTCACGAGATGTTTGGTTGTTGTTGTTGTTTTGCGCGAAATCATGCCCACACATTTTTTTTCGAAAAAAAAATTTTTCGACTAGATAAAAATAATCGCGAATTTGTCAATTTCCGGATGTTTCCGAAAAAAGTGTCGTCGATACGAGACCGAAAAATTCGATTTTTCGTATTTTTTTCGACATCGTTTCCAAATTTTCGCGGCTCACTCCAGAATCGAACCCGATTGTCAATGGAGCGCAATTGCAACCCATCCATTTCATTATTTGACCGATATGCAGAATCCGCCAAAAATGCTTATATCTCTTGGCATAATATCAAATTACCCTTAAAAAATCAAAATTTCTGTTTGGTCATAGGAATAAGTTGCAATTGCGCTCTATTGACAATCGAGTTCTACTCCTGAGAACCACCGAAATTGTCCTTGCATTTCTAGATCGACGCGATGCGCCTTTAAATACCGTAATTCGATGAGCGCTTATTTTGTTCATTTTTCAGCGAAACCGACGTGTTTTCTCGTTTTTCTCCTGTTCGCCTCAAATGCGACATGAATAGCTCACACATTATTAAATTTTTTTCTCGCGCGACCCTCATTTCCAATTTTTATTCATATTTTTTCGGGTCTCGACGCGCGAAATCCAAAAAAAAATGAGAGGCCGACATTTTTGAAAACAAAAATTTCTCTAACCCCCCAGGACCCTATTCGATTTTAGCGAGAGCACTTTCAGCAGAAAAAAAAACGAAGAATCTAGAAAATCGCTTCGAGACCCTTACATTAAAATTGGACCCCGAACAACAACAAAAAAAAGAAACGACTGACAGACATATAATTTGCACTTAATGAGGCTCGCATTTCATTAGCGATTCACTCAAAACCAATTCACATTCAACGACGATCAATTTTCCAGAATGCAATAATGAGTGAGTCGGTCGATTCGCCGGACGCCGACGACTACATCGTCGGTCTGAACGTCTCGTCGGATTACGAGTATGAGGCGATCATCGCCTCGGTGTTGTGGCCGAGCACCGTCGAGAAATGGTGAGTCGAGTTGTTCTCTTTTTTTTCTCGGCATCACACACACACAAACATCGATTAATTGGTCGAATCTCTCTGAAAATGTGCAAAAAAAAAATAATGGCCGTGGCCGAAGATTACGCGGCCACACTCATTTTTGTCGAATTATCAATCATCAGCAAATAATTTTTCCTATATCCAAAACCATTCAAAAGCCTTTCAATTTCAATTTTTTCCCATTTAAAACCGACCGCGACGCATACGCAACGCGGGGAACAATACATTTTGAAATAAATTTAGAAAACTTGTGCTTCATCCCCCCTTTGAGCGATTCGACCTCATCCGAAGGACCATAACCCAAATATGGGCACTGCATGATTACAATTGAGTCGAATACGGACTTTCTACATTTCTCCAAAAAATATTGGTGCCATTAAAAAATGGTTAATGATTTTTAAAATGGTCCCAAGACAATATTTGTCAAGATGTTTCCTTGAGTTCTATAAATGTGTTTTTTTTTCAAAAATCAATATAATTCTATAGCGACAAGATTAAATTTAAGGGACCACAAAAATCAAATTTTGAGATTTTCATTCTGCTCAGGTTCGTGTTCATTCTCGGCGTCATGATGATCGTCGGCGTGTTCGGCAATCTACTCGTCGTCTCCGCAGTGGCAACGAATCGCACTATGGTAATTTTTGTTTGTTTTTTTGAGGCGGGCCTTCAGGGACCATCGATGTCGTCGTCGTTTTTGCAGAGGAACCCGCTGAACCTAGTGCTGATGAATCTCGCCGTCGCCGACCTTCTGATTCTCGTCTTCTGCCTTCCGTTGACCGTCATCAACGACGTCACCAAGACATTCTGGTTTTCAACGGTCTTCTGCAAATCGGTGCTCTTCATTCAGGTGTGTTGTTGCCATGCGTCTGCGGACAACGTTCGAGGTTTCAGAACACGTCCGTCTACGTGAGCATCATGAGTCTCGTGTTCATCACATTCGAACGATGGCGTGCGATCACGTATCCGCTGAAGCCGGCGCTCCTCAAAACGCGTCGAGCGATTCCGGCGTTGTGGCTCGCCGCGATGCTCTTCTCGTCGCCGGAGCCGTTCACACTCCAACTCCTGCCCGCCGTGTTCGCGCGGCCCAATTTCACGACGACAGTGAGCTCAGCGGCCTTCCCAATTGAGACAATGATTGTTGATTTCAGTGGGGCACCCAATGCAAAGAGACGTGGTCGCACACGTTCCAGCGCAACTATCAACTGGCTCAGGCGCTCTTCTCCTACCTACTGCCGCTCATTGTCATCTCGCTGCTGTGCGTTCACATGGTCTGGACGCTACGCAAATCATCCACCGCACTATCGTAGCGAGCAATTTCGATGGTCCCGCGAACTCATCGAACAATTTGCAGGGTGACGAATCGCCAGCCGAACAGTCGAAAGAAGGCCGTCCGAATGTTGGGCGCCGTCGTCTTCATGTTCGCGCTGTCGAGCCTTCCAGTCCATTTGTACAACATTGCGCTGTAAGTCGTCGTCGATGGCACCTCGATAGACCCCATCCCATCCCATTTCCAGCTCCTACAATTTGCTGCAAGCGAGCGCCACCGAGGAGATCGACGTGAATCTGATAGCGATTCGAAAGCTTCTCCCTCGCGTCTTCTCCTACTCGTCGTCGTGTCTCAATCCGATTCTCTACAGTTTTCTCAGCGGTATGTATCAAAATGAAATTTATCGAAAAAAAATGTCTTCGAAATTATGCTCAAAAATATTCAAATTTTTTCAATTCTCAATTAAAAAAAAATTTCTACAGTAACTTTTCTATCGGTGCAATGTGTCGTGGGATGCTGTGCATTGGTACGCAACAGGGTTGCACATCTTTGAAGATCCTTCCAAAACGGTTTTTATTTTTTACCAGCATGATAAAATTAAAAAATAGTATTCAAAATAGAGCGAATGAATTCGAATATTTGAATTGCCGCCTTAGGTCTCGCATGGAAAAATCCCTAAACGCTGTTTTTGCGCATAATTTGAGGAAGAACAATGTTTTAGCAAGTTAACCGCCCTTGGTTTTGTTGCAAAGTTTCAATTAGGAGCCTATTGATCGGGGGACCTTTTAAATTGCAGCCCGTAAATTTCAAATCTTCAAACTCATCGGTACGCAAAAATATTCTTCGCAGGTTTTTTGGATTTCACCTAATAAATTTAATTATTTTTTCATTTATTTAATGTGTTTTTGTAAGAAATTGGTGAAGCATTCCATGAAAAAACTCATAATGGCGGACGTGAAATGCGGCATGGCCGTGGTAATTCGCGGCCACGGCCACCCAAATAGAAGCCTTAATTTTTTTTTCCAAACATTTAATTTCTGCTATAAATACATATTTCATGTCAAATTTATAACAAGAGGAGAAAAAAAACAAAACAACAAAAAAAAAGAAAAAAATAATCGGCGCATATATACACGTTTGGAACGGTTTGGGTAAATGAGACCAATATAGTGAGAAATCGATAAGAATGTGGTGTGGAGGATAGATTCACGAGTTTCGTTGCGAGACCCCGTCGTAAATCGACACCCGAGAGCTCGCAGAAAAAAATAATGTAAAATTTGTGTTATTTCGAACAAAATGCGTGTGTGTTTTTTTCTTGAAATTGCAAGCTTTGAGCTTAGGCCACGCCCATTAATAATAATAAAAATAATAATGTCTAGCTGAAACAAATCGATAATGTATTTACAGGACGGTTTCGCGAGGAGTTCGGCCGCGTCGTGTGCTGTGTGGTGCGCAACGAGAAGCGCGGACGCGACGAGCTCCGTCGGCGACAAGTCTCGCTTCACGCGTTCTCGCTTCGCGCGCGCACCAACAGCGTGACGAACGGCGCGCACGAGACGACGCTCATATTGGCGAGCCGGCGGCCGACGATGCACTAGAATCGCGAACGCACAAATTGAGCGGACGATCGGCGACGGGTCGCTCGAGTAGATTGGCGATCGATTGATGGCGTTCGATGAACGACGATTTGTGGCTGCTCGACGGCGGCGGTGTGACGATCGACGGCGGCACGAACGGCGTCGGCTCCGACGACGACGTCGCCGATGGATAGACCTTCTCATTGTGCCATTGGCGCAACGAGCGAATGTCGGCGAGGAGGTGTGGGGCGGCGGCGAGCGAGGCGGCGCCGCCGACGCGCGCCAACACGTGCCATAGGCGTTCGGCGAGCAGGCTGCTCAGCGAGCTCTCATCGATGTAGTCCGATTGGCAGATGGCGATCGCGATGAGCCACGGGATCGCCGACGGGCTCATTTGGCGCACGCGGGCGATGATCGAGGCGAACGCGGCGGCGACGAGCGGCGACGAGTCGGGCGCGTTGAACGCCGGATTGCACGACGAGCAGATGAGCATCACGTCGAACACGCTGTTCTGCAAACACAACAATTATTTTTTTGCAATTTTTCCATCGGGTTTTCTCGTTTTTTTTGTTGCCACCCAAAATTGTGCATTCGATTTTGACGCACAATTGCACACATTTTCGAGTTTCTTGTTTGTACAATTCTGTGATTCACAAATTCGCCAATGTGATATACGGTACCTGTAACAAATAAATGCGTTGATTTTGCGGAATCGAGAGGAACGCCGGCACGGTGTTGGCGAAATCGATGGCCGCCTTCAGCGGGATGATGAGAAAGCTGGTCGAAATCGGGCACGGCTCGCCGATCGTCAACAGCGAGCACTTCTCGATCTGAACCCGACGCTTAGCCTCCGAAACATTCATCGCAATCAGAAATTACCGTGGCTTGAAGATTGCCGAACGCTTGATTGACCTTGGCGACCGTCTCGTTGATGTTCTCGTATTGGACGGCGATTTGGTCCCGCTGCGATTGCACATTCGTTTTTTGCATCTCCTCGAACATTCGCGCCTTTTCGCGCTTCGGGACCCGTCCGAATCGGACAGCTGGCAAAATGGAATGTGAAGAAATTCAAATTGCGCGCGCGCGCGCGATTTGCGCGCACTTCGAACAAAGAGGTGTGTAATTAGGCGAACGCGTCGGCAGATGCGCCATGAATCAATTGGTGTACACCCAATGCCAACAAATCACCCATCAGACCGCCATGGGTGAAACACACGGGTGGGGAGATTTGTTTTTTCAGCTTACCATCTCTCGACATTCCGACGGCGAGACACTTCTTCAGGCGACAGTGTTGGCATCGATTGCGATTGTTTCGCAGTATCAGGCATTCTTCGGTCTTGGCGCACGCGCGATAGCTGATTTTTTGCTGAATTGAGCGTCGAAAGAAGCCCTGAACAATTATCGACAATCAACGTTTCTTTTTGTTTCTTTTTTTTTTGGTGTTTTTGGCTCGGGCGACTACCTTGCAGCCTTCGCACGCGAACACACCGTAGTGGAATCCGCTGGCGCGATCCGAGCACACTTGGCACAAAAGTGTGCCGTTGTTGTTCGACGTCGAGCAGTTCTCGTCTTTGCCGCCTACAAATCATAGAGTGTGGCGAAACCCGTAAAGTGTCGGATGGTGGGCGAGGAGTACATGAGGTTTTGATGGATGACCGCGAGACGCGCGTGTGGGCGCGCAAAACCCGCGAGGTGTCGGGACATAATTTTTTTGATATTGTTTGATAGGCGATTCCGGGCGTTTTATGTGTGTGATGAACAGACCCGGAAAATGTCCGAAGATGAAATTTTTCTTTGTTAAAATTCGAAAAAAATAAGGATTCGCTCCCCGTTTTGAAAACCCTGGCCCATCATTTATCAAACATTGACGACCAATTTTTATCGCTACTGTTTACTAGTATATTTTTGTTTTCTGCGAAATGTGGGGCGCCGATCGCTCGCTGTCGCGTTGTTGCGTTATTTCCGAAATTCAGGTCGCGTGACGTTTTTTTGCCCGATTTCACCTTGAGTCATCGGCGCCAAATTCAAAAAAGTGAAGAAAAGAACCAGAATCTTTGGTGGTGAGAAAAACAAAACTGTGCTCACCTTCGGAAGTCCACGATTCGCTGAACTGATCATCGGAAGTGGAGACGACGAGCGATTGAATTGTGGATTTGTAGAACTCGTCGACGGGATTGACGGCACGTTGGCGCGGCGCGATCGGCCGAAACGCCGATGACGCCGACGGCGAGAACATCGCACGGGATTGCGATGGTGGCGGCGGTGGTGGTGGTGGTGGAGAAGCGAGGCTCGATGGCGACGAGTTCACACTCCCAAGGTTGGGTGGTCCGAGGAGAATCGAGAGCGGCATCTCGACGGGTCTCGACGCGATCAGCATCGGCGGTGTGGTGGCGTAGGTAAGCAGCCCGTTGGCAAGCATGCTCTGAATAAATGAAAGTGTGAATCAGCAGCTGCGGGAGATGAGAGGAAGAAGAAAAAGGTCGGGGAAGGGGGGGGGCTGGAGGGTAGTGGGTTGGACTAGTGGTAGCAAAAAAAAATGCGATCACACAAAAAAGAAGTGGGCGGAGACTGCCAAGGCCACACAAACACACACAGAGAGAGAGAGAGAAAGAAGTGGACGATCGAATGCGGGGCGGGCGGCCCGCTTGCGCCCCACAGCGGGCGCGCGAGATGAGCGATTTGGGGGAGAGGCGAAATGACGACGAATCGAGGACAAATGCCAAAATCGAAAACACAAAATCGAGGCGATATCGGACCCCCCCTTCGACGCTCCGCCCACCTATTAGACCACCCACAAAATTTTGATTGGACCCAAAATTCGAACAAGAACAATGCGATCACGTGGAACACCAAAACAAGCGGAGCGGGGGGGGGGGTCCGAATTATGGATATTTTGTGGCAGACTATGGATGATGATGGGAAAAGTGAAAGTGCGACGACGATGGATTGTCGTTTTGATGTTTTGTAGATCGGTTTTTGTTGTGCGCGAAAAATGCGCTAGTCAATGTCGTCCTGGCGCGAAAATTGTGCAGTTTTTCATGATTTTTAATGTTGAAATTTTTAATAAAAAACTTTTTTTATTTAAAAAATCGAAAAATTGACTCAAATTGAAATTGTGCCAAAATATGCAAAAAATTGTTTTTATTGCATAAAGGGTGACAAAAAATTTTTTCTGCATTGAAATTGAGTCTATTTAATTTTAGCTTCGATTTTCTCTACATAACGCCCAACTAAAAATTTTCAGATCAAAACACGCCAACCGCGCATTCACTGACGCAAAACTTGTGCACTTTGGAATTGCTGACGCATTTCTCGTGCATTTTTAAAACGAAAAATCGATGGCAATGAGCCAATTATAATCGAAAACCGACAGCAGCACCACAAAAAAAACGTCTCCAATTCATAATGGCCCAATTTTCGTGGAGAAACGTGACCTTTTTTGGAGGTCGTCACCACTAATTTTGACGATGATCACGCGAGGCGAATGGTTCGAAACCACGGGCGGTGCGGTGATCGACCTCGAATTTAATATGAGCGAAAACCGGACGACAACATTTGCCGGTGAAAAAAACAACAATTGATGGCGCCAATGAGGCTAAGGCGTCCCGCCAAACAGAAAATTGGAGACGGTGCACCGAAAACGCGCCAGCGAATGTTTCGCTGACACGAAAGATGCGCTCAACGAAAGTTTCAAGAAAAAAACTATTTTCAAAAAAAATTTTGGCGGCACACAATTTGACGAATGCCATCTGCGGACAATTGGCAGACAATTTAAAGGCGCACACGCCCAAACATCAGACACACGACATCGTGGCGTCTGAATAAGCGTTCTGGGAAAAGAAAAACGGGCGGCGAACACCAGTCAGATTCCCACACAAAACTACGAAAATGGCAAAAAAAAAGCAAAAATTTGGGCGATTTTAAAGGAGCACCACGCCATGTGTGAACGAGACCTGAAGATCTCGAATCATGCTCCTTTAATTTCATATCTTTCAATTCGAAAATCTCCAACGGGCTGGAGCATCGCTGTGGGACCCAAACTGCTAAGAGGGTAGGCTAGTGTATTGCTTTGTTTCGCTTCAGGACCCAAAGACTACGGTAGGACGCGGTGGAAAGATTTTGGGCGATTTTAAAGGAGCACCACACCACGTGTGAACGAGACCTCAAGATCTCGAATCATGCTCCTTTAATTTCATTTTTTTTCTCGCGACCCAAACTACTGGGGCGTGATTACTATATCGCATTGTTCCGCTTCAGGACCCAAAGACTACGGTAGCACCAGATGGAAATTTTTGGGTAATTTTAAAGGAGCACCAACACCACGTGTTTTTTTTGGCCGCGACGAGACCACAACTTTTAATGCTCTTGTTCAATTTTTGAAAATCTCCAATGGGTGGGCGCATCGTTGTGGGACCACTGGTGGGTGATTACTGTATAGCTTTGTTCCGCTTCAAGACCCAAAAACTCCGGTAGCACCCAAAACTATTGATTCTATAAATACTCTAGTAGAATCTAGAGTCGCTATGGGACCCTGGCTTCGAATTCTCATTGAATCCGCTTCAGGACCCAAAGGCAGTACGGTAGCAGTAGTTGGTAGCTCTTCGTTGGCCGTCGATAGAATGAGTCATGCGTCGACGCTTCGCGAACATCCAACTCATCTGTTTTCGAACCCGGGGGGGGGGTTGTTGATTTCGGTACGAAAAAAAGAAAACAAAAACAAAATTCGTCGTCTTCATCGCGAAAAAAAATTGGGTCAAGGTGTGTTTACCGGGCATTCGGACGGCCGTCGACGCGAAGTTATACTCGACGAAAATTTCGAAAAAAATAATAGAAACGAGAGACGAAGAGACGACGAGGTCCCCGTCGATCATGGTCTTTGTCGATTTCTCGTTTGGCCGTCGGCGACGACGACGACAACGCTGGTCGTCAAATGTGTCACGAGGACGTTTGGAATCGTGCCAACCGAAATATCGAGAACACCCACATCCGCTCTCAAATCGTTCCGTGTTCCATCTGCGGACAACGTTCGAGGACACTCTATGAAAATAAAAAGAAAAAAATTTTGGTTGAGCAATGGAAAAAAAATAGTAAAAGTTCATACACACGTACGCAGAATTGCACACATTTTCAAAATTTTTTTTCATTACATCGCCCAAAAAAAATTGATTTATTCGTCTCAATGAAATATTTTAATCTATAATTTATGCAAAAAACAATTTTCGCTTCGAGACCCGTGCTGAATACGCAAGTGAGATCGGCGCGCGGTGAGAATCTGCGGATTCCTCCTCTAAAGTGATTGTGCTTCTCCCTCGCTTCGAGACCCATTTTAAACGCGCATGCGGTTTGAAGATCTTTTTTGAAAGTTCACATTAATCTGGATCCCAGCTCTAGCGTCAATCTCGTGAATCGACATGGGAAAAGATTGGTTGGAAAATGTCCGCAGCTGATTGTCGCATAAACCACATTAGACTTGTTGGGCTGTTGATAATTTCCCTCATCGTGTTCCCATCAATTTGAAATTTCGCGGCGAGAAGAAGAATATAAAAATTTGAAGACATCAATTTAAAATATTGAATACTAAATAGTTGGGGTCTCGTCACGAAGATTTGAATGACATTGAAAACAATACCTCAGATTTATGACATTCGCAACAAAAAACCGTTTTTTGATTTTCAGCTGATTTTTGATTCGCAGGTTATTCAGGCTACGGTAATTCTGAATTCCCACAGTTTCAATTCAAAATTTGAGAATTCTTTAAAAAAAAGCGCGATATTTCAAATGTCTCAAAATTCCGTTTGGAAATTGTCCGCAGCTGATATTCAATATACGAAAAGAACCAATCGCAGATTGTTGTGACGAATTGAATCATTTTCCTTTTGTGGTACCGAAATGTGGCTATCCTGTTCGTCGAATCACTGAGATATTTGCACGTTGAAAGGTTCAGCTGAAATTCTCGAATCACAGTACTCATGGATTACGGTAACCAATTTGGTTGGTTGGGGGGAGGGGGGAGTCCGAAAAGAGTGGGGCCAGGTCATTTTGAGGTTTTAAGAGGCTCAGAAAATTTCTGGAGCAAATTTTCAGCATGATCTCAGTGAGCATAACCAATTGCGATTTGATTTCGCTGCGAGACCCCCCATCCGCAATACGTGCCGAATTCCATCAATATCGGCTCTTTTTTTTTCTTTGTGAAACTGTTGTCCTACTTTATCACAACAAGGTCATCTCGTCTGCGATCCCCCTCCCTTCTTTTTAGCAGAAAAGTGCAAAACGGGCCGCCGTCGACTTTCTCTCGTTCGCTCGAAATTCGAACCGTCTTGGGTGGTATCGCGCTGAAATCTGTTTGACGGCGGAGCGGCGACGGCAGAAAAATATCGAATCCGCGATAACGACGGCTATTTGCGAAATTCTAGGTCGCTGCGAGACCCAGCTCTCATCATGCGCCTTTTCTTTTTTTTTTTCAAATCGAATGACCTCAACCCATTTCAGACTGGTTAAACTCGTTCGACGAAAATGTTTTACACGCTGATTACGCTATTGAATTCGATTTTTTTTGGAAGGATGGGGGAATTTGAAATTGGTGCAAACACCGAGGACACAAATTGCGGACATTTCTTATCACTGACACCTTGAACGGTGTAATGTAAAACTGACCAATATTTTATTATGAAAAAAGACTTTGCGGTCTCAAAGCGTAAAAATATTGATTTCTGTTTCAAACAATCTACAAAAAAAATTCTAAAATTAATATTAGTACCTTAAAATGCTTTCAGATGTATTCATATTTGGTTTTTAAAATTCCAAAAAAAAAATTCTTTTAAATCAATTCAGTTCAATTTAATGCTCTTGAGTACTGTAATGCGTAAAAGTGTGCAAACACCGCGACGCAAATCTCGCAGAATCTCGCCAATTCTCATTTCTCGTTCGAGATTCTGCGTTTTTCGGGAATTTTCTCAAATTTCGAGTTTGATTTGTATAATTAATAATTTTTCTCGAAGAAAACCGGTGTCATCATTCACATCTTTTTGGAATTCCGCCAAAAATCAACAAATTTTTTCATTTAAATCCCAAAATTCGTGACTCCAATTAATTGAATTCCGTGTAAGTCTTCCGTTCTCAATAATTCTATGATAACATCTTTCAATTTCAGATAAATTCCAGTTCGAATATCATCGAAATACGCTTCCCCATACTTTGACATACTTTTATGTAGTTGCAATCATTTTTTTCTCTCTCTCTCTCTCCCTTCGTCCCCAAATCGAAAGCATTGCAGAATGGCGAACAAGTGGAGAAGAGATTGCGCAATTCGTCGCCGTTCTGTTTTTTTGGTTCGATTCATTCGAATACAGTTTCGGCAACCATTTTCGCTTGGCGGTCACGCGGACGAGATATTATTGGAATTCAACAGACGATTTAGCCGCCGATGCTGCTGGCGAAGACGGTTGGCCGGTCGGTCAGGCCCACACACAGCATTCTCATTCATTCGCAAATGAAGGTCACCAGAACACTTCGATTTTTCAACCCCCTTCTCTTCTTCTTTTTCTTCCTTCTCCTTCAAAATCATTGCTATTCAATTTTTCAATGAGGATCGTCGTCGTCTTCTTATTTTGGGGGTCGAAATCGAAACTCAAGAATTTTAAACATCTGCCGAATCGGAAGTTGGTTGCGATTTGAGAATAACTACCGTTGCCTAGATTTCGCAGCGAGACCATTCGACGGATACTGTAGACTTGAGCCAATCCTAGCGGAATGTGACGAAAAAAAACTTCTAGAATAATTCGTCCAGAGGTCGAATGTTCCCGATGAGACCCGCCTTAAAGGAACACAATTTGAAGTCACTCTCCGGAATCCCTTTACTACACCTCTCGGCAAGATGTGCTCTGGGAAAATGCGAAAGCAATGATAACAATCCAAATTTTTATGAATTCCCAAAAAATGGGAGGATGATTATCTCAAAATCATAACCAAATTCAGACAAAAATAAATTTTAAAAGGATTGAAACTCTCCCCAAAAAAAAAATGATTCCATATAAAGCTCGGTGGGTAGAAATGGGGGGGCGGGGAAGGGGTCAGAATTGTTCAAAAAACATCATATCATCTAAAAATAAAGCGTAATGTTGAAAAGAAATAAACACGGCTGACAATGTCGGCGCTGTAAAATATAGAACATGAAGCAAAACAATTGATTTTAAAAAATCGAGATGAAAAAATCAATAATTATTACTGTAAATAATCGAGTTTTGCCACGAGAATCGCTTAACATCATTCTTGCGAATGCGATGATAATGCGGAGCGCATTTGTCGACGATTTTCGCGAAATCGTGCTCCGATTTGTAGCCGAGAACGAGACGACTTTTTGTCGAATTGAAAAATGTCCAATGATGGAAATAAAGGTAAAGGAACGATGGACTTGGAAGCTGAATAACAAAATTCTTCTTTTTTTTTTAATTAAAATTTCATTTTTTTTTAGCTACAGTATTTTGGTCTCGAGGTGAAAATAAAATATTCTCAATTATTGTCTGCTTCTGAAAAAATCGGCCAATTTTTCTCGCTGTGAACTTTTAACCAATTTTTCATTTAATCAAGTCTAGCGGTTAATTTTCTCTCAAATCTGCGGTAACATTAATACATTCGGATACGGCAATTAAAGGCACACGTAGGGTTTGGAAAAAATTTTCCCGCGAGATTGAACTCGCTAATTAAACGTCGCCCATTTTTTTTTGGAAAAAGGAAACTGACTATTCTTGTCGCGAAAAGTTTCCGGCCACTTTTCGCGCCAAATTTCAAATGTTTGATCAGCAACGGTTTTTTTCAAATAAAAAAATCAAAATATTATAAAATATTGAAAATCGTCAAAAAACAATGCGTTTTGCTTACCTTTTTCGCAAACGAAAACGGTCCAAAAATTTGAACAGCAAACAGCACCAACGCGGCGAACATTAGATAAATATAATAAATCGGAATGAACGCGTAGCCTCCTTTGGCGATCATACGAGTTTCAGACTGAAAAATATTCAACCGGAAGAAATCGAGACGCAAGAAAAAAAAATAAACTACCGCAAGAAGTTTGCCAAACGTTTGGTAGACCGTATTTTTCGGCGTCTCATCATTCAGAAGGAATATCTGCGAAAAAAAAACGAGAACATTGATTGTTTGAGTAATCGAAACCTCCGAAATATTTTCCGAGTCCGACTGAAAACATCTCGAATTCTCAAAAACGATCGTCTCGCTTCCCGTGTTGCACATCAATCCGGCTTCTTCGTCTTCCGAATTCTCATTTATCAATTCGTCCGAGTCGAACACGTCGAGATCGCCGCCGTCTTGATAATCTTTGATTTTCGCCTCATGCTCGCTGGCATAGCTTGTGCGGACCGTATTATGTCGAGCTTTATAGCCCTCAAGGTCCTCCTCTTCTTCTTTCTGCAAAAATAAAGCATGGGTTGGCCTTAGCAAGAACGGAAAAAAATAGGGGAATGTACCTTTAACGCATTCTGAAATTTTCAGCGTAAATCAAAAAAATTTTTTTTAATTTTTTTAAATCAAACAATCTTTAAATTTCTATTTATCAAAACCAACAGATTCAAATGGATTTTAAATAATTCAAAATTTGGTAGAAAATCAAGACCATATTGAAAAGTACTATGCAAAATTCATCGCTACTAAAATTGAATTCTTGAAGTTAATGGGAAATTTCTGATCAATTTTCTTCTACGAAATTAAAAAAAAGACGCGCTGCGGTCGCGGCGCGGTTCGAAAAGGGAGAAGCATTGAGACCGCGCGATTGAAAATGCGGGCTACTGGAAACAAATTTAAAAAAACCAACTATAGAGGTCAACACGGGCTTCATGGCAATTTCGGGCTCTTGCGATTCCACAAGTCTCAACGAATTATCCGCGGATGAGATCAAATCGCTAAGCTCGTCGCCAAAAGAGCCATTCAAATCGAAACGCGTCGATCGCGACAACAACAGACAAGCGGCTTGCCAGACGGCTGTAGACAGATTGCCAGCATACGCCAACTGCATATGCCCATCGCCATCGCCGATTTGCGGCACCTTCTTGTCGCCGGAGAAGTAGATGAGATCGGTGAGAATTGAGCAATCATCGCCTTCGCCATATGTCGGCACACAACGGCTGAAAATTGAGGAGCGAAACTTGGAAATTTTCTAACCAAAAAAATCGGATTACATTATATAATGATCGATATTTGATTTAATAACGAGTTGTTCTGCTTCATATTTTGACTCGCAGTATTCCTGAAATTTTTGTCAAAAATTCTTCGCAATTTCTTTAAAAAAAGATTGTTCTACGGGAAATGGCCATTGTGAGCGATAAATTGTCGGATCACGCTCAGCTTCGTACACATTCGGCCAGCGGTTAGAGCATTGTAGAAAAGTTGACGATAAATGAATCAGTGGTGATTGCAAATGGAACAGAATCGAGCGGACAACTGCAATTAATTAATTAATTAATCAGCTGGTAATTAGTTCTCCCACTTTCAACATTATGCTTTGACAGCGTTTTCACATCAGGAACTAGCGAAAAATCCGTGCATTCATGCAAATTGATTACCTGCAATTAAAAACTAATCAATTTATTTATTCCATATTTTAATTACAATATCAGCGCCGAGCATTGAATTCGGCAAATTTTTAACGCCATAAAATCTCAAGCATGGTGCAATATCCGAGAATTCTGCAAATTTTCGAAATTAATGTTTTTTTCCAAAGATTTCTATTATCTACCCGGATATTCAACATTCTCGTGAGTCCATAGTGTTAGTTGAACGGTTTGGTGTTCGAGATTGACATATTTCACAAAGTGGCGAGCTAGAAGTGTATCTCCAAGTACAGTCACTCTCATTTTTTCAAACAAAAACTGAAAAAAAAATTAGTTTAGCTTTTATTTTAATGGTAATTTAATAACGAAACGTAACAAAAACTGTGTGTATTAGACAATAATAACCTAGAAACTAAATTCGCGGTAAAAATTGGATCAAAAATAAGAAATTTTGCTAAAAAAATTCGAAATTAACAGCTTGTTTTCAAAAATTGCAAATACAGTAACACTTTCGTTTTAAGGCCCTATTCAAATTTCATTGTGCGCCTATAAAAATACGGTACAGAACGTTTCCGATTTCCTAAATGTTTCCAATGCTCTGTAATTTGAAACCGTTTTCGAGTTTTCAGATAATAAAAAAGAAATTACGAATTTTCGGTAGCCAAAGACGAACCATCATAGCGATAAAAAGAATCAATGGGGAGTTCCATATTTCAAACTTTGCGCGTCATCTTCCACGTATTCCGCAAACATCTGACGCAAAAGCGAACCTTTTCAAAAGAATTTTTTTCAATCCTTTTTTTCTCTTTTTCAAAAAAAACAAACAACAATAAACTATTTATAGACAAGAGCATGCATTACATTTGATATTCTACGAAATATTGATAATAATAATAAATAGAAATAAGTTAAGGACCCGAAATCGTGCATTTTTCTATAAAGTATTCAATAATTGCGAAAAAAAATTCAAAAAAAAAAGATGAAAATTCCCGTAGTCTCAAAAATTCAAATATTCTTCATCATCTTCTATATTCCACTAACGGACAACGGATCATGGTTTAACGATTTCGACCGCAACGAGAAATATTTTCTGGATTCGTTGAAAATGAAAACCGTCGACGTGATGGTGGTAAGGAATATTAAATCTATAAATGGAAATGATTAATTTTTTTGCAGCGAAACTTCTCGAAATTGTGTTACCAAATAAGGTTAAGGCTTCCGTCTGAAACACATGCTGCAGGGGACTCCAATAAATAACGAGAAGCTGGCAGATGAGGGAGGCGGAAACCGCCAAGCAGAACATTCGATTCCTAAATTTTCGCAATTTTCCACACAGAACCAAAAAAATGACAATGAGCAACCTTCGAATGCCAATTTGCCAAATCATTTTTCGCGAACTTCGACAACTCAACGCATTCCACATGTCGAAGAGAACGAAGCAAGTAAATGTCATTGTCGTATCGCGAGGGGTCACTTTGTTATCAGCAGACATCTGAAATTTGCAAAATCTCTTTAATTAGCCAATTTTCTCGGATTTGTGCTAAAATAAAAATTATTTTTTAATCGAATTCTTTGGTCCTAAATTCGCAAATCAATTTTATTTAAAAAAATCATACTGGACAAATTTTAAAGCTTCAAACATACAGTAATTTAACATATTTCATTTTTCAACCCAAATCAAATAAAAATGCACATTTGTGAATTTTGCCTGTTCAAATTTCGTTGCAAGACAAATAAATTCAATAATTTTTCACCAAAAAAATATCGCGAAAATTTTTAATTTTTCAAGCAGAATTGATATTTCAAAAAAGAAAAAATGTGTTCGAACCTCCTTATAAAAAACGCTCAACGTTCCGACAACAATAATCGCCGCCGACGCCAAAATATCAATAATGAGCTTCATTGTGAGCATCGGCTGCTTCGTATTCCTCGGCCGCTGTCGGATGATATCGTCGTCGACCGGCTCGACGCCGAGCGACTGCGCCGGCGGACCATCCATGATAATATTGATCCAGAGGATCTGCATCGCGTTCAGCGGATTCTCGAATCGGAACATCGTCGAAGCGGCAATCAATGACAACGCAGCGACACTCCTAAAAATTCGTTGGTTGAATGGGAATACGAGAGAGAGAGAGAGAGAAGTGTTTGCACACAATGCATTTTATTTGACGACATTTGAGTGAAATTTACCCAATTTTTTTAAATGTTAAAAACTCATAATAGGTGCAATGTTTTCCTTGATAGTCCCCTTTAAAAAATCTAGGTCTCACGTGGAAAGTTGAAATCGCACAAAATTTGTAATATTGTGATAAATCGCTTTGCCCTCCTCGATCGCCGCCGTCATCGTTGAGAAGTCATCATCGCAAAGGATCATGTCAGCAGCTTCTGAGAATCAAAAACAAATCGAAACACTTCGTGACGGGACCCCCTCGTAAATGCACACCTTTACACACGTCGGTGCCGCACAATCCCATCGCCACACCAATATCCGCCTTCTTCAATGCCACCGCATCATTGACACCATCGCCAGTCATGGCGACGACTTCGCCAAGCGCTTGAAGCGCCTTCACAATTTTCAGTTTGTGCCGTGGTGAAGCTCGATAAAATACCGTAACCTGATTAAAAAAAGAAATAAAGATATTCAAAATTCAATAATTTTAATTGGTTTTGAATATTTTTCAAGGAAAAGTATTTCCAGTTTTGAATAGAAAAAAATTTCGATTTAAAAAATCGCAGTTATTTTCCAAAAATGCTCATATTAAACAAAAAATCACGCATTTTTTTAAATGAAAATCGGTTAAATTTTCATTTTTATTCACTAAAAATCAATATTTTCAAATTTTTTCTCTTCTGAATAGCGAAAAACCAAAAGAAAAAAACGAAATAACCTGTCGAATGACCAATTCCAAATCGCGATCGCTCATCTGATCGACCTGCTGTCCCGACAGACAACTATCCGCCGACGAGAGCACGCCGAGACTGCGTCCGATGCTCTGCGCGGTCTCCATCGCATCGCCAGTGATCAGTTTCACATCAACTCCGCTCGCTTTCACAATACCGATGGCTTCGGCGGCGCCCGGCCGCGGCGGATCAAGCATTCCCATCATTCCAAGGAACGTCAACGATTGCATGCTCTCGCCGCGAGCAACGCCAAGAACTAAAACAAACCAGCATTAGCAACATCAAAGGTGAAGGTGTGTTTGCACACAATGCATTTTACTTGACGAGCATTTAAATAATGACAATTTTCATCAATTTCAAGGTCAAACAAACCAGCAATCTGCACACTTGTTTTTTTTGCATTCAATTTGACGAAAATTTGCACAATACGCCGAATTTCATCGAATTGCTTAAAACATTCTCAATTGGGTACCTCGCAATCCTTTCAATCCCAATTGTCGCGCGTTCTCGAGCACATTCTGCCGCGCGTACCCATCGATCGGCTTCCGCAAATTGTCCGACGAGAGATAGGTTTGACACTGATCGAGCACGCGATCGACGGCGCCCTTGATGAAGTACACCGAGGCGCCGTTTTGATCGCACTGAACGCCCATCCATTTCGTGTCCGATGAGAACGGCATCTCGCGAAGTCGTTTGTACAAATTGCGGCACGATTCGAGTTGCGCCTTCTTCGCGAGAACCACTATCGCGCCTTCGGTCGGCTGTCCGATCAGTTTGTCGCCTTCGATTTTCGCGTTGTTGCACACAATTCCTGCCTGAAACCCAATTTTTGAGAATTCGATTCAAAAAATTGCTAATTTCATTTCCAATACTCTATTTATACCGTACACTGTTGATTCTCCTTAAGGTTTCCACAATTTCAGACCTTTAAAGGTGGCTTTATAAATGTGAAACGGTTGCAAGTGACCAATTTTCAGTATTTTCAAAGTCACTCGGCCAATTTTGCAGACATCATTATGAAAATTGGTACACATATGTATTTTTAAGCCCCTGAATTCAATTTTAATATTAGATTTCAAACATTTTCACAATTGACAAAATTACACCCAAAAACAGTGGTGGTTTTATAAAGAGAGCATTATTTTTAAAAAAATCGAAAAAAAAAACCATTCTGGAAAATTTTCGTGGTCTGAGCTGCACGGAACTTAGATTTTCTTCAAACGGAAGACGGAATTCCGTGTGACTCTGCGGTTATCGGAAAATCGAAAAATTTCATTTTTTTTCTTCGGTTAATTTTTTCGTGTCCGAAATTGTTGTATTATCCAAAACCGCAAAAATTGACGAAATCGGGTAATCAGCATTATTCCAATAATTTATATTTTCCTAGTAATCGTTTCTCGAAAAGAAATATTTAATTGGGCGCCCGCGAAATTCAAAATTTTCAATTTCGCCTGTTCACGTCTATATTAGGATATTAAAAAACAACAACAAAAACCAATTCGATACCTCAATTATTCTGGCAAATTCGGGATGACTAAAATTGGTGACAATTTCACCATTGAACTGCACCATTCCGCCAACCGCCGAATATCCCAATCCGGTGACGTCGGCCGTTCGGCCTTCGGGACTCACAATACACGTGGCGGTCATCTCGTTCTTCGTGAGCGTGCCGGTTTTGTCCGAACATATCACCGTCACACAGCCGAGCGTCTCGACAGCCGGCATCTTCTTCACCACCGCTCGACGTTTCGCCATTCGCATCACACCAATCGCCAACGTCACCGCCACCACAATCGGCAGACCTTCGGGAATCGCGGCCACCGCCAAACTCACACCAATCGTGAACATGTCGACGATGTTGCGGCCCTGGACGAGGCCGATCGTGAAGATCACGCCGATGACGCCGAATGAATAGAATGAGAGCTGCTTGCCGAGCTCATCCATACTCCGTTGAAGCGGCGTTTTTGGGCACTTTATATGGAAACAAATTTATATTCATGAATTTCAAAATTTTCAAAAAATATATGTCAATTTGTAATTTCGAAGACAAAAAATTTTTTTAAATATTTTTTTCAATTCTCTTAATTCTAAACCAATTTTTATTATGAACATGTCAAAAATCACTCAAAAATCGTGATTTCTCGAAATTTTACAAAATATTTCAAAAAAAAAAACTCGAAAATCCTACCTCCTCGCCCATCATTAGCTTAACAACTTCACCGAATTGCGAATTGGTCGCCGTCGATATAACAATCCCCTAAATTTCAAATGAATTCTCGTCAAATTTCGCAAACTCATCCCTACTTTTCCGCGTCCGGCGCACACAAGGGTGCCCATGAATGCGATGCACGTCAGATGCTCGACTTTCGACTCGACCGCCTTCGTCTCCTTGTGCTTCGGCTCAGTTTCGCCCGTCAGCGAGCTCTCATCGATTTGCAGCGAGAAACTTTCGACAATCCGCAGGTCCGATGATATCTGGAAAATTTTTGAAATGAATTCGTCCAAAAATTGTGAAAAATTGTCGTCAATTCCAATGTATCGTCCGTATTTTTTCCAATTTTTTAAAATTCTCAAAAAGAATTTTTATGTAGCCCAATAATAAAGTAGTCTCTCTCTCTCAAAGGAACTCTGCGATTGGAATTGTTGAAAATTGCGGACAATACACTCAATTTGACGACAATGATGGTAAATTTCGTGAATTTTCATACGATTTTGAAAATCTAAAAATCGCAAAATTTGAAATTGCGGACAATACACTCAATTTGACGACAATTCGTTGCAATTTTGTTCCAAAAGACATTTTTCACAGATCGGCGCCCCCCGTCAAAGAACCTACCCGATCTCCCGTGTTGAGCAACACCAAATCGCCAGGCACGAGCTCCCTGGCAAGCATTTCCATTTCTTTTCCATCGCGAATCCTGCAAAACGCCATTCAGCAATCAATTTCACACGTGATCTCGGCAAATTCTTACACGTGACATGTCGGCGGCACGAGTTTCGTGAGCTGCTCGAGCGTCTTCTCCGATCGGTACTCTTGCACAAATCCGACCGTCACCACAATAACAACCGCCACCGTAATACTAATCGCGTCGTCGTACTGTTTCATGAGAATCGAGACGATCGCCGAAGCAAGCAACAGCAGAATGAGCGGATTTTGGAATTGCTCGAGGTATTTCTTATAAATCGGCTCCTCTTCGCCGACGTCGAACTCATTGTAGCCATGGTATTGGCGGCGTCGCGAAGCCTCGGCCGTCGTGAGACCTTCTTCAAGGCTCGTTCGAAGCATATGGGCACATGGCTGCAAAAACCAAGCCATTATGATAATAATTTTGCAATTTTGGGACTAAAAATGAAACAAAATGAGCCACTTTTGAACGACGATTTCAAGCATTTCTTAAAATTTATTTTTTCGGCTTGAAATCTTTGGCATTTTTTTCCAAAAAAAAAAAAACAAAAGAATCAATTTTTTTGCAAATTTCTCGCAATTGGGACCCGAATATTTTTAAATTTTCCAATTTTCCACAAATCTGATTTGTTTAAAAAAGAATGCGTACAACAATCTCATGGGCGGCCGCATTCTCAGCCGTCAGCGTCTCAATCATGATATCCTCTTGTGTCGTCTTCGATTTATCGTTTTTTATCAAAGGCGCATTGATTTCAGCGCCAACTAGTGGTGTCGACGTTTTCTGAAAATCAGACTTCGAAAAACAAACAAACAGAAGTGTCTTAGAATTGCAACAAAAAAAAAGGAAAAGCAAAGAATGTCTTACATGTGTGGACGCCGACGACAGAGCCTCAACGTTGCCCTGGACACGAAATAACGAAGCAGTTGCTCGCGGAGCTTCTTTGTTCTGAAATCCAATCAATTACATCAATTTCAACATTTTCGCTTCACGAGCTTCTTGCCGAATCGATGCGCCTTTAATGGCGCACACAATTCACATTTTTTGGGCAATCACTAATTTTCCCCCCGGCGGTTGTGTGCAAATGCGCGTCGACGTGTTTGCGTCTCACTCACCTCGACGCCATTCGGCGTCGTCGCCGTCACAGCGTTTCCGTTCATCATCGTTCGTCAGAAATTCATTGGTTCGATTTGCTCACCGTTTTTTTTTTCTCTAACAATATTCAATATTGATTATGAAGCAACGAAACCGAATTTTTCGTGAGAGAAATTGAACGCAACGAATTAATGCTATTCAAATTATATTCAGTTTGAGTCGGAAGAAAAACAAATAAGACAAGTCGACAGAAAAAAAAGACGGTGATGTCGAGATTCGCGACACGGAAGAGTCGATGCGTCTAATTGGCGAGCAAGAAAAAAATTGGGCGGAGCGACGGTGGGCTGGCAAATCGTCGCGTTTAATGCATATTCGATGAGCACCTCGTTTTTGTTGCCGACGAGACATTCTTTAAAATGCAACAACCGAGAGCGAAGGCGGAAGCGAGACATCGGTAAATCGGTGCGAGCTTCTAGGGATCGCCTCGAGTCACCGAAAGCGGTTAGAAACTCAAAGTGCTATGGGAAAAAAACCAATTGAGGATGGCCATCAGAATGCCGAAAATCGGGTAAAAACACAGATTACTGTAGATCTTAAAGGTACATGGAGACACCTAAAAGCGAGAAATAATTTTTAAAATTTCGGATTTTTGTTTCATACATCTGCTGACATGTGCATTTTACGGGTTCGACAATTGTCCGCAGATGAAAACGCGTAATTCAAAGATTCGATTCGCGCGAAATTGGTTCTTTTTATTGCCAAATGGGCTTGACGTCATATTTTTAGTAGAGAAAAGTGAAATGAAACTGCTAAAAATCAAACAAAACCAAATTTTCCAAAAAAAAATTTAACTGAAGGACCTCTTACCGCACATCCCTGTACATTTCTCGTAGCGAAAATGAATCGTTTAAAGGCGCATAGGTCAAATTCGTTCTCACAATTTTAAGCGGGTCTCGCAGCGAAAATCGTTTAAAGGCGCACAACGCGCACCTTTTGTTGATTTCTCTCTCAAACAAAAATAATTTTAAAGGCACATTGCGCAATTCAAAAATGTCGGGTCTCGTCGCAAAATCACCAACGCAACTCCAATCCGATTCTCACCACGAAAAACATGACAATGCACCTTGAACGTATTACTGTAGTCTGCGAGTTTGTGCGTCGATCGCCAAAAATAGAATATTGTGAAAGAAGCGGAAAAAGGAAAACACAAAAAAAAGAAAAAAATGGAGAATAATTTGATATTTGGCATTCATTTGCATATAAATGATTCGGTTATGCACAAACAAAAAATTTCAGTTTTTTTTTTCTTTCTCTCACAGAATTACGATAACGAGTTTATGCCCCCCAAGGCGAGCAATTCGAAGAAGCGAACCAAAGAGAAAAAATAACGCATGGAAAAGTCGGAGCAAAAATGCTGATAATCTCGGATTTAATGCGACGAAACGCTCAAACCAAATATGGACAAGAGACGAGTTCGAATTGGCGAGACACCAAAAACAACGATAGCGGATTTAATCGGCGGCCGCGATCTTGCGAGAACACAAATCTCGTGCGGCAATTCTAGAAAATCCATAGACGGTTTTTAAAGGCACACATCAATGACGGCGCGTTGGGTCCCGAAACGAATTCTCATCAAACGCGAAAAGCGCATCATCACGTCATTGTCTAGCCGAGGGTCTCACATCGAAAATGCCACTTCAAAATATTAAAAGGTAACGAAATGAAAATATATATCTTAAAGGTGCACTGCGTCTTCAATGATTTACAAATTTCGACAAGGTCTAGAATCATTTAGATTGAAAGGGTCTCACAGCGAAAACGATTTGAACATTCTTCGAGTTTTTAATTTTCTATTAAACTTCAATGACGTGCTGTTTGAAGGACCAAGGTCTCGCAGCGAAAAAAAAAACTTAATAAGATTCAACGAGTTCAATTTCAACGAGAAAAAACACTCAGCTAGCAAAAAAAATGGCGAACGAGTTCTCGGAATTGTCGCATTAATCATAATATTAATCATGATGATTGCACTTTGAAAAAAAATGGGTGGCGACATAAAAATAAAAAAATTATAATAATAATGACGAATTCTGTCTCTCATTCTCTGTAAAAGCCAGAAAGTAAACGTCAAAGGGAAGCAACAAAAAAAAAGGAAGGCGAATGTCGCGTCGAGACTTCTCGTAATTAATTTCAGTTGCCGCTGCCATTTACTAAATACTACGATGTGTGTGTGTGTGTGTGTGCATACATATATTTCCCGTTTCTATTTTTTCTTCCCGCTTCTTCATTCTCGTCTTCAGCATAAATTCGCCGCGACATTGCAACTTCTACTACTAGTCCTAGATTTGATGGCATTTTTCGTTAGAAAAATAAATAAATAAATAAACAAATGGCAAACGTCGATGATGAAAAAGAAGAAGAAGAAGAAGCTGAATGCGTGACACAGAAAAAAAAATTGGTGATTTTCCGCGCGAATGAAACATTTCCGGATGACGAGACTCGGTGTGTGTGTGCCCGAAGCAACTCCGCTAAAAGCATCACATCCTGTCGTCTCGAATGTCTTTTATTGGAAGGATGGGGGGGGGGTCCAACAAAAATGAATTGCTAAAGGTGTGGGGGAGAAGCGTATCGGGACCCTCTCATCACGATAATACAGTAACTGGTCCGTAATATGGCTGGAACTAAACTACTTAAATTATTTTGAGCAATTGAAAAATAACGGGTTTAGCGCCAAATTTTTAAAGCGCAGAAAGTCAAAAAAAAAATAGCTATGTTTAAGCTTGACACAGATTTAACTCGTGCTACAGTAATATGAATCTGATTCCTACGATGGAACACTGATACCGTAATCAGCTATCAACGGGGTTACAGATTTTTTTAATGCTTCAAAAATTGACACGGTAGTATGAATTGTCGCCAATTGTGGCTTAACACCCAAAAAATGGTCTTGTGAGGACGAGAGTTGTGTACTCCACACGGACAATCCATCCACTTGAGAACGTGGCGTAAATCGACACCCAAATCTACAGTATGACAATAAACCTCTATAACACATCAGCAATTAGAGCTACAGTAATCTAATAGAACAATAACGCGCCGCTACCGTAATAAAGTGCGAGGAGAACTCGAAACAAGACGCTGAAATGGAATTTTCGGGCTTTTAAAACAACATCTGCCGTAAACAACTGAATAAATCGGTGCTATTTATCGAAAAAATCTTATCAAAACGTGTAGCCAACTACAAATGACTACACAATTCTTCATCATTTTTTTCCTCGCGTACTGCCTAATGAGCCAATATCCATTCTATTTACGGAAGGTCGAATATCCGCGAGACATCGACAACAACAGCTACCGTAAATCGCTGACGATTCGGGTCTCGACGCGAATTGTCGACGACGAACAGACATTTTGATGAAGAGCGCTGGTAAGAGAAAAAAAAAAAACCAAGGCAAAAATGAAGGTGCAAAATTTCGACGAGACGAAAATAATGAGCAAAAAGAAAAAAAAATACCAAAAGCAACAATCGGTTTCCGGTCGATTTCAAAAGCAATTTTCGAAAATTGGACGCTTTTGCCCCAAAAAAAACTTTAGAATTGACGTGAAATTGTCAAATCTAGGCGAGTGTGTCGTTTTAATGGTTTTCAAAGCGAACCACACATACAGTGCTCCACATAATTATACGGTCAACAACAAAAATAACAAAAACGGAGTTGCTATATGGGAATACAATTTTGTTTTGGTAGCAAAAGGAATATCCCGAACCATCCAGTTTGGGTCCTGAAGCGAATACGAAATTAACATGACCAACGAATTTTTTTTCATTTTTTTCGAAAAAGTGCGAAAAAAAATCCACATAATTATACGGTCACTTTTATTTTTTGACCTTTTTTCAATTTTTTTTTCAATTTTCAAGTACTCGAAAATTTTTTAAATAAACGTTTATTGTTTTCTAGGTATGAGTAGAGGAAAAAAGCTCACAGAGTATGAAAAAGGTCAAATTGACGCTAAATTAGCCCAAGGGCTCTCTCATCGTCAAATTTCGAGAGATATGGGCCGTTCGCAAGACGTAATTTCTCGATATGCGGCCAATCCAGCAGAATATGGCACGAAAAAGTCTACTGGCCGCCCATCTCTATTTTCGAACCGAGAAAAGCGTAGAATTCTACGCAGAGCATCAAACTCAGTCATCTCCTGTTCAAAAATCAGAAGCGAACTCAAACTTCCCGTCTCCAATGAAACCGTCCGACGGGTTTTAAGCAAGAGCATGTTTATTAAAAACAGGAAAATGAGGAAAGGACCAATGCTGACCCGAATCCACAGAGAAAATCGATTGCAATTCGCCAAAAAGAATCAGCATACTGATTGGACTCAGGTTAGGATTGCAGCTGCACTCTTTAAATTTGGTTTCATATGTCAGGTTATTTTTTCCGATGAAAAAAAGTTTAACTGCGATGGACCAGATGGATTCCGCAATTACTGGCACGATCTTCGTAAACAGAAACTGCGTTATTCCCGCCGAAACTTTAAAGGAGGAGGTGTAATGGTTTGGGCCGCAATCAGTTCACACGGTCGCATCAAATTATGCTTTGTTTCGAAAAAAATGAGTGGCTCCGACTACAGATATACACTGAGGCGTGGTTTGATGCCATTTTGGCACCGAAATCGCAACCGCCAGCTTATTTTTATGCAAGATGGAGCGCCGTGTCACCGTGCTCGTCGAACAATCAAATGGTTAAATGACAGAAAGATCCCAATTTTGAATTGGCCCGCTTGTTCTCCTGATTTGAACATAATCGAAAATGTGTGGGGATTTATGGTACGAAAAATTTATGAGGGTAACAAGTGTTATGACAATGTTTCGGACCTCAAAAAAGCGATTATCGCTTCATGGAAACTTGTTGATCAAACACTTCTTGATAATCTATATATATCAATGGATAACCGTATTTTTGATATAGTCAGATGCAATGGTGGTCCATTAAGAATTGTTCTTTGTTTATTTTTACGTTTTTGAATGGTTTTGCATCATATCTCATTACTGACCGTATAATTATGTGGAAGAAAATTTTCAATTTTTTTGTTAATTTTATGATAAGATTATGTACAATTATTTTTGTTATTTTTTGTTATAAACAGATGAAATGCTGCTAAATGTGGATAATTATTCAATGGGAAGATTTCCCGAAACTTTCAAAATTTTCGAAATTTTGAGAAAAAATCAATTGACCGTATAATTATGTGGAGCACTGTACAAACACAAAAAAAACACGACATTTATGGTTTTTCTTCTCTAGGCAACACCGCTTCATAAAATCGCATCTGCGGACATGTGCATTTTACGGATTCGACAATTGTCCGCAGATGAAAACGCGTAATTCAAAGATTCGATTCGCGAGAAATAATATTGAATTCTTTTGTGAATAAATGGTCATATTTTTAGTAAAGAAAAATGAAATTTAACTGCAAAAAATCAAACAAAACCAAATTTTCCAACTTTCGCCGGCTTTTTGGACCAGAAAAATGAGATATCCTTTTCAGCACATCCCTCGAGTGTATGCAAACTCAAATTTATGATATACACAAATTTGAAATCATTTTTCGCTTCGAGACCACAATCGCGGAAAATTGAGTTCTTTGGCGCGACATTCGAAAAATCATCAATTAAGTCAATTGGAAATATACGAATTAATCGCGCCGAGACCCAAAAACTAAACACTTGAAATTTTGCCACTTGTATTGTGGGTTGACGGGATTTTCGCATCACGACTCCGACACAGTGAATACGATGTCGCGACGAGACCCATCATGTGCAATTTTCAACTGGTCGCCGATTTTCAGAGACAAAACGATGGCGTTTTTAAAATTCCCAATCGCATCGAGACACTGTGAGCTGTGTCGATTCAAGAGCTTTTCGTATCAGCAGGACCAAGCTGGTAAATCGCGTCGAGACCAATACCGTGCGGAAAGCGCGAAAACAAAATCGCGTCGGTGTGGAAATAAATTACGACAAAGAAGAATAATTGTCGATTTACGAGGATAAAGGACCAAAAAAAAGAAAGAGAAGATGGGAATTGACGAGCTTTTCAGAACATTTGTAAGTTTTCGGGCTAACAAAAAACCAAATAAAAAAGGAAAGAAGGCAGGAAAATGCAAACATTGAACGACGTGGCAATTTCATTAATATCGTGTAAACTCAACAAAAAAGAAGGTGAATTTCAATCGTCGAAATGGGAAATTTCAGACGAAATGACGTCATCGTTTGCAGGGGCAAAAAAAAAAGAAATCAACCGAATCCAGCAATAAAGTCAACCGAGGGCGGCGACGAAACAGATTCGATTTCATTCATTTTTCGCCTCGCAGGTGTGTTTTGTGCGTGTTTTTCGCGCCGTCATAAATGGGCGTGGCCTCTCTCACGCACACACACACACACAGGTGCATTTATGGAAGGAAGCGAGTGAGAGCAACTTCGAGATGAGAAGCTCTACGAGTAGGGGCGGCGATATTCATTGGCGAAATTAATCCAATTCCTTTTTTCTTCGTCAAAAATGGATTACGAATTCTAATGCGGCAAAATATATCACCAAAAACTCAAAATCATTCCCTCCAAATTGTCCGCAGCAAAACAAACTCGTTAAAATTATGCATTCTTCAAAAAGTTTTCAGATTAAGACAAAAATATGCAAACGAGGAAAAACTTTTCTAAAAAAAAAAACACAATGAACTAGAAGGCCAACAACATTCAATCTTTTAAGACCCGCTTAAAGGCGCAAGCCATTTTCAGTATATTATTCCCGAAAAATTCAAAATTAAAGGCGCATACCCGACGATACAAAGCGACCCGCAAAAATTTTCCCATGGCCCGCAAAAAATGGAATATTTAAAAGAGCATACCTTCTTCGGGTCCCGCAACGAACAGAGTTGACGGCTGGTGTCGGCAGGTGGTCTCGCCTGGAAAACACTGTTTGCTACAATCAACACACATAAACATATAGTGAGAGAGAGAGAGGTACAAATTGACACGTGTAAAACGTTTTCATGCATTCGTCAACACGAGAGAGACAAATTTCGGAGAAGAAGCTTCAATAAAACAAATTTATTAGTAAATAGTCGAAAAAAATTTTTTGAGAGCGAGAGAGATCAGAGAACAAAAGAAATAATAATAAATTAGTCGATGATGCTCAATCTCTCCACAATTTGAGGAACGCGTCTTCGCCATAAGTGGCAATGAGATTCTGGTGCGGATGATGCGCCAATCCGTGCGGCATTCGTTCGCTTATCTGAAACATTCATATTCAACATTCAATCGGACGCCGTCATCGATCTACTGTCTGTTTCCACCCTTCATCCTATCTGATCGCCATCGACCAAATGCGGAGAAGCGAAAATTAAAAACGCGAGAGAGAGAGAGAGAGAGACAGACAGAATCGGCGTTTTTCTTGGGGTGGAATCGCCAGAAGAAAAAAGCGCCACGTCAATTTCAATTTAGAAAGTCGAGGATTCTCGAAATTTCTCACAATTTCACCGAGAAAAAAAAAACAGAAATTGAGTTGGAACTGAAGCATTTTTATAACTAATCTAGAAAATTATAATATTTTTTTAATAAATAAATTGAAACTTTTTAGCTTCTTTTCGTTCAGCGATTTTTTAAAAGAAATCAAAACACACATTTTGTCAAGGAATTGCTGAAATTGGAAGGAGAAAAACTCTAAATCTCATAGCCAACAGCATTTTTTTCAATTTTTTTCTTTCGAATTTCATAAAGACCTATTAATGTAATTAAGAAATGCAAAAATACATATTTTAATGTAGGGTTGTTCTCTTTTTCTTTAAAAAAGGAAAGAAAATTTTTTTTCTTTTTTTTCGTGAGCACATTTAATTCCTAAAAAGCAATTTATACTTTTTTAAAGAAGTTTTTTCAGGGTTCTATGCAAAAAAAAACAAAACAAAGAGCAATTAGCAAAAAATCAACAAATTGTCTCAAATTTCAAAATTTTGGAAGAGCCGGCGATAATTGAGCAACGTTTATACAAATTCCCCCATTAGAAGGCGTTTTATTTTTTTAATATTCTACAAGAATGTTATCGTGACGAAAAAAAAACTAGCTCAAACTTGTTTTTGTTTTTGAGATCTGCATAGACCCAAAAGAAATTTCGCAATTTCTTTTTCTTTTTTTTCACATATCGATTAATATTTGCACTTTACAAAGTGGTTTTCCCAAAAAAAAAGTCTAAAATTTGGTCTTATCTCGAAAAAGATTAACAAACCGGGAGAGTTGTCTCCAAAGACGCCGATAACACCAAAAAGCAATACATGACTCCATCTTCGGCAATCGCATACGCCCATTCTCCTAAAAAATTGCCTTATATCACCAAAAACTGATGAATGGGTGGGGTGTCGCAAAATTTAAAGACGCATACCTCTCGGCGACAAAATGCAACTAATAAAGTCTCCTTTTTCTCGTTTTCCGGAGCTCATCGTCCGAATCACTTGTCCAGACATGTTAATCACATACAGCGTGTTCGATCGATTGCAGACGACGAGTTGCGGCGGATCGGATTTCGGAATCGGTATCGCGTTCTGAATCGGAACGTCGCCGGCGGCGACGACGCGGAACGTCGACAGACACTCGCCGGTTTTTGTGTGCCATACGCGAATTGTTCCGTCAGCCGAGCTGGAAATCTGCAAAAAAAAAATGATTGAGTTTTCAGTTTTTCTTGCATTTTTCGAGAAATGTTTGAAGCTTTCGATAATAATAATTTAATAAAAAATAATTTTTGAAAAATAAACAAAAATTGTATTTTTTAAATATTTTCGTTAGATTAAAAATTGAAGGAAACAATACTAAAAAAGTTCTATTTCGAACGATTTAAATAATAATTTTTAATTGGCATTTTTTACAAGCCGAATTTTTTTTTTGAAAAATTCTGACAAACTGCGACTTATCGAGTTAATTGGTTGATTTTGAAGAAGGGAAATATTAAATGAATGGCAAATTGGCAAAAAAAACCCGGAAGATAGCAAAAACGAGGAAGTTGCTTAGAGCAAACAATGGCCAGCAAGAAAAAAAAAGGGTGCTCACAATCTGATTGCCCTCATCGTTGTAGCGCACATCGGTGATATACGACGTGTGGCCTCTCATTTCCTTCAAACACTTGCCGCTCTTCATTCCGTGCACTCTGCAAATATAGTAAATCGTCGTCGGGCTCGCGACGCAACGGTGAGGCTCACCGCACGATATGATCATTTCCACCGGAAAGCACGTGCGTGTTATCTCGCGACATTCGGATTGCAGCGACACCATCAGCATGCGCTCGATCGAATCGTCGGAGGCAGTCACCCGTCTCGACTTTCCAAACCTGCAATCGATTGCTACAGAAAAACTAATGCATTTTTTTTCATTTGAAAGTCTTTTATCAAATTTCAGAAAAAAATAGTATTTTTTTAAATCAAACCTTCAATATTTGTTTAATTTCGACACAAATCATTAGAACCCCAAAAATTATTTTCTAAACCATTAAAAAAATCGACAACTTCTTTTTTTTAGGGTCTTAAATAAAAAATTTGATTTTGAATATATTGTGAATAAATTTGTGAAAATTTCTCAAATTCTATCATAACATTCAATAAACTAAAAATTTTAAAAAATTCCCCCAGAATTTTAATTTTTTGCAAGAAAATTGGCCGATTGCCAAGCAGTACGCAAATTCAAATTAAGATAAATTTAGACGAAAGAAAAAAAAATTATGATTATAGTTTCCCAAATCTTCGGTTTTTTCATGTTGCTTTCGAACTTCTTACCAATTTTTCTTCAATGGGATCATTTTCAAAATTTTTCTCACTATATTTCTAGTTTTCAGGCAATGGCAAATTTTTAACGCAGGTCTCAAAGCGAATCATCGAACCTTGATCTTTCCATCGGCACATCCGGTCGCCAGCATTTCCGAGTCCCTACTAAACGCCATACACCTCACAGCATCGTCCATCATCATCAAATTGTCTTGGGCCTGACAATTTAGAATTTTTTCAACATTTGAAATTCAAAAAAAAAAAAGAAACATTTAAAATGCTCACCTGATATTTCAAATCCTTTCTCAATTTTCCATTCATATAATTCCAAACCTCAATGAAACCATCTTTAGAACCAGTAACCAAATAATTTCCGTCCGGCGAGAATGTCGCCGATTCCGGATAGCTGTTCGCCGAGAATTTGATGTGCCGCGCGAGCTGCGTCGGATATCGCTCCTCGATTTGCTCCTTTTGCGCCGCTTTTCCCCGAAACAAATCGATGGCGGTTCCCGGCGGTAGGAGGCCTTGATGAAGCTGCCATTTCAACGATTGTCCCAATAGGGAAAGAAGTCTTGATGGCGGCACCACGTGCACTTCGGATGACAGCGATTGGGCAATCGCTTGCCGTCGCTTCTCTTTGCTCACGTCTCCGTAGACCTCGGAACTATCGAAATACGGACGATTGATGAGGTTTTCAAGGCGCGTGAATCTAAAATCATCATTATTTCTCAATATTTGAACAAAGAAATTGAAGTATATCTATGTGTTGTTTAAAGTAGGTTCAAAATCGAAAACAAATCAATATTTTTCTTATTTGCATTCATTTCAATTCCATTAAATTGTAAAATGGTCTCAATGCGTTTTGCGTGTGTGTAAGCCGAGAAATACATGCACAAATAATTTGGCATAGCCAAAAAAGTGAATTCACTGGCTGAAACCCAATGGGTTTCTGGTTCTCAAAAAAGCGTATATTTGTTTTGTTTTTGGTTCAAATGTAATCCTATATAAAGAAAAGAAAAAATTAAGAAAATTTCATGGTTTTATTTTTTGAAAGCTACACTTTTTTGTAATTTTCTCATAATTTCAATTGCTTCTTAGTTTCCTTTTTAATAAACGTAATATTTCGAATTATTCATTTAAAAATTACTGAAGTGAATGTTCAATATGCGGGAAACCCGTTCAATATTCAACATCGAAAAACAAAAAATTAACTGGGATTATAGAAAACTAAGAAGAAAAAAAAATCAAATGAACAAAACTTCCCCGACTTTTTAGAGAGGAAAAATTTTTGAAATATTTCTATAATTTTCAAAAAATTTTCGTCGATAATTGGCTTCAAATGGTACCTTTCGGGATCCATTTGCTTCAACAATATCATCGGATCAGTTTGTCGGGCGATCAGCCTCGCCGTCGCCAATTCTCTCAATTCGACCAATTCAATAATAATCTAAAAACACAATATTAATATTGTGCGGTATTTTAGAAGCTCGTTTACATGCTCATATAAATCTATTAGTTTTTTGGCCGGCAATTTCAAAGGCTGCACTGTCTTCAGCACATTATCCCAATGACCGGTAGTGATTTCATTGCAAAATGAATCAATGCTATCAACAGTATTCAACGTGACATTCGTTTCTTCCTAAAAATGCCTATTTTCCCAAAACAAATGTCTTCAGAAATGATTACCTGAAGGACTGCCAACGTGCGCAAAAGGTTCGATTCCTTTAAAAATTGCTCAATTAATCGAATAACACTGCAAACAAAGTATTAAAATGTCAAAAATTTACAAAAAAAACTCACTCTGCAGATTCAATTTCAATCGACGTCATTTAAATAGCAAATTTCTGGAACGCTGCAAAAAATTCAAATTAATAGATTTGTGGTTTGACGTATGTGTGAGCAAATGCGCTCCATTGATAATATGGGTAAGCGAATACCGGTGGGTGCAACACGGACCATCTAGGTTCGACCTAGTAAATTGGATTAAACAAAACAATTAAAGAAAAATGAGGTCCCTGTTAAATTTAGCCAAATTGTGTGAACTTTTGCGTCAGTTCCGACAACTTCGACCGTAATGCGAAACAAAAACAAGTCTAAAATTTTTTTATTTCGATTTTTAAACAGAATCGATACGAAATTCACCTTGTTTAAATGAATAAAAAACCACAAAAAATTCTCAGCAGAAAAATTTATTTAAAAAAACATGAGGCAACATAAATTAAGAGAGGTTAAAAGGCAAAAAATTAAATAATTTTAAATTCGATTAAAAAAAAAGTGTAAAGCGGATGAAATTATCGAGGTTTCGTAAGACCAGCTTGTCAAATAATTGAAAAAAACACATAAAAAGCAGCTAATCGGCAACTTTCTTCAAAATCTCGGCGATTCTCTCCTCCATTTTCTTGTCAAGCTTGTAAGAAGTCAATCTTCTGGAAGAAAAATCAAAATCGCGTCATTTTCTCCACCAAAAAAAAATGCTCACATTGTCGGCAAATCGGAAATTTCCGGAAGAACCGTCTCCCGAAGACGAAGTTCGCCTCCTTCATCAACTTCCTCATTATTCTTCTTCTTTTTTCTCTGAAAATTGAAAAAAAAATTGAGTTGCACGTCAAAAAATCAATCAAAGAAAAAGCTCACAATTCGGAAAAGCTCAATATCCGAGAATGGCGGATAGACATTGAACAGCTTGATCTCATCCTGCTCATCGTCGCAATCCGAATCGTGATGCTTTTGAACGTCCTTCTGAATATCCTGCAAATTGTAGATTATTCGAGAAGAAAAAATTATTTCAGACCCAATTTTTTTTTAACTCGAGATATTTCAAAATTTCACTAAAAAATATCACCATTAAAACAATCATTTATTTTAAAGGCGCATACGAAGAAAGACTCAACGCGACTTGCAAAAAAAAACGCATTTTTCTGAAATTAAGCTCCTATTTTTCTAAAATTCTCTAGATTAACATATTTTCTTTTCTGAACACAACGGAAAATTAGAAAAGTAATGTAAAAATTTTGAATGCGCTTTTAAAAATCAAATTTCGAACACATTTTTTGTTTAAAATGGCAGATTTCGTGAAGAACACCCAAAAACTCTAAAAACTAGCTTTAAAAAATCTAGATAAAAATTTTAGAGTTTCCTTTTGGTATTTTTTCTGCTTTTTTTTAAAGTTTTTCCAAAAAAAACGAAAACCATTGAAAATACGTGTATTTTTCAATTCGAAATTGTCCGCAGCTGAAACATCAAAAATTCTCTTACATAAATATGACTGCGGCATCGATGAAAATGCGAAGCGGCTCGATTCCCATTATATGAGTTGAGTTTGCCACATTTGCACTGATACAAGACATTTCCCGTCGACGAGGTGTCGTATCCGCCGCGTTCCATCATACTGCTACAAGACACCTCATCGGCAATCCGTTGTCCTTCTTTCGTCGTGAAAAACTGCTTCTGGAGGGCGGTGATTTTCGCCGACAACGAGGTTCGCGTCTTCGACGGACCTTCGTCAAGTCTCTGGAATTTTTTTAAATGGTTAAGTTTCGAATTCTGATCGTTGCTGTCCTATTTCGATAGTTTCTTAGATTTCCTAATTCAAAAATTTGCTATTTTCAAAGAAACACAGTCACTTTAGCGGTCTTACTTGACGAAAATTAAAATAGAAATTTTTCGAGTTTATTTTGCGGGAAAAAAAACAAAAAAAATGGTACATTTTTCAACAAAAAATTTCACATTTTTCAACAAAAAAAATTTTTTTTTTCAAAAATTTCGCTAATTGGGCTATTAACTCACTCTAGTCTTAACCGTCCAATTTGACGGAATATCATTATGATCAGAATTCCGATGATGGCAAAGCTCTTCCGGCGACAAAAAGTTCAATGCACACATATTACAATGATTAGCCCCATTGGGACCTGAAATTTCGTCGCGTGTCGAGACCCGAAAAAATTTCAAAACTCACGAGCATGCTGCCTCATATGTGTAACGTACGAGTTGACATTGACAAATTTGTTGGCCCGCACAGATGTCGGCAGATCGCATTGCCAAAGGCAAATCGGACACAGAATCGTTCTGGAAATTCGGTTCGCTTATTCGCGTTTAGATGAGAACTCACTCTTTCGTGTGATTGTCGAGATAATGCTCAAAAAGGAAACTGCGAATCGACGTGCGATAGCGACACTGCTTACAACTGTACGGAGCTTCTTTCGAGTTGTGCTCGTACATGTGACTTCGGAATATCGCCACTGAGTCGAACTGAAATCCATTCAATATGAATGTTCAAAATTGTCCGCAGATGCAATTAATTAAAAAAAAAGATTAGGCACCGCGCAGAAGTCATTTCTGTAACGTTATTCCTCTTGTATCTCATAGTCGAAAAAGAACGAGTTTTGAATGGTCAACAAAAGGCACGAAAATTCGTATAAAAAAATCCAATTTAAATAAAAATTAAAATTTTTGGCCAAAATTTTCCCACGACGTTTTTGCTTTCAATAATTAAAATATTATCTTTTATTGATTTCTAATAATCATAAAAAAGCAAAAATCCACCCTGGGACTTTTTTTCGCTTTAAACACTCAAAACATTCAAATTTTAACGCTTACATTTTTCTCGCAAATGTAGCAAACCGTCGGCGAGTTCGTGTGCACATGAACCGCGTTCTCATGCACCGTCCGCTGGTGAACCGTTCGGAAGCTCAGCGAGCAATATTGACAAGTTCGCAGCTTCTTCAAATTGTTCTCATTCGCTGTGGTTAGAATCGCACTGGAAAAAAATAGACGAAACGAATGAAATGGGCCAACGCATGGAACATACGGATCGCAGTTTTGCATGAGCATGTTCTGTTCGGTGCCGGCGAGCACGACGCCCGGAATATCGTGATTCACGTGAGCCCATAAATGGTTGATGAATGTGACGATGTCCTCGCTCACTTTCACACATTTACGTGTATTGAATGTACACTGGAAACTCTCATTTTTTTAAATTCGAATTTTCGGTCTCGTGTGGAAAATTATTACTATTTTCATACAAATGGCTATCATTTCTATATAGAAATTTTCAAAAATTTCGCATTATCGCTATAATTCATTTTCTCACGCAATGCTCTAGTTATGATCGTTTAAAAAAATATTAGGTCTTCAAGCGAATCCGGCCATTTTTCAGAAAATTCGAAAAACTTGCCACAAATTTGCCGTCGACTTTCTTCTTGGTGCTAAATCTCGTCGATCTTCTCTGCGGTCGAGTCGTCTCATAAAATGCCTCGAAAATGTATTCCTCGATGCGTTTATCGACAATTTCTTCGTAATTGTCTAGCTGAAAAATTGCGATACAAAAAGTGTCTTCGGATGTTAGAAAGACGCAATTAAAAAAAAAATTAATTTTTGAAAATTCTGTATAGTCGGCTTCTGCTGTACGCGGGTCGATTTACGCGCATGCGCCTTGAAAAAAGGTCTCGCCACGCGTGAATGCTTATTTCGCTGTTTTCACGTGAACTGCTTCATTTTTCTTGATGAGTTTCGCATTTTCTTGAATTTCCAACGACATTCGATTTAAAATTTTATCGAACAGGTCCATAAAATCTGAAATAATCTGTTAGTCCTTGCGAGACCATTTTGAAAGACGCATACGCGTAAATCTACAGCAGTCGCCGGACGCCGACTATACTAAAAATGGTTTTCCAGCATCATATGTACGGTTTCAGTCGGGAAAGTGGCGTTTCTGAGAAATTTCAAAAATGGTGCTATGCTAATCTTGCGAAGAAAACTTAAACAAAATTAGTTATTTTTTTCACAATCTGCATACTACCAATTATGGTCACTAAAAACCAATCGGATTCGATAATTTTCCAATCTTATCCATAAAATTTCCAATCGGATCGGGTTGATTCCGGAGCCGAATTTTATCGGATCCGATTGGTTTTGAGTTACTAGAGATTATAATCAGTGTGAATTGTGTTAGTGGGTCACACCCACAAACTGTTGCTTTTATCCGAGCGGGTCTCAATACATTATCGTGCTATGCATATATACGCAAAATCTAGTTTGTTGAATTTTTGGAGTGTTCTTAATCACACATATAGTTAACTTGGGAAATGTTTTTTTTTGTCATAATTTGCCATTTCGTACTTCTCTATAGTCAACGAATGTCTATGAAAACAGATTTACGAAAATCCGCCTTTGGGGACTAACTAGTTATTTTGGATTATGAAGCGCATTTCGACAAATTTTAATTTTTACGACATTATAAATGCAAGAAATGACGATAAAAATAAATTTAAAATTGAAATTTTCATTTTCACGTGTAATGAGACCATGACAAAAGATGAACCAGTAAATCTACCCGTAGAAATTTACAAATTGATTTAAGAAAACTCAGAATTTCTCTTTTTTTTACAAAATTTAATTTTTCTAGGAAGTCACGAGACTGCGGAAAATTAGCTAAATTCCAAAAAAAATCCAACGACCGTGGTCTTGGCGCAAAACTAAACGTGTAGATTTACGAGCCTATGTATTAGGATAGGTTAAAGGCGCACACCACGCACCGAGACCTTTTTTCTTAATTTGTTGGAATTTTCCGCAGTTGCGCGAATTTGACATTCACTCAATCCTTTGAAATGACATTGAAATTTCTCATTTCAATTCAATCTACGAATATTTTCAAAGTAAAAAAAAAGGAAAATCAAAAAAACTTGGCGAACCCTTTGCTTCGGTGGTCGAATATTCTCCAAATTTGTCGTCGATGACCTGAAACGCGGGAAAAATCGAATTTCTTATCAAGCAAAAAAAAATCGCAATACCGTTTTCTCGGCGCCGATGGCAATGGTTTATTACGATTGCCATTTGTCGCGTTCTGGTGCATTGATAAAGCCTACAAATTGTGATATGTGGTTTTCGAAAAATTGAGAAACAAAAAAAAATTCCAACCCGCGTCTGCAGCACTTTTGGCATGCCAAATCTCACATTGCTCGTAATTCCGAGATCGTTGAGATTCAGCCTTCGAACCTCGCCGATATGAACAGTGGCGGCCGCATTTTTTACCGGCTCTTCGTCATCTGACAGAATAATCACATCGTCCATTCCTTTTTCTGAAAAAAAAATCGAAATTTTTTTTTGAGAAAAAAAACACGTCGATAATAAACAATGGGCGCCTAGTTGAGCAAACAATTGCTCGTTTTTCCCCCCCAGCAATTCTGCGCTTTTTTTACGTCAAATGAGGAAAAAAACAACAATTATTTCGAATTTTAAAGAAAAAAATATTGATTTGGGTCTCAACAGGAAAATAGTCTTGATTGAGTTTGCACGTGATTTCTTCGTATCTAGCGAGAACAGAAATGCAAAAAAAGAAAAGAATGATTCATTTTTTCAATGATTTCGTCGCGAGATATTTGCTTACAATATACACATGCGCCTTGAAAAACATTCCATCGCCTCATTGCATTCAAAATTCAAGAAAAAAAAGTAATTCAAAATTTCTAAAACAAAAAAACGGCAACCAGAAACTGCGCGCGCTTTTTTTGTACCGTATTCAAAAAATATTTATGAAATTCGCAAATTTTCCTAAAAACCACTGGTTTTACGTTTTTCTTTGTGTTTCATTTTCAATTTGTTTTTATGAGGCGAGAAAATTAAAAAAAAAAGATTATTTGTCTTTTTTTATCCAAAATCGATCGAATTCGATAAAATTCGGCTTCAACATTTAAAAAATTGTAAAATTGCCGGTCTTTTTTGGGTATTTTCAGATCCAATTCGAATTGAAAAATTAAAAAAAAAACACAGATTCGAATAATAACGAATGGGATCCTAAAATACCCAAAAAAATCAGACCCTGCAAATTTGCTCAATTTTTCTTTTTTTTAAATCCTGGCCCTTTGAATATCGAATATCCAGAATTTTGAATGCAAATTATGAGGAAACTCAATTCAATCGCGGGAAATTCAAACAAATCAAAAAAATCGATGATAGGTTCATAATGCTGAAAATAAGTTGGCTATTATTACCACTGATTCTGTATATCAGTTTTTTTGTAGAAAAAAAACATTTATTCAAAATTCACTGAAAAAGAAAAGAAATAAACTAGCGTTCACGCGTTTTGAAAGCATTGATACGGTAAGCGAAGAACGTGCATTATCACTTGACGCGAAAATACGTACCTCTTTTCAGAAATAATTTTCCGTGAAATTTCCTCAATTTTCAAGTTCAATTTCTACGTCAAGACTACGACGAATCAATAAAATTTGCGAATTTCAACAAAAAAATTAGGCTCAATGTGAAAAACGGCTAGAAAACGCGAATCATCTGCCAAAAATCGATAATCGACCGACATTCATCGTCATCGAGAAAAAAGAAATGGAATTGGCGCGCAATTATGCGCAATTTGATCTACCGCGTTGGAGAATAATCGCCGATAGATACGAAATCAAACAATTCGGCCGCCGTTTTTTCTCATTACCGTGTTGCTGCTTGCCGCCGAAAAAGCGGCGTTCAAACGCCTCGACGGCGAGAGAGTGTGCCAACGCGAGAGGGGCACCGACGACGAGAGACGGCGCGCGTTTCGTGTGGGCCGATATATTATTCGGCAGCCGGGGTTAACGACCCCAATTCGATTATCGCATCCTTTTGTGCAACGGGGCGCGTTTGCATCCTTGTTTTAAATCCCCCACAATTTTATTGTCAAAGTTGGACAGCAATTAAAAAAAAATAATAATCAACATTCTCCAAGAAATCATATTACACACAAAAGAAAATGAGCAAAACATAATATTTCACGACAAATTGCGTACAGTGGAATGATAAAATCGCCTCAATTCGACATTTTCGTCGATCAAATACTCGTAAATATAATCATAAGTGAGCAGCGGAATTCCAGCTCGTTTCAGCATTGCAGTACTCTGAAAATCAAATGTTTTTTTAAAGAAATAACTGAAAAAAATCGAATTTTACTTGAATATTCCATGGAAAATCTTTACTAGTGAATACATGTGTCGGATTGAGCGGTACCGCTTCAATAAAATCGGAAATCGTTTCAACGACAGCTCCGCCGGCTTTCAGAATCGGTATAACCTGAAAAAAGTCAAAATTTTGCAATTTCGCACTAAACCAAAAATTCTATTCTGAAGGATTATCCATGCAAGACCCAAATTCAAATTTATGAGAGCCCCCCCCCGCATTTTAATTTCGAAATCTCGGCCGTTGTTTTTAACCCGTAAGTTTGTCCGCAGATCGAAAGTTGAAATGTAACGCCAAATTAGATGAGTTCATTAAATTCGAAAAATTCATTTTGGTGTACAATTTTCAATTATTTGAATTTTCAGCCGCGAATAATCTGAAAATTTCAACACAAATTTTGTGGAAAATGTTCTGGGTCTTGCGGCGCCTTCAAAAAACCCACCAATACCTGAATCGATCTCGAGTCTTCAATGTGAAAAACGCATTTCCAGCTGCTAAATGCTCCATTGCTTCGAGATTCCTGCAAAAAAAACAGAATTTGAAAATTGGCGAAAATTTTCACATTTTTGCGTATTTCTGAAATATTTCAGACAAAAATCCAGAAAAAAAAAATGCAAAAATGAATCAATATTCGATTTTACCGTTCGAATCGAATCAGTAATCGGCATTTCGCCAATTTTTTTCCTCCAATATTCGCATCTCCTCGACAATTGCTGCTCGATCTTATTCGCGTTGGGCAATAATCGACTCGGACCCCATTCATAATCCTCTTCCTTCAAAAAAAAGAGAAAGAGAGAAATTGATGAGAAGCTTCTCCTCACCATGAGCCATCTGCCCCGTTTCGCACTTTCATGAATATAATCGGGATGGAGACACCACTTGCCAGAAGCGATGATGCTCAACGTCTTCGGCGTTCTCGTCTGCAAACCAATTCAATGCTGCCCGATATTCTACAGTTTGTTTCTTTCAAAAACGCGTCATGCTCCTTTAATCGTCAGGTCTCACGACGACTTACAAGTGATAAATCAAACATTACCAATTTCGCGGTGATCAAATGCGTCGATTCCCACTTATACTCGGTGTCAACTTTGCCGCCAAGCGACAAAATCGCATCGCGAAGCTCATTTCTCTCCTGAAAATCGAAAAAAAATTATCTTTTCAAATTGGAATAGAGGGGGCGGGACATTCGAAAAATTGTCGTCAAATAAAACGCATCGTCCGCAATGCAATCAATTTTGCTCATTTTTGTATCTATCTCAAAACAAACAATAGTGTAACGGAAAAGACATTTCCGGTAAATCTTTTTCCGCTCCAAAAAATCCGAAAATTTTCGTTTTTATTTGATATTAGCAGTTTCAGTTAATGTTTGAATAAAATTATGACCAAAAACCTACATGTCATCAGAAATCGATGTTACTGAAACCGAATATCAAAAAAAGGAATGCTAAATTGTGAAAATTATTTCTCATTGAGTAAAAGTTTGAGGTTTGGCAATTTCCCGCAAATCGCTGAAATGGAGACGTCAAATGAAAAGTGTTGTTCGCAATGCAAAAAAAAAACAATGATAATGGCCTTGGCGCAAAAGTATCAGTGTAATATTACGGGCTATGAATAGGTTAAAGGCGCACATCGCCGCGTTAAACTTATATTTCGGAGTCAAACGACTGAATGAAATTTTAAAAATTATTGGCAATGTGCCAATGCGTCTCGAGACTGCGTACATTGAATTATAGCGTACGCGCATTTAATATTCAGTCAACGGCAAATTTAAATCTACACTGATTGCGCAAATTTGAAGATCCCGCCTCCATTCAGTCGTTTGACTTCGACAATATGTACCGCATCGCTCAAATCCGAAATGCTGATCACAAAATTCGGTTCAAATCCATATCGCTGCCGTTCGTCCATCGTCTCATGATGGTCCGCCGTCGTTGCGGCAAAATCGCGCTGAAATGCTCAAATCAAATATCTCAATGATTTTCAGCGTTTCCCTACATCATTCGCCTTCGTACAATTCCTCAACGGCTCCGGCAAAGATCGTGTAGAATTCTGGGGAGAAAAAGGAATGAAATCGTGAAATGCGAAATCGTCAAATTTACCGGTTTCTCAACAACACTCTCATAGATTCCCATCGGAAATTTCGGCGGCTTCTCCTTCGCCGTCGAATTTCGTTTTCGTCCCGTCCGTTCGGCAGCTCGTTCCAAAATCTCACCAATTTTTGTGGTTGTCTGCGAAAAATAAAATAAAAATCACCGAGAGCAATTCAAACGGACCATGCTGTCTTCACTGCAATGCGACGGCGATGGGATGTTGTCGATGAGCTCGCTGGCGCCTTCCAGATCCAATCTGCAACAAGACAAAGGCTATCGCCTGATTTTTTTATTCGAAAAATATCAATTCCGATTTTTTTAGACGCTGAGAAAATACCAAGGTGAAAATTAGGTCATCCACGGACGATTTTGAAAAATTGGACCAGTAAAACATAAAATCAACTAACTTAAAACTAAATTTTGAAAACTATGCTTAACTATACACAAAGCTACTGCAACCTGTTACCCTCTCCTGTCACATTTTCAGACAACCGAAATACTATCGGTCGGAACTTTAAATCGTCGGCCGACAAGCCTCTTTTAAAAAATTGTCAATGAAAACTGGAAATTCATTTGAAAAGAAATTTCTGGATTTTTTTAAATTTTTGATTTTTTTTTCTAATTTTCGACACTCGGCAAATGTTCGAAGCTTAACGCATTTTTGGAAAATTGGGTTTTAAAAAAAGTTTTTTCATCTCTTATTTTGATTTCTTAAACCACAGTTTAAAAAAAAGCATCTTGAGTAATTGTAGACCATTATTTCGAGCGCAGAAACACACATTTGAATTCAAATGTGTACCGTACTAGGGATAACCTGCGAATCAAACTTATCCTAAATCTACACAGCAGGTTCGTTCAAAAAACGCTACTTGCTTACTTGTTCCGTAAATTAATTATAAAACAATCAAAGCGAAAATATTTTTGATGATATCATATCCAACCTGCGGACATTTGAAAGGCTACCTCATCTCAAATCTCTCCTTATTTGGGCGCGCTATCGGCGCCACTACCGAAATTGGCTGCCGATCGGCAATACCATCCGAACCAAGATCGGAGCCTCTCTCCAAATTCAAATCCATTTCAACCGTCGTCTCTTTTTCGCGGAAGCATTGATTCCACACATCATCGGCTCGTCCCGCATAGTTTTTTAGCGGAATTCCCTGAAAAAAAATGAGTCGTTGGTCGAAAAATGCTCACAAAAAATTCGAGGACCTCAAACAAATAATCATTTGGCAACTGAATTTTGCATTTGCTGAGACTCTCGATAATCCAAGACATGTCAAAAATCTGTAATTCGAAAAAAAAATGTTGAAAATGAAAGCAAATTCAGAAAATTTACGTCTTTCCATCGATTCTGACCATCATTTCGCTCCATGTAAATCGTATAAACATTTTCTCGCTGAAAAGGCAAATTTCTGGAAAAAAAAGTGAAAAAATATATATTACCGGCGACGCTTCATTCACCACATTTGCGCCATTTTTAACAAGTAGATCATGCAAAAAATTCTGAAAATTCTCCATTTATCTCTGAAAAGACCAGTAAGAAAAAAAAGAAGAGAGATCAAACCTTTAAAAGTGAACTATTTGACGTCAACACAAACGAATATCCGGAAAATAATTGGGATACCGGTTTCGCGAATGGGACAAACAGCGGATGCTCCGAGATACTAATCAAACGCCCATAAGAAATACAGCTTTCCTGGAAATTAAAAGAAAAAGAACTCAATTGGGAAATGACAATTCAGTGTGTGAGTTTTTGGAATTTGTCCGCAGCACAAATAAATAAATACCGTATTATTCGTGCTGTCAATGATGAGCAAATGCCTAATTTTACCATACACCAATAAAGACGGGTCTCAGCGCGAATCGCATTGATCTTTTTTTTGGTGATTTTGCGGTCTTGTTAAAAATACTGTGTTTCAATCACCATTGCTTATTTCACTCTTGATGAACCCAACTTCAGCGTTTATTTTCTAAAAGTCCGCATGCACTGGGACGTCATTTTGCAGACAATTTCAAAATTCAATTTTTACCGCAAACAGCAAAAAAATGTGAAAAAATAACAATAACAGGCGACTCGGAAAAGTCGTGAAGAGTTTGCGCCAAAATGTATGCAGTTTCTTATAATTCCGCTATTCATGCAATAAAAATTTTACACATTTTTCCAGTGCAGCGATGCAAAAAAATATTGCAAAGGGTACTGTAATTAAATGATGAAGAAATCTGCAAAATCCATGAGACGATTTGTTGCTGAGCGTCTTTTTTCCCAAGTTACGGTATTATGATCTTCATTTTATTGATTTAAAATTTCTCGTTGTCTTATTTTATGAATTTGTGTAATATTTCTTATTTTAAAAAAAAGTCATCAGAAAGTTTGCTTAAACTCATCAATAATTTTCCGAAGTCACCTCGACGCAATTTTGCGGACAAATGTAAAAATTGTGAAAGCTTACCACATATAAATAAGTGACATTATAGTCAAATTCGATAAGAACATGCGCGGGAGCCATGTGATCATAAACCATATAGTTAGCTTCATCCTTCGAAGAGACTTGTCCGCCATTTTCAATAATCTGCTTCGCCAAACTCTGACGTTTCGCCTCATTCAGCGAATTGTGCAAATGGAATTTCAGTTGGCTGCAAAAAAAAATATTAGCAATTTCTTAACAACTTTAATTTTCTAAAGGTTTTCTCTCGCAAATCAGCTAATAAATTTTTTGATTTTAAGCAAAATTTTCCTAATTTTAAAATCCGAAACTGGAAAATTTAGTTCAGTAGGTATCTTTTCTTTTAGAAAACTCTAAAAATTACCAAAATATTCCTTTCATTTGCAAATAAACCGATGTTGACGTCTTCGATCCAACCGACGGGTTCGACTTTTCCGAAACTGGCGGCTAAAACGAATATAAACTTTCATCTGCGGACAATTTCCACCATTAAAAAACCTTGGTCGATGTCGGCTGACTTCCGCAATATTGCGACTCATCGGCGTTCTCGCTCCAAACAAATTCTAAAATCCAAAAATTGTCAAAAAGTATTCACCAAAATTGTCGGTTTCACCTTCATGCGGCACCATTTCGCGCCTCTTAAAGCATTCCAATATCCAGCTAGTCGTCAATATCAATATATCCGGTTGATTTCTCGCCAAATTTCGAATAATCGCTTTTTCGCTTTGAGATATCGCGTTGCCCACAATTATATGCGTTGCCGATTCATGTCGGCTCACTCGGGTCGCTCCAGATCTACAAACATCAATGGGTCTTGGTTGGAATTTCAAGGAGCATAGCGGATTTTGAATTCATGTCAGATTGATTTGAAAATACTTTAAATTCGCGTCTCGCTTAGTATTTAAAGGCGCATGTCATCTTCTGCATCAATCATCGGGGAATCAATTTCTAGTTTTTCGCAAACATTTAAAAGAGCATCGCTTGATGAGAATTTAAAGGCGCACCTGTCGAGCAACTTCCTCCATTTGTTCATCCTCTCCTCGTTGTCAATTCCGCAAAGCCAAATAAGGCAGGGTTCGAGGATGTCCAAATCCTCGTTATTTCCCCGAAGAACATCATCGATCGGCTCGTCCCTCGTCTGATTGCAAATCGTGCGATTCGACATAATTCTCGTCCTTTAAAACACACAATAATCGCGAGAATAAATTAAGAGATTAAAAAAGAAAAAAAAATTAAAAAGAGAGTTTTTTTTGGCTGAAATTCCTTACAATGGCATCGGCGCACTTCTTGTTGGGGTCTCCACGTTACTCGCCGATGGTTCCACAAGTGTCGTATTCGACACCACCGACGAATTGGGTCGCTGGAATATCTGATTCATCCGATTCATGTTCGTGATCGAAGACGGCGTCAGCATAGCAGAGGTGTCTTGGGAGACATTCAGACGACCGCCGGTGCCTTAAAAAATCTGAATTTTTTTCCTTCTAAAAATCCAATTTTCTGATTTTTTAAAAATAATATTTCACAACAAATGTCTTAAAATTTTCTCGTATTCAGTAATCTTCTATAAAGGCGCATACCAAAAATTATCGATTCAACGATTTTCACATTTTCGGCTCTTACCGGGAATATACGAAACATCAATTGAATTCTCTTTCATACTCAAATTTTTATTTGGCGTCGAGCATCTCAATCTATCCGATGATAATAAGCTAGGATGGTATTTTCTGAAAAAAAAAAGATTTTTCTCTTTAAGAATTCTTCCCTCAAATTGTTACCCTTCATCCACCAAATAGCCCAATTCAATGCATTTTCGAACCCAACGCGTCTGCACAATTCTCACACTTTTCCATTCGGTCGCCTTCGTATATTTCTTTCCATTGGTGACATCCGTGACGAGATGGGTGCAAGAATTACGGACCATATTCGCCAGAGCCTCACCGCCGTGGTCTTTGATCAATTGCATCAAATAATCGCGATCGGATCCCGTAATTTGAGAAATTGTCATCTTCTGAAAACCCGCTAGCGTGTCCGCACATTGGTTTCCATTTTTGTTTCGTCAACTCACCAATCCATGAAAAACCGGCAATCGATAGGATTTCACGATGTCGACGTCCATCGCGCTGATTTTGCCCGTCGTCGTTTGCGTCTTCTCCCAAAGATCATCGATCCATTCCCTTCTCATCACTTTAACACCGCGCTGGAATGCAATCTGAAAACAAAATTTTAGATTTCAGGGCGAAAAATAGGTTATTTTGCTACCAAAATTTAAGATTTTTCGATAAATTTCGATATTCTTTCATTTTTTTTTCAAATACTCATTTTTTAAATCTAAAAAGTGGACAAGCAATTATTGGATCTTTTTTTCTGAAAAAATTCCATATTTTCAAATTATCAAATTATCGATTTTGCGTTAAAAATCAAGAAAATGGTCCACCTTATATTTTTGCGATCCGGAATCCGCTTTCTTCGCAATCAAATGCGTGAGCTGCGTGTGAAATGTGCTGCTCACCGAGCCGTTCATCCACACAATTTTTCTCGACAATTCCTCTTTTTCCGCTGGCGAAAACCCCGTAAAACACACGGAAGCGCCCTCGAATACACTTGAATACACTGGATGGTCCGAATTCGGAAGCGCCTTCTCGTCATTCACACATTCGGCGACAATCGGAGCACCGAAGAGCCTGAAATGAAATTCGACCAATTTCTCAGTCGTTCGAAAATCATGGCGAAACCAATTAAAATTTCAGTTTGGTCTCGAGTGGAATTTAATGACGCATCGCTTTTATCGATTTTCAAATAGGAGAAAAGAAGCGAAAAGCTTACCGGAATCCTTCGGCGCTCAGTCTCTCAAAAACGGGCCCTCTGAACATGGGAATCACAAAGAAATCGTCCTTCTGCTCATAATTGAACACCTCTTCGGCGCTTATCCATTCCGGAAGGAATTTTATGCGATATAATATCTTTAGAAAAAAGAAATGAGCAAATTTCAAGTGTTTCCTTGCGCAAACCCGATAGAGCTCCTCAAACTCATCCCATTCGCTCTGCGTCGGCTGCTCCTCATCCTCACGGCTGATCCGAACGAAGAACATTGTGAAATTCGAATCAAGGCTCTCATCATCGTCTTCAGCGAAACTCTCCGATGGTATCCGGGAAGTCAGCTGCAAAAAAAGGTTTTATCATTGGAATAGCCAATTTACATTTCTGAATCGAAATTGATTCAAATTTTTCAAATTGAAATTCATCTGCGGACAAATTCCCTCCATTCTTGCAGACTCCAGAATGTCATTCAATTTCCCGCCTCGGGTCTCGAACGGAAATCTCTTGCGGAAATCTCAAACAATCTCAAAACGGAAATCTCTTACAATTGATTTTTGCATTATTTGATAATCATAATGCGAAAAAAACACCACAGATCTTGCTTTTCATTGGTGGCGGCAATTCAAAAAAAGAAAAGAAACCACCAGATTCGTTGTGGTTTTATATGAAATGCGGCGCCAAATTTGGGAGCCCCGCGAAATTCAAAATTCTCAAATCCGTCCGGCAACAATGTCCGCAGCAGTATCTCACCTCACTCCGTTTACATTTCTTCGGCGCCGGCGGAAATTCAGTCATCGATCGTCTGGAAATTCGCTTAGGTTTTCCGCTATTTTTCACACATAACGAGATAATATGGACGAGAACCATCAATTTTTTGTTTAAATCGAATAATTATCATGATTTATTAGCAATTTCGACACGTGAGCCATTAAACCAATATGCTATCGGATTGTGATTCTCATCAAACTCGAAATTCGGGTACATCTCGTCGGTGAGCTTGTCCGCCATCAGCGCCATTCGACAAATCGGGTGCGGATGATAAACGCGTCCAGATTCCGCCATAAAAAGGTGTTGAGGCTGAAAAAAAATCAAAAATGACAACTCGGTACATTTTTTTCAGCAACCTGAAACTCTTGATAGATTTCGGATTGACCGATTCTGAGCCGTCGCGATTGTGACAGCGCTGTGAATACGACCGGCGTGTCGTCGCATCGCAAATAATTGCGCTCGATTCCGCAATTGCTCACATACGGAAATTCCGACTGCAAACGTGATTTTTTTTCGCATTTCAATTCCAAATTTGCCGAAAATTCACCTCGTATCGACCGGTCCGATTGGTTTTGAGCATTTTGTAAAAGAAATTGAGAAATTGAACATCTGGAGAAAGAAAAAATTGAAATCAACCAAATCAAAAACCGGTTTTGGCGCCATTCAATTTTGAAATTCAACGACCACAATTTTTGAACCAAAAATATTTCCATTTTTTTTAAATTTAAGCAGTTTTAGTTCAAAACTCCAAGAATTTTCATAAAAAAAATGATTTTATTCAAAAAATTCAAATTTGGCGCGCTTTTTTGACATGCTCTTTCCATTGCTGATAAGAAAATTCAAACAATATCAAATCGCAAATGAGAAAATTGGAATTTTTGAGAACAACAAATTCATTTGGCCAGCTTACGCGCCTTTAAAAATGGTCTCACAGCGATTTGCGAATTCCTTGAACACAATTCCACGCGAAATTTAATCAAAATAGAAATGGCGCGACATTCGTTTCAAGCCCATCACAAATTTAAAGGCGCACACATAACGAACCTTTATAAGCGGCCGTGAAATTCTTCATTCTCGAATCATCCAAAAACAAGAATCCCTGATGGCTCACATAATAGAAATATTCTCTGAAATGCTCATTCTTCTCAAATTCGAAAATGCTCCAACATGCCGAATTCTGCCAACATATTGCCCCTGTGTGTACAATTTCATGAATTCTTCAATTCGATCCACACAAATTTAATGTTTCGAAATTCTCGCAAAACACACCGATAGATCGTAATAGTGTCGAAAACACACAACGCGCAAAAAGAAAACGAATCAAGTCAATTTCGAAGAATAATAAAAAGAAAAACTCTACATTTTTAAATTTACTCGATCGAAATGTAACATAAACTCTAGAAACGAACATATTCCATACTAAACAATACAAAAACGAAATGAATGAACTCTAGAAGAGACGGAATTCCGATTTCTTTCCCTGCTCTTTGTCGAAATCGGCATCTTGCGCCACCTTCTTGTAGTATTGCCAATCCTTCGACAGCGGCTTGTCGCCTTCGAGCGGCGATTTCGACAAAAAGAACTCGTAGTTCGGCTCGTAGTTCTTCTTGTCCTGATAGAACATGCCCTTCTTCCAGAACGAATAGTCGAATTCGCCGTTCGCGAGCTTCTCCTTGTGCTCGGCGAGCTTCTTCGCGCGCTCTTCCATGATCTCCGGATGGCGTCGCTCCCAAATCAATCGATGCTTCTGCTTCATATAAGCATCGCGAACATCCGTCTCGCCGCCGAGTTCGCCATATTTAATGAAGAAGTTGAGCTCATTCTCTTCCATATCCTCAATCATCTAAAGAAAAATCAAATTTTGTGTGAAAAGATGATCAAAAAAATGAGGGACCTTAACGCATGGAGAATGGTCCGGATTATTGTACAACATGCATCTATCGACACGCTGGCGAAGAATCTAAAAATTCGGTGTTCAAAAAAATGAAAAAGAAATCCAAGACACCTGAAGAATGAATCCATCAACCATTTTGTCGAGTCGATATTGCTCATTCGCTTCATAGAAGCACGCCTTGTCATTCACACCGCATTCATCGATCTCCGGAACACGATTGAGTTGACGATGGTAATAGGGTAGGCGGTTTTTGTTATTCAATGGCTCGACAATTTTCTCTGCAAAAACACTCATCACGTCCGCAGCAAGAAAATTCATTATTGTTGGTGTTACTGTCAAGGTTTCTACGACAGTAGGTTCGTAATAAATCGTAAAGGTTTTAACAGACATCAAAAAGAATGAGGGAGAGAAATTCCAGAAAAAATAGCCGCAAGATATTGAATACCCTAGTGTTACTAAGAAAATTATTTGCTAATATCAATTTTATACACAAAATCTAAAAACCAGTTCAATATCACGGCGATATTTGGTAGTAAAAGAGAAGCGTAGCGCATTTTCTCATAATATTTCTTCAACGTGGTCTTTTGATTAATAAATTCTTGCATTATTACAATTTTTATATAGAGAAAGAGCATTCCTTTTTTAACAAATTACCTCTAAACCATGTCGCCGGCTTATCAAATGCCTTATGAGCCAAATAGCGAGCTCTTGGGTAGAATGAGCCGCGGGATTCGATATCGCGAACCTTCCAGTAGGCGTCCCACGCAGCTTTATCCTCAGCTTGTCGTTGAGCAACCAAGCCTTCACCCATCTAAATGAGAGATAAATTTAAACTGAGAGTTTTGAAAAATAAAACGCAACTATAAGTATAAATACGCGAAACAAACGCAAAACTGAAGAAAAAAAACAATAAATTAATAAATTTCTTTTTTTTTAATTGAAAATAACAACAATAACAACAAAATTAAACAAAAATAGGTGCATTATTCTTCCATTTTCGCCACCGATGATTTACTATATAGATCCTTGACGAGTTCAATCAATTCATCGCCAGTAACATGCTCTGCTTGAATGATAATATTGTAAATCCGAATAATCTGCAACAAGAGATTTGAAACCGGTTAAAAAATCGAAATTTTACCTCATCATTCGTGTCAGCGTTGATCCAAATCCGACCGTTTAGGCCAACGGTGATCTCAAACTTGAAGAATTTTCCCATCGTCTTCAGAATTTGACAAGATGGATGGAGAATTCGGCGAGCATAATTAAGAGAAACCTGAAAATTGAGCTAAATGGCTCTTAGAAGCCAACGATTTTACCTTGAACATGAACCCGTTATTCAATTGGCCCATTCCTCGCGCCTTCTTCTCATCGTCGACACAAGTAAGCTCGGCTTCCGTCCTAGGAGTTGTATCGAAAACTTGCGCATAAATAATATCGCCAGTTTTCAAATTCGGTCGATTCCTTTTCGTGGCTCCTTCAAAATTGGTGAAATTTATCTGAAAATATTCTAGAATCTTCCTCGATTTTCGTATCAACTAAATTGCTTACCACTGCTAATTCGGCGGTTCCAATGTCGAGGCGAAAAAAATCGCCGATTTTTGAGACGACAATCCCAATCACACGATCGCCTTCGTTCGGAATATAACGCTTGCTGTGCACATTCAGCCAAATTTTATTGTCAGCTGTTCGCAGAGCTCCAGGCTGATTTGCCACCAGCTTCTCGTCGTTCACATTAATACCGTAACCGACTATGGAGACATTGCTTGATGAAGGCTGCTCGATTTTATCACCGGGCAGATAAACTGTCATCTGAAATAAAGAAATTGGAATTTAAAGGCCTCGTGAATTAGATTAAATTAAGACGATTTTAGAGATTATTATGAAAAAATTCATCATAGATAGATTATTTTAAGAAAAGTGCATTAAGTGGTGAGAATATACTCATCTTTTAAGTATTATGACCTATTTTTTGAACAATTTCAAAAATTAAAACAGAAAATGCAAAAAATTGGACGAAGCAGGCAAAAAAAACTTCAAGCCTCATATTCGGAGAAATTTGGAATTTACTGCACACAAATTTAATAAAAAACCAAAAGTTTATTTATTTTTACAAAATTTAGAATGTTTTGAATCCTATAAACCGTTAAAAATCAGAAAAAAAAACACGAAAAGTTTGCTGAAAATAAAAATGCAGACTGCATAAATCTAGTGCATAGTGAGGACGACGTGTTTGCAGGGTTGACGCGTCCATATTGCATACCGTACCCCGAGATAACACTATCTCTCCCAGTCCTCGTCAGAAATATCGATTCTCAAGGAATGTTGTAATACAAAACCTGACATTTTCACAAATAAACATTAAGCAAAGCTTTATTATGGCATATTCGATGCATAAAAAAGAAGAAAAATGAAAGTAAAATAGGAAATCAACCCTGCGGCAGTGAGATTATTAAGAATTTTGCACGGCAAAAATGAATTTATTTGAATAATTTCCTAAAGCGGCGAAGTTTGCGCATTTTGAATCTCCTTCTTCTCTTTGATCCTTTTCCCCAAGCGCCTGAAAAAAAATGAAATTTTCTGAGAGAAAAATTGAAAAAAAAATGTTGGTACCAATGACAAAACTCTCGAATTCACAATGATTCTCGCCTCGTAGAATTCGGAAATAGCCGTCTTCTCCCCACGAATTTCCCCAAGAATTTGCGCATAGCCAATATTTGATTGGTCGGCCTGTCGAATGATCAACACCCCATCTGAAACAATTCATTTTTTTAATCAAAAAAATGTGATTTCAACTATTAAAATTTGTCGAAAATCCAATATTTTGCTCATAAAAAATTCGTTTTTGATTCGAAAATCAACCAAAAATAGACATTTGTTTTGGCTTGTAATAAAAATTGCATTTTTTTTTAAATAAAATGACAATTTGCAACAAAAACGCATGAGATATCACCAAGTGTAAAAATGAAAAAAGTTCTGCAATGGGAAAATTATGCTGAAACTTAAAGTACTCATATTTAGAAAGCTATTTTATGTCAGGCATTACTTAAAAATTTCTAAAAACATTAAAAAAATAAAATTTTCATTTTATTTTTGCAAAAAAAGTTTTCCAAATTTGACATTTATCAGTGATAATTTTCCAAAACATTAATTTTCCCACAATTTTTGGCAAAACTGGTTTGCAATTGCCAAAAATTGAAATTTTGAACTGAATTATTTCGGTAACACTGTTTAAAAAAAATAAAAATCACTATTTAAGTATTTTACAGAAAATTATCATTTTTTAGCAATAAAAATTGGAAAAAATAGAAAATTGTTCAAATCTTTGAAAAAAATCAAATCTAGGATAATTTTTGAACGAAATAGTTAGAAAATACTCAATATTAATTCTACTTGGTTAAAAATGGTTCAAAATCTGACAATTAACAAAAAAATCAAAATTTACCCCAAAACTCGAACTGAATGATATCCTTCAGCCGTCGACGAAGCGCCTTTTTTCGCCGCCAAATCCGTATGTTGATAAACGCCTCCCGAATACATAAAAAAGTCCTCATGCACCAAAAATGTGGCTTGAACCGGCCCATTCGTCATCAATTCCGTCATGATGTCCTCCTCGCGACTCGACACCTTATAAGGAGGCGTCATTTTATAAGCGGTGCTGTCGGCAATTCCGCTGGGGCAACGACGATTTCTGCAAGTAAATTTCAGACATTTTCAGAACAAATCGGCTGAGGCGTTTTTTTTTGTTGGAATTACGAGTAATCGCGTTTCGGAATCAGACAATGTCCAGGCTCGCGGCTGCTTCCCGACACGTATGGATAGCATTTCTCATCGACAACTCTGGAAAAACATTTGAATTGGCGAAAAAATCAAAATAATGCCATTATCTGACCCAAGTTTTCTGATATACCACCAAGCGCGATCGAGATATCCTCCTTCGCATCCTTTCTGCCTATGCTGATTGCATGACAACAATTGTTGGGAGGCGAGCGTCGCATTAATTCGTCCCTCGCTGATAATTGCCAATCTGAACGAGCAAATTCGAGAATCGATTTTCAAAATTCGCGACCTGTCCGATGAGATACCGGTCGTCGACACCGCCCAACTGCTTCCGCAATCGCCCTGATCGGTGATCGGATGAATCAGTGGTCCCCATTTGTCGCGCGCGTCGAACTCATCCGGCAACTCGCGACCTTTTATCAGAATTTCGTTCATGTTTTGAACGCTTCGCTCGGGAAACAGCGTTCCCAGACGATATTTGATGCCGTCGCTGAGGCTTCGACCCCAGAACATTGAATAATTGCGGGCGGACCATCTAAAAATTTTTGAATTTCCTCTTTTTTTTTTAGCTATTCTCCTACGAATATCGGCCGGTTTTGATGGATTCGAGAATGTCGGATTGAATGAGACACGTTGTTCCGTCACATTTCCAGTATCCGCCTTGACATGTGCTGAAAAATGGGAAAAATTGTAGAAATCTATTTTTGTAAAATATAGTATGTAAAATTGCGTCAGGATGACTACACAATTTGAACTACAGTAATTTATCGAAAAATATTTCCCCCTTTCTAGTTTTTTTTCCAATATTCTTTTTTAAAATTGGATCTTTTTATTTGAACAAAAATACGAATTTCGGTATTGAATCGCTATACCGTTCAAAAATAAAATCTGTTGACGTTAAAAAAAAATAAATCTGCTAACGTTTTAAAAAAATAAATCTGCGGACTTTTTAATATAATTTTGGCGACAATATTTGACAATAGTCAAAATTTTTTCTTTCAAAATATCGATAAACTGCATGAATCTTCATTGTTCTCAAATCGTACTGTGAAAATTCGCTTCTCACACTTTCTCTTTTGTCTCCTTTTTAATTTTCCAGCCGACCGCGCCCTTTTTTCGCCTCACAGTTCTTTTTTCGCCCTCGTCGTCTGCACCCTCTCTCTCATTGACACTCTCTTGCAACATCACTGCGTCTCGCCGTTTCGCACACTAAATTGTGAACAAATGGTGTCCCGCTTCAATGTCCGTACATGCGATTGCACAATATCTCTCATTTTCGCTGGGTTCTTCGGTTTTAACCCAGTTACTCAAGGTAATTTGAGTTTCGACCTTTCTTTGAAAGCGTTGAAAAACCGTAATTTTTGGGCAAGCTTCTTCGGGGTATCCGTTGAAGCAATAAAAACCAACCATTTTTCACAGTTCTTTTCCTTCCGGTCACCTTCATACGAACATCGCTCGCCGGTAATGTCGAACTCGTCGCGTCGTCTTTTTCCAAGACAAGTAGCTTCGAAATCCGGACAGCAATCATTACCACCATCAGGTCCCCGATCGCAGAACATGTCGCAATAGCACAAGTGATCGCCAAGGATCGGCGCAGTGCAGTCATCATCGCGATTATCGCAACAAGTCGGCGTTCTCACCGAGCAATATTCGCCTGAAATGAAATCATCATTGCAATTGTCGGTCGGTCAAAAATAAAAACCGATGGATGATGTGTGTAAACCGTATGAATTTGATACATTCGATTAGTATTTGATGACTGATAACACGCATCGTCTGAGAAATTGGGGACACAAGTTGCGCGCGACAAGTCTCAATTCTCTCATCAAGAAGTAAGTGTTGTGCAGTTTGAGGAGTCAAAATCAAGGCTGCCGATCGGATTCCCACATGCACTCGGCGAGAATTCCCAAACAGCATAATGGTGTGTGAATTGAATTGGCAAACATTTTTGCGCACCGCCCGTCCCGCCAAAATGTAATCAATCAACGCCGATTGATAGTGAGATTCGCCAATTTTCATCGACTTCTTCTTCTTGTTCTTCTTTGTTTTTGGGCGCGTGCCAAATTCGATCAAACCCCCCCCCCTCTCTCTCTCTCTCATGGGAATCGGTGACAGCAAATTTTTTTTTTGGGTTTGAGATTAGATAAAGAGGGTCACATTATAAGCGAAATTGGCATATTTTATCTGATTTGTGGCGAATTCAAAGTTGAAAAAAAGTAAAGCTGCGGACGTCGTTGCGGGTTTCTATCGCTGGCGCGCCTTTAAAGGGGCATGGATGAAAACAATTGTCGTTTCGGGACCCACACGATCTATGTTTGGGGTCTCGCCTCGATTCTTCAACACTATACTATTTTTTCGCATAAAACCGGAACTCGCCAAAAAAATTCTCGGAATTCCTTAACAATTCCGCTTCAATAATCAATTTCGAGAAGAAGAAAAAATTGACGACGACGACGACGCACAATACAGTTATTGTTGGGCTCAAATTAATTGCGTGTTGTTTTTGATTTCCCCAAATCAAAAAAAAAATCAATCACGGGTCTCACCTGGAATTCCATGAAACCCTCGAGCCGACGTCTCAACGACGCTCAAAATGAGCAATAGCAAATGGGGAAACCCGACGAATTTCGACGACATCGGGTCTCGCGACGAATTTGGACGGCGAAATGCGAAGACCGACGCGACTGATTGCGATGTGACACATTCGACCCGGCCGGCCATGGCCGCCAGCAAGCTCCGCCCACTTTCTCTTCTGCGCCTGTTCTCCTATCTCATTATAATCATAATCATCGACACCATCGTCATCATCGTCAACTTCATATATCAACTTTCAATTTCCGGACGTCGGAAATTGAGAGGAACAATGGTTGCTACGAAAAATTTGTTGCGAGGAGTTATGGAAATCGACTTGCACACAAAGCCGATCGGTTTATCAATTTCCATCTGCGGACAATTCGAAAGAAAAAAGACTCCAACACAATTGATCAAAAATTCTCATCTGCCGACAATTTACAACAAAATCTTATTGTCTCCAATATGTTATCAGTTTCCATCTGCGGACAATTCTTTATGCTTTTGCTACTGTTTTCAGAACCTACATGTCCGACCATAAAAATATTCGATTGAAAATACGCTCAATTCATATCGATTCCAATCTGCGGACATTTCCGCATTCCAAAAACCCGCCAAATTTAAATTTACGACAGCCATTTGGTGGCGGGACCAATCGCAACATTATTTCATTATTAATTTCCGGCCGAAAAGGTCCATAAATTCAAGCCAATGAAAACCTTTGAGAAGAGTAATCAATCTGCGGACAATTTTGCGGTTTTTTGATAAGAAAAAAAAAGCCGAATTTCTCGTTCTTTTCAATTAGCCATTATTCGTGCGACTAGAATTCGATGAAACCAAAAAAAAGCCCCACGAGAACGAAGAGAAACGACTTTATCGAAATTTGTAGTTCATTTTAGAATCGCGCGGCGCGCGGCCACACGAATGCGATTTCGCATAATGATATTGGTGCCGTCGAACAGATAAATTCAACAACGGTTTTTGATGTGTTCCGAATATCGCCGCGGGCGGTCGAAATCGAAACCGCAACCACCACCTCAAATATTGAGAGGGGCCGGCAAAATCATGGCCTAGAATTTTCGCGGCCACGTTTCCAATTTCACAATTGGGGAGAAATTTTCCGTCAAAAACCAAAAATTGGGTTACCTTAGAAGAAACTCATCGAGATATTTAAAGTGTTCGGCAAAAATTCAATTTCAGTACTAAAATTAGGTCTCGGGCGTAGGTCTGACATTTTCAAAGGCGCATGTCCTCAAAATCAATCTACATATATTTCTCGGATAATTTAGGTTTCAAAAATTTGATAAATATTGGGGGCACACACTTCCATTAATAAGAAGTTGACCTTTTTTTTTAATTTCATAACCAGGACAAAAATTTTGCCAGAAAGAATTGTTTCAATTCTCGTTTAAAGGCGCATGAACCCATATCAGACGCTGTGTTGAAATTCCGCGCGAAAATCAACGTTCATCAAAGCCCAATTAGTCGCCACCAAATTGGTTGCACTTTTTTGTCGTTTTCGCGCCGAAAATTGAATAAGCCATCGGCGGTCGGATGGACCCCAAACTGATTAGTGTGGTCCCGGCGACAATCAAATTCGCATCAATTTCTTTTTTTTTGTTTATTTCTTCGCGCTTTCGTCGTCACATTCCAATTTTCGCGGCGATGCCTTGAAGACCGCTGGATTGAGCCCGAATCGATTTGAATCTGTCGGCTCAAAGTTGAAAAATCAAATTTCGGAAAACGTCGGAACCCACTTTTTGCAGATGTTGTCGAATGTCATTCGTTGCTCGACGGGCTCAAAACACGATTTCATAATTTCGCCGAATTCGGCCGGCATTTCTGGCGGCGGTTCGAGTCGAAGACCGTCGCGGACCACTTTGAGACGGACCTCACGAAGAACCTCAACAGGGAACATGAAAAACAAAAATCTCTTATTTTTTGGGGGGGGGGGTGCTAAATATTTGCCAAACCTCAAAATATCAACATTTTCAGCAAATTTTTTGCAATTTTCAAAGAAAAAATTCGCAGAAAACTGGAATCAATAGATTTTTTTTCTCAAAATTCGACTAGAAAATGGGGGCTTGCAAAACAAGACAAAAAATCTTTTTTTTTTGAATTTTACAAAAAAATCCAACTGAAATTTCATACATTTTGCTTAAAATTGTCCTAAAACCATTTTTTCGTGAATCTCCCAAAATTGTTTGCAGAAATTGCAATTTTCAATATTGCAGGCCAAAAGAAAATCACCCATTACGGACAATACATTCAATTTGACGACAATTCGACAAATTCTTCGATCAAAATTCAATGTCCAACCTTAATATTCGCATATGGAACCGAGTCGGTGGTGAATATCTCGAACATCACGACGCCATAGCTCCAAACGTCGGATTTCGATGAATAGACGCCATATTCGAGAGTTTCCGGCGCCAGCCATCTGCAAATTTTTTTTTTTCGTGACACCATCGCATACGTCCGAATCAGGGCTGTGCGGCAATTTTGGCAAATTGCCGAAAATTGAAAAACGATAATTAGAATAATAATAAATAAATATAGGGGGCGACTGCTGTACGCGGGTCGATTTACGCGCATGCGCCTTGAAAAGGTCTCGCAAGGACAAACAGGTTATTTCAAATTTTATGGGCCGATTCGATAATTTTTTAATCGAATAATGTTAGAAATTCAAGGAAATGCGAGCAAAAAATAAATTCTTCACGTAAAAATAGCAAAATAAGCATTCATGCGTGGCGAGACCATTTTTCAAGGCGCATGCGCGTAAATCTACCCGCGTACAGCAGTCGCCACGGACGCCGACTATACAATTATTCAAGGTATAGACAAAAATATTGCCCGAAAAGAATTGTTTGATTTCTCGTTTAAAGGCGCACACAGAAATTCCGCGCGAAGTGATATTGAAGGGGGGGGGGTGGGGAATTATTCCGGGGACTCATCTTTTAAATTTTTGACCCAAAAATGGATTTTTTTCGGAAAAGAGCCAATTTGTCAGATTTTCAACGAATCTGCAATGGATTTTTGCTAGAAAATTCAATTTTTTTTGCAAAAAAGTAGAAAGGCAAGACCGAATTTTCGCGGTATCCCAAATAATTCAATGAACATTGATTTTTGTTTCGTCGATTTTTTTCCGACATCAAATTGCCGAAAATGAAAATATCGGCAATTCCATTGCCGAACAGCCGCTCGTCCGAATGGCTCGCTCACCGAACCGGCACCTTCACCATTTTGCTCTCCTTGTGCTGTTTGCCCAACAGCGACAGGCCGAAATCGCTGATTTTGCAGTTGTCGGCCTTGTCGAGAAGGCAGTTGCGGGCGGCGAGATCGCGATGGATCACTTGCTTGCTCTCCAAATAGCGCATCCCTTTCGCAATTTGAACGCAATACTTTTTTCGGTTTTCCACACACACCGGCTCGTCGCCATTTTGGAGTTTGCTGCGCAAACTGCCGCCTGCAACATTTCTTTTTTTTTTTTTTGACATTTTCCAGCTCGATTATTAAAGGAGCTTTGCAATACTCTTTCTCAGGGTTCTTGAAACAAAACCATTTCTCATATATTTATAAACCGCAACATCTTTGTGAGATGCGTTTCGCGAATAGCATGCGCCTTTGATGTCTACAGTAGTTAATAGGTTTGTTGTTAACAGGGAATTGATTTTTTTTTGGCTTATTTTTTAAATTCTGAATCCAATGAGCTACTTGGTAAAAGGAAAAAAATGAATCGAAATTGCGGAATTCCGCCAAACTCGCATCGAGACCCATCATACACGTCTTTAAATGCCGTTTCTTCGCGTCTAGCAGCTTTATTTTTCGGATTTTTTCTAGATTGTTAATTTTTTGACGAAAAACGCAAAGAAGCGAATGGTTTAAGACACATTCCCTTTATTCATGCGACGGGTCTCGATGCGAACACGCTTATTTTCCATTCTTTTTTTCTAGTTTTTTTTCTGCCGAATTTGTGAGTTTTGCTGAAAAACTGTAAGAGCAAACAAGAAATTGTAACAGACTTATAGTCGGCATCCGGGGCGACTGCTGTACGCGGGTCGATTTACGCGCATGCGCCTTGAAAAGGTCTCGCCACGCGTGAATGCTTATTTTGCTGTTTTCATGTGAACTGCTTCATTTTTCTTGATGAATTTCACATTTCTTTGAATCTCCAACGTCATTCGATTAAAAAATTATCGAATCGGCCCATAAAATTTGAAATAACCTGTTAGTCCTCGCGAGACCATTTCGAAAGACCCATGCCCGTAAATCTACCCGCGTACAGCAGTCGCCCCGGACGCCGTCTATATTCATTAATTAATCGAATATTTTTACAAAAAAATGTTAATAAAATTACATAAATGTGCATTTCTTTTAAATTTATTCATTGGAAAAATGCGTATTTTGCAATAACATTTAATATTACAAGAATAGGTCGATTTAAAAAATTGGGAAATGTCTTAGAGTGTCAACAAAACACGCCGTAGACTGAGAAGAAACTCTGGTAACTCAAAACCAATCGGATCCGACAAAATTCGGCTCCAAGAATCAACCCTATTCGACTTGTAATTCTATGGATAAGATTGAAGAACTGTCGGATCGGATAGGTTTTTTTAGGGTTTTTTTCTGATTCAATTGGTAATTTGTTAGATCCGATTCGAATTGGAAAATTAAAACAAAACCGATTCGATTAATATCCAACCGAATCTGAAAATACCCAAAACAACCAATCTGATCCGTAGAATTTCCAATCGGATCGGGTTGATTCCGCAGCCAAATTTTTGGTTTTGAGTTACCAGAGAACACTACATATAATCGACTAACTAAGCCCGAGACCTAATTTAAAGGACCATCACAATTTCTGATGGAAAACAAGGTACCTGGACAGAGCTCCATGACAATCATAATCGGCTCGTTTTGAGTAGCGACACCATACAATCGAACCACATACTTATGGTGAAGCTTAAGCATCAAATTGGCTTCGCGGAGGAACGTAATTCTGAAAATTTTCAATATTGTTTAAAAAAAATGATTTTACAAATATGGGCAAAATTAAAATTCGAGTATTTTCTATAACAAAATAGGCAAAAAATGTTTTTGAAAATTTTTCTCAAATTTTCGCAAATCTTTGGCTCCAATCTCCTCGCCCCAAAACAAAAATGCGATGGTCCACAATTGTTCAAGGTGTGCAATTATAATTGTTTCTGGTCAAAATGTTCACTCACTTCTCATCCGCATTCACTTTACTGCCCTTCATCGTCTTCACCGCCACTTCGACATCTTTGGTGAACACACCAAGCGAGAGGGTGCCTTGGAAAACTTCGCCAAATTCGCCATTGCCCAATTTTCGGCCAAGATTTACCTGGAAAAAAATTGTTGAAAATTGCGTTGCAATATAGAAACAACAACAACAACAAAAGCAAAACCTGTTCATGATAAAGCTGCCAAACTTCGCGTATAATCCAATTTCCCAATTTGATGCCCGAATTGTAGATCGGCACGCGATTCTGTTGATGGTAGCGAACCAAATCGGAAATTGTCTTTGATGGAAAAGGGTTGATTTTTTGAAAAGCCCACAAAAAAACAGTTACATCAAAACAAATATCCTTGAGATAATAATAGTTGTTCTTGGTTTTCATTATCGCCAAATGATAATGATCTTCTTCCCATTTCACCGAAACAACGACAGCCTCAAAACGAATTTAATTATTGTGGAAAAATGAGGAATGTGAAAAACTGCAGCGATATTCGGTGCATTGTGTGCGTACACCGAGACGCACATCTACAGTAATCTCAACTGAAAATTATTTCATCAATTTTTTAAAAATTGTTTTCTATGTTTTCTTGACGAATTTAGAATTTTATCTATATTGTTATGTTGAAAATTTGTAATAGTAATCATTTTTTGTATATTTTCAAAGTTAATTGTTTTATATAAAAAGAAACGATCAATAATTAATTAAATAATTGTCAGTTCAGATTACTGTAGATGTGCGACTCGGTGTACGCACACAATGCATGGGATATCGCTGCAGTTTTTCACATTCCTCATTTTTCCACAATATTATGCACTTTGGACAATTGTGGACCATTGCAATTTTTCGCGGCGGTAATTCAAATTTCGGTTTTCAAATGGAAATTTTGGGGAATCAAATTCGCCGGAAATATGACAAGCTCTCACTTTTCTAGAGTTTCAACCTTTTTTTTGGAATTTCAAAAGAAAAATTCTTGAAAAAAACAAAATAGTTGTCGGCAACCGACAATAAAGGATAGCGACATTGTTCTGGAAACTTCTCGACTTAAAGGAGCACAAGACTGGCGGGCCGATATTCTGCAACGATGGGGAACGATGAATTATCTAGCAAAAATCCATTGCAGATTCGTTAAAAATCTGACAAATTGGCTCTTTTCCGAAAAAAAATCCATTTTTGGGTCAAAAATTTAAAAGATGAGTCCCCGGAATAATTCCCCCCTTCAAGATCGCATTTAAAGGCGCATACATACTTCTCCGAGCTTCTTGAGCTCCGTCTTCCTCAAAAGGAACTCTCCATGATTCCTTATCAACTTCTCGGCCTCATCTCTCGACATGTAGCCGTGATAAAACGGCTCATCCTCTAGAACCGCCCCACTCGATCCCTTCCAACACGCGACCTTCTTCAATCGAATCCGTTTCATCCGATTCCTCGACGACTTCATCCGATCGCGAACCGAAGGCTTCTCAGGTCGTCCGGACGATTCCGCCGACGAGCTTGTCCCGAATTTCGGTTTTTTCTCCTAGTGAAAAATTCCCGACAAATTGTTTTCTCGTCTTTCATTGCTTACTATGGTCTCATCCTCCGGTTTCAGCAGCAAATCCGGACCTTCGTCCTAAACAATTCGACGTTTTTCACATTTTCCCGCCAAAACCCACCACATCCAATTTTTCCGATCCTCCAGTACTCTCATATTTCTTGCCGCGACGTCTTGATTGGCTTCGCAATGTGCTCTAGACAAGGTAATTAAGTCAACAATTAATCAATTAGTCAAACCATTGTTATTCCAAGGAAAAACCAATAAATAAATAAATAAAATATAAATAAATTGCAAATTTCCAAATCAAGCGATACGTCAATTTTTAAAGGTCAATGAAAAGAGATTTTATGCTAAATTTGATTTTTATTTTATTTTAAAATTTTAGCATGAAAGTGAAAAAAAGGAAATTGAAAATAAAAGCGAACGATTATTTAAAAAAAAACTGGGACTTGCGTGTGCTCTTTGCGTCACGGTGTTTACACACATTGTCTGTTACAGTAATTTTTGCGAAAAATTTCGCTAACATATTTATTTAGAAAAAAAAATTTATTGATTAAAACAGAATCTTATCCTAGTCCACATGGGTACGTGTAAATGACAGGAAGATGAACGACAACCGACTGCGGCGGCGGCGAGGGCGGAGCCTCAACATACACAATTCTGCTAGGAATGGTGCACACAAATGGAATAGGAGCATAGCAGCTGAAAAACAAATTACTAAAAAATAAATAAAGCTTTATCCTACTCTAAATACTCGAATCCGTCCCTAACATACGAATAGAACACACAATTTCTTTGGTTTTGAAATTCTCCAACCGTTTTCCACAGAATCTGTATATTCCACGAGACATTGTCGTACCAAGTCGCGATGGTCTCGTCGCGACAAGCGCCGACCCAAAACAAGTGCTGGTGCGACACTTGAACAACGATGTTCGTGATATACGTCATTTCGACGTAGTCGATTCCGCCGGCAAGACCGCCGCCGAGACTCTGGCAGAATGCGCGCGCATCGTGCCAATTCATTCTGCCAATATACTGGAAATATGAGGAATATATTGAGAAACATTATTGTTTGGAAGCAATTCATTTTTCCACAAAATTCAAATCGGAATGTTTAGGTTTTGCAATGCAGACTGCATTGGGAGTATTCTCTTTATTTCGTGCTGCATTGCCCGATAAAAATTTTCAAATCAAAAAAAATTTTTTTTCGACTTTTTCGTTTCGAGAATTTTTGGAAAAATATGCACCTAGCAACAAAATTTTGATACATAAGTTTAGAAGACTCGAAAATTTTTAAAATTTACACAAAAACTCACTCCATGGCAAACCATCTGTCCATTGGGTCGAACATACAGATAAAATCCTTGAGGGCATCCACCCTGAACAATCTCGACCCTCGGCACTTCCGATTCCTTCGTTCTCATCAGTTTATCCAAAATTTTTTTCAATCGTCTCACAATATCATTCCAGTCGGGAGGAGGAGGGCGCTCGTCCAAAATTGGTGTCATTGGCGGCGGATTTTCGACAACCATTGGTGGCGAAGGTGGTGGAGGTGGGGGAGATGAAGACGTTGTCCTCGTCGGCAGTGTTGGTGGTTGTGGTGCACTTGGGGTGGTCGTCGTTGTGGTGTTGATCAAGTGCTCGAACGGTCGATACGAAACATCGGGAAACGCGTAGACGGCTTGGACAAGTCTCGCTTCACAATACAACACTCCGCGTTCAGATCTCGGCACAGCAACCAGTGCCGTGGTCACATTCAAATACCTTCAAAATATTCTTTTAAAAACCAGAATTTGGAAATTTTAAACGTTTTTCCGATTTTTCTAAAATAACAGTGTTGTTTATATCAAACATTTGAAATTTCTTCTTTTTTTGGTAACAAACCCTTTTGAAAAAATAACTTTCCTAAAGAACAACTGCAAATTTAGCTTATACTTTCAATAAAAGTTATGGAATTTTCTCAAAAAAAAAAATGCAAAAATTTGACACTAAACGCTCACCTGTTGATCAAAGCATAATTAGGATGCGTCAACGATTCGTCATGAAACACCATATTCGGATTATAAGGTGTTTCTCTGCATCGAACCTTCGATTCCTGAAAATAAAAAAAAAAACAAATTTTAAAGGAAAATTGCGAAAAAAGAAATCCACAGACATTTCGATCAAACTTTGGAAGGCAGAGTTTGTCGCCGGGCGTCTTTCGATAGGCTGTATGAATATACGAAATTTTCATATAATCCACAGGAATCTTCGATAAATCCTCATTATTGATCCATTCGTAATTTCCGCGAATCAGTTTCGCGTTGCCAAATGCCGACAAAATTTTCTGAAAATCGTACACTCATTTCTCATTTTCGCTGCAAGACTTCTCACTGAACAAATTTTGTACTCATAATTTATCTGATCGCCTTCTGTATATCGCCTTCTAGAAAAAAAACAATGGAAGGAAATTGATATTGAAGTTAAACCTTATATGGGAAGCAGTTCGGACGACAAATCGTTCGTCGGCATAGTGGAACGGGTACACCTCATGGAACAATTTTCGAATATACTTCGCATCTTAAAATCGTCATTTAATTTAAAAAATAAGAAATTTCAAATTGATTTTACAATTTTATTCAGTTTTGAAACAAATCAAAAAATTATTTAATATTTATAATTTTCGAAAAACCATTTTCGAAATGTCAAAAAAAATTTTTCAATTTATAAATTTCTCAAAATAGATTTCGTCGACTATGAAAATTGGCTAAATGTCAAAAAAGCAATGGTCTTGAGGCAACACTAGTAGTGTAGATTTATGGAACAAAAAATGTTTTAACCGATAATTTCTCAACTCCCAAAAAATGTCAGTTCTTTTTTGAAACAAATCCCTTTGAATGTTTAAAATTGTTTTTTTTTTCAAATTCCTCAAAATCTACTCATTCTCACTTACATCCTGGCGTCGTCGCCGGCACATATTCGCACATAACGTCAGCTTTATAATCCGCACGCACACCCAACAATCCTTTCTCGACAAGAGTGGTCCCAATGTTGTTATACACCTCGACAGTCCAATTCTCATCTTCGAAACTTCTTGGAAACGATCTGCCGACACTATTCCGCACAAAATAACTTCTGACGAATTCGAATCCGAATAATGAGTTGAAGCGATAGATGAATTCAAGACGATCAAGGTTTATAATATCTCCTCCGAGATTTTTGCAAGTCTTCTCGGCAGTCGTAAAATTTTGAGGCACTCGAACGTACTGAAAGCAGCGATCGAGTATCTGATACCAGCCGCCTTCACAAATCTTCGTAACATCTGTGAAAAAAAGAGTTATTTTATTTTTCTAAAACCTCTGTAATTTTTACTAACAAACTGTGCAAGATATTTGTATCTCATTAAGCCGTTTTGCCGATATTACTTGATGAAGTAACCGATCCTTGCATATAGTTTTTGCCTGCTTCTGAAAATTTTAATTTTTTTGAAAAAGACAATTAATTGAAGAATTACGTCATTTTTGACACTGACTTCCATAATCCAATCATAGCATATATCGTGATCTTGCTGCTAAAAAATATTATTCATAAAATAAAGACAAAAGTATTCGGAAATTTGGGAAAATATGGTAACAATTGAAACTTTTAAAAAGAATAATGCAAATTACTGTAATTTAAAGGCACATGAATTAAATCAACACTGGTCTTGAACGGAACCGTACACTTATCTTACAATCTTGTAAAAAATTTAAATTGAAAAAAAAACCGTACATTTGCATGGTCTCTTGGTTTGAATACTCCTTTATGCTGATGGCATGTGTCGGCAAAAGACTGATCATACTTAGCTTGTTCCAAACTTCTTCCTATGAGAGCCGTTAGAAGAAATAACAACAAACCTGAAATTTGACATTCTGGAATTCAATGAGAACTACTGACCATTTTGAGCGGTCATTGGGACCGCAAAACGTATGAAATCAATTCATTGTACACAACAATTCAGTATTTGTTTCACGCGAGAATTTATATTTCCTTTTTCAAAAATTTTTCATGAGCCACAAAAGGAAAACAAAAAAATGATGATCAATGGGACCATGGAAAAATTATTGGACCATTTGGTTCTGTTAGTCGTGGCGCCAATTTGAAAGTGACAAACGGTTTTCTTATGGATCTATTCAGTGAATGTAAATTAAACAAAAACGACAAATTTTCATTATGCAGCGATGTCGTTTTTGTCGCAATAAGCGCTTAATTTTACTGAGGGGTACTGTAGATCGCGGGTCGATATTTCAAAAAAATTGGCACATGCTCCTTGAATATCGATTTTTTTAAAATATTTTTTATATTAAAATTTTCGTATTTTCACTCGTTTTTCGCGGATTTTTTTAAATAATTTAAACTTTTTTTTGAGTAACACTTTTAAATAATAATTTCATATCGTTTTCGTTTTTTTCTATTCCAAAACTGAATCGATTTTATTCGAATATTGTTTTAATTTAAAGAAATTGAATATTTCAGATCGTTCCATGGCTAATTTGGATAGGTTACGAAATAAGAAAAAGGCTATAGTAAGAAATACAATTTAAACAAAAAACAAATAAATGAATTTATAGATTGCACTGCTTATGAAAAAACGAATTATTTTGGTTTGGATATTAAAACAAAATGCATTGAATGCATCTGAAACAATTGAAGTGATCAAGAAACAGAGCTTCGATCTTTTTTTGAAAAAGTCAACCGATTAGTAGATTGTGGTGGTATTGAGGTAAGGAAACAAGTAAAACAAGTGAATTTCTGCATAAGTAATGTAGAATAAATTAAGTTCGTGACCGGCGTTTCTAACAGCACGTTCATGGAACTTCTGAAGATATGCCGAAATCACGAAGGTCGAATCAATGCGACAATTCGATTGGCAGTTTTCTTAAAATACACAAGAGAAGGTTATTTTTTAGTTGTTTGTTAGTTTTTTACAAGCATTAAAATTATAAAATTTATAGGTATTAGCCAAAATCTTCTTGCGAAGGAAATTGGAGTTTCGCAATCAACGATTTCTCGACTAGTTAGAGATACAATCGAGGATATCGTCCAAGTTGCCGGAGAACAAATCCGATTGCCACAAAATCGAAGAGAATTAATTCGTCTGGAAGAAGGATTTATGAACTCTTCTGATCGAACTCCTCGTCGAAGAATTCCATGTTTTGCCATATTGGATGGAAAGCATTGGAAGATCGAGCATCCTGCGCATACAGGATCGTTAAATTATAATTATAAGTCGTTTTATTCATTTAATTCTCTTTTTTGTTGTGATGCAAACTTGCGTGTTATATATTTGCAAATCTCTGAGCTTGGAGTAAATTCGGACTTTCAAATGTTCAGAGATGGGCCTTTGGGAGCACTCCTCGAAAATGTAGCCACAATAGGTGGATATCGCCCGCTTCCGAATTCATCCATTATAATGCCTCCATTTATAATTGCTGATAACGGATTTGGACTATCTAAGTTTCTTATGCAACCCTATAGGCAGCTTTCCTTGACTCCAGAAAACATGCGTTTTAACGAGATTATGTCGGCAACTAGGGTGAAAATTGAAAATTTTTTTGGTGTGATGCAGTCGAAATTCCAGATTTTCAAAAAAGCCCTTAATATGGACCCGTCTTCTTCGCGCGCCCTCATTGTAGCACTTTCAGTTGTACATAACATATCACTAGGTGCTCCTCCCGATCTTCCACCTGACCACAACTTTCCCTTACTTCAAGACCCATACAGCGATGCCGAAGATCAAAGAACGGCATTAAAAAATTATCTTCTTTATCATGTTTAATGTTTATCTTTTTAAATTTAATTGTTAATATAATAAAAAAAAAATACTTAAAAATAATTTTCGTCCAACAAACTGAGAGAAGTCGTCTGCTCATTTCTTTTGCCCGTCGGTTGGAGATCCATGATGAAAGCGATCGCTTTCGCTTCGGCTTGAATTTGATCCAATTCAGGCCAATCCGCAACGTGGCTGGCCATGACCCTGCACAATCGGTCAAATTTACATTTGGGGGTTTCCTTGGCTTCCTCATCATTCGATCTAAGCAGCTGCTTGATTTCGCTGTTCGTCTCGCGCAACATACTCATCAGCTCATCGCTGTCTAAAACATACCCATAAAACTCCATTTTTTATTGCTAGAAACCTGATTTTCTTCGTTTAGCAGTCTTCGGACTATCCGAGGGTCCCCGCGATTCAAGCAACTCAATACTTTTATCACCGCATATGAAGGCACTGTAGTAAAAAAAAATTAACAAAAAACAGGTAAACTTACTTTTTAACTTGTCTTTTGTGTCTGACTCCATCCAAAAACTGTAAATATTCCGCAAACGGAAATGATGATTCCAATGTTCCAGTTCCAGATCGAGCATTTTGGATTCGCAACACATGTCTATTGAAATCGCGCGTTATCGAATCCCACAATTTCCAAGCCGTCATACCTAAAACTTCAATTTTACCGATAGTGGTTTTGAAAATACCATTTGGTCTTCCGGCGCGGAGAAATTTCTTGCACATGCTTTCGATATTCTGAAAGACCTTAAGCTTCAATTCTCTCCTGTGGTATTCTTTAATAGATGAGTCCCAAATACTTGGGTACTGCTCAACGGTCTTGATGAAGTCCACAATAAAGTGTTGTGGAAACTAAAAAAATTTAATTAATTTATAAAATCCAACAATTCATTTTTAAATACTCACCGCTTCATATCCGTCATCTACAAGTGGCTTTCTCCTTCTCGTGCGCTTAGCTTCTTCACGCTGTTCAGCAATTGGCAAATTTCTTGGCCCATGTGCCTCCACCACGTCTTCGACCAAAGAGTCGTTTCCTTCATACTCAGCGAATGACATGCTTCAAAAAGGAAATATATGCACAAATTAGTAGTTTTTATGAATATCACCAAGTGTTACTCAAAAAAAAGTTTAAATTATTTAAAAAAATCCGCGAAAAACGAGTGAAAATACGAAAATTTTAATATAAAAAATATTTTAAAAAAATCGATATTCAAGGAGCATGTGCCAATTTTTTTGAAATATCGACCCGCGATCTACAGTACCCCTCAGTAAAATTAAGCGCTTATTGCGACAAAAACGACATCGCTGCATAATGAAAATTTGTCGTTTTTGTTTAATTTACATTCACTGAATAGATCCATTAAATCAATAGATTGTCGGAGTCAAAAGACTTGACAAAAAAAAATGATTGGCTATATGCCAATGTGTCTCGAGACTGCGTACATTGCATTATACCGTACGCGCATTTTATATTCAATCGACGATAAACTTAAATCTACACCAATTTCGCCAATTTGAAGATCCCGCCTCCCTTCAGTCGTTTGACGCCATCAATATGATGTCTATAGCTTACGAAATTCAAATAGAATTCCATCTGCGGACAAAATCCAGATTAATTTTAAAAACACAAAAATAATGGAATGTTATTCAAAATTTCATCGTTAATTGTTTTCCATTTGAATTCTCATCATAATCGCACGTGACCTATGAAAGTGTCCCCAGCCAAATTTCATTATTTATAATTTATTTTCTACATTTTTATCTCAACAATTTTGCTTCTTATTGTCATCGAAAGTGTAAGTTTTGCTTTGCCTTATTTGGGTTTCCATCAGTCTTCTCATTTTTTTTTTGGCTGAGTCCCGCAACGATGGTCCCGAACCGCTGTGAGCGTGTCTCGAGAACATTCGTTGAGTCGGATTTGAGAGAGCCCGCACGGGGCGAGCCGCGCTTCTCGTGCCACGAGGCGCGGTCTCAACGCCCCCGCTTCGGTGACCCAAAGGGGGTCCGACCCAGGAGGGAAAATGCCTGGGGAAGTCTAGGCGCTCATGGTGGAGTGGCGTCGGGATTCGACTCGTTGTTGGGACCATTCAAATTTTAGCAAAAATTTTGAGGGATTCCTGTATATATTTTCTTAATTGATAGTGAAAATTATTTGTAATTTTCATGGCAACAGAAATACTGAAAAAAAGTGGACTGAATTTGGACTGCGAGAAGAATTATTGGACACTGAAACAATGGTATTTGTTTATTTTCGTTCAGATTTGTCCAATTTCAGATTTTGAAACTTCTGTAACAACCATGACAATTTTTAGTGGCTTGATATGGATTCTTGAGAAAAGTTTCATCTGCGAAAATTTTAAAGCTCAAATTCGTGGAATTTGAATGTTCCTGCTGGCCTAGAAAATTACCAAAAAAAAACTCGGCCGCGGCCACGTTTTTCGAAGTCGACAGTACTACAGTTTTTGATTGAATTGCTGCAAGACTCGTGAAATTTTATCGTATGCGCCTTTAATAACAATAGAAAAACTCTGGAAACTCAAAACCAATCGGATCGTGTTGATTCCGGAGCCAAATTTTTGGTTTTGAGTTACCAGTGAAATAGCAGCCGAAATCGTAACACTTGGATTTAATTGTTTTTGCAAAAACCTGAAAACTCAAAATCAATCGGATCTGAACAATGTTTTTCAACGAATATTAAAACGGACAACTAATAGGATCCGGAAATATTTTTCGAGGATCTGTTTGATTCCAGAGCCGAATTTTGTCGGACTGGTTTTAAGTTAGCAGATGTTTCAATTCGAGAAACATCAATGGCGGATATGTGTAAGAAATTTAATTTTGGGTAAGTGGAAATTCGAAGTTGAATATTGTTTATTATGAATATACTTGAAAATAATAAAAATATGCATTTGTCATTAATAAATTGTAAAAAAAAAATCAATTACTCTCAAATTGCCGGCGGTTTTTCTACTCAGGCAAATCAAATAAAATATTTTGAGAATCAAATATTCAGTGATAAACTCTAAAATATTTTGAGAAATTCTAAAGTCTATTGATACTTTCTAAAACTTATTGAGAATCAATAAATTTTAAAAATTTGGAATTTGTAAATTAAATCTTTTGAGAAAGTTAAATCTTTTGAGAAAGTGTAAAGTATCTCAATATATTGTGAGACTTTAAAATTTGAATAGGGCCCTTATGACTTCCACTGACGCAATTTGCGGCGTCTCTTTTTAAGATCTCCTAAATTCCAATAAATAATTTATGTTTTTGATGTTCCGTTTTTTTTAGCTTTTGGTAATAGTTTCTTCACTTCAGTGATGGACGTATTCATGAAATGCAAGTTTTTATAATAAATGTTTAACACTACCTTAAATCTGCATTGTTTTACATGCTGAATTTTAAACAGTTGTGTCTAAACATGTCATTGCATGAACAGGTTCATGAATTTTAAAAACACGCACAATTATTACAATTAATTACAATTATACTTCAGTTTCTAATGATTTCGATATTTTAGAAGATCGGGAAAAGTGTGGAACAAACATTCCAGAAACATTGGCCGATAGATTTAAGGAACGAGGTAAATACAGCAAATTCAATGAGCAGGTGCCCATGTGGATCACGGCCATGGATATTTTCCACCTTTTTCACGAGGGAACACGTATAATAAAAGGTACTTCAATTATGTCTCTCCTTTTTCAGCATTTAAAAATTGAAGATTGTCTTTTAGAAGTCTTCGTTAAAAACGAAATAAATATTTTTCGATGCGAAGCTATTGATGTGAAAGCGAGACTGCCATCTTCGGTAAAGTCGCTATCAGGAAAATTCAATGACATTAATAGGTCCGAAAAAGCTAGTGTAAGTTAATTTACCACTTGCAATTATCATCCTTTGAAGATTTTTGAAGTGAAAATTGTTTCTAACGCCATGATCGGAACCATCCCTCCGTTAGGTTCAGCTGTTGTGTTGCTTATACATGCCTGCTACCGATGGATGGCGTCACCGACTCGCTTAGTTACAAATACAACATTACCAAACAAAGTAATATGGGATCGTTAGCTATGTACATAATAGAAAATTTTTATTTCAGATCGCAGGTATTTGCAAATTATTAGAAATTCTAATTTTTGATGGGGCGCCTCGATTGTTTTCTGGTTCAAAAGTGCACGTAAGTCGTTTTTTTTTTTGCAATTTTAAGAGTTATTGAACGTTGTAGCATCATGCTATTGTCGTTGATATAAGAAATAATACTAATGATTACTGTATTTATTGTTTCAGCAACTTATATACCATTTGTACAGTAATGTCAGGCGGTGTGGTCAGCTGTCGGCAATAAGCACGCAAGCGCATGAGCACATTTATCACGTTATCAAGAGAAACATGTGCTCGGAACAGACAAACGGGATTGGATATAGTATTTTGAGAAAGTTAGACTCATTCAGTTATTTTTTAAAACTGGCAATTTTCAGCTATAAACTATATCACGAGATTGTGACTTCATTGAAAATGCGTTTCAACGCGAATCCGGATTTAATTAAGAAGTCATTTTATCGCAAAGAACTCATGAAATTAATCGAAAAACGACAAATTCAATCATCAAAATTTGTAAGTTCAACATTTTCTTTCAATATATGCAACGAATTCCTTATAGCAACGTTGTGCGTCATTCGCAGAAAAAGGAGAAAATGCGAAAAGAATAAATTGATTCATTTATTTTTTTCTGATTTTTATTATTAATATATTCATTTCGCATTAATATTGTAATAAATGAAATGTTCATACATATTCAATTATTATGGATGTTATTACATTCTATTTGTGTGAAAATTGCTCGATAACGTATGATATTACATAATATTGGACAGAGTTTATTGAGAACAATCTAAAATTTATTGATATATTCTAAAGTTTATTGAGACAAATCTAAAACTTATTGATAAACTTTAAAGTTTATTGAGACAAATCTAAAACTTATTGATAAACTTTAAAGTTTATTGAGACAAATCTAAAACTTATTGATAAACTTTAAAGTCTCACAATATTCATTGAAACTTATTGATAAATTCTAAAATCTTATGAGATTTCCTAAAGTTTATTGAGACAAATCTAAAATATTATAGAGACACGTTAGCCTCTCAACGAACCTCATAAGATTTTAGAATTGTCTCAAAATATTTTTTTTCATTTGCCTGAGTACGCGAACAATGTAGATCAATCGATTATTTTGATTTATTTGAATTTTCCGCGATTGAATTGAGTTGTTCGTGGAAATTTCTTGATATTCGGTTGGTGAAAAAAACGAATCGAAAATTGAACAAGAAAAGGCGAATCAGTGGTTTTATTCAGACACCATCTATTCAGACACCTTCTATCTCACTTTCTTTCTTACGTGTACAAGATCTTCATCGAGAGGACATCCGCATCATGTCTAAAGTTCGGGACCCCCTACATCACATCACGAAGAGGAAGATGACCTGGGCTGGACACGTTGCTAGAAGAACAGATGGAAGATGGACTACTCTTCTAACGGAGTGGCGGCCGTGGAATTGGACCCGGCCAAGAGGAAGGCCTCCCATGAGATGGTCGGACTCGCTTCGGAAGGAGATCACTACAAGAACAGCTGAAGGAGTCTCTATCACTCAGTGGTCCACCCAAGCCAAGGACCGAAAAGCTTGGAAAGCTGTGGTCCGCGCCTCAACAGGCGAAGGACGAACCGACTAAGTGACTAAATATATAAGTAAGTGATTCGGACATCTTCTACCTACATACTGCCTACATATATGGATACCGTGTCTGTACCGCGCGTTTACCAAAATGGCATTTTTTTTTAAACACTCGATCAGATTTATGTTTTTTCATAGAATTATGTTCTTTCAAGCGTTTTACATTTTTTAATTGGTCTGGTCGAATTAGTGTTGGATTACGGTACCTACCGTACACCGATAAATCTTCGAACTTTTTCGGAATGAGCCGATCAGGTCCAAGCTTGGTGGGGATGATGTCTTGAATGAAAAATGTTACTGTAGAGATATCTAAACAGCTACAGACGGATTACGGTAGTTACTCAGCAAATTTTTCGTGAATTCGCCCCCGTACTGGAAAAGAATATGTAAAATCTTCTAGGAAACCATTGGTAAGAAAATTGGCAGAAAAAATAAGGGAGGAAAAAAATTCAAAAAAAAAAGGATAGGCGGGCCGCAAAAAATTCACCTCGCCTTTTTAAAAAAAAAAACTGAGTTTGACTCACATCACATTTGACGCGCATTTGCAGATTTCGAAATGTTGGTTCTATAATGCAGAGTTGGGCCGAATGCCGCATTAGGCGTTTTCAAATAATTCATTCCGCTCAACTCTGATAGGGAAGGAAAGTCGGTTTTTGGTGTCAAGATTCACATAGGGACCACGCAAATTGAGATTTGAAAATTAAACTCCAAAAATCTCCTTTTAAAATTGTTGAAAAAAAGGTTGCCAATTTTTTTGGAAAAAAGTAACGATTTTGCGAAAAACGCGAAATCATATTTGAATTTCGCGGGTTTCATTACAATTTGACGAAAAATGATAACAATTTTAAAGTGTATTTTCGTGAAAGAAATCTCGTTCTGCTATTTTCCACTCGAGACCTAAATCGACCAAAAATGTCAGATTACAATCGATGATTTCACACGAATTCCGCGGACTTAAAAAAATTTTTTTAAGTAAAAAATTGATTCTGACGAGAACACCATACGAGACCCACGGCGAAGAATAGGCTCAAGAAAAAAATTGTTATAAAAAAACGTCAATTTGTTTGCATTTCCTATCGCTCGTCGATATTTTTGTTTTTTTCTCTTGTTTTCGTAATTAAAAAATAAAAAAAAATTTTGAATTTTCGGCGCGTTTCATTAAAAAATGGAATCGAAATTTTTCGAAAATGAAATTTTTATTGATACTAATTTCCAAAAATCTGCATTTTCAATAACAATTTTCTCAAAAAAAAAAACTACCAAAACTAGTCAAAAAATGGAGTAGGCTAAGATTAAATCGTACCGCTCAGATTACGATTGTCATGACATCTCGATATTTCGATAAAATTCGGCAAATTTCAAAAATCTTCAGAAAAAAAATGTAATTTTTTCCCCCATTTGGCAACTCGAAATTCCAATAAATATCTGTATATTTCTCGAATTTTACAATAAAAACGTGAAAAAGGCTAATAAAAAATGGTTAAATATGAAAAGTGTATCAACTAGGAACAACAAAAACGTAACAACAACAAACGGTGAAATTCAAGTCCGCCCAGACGCCCATTTATCAGCAATCTGCATCCAGCTCTTCTGCGCAGCTTCTAATTCCTGCAAAAATTTCAATTTCTCGTAAAAATTTAGCGAATTTCGTACCAATAATTCATTCGGACGCTTCACATCTTTCACACTCTTCTCCTTCTTCTCTTCAATTTCATCCAACTGTTTTCGATGCTCATTGAGTTGAGACCAACTCATCGAGCCAACCAAATTGTGTTTCACGTTTCCCATATAATACAAGGCATTCGAGCCACTCCTTATTGGATTCTTGAAAAAAAATCTTGATTGAATAAAAAATTTTCGAGTTTTTAAGATTTTGAAACGTTTCTAAAGATCTCAATTATTAATTTTTTTCTAAACAAAATTTTGGGCACTCCCGTAGATTTTTATGAAGCATTAAAACTTAAACTAGATGATCTTGATTCAGATTGGACAGTTTTTGAAAATTTTTTTCAAATTCAGTGAAACTCACATTAAACATGCCAAATTGATCGGTATTCTGCTCGAAGGTTTCAGTTTCAAGGAGAACAGTTCCTTGCTGCCGTCCGGAAGTTGTCCGGGAAGTTATATTGATTGTATGACCGCCAATCTGAAAGAAAAATCCGATGAAAAGGATTTTCAAAGGATTCGGTACGAACAAAAAACGAAAACTTCTCAAAATTGGGCAACAACGGAAAACTGGCTAAATGCCCAAAAAAACAATGGTAGTGGTCTTTGCGCAAAACTAAAAGTGTAGATTTACAGACCTATAGAGATAGTTTTGAGCATCGAGACCTATTTAAATATTTTTCATTTAATCAATTTTTGTGAAAAACCAATAATTTTTCCCTTCTTTCTGCTGTTTTTTTAAAATTTTTTTATATTCTCTACATTAATCCTTAAGAGAGACACATTTTGATTAAAATATTATTGCCAAAACGTTAAAAAAGAAAGTTTTTCTCATTCGTTATCGATCGAAATAAAATTCAAAATTTTCATATGGGATCTCAACTGGAAAACAAATCAAAACCTTGAGAAGAACATTGCCCTTTTTGGTGACTTGAAGTTTTCCAATTTTCTGTCCAGGCTGCAGAATCTGATCTGAGCACGAGGCGAGGTCTCTGTTCGGTTCATCATCAACTTCCATTGCATTCTGCCCATTATTCTCTTCAATCTTCTGATTTTTCATAAAATGACACAAAGAGCCAATAACGGAAGGCAGTTGAAGATGGATAAGATTGTCAGCCGATCCTAAATTTCAATTGTTTCGCATTTTCAGGGAAGATAAATAGACCTTCAAGAATGGAAATCATTTCTGAAGCTGTTGGCTTCTTTTTTCGTATTCCGCCTTTCAAATCACTAAAAATGGAAATTTCGTAAATTCAGAAAACAAAATTTAGAATTACGGATTCACATCTTTCAATTCTTCATCAGAATCATCATAATTCGGAGTATTGGAGTCAATAACACTCCTAAATTGGGGTTTATCCTCTTGCGGAAGAACAAATGGCATAAATTTTCCCTTTTTGTAACTTGAAAGAATCTAAAAATCAGCAAAATTATTTACATTTTCTCAAAATGTCAATTACCCCTTTTGGTCGTAAGGAATTCAATTGTTGATCATCGAGATCTTCATCACTTTCCCAAATCTCCTCCCATCCTTTAAACGACGTCTTGCCGTCTGTCAATTTCTTTGAAATTTCTTCCCTTTCTTCTTTGCTTAGGTTCGATTTCGATAAATCGTTTTTCGGTTGCGCTATTCCGCTTTTTTTATAAGAAAATTCTGAAAAATGAAAATCCTTTGCTAGTTTTTCATCAATTTCGAATAATTACGTTGTGTATCGGCATCTCTTTCTTTTCGCCTCGATGGAAAATCGCCTCCAAGACCTTCGGAGAAAACTCCGCCAGTTTGAATTAATTCTTGCTGAACATTTTGAAATTTTTTCTTAAAAATGAATCCAATAATAATACTCTTTTTGCAGGGCCTCTAGAATCTTGAGCTCCGCCACGTCCTCGTCCCCTACCTCGACCTCTCCTAAATTAATTGCTATATTGGATAATAATAACAATTTTTTTCAAATTACACAGTTCCTCCACGTTTCGCTGAACTATTTGGCTTGGGGGCAGACGCTTCTCGTTTACCAGCTAATGCGAGATTTGGACGATTTGGTAATTTTGATGACATCTGCTGAAAAAAAAATGAATGAAAACGAACAAAAACACCATAAAATAGGAAAATTAAAAAAAAAAAGTTAAAATTGCTTGTCCGTGTGGAGTACAGATGTGCTTTCTTGCAATGGAGCGCGTTTGCTGCTGAGTTTTGTTTGAATTGCCTCCGTCGCAAACGGACTGCCGCAAAGCGGTTGTACGCTCCGCTTCTATCAAAGCCTATTTTCCTCGATTTTCTTCATTTTAAGCAAAATTTTGAAGATTTTTTTGATTATTTAGCTTCTTTAATTTGTTTTCGATAGTTTTTAGTATGAAATTATAGAAAAGTTGAAAATTTTTTTGGTATAATCGATTTTTATTGCCTAATTTTTCTTGTCTTATTTTTCGTTTTGTTGTTCGTTTTAGAGCGAATAAGTATCACTAATTGACTGTTCGCAGCTTCGTTTAAAAATATAATAGTTTATTTTTTATTGTATTTAATTATAATTTCAGGATGTTGGCCCGTCAAGCTATTCGCCCAATTGTCCAAGCCGTCCGCAAGCACGGCCACAGCAGCCATTCTCCAGTTACATACACTGGACAAGGACCACAGAGCTTCGTTAACGACGGATGGGCTTCTGCTGTAAGTTTCGAAACTCAATTTTTTTAATTGTGGGGACAATTAGTGGGCGTTGCTTATGAATCAAACTTTCATTAGCTTATATTTTGATACGGAAAATTGGCTAAATGTCAAAAAAATTTAAAGAGATCTCGATGCGCAGTGTGTGCCTATGACAATCAATCATTGTAATCTACAAAAAATATGTTTTCGCGCTGAAAAATAAGAAAATTTTTCGATCTTTGTAATTGTGACAAATTCGTCTGTCTTATATTTACCATTTTCAAGAAATATAACAATATTAGTTTTTTTTTTACATTTCTTTTAAAATTTGGATTCATTTTGACAATAAAAAATTTTCAGCGTCTTCCATTCAACGTCAATAACAAGTGGGCGTTTGCCACCAAGGCTATCGTGTTCCTTTCCGTCGGCTTCTGGGCTCCATTCATCGTCGTCGAATACCAATTGAGAAAGGCCAACCAGTAATTGTGTTTTGCTGCGATTTCATTACGAATCCTTATTGTATAGCTTTTCGAGGCGTATTTTTCTGGTGTAAACTCGATAAATGCCGAGATGAATGTTTTAGAGTCGTGTAATTTATTGTTTTCGCAAAATCAAAATGAATTTCAATTCTCTCGCTGGGAAAAAGTTGTTTCAGGTTTTCCTGTTTCAACATTTAAGCGGTAATAATTATAATGAGATAACGTTTTAATTATGTCTCTCTTCTTCTAAAGGACGCTGATTAAAAAAATGACTTAAATCAAGTTGAATTCGAAGATCAAACAGCGATGGAATTTGATGAAGACGTTTTTTTCTAAAGAACATCGAAAGTAAATTTTCGTATATGTGAAAATTGACTATTGATTGAATCCATGGTAGTATGAATCTCCCTTCTTATTGTTAAGTAGAAGAGATCTTCTTGATAGGACCCTTTTAATTGTCTTGCACACTGTTTAAATGTTTTTATCAGACGTTTCGATAATATATCGATCTTCTGGGAATGTTAAATTCGCTGATCAGGGATATACGTCGATTCAGCGAATTTCTTCTATTCTTCGCAATACGCCTTCTCAAGTTGTGATTTTCCGAGGAGAAACAGGATTCCAATTCCGGAATCCATCGTATTTGTATTGAGAAGTAAGATCAGTGTTCGATACTTCTCAACACGAATGCGATGAATCCAAGAATCGAGGAGCTTCAGAAGCACACAGTTTTTTGAATAGCAGATAGACGACGACAAAGAAGACGTGAAAGGTCTCGTTTTATATGGAACGAGTAGTTGTAATCGAATTATCGATTTCAATGATTGAATTAAATTTAAAAATTTGCGCGCATAGGAAAAAATCGATCGCTTTTTTTGCCGAAAATAGAAATCGCGCAATCCGAGATCGCCGGTGTGTGTCTTTCAACAGAATATTCAGGAATAGTCATTAGGATATAAAATTTTAATCCTTTTTTATAAGAATAATTGTTTTCTTCGATAATTCGCTTTGAAAATATTTTTGGTGCGTTGATCGAGATCAATTTAAAGGCGCATGCCATGTAAATCTACTCCACTCGGATCCTAGACTACTCTCAGAGAAGAAGAGATACAACTGTAGGAGAGTTTGAATTCTTGGCGAGATAATAGCAAATTTTTGCATGCACCTTTGATGTGTTGTTGTTTGATACGCAGCCTAATCGTAAATTATTGCCGAGACCCTATTTTTCGATCACCCTTCCCCCGGTAAGTCATCTCTTTTTCGAGAAAAGTCAAAAATTTTTATTCGCAGTGATGTTCACAGTTTTTCTTCGCGAATGACGAATACCAATCCTTTTGCCATTCCACGACACCTTGAGATAATTCGATTTGAGAATTGTCACAGTTATTTTGATAGTTTGCTGCGGACAATTCGGAATTCCGAATTGTCCGCAGATGAAAAAAATAATCAAGCTGAAAAATAATCAATTTTGTTAAAATAGATTTCAAAGAGGAGTTATGTGGTTGTTGATCATGACATGCTTGGAGAAGGGGATATCATAATAGAGGACTTCAATAAAAGATTTTCACTAGCTGTCTAACTGCACTGGAGCCATTTTTGAATCTTTTTTCTGGGTGACATATTTGACCGTATTCTGTCATGACAAAAGATTTGATGAGAAGGTTTCCCCAAGAAGTTGTGTTCCAGAGTTCTCGAAACAACATGTTGAAGACCGAAACAATTCCTGCCGGTTTCGTACAACCTTTGGACGTCGCAATTTTTGCGAGCAGCAAATGCAGTCTTCTATTGTGACAACCACTGCTCCAAGCATTTCATGATCAACAACCACATATAACTTATAAAAATTTTTTCAATTTTTGAACACTTTTTTAAAACTATTTTTTTTCCTATACATGACTCCTCAGTATGATGAAAATGGCAAAATTGAATAGAAAAACGCAAAATTGCTGTATCAGCTATAAAAAATACGCAAAAAAAAAGTTTTAAGATAGCGGGACCGAATCCTCAACTCTATACATGACAACACATTCAAAATTCACGTGGGGTGGGGCCTAAAACTTTGAAGGTCCATATCTCGATAACAGGAAGTTTGCGCAGGTAGCGACCCCCCCCCCCTTCATTAGATTGGAAATTTTCTAAACAAAAAATAAAAATTTTTAAGACGGACCACAAAAGGACCCTCCATTGTGAGAGATATTCAATTTTGTGCAGAGATTTTTCGAAAACTGAAATTTTTAGGGTAAATTAAACATCGAAAATTGTTTTTTTTTTTTCTAGAAATTTCCAGATTTTTACACACCAAATCCTGATCTGCGATTGTGTCGATTTCAGATTCTCGAAGCGAAAAGCCCAAAGTCATTGTAACCGGATATATATATATATATAGAAATGTATACAAATGGAACACGAAGTGACCAGGTGAACAAGGAATCGAAAGGGCCAAGGTAATCGGCTGCGTTTCGCCGAGTTTCACGCTTCCTCGCCGTTTGTTTGCTTTCGACTGCTGCTGACAGACTAGCCGGCCGTCGTGCCGTTCAGAGCACCATCTCGTCTGACTCATTGCATACTTATCGATTTTCCTTCCCACCACACTTATCACTTCACATCAATTCATTTTTTTCCCCTCAATTTTTGGGAATGGAATGTTGAGCGTTTGTCTGCTCGTCGTCGCCGTTTTCGAATTCCCGCCAACATTTGCTGATCTGTGGGCCGAGACCGAACGAATTTCCGATCTACAGCAGGTTTTTTATTTTTCAAATAAAAAATTTAAAATTTTTATTCAGTGGAGGGCATTATGCGGATACTATCAGGTCGCCACGGCCTACATGAAAGACAGTAATGCAAGGATTACGGTATGTCCCTTTGAATGGCAATTCCGAATTGTGAATATCTAGGTGTTCGCGCCAGTCGATGATGTTTTCACTTATAATCCCAATATTCGAGCGCTCGATCAGAAGGAGACTTTAAGTCATATTGGTGAGAAATGCTTGAACAAACACACATTTTTTTTTGTTAAGAAGTTTCGCGAAATTTTCGTGTTATTTCGTAGGCTTCTTCGCATGTTTGACAGTTAAAAAGCGCGGGGCGGCGAGAGAGTGTTTAGTGGCGAGAGAGCGCAGACGGCAAGAGCAATTGGGTACACAAAACGGGAGGCGAATCGTATGCATAATATTATTGTGGGCTCCTTTAAACATCATCTAGTCTTTAAAGGAGCATGGAAGAATTATTTCGATAACCTGGGGGCATTTATAAAACCGTTTTGAATGTTAGAAATTTTTAAGATTACAATATTCTGTGCGATTTTTAATCAAAATACTCCATAGGCTATTATCCTTTAATCGGAAAATGGTAATTGATAAGAATTTTTTGAGATCAAATTTAAAGGTGCATCGCCAACTCAAGCTTTTTTTTTCTGTTTCCAGTTGACTCACAAGTTGTTGAATTGACGCAAAATAAGAAATGGGAGAAGCAGACGCTTATTCGGTCGACGATCAACAGCGGATACATGTATGTGACGCAATTCGAGAACAATCCTGGCAATTTTGTACGGCTAACTGAAAAATATTCCAAAAAAAATGATTTTTTGAATTTTTTCAGTCATATTTTGCCAATGCGGGAATGATGTGCAATCACGCATCGAATCAGTGGGGAATCATTTCCGGTGAGCAATATTTGTTCAAGGTGAGACTATTGGTTTGAATTGATTTCACTTGAATAGTGCACATGCGCCTTTAAAAATAGCTGCGGAGCTTTGAAGAAATTGAAATTGTGTGGGAAAGTTTAAATTGAGGGCAAAATTATGATCGTTGTTAAGACGTTTCGTAATTATTTCATTAATTACCTTTTTCGCCAAAATTTCGAGAAAAATAAACGATGGGTTACTGTAGCGCAAAATGCGTGCTAACACCGTGACGCAAATATTACACAAAATTCCATGGATCTCATTTTTTTTTCTCAAAATTGCTTCCATCTTCAGATTTGCACCCCGATTGGTCATCGACCATACCCTGGTACAGCTCTCAGCTTCATTCGAGAGCATGACAATACAGTTTTCGAGGAGCGGCAATATAATAATCGAGATTTATCGTAATAATTTGTAACAAATATTGCAATTCAAAAAAATTATTTTTTTCAGACAAATTCGCGATATTCTTGATCGCGTGCCAGATATTGCTCTTGTGATCTACGGATCATCAGCCTGGAATGGTTTCCACACGTTTTTCATTCCAAACGATCAAGCTTTTGCAAGGGTTTGTTTATTTTTCTTCAAGGATTAAAAATATCTTATTTTCTAGGTAGTTGATCGTAATCGCATAGATCGTGAAGTTCTTCTAGCCCATGTGACCAGTACAAACAGGCGAGAAATCAGAAAAACGAGAAAAAACTAATTTCAAAATTTTTAGAGTTCTTTTCACATGGCCTTGGCTCTATGACGGCGGCCAGCATTATTACCCTTCAGTTCGTTTCTCTGCAAATATCATTGAAGACAATTTCAAGCTGAAATTGGTTATGCGGAATATCACGGATAGAAGAACTGGAAAATACGATTGTAAATTGTGTTTTTGAATTTCCCGCCAAAATTTGAAGTTACAGTATACGCCGTTTCGGAGGTTTATGAGCGATATTCGCAATTCCGACGCGGTGCGGTTTGGGCGAAAATTCTGGTGCCCAATATTCCGGTCCAAAACGGTGTTGTTCACATTATTGATAATGTATTGGGGATTGTGTCAGAAACTATTGACATGGTAAAAACAAATGCGAGAAAAATACAAAAATTCTTAAATTTTTTGTTTCAGTTGGTGTATCGCAACGAGAAGTGCACAACATTGATGAGATATATCAACACGATCGGTGAGCATTTTTTTTTTCGTAAAAAATTGTGCTGAAATTTGAATTGGCGCAAATTAGGAAATGTGGAGTTACTGTAAGGTGAATTCTGTGTAAACACCGTGGCGTAATTATCGCACGCACTTCTAAAAATTTTTGGAACTTGATTTATTAAATTGTTTTGATTTTTAAATAATTAATATATTATTTAATGAACCTCAATATACAAGTTGAACTTCGAAATATTTGCGAGAAATACTCTTGAATAAAATAAAATAACCATTTTTTTTTCTATGCGAGACTCTCATTCCGAACAGAGCTGCACGGAATTCCGTATTCCGTGTTCCGTTTTTAGAAAATTGATGTTCCGTGCAGCTCTGATTCAGAATAGTTTATGATTTTCGTATTAAAAATAACACATTCTGTTGGTACCTGTGCCATTTTTAGGTCAAATCGTCCGAAATTATTTTTCCGCTACCGGCGGTCTCGTGACGTTCTTCGCCCCATGGAACGAAGCGTTTGATCGAATTCCGGAACAAATCGAGCGTCGTCTTCTACGCGATCGAATTTGGCTCGAGCAGATACTCAAATTGCACATTGTGCCGGCGAAAGAGTTGACTTCCGATGAAATCACCAACGAAACAATTGTGAATACGGTAGACAATATGCGCCAATTGTATTTTATCAAAGGCGAATGGCCAACGAACAATATCAGTAAGCGAATTTCGAGAATTTCGAAATGATTTTTTTTTTGCTCAATTTCAGCTTACTATGTGATCGGCGGCGGAATCAAAACAGCGATAATGATGGAGAATGTGGCGGCGGCGAATGGAATTGTGCATTATATTGAAAGAGTTCTTGGTGTTCCGTATCAGACGCTATGGGAGATTATGAGGAATGAGACCCGATTACAGTACGATTATTTATTGCCCTTCTTTTCTGAATAAAATGATCCAATTTTGCAGAAGCTCATTCCAAATGATGAGCAACTTGCAATTGAGATATGCCATGGATCCGTGGCAAGTTTTGACGCCGGAACAGAATTTTACGTTTTTCGTTCCGGTTAACGAAGCATGGAATAAGGTGGGTTCATAAAAGATTCTCACGAAATGGTTGGAAAACGACAAATTGCGGTTCCTCGCGAAAATTTGCACATTTTTCGAAAATAATTTCGTACAATTTCGACTAGCACTTTTTTGCATTTTCTGAAAATTTAAACGTTTTCTTCTTCGGACATTTACCGGTTTCCGAAATTTGTCCGGTTTTCGAAGAACCAGAACATGGTATTGAAAATGTAGTTTTTTTCAATTAAACATTTGCAGGTGGCTCCTTCGCTGCTCTCCAGAATGAACGACGGCAATCATTGGCAAGCCTTACAGTACGTATTCAAGAGGCACGTGCTTCAAGGTCAAGCTCTGATGTACACCGATTTACGCGAGCGAACCTATGTGATGATGAACGATGAGAAAGTGGTGATCAGACGGCGCGGACGATGTAAGCACAGATTCTCAAAGAATCTCTCAAAATGCGATTCCAGATTTCGAGTTGTATTGGCCGCGCGGTCATCGAACCGCCCGTGTCATCGAAGGCGGCGAAATCGCCGGAATCAACGGCTACATGCACATGATTGACAACGTACTCATCTACGAGCCTGACCTTCGAGCTCATGCCTGTAGCACGGTGCCTGTGTTCCTCGAGCTCCTCATCATGCTCATTGTGTTGATGTGGAGGCCCGGCTGGCATGTGCCGATAGCGCTATTCCATAGATAACAATTGAATTTGAATTCTTCGCATCGTTTTACGGGTTTTCATTCAAATTACGCATATTTTCCGAGTTTATCGATATTGATCTGACCACGTTGTGATTGAAATTGTCGTATTTTCAGGGAATGAAACAAATAAATTTATTACCCAAAAAAATATCATGACAAATTATTTCCGTCGCTTATGGCGCTGAAAAAAAGAGTATGAAAATTAATGTATTAAAAAACGCAAACGAGATACAGCCTTCGCTTGAAATATAAATTTCCAAATTAAGAAAATATCAATGAATTTGGCGATTAAGTACTTTCCACATAGAAAAATTCACAAAACGTGGCATGAATCGGTGTCGCACCAACCTGATTACGGTCGAGGCTTTCTATTTTCAAAGTCAATTAAAATACCGTACCCTTTCATTCCTCTTTTTATTGATTCGGAAACGCTTTAGATTCGACATCTTATTCTTCAGAAGCGCATTCTGCGCCGCCATCAATTCCGCTTGATGAACGGTTTGCGCGGCTCCAGTTGCGATCTTTTTATCTCTGAAATGTCAATTTTTTCTATTCCTAACAAAAATCGTACCTAAAATAAACACCGACGGTATACGTTCGACTATTTGTTGGCCCTTCGCATCGAATCACACGATATTCGGGCATCGCCGGCGACGGATTATTGGCGCATCGAAGTGTCAGACACCACTGTTGCAGATGTGATTTCGGATCATTCCATTTATCATTTTGAATATAATGCTGAAAAAATAGAATTTAAGGCGAAGATGTTTTATTTTAAATTTATTTGGGATCATATTTGCGTCTTTGCGTAAACTGTGTTTGCACACATCTCTCACTACAGTAACCCTGCATTATTTAAATTTTTTAGCTGCTCACAATCAGTTTTTTTGAAAAATCTTATTTTAACCCGCAATTTTCGCACTAATTGAACCCTTTAGACATACAATTTTTAATTTTTCTGCGTCGGTGGTCCTTAAATCTTTAAAACACGCCCCAGAAACTACTTACAACAAGTCTCGGCAGGAAACAAATTCTGACAAACGTTTTACAGTGCTCAATGCCACGATCAACATATAAAGCACCTATGAAAGCTGAAAATTGTGTTTTAGCAAGAGAACAACTGAAAATCGGGCAACCTTCAACAAGATCGGCCTTATCCTTCATTCTCAGCTCGGACTGCTTGCCAGGTCGTTTGACGACATACTCGCCGAATCCCAAATCGTCGCAAATAATTGATTGCGTTTTATTGCTGACAATACTGGTTCTTAGAAGCGACAAATGTCCTAAAATGAAAAAAATAGCAAAAAACATATGTATATTGTCATTTTCAATATGCGCCTTTAAATTTCTACAATAATCCCCGACCAATTCAATTACCTTCATGGTGATACGGAAAATGTCGGTAGAGATAATCCGAGACGATCAGCTGCAACACAGTATCGCCAAGCCATTCCAATCGCTGATTATGGCCTCTCGTCAGATCATTCAAAGGCACATTCCTTCGCGTAAACGCTTTGGCGAGCACTCGCACATTGTTGAACTGAATTCCCAGCGATTCTTGCAACGGTTTGAAATTGGCCAACGTCTGCACCGTCTCCGCCAATTCCTGATCGCCATCCGGATCCTCGCGCTTCAACTCATGCTCATTCACATGATCCCAAATGATCTTGTATTCGGGCTCCGAGGAGAACATCGCCTGCGAGAACACACGATCACAATTGTACAGGTCGCTGTCAAGGAACATCGCTCCCATTATTGCCTAAATTCGCCAAATATTTGCATTTCATTTTTTTTTATCCAGAACAAGAATAAACCTCAAAAGAATTTGCCAAAGCGTGCCGAAATTCAGCTTCATGACAGAGTTCGGCACCATGCGAGAATTGAATGAATCGATCGAGGAGAATATTCTAAAATAAAAACAATTATTGCATAGTTAATTTATGCGTAAGAGAAGAAGAAGAAGAAGAAGAAGATGAAGAATCTGACATACTTTGGCAAGTGTCGCCAGATTTCGATTCTGAACCAGCGACGTTCGATACGTCGCCAATCCGCCTTCGTTGTGATGCGGAAGCATGAAATACAAATGAGCAGTGACCACCTAAAACTATCATCACTTTGTTGCGGAAAAATATGAAATGGGAAAAACAACTTATAAATAGAAAATATGCAATAAAATTGTTATTTTGAAAATGAACACCTCAAAATGGCAATTGTATATAATTTTAATGAAATCTTCTTTCAAAAAACATGTTTTCGAATTGTTTTGGTGAAAAATCCATTTTCATTATGGAAGAGTTCATTTTTCAAATAAAATTTGTGAAAAAGTCGTTCAACTAGCAGTTCTATAAATTTCGAAAATAAAAGTTGAAAAAAAAAGTCAAAACATTTTTTTTACCATTTCCACAACAGAATCTCCCAAATACTCCAATCGTTCATTGTTCAGAATTGGAGTGGCATTGAAATCGCTATAAGGTTGAGATCCCATAATCGATACCAAGTTCACAATTCCTAAAAAAAAGAAAAAAAAAAACGAATTATAAAAAAGCGATTCAAATTTGAGAATTTCTTCTTCGCCAACCTTTCTTCTTCTCCGACTTCTCATCCTGCAGATATTTCTTCCGATAGCCGCAATTCGAAATAAACGCTTTCGCGTGATCGGTCGTCGTTCCATAATTGGCTTTAAATGATGGATGCGTCATCGCGAGCTCGAGAATCGCGCGATTCCGAAACGAATACCCAATATGGTGTTCAAGGACATTCACCGATATATGGTATCGAATATGATGAGTGGCGAGAACGACCATGAGAACATGGGCGACAGAATCCGGAAAGAATCCCGTCGCACGATAGCCGTCTGAAGGAACGACAATCCGAACACTTCGCATCGTTTTACTGGAAAAATTCAGATTTTTTTAGTGTTCCAAAAAATTGCTCACGTCGCTGATTGCATTTCTTGAACCTTTCTCCTCAATTCCTCATATTCACTCTAAAGAAACTATTCTTATTTCAAAATTGCGATTTCCAGAAGTGATCTACCATATTATTGAGGGTTCCCGTCGCATTCAACACATGCTTCATTTTTCCCAATTTTCTCTCAAAATAGTGCAATCGAGGCTGAATCGAGTTCGCGTAAGCTGGCGGTCTGAAAATATCCAAAAAAAAATCATCTCAATGTTCAATATTGCTTTTTTTTTAGCAAAATCGAACCTTATAGTGTTGTGAACAAAAAGAATTTTGCCATTGGCGTCACGTTCGAACGAATCCACTCGGAATGCGGCCGGCTTCTGAACAAATTGTCAACATCCAACGACAAGCGGAGTTTTCTTACCCGATCGGCCCTGATGACGATATTCTGCTTCATCCGATGCACATTCCTCGCGAATTGCTCATCATCCTGAATCGACAATCTCGCAATGTCGGCGTCGTCGAACATCGGCCGCTTGAATTTATACAGCATGTAGGCCATGACGCCTTTCGTCGACAATAATCGAACTTCGTCTATAATCAGAGCAGTCAAATTTCGAGCAATATTACGAAATTGCGATTTTTCAAAACCACATTCACTTTTTGAACTAATTTTCTCATTTTGAAGCCTTGGTTGACGCAAAAAAATCGCGTAACCGAGGTCAAAAATAAAATAGTAATTATCAGCGAAACAAAAGTTTACTCGGTTTATTGCAGACAAATCTGGGCATGAAGTGAAGAGCCGGACACCCATTGCCATCATCGTTGTGATATTTCGAAAACGGATTGAAATCGACGAGTTCGAAGATCTCGTGAAACACGGTTTTTGTCAGCAGATCGCATTCCTCAATTGTGTAGCACTGCAATTTTGCGCATTATTTTTCCTACGTATACGTACATGGAATCAATATCAACAATGATTCTTACGTCTTCTGGAACGCGTTCCGAAATCACTGTAAACTCATATTCGATCGACCATTTCGACCAAGGTTGGCGTGGAATATTCTCCGGAATTGGCACATGAGTGAAAATCTGCAAAATTTTTCATTCTGCCTAAACTTTTGAGCGGGTATTTATGATTTTTTAACGTTATTTTTATTGTTATTTATGATTTTTTAAGAACTTGAGCTCAATCGAACTTAATTTCTGCAACAATTCGAAAATTTTAGCTTCGATTCTAACATTCTGGATCATTTTTCTAAAAATATCGTCAACTTTTTTAAACAAATTTTTGGAATTTTAATTCAATCGCCGTACAGAGGCAAATTAAAGCAAATATATACCAAATATTAACAATAAAAATATCAGCTACAATTTTCAGTGTTTTTTGTACATTTTTTCACAAATTTCATGGAAAAATCAGAAATTTTCATAATTTTAGCGCTATTTCGAGCCATCGATTACCGAAAATCCTTCGAGCGCATATTCCTCTCCATTGGCTATCATAAAAGTCCGACAAATTTGTCGTTCCGACGGCGAGGGGGTTACGTGCAAATAATAGTGATAAAGTTTCGATGAATTACTGTAAAAATTCAAGAAAAATCTAAGAAAACCATAGAGAAAAGAAATGTGCCTTGCGTTCGGAATACAATGATGTATGACATCCTCCCCTTCATAATACCCGTGCCTCAAACCAGAATTTCGAGCAGCAAGTGAACACTGACAAACCGGACCCTCATTCGCCTGAAATCGGATGAAGTAGATCCGGTGAGAGCGATTCTAAAGTCCTACCAACGCCTTCTCATTGAATTGCATATCGGGATGAACCGCATTTGGATGATTTCGCTTTCGTTCAATCTAAAATATTCAAACCGTGAGATGTCCGCACCAATATAACAATTACCTCCTTCTGAAAATGTGTCAGTGTCTTCTTCACTTTCACTTCCTCATCTTCGCTGTCGTTTTCACTTGAAGACGACGATGAGGAAGAAGACGATGAGGATTCTCCAGAAGAAGACGAGGATGATCTAGACGACGTCTCATCCGAATCATCATCATCATCAGAAAGATCGGATTCGACACCAGAACGCCCACACTTGCATTTCTCATGATTCGACGGCTTCTCCACGTAGGGAACGTCAATTTGCTTCTCACGATCCATTTGTAACTTTTTCAGAATCGTATTCTTAAAATTCTCGCAAACTTTATTGTAGGTAGTTCCAGCCAATCTCTTAAATCGAAATAAATATTGAAAAAATTCAATTTTCAAATTCCAACCAAAAGACAAAATTCGGCATCCTTTGCGAATACCACATTCCGAAAACTTTTCGGAATTCCAGCCTCATAATTCGTCATGAAATCCTCCTCTTTCAGATAATCAACCTCATAATCCTTTTCAGTCAATTTCGGCTCCTCGTGTTGAAAACTATCCTCACTTTCTTTATCCATTTTTCTCGGCGGCTCCTCATGATTTTCACTCCGATTTTTTCTTTTCCTCTGAATTTCCTAAATGCGTTATTTTTTGTTTTGGTTCTGATGCAAACCGATCGCTTTTTTCTATCATATTTTCCTGACGACCTTTCCATTCTGGCTGAAACTTCCTGATATATGCATTTCCACAAACACGACAGATATGTAAAAGCTCGAAATAATTTATCGCATCTCAATTCGGTTTCAATAAAACGAAATTAAAGTTTATTTATGTTTGATACATAATCGATTGATTCGAATAAATTAAGTTAGGTTATGGTTGAAATTAAGCTTGTGGGAAAATTATGCAATGCTCGAGTGAAGCGAGGTTGAATATGCGGCTTAGTACTCCTCGCCCTCGCCGTCTTCAGCTCCTCCCTCGTTCGAATCGGCTCCAACCTCTTCGTAGTCCTTCTCAAGAGCAGCCAAGTCTTCACGAGCCTCGGTGAATTCTCCTTCCTCCATACCTTCTCCGACGTACCTGAAAATATAGAATAAAGAAATGAAACGTTAAAAGATTCAAATTACCAGTGAACGAAGGCGCGCTTAGCGTACATCAAGTCGAATTTGTAGTCAAGACGAGACCACGCCTCGGCAATTGCAGTGGTGTTTGAGAGCATGCACACAGCTCTTGGAACCTTGGCCAAGTCACCTCCTGGGACAACAGTTGGTGGCTGGTAGTTGATTCCGACTTTGAATCCAGTTGGGCACCAATCGACGAATTGGATCGAGCGTTTCGTCTTGATAGCGGCAATAGCGGTGTTGACGTCCTTTGGAACAACGTCTCCTCTGTACAAGAGGCAGACGGCCATGTATTTTCCGTGACGCGGGTCACATTTCACCATTTGGTTGGCTGGCTCGAAGCAGCTGTTGGTGATGTCGCTGACAGAAAGGGCCTCGTGGTAAGCCTATAAAATACTATACTAGAAAAGGAACGTTTTGAAACAAATTACCTTGTCGGCAGAAATCAATGGAGTGTAAGCGGCAAGCGGGAAGTGAATTCTTGGGTATGGGACCAAGTTTGTCTGGAACTCGTTGAGATCAACGTTCAAAGCTCCATCGAAACGAAGCGAAGCGGTGATCGACGAGACGACTTGCGAGATGATTCTGTTCAAGTTGGTGTAGCTTGGACGGTCAACGCTCAAGTTTCTGCGGCAGATATCATAGATGGCCTCGTTATCGACCATGAAGGCGCAGTCAGAGTGCTCCAAGGTGGTGTGAGTGGTGAGAATGGAGTTGTATGGCTCAACGACCGCGGTTGACACTTGTGGAGCCGGGTAGATTGAGAACTCGAGCTTTGACTTCTTTCCGTAGTCGACGGAAAGACGCTCCATCAAAAGCGAGGTAAATCCAGATCCAGTTCCTCCTCCGAACGAGTGGAACACGAAGAATCCTTGAAGGCCACTGCAGTTGTCAGCAAGACGACGGATTCTGTCGAGAACGGTATCGATGAGTTCCTTGCCGACTGTGTAGTGTCCTCTGGCGTAGTTGTTGGCGGCATCTTCCTTTCCAGTGATCATTTGCTCCGGGTGGAACAATTGCTTGTAGGTTCCAGTACGAATCTCATCTGAATATTGATATTAATATGTACATCGATTGTCGTTGTCTTGCTCACCGACGACAGTTGGTTCCAAATCGACGAAGATGGAACGTGGAACGTATCTCGAATTTCCGGTATCGGAGAAGAAGGTGGTGAAGGATTCTCCATCAGCGGCCTGATCCGAGGGCATGGTTCCATCAGGCTGGATTCCGTGCTCAAGGCAGTAGAGCTCCCAGCAGGCATTACCGATTTGAACTCCGGCCTGTCCGACGTGGATGGAGATAACCTCGCGCATGTTGAATCAACTGAAATGAGAAACAATACTAATGAAAAAAGTGACGTTGTGGACAAAAACGAGCGGGTCGGAACGAGAAACGAGATAATCGCTAATAAGTGATTAACCGCCCACCCCTTCTGCGCAATACACACCGTTGAAGGTCATCTAGATAAACATCCGCTCCTATTGTTTTCATTTCAAAACGTTTTTGATGGAAGAGAACTCAATCTAAACGACTTTTGGTAGAAACGGCCTGCCTGCAGCGGCCACTAGAATATTAATGAAGTCGGAAAAGCGACACCAATTGAGAAAATTGAACGCGCAGCCAATTGACGTGGGCGACACAGACAATTGAGGGCGCAGAATAAAATGAATGCTTGATTACTACTGTGTATCCCTCGTCGAACCACTTTTTCAAACGCATTAAAGTCCACTAAAACAGAAAGAAATTCCAAATATTTCCGATTTAAAAAGGATAATTAGTATGAGGTAGATAAGTTTCAGCATCAATTGCAAATGTAGGACAAGCCTGAGTTGGATTTGGCTGATGTTTGACTAGTTTGTACTGCAAACACAAAAAAGGGCGAGTGAGAAAGCCACAAATTGGGGGGGGGGGAAATGGAAAGGAACAATTGCGAAAGAGGGGCGTGTTTCGCAACCAAACAAGACGAAAGAGCCCGCAAAATGACCAGAGAGGGATGAAACGGGGACAAAGTCGATCGAAACGAGCTTCACAAGGCCAGTTGGCGCGGGCCGCTCGCTACGCGCAGCAAAAAAAAAGTGGCGCGCGCGCGCACGGCGAAGGACACACTGACAATTTGAATCGGGCGCGACCGACTACGGTAATCGCAATTGTGCAGCGTGTTGTGCGTCGGCTAGAGTGCCATAAGTGTGCGGCAGGTGTATGAGCGGACCGCCTCCGTAAATCTCCATCAATTTCTCATCGATTCTCATAAAAATTGTTTTCTTGTGGATTCATCTGATTTTTTGTTTTCTAACATGATTTTAGCAATACTAATAGATAAATTATTTATTTATTTGTCAAATATCCCACCAAATAATTGCACTTTGTTTCTTATTATTTTTCCTTGTTTTCCAACTAAATTTTGTTTCTTTGCAGAATGGCTCAGCTTGCTAAGACCGTTACTGCGCTCTCGAAGAGAATTGTTACTCCAGCGACCTTTGCTCGTCGTACTTTGGCCACCGAAGCTTCTCCAGAAGACTACGGATATTATCCAGATCCACTTGAACACGCGACTGGACGTGAAAAGAAGATGCTTCTTGCTCGTCTGGCTGGAGACGATGTATGTTTTTAGAGAGTTTTTCCTTAAATTTTCAGAAAAGTCGCACTATGTGACAGAAGAAAAATTAAGAAAAGTCGAAATATTTCAGATCAATAATTTTAAAAAAGCGTCACTCTGCAAATCGTGCCGTAGAAACATCAGGCACGATTTGCTGAATATTTCATGAGAACTTTAAAGAAATTTATCTTATCATTCATCATCCATTGAAAATATTGCGATCATCAAATTTTTAAGGTTGTTTTTAGGCAATAACGTAAACAGTACTCTACGTGGACACGTAGAATACATTTTTCTTCATAATATTTAACACAATAACGGTGAAATTTATTTAGAGATTCAAATCGCTTGTTTATTGTTTATGTGCAAATGTAAAAAAATTCAAAACCCTGAAAAAAACCCAAATATAAATTGTCCGCTTTTCCGTTACTGAATTACAAATAGAAGACAAGAAAATATGAAAATTAGTTTCAATATTTTATCTGTACCTTGCAATATAAGAAACTACCAATTAGATTATAAAAATAAAAGATTGGTGCAAAATAATGCGCACTCGATATTCAAGTCTACCTGTTTCAAAAAAGTGATTAAGTCCAAGTCCTTCAAACTAATGATCTATTCATGAAATGTATTTTTTTTTTTCAAAATATGTGAATAATTAGGTTTGACAACCGTGTATTGGAAAAAAGTATATTTTTTTTACATTTTGCATGTAAAAAGTTGCCTCATTGAGTTAAATTTTTTAAAATTAGATTAGATTACTATCATATATGTCAAATACACACATTTTGGATATTTTTTTACAACCACATAGCAGCTATTTTTTTATTCTGTAATAATTGAGTACATTTTTCGAAATATTAAAGGCCGTTCAAATAATTGAATGAAAACAGTTTTCGTGACTTTTGAGAAGAACTTTTGTCACAAGTTTGTTGTAAGTATTTATTTAATGTTTATTTTACAGCGTTATGAGCCAAAGGTCTACTATCGCGCGGAAGCTTCGACCAAGGAAAAGCCAAATCTTGTTCCAGCCCACTTCGACCATAGAATCATTGGATGCATGTGTACGTCGGCATTTCTCGCGATTGGTTTTAGCGAAATTATATTCAGGCGAGCAAGATTCGGGTCATGTCAACTTTATGACTATTCGCAAGGGAACTCCAAAGAGATGCGAGTGCGGACACTGGTTCAAAGCCGTCGATGCTGACCCAGAATCCATCTAAAGTCATATTGTAGAATGTTTTGTTCGACGTATTTAGCGTTTCAGTGAATAAAAGCTGGTTTTAATGTATTATATTGCGACCGTATAAAATAGTTTTGGTTCTACCAATTCCGAACATCATATTATTGAAGAAGAGAATTTGCAAAGTGTCCTTTTTTTCTTTCTTATTCTCATTCTCGTCTTGAGCTTATCAATGTTTTTTGTTTGTGGTCATCACATGAAACGAGAACAGTTTAAAATTGACAACATCCTAATTATTGATTGTGTCGCGGTGTATTTTGTAACCACCACAAAAAACGGGTAATTGCCATTTTTGGTATAGTTTATGGTGACAAGCTTTTGACCTTGACGCAGCGGGCATGATTATCGACTTCGGTACACCTTTTTTCTGTCATTTCAATCGATTTTTGCCATTGATTTTAAGCAGCACATGCATTTTGAGAATTGCTTCCTGGTTTGCTTAATTGAAAATCACGTGTGAAAAATTCAACCTTGATCGCGGATGATTAGCGCGATTTTGCCGTATTTTTTTTCGATCCGTTAAAATCCCAAAAATTTGGTTTTTTGATTCGTCATTTTCTCCAAAAACTCAATTTGAATGCGAAAAATTGAATTTGCATTCGAAAATTTTCTGAAATAATTCTTAAAATGCGTTTCTTCTTGATTTATTGTTCTTTTTTTTTTGGTGGAAAATAATAACCACGCACTTTTTTTTTTTCAATTTATTCTGCGAGAAAAATGTGGCTCCTCACTTCAAGACCATTGCAATAATTTTTGAATGCGCCTTTAAATCGAACGAAAAAACATTTAGTGAAATTCGTGAATCAAAAATATTGCCATCGCGTTTTTTCGCAGAAATACACTAAATTATGAAACGAATATGTGGTTTTGCTGAATCTCAGGTAAATCAAAATCAATCGGATTCGAAGAAAAATTAAATATAAATTAACCTGTTTCGATTGAAAAATAATTCAAATTCGATTAAGAAAACGCTTAAATTCGATTTGAAATCTTGGTTTCAATTGAAAAATCTTCGAAATCGATTGATTTATTTCTTATTCTCAATTTTTAAATCGAATTCGATTGAAATAATTCGAAACAGATTAATTTATATTCGATTTCGATTGAAAACGAAATTATTTTCGAATCCGATTGATTTTAATTTACCTGAGATATTTCGCGAAAATTGGAAATTCTTATGCAAAATTTTATTGCCGAGCCCCGGTTTTTTCGCAATTATTCATGAATTTTGCGAAAAAAAGAAATTTTGAATTGAAATTAGCGAGCATCTCATTCATTTCGATGATATCATTCCGGTGGAGCTGGTCGACACCCGTTGTGATGCTCCAGGCGATGAGAGCAGTCACCAAAATATTTGGGAGTGTGTTTGGGCGAGTGTGTGTGTGTGTGTCGGCTCTTTCGAATCAATACTTTCTCGCTTGAATGGGGCCCTCCGAGTAGGTGTGTGTATATGTGCCTGTGAGAATGTGAGTTCGAGATATCTGCGAGAAAACGTTTTTTTTCTTTCATTCTTTATGCACCTCGGAGCTGAAAAATATATAGCATTTATTTTTTAATGCACCCTGGTCGCCCGCGGCGCGCGCCTCGTCGCCCCTATATCACGGAGTTCGGCTGTGCAAACATTCGAAAGAAGAAAAAAATGCATGGAATCGATTTTTTTTTGCAAAAATCAGTTGAATACCGGTTTGTTGAGAGAGCGGAAACAACGAGCGCTAGCAGTTTTGTTATTGGAAATTTGTCGGTTTCAAGTTTTTAAATTAAAAAAAAATAGACCGCGAAGAAAATATTTTTGGTTGTGAATTTATGCTTCGGTGTTTGCGGACTCGCCCTCCTACCGTAACTTCTTCATTTTAATCTTCGCAATTATAATATTTTTCGCGTTTTCGCGGAAAATGAATGTAAATATTCCGTGGTATTAGAGCTTTTTCTGATTTTTAGTTCTCGAATTATAAATTGAATCGCATTTTCTGTCTAAAGACTAAGATTTTTTGAAATCCTTGCGAATTGCGAATTTTGAGAAAAAAATGTAAGAAGTGTCAGTTGTCGCTCGTTTTGTGTAGAAGACATCAATAATATAAAACGTTTTTCTCTTGTTTTTTTTTTTTCAATTGAATTTTCAATAATTTCGTTCATTTAGAAATGAACGCGGCGGCGGCGAGGAGGAGAGAATCGCCGATTGGAATTGTGAATTTTTTATCAAAATCGAATTTTCCGTCGTTGAATGCTTACATTGCGCTGTCATTGGTGATCACGCTGATCGCCACCGGAACAATTGCCACCGCGTTCCACTCGCAACCTGAGGTACGAAAAATTGGAAAAATATGAACTTTTCCTGTTTTCTTTTAAAAAAATATTTTCGACGTCGCGCGACTGTGAAAAATTGATTAAAATTACACATTTAGTTATGCGCCAAGATAGGTTTTTTTGATTTATTTTACTAATTTTTGGCAGTCAAAATAAACCAATTTAAGTAAATTTTTGAGATCAAGAGACTTAAAGCTTCAGGTAATCGAATTGATTAAGAAATGACTTTTTTTTTTTTCGAAAATTTCCTACCATTTAAACTAGGGGAATATAAAAACTATTCTTTGCCGAAAATCTTGAAATATTACACCAGACGCATTAAAAATTTTTTTTACAGCTTCGCACACTCATCAAAGAGGAATTACGGAATCACACCCGACTATCGAAAACGTTCGGATTGGATTTGGAATATCTGTCGACGTTGACGTCGTTTCAAGTCGTTCATTATGTTTTATCAGATTCCACACTTATTTGGGTAAAAACATAGCTGAAATTTCGCATCGAAATATTACAATTTTTGTTTTGCAGGTCGCAATCAATTCGTATTTCGCGTTTCTCGCGATCATCTCGAAATTGATGATTCGCGTGGTGTTCAAAGAGCTCTCACGCCAGGTTTCCCTATCCAATCATCAAAAACAAAAAGAAAAAAAATTATCAGGAAGAAGCGTTGGCTCGACATGCGTTCTTCTCGTATACATTACTGAGTATTGTGTATCTTTCGGTCATCACGGGACCACAAAAATCGCAGCGAGTCCTCCCATGGATGGTGTGGACCGGAATATGTGGATTCATTTCCAATTTGCAGTTTATCACTTGTCAACGATTAAGATATGTAAGTGTGTGTTTTTAGTTTTTCACTAATAATATTTAAAGACAAATATATATATTTTTTTTGTTCTCGAGAAAATCAAGATTTTCACTTTAAAATAAGATTTTTGAGTGAGAAAATTGACAAATTGAAATCTTTTTTTTTTTCGCAAAACTCGACATCATTTTAGATTTCGCCGTCATGCGGTCAAGGCGGTTTGAAGATGTCCTTCTTGTCGCTTGTCATATTCTTCATATCGCTGTTAATGTCAATTCTTGTGCTCCGATTCCATTCGCTCATTTCCTGGCAACCCGCCATACTACTTTATATTGATGTGAGTTGAACGCGCAATTTCCCCACCACTCATCACCCTAATTTTCCCTCAATTTTGCCGTTTCTAATCAATAATCATACAAATTTTCTTTAAAGTTTTGCACAATTCAGTGCCTGTTGGCGATTGTCCGATCGTCGTATATTCTGTTCCGGTGCATCTCATCATCGCGCGTGTTCTCGTTCAATCCCGACTCGGTGCGATATTTCAATTATTGGCTCGAACTCGGCTCGAATATCACTTGCGATTTTTTGCAAATGATCAACTACGTGAGTATTTCATGATTGGAACACAATGGATTTTGGCTTTAAACAAGCGTTCGAGAATCACGAATTGTCGTCGGTTAAAATGCACAAGTCCGCAATTATTCGAGATTGTTTTATTTGCGACCTTTGGAACATTTAAAAAAATTTAACCAAAAATTAGATATGTAACACTGTGGATTGTAGCGCTTGAATTTTGGGATAACTTAAAATGCTAAATTTGAAATTTGAAAGCGCTACAAAAATATCCAACGGACTATGCATTTTATTTGACGACATGTTATGATTTCCAATAGTCGCCTTTCCATGATATTTTCTTATTTTTTCCACTATCTCCCTAATTTAGGCTCAACTATTATTGGTCTCGCCTGGATTCAACCTAACTTGTCTTTTCTTCTTGTATCACATCAAACTTTCATATCATTTGATTGCCGATCAACTCAGTCGCCATCGTGGGCACAAACGAATTTTTGCGCACATTGAAGCCACTTATCCTTGTGTCAAATGCGAGAATAGCGATGATCGATGTGTTGGTGAGTATTTTTATTTATTAAAAAAATTTTAACTGACCATTGATTTTGACAAAAATCTTATATATTTCGATTATACTGGAATTTCCATGTCACTTTTTGAATAGAAATATTGATTTGTTGTGTTCATTCCAAAAATTTGACGAAATGAAATTTCAGTGTGCTGGGAGCTCCTCGGCCAATCGCGTCGGCTTCCATGCAGCCATCAATTCCACGATTGGTGTCTGATGTGGTGGATGGCGCAGGATTCGTCTTGTCCGACGTGTCGCACGGTCATTCCGTCGCCTCTCGACGAGCCATCAACGGCTGCTGCAGCGACTCCGGCGGCGGCGGCAGAGAGAAATGACTCAAATGTGACATTCCGATTCAACGGAGGGTATGGAAAATTTCAGATTCAATTTTTCAAATTTCTCTCTTTTTTTGTAATAGACTGATTTATAATGAGCAATTCGGAAATCAAGCCAAAATGTATAAAATTCAGATAATTTTTTTTCAGAAATTTCGCGTTTGTGCGCCTTCCTGCGTTCACGATTGAGATCTCGACGGGTCTTGGTCCGCTTTTTGGACGAGCTCCTGAACCGACTGAAGAGCAACTTCAGGCGATGCTCGAACAGGTTCGCGAAGTTGTGCCGCAGACATCGACCGAGCTCATAATGGCTGATCTGCGAGCGTCGGGATCCGCGCAATCGACGATTGAGAACATTCTTGAGGGTCGCGTTGGTTTTGGTGGCACAAATCAACTTTTGCCAGACGTTCTTGACTCGGAAGAGCTTGATGTATGAAGCGGTGATTTTGATTATCATTCCTTCATCACTTTTGCAGAGCGAAGCTGATGGCGAATTCGATGAATCGATTGATTCGACGATTTCGACGCTTGATGATCGAGAAAGGACGTGGACGAAGGGCGAGCCGACCGAAGAAATGACGTATTTTGAATTGCAACGGCAGAAAATGATTGAGAAATATCGAAAGTGAGACTTTTTTCAAAATTTAAGCTAATTTTTTGATAACATAGTGCCAGAATTTTAAAGATTTCGACTGTTTCTTCTATTTTAAGTTTTTTTTACAAAGAAATTTCTCTTAAAAAAAAACTGGAAAATGTACTTTTTAATTCTTCTTTTGCTGAAATGTGAGAATTTTTTGAAAAAGGGAAAATCTTGCAAAAAGATGGAAAAGTTGGCTATGAAATCTCAGAAGAATGAATTTTTGAAACAAAATCGTTTTGATTTATGAACATTTTAGCGAAATCTTGTTTTTTGACATCTTTAAAAGCTCAAAATTCGAAGTCTTCTAAAAAAGAAATTGCAGAAAATACCTTGCATCGAGCAAAGGCGCCGATTTGCGAGCAAAAGGGATTGTCGAATAGGCATATTTCTTCGACAAAATTGCTCGATTGCTGGTTTTCACCTGCGAAATCAGAAAAAAATCAAAAATCGCTACAAAATTGTACTATAAAATCGTCATGACGTGTTACTACCATATTTAGGATTTTATTGTATATAGTTGTGTATTTCTTTTCATTTCTTTTCCTGTTCCCGTCTTTTTGTTTCATAGATTCTTTTTTTTATACTGCTGGTCAAACTGAATGTCAGGATCTTCAAATTTCTGTTTGAGATTATGAATCTCATCATTTTTCTTTGTCTGTACCCGTCACCCTTCTGCTACTGTAGAAGTGTTTTTTTTTGTTTGTTTTCTTCTTCTTTTTTTCTCCTGGGTCATCTACATCATCATCATCATCATCGACGTTTTAATTGACATCTACACACTCGCATAAAATGATTCGAATTTTTTCAACGTTTTCAGTTTTTTAATAGAAAAATTTCATTGAAATTGTCTCGTTATTTTAGGGGACGAACTGCGATGAAGACGTGGAATAGGGAGAGAAGAATCATGACTGGCTGAACGGCGATTATCGAAAGGCTTCCTGCAATGTAGGATTTTGTGCCTTTAATAATGACATCATTAGTTTCTTCATTAAGGTTTTTTTTTCCGATCTTCGCGAATTTTTGTTGCCGTTTTTTTAGATTCAATTATACGATGAAGAAAGGCGCAAACTGTTAGGATAGGTTTTTTTTTAAAGAATACCACCCAAACTCGAAAATTTTGTTGGGGTTTAAAAAGCCGCCAAAATTGGTGTGCTTACGGACATGCTCTATACATATTAGCATTTTCTCACAAATACGTTCATGTTTTGGAATTTGATTTTTTTAAAATAACTCCCGTGGTTTGAAAGATAAGAAATTTTCTCTAAATGGTAGCACAAGAAAATGTGTGCAAACACCGTGACGCAAATGTCACAGAAAGAAACGCTTTTCATTTTTTGTTGTTTTTTTCTCGCAGCAAAGTTCAAATTTTTTGACTTAGAAAATCTATTTTTAATAAAGATAATCAGCAATTCGAAAAGACAGACCTCGTTTGGTTTTGGTCCATCCCAAAATCGTCCCAAAATACTATTGTCGGCGTCAAACGACTGAAGGGAGGCGGGGTTTTCAAATTCACGAGATCGGTGTAAATTTAAGTTTTTCGTCGAATGAATATTAAATGCGCGTACGCTATAATGCAATGTACGCAGTATCGCGTACAATTATTTGCGTCGAGACGCATTGGCACATAGCCAATAATTTTTTGAATTTCGTCAAATCGTTTGACTCCGACAATTGATTTTCAAAAATTGATATTCGCGAATATGTTGGGATATTTTCCCCAATCGTTTGAAAACAAAGGCTGGCCGAGTCAGCTGTGGCCGTGGCCGAGTCGCGCCGGCGAAATTCCTTCCCAAGGACCGAAAAAATTCAAATCTGACGCGTTTGTGCCACATTGTGATTTTAGCCATCACTTTTAATTTTTTGTTTCGTTCGAATTTGTCGTTGTGTTTTAAAATTGGTTTAATTACCCAAGTTTGAGGTTGCAATAAATTATTGCGGCTTGGTCAAATCACATTCGATTGGGCGTTAATTACCAACCCCAATCGTAGCTAGAATTCCTTGTGGGATTAAAGGCGCATGCTAATGAACTTCCGCAATGTTACCTCCATCATAATTATCATCCAAAGCGGCCATTGTGATATTGGCACATGTTAGAAAAATCCTCAAAATGTGAGTAATGCAAATCTAGAAAGACGAAAATCGGAGATTTTGAATTAAAAGAAAATAATTGAACCCAATATTTCCATTCATATGGTATCCAATATCGATAATCATCATCTTTGAGCTCCTCTTTTTTCACGTGAAATCGGGCAAACTAGAATTTCCTTGTGAGAAATCGGTTGAGGAAAAAAAAAGGAACACCAAACCTCAATAGAGAGAACAAGGGTGAGCAAAAGTAAGGCAATAATGAGATTGGCAAGACAGAGTGCAACCGGAATGACGCGATTTTGAGACGCAAACGAGACCCAGACGACAAGGATGACGACGACGGCGATCTGTTTGGAATTCGTTCAATCGATGGGACTGTGTTTCTCAAGAAGTTACAGCTTCAATTGAAATCAGAGCTATTCGAATCCAGGGAGGCTTTAGCAAATGTTCGCCTTTTATGAGCATCGTTTGACGGGATTCTTGAAGAAGTGGGCTGGCTTCGCCGATTTTTCGGCGAGCTATTATATCTAAATTTGGGTTTTCAAAAAAAAAATACTTTGGTTTTCCGTTTTTTAAATTGTATTCTAGATAAATAGTAGGCAATGCTCCTTTAAAATGGATACTGTAATCTAATTAATTTTGTTGATTGAATTAAAGGCTAATAAATATATCAACCACGTTGTGTTCCTTTAATAATAATAATAATAATAATATTTTGTCGCAGAAATATTTTTTTAAAAGTTTCTGCCTTATGAAGCGAGGTCTCGCCGCGAATAATTCAAAAGTCTCTCAAATGATTTAAAGGCGCACGCCGCCGCTGAAATCACCTGGATCCGTGACAACCAATCCAGCGGCTTCAACCTTGAACCTCGTATATTCCCATTGTGTTCTATCAATAGCCAACTGAGATTGAAGTTTTCGACGCGTCTCAAAATGCCTTCAAACGTTACCGTCGCCGACGGCACCTCTTCCATCTGACTCGACTTCTTCTCCTTCGGCGGACTCAGACCGCTCTTCTGCGTTTCTTGCAGCATTTTTCGATTGCTCGACGACGAATTTGATTTATTCTGAACGAACTATCGTCATTTTTTTCCAGCACGCTTCAAAAAAACCTTTCTGTTATTTGATTTCATATGAATTCTTTCCTTTTTTTCGTCTGAAATCTCCCAAAACCCTCATTATGCATTGCTTTTTGTGCGATTTCACTCACTCATTTTCTAGTAGTTTCAAGATTAGAAATGCGAGAACAAACACGCAAACAATTCATTCTATAATGGCACACAAGACTCGTTTTTTTTTGTTTCACAAAAATTTGGAATGTGTCTCGAATTGGTGGAACTTCTTCGCGTCCTCTTCTTTCAAATTGTGCATATAAATTTTGCACCGCCCGTAAATCGGCTTCATCTTGTAAATGACTCGATGAGTTGGAAGCATTTTCAGAATTTTCAGCTGTTCAGGCTTCATTTGGCGACCAGGTTGAACGAAACAGTCCTTATCTGGAAAATTGTTAATTGAAATTTTCGAACCATCAACAATTTTTTGGAATCGCAAAATAACAAGCACCCTGTGTAGATTTACGGTGTGTTTGTTTCACAGGTTATATGTAGTACGACACCTTCAAATTGATCGCGACAAGACACAACTCACTGTTTCGAGTAATTAAATAATTTGTTTTTGAAGTTTGCGATCATTTCAATTTCCTTATTATCAAATGTAAAAAAATTTAAATTATAGAAAGCTGAGTTTTCCAAAATTCCAAAAATTTTTTTAATCTGATTAAAGGCACACACACATTTTTAGACAGAGTCTCATCTAGCACCAGGCAATATTTCGGCGAAAATTAAAATTGAATCAATACGGTGAAATGCTGTGCAGTCACGTCGCCCGAACTTTGCGGACTTGCACTTTAATCTACGCCAAAATATTTCAAAGCTCGTTTGTCCCAAGTGCTAAATTTACAATTTTTTGATAAAACTTTTATTTTTCGATTATCACAAAAACGAGTGGTCATTTTCGAAAATATTTTGAATTTTGGGGCTGAAATAATCTGATTTTCGATATGCGATTTAAAAAAACTAGTAAAAAATCTATTCCATTTGAGAATACAGTTTTTAGAGGGAATTTTTATGATTCGAGTGAATTGAAAAGCTCACCAATATACAAAAAATCGCCTGGAAACACGTTATGAATCGTATGGTTTTCGGTGCGAATCGGCTGCGGGCAAATCGGCGTCCGATTGCAATATTCATCGCAATCCTCCCAATTTTCGATCTGCATGAATTTCAAATTTCGCAATTTCCAGGCTAAAAAGCTCGTCTACCTGCGACAATCGGGTTAGCATGTAAACCTGAGGCGGCGGGAGTGTGAGTTTGTCAGCAAATGCTTGTTCAACGCATTCAAGTGGATCAATCCAGCAGTAGTCCGACATTTCTGAGGTGCATAGGTCAACTTTTGGCTCTTCTGAATCTCAAAATTTTTCAAATTCCAAAGATTTCAGATCGAACCGTTCAGAACCCCAAGAAAGAATTTCGTGTAGAATCTTTTGGCGATGGTTGCCGGTGTCAAGAATGTCTCGAAGTCAAGCAGACGATCCGCGCAGAATTTGTGGGCGACCTTCGAGAACTCATCGGAATCGTTTTTGACGTTGTCCTTGATTGTCCGAAGATCACCGTCATCAACGGACGACTCGAATCCATTCTTGGTTAGCAGAATTCCGGACTCCTCGAATAATTCCTGCAAATTTCACGATTCCGCTTCGTCATCGATTCCGAATCGCTAGCACCCTAAGCGCGCAAATTCTGTAAGAATCGCCAAGCTTCTTGTCAACGTCGTCGACAACCCCACCGGGAAAAACCATCGAGTTGGGCATGAAGGTCGCCGTGCCTCCGCGCTTCAGCATCAGAATCTTTCGGGTTTTAGCGTTTGCTAAAAACGAAGGATCAAAAGCTGGAAATAATGCCGATTACCCAGCACAATCGAAGAAGCTTCTCTCCAAATCTTGGTCGCATTTGCGAAATTCATTCCTCCTTAAGAAACCCCCCAATTTTTTCATAAATCCCATTCGAATATAGTAGAAGGATGTGTTTGGAACACTTATAAAATCTAGACTAATTAGAATATTTAAATAATTTATATAAATAGAAGCTATTTACATGTTAAAAATTGTTTTAAGCAACTCTAGCCGCGGAAAATAAGTTCTGAATTGCCATCTCGAACGTATTTTCCGTGTATTTGACACCCTGTGGGAATACGTGCAAATTTTGGCAAATATCCAACAATTTGGCGTAATTTGGCGCAATCACGTGCTTCACTTTATTACGAACATTTGCGGCGATCTCGACATCCGAAATACAGTAATCCGCTTGCTGTGAAAGGATTTGGTCGAAATCTCGAACAAATGTCTGAAAATGTATTTTGGAAGAAAAAAAAATGCAATTCGACTTACACTCATAAGTTGTTTCGCTGCACCTTTGTCTTCTCCAATTTTATGAACAGAGTGCAGAATTCCAGCAATACTGTTCCAGCTGAAATATATTTAATAATGAAAATTACAGTTTTGATATTTAAAAATTATACAAATATATTGAATTTGGAATTGACGCCAAAATTTAAGTACACTATTTTAGTAGATTGCACATTTTATCTGAATATTTATGATTCTTAAAATATTCATCAGTTTACTTTTGTAGCAAAAATAAATAAGAAAAAATAAATAGGAAAGTTACTGTAGTGAGAAATGTGTGCAAACATCGTGACGCAAAAAACCGCACACATTTTTTCTTAAATTCAAAATTGATTTTCTCTGTTTTTCGCAATGATTAAAATTTTGTTTTAAACTTTTCACGTAAGATCCCATAAATCCAACCTTTGCATGTACTTCGTGATGCACGTCTCAATCTCGGAATGATAAAACGACAATATATTATCATTTTGCTCTGTTATAACCGGCAATAGGCCATCCTTTTCATCAGAAAGTGTCTTAAAAATACTATATTAAATCAAATTGATGAAAAATCAAAACCTTTGCAATATAATTATAATTATTGAGAAGGAAAATCGTGGCCAAAGTTGGATCGTCATAATAAGAAGCCTTTTTCTTCAACATATTTCCAAGATCCGAGAGAACCCGAGCTAAACATCAATTTTAAGAATTCTAAAAAATAAATGAAATGCCCAAAACATTACCAAAGAGTTTTGGAAGCAGTAAATTGGTATTCGAGCCGGATGGGGCTGTTATCGCCAAAACCTCTTGGGTTACGGTAACTCGGTGTACGGTAAGACTGGAAAGGAAGTTGAGAGTCTGAAAATGGCTAGATTTTCCGGAATAACGTAGATATATCATACATTTGCTGTTGTCGGGTGCACGTTTCCATCAGAAGGCACGAATTTGCTGGTGTCTTCTTTGAGATTCTCAACGGTTTCATTGATATAAGCAACGCATTTCAGCCGCAATTGTCTCATGAGAGAATCGAAATTCGCATCGGCCATACTATTCTTTAAAAACCAATCATCAATTCGAAAATGAAAAGAAAAATACAAAAAACGAACCGTTGAGAGGTTGTGAAGTCGAGTCGAATTTTGCGAAAGCAGATGAAGAAGGGGCAGAAGCGGCAGAATGCCGATGTCCTTTTCGCTGATGACTTTTGAGGTATGCGCGATGGCATATGATAGGGGTTTCGAGACGAGCTCGCGGAAAACCTAAAAATGTTTTCCCAAAAATTCGCCCAAAAATATTAGTCGAAAATTCACCATGAACCTATTTTTTCCCCATAAAACACATTTTTAAAAATTAAAAAATGAATCGTTTCAAGTAGTCCGAAAAATATTCATTTCACGATTGTAAACGTTTTTTGATAGAGAGGAACGGAAATGAATAAATTTTTGGTGATTTTCTTCCAAATTGAAGTTTTTTCGTAAGTTGATCAAGAGAATTTTCAATTATTTCGTATTGAAATCCACTTGATATCAATTTCCGAATTTTACCACAAAAAGTTGCAATTCCGGCGAAAAAAAAAAGATTATTTTTCTAAAAAAAACCCCAAAAATTTAAAATTCTAGAAAAAATCCAATTTTAGATAGATTTCAAGCTTTTCGTCAAAACTTGGCAACAAAAATTCAAGGAAAACAAGCTCACTTGGGCCCTTCTCGTGGTGTCCGGAATTGCTTTGACCATGAACCTCTCCTCGAGCTCCAACAGAGCCAGAAGTGCTCCGCACATTACGAGACAGCATTCAACATCCATTGATGATTCAATGACCTTCTCATTTTTGATTTGCGGCTTTCGAAGCATCGACCTTCAGAATTTCCAAATAATTTTCTTTTCCTCAATTAAATCTCACAGTTTCTGCCTTGAATTCAATAACATCGCCTTCTGCTCTTTGGAAATATTCTGAATCGTCTTGAGAAGTTGAGCGCCTCTCACGTCGGAATAATGGACTAGGAAATTGACACGCTGCTGCTGAAGAAGCCAAACACCGATTCGGATGATCTCCTTCTCGTCGTTGATAATTTTAAAGTCATTGAGTCGCTGGTTAACATCTAAATTTCCTCTGAAATTTCTCAAAAAAAAACTCAAAATGTGTACCTTCTTTCAGTTCAAAAGCTTTGATAAAAAACATTGGATCAATATTAGCACTATTTTTTTGTAAGCTTGATTTGTAAGCTTTCTCCAGAATCGTGAAACCGGTGTCAAGGGTCATTTTCTGAAGCAAAATTAAGAGGAATTGATATTTTTCATCAGTAAATTACCATATTTTCCGTTTGACTAGCATAATTTCGGTGGTTTTCAAAGAAAATGATGGCTTGCTGCAGACATTCCATATTCTCCAAATATGCATTCAAATCATTCAACGGACTTCCATCTCTAAAAATTTTAAAAACTTAAATTTGATTTTTTTTTCACATTTTTACCGAATCGCATTTTCTACGGTACTAGTTTTTCCGTAGAATTGTAAAGTTGCATCAATGGTATTTATTAGGCGTTGAATATCTTCAAAAAACTGTTTTATCTCCAAAATTTTCATCGAAACTCTCTTACTATGCTGCTTTTTCTGTAATTTTCCATTGGAAATATGCATGGGGAGAACATTTTTCTCTAGTGAGCTTAGTCTCTGGTCGAATTTTTCGACGACTTCCTCAATTCCTTTTCGAATTTGCCCGCTTTTCGCAATATTCTTTTGAAATGTCTGTAACCATTCTTCTTCCTAAAATGGAGTAAAATTTATGCAAATTTTTTTCAGTAATCAAATTTCTACCTGTGCTAATTTTTTGCCTATAGATTCGGTATTGTTCGTATCTACCATCAATCTGAACTTTTATTATTTCCATTAAAAAAAACCATTTCAAAATACTCAAAATTCAAGCTTTAAAGTGAATTTAAAAGAAAAAATAAGTGACTAGTCCGTGTGGACTACAAAACTACCATGAATGGCCTAGAATTTTTCTCGGTCACACTCGATTTACCAACACATCTTCGATGGAGCGCACTTTCTCTCATATAGCTGAATGGCGTATTAAAAGCTGAAATTTTCTGAATTTCAGGTAATTTCAAACTATGACGACATCAGCACTAGCAGCTTTCACGCGGACAGTGCTATTCCATCGATGTAGCTCATCCGGATTGCAATTTAATCCAATTTTGAGGGCCTCTTCCGCATTTTTCGCTACCGCCGCTAATTCGGCACCAAAACCAAACGTAAATGTTGGCACAATTGGGCATATTGATCATGGAAAGACGACTTTAACATCGGCGATAACACGGGTACAAGCGAAAAAAGGTAAAAATAGATTTCAAATAATTTAAATGACAGATTTTTATCAGGATTCTCGAAGCACGTCAAATTTGATGAAATCGATAAAGGAAAGGAAGAGAAAAAACGAGGAATTACTATTAATATTGCGCATATTGGCTATGAGAGTAATCTGAGAAGGTATTCACACACAGATTGTCCAGGCCATTCGGATTTCATCAAGGTTTGGAAATATTCGAAAATTCTTATACAACGAGAATTTTAGAATATGATTTGCGGAACTTCTCAAATGGACGTCGCCGTTCTCGTTATTGCTGCCACCGACGGAGTCATGGAGCAAACAAAGGTTTTACTCAAGCTTTAAGTTAATATTGGAAATTTTTAGGAGCATTTGATCCTTGCTAAACAAGTTGGAGTCAAACACATGGTTGTATTCATTAATAAAGCTGATTTAGTGGAAGACGATGTTCTAGATCTTGTGGAAATCGAAGCGAGAGAGTTGTTATCCCTACATGGATTTGATGGTAGCATTTTATCGATGAAAAATTAAAAAGCTCAAAATTTCTAGGTGATAATACACCGGTGATTCGGGGATCTGCTCTAGGTGCTCTTGAAGGCAGCAACACAGAATGTATTGATAATCTTCTCAACGCGCTTGATTCGCTTCCCCAACCGGATAGGAATGAGGTTCGAAAAATCCAAAAATGAACCCAACTGAGCTCGAAAATAACACAGAAAGAAGCTTTTGTGATGCCGATTGGCTCAAAAACCGCAATCACTGGTCGCGGAACGGTAATCGTCGGAACATTGGAGAGAGGAATTCTGAAGAAGGGTGACAAGGTCGAGATTAAAGGTGATGGGCAGGTTTTGCAAACTACGGCATCAGATATTCAAGTTTTTGGAAAAAGTGTGAAAGAGGTGGAGTTTTTTTTTGTTTATTTTTTTTACAAAAAATTATATTCAAGGTTCGCGCTGGAGATCATTGTGGAGTTCTCTGTCGAGGAATTAAGGCCGATATGGTCAAGAGAGGTTTCCCCCCATAATTTTTTTTTGAAAAAAAATTTGGTTCCAGGAATGTGGGCTGGCCATCCAGGCGGTGTAACCATCACCAATCACCTAATGGTTGAGTTGTATTTGCTAAGCGAAGCGGAGAATGGACGGAAAATTGGCATTCGGACGGGATTCACCGACAAGATGTATTGTAGCACATGGGATCAGGTAATTTTTCGTATCATTGTTTTTTGCCGCGAAAAGCTGTTTTCATTTTTTTAAATACCAATTTTGCGCCAAAATTGAGTGCAATAGGCTTCTCGCGCATTTCAAATTGTTTGAAAACATTGGAAGAAAAAATGTATTTGTAGAGGGAAAAATTCCGGGTGTACACCATAAAATTAGCGCAATATGAATGTTTTTAAAGGCGCATCGGTACCGAAAATCCTTTCTGGTTTCATTTATTATGAAAAACTGAATTGGACTATCATACAAAATCAATTACTTATTTTCTTGGCAAATTCTCACCACATTTAAAGGAGTACATTCGAAAACGTTGAAAAAATCTCGCGGCGAAAAATGTATGTTGTTTTAAGACAAGAATTTCCACAAAAAGTTCGCTATGCGCCTTTTTTTAAGTGACAGTTTCCAGCAAAAAATTCACTTTTTTTAGGTTGGCCGATTTGACATGAAGAATGAGCTTCTGATGCCGGGCGAGCACACATCAGCTCATGTGATTCTGATGAAAGAAATGCCGTTGAGAATCGGAATGCCATTCACGCTTCGAGAAGGTTCTAGCAAATCAACGATTGCCCGAGGAATCATCTCCGAGCTGAAATCAAGTGTGGCTATTGAGAATAATAATTTGAAAAAGTCGGCCGAGAAGCTCTCATAAGAAGAAATCATATGTTTTCTTCAAAAAAATCACTAGTTTAGTTGCTATTAGGCCAATTTGTTTATTGTTTATTGTTTTCGTTTCACATAATAAATATTTATCTTTGGATTTCACGTAGACTTGACCCAATGCAGTTGAGATTTCTGCAATTTATCTCAAAATTTTCGATTATTTTCCACAAAAATTTCTGTTTAGAATGTCGACAAAAGTGGATGAGGAGCTCGACAACTTTCTTTGGGGTCGCACCGATGTCAAGGATTATTTGAAAATGTTTGACGATTGGATCTCGCCGCGATTATTAGACAATTTTCTAGGGTCGCCGAATGCGATCGCTCGGTGGCGGAATCATTAAATCGAAAAGTCGCCGGATTGCACGAGACGCTCGACAAACAGCTACGGAAAGGCGTCGAAACGAATCTGCCGCGACTTCTTGAGCAGGTTCCGGCTCTTCAGTCGCTTGAAGACACGCTGCATTCGGTTCAGATGAGGATGTCGTCGGTGGCCGCCGAATCGAACAGGTGCGTTGAATCGCGATTCATGAAAATTGGCGTATCTTTTTCAGATTGTCGACGATTTGTGGCGAATTGTCGACGATGTTGCGAGAGCAGACGAAACAAATGGAATCGACGATGATTCGACGGAATATGGCCGCTGATACTCAACGATGTGAGGAATTGTTTGAATCGTTGGAGAAGCGCAGCGATTTGGTCAAAAAGGCTGAAATTACGGCTGAGGTTTTTTTGCTTATTCGTTTTTTCTTCTATTTAATTTTGAGATAATTTCAGATTAAAGAGATTCTGAAGGACAATGAGAATTTGAGAAAGATTGGTTGGCTGAAAAGTTTGATTGATACGAAATTGAGTGTGGCTGAGAATGAGGTTCGCAGGAATGGTGCCGAAGAGCTCAAACGAGGACTATCGTCGCTGAATAGCTCATTGGTAGCCTCGTCGCAGAGAGCACTGAGCACATTGAACCTTCTCGATTGTAAGTGAAATTCAATTTGCGGACATGTGGGTTGGAAGAAGAAATCGAAATTTGTTTGATTTTGAAATTTTATCAAATGTTGTCAAGAATTTTCTTTGGTGCTTCTAAAAAAAACTACATTTGAAAAATTCAAGAATTCCAAAAAAAGACTTTTTGAACCGGAAAATTACTTATTATTGCCTCCCAATCTTTGAAATTCAAAAATGTGAAGATTTTGGCAGAGAATTTCTGAAAATCGGAATTTTTTTTTAGAATTTTCAGTTTTGAAAACATTGAGTAAAAATACCCGAAAGTTGGATAGATGACGAAAACAAAAATGTTTTTTTTTTCTTTCAATTTTCAGCCGAACTTGACGTTTTATTGTCGTCGTCGATTGTGGAACTTGACAAGAAACTGATGGAATTGTCCGGCGCGCCGGAAATCGTCAACAAATCGCTTCCGGTCGTCGCTGCGCTGATTCAAACGCATCTGGAACAGGCGGCGATGCTTGGCGATGGTTATCGGAAAAAGTTCTCGGAAAAATTGGCGAGACTAGTGAGATCGAGGGTCCCGTTGGATACGCCTTATGCGCTCCGGTAGGCAATTTGCATAGAATGATTAATATCGATTTTTGGTGAATAAAGGGGGATGATAATTAAAAGTCGAACATGGGAGATCGCTTTTTATTATTTGCCTGCTTATTGGCCAAAATTGGACCTAAAGTGAAATAGAAGCTTGCAGAAAACGAAAAATAGTGTAACTGAAAAAATTTCCAGATTTGTCCAACACCTTGGTCGTGTCTTCAACGCTAAAGGAGATTGTGCTCCAGTGCTCAATGACTCCCTTCGACCTTTGAAGAATGCGCTTCTCACTCATTCTCTTGCTCGTCTACATCAGATTGTTGAGGAGCACGACTTTTCCACAGCGCACGCAAACGCTTTTGTCGATTTGGTACCATTTTTCGAAATTTGTTTTTTTTTTCCAATGAAAATACAATTTTTTGTAAGATCAACTCGGCGATGGAAGAAGAATTGAAAAAAGTGGATTGGGATGCGGAATTGAGCCAAAAAATGCACACGAATATTCAAAAATGCATTGAGATGATCGCGAAGAAGCTCGAAGCGAACTTGCATTTGCAGCGAGATGATCTTTTGCTTGGTTTTTTTTTTTTAATTTCTTCTCTTTTTTCAAGAAATTGTTTAATTTTGAATTTTAGGCGATCGATTGACGGCTAATCAGATGACGAATTATCGATTGATTCAAACCGCCGACGGAATTGTGAAACGATGGCCGCAAGAATCGAAAAGTGTGCAGAATGTGCAGAAATCGGCACTGGATGAGATATTGAACGAAGTGAAAGTCTCGGTTAGAGCGATCATGTCGAGAATGCATATCGAGAAGAGAGGCGCCAAATCGATTTCACCTTATATGCAGGTAACAAGCTGAATATGATTCGAATGAATCTTTGAATTGAATCAATTGAAGTCGCAATATGAAAAATTATTATCGCCAAGAAATTGGTGTTGATTTTTTTATAAACCCTTTTTTAAATTTTGAAATTTTTCATTTTCCCCATAATCACTCAATTGATGTTGAGGTTTTGGGTAGATTTAGTCACTTTAAAGGCGCATGCCCGCAGAAAAATGTTAGGAATTTCATAAATTAATTTTTTTATGTTCTTACTTCCAAGAAATCCATATTACCAAGAAAAGAATCATTCGAGACATATCAATGTGCGCCTTTAAATTGTTACACTAGAAGTTTGATTTTGCAGGAGCTTCTCACTTATGCGACTCACATCGACATGCACATGGCGCACGTCTCGCGCGCGGTTTGTCATTCTCATGTGCTCTCGCAAATCGCTGAGTACGTTATCGAATCATTTGTGCTCAACGCGTCGCTCGTGCGCACATTCGGCACCGATGAGCGCCATCTCATCGTCATCGACTTCTCGCGTCTTCTCGAAGCGGTCCGATCGATGGAATGGCCGTCGAAGTACGGCGACACGTCGAGATTTTTGGATTTGTTCAGCGATGATATCGATATGATGTGCAAGGTTCGAAAATTTGCTGGAAATTGTCTGAATTTTGGCCTCCCTGATTTTGTTTGGAAGGAAATTTTCAAGATTTTGAAGTCAATTTTGGTTCAACCTAATTTTAGTTCAAATATTGTAGGTCGAAGGAATCCGAAAATCGATATTTGTCCATCTTTTGATCTCTGATAGTCCGTCGGATTTGATGAGTCCGCACGATTCGGTGGATTGGACGGTACGCATTTTCTACCAATTAAAAAAAACCCTTCTCATTTGAAATTTTGTAGATTGAAGAGTACACGAAATGGTATGAAGAGCACACAGAGCAGGAGATAATTGCGCTATTAAATGGGCTCATTTCGTCGTATAACTCGCTAGTGATTTCGAAAGGCCAACAACAATATGTTGAGCATTATCCGAGAATTCTCAAGCTTCTTGCAGAATCGTTCTAAACAAATTTCAATAATGGGAATTAATTCAAAATTTATTTATTTATTATTATTAACATGGGCGGGTTCATTGTGATAGAAAATAAAGATATTAATTGATTTAAATTGATTTTTAAAATAGTATGTTTCTCCCTATTATTATATCTTTGAAAATTCTTTTTCTTTTTTCAAAAAAAAAATATTTTTTAGAATGCCGCAAAAAGCGTCGAAAACGGAAAAGCGAAGTTTAGATAAGACACCAAAGGTGGAGAAAATGACACCGGAGAAACCATCGACTAGCGGGGCTTCGATAGACGAGGACATTGGCGACGATGATGAGTGGGAGGAGGTGACAATGGCGGTTACGGTAGGGTTTTGCGATAAAATGTTGAAAATTCGGAGCTGATATTTAGGTAAATGGAATTTTGGATGCTGAAACGGCTCGTGTTGCGATTCGCGACAAACAGGCGGTTTTGAGATTCGCCGAAACCGACAGCCCAATTTTGCAGGTAAATAATGAGGAGAAATGCTATTTGTGCAGTGCAGTATTGCGTCTCGGTGAACTGCGGACTTTTTTGAAATTCAAAAATTTGATCACCAAATTTTTCGGCATTTTTTTTGATTTCTCCTCCAGAACCCCTCGATTTTAATATTTTCAGTTGAACAATGCGGTATATACGGCATCTTGGTGTGAGGCTGTCGGCACCAATCTGATTCTTCAGCTGAAAAGCGGTGCGAATGAGAAATTCGAGGTCTCGCCGCGCATATATATATTTTTTATGAGATCCAACTTGCTTGCAGGTCCTCTCGTGCACTTCGACGATGCTTCAAGCGGAAAAAGCGCTTCTCACGTCGACGGAGACCGCCGGAGCAGACGAGACGGATAGTGCGGCTCTCGGAAACGTTGTCGGCCAATAGCTGATATTTTTTTTGTCTGTGTTCCACAAAAGACGACAAAAATGACAAATAAGCGAACGTTTTTTCTTCATTGTGAAAAGAAATTGGCAAAAAAAGTGAAAGTCGCAGGCGTGTCAAAGAAAATTGCAAAGAGTTGGTTACCAGGAGAGCGGTTAGAGATTAGAACGGCTTCGTCTCGTTGTGTGTCTGTGTGCGTATGGGGGGGGGGCGTCTCCTCTGAGGCGCGCAGATGGGCAGAGTGAGAAACGCGCCCGGCCTGGCCCGACCGACCCGGCTGGCCGGGGGTGGTGGCACACGCACAAAAAATTTTTTATTGCCACGGCCCTGAAAAATTTAAGAGCAAAAAATGTTTGAAAACGTTCGATTTCACCTTGAAAATTTTATTGTTACACACCTGCGATCGACACGAGAAAACGCCAAAAATTGTCACCATATTTGACCTTTTTCGCACCCAACACCTGTCGACTCATTGGTTCTATCGATTTCTTTGTTTCGTTGTTTGATATTTCATTGTTATCGAATAAATCGCGAATTTTCACAATTCCTCTATTTTTTTTTCGTTTTTTTATGGATCCAATTGCTTCCATTTACGAATATTTTTCACGTGTGTTGGTCTTGTCGACGAAAATTATGATCGAAATTGCAGGATGGTGTCGACGCGACGTGCAACGCGTGCTCGTTCTGGCACGATGACGCCGCAGGTTGAGGCGTTGCCGGCGACGAAGCGGCGCGGAAGGCCGCCGAAATCGAAGACGAGCACGCCAGTGAGAACGACGAGAAAAGGTGCGGTCGAAATGCGGAAAATTCGCTGGAAAATTGATTTTGGCGAGAAAAATTTGAATTGAAAAAATAATATCGAATTTTTTGGCAAAAAAAATTGCTGAAAAATGTTTCGAATTACGATTTTTATCAAATTTTCTTCAAAAATTAAGTAGTAGAATATATTTGAAATGTTTAATCTCAAAAAATGGAAGTTTTTTGATTTTTCGCTCATGGTTTTCAAAAAAACTGGGAAATTGTAATTTTATCGATAAATTGAATAAGAATATTCAAAAATACAATTTTTTTGTATCTTCATTTTAGTTGTCTAATAAGATTCCAAATTTCGTTTTAAAAATTGAAGCGTTTTTAGAATAGAAAAATCAAGTTCGCCCGATTTCAGGAAAGTTGAACCAGCCGAAAACTATAGAGAATGATGATGACGAGGTGGTGATACCGGTGCCGAGTTCGCCGCCGACGACGCCCAACACAGAGCAGCAACTAATATGTTATGAGACGAAAAGCATTGAAGACGCTGAGGCCGATGACGCATCGATCGATAAAGAATCGACAACAAGCGACGAAGTTTGAAATCGATTGGTTTTGTCGCGCAAATGTATGATCTAATTTTTCAGCTGACGTCATCGCAAACCGATCCTGAGCCGGATAATCATATTAATAATGAGAGTGACGAGAAGCTGAGCGACGAGCATGACGATGAAACATCGACGCCTTTGGAGGGAAAATCAGATTCTGATGAGAAGGAAGCTGAAGAGACGACTAGCAAGGTTGAGAAGGATTCAGAGCCGGAGCCCGAGAAGGGAACTGAGCCGGAGCCCGAGCCTGAAAAGGTTTCTGAACCAGAACCGGAAGCTGAGAAGGATTCTGAACCACAGCCGGAAGTCGAGAAAATAACTGAGGTTTGTAGGTTTTCAAAATTTGTTTTCGCCAGCAAATTCGCTCTTTTTATGCCTATATTATTACCATACAAATTATCATAGAAATTGCATATTTGAATAGATCTATTGAAGCGCTGTCTTGCAGGAGCCGACAAGCGGCGTCGCCGACGATTCAATGGATATCTCGGAAGACGAACCCGAAACTCCGCCGATTGTAGGATTTTAATTTTGAATTTGACACCAAAACTCATATTTGACGTTTTGTGTTTAGAATCAAGAGCCGCATGAGGAGCCGTCTACTACTCAACCGCCGCCGCCTCCTGAGGTCTTTCCTGCGCCGCCACCTCCTCCAGCTCCTTTGGAGGCAGCATGGGAGCCGAATGTGCAGCCGAGAGGATCGACGGTCACGATGGACGTGCGGCCGAGGAAACGAGTGCACATATTCCATCCGGCGGCGGCCGCTTTTGACGATCCAGTTCCACCGCCACCGCAACCGCCGACGTTCTACCCGCCGGCTGGAGTTCGAATCAATCATAAATTCAAGATTGTGCTTCAGCCGAGTGGTGGAAGTGGAGTAAACGCTGAGCCGTCTGCCGCGGCTCCTCCTCCACCACCTCCTCCTCCTGAACCGCCCGCGCAACCCGTTGAAGCGCCGACGATCATTCTTCCGCCGGCGCCACCGCCGCCGCCGACGGCGACGGCGACGATACCCGCCGCGAGCTTGTCACCGACTAAACGTGTCTCGCAGTTCGGATCGACAGCCACGAACATTCCGCCGCCGAAGGTTGTGCAAATTCCGACGCCCTCGTTCATGTCGCCGAAAATTGACGAGAGGAAAATTGACGAGAATCAAGAAAAAGTTCCCGCGAAAAAGGATGTTGATAAGGAATTGGTTAGTCTTTTTTTTTTGTTCGGTGTGAAAATTTCGAAAATTCCGATGTTTTACACCATTTTTAAAAGCGAAAGTATTTAAAATTGGATTTTTCATATAATATTTATTAAAAAGAGGTTGGCGAAGGCGGAAATTCAATTATTACAAAATTGGCCCTAGCGTCTCCAGCAATATTTCGCGAAAAATTGGTTTTAAATTCATTTCTTTGCAGTTTTCGAACATTTTTTCGGATTACTGTAGTTTTTAAAGGGACATGATGTATTTATTGAATCGTGGTCTTCACGAGAAATCCAATAAAACGATGTATTTTATTCTGAATTTCAATTTTTTTGTCTCGTCTCAGAAAGAAAAAGCGGCGCGAATCGCGGAATTGGTGAATCAGCGAATGCAGGCCGACAAGGATAAAGAGGAAAAGCATCGTGAGGAGGTAATTTTATTGCAACAGAAAATTTTCGAATCTGATTCATTTTTTAATTTTTTTTTGTAGGAAGAGAAAAAGAAGGAATTGATGAGCAACATTTCGCCGAAAGAGGAAAAAGAGCCGGTTAAAGTGGGAGTCATTTCTTTTTCAAGTCGAATAATACCCAAATTTTAATTTCTTTTAGGAGACGAAGAAAGTAATTACGGTGAAGCCTGAAGAAATGGTTGTGCCACCATATGAATATATCCAAGAATGCAAATATTTGATGAAGCCGACGAAAAAGTACACCGAAGGCGATGAGTGAGCTTTTCCTATCAGATTTTCCCCCTATCTTCTCCCTCTTTTTTTTTGTCAGATGTCATTGTTTTTCGAAAGGATTGAATTGTTCGGACAACTCGTGCGATAATGTTGCGATGAATATGGAATGTCCGTCGTCTTGTCGAGCCAAATGCAAAAATCAGCGATTTGCGAAGGTTTTTAATTGTTAATTTTTTTTGCTTGAAATTTGCCGAGTTTTTAGCGAAAATATGCGAGTGTTGAAGCTTTCCATACGGGAACTTTGAAAGGATGCGGTTTGAGAGCGTGCAAGGATATTAAAAAGTGAGTTTTTTTTTAATTCTCATCGAAAATTATTGAAAATTGAAAAGAAAAATGGATTTTGATAACAAATCTTCACGAATCTCTTAAATATTCGTCTTTTCAAAATATTTTTTTTGACAATAATATTTAAAAAAAAAAGTTGATTTTCCACTTTTTTGAATCGAAAAGGTTCAAAAATTAGAAATTTTATTTTATTTTGAATAATTGTTTTAGAAAAATGAGAATTTTTATGTGGGAATTATATTCTCAGCTATAATGATGATTTGATGAAATTTTGCAATTAATTTCCATCATAATTTCTGAAAATTGCAATTTTAGAGAGAATTCAAATTATTTTCGATTATTTTCTCCCAACTTTCTATTCCACAAATTTTTTTTCGCAAAATTTCAGAGGCAAATTCATAATTGAATATGTTGGCGAGATGCTCGAACGTGATGATTATGAAAAGCGAAAAGAGAAATACGCGTCTGACAAGAATCACAAGCATCACTATCTGTGCGATAACGGACAGTATACGATTGATGCGACGAGAATGGGAAATCCGTCGCGATTCATAAATCACAGTTGTGAGCCGAATGCGGTTTGTCAAAAGGTTGCCGCGAATTTTTTTTTGTTCTTTCAAATTTTCAACAAATTTTGGATTTTTAGTGGTCTGTGCCGAAAACGCCGGGCGATGTGCATCGGATTGGATTCTTCGCGAAGCGAAATATCAATGCCGGCGAGGAAATCACTTTTGACTATCAATTTGCCAATTATGGGTACGAATAAGCTTCGATTAGCTGCTGCACATTTTTTTTCATGGTTTTGGAAATTTTGTTTGAATTTTTGTTGACTCAAATTGGGGATTTCACGAACATTTTGAATTGATCACTTCAAAATTTTATTTTTTAAGAGAATTTTGAGATGTTTTAGCTTAAAAATGGAATTTTTTACATTCTCGAACGAAATTTTTAATTATTGACTCCAATTGTTGATATATGGCCCATTTTGAGCATTTCTAAAGTTTAGAAATGTAAAAAATGCAAAAAAATCAAAAACTTATAGAAAAGAAGCCCAAGAATGCTTTTGTGGAGCTCCTTCGTGCACCGGATGGATCGGATCGAAACCTGAGGATCTGTCGGATGATGAGGACAGTGATGATGAGGATCTTGTATTCAACGAGGTCGATGAGAGCGAGGAGGCGATTCAGGAGGTTAGAGGAATATATTGAGCATTTTGTTGTTATTTCTAAATGAATTGCAGATAATGGGAATGAACGGACTCCAGCGAAAAGAAGCGATTCAGTATGCGCTGGATGATCTCGTCATTAAGAATCGGAAGCATGCGAAGAAGGTCATGCAGCTTATTGTGAGTGGAATCTATGAAAAAAAAAAACGAGGAAAATTGAAAATTTTTAGCGTTTGATGACCGATTTTGATCAGAAGAATGAGATCATCGACATGATTTTCTCCGAGGACACGGTACCTTTCTTTGTTTTTCTCGCAATTTTGCAATATTGTTTTAGTCGCCAAAAATCCAAATATATTATGCGAATGAGGGAATGTTCACGTTGATCTACGAGTGGCTCGATCGAAAAGATTTCTCGTTGGCGAATTTGGAATTTATGCAGAAACTTTTGCAAGTTTTGCATGGCGAAGCGTTCTTGCAAGCTGTGGTAGGTTTACAGCGAAAAAAAATTTGAACGAAATGGAATTTGCTACGGTTTTGTAGTATTTTTAATTAAAAAAATGGAAAAATTGACAATTTCGGCCTTGATTTGACGTTTTCATTATGAAACGAATCGTTTTTATTTTCAGCGAAATGACAAAACTATGCTGCCGCTTATCCAGAAGCTCGCCAAATGGAATAGCAATCCGATGGAGGTTGACATTCACGCGACAATTGAGGGAATGTTGGAATCGATTGATTCGCCCGGCGAATGGGAGCATCAGTGTCAGCGGATTGCGGTATTTCACGATGTGCCCTGCCAAAAAAATATTTGAATGGATTATTTTTTAGAACGAAATCTCCGAACATATCGGACGGGTTCAGAATTTGGCGAAACGATTGCATACCCACTGGTTCAATCGATCGGTGTTCTTCAAAATTCCGAAAAAGGTTGGTCTTTGTTTTTTCGAACGATCAACATTCGACAATTATTTCTTGAATTTTGTGCGTTTTTTATTCAAGAAAAAAGTGAAAAAATGTTTATTTTTTTTTCAATTTTGGTTATAGTTATAAAATTGCAGGCAATTTTTGCCGAAACTTAATTTTTGATTTTAGACGTGCAAAATTTCTTTTACAGTGAGGAAAATTATGAAAATTGCAAAAATTTGGCAAAAAAAAATTGATTACTCGATTTTAGAAGCCCGCTCCTGAGACGAAATCCGTCGAATCGACGTCGCGATCAGCTAACGATCAGACGAATGATGAGAATCAATCGTATTCGTCGTCATCGTATCAGTCGTCGAAACCCGATTATCATTATTCGTCGCATCGCTACGACAAAGAATATTCGTCGAGGGATTATGATGAAGGCTATTCGAGATGGAATCGAGATTCGGGAAGCTATTACGGGACCAGCGAGAAAATGTATTTCAGATACGATCGAAAGGGTAACGTTGAGAGGTGTTTGGTTGATTTGTGAGCATCAAGTGATTTCAGACTCGAATCGCAAATTCCACCGAAGATCGCGAAGTCGGAGCAAAAGTCCGAAGAGGCGACGAACTGAGGATAGGTATCGTCGACGAACGCCGGATCGGCAGAGGACGACACCCGAGAACGAGGTAGTTGATTTATTTCAATGGCGACTCTCAAAAAATGCAGGATGGTCGGTTTTTTTCAGAGAGCTTCTTCTACTGGAACCCCGTCATACGCTAAAGGATCTGAATCGTATCCAAAGCTGAACGCGACTAGTGCCAGCTCGTCAAATACAATTCAGGCTCCTGGAGTTGCGCCACCGATGCCGCCGCCGCCACCGATGGGCTATGGAGCTTATCCCTATCGTGAGGATTTCAATATTCAAAAAAAAAGACTTTTAAGACATGAGCTTTTAGAGTTTTAGAAGGCGAACATATGATTGTGCAATAGTTACAGAATCAAAAACATTTTTTAGGAACAATGAAAAAAGAACCCGAAAAATGGGATTTTAAGAGAGTTCTAGATAATCTTTTCTTTTGAATTATAATTAAAATACAAAATTTTGCATATTTTTGCCCGCTTTTAATTCAGAATTTGCCTTTTTTTTTGAGGCCGGTAAACTCGCGAATTCAATTAACGTCGTATACAATTGGTACAAAATTGGTACCTATAGGTTATTTTTCATGCTGAACACGATTTTGACACTGGTTGGTCTCAAAATATCGAAACCATTGCGCGGCGCTCGAATTTGCATTGTACTCATTAGAAAACGTCAAATTTCTTGACTATTACTCAATTTTTTTTCTCCAGCCGGAAGTTATGAGCAAGCCGTCTCATTCTATAATCAATCTCAAGTCAATGGAATGAATCCGCATCCGCACATGTACGGACAGCAGATTTCGGCGATGTATGCGCATTGGCCGAATCCGTTTGATCGCGAAGAGGATTGGGACAATTGGGGAAGCGAGCGCGGTTGGATTCAGAAGCGACGGACCATCACCAAGCACAGCTTTTTGACGCGAGATGAATATAATTCGTTCTATGAGACGCAGAGTGTCGAATATTTGGAGTAAGATTTGATTTTTATTTAAAAGTTTCCCCTTCAATCGTCAATTTTCTTTTTTTTGCAGTAAACGGAAGAAGGATCTGATGGAGGAGTTTCTATCGATTTGTGAAAAGCGTGCGAGAAAAATTGTTGAGGAAGAAATGAAGCAGAAACTGGTAACGAACGCTTTCTTTTTGAGGAAAAACCAGACGTTTCAGAGTATGCTTGAAGCTCAGCTTCGCTCGAATTTTGACGTGAAGCTCGAAAAGGAGGTTGAGGCTCGTATGCGGAATCAAATGCAAGCTCCGCCGCCGGTTATCGATATCGCTCAACCGTCGGCGCCTCAAATTGTTGCGGCACAACCATCTGATGCCACCGTCGCCGTCGCACCGGCGTCGAAAAACAAAGGCAAACGGCTTTGGGCGAAGGCGAAATCGGACACGGGCGAATGGTATTATTATAATACGGAGACGAAAGAAACGCAATGGTCGCCGCCGCGACCGGAGCAAGGTGAAATTGATCCGGCGTTTTGTACGCCGCCGGACACCACGGAAGCGTCGATCGGAATGTCTTGTAACTCGAATGAATCGGAAGAGGTGGTTATTTCTTTTTTTATTTTTTTGAGAAATTGGATGAAATTTTTTTTCATGAAATTGCGGACAATGCATTTTATTTGACGACATTTTGAACTAATCTGGAATTTTCATTATTTTTTCAATTTTCTTCTAAAATTTAATGAAGTTTTTTTTTATTGCAGAAGGGTCGTAATGGATCGAGCTTGTCTGAGCGCATTGGCGAGCTCATTGATCAAGCGCCGCCTGAAGAGTTGACGATTGTGCATCGCGAGAATGAGGAGCGTGAACGAGAAGAGGCGAAGCGGCGATTGAGCGAGACGAATAGCCGCGAAGCCGATGAGGCGAAACGAACGATGGCGTTGGTGAAAGGATTTAGGAAGCAGATTGAGCAGGTGGTACTGCCGTTGGTTAAATCGATGCTCAAAGATGCTCCTGGCGTATCGCAGGAAAAAATGGTTTGGTATTATAAATTGGTGAGAAATTCTTTTTGTGTGATTGAAATTCGATTTGAATCGATTTTTTTTAGATTACCAGTGAGATGCTCAAACGGGAAAATAATGGGGTTCGATTGAGTTATACATTGGATTCGGATACGAAGAAGAAGGTCTGATTTTTATTTCGAAAGATTCTCGATTGGGGAGGGGGGTCTGAAACCAAAATCCCCGAAAATATAAACTTTTATTTCTTATCCATTTATAGTAATTTTGTGGAAAAAATTTTGCGTTTATAGAAAGACCCAAAAAAAAAATAAAAATGTCCATAACTGGTCTCAAAGCGATCAAATTCCAATTTTCTTTAATGTTTTCATTTTAGGTTCGAAAATACACAATAAGCCTTCTGGAGCGAAAATTGCAAGGTGGTGCTTCAGCGTTGTGGAAAGATTTCCGATCAATGGAGAGAAAAGCGTCGGATAACGCGGAATCATCTCAGGTGTCGTCGATCTAGGGCGCGAATTACGAGTATAGACCCATTGCCAACTGACATGGTCCGTTTAAAGGGAAATGGATCGTTGGTTTTTTAATCGAAATGTATGTCGAATAGGAGATTGTTTGAAATTTCATTTGTTGTTGCTGTTTTAGGAGATTGTTTCCTGTAAACTTTCTGATTTCATTTTTTTTTTCATTTTTTCGTGTACCTCTTCCTATTATCATTTGCTTCTATTGTTTTATAACAGTGATCTCCAGAATTGTTGGCTGCTCGTCAACGAATTTTTCTATGCACGAATCATTCAATCAATCAATTAATTAATTAATTAATAATAATTTTTGAATCAGATATAAGGATTCTAATATGAAAATCTTCTGTTGTTGTTTAAACTGTCCGGCACAGATATTGTTGTTGTTCAATTTTTTTGAGAATAAAATGCCATTTTTCATGTGTTTTTTTTCCAATAAAATGTGATATTCTGCATTTTTTGGGTATTTCATTTCTTGCGAATTTTTTTGATATTAAATCGGATGATTTTAGATGGCCACCAAACGGGTTACTGTCAAAATTGAGCACACTAAAAAGACATTTTTTGAGAAGTTTGAATTTTTGAGAATAGGGGTATTTTTTGTATATTCCATTTTTAGGCTTTTAAATACCATGAAAATCGATTTGGAGGATCGAAAAGTAAAATATGTGATGTATAATGCGTTGGAGAATTTGAAAAAGGTGCCATTTGAGATGGAAACGATTGTGGATTTGAAGAATGTCCAAGGTGGGCGGAGTCTGGCGCTTTTCGTCGTAAGACCGGCGGCAGATGTCGTAAAAAATCGAACAATTTTGCCCAAAAACAGATTTTTTTGCCTGAAATTGACAAATTTTTAAGTTTATACATTTAAGGAAGCCTGAATTTTTGCTATATGTTTGAGATACTGCGAAACCAAATTTCTTTGATCAAAATTCGAAGCGCCGCCCATTTCGATGCGAAAGCAGACGAAATTTTCTAGAATTGAAACGATTTTGTTGATTTTCAGCTAGATTTGTGTACGGCTTTCGGTTAAAAAAAACATTTATTTTTTTCTCAATTTCCATTTTTCGTCTAATTTTGTTCGGAACTTTCCAAAAATAATTTGAACGAAATTCGCAATGCATTTCTTTTTTTTCGGAATATTTTCAAATTGTTCAAATTTCCTCCTCAGGGAAATGAGAATCAATCGGATTCGATAAAAAATGAAATTAAAATACACCTGATTCGATTGAAATTCGATTTGAAAACTTGGTTTCAATTCAAAAATCTTCGAAACGATTGATTTATTTATTATTTTATATTTTGAAATCGAATTCGATTGAAATTTTGGAATAATTCAAAACATATTAATTTACTATCGATTTCGATTTTGAAAAAAAAATTATTTTCGTGTTTTGTAATGATTTTCCCAAAGAAAATTGCCGATCCGATTAATTTTGGAAAACAAAAACAAAACTGTTTTCGAAGCCGCTTGATTTTCATTTTTTTGCTATTTGTTTTGCTCGTGTGATAATTGTTCAAGAATTTTCAGGAATTGGGGACAACATTGCCGTTAAATGTATGGATGCTTGGAATGCGGCATGTGAAGAGCACGGTTCGGAACTGACGCTGAAAGACGTCAAGAAGCTTAAACATGGTTATTTTTTTTTAATTTTTGAACTTCGCTACTCAAAATTGTTTAGAAGATTATCAAAGATTCCAAAATGGTGCTCGAAATCCGAACGAAGTGGTTCGGAGGAAAGAGAATATTGAGAAGAGAAGCTCGAAAATTGTGAATGATGAGTTTCGAGATTCATCCGATGAAGAGGCTCCAATTGTTCCGGAGAAGAAGAAGAAGATAATCTCACGAACGTCGATGGTGAAGACGAAAAGCTTCCAGGTGCCGAAGGCGTCGATTCCGACAACTTCAATGCAACGATCGACGAGTTGCACCGATTTGGTGAAAGAAGATTCCGTGAATTTTAACACAATTACTTGTAAACCGTATGAGAATCCAAGGGTATTCCGGACTCGTTTTTTATTCGCACTCGAAATCGCCGCTTCCTTCAGGTATTCTTGATCGCTGATAACCGCGAACATCGAGACAATCGGCCTTGCAAATCGGTTATCGAGCATTTGGTGAAGAAAAATGCGATAAATGTCGAATTGAAAACAATCATGATGGGAATCAAAATTCGAGATTTGCAGGTCGACATCCGATCGTTGTCAGTTGGCGACTATTTATGGATATGCCGAAAAATCGATGGCACTGAAATTGTGCTTGACTGGGTTGTTGAGCGAAAAACGTGGGACGATTTGAAGAGCAGCATTATTGGGGTGAGATATTATTATTATTCGCATTCTTGATTTCGAATTTGGCCAGGGACGATATGACGAGCAGAAAGCGCGTCTCGGAATGGCTCCAATGCGTCATCGAGTCTACCTGATCGAGGCCAAATCGATGGGAGACGTCGCTTGCGAGCAGGCGGTCGCGTCGACGTTGTCGAATGGAGGCTATATGATTCAGAGATGTTCGGACACTCGAGACACCGCCGCGTTTTTGGCTGAAATTACACTGAAATTGCAGAATGAGGCGACGAACTCAGAGGTTTGTTTTTGTCGGTTTTTTAAGGGGAAGAAAAGTAACCTAGAAACTCGATGAAAAACGAAAAACGTAATTGAATTGCTTTTTTTTGTCGTCAATTAAAATGCACATGTCCGCAATGATTTCAATTTCGTTGATTTTTAAAATTCCTGAATAATGACCGTTTCTACTCTTCCGTTTTCTATCCTGCTTATATGTATTTAGGTTTAATGTAGAAAAAATCTAACAAAATTGAAAAATCGTCTGGAAAAATCATAAAATGATTTTGCAGAAATTCAATCCAAGTTTTGAATAACGAAAAATTAAAGGCGCACTATATTTGTTCCATTTTGCGACTAGAGATGGCTCCGAAAATCTTTGCATGTTCCTTTAAATTAAGCAGGAAAATCAATAAAATATATTGAGAATCAAATATTCAACAAAGAACTCCTCAAAATATTTTATTTCGAAGTACCGATTAAAGGAGCATTGCGTCTTCTAGATTTATATTTCCAAAACGAAAATTACTCCAATTATATGGCTAAATAATACAGTTTACTAATCCAGATCTGCGGTGTTCCATTCAATCAACTCCAAAATCTGCTGAAAAAGAAGAAGGCCGAAACCGTCAAAGATTTGTGGGTCCGTCAACTGATGGTATGTCCCGGAATGTCATATTCGCGTGCCGACGCCATCGCCGATCGATTCCCGTCGATGCCGGCGCTTCTAACATTCTTCCGCGAGAACGGCGACGATTCTCAAATCCATCTTCTCCACATTCTACCGCAACTCACTCGTCCAATTATCAGGAATCTGTTCAAATTTTTCGTCGCATGATTTATGATGTAAAAATGATTAAAAAAAACAACAACAACAACAACAACAAAAAATAAACAATAAACAATGGAAAGTTGATTTAAAGGGTGCTCTCGTTTCTCAAATATTCTCCAAGATCGCATTGATGTAAAACGACGAGAGCCGTCGGATCGGCGCGTTTGCTGTCAGCAGTTCCCTTGGCAGCCACTCCAAATCTAAAAACGCCCAATTTGGCGATGATGACATTCTTCGCCCTACCCGAGCGGCACATCACTCATCGAGAAGACGACAATTCCGGCGTGCGTCGGCGTCCCTTCGGTCATCCGCGCGATTCCCGACTTGAGAATGTTGTTTCCATACAGGAATTGTTGTTCGGCGTTCGGTTTGAGCCACACCTTGTATTTCGCGTATGGCGCGAGATAGTCCAACGCGGTGATTTGCAAATGGAACTTTTTGGTTTTCGTGAATTTTCCGAGGCACGTGCCGAACGAGAGGAGCGGCTCGCGCGCGATGCACGCCGCCTGTCGCATCAGATTCTCCGAGCAGTAGTAAACACGCTCCTGAATTGTTTCCAATTTCATTTTCATTTTTGTGCGATTAATTGCCGAAATGCTTCTTTAAATTCATCTTTTTAAAGGCGCATCACCCGAAAATTACGGTTCTCTTCGAGATTTGATTAAAACGAATCGTTGAATTTCTAAGATTTTCGAAATTTCGCGTCAAGCTACAATGAATATACGTTTTTGGAGAACCTCTGAGGTTTTTTTTACTTCAATGATTAATTTCAAAATTTTGGATATTCAAAAAGACAATCTTCAGCAAAAAAATTGAATAATATTGAAGGTATTTGTAGTCCTGACAAGATATTGAAAAGAAAAATGATTTTCAGTTAAAATTTCTTTAAATTCGATTTTTTATAACTATTCCGAGCATTTTTCGAGCCTGAATTTCAATTTTTTTGTGAATTTTAATTTCCAATATATTAAAGAATTCTTCTAGTCAGCTTCTGGCAAAAATTTTGAAACAAAAAGGAACTTTTGATTTCCGGTACCTTATGATTTCTGAAGCAGTAATCCCCATCATTTCGATCAATGAGCATCGAGACATTGTCACCAATAAATGTCGCCAATTTGGCGAATACCAGCGAGGTTTCTTCTTCGGTCAACGGGCGCATCTCTTCTAAAATGAGATATTGAGAAATTACTTTACTGAAATAGTTTAAGATATGAAAAACCGTTGAAACGGGAATTTAAACGAAAAACCAAACATTATTTTGGTTGGAATTTCGAAGAAAAACTGATTTATCGGCAGGAATGGTGAATAGTAACCCGAATTGAAGTGAATGAGAAGAAAACAACAAAAAAATAATAATAAATTGGAAATTATTCACAGATTGAGCATTGCGATTTGATCGAGCATCGAATTATCGCTAATTGCCGATTTTGCCGTCGCGCTGTCGACTTGCAGCACCAATTTACCGCCATTGATTTCACGAATGAACGATTGCGATTCGAGGTTCTGGAATGCCGCCATCAGGTCGTCATCGTCCATGACAGGAGCTCGAATCGCGTCGCACGCCTTCGCATACGCCTTCATCAAGGTGCCACGATCAAACGAGGACTACAATTCGGAAATTGGTAATTTGAATGTTCAATCGTCAAATTACCTGCTTATTATTCGACAGAGCTAGACAAACAGCAAGAAGAATTCTCGGCTGCATCGGGAGTCGAGCACGAGCCAGAGGTGACGAATAAACGCTATTGAGGACCCCAAGAACTTCGCGACATCCATTCTTATTGGTTTCGGGCGCACTTTCCTGCTCACCGTACAAACGATTTCTGCGGAAAAAACGGATTGAATTAAGAAATTCCTTTTAGAAGCCAACTTTGTCTGCTTGAAAATGTGCAGAGCGGTTCTCAAATCTCCGCTCATCGCGGCAACTTTTCTTGCGCATAATTCTACCGCTTTTTTGTCGATTTCGATCTGAAAATTGGCAACAATCGAATGCATTTAAAAAACACAAAAAAAAGATATTACGCACCTGCTCATTGGCCATTTTATCGGCCAGAATATCTACAATATCCTCTTTGGTGTAAGGCTCAAAAATGAGGCGTTTCGGCGGCTCGGTGAGCATTAATTTGGGTAGAAGGCGCTCAGTGAGATCGATAGAGTTGGCGATGCCTAAAATATAATTAATAATCGAATTAATTATGAATAAATTATGCCTATAATTATAATTTTATGGGATAATGTGTACGGCCATCGGAATGCTGAATACAAAGCGGCGTTCGTCTTCGAGGCGAGATGATCGATTTCATCGAGGACGAGCACTAAAGGTGTCGATAGCGAATTGACAAGCTTCTCAAAGTTGTCCTGGCTCAGGCGTTGAGTCAAGTTTTGAGAGACGAAGATTTCTTTGAGAAGCGCGGTTTTCGAGCTGATTGAGGCACAATTTACGATGCATGAACGAATTTTTTTGCCAAACGCGCTTAGAACCCGTTTTGTTGTGGCGGTTTTGCCTGAAAATTTCAGCAAACGTTAGATATCGCGTTGATAAATAGAACAATTGAAATGTACCGGTTCCAGGTTGTCCACTAATATAAATTGACAACGCTGATTTTCCATTGATACTCTCCGTAATCCAATTACTCAATTTTTCGAATTCTTCGTGCCTCGCTTTTAATGCTTCTAAACTCGAAATTTGATGTAAAAATTTCAGAACAAAAAAAAACGAAAAACTTACGAGATGCCTGAGATTTTTGCGGAGAGGCTTCAGGAGATTTCACACTAAAATCAACATTTCTTATAATAATAATTATGATTTTCAGTTATTTTGAACCTTGTCGATTGTTCTTGTACTTCAGACTTTGTTGGCCGCGATTTTCTAGCCGATGGCGTCTTTTTGGGAGTTTTCTTCTACAAAAAAATTGTTTTTTATTCTCAATTTTTTTTTACCACTGATTTCTCAGGAGTTAAAAGCGCTTCCGAGTTCATTTTTAGCGTTGAACGCGTTCTTTTAACATTCTCGGGCGTCTAGAAAATTCAAATTTGCAAATTTCGCGCTCGAAATTGATTACCTGCTGCTCGAGTGTACTTCTTCGCAGCGCTCTAGCAGCTCTGCTCGTCTTCTCATCGGCCATCTAAAATTGTTTTCTTCAAAATGCGCAGAAAATCGTAAGAATATTGAAATTGTTGCGGAAAATTAGGGTAAATCGTTGGTGTGAATAAAAAAAATTATAGCGTGACCTAATATTAGCAAAAAATTCGGCCACCAAAAACTAGGCCACTAGGGAAATTTTCTCTTTTTTTTTGAAAATTCCAAAAAAAAATCGATAGAAATGAAACATTTTATTATCTACTAATTGAGCATATGCATTAGATTTCGTACGTTCGGAAATCGTTCGGCTCATTTTCCAGACTCATATCACCGTTGGCGAATTTGCGAAACCATGCTTGAACGTCGCCAAACGCCACCGCGTCCGGACCCCAAACCAACGAAATATTGTGATAGGCGACTTCGGCGCAACGCGTCAACTTGTATTCATGCAACAGAACGACACGGATTTGCTCGTCGGACAGCATATCTTAAAATCATATTCCAACAAATGGAATTTTTTCAAATTTAAATCTGATTTCACGTCTAGAAAAAGTTCACGATAATATTTGCAAAATAAGAAATATTTATTGCCAATCCCATTAGCAATGTGCGCCTTTAAATTACTGTATAAATGTAATGTTCCCATTAATATAGTAAAATACTGTTTAAATAAAAGAATGGCAAGTTTGGAAAAAAATCCGTATAGCCGGTGTCCGGGGCGACTGCTGTACCCGGGTAGATTTACGCGCATGCACCTTCGCTATGGTCTCGCACAGAATAACTGGTTATTTTGCATTTCAGTGTTCATTCTGTTATTTTTAATTTTCAGTGATATTAAGTATTCAAGTAAATAATATACTCATCAAGAAAAATTAAGCAAATTTCGCGAAAATTCAAAAATAAGTCATCACGTGTGGCGAGACCATTTCAAAAGGCGCACTCGTAAATCAACATGCGATGCTGACCATAATTAGAAGCGAAAAACAAAATAATTCAAATGAAATTTTTAATATAGTACGCTTTGAGTTTTTAAAAAATTTTAAAATTTCAAAAAATGCGCCTTATCTGCAAACTTGTAGCGATTTCAATAATAGGTCAACCTCCTTTTTCCTCGCTTTTTTTTCCAGAAATTCAGGACTTAGGGGGTTTCTTTGAATTGCAGATGTTCGCCCGATTGATTAAACGGGAAAAAATGAAAAATTTGTTTGCTTATATGGAAAAGCATGTGATAAATTCCAGTGATTCGATTGTTTGTTTTTTCATAGTATTCAATATCTCCGCTTCACAGCTATCAATTTTGTCCGCAGCAACCAAATATGATATGCCGAAATTAAATCGGCCGCTCACGCGGAATTCAATTCGAAAAAGTGCGCGTGAACTCCGACCCGATCATTCGCCAATTTCGATATTTTTTTTCCTCGTGTTTTATTTCTGCCTTCTGTCGCCCGCTGTTTGTTTGTGTTTGCATAATGAACGAATGATATTGTTCGAAGAGGGCGCAGGCGGCGACGGAGCGCCGATAGGCGAGGCGAGGCGTTTGGCAATCAGCCACACGCCCCTAGCCGGCGGCGGCGACAGACCAGGCGCCGAATAGAGGGCGACGAGACGACGAGCGGCATACTATCGATCACACCTCGTTCTTCTTCTTCTTCGTCTTCTTCTCATTCTCTCACTCTCCGCCCTTTTTTCTGCTACCCGCTAGCCTGCAACATACATACATACATACTTATTGCATACGCGGGGTGGCCGACCGACTCCATATTCATTATTGTCCGTTTATTATCATCAATCTCGAATCGGGGCGTTCGAGAGAAGCGAACACGTTGAAGACGCGACAGCAAACAGCGAAGCGGCGGGCCGACGGCGGCGGCGATGCCGTCGAAATCCGACGAGCGCCGACGACGAGCCGCCCACCGCGCAAACGCGCCAAAAAGTCGGACGCCATCAAATGGGTGTGGCCCGTCGATGAATATGTCGACGAGTCGCAGCTCGAAGAGCATCGCGGTCCGACGTCGATCGATTTCGACGCGTAAGTCGCACACATCAGCACCAAATACGCCGAAAATCGGCTCCAGAGTTTGTAGGCTTCTGATGCTGTCGACGATGCCGCGAGTCACCGACGATCTTCGGAATCGGTGTCCGGCGTTGCCGGTTCGCACGCGATCAGCACCGGAGTTCACACTCGTTCTCGATTTGGTAATTAAATTGTTTTTGCCTCGCAGACACTGAATGTGTTGCAGGACGAGACGCTGGTGCACTGCAGCCTCTCGCCGCTCTCCGACGCCACCCTCATTTTTCCGGTCGATTTTCAGGATATGCGATATCAGGTTGGCTTACACAAATGATTATCAAAACCAACCATTTTTGGATAATCAAGGTCTACGTCCGCCTTCGCCCACATCTCCAAGAGTTTTTGGATCGCGTCTCGAAGATTTACGAGATTATCTTGTTCACCGCCAGCAAGAATGTGTACGCGAACAAGCTTGTCGATTTTCTTGATCCTGATAAGTCGTACGTTCGCTATCGGCTCTTCCGCGAACACTGCTCGTTCATCTATGGCAACTATGTCAAGGATTTGAAGATTCTCGGAAGGGATCTCTCGAAGACGGTGATCATCGACAACGCGCCGCAATCGTTCGCTTACCAACTTGACAACGGCATTCCGATTGAGAGCTGGTTTGACGATCAAAGGGACAAGGAGCTTCTGAAGCTTCTGCCGTTCCTTGAAAGAATCCCGAAGGCGGTAGGGGCGGCACGCATTGAAACGCAACTCTTGTTGTTGTCTGCATTTTTTTAGGGATGCGACGTTCGCGAGTTGATTCGCGACAAATATCGACTACGCGAGATGATTCCGATATACAGTCGACTCTATCACGAGCAGCAGCGTCAAATGCGGCTCGAGGAAGAGCGCCGCGAGCAGGTTGCGCGCCAGAACGAGCAGGAGAACGTGGTGCCGAAGAAGGGCATACTAATGATATCGCATCAGCAGCAGAATGCCGAAAACGATCTTATAATGCATCAATTGCCAGTCCCGCAGCCGCAAATGGTCCAAGGATAATCCAATTCTCGCCGCGTTTTGTACATTTGTAGTTTTCTGCCATCCAAATTCGTTTCCTGTAGAAATTTGAATAATCCAACTATCTCAGTTTTTCATTCCATTATTCTATTTCTCCACAAACCTCGTTTTTTTGTTGTTGTTGTATTGATACTCGAAACACTCCTCCTCGTCCAGCAATTCTTTTTTTTTTGTATTGTGCCATTTACTGAATTTGTCGCATTTGCTTCTGATTTAGTTCATGCACACCATCATTTTTCGTTTATTAGTAGTGCAAGTGAACATATGAGCTGAATGGATTAGAACAGTGATCATTACTGAGTATTACCCGAGTGACATTTTAATCAAATCCCGTTTACCATACTTCCGCATTGACATTTTTATTTTGTTCCTATAATTAACGTTGAAAATAAAGGTTGCTGAGTAGGCCGAAAACAACATCGATTTTTGAGATTTTAATGTTTTTTTTTTTTTGGATTTTGAAGGGAATTTTGATGGAAACGCATTGGAAACTGCGAACAACGAGGAGAAATAGACATAATTCGTTGCCAACATCGGCTGGCCGCCGCGAGACCATCCGCCGAAATTGTGTGCGCCTTTAACCAGTTACGTTGCAAAACTCACAACAAATGCCAATTGTGCACATTTTTTTCATAGTTTTTCCATGTATAATTATCTATTTAATTATTTTTAATAATTTTAAGAATTTAAATAGAAGCAGAATTTTTTTATTTAATTTACGCGTGAATTAACCCAAATAGCTTTCGTTTTTCCATTTTATTTTTCAAAAATTCATTTTTTAATTAAAATGGTTTTTTGCTTTAATTTTATTATTATAATCTACGAGTTTTTCGCTACGAATTGGATAAAAAAACCCACTAAATTTCATATTTTTCTTAAAAGTTCATTAAATCACCAATGACGTTATGGTTGCGATCACGTAGGCCATCAATTTCGGCGTATAGGCGATATCTTTTGGCATTTTATCGCCAGATCAAGATTTTTGCTTCATCATTAAGCTAGTGGTGATCGTTTCGTTCAAGTTTGCGTCATTTATTCCAAGAATTCCCCCCCTCTATTTTGTTTCGCTATTTCACCTATCTTTCAGTTTTTGAGCATTTGTCAAACTGCAAAATCTCACGTAGAGCAGCTGGCGTCTGAAATGAATCATTTATTATAAAATGCGCATAAATATAGGAAATTAGCTGATGCTTAACGGAAATGGAAAAGAAATGTTTTATGCGCTTTGAAACACACGCTGAGCAACACATACAGTAGTCTATTTGAAGGAAATCACGAATTTCCGGTTTTTTTTTAGTGAATTGAATATTTTTTGTCATATCAACTCGAAAATTCTTGGAAATTGAGATATAAAAATTTAATAGTTTTGAGAAACCTGTTTGAATTGACTATACCAATTAAATAAGTCAAAGATTGCAAAAGATTGCAAAAAAAATCATAAAATGTTTCAAAATCAAAGCAATGTTTAAGAATTTCATTTTAAGCATGAAAATGTATACATTATTTGGAGAAAACTATATGTTTCATGACGAGTAAAATATTTTTGAAGAAAAACCAAAAAAAATTTTAGTATTGTATGAAACAATCAGGATTATTTATTTTGATTTTTGAATCTTTTAATATCTAATCCGATTTCTGGCAAGTTGAAGAATGGAAGGATTATGATGGCAAGAGAAACATTCATAGTTAACTTTTGGTCTCGTGTGGAAGATTTGAAATAGAAAGACCTCCGCAATTTATTTTTGCACATCTCAAATCGAAATTTAAAAAATCCTTTTTATTCCTTTGAATTCTAAAACATTGACAATTTTTGAAAAAAAAAACTATTGTGGAAAAATGAGGAATGTGAAAAACTGCAGCGATATCCTATGCATTGTGTGCGTACACCGAGTCGCACATCTACACTAATCTCAACTGACAATTATTTAATTAATTATTGATCGTTTCTTTTTACATAAAACAATTAACTTTGAAAATATACAAAAAATGATTACTATTAAAATTTTTCAACATAACAATATAGATAAAATTCTAAATTCGCCAAGAAAACACAGAAAAAATTTAAAAAGAAAATTGATGAAATAATTTTTAGTTGAGATTACTGTAGATGTGCGTCTCGGTGTACGCACACAATGCATTGAATATCGCTGCAGTTTTTCACATTCCTCATTTTGAAATATTTTTTAAAAAATCGGAATTTTTTTTTTCGTAAAATCGAATAAATTTTATTAAGAGATATTCCGTCAGGTTTTTTTCCGAAAAAAAAAAACCCCCGGCAATTAAGTGCACAATTAGTGTCATTTTTCATTCGTTTCCACCACTAAATCCTCGCGGTTGAGAAATTGAAGATGATTTGCAGGCGGAATCCGATCCGAGTGCTGCTGACCCGATTCGAAGTCGTCTTCCGCGCAACAATGTCCTTCAAAGCGGTCGTTCTGGTGGGAGGCCCGCAAAAAGGTGGGCAATCAGCAGCAGGAATCGAAAACGTCCGCGCGCGCGCGCCCTCGCCCTCGCTCGCTACAGTCAGTTGCGCCCTCCAACCATCTCCTTCGTCGTCTTCTTCTTCTTCTTCTTCATCATCGCCGCCTTCTGATTTTGCATATTAGTGTCGAGGCGCCATGATTCTCGCCGCTGGTGCACTATTATCGCTCTACGCGTTTTTTCTCGTCTTACCGGTGCTCATTCTCGCCTATATTGCACAAGAGCACCCCCTTCGACTATAAGAAACCATCAATCTCTCTTTATATATATTGATAGCATTTTCATTTATCTGTAAATTTGTAAGTTTTTCAGTTTTTTTTAAGTGCTGGGCTAAAACGGGAATTTTCACGAAAGATTGGTGAAAGGCAGAAAAAAAATTGCTAATAATTGCAATTTATGAAGGATTTTTTCAAAACAAAACCATATTTAATGTTTTTTTTCGACGCAAATATTCTCATTTCTCTTGCAGGTACCCGTTTCCGTCCTCTTTCGCTTCAAGTCCCGAAACCCTTATTCCCAATCGCTGGTGTGCCTTTAATCGAACATCATATCGATCAACTGTGTCAGGTTTGTGCCATTCCGCCATCAATTCGGTCATGTTTCGTTTCAGTTATCCGGTCTTTCCGAAATTTTCCTTCTCGGCTTCTACTCGCCGGAATTGTTCACCGAATTCATCGATCGCTGCCAACAGACGTACCGTGTCAGCATCAAATACCTCAAAGAGCCGACTCCGTTGGGTGAGCGAGTTTTCGATTATTGGGTCTTGAAGCCAACACTACAGTAATACTAGTGCATGTTTTTCATTCTCAAATCGAAAGCACACCTGAACTGGAATTGCAGGAACCGCTGGCGGACTCGTCTCATTCAAGTCAACAATCTTATCAGGCGAACCTGACGCGGTGTTCGTCATCAACGCCGATGTGTGCGGCGATTTGCCAATTGAGGATATGGTAATGGGTCTCGACACGCGAAAAAAAGTTAATTTTGAAATTGGCAGGGCGCCAAACTCAGCAGCCTGCCGGAATCGAGCCTTCTGATGCTTACCACTGAAGCCACTCGACAGCAATCGATGAATTTCGGATCGGTAAGTCGATTGAATGCACCCGTGAGACCTGTTCTTCTGGTTTTCGTCTTTTTGTAAAGTCGACGCGGTTTTGGATGTTGGTGGAAATCTTGAAATTGGCAAGAATGAGATGGGAACGAATAAAAATAATTTGAAAGATCTTCAAAATGGATTGACATTATAAATCCAATCTCAATTAGACGTCTCCTGAAGAAAAATCGAGTTGTTTATTATTATGACATGCTGAAAATTTTCGGGTTTCTCTTAAAACGCGAGACATTTATTTCCAACCGCACAAGATTCTGAATTTTTGGGGAAAAAAATCGGAAATTTTATATTCGTTCCGCAAATGAAACGAAAATTGAACTTGTTGCAATGATAACCCATTTTTGGGAATTTGAGGCGGGAATTGGTTTAAGCTCGAAAAAATAAAATTCTAGATCATTTCTAAGGGAAAAATCGGAAACCTATTTCTTTCTACTCATATTTGCTTAATAAATTGTAATTAACTTAAAAATGCAAAACAAAATATAAAATTGTTTCGATCTACGGTCCTTTTCTCATAAAATCATCCAAAATGAAACCAAATAAAACGCGCATTTTTTAATGTGCGGACATGTTTCGGGTTTCCCGCTTCACGTTTGATTTTCAGGTCGTTATTGGCTCTGATGACAAGGTGATTCATTACGTCGACAAACCGACGACATTCGTCTCAACTCATATTTCTTGCGGTGTTTATTTGATGAAAAAGGAAATTATTCAGGTTTTTCATTATTTTTTTTCGCTTCAAAAACAAAGAAAATCGCATTTTTCTTTTTCAGAGGCTTGATCTACCTGTTGGCGGCAACGGTCTTTGGCTTGAAACTGACATATTTCCGGAGCTCGCCGCTGGTGGCAATTTGTTCGCGCTGCACACGACCCGATGGTGGAGCCAGACGAAAACCGCCGCGTATCATTTTTTGTTTCTCTTGCTCAATCAATTATTGCTCAAATGTTTTTTAGCGCGGTTTTGTACGCGAATCGGCACTATCTTCGATTGTACAAGAAGCGCTATGCGGCTCGTCTGTGCAAAAACGGCGCGCAAATCGTTGGCGATGTTTTCATCGATCCGAGCGCCAAAGTCGATCCGACCGCCAAAATTGGGCCTAATGTTAGTATTGGTCCGAACGCGACGATTGGCAAAGGGGTTCGAATCAAGGTAGACCGATTATATTGAATTGTGAAGCAGCAAATTTGTGAAAAAGTACGCCAATCGTGGTGAAATTTTTTTTGCAATTTAGTGCTTGAAATTCGAATTTTCCAGCAAAAAATAGGAATTTTTAAAATAGATGCATTTTATTTGACGACAATTTGCTGATTTGAATTGCCGCTTTGGGAAACAAGATTTTCATTTGAAAAAAATTGCCAATTTTCATCGTTGGGGTCAAATTTGCTTAACTCAAGGACCAATAATTCAATTTTTCAAAATTCAATCAAAATTCAATTTTTTCAATACCAAATTCATTCTTTTTCCCCAAACAATTTCGATATTTTTGTTTTTGGCGATGCCAGTAAATCCACAAAAACCTCAAACTCGGTTTTGAGCTTCACTGATTCAGGAATCGATTATTCTTCCGGAATCGGTCATCGAGGAAAATGCGTGCGTCCTTCAATCGGTTATCGGTTGGCGTTCGGTTGTCGGAAAATGGTCGAGAATCGAGGGAATCCATGTCGAGCCGAATCCGAATTTGCCGTTTGCCAAGGTAGAAAAAAATTGATATTTGTTTCGAAATACGCCAATGCCGAATTTTGAGAAGATTACGAAAAAGAAGAAGAAAATTTTCAGATGGACAATAAGCCGTTGTTCTTGCCGGACGGCCGTCTGACGCCATCGCTGACCATATTGGGATCCGATGTTTCGGTGGCGCCTGAGAAGGTCATTCTGAATTGTGTGGTGTTGCCGTATAAGGAGTTGACAAGCAGCTACAAAAACCAAATCATTTTGTGAGAATTTCAATGTATTTCGTGGAAAATTTCGATTGTATTCTTCAACATTCCGCACTAGTCTTTTCCACACCAATTTTCCGAAATGCCATTCACCCAAAAATTCTGTGATTTGTTTGTTCTGAAAGCCTTTATTTTATTATTATTATTATTAATTTATTGGATAACTGACACAGTAATTATGTAAATTATATCTCACCCCCCCCATCTAACTTCCTTTTTTTGTATCATATTCAACTGGTTAGCATTCTATTTTTTTTGTGGCGAGAAATGAATAAGGGACGACATATGGAGGAGCCGAGGTGAACTTTTACACGGTCCGATTGCATCTGCTTCTTTGTGACCCGTGCGTGTTGTGGAAATAGTGTGGGAATTGGAGAGACGCCGACGAATCGCGATGTCGCAGCTTGCGCGAACCCCAACACGACCGTACTCGCGTTCCATTTTTTTTTCTTTTCTTTTTTTTTTTTTTTGGTTCGGCCAGATGGCCTCTATTGGATTCGAGAGTTCTTTTTTTTCCTTCTTGTTGCCATTTATGGTCCTTTTTTTTCTCGCACGACGCAAATATTTGTTTGGTGTCGGTTTTACTCCAGATTTTTACGACACACACATGTTTGCAAGATGTTTCGTTTCGCTGTTGAGGTCTCGCCGCGAAAATTACGCATTTCGGGTGGTGGCGCGCATTTTAAGCGCTATTCCAAATATGTTTGCGAGAATTGAAATCAATGAATCGGCGTGCGCCTTTAATTTGACCATCTTTCATCAATTTTCGGCAAAAAATGTGTATTTGAATTTCGATGAATATCAAATTTTGGCGTTTTTTTTGGTGTTGCCCATATTCGTCCTATATATTATTGAATGGTCTCATGGCGATAAAACGAATTGGCCTAGTCGGCGCCTTTAACCAAAAATGGGGGGACCGAGTGTCGTTAGTTGTGAGAAACAAAGGACCATCATTGTTTTTGAGAAGGGGACCCCGGCCAACCAAAAAAAATGTATTGCCTCGGTCAGAGACGCAGCGAGGCATCAACGAAACACGTGTGGTGGCGCCAATTTTGAATAATTTTTGGCCACGGCAATGGTCCACACTTGCTCATTGCCGATATATATGTTTTCTTTGCGTCTCTCTCTCTCTCTCTCTCTCTCCCTTCTATGCGTTGTTGTTGCTCAATCGGCAAATGGGCGTGGCCAGCGGGTGCACGAGTCGGCGTCGAACATTCGCCGACGCACATTTCGAAATTTTGTGTCCACCGATTTTATATTTGTTTCATCTGCGGACAATTTGCGAACTCATTTCATTGATCCGCGGACATTCGAGCGCGAAGACCTCAACGTGTCCGCAGATGCGAATTCAAAAATATTTGCCAACTCGTGTTCAAAAAAAAACAAACAACGCCGAAAAAAGAACTGCGAGGTCCTCTGTTTACCCAACTCGTCATTTTTTTTTCTTTCATTCTCCCACCACACCATTCTCTCGTTTTGTGATTGGCGCCATTATTCGTCTGCCGACAATTCTCCTTGTGAGACTCGCCAATTGTCCGCAGCATCGAATTGATATAGGCGCTCAAGCGAAAATGAAAATGAATCATTGATTCTGTTTTATCATGATGCTGATTGTGTGTGAATTGAATACATTCGAATCTCAAATCCCACCGTTTTTGTGAAGGTGTCACCAAAAAGCTCAATGGACCCCTCCAAAACATGATGGTCCCTTATAAGGTGTTTGCATTTTGGGTTCAAAAAACCCTCAAAATTCAGCAAATTATGCGAAATTCTTAGAAAATCAAATTTCCTGATAAAATTGTTGAAGAAATGTCCCCCAACATTGTCCGCAGCACTTTGCCTTTAAATTGTTTTTTAAAAGCAAAAATTAGAAATTGTCGAGAAATGCTCAACCCGCAACACTGTCCGCAGCAAAAATATCATATCAGGATGAGACGAGTAGATAACGGCTTAGCTGCAAATTTCGACGCTTGCCGAGGACCGTAAGATTGTCGGCAGCAGAATATTGATATGAGCGAAACGAAACTTGGGTCGTTGTTGCGCCATGTAAACAAGGGATGGCGCGTGCGCGGCGGCAGCCACCCAGCTGCGCAAGAATGCCCTTGCCGAGTGCGCAAACCGGCCGATCGTCGCCATTTTACAACTATTTTTTTTGCGCCTCCTCCTCTCAACTTGTCGATTTTTCCGATTTGCGAGTTATTTCGACGATCGCATTTCAAACATTTTCTTCTTTTTTTTCGCCCTTGTTTGCCGACTCTTTAACAAGTTGTTGTTGTTGTTGTTTTTTTTTGTTGTTTGTCTAGCTTCAACTCGTGCGATTTTCAATTTTTGCTCACCTATGCGCCTTTAAAAACGCAATTTTGTGAATTTCGATGCGCCTTTAAAACAATTGCTCATGTAAGCTTTAAAAATAATTCGTGTCGGGACCACTGAATCCACAATCGATTCATACATGCATGTCCCTTTAATTTCGCATTTTCGCGGCGGGAACCCATGAATTCGATTATAAGGGGGTTCTCAAATCCGATTTTTCCCGAATTCGACCTCTCGCGCAAACAATCTAAAATATTCTGGAATTTCAAAAACTTGTAAAAAATTTTTAATAAAAATTTAAATTTGGACTGATTAAAACAAAAAAATATATATTATTAGATTTTTTATAATTTATTTAAAAAATTGGAATAAATTGAAACACTTGAGCGGCATGCGCCTTTAAAAATTCGGGACCATTGACAACATCGTTTGATCCCGCCACACTCTGCATCTGTGGCGTCTCTCGCGTCGTCTTCCTGCGGCCCCCCATATATGTTGCAATATTCATGTCGAATTGGGACCCTTCAAAACACAAACACAAGACAACGCGACTCGTCGCCGTCTTTTCCGCCTCGCCGCCCTGCTCCAGCTCATCGACGGGAGCCGCACCACTCCACACACACTCCTCGCATCATTCCAACCAAATTTGGTAGTGGCTTCAGTGTTTTTTTTGAATCTTGTGTTAGCTTCACGCAAACCTGCGAATTGTCGGCAGATGGCATACAATTTGATTGGCTGGCCAAACCATGTAAATTGTCGGCAGATGAGAACGCATTTCACCTCGACGATTTATTTATCGAAAATGGGTGAAGTTTTGATAAAATTGGCGCGCGATCGCCTCGAATCATCGTCAATTCGCAAGAATTACACTGATTTTCCGTTTTTTATACGTGTGCGCGCCTTTATCTATGTTTGTCATTGAATTACGAGGCCTTCTTAGCAATGGGCGAGAATGAAAGCCATAAAATCATCGAATGGTCTTGTTGATTTCGTGCTGCCGACAGTTCACATCACTTTTTTTGAATCTCTCTTTTTTTTGCTGCGGACAATTTACAGGAGAATAGAATTTCGTTTTTTTTCCTCAAAATTTCAATTCGAATTTTCTTTGAATTGTCCGCAGCATGTAGTTTATAAAACAATTTATCGACAACATTTTTCAATCTTTCGAATTCATTGTCATCTCGCGTTTTTTTTTGAGACATTTTCACACAGAGCTCCAACAATCTAAAAAATCGAAATTATCAGCTATGCGCCTTTAATGTCTCTTGCCAGGAAGAATATATGGTAGGATACCCAATGCGCCTTTAATATTTTCATTTCAAAGTGACGTTTTGGAAAGAGAAAAAAAAGAAATAATAATAATTTTTTTTCTCTTATTGAAACCCTTTATGTATTGCCATATTTTGCCCTGAGACCAATCAAAAAAAAAATAATAATAAACGCAATTGATGTTTGCTTTCTTTGCTTCTCATGCGCCTTTAAATCTCGTACCTTTACCCTCATGCGCCTTTAAATCTTGACCTTGCTGCCGAGACCCTCATGTGCCTTCAAACCACCCACCTGGACCCCTATGCGCCTTTAAATTTTGCCCTTGCTGTAAATATCCTCATACTCCTTCAAACCCCTCAACCAGATCTCTATGGGTCTTTAAATATCGCACCAGAACACCCATATTTTTGAAAACCTCATCAGGACCCTCATGCGCCTTTAAATCCCGGACCAGGACCCCCATGCGCCTTTAAATCTCGCACGTTTTCAACACTTCGAATTATTTTTTTCTCGATTCGATTTCATTGAATCCCCTTCGTTTGAATGATAAAAACCGGTCTGTGTGTCTTCTGCAATTCGACCCCCAATAAATTAAACGTTCCAAAAAATGTCATTCTTTCTTTTTTTTTTTATCAAAAATGATTCCACCGAGTCAAAAAAAAAAATGGCTGAATTTGGCAAATTTGTCCTCCTGCCCTACCGTGTGTCTGCGTCTCTTCTCTGATCGCCACTCTCTCGCTGGCTGCTATTTGATCGTGTGTGTGTCATTTTTCGAGTTTTTATCGCCTGTGCCAAACATTTTTAATTTGATTCGCCTCCAAATTGTGTTGCAATTATTTCTTTATCAAATTTTTTCGCCCCTGATTATCATCGTTTTTTTTGTTGGTAAATTTCCGCTCCGATCCGGAATTTTGGGATTTTTCTCATTTTTGTGCTGCGGACAGTTCACAGGCCGCTCAATTCAATAATAATTCTGTTTATTTCACCTCAAAACCCTATTTATCAATCAAATCATTTTTTTGAAATCCTATTGAGAGTCCGCAAACACTGCACTTCTTCCCGATTACTGTACTTTTCATCAAAGTCCGCAAACACCGAGACGTGCCCGAAAAGGGCAATAAATCATTTTTAGGCAATTTATCATCTGTTTATTTGTTGTCTTGTGTTTTTTTTTTGACAGCCCCGGTCACTCAACATATTTTTTTCACAGCTGACTCATTCGTTTCTTGCGTTTTTTTCTACTTCTCTCTCTTTCTCGAAAAATTTCCAATTTAAAGGCGCATGGATGGTTGACTCATTTTTGTGAACGTTTCGAAATCGTGTCGACATCGTTTTCATTGAATTCGCTTCGAGACCTTCGTCCGAGATTGTCCCTTTGAGAGATCAACCTCCTTTAAACGGGGAGACATCGAAATTTGAGAATTCATGGCATGTTCCTTTAAATTTCCACTCGGGACCCGAATAACGAGCAAATCGACTGATTGGGTTCGACCAATTAGTTTTACGACTAAATTGGAATTTCAATAAATCCAAACAAGACCCATGCGCCTTTAAAAAATGCGAAGAATCCCCCCAAATTAAAATGGTTTCTTTCACGACTTCAATTCCACTCGAGACCATTTCGTCATGCTCCTTTAAATTGACATTTTCTTTTTCCCAAAATCCAGATGTGAGCGAAAAATTCAAGAAGGAACTTCTCTGTCCTTTGAATCATTGCCATGCGCCTTTAAATTGAATCCATATTGTTGTTGTTTTTTGTGTGTTATTAATTCTATTCGAGACCCAAGAGAGAATCTGTAAATCCACCGGGTTCTCATTTTTGCTCGACACCCATATTTGTCCATACGCCTTCAAATTCCACCCGAGACCATTTCGAACGCTGCCGTGCGCCTTTAAACCCAAATTTCTGTTTGATTATTGAGTATAAGTCATTGTGTAAACCATCGTGTTGAACACTTTCTACTTTTTTTTTCCTCATTTCTCCTCAATTATTATTATTTGTTGGCTTCTTTCAGCCCACCTTCCTTTCATTTTTTTTGGGCATTCGACTAATTTGCAACGAAAAAGAAAAGAAAACGACACGTGAGGATCTCGCGACGAAAACCAATCAGAAAATGTCGTTCCTCAAACTGCGATTCAGCAATTTCGGTGAGTTGTCCGCAGCAGATCGCGTATTTGTCTGATGGGTGATCACGAGAAAATCGATTTTTCGAAAAAATAATTTTTAAAATTTCACATTTTCCAAAAAGAGAAGCTCAAAATTGGACCCCACAGCGGCAAAAAAAATCCGCGCTTCGAGAATTCCCTATAAAAATTAATTTAGTATAATTGCATTTTATATTTTATTTGAAACCGCAAAATTCATTTTCACATTAAAATGAATCTATGAGAATTTTTGGAACTGAATTTTGGTTGTCTTGGATTACTGTAGATCGATTACGGTAGAATGGTGTTCCAGATCCCAATTTTCTGAAAAAAAATCGATTACGGTAGTTTTTTTCCGGTTTTGGGATGTCTTCAGTTTTTTAGACCTCCACAATTTTCATCGTCGAGATTTTTGAACCATGAATTTCTGTAGTCTGGGACCCGATACTCCACATTTGGGTGCTAGAATGATATTGATCGCATCCGATTGGTTTTGAGTTTCCACGGATTACTGTAGCGTGTGCGGTGTGAGACCCTCAAATCGTAGCACAGCTTTTCGATGTCGTTGTCTCATAAATTAGCGGCGATTTGATGATTGTTGATTGTCGGATGAAAGACATCGACGACACATGGAGATTCGATTAATTATGTTGCACTCCGGATACCTTCTTCTTCTATTTGAAATTGTTGTAAAAACGAATCCATGTGTTTTGAGACCGAAAAAACTAGTGGAAGACGAAACGACTGGCAAGACAATGGCAACTTTCTCGAAAACCAATTCAAATTTGATGATTTATTTGGGTCGATTTTTGAATTTCGGCGATAGCACAAAGAATTTGGAAAATCACACAAAAACCGCATTAAGTCGTCTTAAGGTTCTCCAGCTGCGGAAATTTGAAAATCTTTTTGAATCGCCAATTTTCGCGACGAGACCAACAATGACAACAACAACAAAAAAATAATTTGTTGACAAATTTGTAAACAAATGGAGTTAATTTATACAAAACACGTGGCAGTAGTAACAAGTAGTTGTGTTTGCGTCTCATCGCTCGGCACACTCTCTCTCTCCCTTCTCGCTCTCTCGTCGAGAGACGCCGACAACGAGACGCTCGGAATATAATTGTATGAGGTGGTGGAGGGCGTTTCTGCCGCACTCGGCCCATATCGGACTGACCACTTCGCTTTGCTTTCTCCCCTCGTCCGGCCAAGCCTGTGTGTGTGTGTGTTGCCCAGGGTTTTCTGTATTCTGTGCCGCCCCCCCCCCCTCTCACACATTTTTACCTCATTATTATTTTTCCCATATTTGGAAATGTCGACGTCGCCGCCGGCAAGACCCTGTTGCGTTTGCTTTCGATTCAGACCACGTTAGTTTTTTTGCTTTTCTTCGTCACTCAGGGGTCAAAGGTCATCTAAGCAGAATTCAAATCTCTGCAATTTTTGCAAATAAATTATTATTGGTAGGATCAAAATTTAAAAAAAATTTAATTTTTTGGTCTCCTTGAAAAAATTCCATTCTTCTTTTGCAGACGAGGATGAAAAAGCACAGAAGAACACATTCACACGATGGATCAATTTTCATCTGGAAGAGGTATTCAATTTTCAGTCGCAAATTTTGTTTAGGGCAATAAAAAAAACGAAAAATTTAATCCCCTATTGTACAGCAAATTGTATTAATTCGATGAAGCGAAACCAGATTTTTGAAAATTTCAATTCAACAACTTATTGCCAAAAAAAAATAGTTGATGGAAATTTTCGATTAAAAAAAAAAAAGAAAGAAATCGATGTGGGACCCATTTCAGCACAGTTCATCAGGACGAATTGAAGACCTGTTCGAGGATATTCGAGACGGCGTGCTGCTTTGCCATCTCATCGAAGTCCTCACAGGAGAAGCACTCGTAAGTTTTATTTTTCTCATCGCAAGATGTCCCTTTAATTCGCCTCAAGACCTCCTTGTTTGCAAATTTCCTAAAATTTGAATATTCCGACCCTCCTTTAACTACTGTATTCCGTTTTACAATACAATATGTGTTAAAACATTTCCAAAAATAGTGAATCATTTCCAAATAATGCACCGCCCGCCCTTTTTGTTGATTATAATGCTTATCGCTGCCCGAGTTGTTGGTACACATCGCCAACGTGCATAAGAACCGCATTTTTTTCCTTCTCGTCTCGAAGAACCAAAGAAAAATTGAAAAAAAAAACGATGAATTTTATTAGGGAGGCCATCAAATCACAATAAAATTGAACGGTGCAATTTCGCGCCGCCGTGTACACGCACACATTTCATCTACAGTAGTCATCGCGGTCGCAATTTTCTCTCGCCGGCAAATTTTCGAATTTCCACCGCGCCATCGCCATTGTTTGCGTTTCTCATTGTCAAACAATTGTCGGACGCATATGATACAACCATTTTTTCGTCTTCTTCTTCTTTTGATGATAAATTGATATTAAACTCGACGGAGCATGATGAGACCGACCGCAACTCGATTTTGAGTGGAATACAAATCGACAGTCGCTGTTTGTTTTGTTGTCGATTGTATGTGCCGCTATCGTATGCAGTAAAAACCGGGCGTAGGGTCGGGTCGGCCATCTCCCCGCCACCGACAGATTATGACGGACCGACCGTGTCACCGGACTTGTCACTTGAGGTTCCCGATTATCTCCAAACCTCATCTGAAATGCGCCTTTGAAGCGTAGCAACGTTCCAATTTTTATGGAATTCCATCTGCGGACAATTTACAATTCAAAAAAAAGGGTGTCGACAAATATGTAGAAATAGGCCTAATATGGTATTATTGACTTGGGCACTTTGCTCGACGAATTATTTACCCTGGCAAAAACTTGTGCGGGTCTTGAGGCATTCCGATGGGTACACTAGAGTTGAACACATTTCTTTTTGCAGGCTGTTCACAAGGGTCGCGTCTCGAAGCGAGTCCACCACATCGCGAATCTGACGACGGCGCTCACGGTGCTCCGCCGTCGCGGTCTCGAGCTCATCAACAACAATGCCGCCGACATTGCCGATGGAAATCCGCGCATCGTGCTCGGACTCATTTGGCAGATCATTTTGCATTTTCAGGTGGGTGGGTTGTAGATAGGCATCGCAATCGGAAATCGAGGCGTCGCCGATCGATTGAAGGTCGATTTTGATTTATTAGGCGTCAATCGAGACGCGGCGAAATCGTCTCTCGAAAATGTGTTTTTTCTTTCTTCGAAATCTGATGAAGATTCATGTCGAGACCCGGCTGCAGATGTTTTATTGGGCCCACCGTAACTTGATACTATCCACTTCCTTCCGAGGTCGTGGTCCCGTTAAAGGCGCATCGGGAGAAGCCAAGTGGATCTCGATTTTTCAACAAATATTCACGTGACATGAAATTGAAAATTTGCACCCTCTGCGCCTTTAAGGAACTACAGTAAAAAGAAAAAACGTATATGACAATCGGGAATGTTTGATCTCTTGGGGGCACCATTGAAGACCACTCAGAGAATTTTACGATTCAGATCGAAACAAATCTCATATTGCTCCGCGAATGGGGATGGGCGGCGACGACGGATGAAGCGTCGACGTCGAGCCAACTTCACGAGCCCATCGCCGCACCATCGCCACCACCACCATCATCATCGCCAACGCCGTCGAAACGAAGCGGCTTGTCGGGTAGTCGGTCATCGATCGCCTCCGGGGAAAAGGCGTCGCCGCTCCGTCAACGCATCGCATCGTTTCTGACGCCGACGAAAAAACATCCAAAGTTGTCGACGCTGCCCGTCAAACAATCCGTCGAGCAGGTCTTCTTGCGATGGATCAACGCCGAAATCGGACCGTGAGTTTCATCGCATTAATCGCCGTCTAATGATTCTTCGACTTCTAGACTTCTGAATGGTCGTCGTGTGGAGAACATGGATAAGCAATGGCGCGATGGATCCCTGTTCTGCGCGCTCGTTGCTCGCTGGCGTCCCGATCTGATCAATATGCGAGATGTGACGAACGCGAATCCACGAGACAATCTTGAGCTCGCGTTCAGCGCCGCCCATCAGCATCTCGGAATCAAGCGGCTTCTCGCCGTTGAGGATATGATGATCGAGAGGCCCGACAAGCGTTCCGTCATCACCTACGTCTCGCAGTTCGTCCGAATGTTCGGAGAGCGATCGCCAATTCAGGGCCGAGAGCAGCACGCGGCATTCCTCGCGTGGCTCGACGCCACCTACACAATCTGCCATCGCGATCAGCTCGACGGTCAGGAGTGCGCGAGAATCCGACGAGAGTTCATCGAGCATCGTCCATTATTCAATACGATCATTGTGACGAAGGTTAACTACGAGGTCGATGAGCTGGTTGAGATCGAGAAGAAATGGGATACGATTCGAGCAACACTTGACAAGTTCACACGACGATCGGAGCGCGAGCTTCCCGAGCCGTTCGCGTCGATGTCGAATTGGCTCAGCGGCGCCGAGCACATTCTAACGCGACCGCTGAATCTGGATCCGAACGACGCCGAGAAGACGGTTCACGAGCTGCAAAAGCTGATCGCCGAGCATACGGTAAGAGACTCAATCGTCGAATTTCGGCAAATCGTCGAATTGTTGCAGAAATACTTTAAGGATCTTGAAGCGAAACACAAACAATTTGACGAATCGGCGAGAAGCGGCGGACTCGGCGGGCGACCGGTGGCGCCCGAGTTCAGCGAGCCGCTTCGCGTTCGATTCGAGCACGTCATCGAGGAGAATGAGCCGCGCATCTCATCACTGCGCATCCTATTGTCCCATTATATTCTCCTTTCCTACCTGCAACACATTGAACAGAAAATTACTCTTTGGAGGTGAGCTTGGGATATTGTAGCATTGAATTTCAAAGCAGATCATCTACAATTTTTCGACTTGAATTTCACACTACGCGCCTTGAAATCAATTTTCAGAACGGCCGACAGTGTGACTTTGCTCCTACGATGGATAAAGGAATACACACAGCTGAACGCCGAAAACCCCCAAGCGAAATGCGCAAAATATGTGAATCGATTGAGAACGGCGCTCGCGAATGATAAAAGTATGAAGAGGCGGCTTTTGATTGAGTTCGAATCTCTCGCAATTTCAGCAAGCAAACTCGATAAGGAGATGATACTGAAGACGTCGACAGAAAAGACCGACGCCACTATCAAAAAGTTCGAAGGGCTTTGGGCCGAGCTGAAAATGCTCAAAGCCGAATGGGTCGAGTGGGAGACGAGCATGTCGGCGCTTGAAGCCATCGTCGATGAGCACACAATTCGAAAGTCGCCGATTAGTTTAGAGGACGAGCAGAAATTGGCGGTGGTCCAAGTCGGTGCTGATCAGTTGGCTCCGAAGCTTGGAGCATCGGCGAGACTCGCTAACAATCATAGATTAGAATTGCTGATTAGTCGTGTGAAGAAGCTAAACAAGGTAAAGAGAGTCTCTCGGAGCATGGTATTTCAAGAAAAAACTTTCAGAATAAAGTCGGAGGTCGGCTTGTAGTCGAGCTCGAGCCGAGCACATCTCAAATGTTGAAAATCAGCACCAGCGCGCAAGCCGATGATGAACTACTTAAAACTGAAGTAAGACTTTGGAAACAATCGGATTCGGAATTAACAATCAAATTTCAGATGAAACTGCGCGATCGTGCGCAACGCGGTTGCGACGCGGCCGAAACCGAAGAGCTGGAAGCGCGCGCGGCGATGCTGCGGACAATTCGCGAGCGGCTCGTCGAGCTCGAAGCACTTCATGAATCGTATGACCGACGCGTCAGGGATACGGTGGGTGGACGCCTCCAATTGTTGGCAACGCCAATAACAACAACGAAAAAAAACACACACATTACACTCTAGTTTTTATGAGCGGCGAACTTTGATTTTTTCAGACAAACTGAAAAAAAAGCAAAACAAAACAAAACAAATAACTCGAATATTTTTGAGCGAGGCCATAAATTAGAGCGCGGGAAAGATTTATGTGAGACTATTCAAATGAAACTATGCATAGTCACGTAGCTGCGGACATTTTTCAACCGGGCCGCGAATTTCGAAATGAACGTTGAGAAAGTGATGAATTAAAACTTCAAAAGTACGGTAGATTTGATTATTGTAGGTTTTATTTTTTAAGTGCTTTGGTTCCCTAGTGATGAGGATTACTGTACACAGTGTGAATATCATGATCGGTATTCTGAAAATACTGAAATCGGGGTCTCGTAGCAACGATTACTGTAGCTGAGTCTTGAGATTACTCGTGATAAATCAAACATTTGAGTTTCGAAAATAGAAACACCTTTTTTCCGAAAACAACGAAATTTTTGATGGATCACCCAACAGAAACTTCAAAAGGAATCCCATTATCAATCGGTCGTTTCGAAATTGCCCGGCATCAATCAAATCCTTCGTTATTTTTTTTTGTTCGCATGTTCGCAAATTCGCCTCAGCAACAAAATTCGATATATCAAAGTTTTTGAAGTAAGGGTGCAAACGTCGACAGCTGCCATCAGCTATCCGATTTCGCTATGCGTGTGAATGTGTGTGTGTGTTTTTTTCTTGTGGGACGTATGACTATGAAGCAACGCAATATCAGCAAAACACCAACATGACCTTGGCATACGGCCAAATCAAAATTTTTGATAAAGTTGCGATTGATTAATTGAGATGCATGTCAATTGTTGATTAGAATCTGACCAGGGGATGACGGATTTCGTAACGCTCTTGCAAGATATTGCGTTCAGAGAAACGGATAGCAACGAATTGCACTTCAGAAAACGTTCAAGAAATAATGATGCTTTTTTTTTTGAAACTCAAACTTCCAGATTGACCATGTGGATCGGGATCTCATTCGCCGCAACATGGGTACCATTGTCTTTGAGCTGCAACGTGGAAATCTCGCCAATTTTGTTGATCTCACACAATACGCGTTTGTTTTTGACGAGTACAACTATGTGAGAGCCATTTTCGTCACCGCTAAAAAATGAAATGTGTTTGCGTGTTGCAGTTACCGATGACAATTACTGAAAACGTGTTGAGCGAGGCCGGTGTTCGCGAAATCATCGAGCGCAAGACGCTCATTTTGGCACGCCGCGAGCAGAACGCCGATGAAGCTGAACGCTCGGTACGCGATATGGAGGAATGCGATCGCGCGATCGAGGGCTGGACGAGCCGACGAATCGACGAGATTCGCGCCGAGTGGAACGTCAAACTTTCCGAGTTCGAAGCCTACTACGAGCTTCGCCGTCAGATTGGGCTCCTCACAGAATCCGTCGAGTCTCGTCTCGACGTCACCGTCATCCCAAAAATGGCAGTGATTCGAGACAAATCGGAGACAATTGCCCACAGCGATCTCGGTGTTTGGATTCGCGAATCGCTCAAGGATCTCGAAGCGTTCTCGGAGGAAGCGATCATCAGACACCTAATGAGTTTCGAACTAAGCGTCGAGGAGGACTGTCCGCTTGCCATCAATGTTCTCGAGGTGACCTTTTAGCAACAATTTTACACATATCTCCTCCCCCACCTGTATTATCTGTCGCGTCCGCGCATCACCGCCTCCCATAGTGTTTTGTCGCGGAGAGGGGCCGCCCAAAACTTTTTGCAACGCTCCCGTGGTGCCTTTCTTCTCTGCCGTATCTGCTACCTGAAAACTGGCTGTCAATAATCGAACCTTCTTTCCCCTCGCGCTCTCCTCCACCTCCTCCTCCTCCTTCATCTTCTACATTCCTCAGCGATCTCTTTAGTTTTATCGCTTGGCTTTCCGCACTGCGTGTTTCATGACAAGAACCATGAAATTGGTGGCTTTCGATTGTTGTTTACCTGTTTGTTTGTTTCTTTGATGCCCGCCCCAGGTATGCACCTTTAACATTAAAAAATAAAAACATAATTACCCCGCACCCTCTTTTGTGTACCTAGCGGCATTCCAGACAAATTTGCGGGTCACATTCGAAAATCGCGAAAAAATGCCTCTTTCGTCTTATGACCACCACACTTTAACATCTACCGTAACCCAAATCAAACCTGATCTTTATTGCTGCAATTCGTTTTAATGTCTACCGTAAAAAAAAATTTGCTGACAAACAAAATTCAATTCGAAAATGTTGCACTCTCTCCTCATTCTTCCGCCGTCGCCCATCCCTCTTATCATCCCCCTGATGAAGAACACTTGTTTCAATTTTTTTCCGTGAGAATTCGACACGAACGTGTGTTTCACTGCATAATACAAACGGATCTGCCGCAGCTTCATCTTGCTTGCTCATTAAATCACGATTGATGGAGATGCGAAAAAGCAAGAAGAACAGCTGGCGCTTCACTCTTCTAGCCATTTTTCTGTTCAACCCAAGTGCAACACAACAACGGGGGGAAATCGAAACCGTCTGTGTTCGGCGCCGCGCGCGCCCATCACTCCTAGGTCGTCGCGCTCTCAACAAATACCGTTCGCCTTGTGATGCCATCGTTTTTGTCTTTAATTCGCCCTCCTCCCACATTCCCCTCCCGCTCCTCCCAACTTAATTCAGTCGGGTTTGAACATCAAACGGGCGGCGCCGTCGTCTCTCTTATCTTTTTTTTCTCGTTTGTTAAATGAGTACTAGTGCAACTGTCATTTATTTGTTGAAACATCATTCTTGCAACATTACGTTATAGAAAACCACTGGCTGCATCGTTTTCGAATAAAAAAACTGTTGTGAGCCAAAAAAGGAGTGAAGAGGTGAAGCTATTGCGGCCGCCCAACTAACAATACTAAACCATGCAATTCTGCCCCGGCCAGTCTCCCATATTGCGCTGTATTTCTCTTGTTATATGAAATCAATATTGCCCGACGTATTTATGAAAGTTTTTTTTTGTGTTCTGGACCCCTTGCCTCGATTTTGTTTATATTCGGTTTCCGGCAATCTTGTTCAATGGCGCTGCGATGCCATCGTCTTGATTTTGTTTCATTGTCTGTTTGCTCACACACGTACAAACACTCAGACAAAATTGTGGCAACCCAGACGAGCAAATGGATTTTCAGCTTGGCTCTAACCATTTTTTCTCCAACAACCCCGCCATTTCCACCGTTTCTCGAATATTCCCAATTTTTTTCTTTTCAGGAGGTTGGCCCTGAGTTGGTCGGACATTTATCATCGGCAGTCGACGAGCGATTCCATCGCACCCTACGAATCCTTTATCTCAAGATGGAACTATTCCGGCGCCTGCAGAACTTCTGCGACGCCGTCAAATCGCTGCGCACCCAGAACGCGAACTGGAGCTCGATCAAACTATCACAGGTATGTGTACCTATGAGAGAAATTGTTTGTTTATGGTGTTATCACACAATGAAACATACACACACACGCACACATACATACATTAGTCAAGGCCATTCCAATTAAAGCGCGACAAATTTCCAATTTTCTCCGACTTTTTTTGCTGCTATTGGTGTCGATAAATCAACAACAAAAAAAACGATCACACGTTTCGTGTTCATAAAACCCATAAAAAGACGCGAACGCTCGTAAAAAACGGGCGGCCTGATGCAATTGTTCCCACAATTGAACAAACACTTGCAAAACCAAATTAATCGGCCGCCGGCCGTCGCTCTTTTGATGCCTTCGTTTTTTGCACTTATCACCAACAATAACTTTCCGCTGAACATATGTGTAAACCGATTCGATCACAAGAGCGTCTTGGCCAATCGCGGTAAACAAAACCGATGGCGCCTGCATTCTGTCACGTTCAAAATCATATTGGCTTCAGATTGACCAAGTACAGTCTGAGATCGCCAATTTGCTTGTGCGACTCGACGAGGAATGGACAAAAGATGCACATCAATTACGCGCAGAACTTGCCAGTATTCAAGGAAGCTACTTCCAACTCGAATTTGATCGTCTTAATGAAAAGTGCGAATCAAGGAACTAAATAGACGGGGTTTTCTGATTATTCAAATTTCAGATTGAATCAACTCATCCACGAAATGGAGACTCTCAAAGAGTTAATGATTCATCGACGTGAATACTTGACTGCCGCCACCGAAATTTTGACCGACTCGACTACTGACATTCTGAACCGCGCCACCTCTAGCGATCGCCCGGACGATATCCTTCGTGCTGTAAGTTACGTCAAGCGTTTGAGATGAATCTGAATCTTTTCTAGACTAACGAAGTATGTAGTGCCCTCGAACAGAAAGGAAAGGAGCTGCGAAGACTCGGCGAGATTGCTGAAATGGAAATATCTGACCTCGTCGTCGTTGCTCTCATTCGATCCTTCAGACGCCGACAGCTCGGAAGCGTAAGATTGTTTTTCTCGATGTCCTAAATTGGAAATTTTTATTTCAGGACGGCGAACCCGGCGTCGACGAGCTTCGGCGCTCGTTGCGAGAAGTCATTGATCGACCCATTATCGACTCTGTGAACACTTCGCCGCAACAACTCATTACTGATATCCTCCGCATGAAGGAAGACAAGGAACATTATGAAAAAGTGATTGACGAGATCAAAGTTGCGATTTTGAGCGATGAGGATCGGGCGAGCCTCGAGCCACTCATGGAAGAATACCAACGAAAAGCCGAGAAACGGAATATCGCGTTCGAAAAGCTCGTCCTCATCTACATGGACTGGTTGAGCATTCAGTATGACGAATTGGAAACCGACATTGGATCAATCATTCAACGAAGCGATAGCGGGGAACTACGCTTGAAGAATGATTCAATATGGCAAAAATGGAAGACGGATTTGGCTGATATTGAACGACTAATTGGACCAGACATCAAACGAAAACTCGGTGCTGAGTTCATGGACTTGCAGCGAAAGCAGGATTCACTCGACGCGCGAATCAGCAAATTCCTGAACCATTCGGCGAAGATCAACGCGAAACTCTCGCAATTCAAAGAGTGGCTCACCGCGATGGAGCAAGATGTTGCTCGAACCGAAAAACTCGACGATCCGGAGAAATCGCAAAAACTTGCTCTGCTTCTCAACAGCGCGCTTTCTAAAAAGCGACTCGTTGGCAAGCTCGAGCGTTTGAATGTGGCGAATAAAGAGGAAGTGCTGCACCTCTGCAATCGCTACCACGTCATCATGCAGAAACTCACCCAATACCCGAACGTCGCTTTACCCCTACACGTTACCACCAACATGGAAACATCAGGATTATTCAGTTCGCAGGTAGGAACTCGAGAATTCTATTATATATTTGCTCATTCCCAAGCTTTTTCAGATATCGGTCAGTTCGATCGCCACTGCAGAACTGGAAAGACCCGAATCTGTGATGTCGATGACATCGTCTATTGGTGTCATCGCTGCAGATGAGACCGAATATTCGCCATATGAATCAAACCTGAACAAACTTCTCAAGAAGCTTCAAAACATCGAGGATTCATATACGAATGGTCCAAAACGACTAGACTTCGCCAAAAAAGACGTCGACGATCTTCAGGTAAAAGCTTCAAACAATCTAGGTAAAAAATTGTGGAATTTTTTTTTAGAACTATCGCACCAAATGCTGCGATAATTCTGCTCAGCTGACTAATAGCGAAGTCGAGCCAGCTGAAAAGGAACGGCTGAAGCATAAATTCGTTTTATTGCTCAGCAATTACGATGTAAGTCAATTATTCAAATCATGGCACCTAATTCTATTTTAAGGATTTCCTGAAATTGCTTAATAGCGAAATCAGAGAAGAGGAAGATCTCCTGAAGAAGAACACGGAGATCATGCGCGAACTCGAATCGATTGAGAACAACCTCCAATCGCCAAACATCTCCGAAGGCGACATTGCCGGCGAGCTCGACCGCATTCAAATGCAAATGGACTTGCTCAAGGTGATGTGCAACAAACCGCGAAAGTATGTTGAGTGCGAGCTCATCGATTCGTCGAGTCGCGAAGGAAGCCCACAAGAACGCAGAAAATCGAAGAAGAAGGTTCTTGTGATGATGTCGAACACCATCACGACAATCATTCACGTCGTTGAAGAACGACTTGTGGCCATCGAACCAACGCCTGAGTATCAGGCGGTTCAAGAAAAACTTTCAAGTGTCAAGGTAGCATTCAGCACAATAATATTCTTGATATCCTAAAATATTGAATTTCAGGAGAACCTTCGGGAACTTGATACAACTCCGCAGACAAAGCCTGATCTGAGCGCTTTCGAAATTTTGTCGCCAGTCGGTCAGGAAGACAAAAGAGACGTTGACGAAATTTCGCGACTCAAAAAGGAGGTTGAACGAGCCATTGACATGGCATCTTCAATGCAAAATGAGTCGCCAACTGATCCGAATACGTTAAAGTCTGCCGTGAAACTACTTGAAGAGCAGAAGCCCACGTTGGATCACATGCACACTATCGTGGAGTCAATGCCACCAGACAACGATGACACCACATCTGCCATCGATCTTTTGAATTCCATCGAAGAGGATTTTGCGAATACCAAGACATCCATCGAAGATTCGCTTGACGAAATTCAGCAGCCAGTTGAAGACAATTGGGAGATTGTTGTGCCACCGGCAAGAAATGTCGATGACAACGATGAGATCATTGAGATCGATGGCGATCCGAATTCGATCGACATGTTCGCAATCAAGAGAACGCCGGATGAGGTTACCGCGAAGGTCGCCAATCTTGTATTGAAGCTTCAAACTGCTATCGAAGAAGCCGAACAACTAGCGAACAATGATAGGAGCGATGTCAACTCACTTCAAGCGGCCAGCGACAAGCTGACCAAGCAGGAGAAGACGATGAAGAAGATTCACAAACTGCTGGATTCGTTGGGAAACGAGAATCCACAAAAGATCGAAGTAATCGATGCTCTTAGCAATATCCAGGAGCAGATTCAAAATGCTAGAACGAATATCAATGATCAGATCGATGAGCTAAACTACGGACAAGCTCCTGTTGTTCCGGCAAAGGTAACAATTGGGAAAACGATGAAACAATTACATTGGAGTTTTCAGGAACCGCACAGCTCACTTCATGCACTTAACAAGGTCATCGAGGAAGTCGACGCATTGCTGAATGATCCGCCTGTCGATGAAGATTCTTTGAAGGATGCTGAAGAACGACTGAAGAACGCCGAAGACATTCATGAGAAGGTGTTGAATGACAGTTGGCAGAATCCGGACAACACCAGTGCAATTGAAACGTTGGAGAAGTTCGACAAGGTATCGAACGATCTCAAGGATGCTTTAGACGTCCATAGCAAGGTAATTCGAGGTGAATCTGCAAAATTCAAAAAATTATTTTCAGATTAAACATGAGAGGAAACTTCAGTCAGACATCATCAAAAAGATTGAGCAAGTTATCAACAACTGCGACAGCGCTGCAAGCAGCAGTGAGTTTGATAATGATAAGCTCAAGGAGGCTTTGAAGAAGCTGGATGATGTTCAAGAATTGATAAACTCGATCGAAGATCAGATGATTGAGATCAGAAACAGAGAATTACCAGATTCGTCGGACGCTGTTGACATCTTGTCTAATATCAAAGAACAATACAATACAATTAAAACCTCTATTGAAGATCGTATTGACGAGGTATGCAAGATGAATAATTTCTAGATTATTAGATAATTTTCAGAACGACTCAATGGTCATCATTCCGTCCAACGAAGAACGAAGCGATGAACCATCGGAAGAAGAACAAAAAGAGTCTCAAAGGCAAACTGAGCTTATTGAGAAATTGGACAAACTTGGAAAACTTGCGCCACAGAATATTGATGAAAATGTTCTCACTACTATTGAAGAAGAAATCGCGGGACTCGACGATGATCGCGCGAATGAAATCAGAGGAACAATTGCCCAGATTCGAAAAGTCAAAGATGAAATCCTTGACGAGCTTGGAAACATAAAGAATGGCTCTGACCCAATTCCAAAACAATCGTTAGTTGAGATAACCGATAAAGCAACTTCACTGCCTACCGATTTTGTTCACAAAATTCTTCCGATCGTAACTGATATCCAACAGAATTCGATGGAAATTGAAAAACGAGAGATAGAACTGCTTGAAGCGCAGAAGATGCAGAAGCAGGATGAAGTTGACAATGAGACTGCCAAGATTCTTGAAGAGTTGAATGTCGTCGCAACCATGCCGCCATCAACCATCGACATCAATATGCTTCAGGCCATCGAAGATGGACTAGCTTCGCTTCCAGAGGAAAATGCCAACAAGCTTCGAGAGAAGATCAATGAACTTAAGGATGCCAAACAGAAGCAGGATGAAGCTGACAATGAGACCGCCAAGATTCTTGAAGAGTTGAATGTCGTCGCAACCATGCCGCCATCAACCATCGACATCAATATGCTTCAGGCCATCGAAGATGGACTGGCTTCGCTTCCAGAGGAAAATGCCAACAAGCTTCGAGAGAAGATCAATGAACTTAAGGATGCCAAACAGAAGCAGGATGAAGCTGACAATGAGACCGCCAAGATTCTTGAAGAGTTGAATGCCGTCGCAACCATGCCGCCATCAACCATCGACATCAATATGCTTCAGGCCATCGAAGATGGACTGGCTTCGCTTCCAGAGGAAAATGCCAACAAGCTTCGAGAGAAGATCAATGAACTTAAGGATGCCAAACAGAAGCAGGATGAAGCTGACAATGAGACCGCCAAGATTCTTGAAGAGTTGAATGCCGTCGCAACCATGCCGCCATCAACCATCGACATCAATATGCTTCAGGCCATCGAAGATGGACTGGCTTCGCTTCCAGAGGAAAATGCCAACAAGCTTCGAGAGAAGATCAATGAACTTAAGGATGCCAAACAGAAGCATGATGAAGCTGACAATGAGACCGCCAAGATTCTTGAAGAGTTGAATGCCGTCGCAACCATGCCGCCATCAACCATCGACATCAATATGCTTCAGGCCATCGAAGATGGACTGGCTTCGCTTCCAGAGGAAAATGCCAACAAGCTTCGAGAGAAGATCAATGAACTTAAGGATGCCAAACAGAAGCAGGATGAAGCTGACAATGAGACCGCCAAGATTCTTGAACAGTTGAATGCCGTCGCAACCATGCCGCCATCAACCATCGACATCAATATGCTTCAGGCCATCAAAGATGGACTGGCTTCGCTTCCAGAGGAAAATGCCAACAAGCTTCGAGAGAAGATCAATGAACTTAAGGATGCCAAACAGAAGCAGGATGAAGCTGACAATGAGACCGCCAAGATTCTTGAAGAGTTGAATGCCGTCGCAACCATGCCGCCATCAACCATCGACATCAATATGCTTCAGGCCATCGAAGATGGACTGGCTTCGCTTCCAGAGGAAAATGCCAACAAGCTTCGAGAGAAGATCAATGAACTTAAGGATGCCAAACAGAAGCAGGATGAAGCTGACAATGAGACCGCCAAGATTCTTGAAGAGTTGAATGCCGTCGCAACCATGCCGCCATCAACCATCGACATCAATATGCTTCAGGCCATCGAAGATGGACTAGCTTCGCTTCCAGAGGAAAATGCCAACAAGCTTCGAGAGAAGATCAATGAACTTAAGGATGCCAAACAGAAGCAGGATGAAGCTGACAATGAGACCGCCAAGATTCTTGAAGAGTTGAATGCCGTCGCAACCATGCCGCCATCAACCATCGACATCAATATGCTTCAGGCCATCGAAGATGGACTGGCTTCGCTTCCAGAGGAAAATGCCAACAAGCTTCGAGAGAAGATCAATGAACTTAAGGATGCCAAACAGAAGCAGGATGAAGCTGACAATGAGACCGCCAAGATTCTTGAAGAGTTGAATGCCGTCGCAACCATGCCGCCATCAACCATCGACATCAATATGCTTCAGGCCATCGAAGATGGACTAGCTTCGCTTCCAGAGGAAAATGCCAACAAGCTTCGAGAGAAGATCAATGAACTTAAGGATGCCAAACAGAAGCAGGATGAAAAAATTAATTACGCCCAAAATGCGTTGAAACGACTCGAAGACGCTTTGGATGATGCTGATCGCGGAGTTGCCGGCCAACCGGCAAATGTTGCCGCGCTCAACGAATTCAAGGACAGCATCACACCACACATCGATTCGTTGGTTGCCGTCGTTCAAGATGTTCCAGAAGAAGTCGCACCAGAAGCAGCCAGGTTACGTGATCGCGCCAACAAGTTCAACGACGACTTGCAATTGCTCATCCAGAAGACCGCTGATGACGCACAAAAAGCTGAAGAACTTCGCAAGACTGTTGACGGAATTACCAACTCGTTGAATCAGATCGTTCCAAAATATGAGATCCCGCAATCAATCGACGTGGCACGTGCCGATGCCGATCAATTGAGAGCGATCATCGAACAACTCAATGGACTTTCGGATGGTGACAAGCCGGATTCGCAAGTTGCTCGCGACATCAAGGACTCGAAGACGAAGGCGAAGGATCTTCTCGCTAATCTTGACAAGGCTATTCCAGTCGAAGAGGCGATCCGTGCTCATCAAGACGATATTGCGGCTAAACTCGATGAAATTCAAAAGAATCTTAACAACATCGACGAGTTCAAACCCGAAAACGCGTTGCCATTGATTGACGAGATTTCGAAGGAGGCCGCCGCGATCAAGCAAGCTGCTGATTCGAACGCCGACAAGGTCGAAACGCCAAATCCATTCGTCAGTCACGATGACTTGGATACAACTCTGCCACAAAAGGCGTTCGATATTCAACATGCCATCGACGACAAGAAGCAAGCTTTGACAAACGCCGCTCAAATCAACGAGATCGCTCCAAAACTCCAAATCGTCTCTCAACAACTCGAAACACTCGCGCCCGAACTCCCGACAAGTCTCGATGACCAGAAGGCATTGCTCGAAGATTTGGAAGAAAAGAAACGCGCCTACGAGAATCTCATTGCTACTCTTCCACCGAATGATCCAAAGAGCGAAGAGCTACAAAAGAACAGCGAATGGGATCTTTCAAGAATCAAGGATCTCATCAAGAAGCTCGGAGATGCGGTTGGAGACAAACTTTCTGCGCTCGCCACGTTCAATGCCTCTCGAAAACAGGCCGAAGATGCACTTCTGAACATCACCAGCGATGAAGGCGATGCGAGTCAAAAGTCGCCTGAACAACTTATCGCCGACTTGTCGAAGAACGAAGAGCTCATCGCGAAAATGCGTGAGAACATCGAGCAACAGAACCCCGATCAGCTTGATGAAGCCGAACGCAAAGAATACGAGGATCTTCTCGCTCGACTTGCTAATGCTCATGACATTATCAAGGTATGTTTTGAATTCAATTCACGTTTCCCATTTACCAAATTAAATTCATTTCAGAAGAAGCGCGCCGAAATCGAAGAAGCCGCTCGAAAGCAGGCCGCCGAAAAAGATCTTCACGATGCCATTGATCGTATTGAATCGCGATTGATTCCGCTCGTGAAGAACGGCGACGAGCTCCTTCACAACGCTGAAGGTGTTCCATCGCAATACGCGCCTGCTGCCGAAGAAATCAAGAATGAACTTGATAAGGCCAACGAGATTGTTGCCAACGCTCCGCAAACCGATGACCGCGTCAAATCTTTGGTTGCCGCCATCGATGCTGCCAATCAATTGGTGCCATCACTCAAGGAGAAGGCCCGAGTCTGGGATGAATTCGTCGTTGCTCGAAATGATGCCGACGGAGTTGTGGACAAACTTCAACAAGCTCTCAATGGAGTCGTTTCGAAGCCAAAGCGATCAGTTGACGAAGCCGCCAATGATTTGGCTCAACTCCAGGAGTCGTCGAAACAAATTCAGACGTTGAACGATATGATCACCAATCTTCAACGCCTTTCCGAACAGCTTGATCCACTTGAGAGCGCTTACGCCGATGTTCGATTCCTCGACGTCGACGCCGAACAAACTCAACATCAATACGATGAAGCTCTCAATGATCTTGCAACAGAAATTGACGACGAAAAGGTGCTTCAAGAATCTGTCGATCAAGTCAAGAAGGAGATCAACGACATTCGAACACTCATTGACAACACCAATCCTGAACGAAACGTTCTCGACACCATCGCCAATACTGACATTCCAGCATTGAAGACACAAATCAATCGCATCCAAGACAAATCGGTTAACGCTGCCGCTTCACGCAAGCACGTTTCTACCGACGCAAACATCGCCGACGAGCTCAACGCGAAGCTTGCCGACCTCGAAAAGGAACTCGATGAAGCCATCAAGGATGCGGATGAATACGAGAAGAGTCAACTGGTGCTTGCTCTCACACTCAAGATCACTCAACTGGAGGAAACTCCACTCGAGCAGCTGAACCCAGAAGAACTCAAGAATGCTGAAAAGGAGATCAAGAACAGTTTGGCACCAGAAGAGGCATTGCCACTTCTTGCCAAGATCGACGAACTCCGCAATGTCAAGAAGGCCGAAGACGATCGCAGAAACGAGCTTCACAACACAATCGTCGCTATCGGCAAAGATGCTGACGATGCGATGACACCAAAGAAGGACAGAAAGAGCAAGAAGCAGACTCCACAACAGAAGCTCGAGAAGCTCAACAACAAACTCGACGAAGTCAAAGCTCTCGTGCCACGAATCGAAGCCGTTGAGAACGATCCACTTCTCACTTCTGATGACAAGAACACCGCCAACCAAGTTCTCGACAACGTCAACGCATTCATTGGAGATTTGAATCAGCAAATTGCCGAAACGCAAGACCACATCGACAAGATCAACAATGCTCAAGATGCGTTGAAACGACTCGAAGACGCTTTGGATGATGCTGATCGCGGAGTTGCCGGCCAACCGGCAAATGTTGCCGCGCTCAACGAATTCAAGGACAGCATCACACCACACATCGATTCGTTGGTTGCCGTCGTTCAAGATGTTCCAGAAGAAGTCGCACCAGAAGCAGCCAGGTTACGTGATCGCGCCAACAAGTTCAACGACGACTTGCAATTGCTCATCCAGAAGACCGCTGATGACGCACAAAAAGCTGAAGAACTTCGCAAGACTGTTGACGGAATTACCAACTCGTTGAATCAGATCGTTCCAAAATATGAGATCCCGCAACCAATCGACGTGGCACGTGCCGATGCCGATCAATTGAGAGCGATCATCGAACAACTCAATGGACTTTCGGATGGTGACAAGCCGGATTCGCAAGTTGCTCGCGACATCAAGGACTCGAAGACGAAGGCGAAGGATCTTCTCGCTAATCTTGACAAGGCTATTCCAGTCGAAGAGGCGATCCGTGCTCATCAAGACGATATTGCGGCTAAACTCGATGAAATTCAAAAGAATCTTAACAACATCGACGAGTTCAAACCCGAAAACGCGTTGCCATTGATTGACGAGATTTCGAAGGAGGCCGCCGCGATCAAGCAAGCTGCTGATTCGAACGCCGACAAGGTCGAAACGCCAAATCCATTCGTCAGTCACGATGACTTGGATACAACTCTGCCACAAAAGGCGTTCGATATTCAACATGCCATCGACGACAAGAAGCAAGCTTTGACAAACGCCGCTCAAATCAACGAGATCGCTCCAAAACTCCAAATCGTCTCTCAACAACTCGAAACACTCGCGCCCGAACTCCCGACAAGTCTCGATGACCAGAAGGCATTGCTCGAAGATTTGGAAGAAAAGAAACGCGCCTACGAGAATCTCATTGCTACTCTTCCACCGAATGATCCAAAGAGCGAAGAGCTACAAAAGAACAGCGAATGGGATCTTTCAAGAATCAAGGATCTCATCAAGAAGCTCGGAGATGCGGTTGGAGACAAACTTTCTGCGCTCGCCACGTTCAATGCCTCTCGAAAACAGGCCGAAGATGCACTTCTGAACATCACCAGCGATGAAGGCGATGCGAGTCAAAAGTCGCCTGAACAACTTATCGCCGACTTGTCGAAGAACGAAGAGCTCATCGCAAAAATGCGTGAGAACATCGAGCAACAGAACCCCGATCAGCTTGATGAAGCCGAACGCAAAGAATACGAGGATCTTCTCGCTCGACTTGCTAATGCTCATGACATTATCAAGGTATGTTTTGAATTCAATTCACGTTTCCCATTTACCAAATTAAATTCATTTCAGAAGAAGCGCGCCGAAATCGAAGAAGCCGCTCGAAAGCAGGCCGCCGAAAAGATCTTCACGATGCCATTGATCGTATTGAATCGCGATTGATTCCGCTCGTGAAGAACGGCGACGAGCTCCTTCACAACGCTGAAGGTGTTCCATCGCAATACGCGCCTGCTGCCGAAGAAATCAAGAATGAACTTGATAAGGCCAACGAGATTGTTGCCAACGCTCCGCAAACCGATGACCGCGTCAAATCTTTGGTTGCCGCCATCGATGCTGCCAATCAATTGGTGCCATCACTCAAGGAGAAGGCCCGAGTCTGGGATGAATTCGTCGTTGCTCGAAATGATGCCGACGGAGTTGTGGACAAACTTCAACAAGCTCTCAATGGAGTCGTTTCGAAGCCAAAGCGATCAGTTGACGAAGCCGCCAATGATTTGGCTCAACTCCAGGAGTCGTCGAAACAAATTCAGACGTTGAACGATATGATCACCAATCTTCAACGCCTTTCCGAACAGCTTGATCCACTTGAGAGCGCTTACGCCGATGTTCGATTCCTCGACGTCGACGCCGAACAAACTCAACATCAATACGATGAAGCTCTCAATGATCTTGCAACAGAAATTGACGACGAAAAGGTGCTTCAAGAATCTGTCGATCAAGTCAAGAAGGAGATCAACGACATTCGAACACTCATTGACAACACCAATCCTGAACGAAACGTTCTCGACACCATCGCCAATACTGACATTCCAGCATTGAAGACACAAATCAATCGCATCCAAGACAAATCGGTTAACGCTGCCGCTTCACGCAAGCACGTTTCTACCGACGCAAACATCGCCGACGAGCTCAACGCGAAGCTTGCCGACCTCGAAAAGGAACTCGATGAAGCCATCAAGGATGCGGATGAATACGAGAAGAGTCAACTGGTGCTTGCTCTCACACTCAAGATCACTCAACTGGAGGAAACTCCACTCGAGCAGCTGAACCCAGAAGAACTCAAGAATGCTGAAAAGGAGATCAAGAACAGTTTGGCACCAGAAGAGGCATTGCCACTTCTTGCCAAGATCGACGAACTCCGCAATGTCAAGAAGGCCGAAGACGATCGCAGAAACGAGCTTCACAACACAATCGTCGCTATCGGCAAAGATGCTGACGATGCGATGACACCAAAGAAGGACAGAAAGAGCAAGAAGCAGACTCCACAACAGAAGCTCGAGAAGCTCAACAACAAACTCGACGAAGTCAAAGCTCTCGTGCCACGAATCGAAGCCGTTGAGAACGATCCACTTCTCACTTCTGATGACAAGAACACCGCCAACCAAGTTCTCGACAACGTCAACGCATTCATTGGAGATTTGAATCAGCAAATTGCCGAAACGCAAGACCACATCGACAAGATCAACAATGCTCAAGATGCGTTGAAACGACTCGAAGACGCTTTGGATGATGCTGATCGCGGAGTTGCCGGCCAACCGGCAAATGTTGCCGCGCTCAACGAATTCAAGGACAGCATCACACCACACATCGATTCGTTGGTTGCCGTCGTTCAAGATGTTCCAGAAGAAGTCGCACCAGAAGCAGCCAGGTTACGTGATCGCGCCAACAAGTTCAACGACGACTTGCAATTGCTCATCCAGAAGACCGCTGATGACGCACAAAAAGCTGAAGAACTTCGCAAGACTGTTGACGGAATTACCAACTCGTTGAATCAGATCGTTCCAAAATATGAGATCCCGCAACCAATCGACGTGGCACGTGCCGATGCCGATCAATTGAGAGCGATCATCGAACAACTCAATGGACTTTCGGATGGTGACAAGCCGGATTCGCAAGTTGCTCGCGACATCAAGGACTCGAAGACGAAGGCGAAGGATCTTCTCGCTAATCTTGACAAGGCTATTCCAGTCGAAGAGGCGATCCGTGCTCATCAAGACGATATTGCGGCTAAACTCGATGAAATTCAAAAGAATCTTAACAACATCGACGAGTTCAAACCCGAAAACGCGTTGCCATTGATTGACGAGATTTCGAAGGAGGCCGCCGCGATCAAGCAAGCTGCTGATTCGAACGCCGACAAGGTCGAAACGCCAAATCCATTCGTCAGTCACGATGACTTGGATACAACTCTGCCACAAAAGGCGTTCGATATTCAACATGCCATCGACGACAAGAAGCAAGCTTTGACAAACGCCGCTCAAATCAACGAGATCGCTCCAAAACTCCAAATCGTCTCTCAACAACTCGAAACACTCGCGCCCGAACTCCCGACAAGTCTCGATGACCAGAAGGCATTGCTCGAAGATTTGGAAGAAAAGAAACGCGCCTACGAGAATCTCATTGCTACTCTTCCACCGAATGATCCAAAGAGCGAAGAGCTACAAAAGAACAGCGAATGGGATCTTTCAAGAATCAAGGATCTCATCAAGAAGCTCGGAGATGCGGTTGGAGACAAACTTTCTGCGCTCGCCACGTTCAATGCCTCTCGAAAACAGGCCGAAGATGCACTTCTGAACATCACCAGCGATGAAGGCGATGCGAGTCAAAAGTCGCCTGAACAACTTATCGCCGACTTGTCGAAGAACGAAGAGCTCATCGCAAAAATGCGTGAGAACATCGAGCAACAGAACCCCGATCAGCTTGATGAAGCCGAACGCAAAGAATACGAGGATCTTCTCGCTCGACTTGCTAATGCTCATGACATTATCAAGGTATGTTTTGAATTCAATTCACGTTTCCCATTTACCAAATTAAATTCATTTCAGAAGAAGCGCGCCGAAATCGAAGAAGCCGCTCGAAAGCAGGCCGCCGAAAAAGATCTTCACGATGCCATTGATCGTATTGAATCGCGATTGATTCCGCTCGTGAAGAACGGCGACGAGCTCCTTCACAACGCTGAAGGTGTTCCATCGCAATACGCGCCTGCTGCCGAAGAAATCAAGAATGAACTTGATAAGGCCAACGAGATTGTTGCCAACGCTCCGCAAACCGATGACCGCGTCAAATCTTTGGTTGCCGCCATCGATGCTGCCAATCAATTGGTGCCATCACTCAAGGAGAAGGCCCGAGTCTGGGATGAATTCGTCGTTGCTCGAAATGATGCCGACGGAGTTGTGGACAAACTTCAACAAGCTCTCAATGGAGTCGTTTCGAAGCCAAAGCGATCAGTTGACGAAGCCGCCAATGATTTGGCTCAACTCCAGGAGTCGTCGAAACAAATTCAGACGTTGAACGATATGATCACCAATCTTCAACGCCTTTCCGAACAGCTTGATCCACTTGAGAGCGCTTACGCCGATGTTCGATTCCTCGACGTCGACGCCGAACAAACTCAACATCAATACGATGAAGCTCTCAATGATCTTGCAACAGAAATTGACGACGAAAAGGTGCTTCAAGAATCTGTCGATCAAGTCAAGAAGGAGATCAACGACATTCGAACACTCATTGACAACACCAATCCTGAACGAAACGTTCTCGACACCATCGCCAATACTGACATTCCAGCATTGAAGACACAAATCAATCGCATCCAAGACAAATCGGTTAACGCTGCCGCTTCACGCAAGCACGTTTCTACCGACGCAAACATCGCCGACGAGCTCAACGCGAAGCTTGCCGACCTCGAAAAGGAACTCGATGAAGCCATCAAGGATGCGGATGAATACGAGAAGAGTCAACTGGTGCTTGCTCTCACACTCAAGATCACTCAACTGGAGGAAACTCCACTCGAGCAGCTGAACCCAGAAGAACTCAAGAATGCTGAAAAGGAGATCAAGAACAGTTTGGCACCAGAAGAGGCATTGCCACTTCTTGCCAAGATCGACGAACTCCGCAATGTCAAGAAGGCCGAAGACGATCGCAGAAACGAGCTTCACAACACAATCGTCGCTATCGGCAAAGATGCTGACGATGCGATGACACCAAAGAAGGACAGAAAGAGCAAGAAGCAGACTCCACAACAGAAGCTCGAGAAGCTCAACAACAAACTCGACGAAGTCAAAGCTCTCGTGCCACGAATCGAAGCCGTTGAGAACGATCCACTTCTCACTTCTGATGACAAGAACACCGCCAACCAAGTTCTCGACAACGTCAACGCATTCATTGGAGATTTGAATCAGCAAATTGCCGAAACGCAAGACCACATCGACAAGATCAACAATGCTCAAGATGCGTTGAAACGACTCGAAGACGCTTTGGATGATGCTGATCGCGGAGTTGCCGGCCAACCGGCAAATGTTGCCGCGCTCAACGAATTCAAGGACAGCATCACACCACACATCGATTCGTTGGTTGCCGTCGTTCAAGATGTTCCAGAAGAAGTCGCACCAGAAGCAGCCAGGTTACGTGATCGCGCCAACAAGTTCAACGACGACTTGCAATTGCTCATCCAGAAGACCGCTGATGACGCACAAAAAGCTGAAGAACTTCGCAAGACTGTTGACGGAATTACCAACTCGTTGAATCAGATCGTTCCAAAATATGAGATCCCGCAACCAATCGACGTGGCACGTGCCGATGCCGATCAATTGAGAGCGATCATCGAACAACTCAATGGACTTTCGGATGGTGACAAGCCGGATTCGCAAGTTGCTCGCGACATCAAGGACTCGAAGACGAAGGCGAAGGATCTTCTCGCTAATCTTGACAAGGCTATTCCAGTCGAAGAGGCGATCCGTGCTCATCAAGACGATATTGCGGCTAAACTCGATGAAATTCAAAAGAATCTTAACAACATCGACGAGTTCAAACCCGAAAACGCGTTGCCATTGATTGACGAGATTTCGAAGGAGGCCGCCGCGATCAAGCAAGCTGCTGATTCGAACGCCGACAAGGTCGAAACGCCAAATCCATTCGTCAGTCACGATGACTTGGATACAACTCTGCCACAAAAGGCGTTCGATATTCAACATGCCATCGACGACAAGAAGCAAGCTTTGACAAACGCCGCTCAAATCAACGAGATCGCTCCAAAACTCCAAATCGTCTCTCAACAACTCGAAACACTCGCGCCCGAACTCCCGACAAGTCTCGATGACCAGAAGGCATTGCTCGAAGATTTGGAAGAAAAGAAACGCGCCTACGAGAATCTCATTGCTACTCTTCCACCGAATGATCCAAAGAGCGAAGAGCTACAAAAGAACAGCGAATGGGATCTTTCAAGAATCAAGGATCTCATCAAGAAGCTCGGAGATGCGGTTGGAGACAAACTTTCTGCGCTCGCCACGTTCAATGCCTCTCGAAAACAGGCCGAAGATGCACTTCTGAACATCACCAGCGATGAAGGCGATGCGAGTCAAAAGTCGCCTGAACAACTTATCGCCGACTTGTCGAAGAACGAAGAGCTCATCGCAAAAATGCGTGAGAACATCGAGCAACAGAACCCCGATCAGCTTGATGAAGCCGAACGCAAAGAATACGAGGATCTTCTCGCTCGACTTGCTAATGCTCATGACATTATCAAGGTATGTTTTGAATTCAATTCACGTTTCCCATTTACCAAATTAAATTCATTTCAGAAGAAGCGCGCCGAAATCGAAGAAGCCGCTCGAAAGCAGGCCGCCGAAAAGATCTTCACGATGCCATTGATCGTATTGAATCGCGATTGATTCCGCTCGTGAAGAACGGCGACGAGCTCCTTCACAACGCTGAAGGTGTTCCATCGCAATACGCGCCTGCTGCCGAAGAAATCAAGAATGAACTTGATAAGGCCAACGAGATTGTTGCCAACGCTCCGCAAACCGATGACCGCGTCAAATCTTTGGTTGCCGCCATCGATGCTGCCAATCAATTGGTGCCATCACTCAAGGAGAAGGCCCGAGTCTGGGATGAATTCGTCGTTGCTCGAAATGATGCCGACGGAGTTGTGGACAAACTTCAACAAGCTCTCAATGGAGTCGTTTCGAAGCCAAAGCGATCAGTTGACGAAGCCGCCAATGATTTGGCTCAACTCCAGGAGTCGTCGAAACAAATTCAGACGTTGAACGATATGATCACCAATCTTCAACGCCTTTCCGAACAGCTTGATCCACTTGAGAGCGCTTACGCCGATGTTCGATTCCTCGACGTCGACGCCGAACAAACTCAACATCAATACGATGAAGCTCTCAATGATCTTGCAACAGAAATTGACGACGAAAAGGTGCTTCAAGAATCTGTCGATCAAGTCAAGAAGGAGATCAACGACATTCGAACACTCATTGACAACACCAATCCTGAACGAAACGTTCTCGACACCATCGCCAATACTGACATTCCAGCATTGAAGACACAAATCAATCGCATCCAAGACAAATCGGTTAACGCTGCCGCTTCACGCAAGCACGTTTCTACCGACGCAAACATCGCCGACGAGCTCAACGCGAAGCTTGCCGACCTCGAAAAGGAACTCGATGAAGCCATCAAGGATGCGGATGAATACGAGAAGAGTCAACTGGTGCTTGCTCTCACACTCAAGATCACTCAACTGGAGGAAACTCCACTCGAGCAGCTGAACCCAGAAGAACTCAAGAATGCTGAAAAGGAGATCAAGAACAGTTTGGCACCAGAAGAGGCATTGCCACTTCTTGCCAAGATCGACGAACTCCGCAATGTCAAGAAGGCCGAAGACGATCGCAGAAACGAGCTTCACAACACAATCGTCGCTATCGGCAAAGATGCTGACGATGCGATGACACCAAAGAAGGACAGAAAGAGCAAGAAGCAGACTCCACAACAGAAGCTCGAGAAGCTCAACAACAAACTCGACGAAGTCAAAGCTCTCGTGCCACGAATCGAAGCCGTTGAGAACGATCCACTTCTCACTTCTGATGACAAGAACACCGCCAACCAAGTTCTCGACAACGTCAACGCATTCATTGGAGATTTGAATCAGCAAATTGCCGAAACGCAAGACCACATCGACAAGATCAACAATGCTCAAGATGCGTTGAAACGACTCGAAGACGCTTTGGATGATGCTGATCGCGGAGTTGCCGGCCAACCGGCAAATGTTGCCGCGCTCAACGAATTCAAGGACAGCATCACACCACACATCGATTCGTTGGTTGCCGTCGTTCAAGATGTTCCAGAAGAAGTCGCACCAGAAGCAGCCAGGTTACGTGATCGCGCCAACAAGTTCAACGACGACTTGCAATTGCTCATCCAGAAGACCGCTGATGACGCACAAAAGCTGAAGAACTTCGCAAGACTGTTGACGGAATTACCAACTCGTTGAATCAGATCGTTCCAAAATATGAGATCCCGCAACCAATCGACGTGGCACGTGCCGATGCCGATCAATTGAGAGCGATCATCGAACAACTCAATGGACTTTCGGATGGTGACAAGCCGGATTCGCAAGTTGCTCGCGACATCAAGGACTCGAAGACGAAGGCGAAGGATCTTCTCGCTAATCTTGACAAGGCTATTCCAGTCGAAGAGGCGATCCGTGCTCATCAAGACGATATTGCGGCTAAACTCGATGAAATTCAAAAGAATCTTAACAACATCGACGAGTTCAAACCCGAAAACGCGTTGCCATTGATTGACGAGATTTCGAAGGAGGCCGCCGCGATCAAGCAAGCTGCTGATTCGAACGCCGACAAGGTCGAAACGCCAAATCCATTCGTCAGTCACGATGACTTGGATACAACTCTGCCACAAAAGGCGTTCGATATTCAACATGCCATCGACGACAAGAAGCAAGCTTTGACAAACGCCGCTCAAATCAACGAGATCGCTCCAAAACTCCAAATCGTCTCTCAACAACTCGAAACACTCGCGCCCGAACTCCCGACAAGTCTCGATGACCAGAAGGCATTGCTCGAAGATTTGGAAGAAAAGAAACGCGCCTACGAGAATCTCATTGCTACTCTTCCACCGAATGATCCAAAGAGCGAAGAGCTACAAAAGAACAGCGAATGGGATCTTTCAAGAATCAAGGATCTCATCAAGAAGCTCGGAGATGCGGTTGGAGACAAACTTTCTGCGCTCGCCACGTTCAATGCCTCTCGAAAACAGGCCGAAGATGCACTTCTGAACATCACCAGCGATGAAGGCGATGCGAGTCAAAAGTCGCCTGAACAACTTATCGCCGACTTGTCGAAGAACGAAGAGCTCATCGCAAAAATGCGTGAGAACATCGAGCAACAGAACCCCGATCAGCTTGATGAAGCCGAACGCAAAGAATACGAGGATCTTCTCGCTCGACTTGCTAATGCTCATGACATTATCAAGGTATGTTTTGAATTCAATTCACGTTTCCCATTTACCAAATTAAATTCATTTCAGAAGAAGCGCGCCGAAATCGAAGAAGCCGCTCGAAAGCAGGCCGCCGAAAAGATCTTCACGATGCCATTGATCGTATTGAATCGCGATTGATTCCGCTCGTGAAGAACGGCGACGAGCTCCTTCACAACGCTGAAGGTGTTCCATCGCAATACGCGCCTGCTGCCGAAGAAATCAAGAATGAACTTGATAAGGCCAACGAGATTGTTGCCAACGCTCCGCAAACCGATGACCGCGTCAAATCTTTGGTTGCCGCCATCGATGCTGCCAATCAATTGGTGCCATCACTCAAGGAGAAGGCCCGAGTCTGGGATGAATTCGTCGTTGCTCGAAATGATGCCGACGGAGTTGTGGACAAACTTCAACAAGCTCTCAATGGAGTCGTTTCGAAGCCAAAGCGATCAGTTGACGAAGCCGCCAATGATTTGGCTCAACTCCAGGAGTCGTCGAAACAAATTCAGACGTTGAACGATATGATCACCAATCTTCAACGCCTTTCCGAACAGCTTGATCCACTTGAGAGCGCTTACGCCGATGTTCGATTCCTCGACGTCGACGCCGAACAAACTCAACATCAATACGATGAAGCTCTCAATGATCTTGCAACAGAAATTGACGACGAAAAGGTGCTTCAAGAATCTGTCGATCAAGTCAAGAAGGAGATCAACGACATTCGAACACTCATTGACAACACCAATCCTGAACGAAACGTTCTCGACACCATCGCCAATACTGACATTCCAGCATTGAAGACACAAATCAATCGCATCCAAGACAAATCGGTTAACGCTGCCGCTTCACGCAAGCACGTTTCTACCGACGCAAACATCGCCGACGAGCTCAACGCGAAGCTTGCCGACCTCGAAAAGGAACTCGATGAAGCCATCAAGGATGCGGATGAATACGAGAAGAGTCAACTGGTGCTTGCTCTCACACTCAAGATCACTCAACTGGAGGAAACTCCACTCGAGCAGCTGAACCCAGAAGAACTCAAGAATGCTGAAAAGGAGATCAAGAACAGTTTGGCACCAGAAGAGGCATTGCCACTTCTTGCCAAGATCGACGAACTCCGCAATGTCAAGAAGGCCGAAGACGATCGCAGAAACGAGCTTCACAACACAATCGTCGCTATCGGCAAAGATGCTGACGATGCGATGACACCAAAGAAGGACAGAAAGAGCAAGAAGCAGACTCCACAACAGAAGCTCGAGAAGCTCAACAACAAACTCGACGAAGTCAAAGCTCTCGTGCCACGAATCGAAGCCGTTGAGAACGATCCACTTCTCACTTCTGATGACAAGAACACCGCCAACCAAGTTCTCGACAACGTCAACGCATTCATTGGAGATTTGAATCAGCAAATTGCCGAAACGCAAGACCACATCGACAAGATCAACAATGCTCAAGATGCGTTGAAACGACTCGAAGACGCTTTGGATGATGCTGATCGCGGAGTTGCCGGCCAACCGGCAAATGTTGCCGCGCTCAACGAATTCAAGGACAGCATCACACCACACATCGATTCGTTGGTTGCCGTCGTTCAAGATGTTCCAGAAGAAGTCGCACCAGAAGCAGCCAGGTTACGTGATCGCGCCAACAAGTTCAACGACGACTTGCAATTGCTCATCCAGAAGACCGCTGATGACGCACAAAAAGCTGAAGAACTTCGCAAGACTGTTGACGGAATTACCAACTCGTTGAATCAGATCGTTCCAAAATATGAGATCCCGCAACCAATCGACGTGGCACGTGCCGATGCCGATCAATTGAGAGCGATCATCGAACAACTCAATGGACTTTCGGATGGTGACAAGCCGGATTCGCAAGTTGCTCGCGACATCAAGGACTCGAAGACGAAGGCGAAGGATCTTCTCGCTAATCTTGACAAGGCTATTCCAGTCGAAGAGGCGATCCGTGCTCATCAAGACGATATTGCGGCTAAACTCGATGAAATTCAAAAGAATCTTAACAACATCGACGAGTTCAAACCCGAAAACGCGTTGCCATTGATTGACGAGATTTCGAAGGAGGCCGCCGCGATCAAGCAAGCTGCTGATTCGAACGCCGACAAGGTCGAAACGCCAAATCCATTCGTCAGTCACGATGACTTGGATACAACTCTGCCACAAAAGGCGTTCGATATTCAACATGCCATCGACGACAAGAAGCAAGCTTTGACAAACGCCGCTCAAATCAACGAGATCGCTCCAAAACTCCAAATCGTCTCTCAACAACTCGAAACACTCGCGCCCGAACTCCCGACAAGTCTCGATGACCAGAAGGCATTGCTCGAAGATTTGGAAGAAAAGAAACGCGCCTACGAGAATCTCATTGCTACTCTTCCACCGAATGATCCAAAGAGCGAAGAGCTACAAAAGAACAGCGAATGGGATCTTTCAAGAATCAAGGATCTCATCAAGAAGCTCGGAGATGCGGTTGGAGACAAACTTTCTGCGCTCGCCACGTTCAATGCCTCTCGAAAACAGGCCGAAGATGCACTTCTGAACATCACCAGCGATGAAGGCGATGCGAGTCAAAAGTCGCCTGAACAACTTATCGCCGACTTGTCGAAGAACGAAGAGCTCATCGCAAAAATGCGTGAGAACATCGAGCAACAGAACCCCGATCAGCTTGATGAAGCCGAACGCAAAGAATACGAGGATCTTCTCGCTCGACTTGCTAATGCTCATGACATTATCAAGGTATGTTTTGAATTCAATTCACGTTTCCCATTTACCAAATTAAATTCATTTCAGAAGAAGCGCGCCGAAATCGAAGAAGCCGCTCGAAAGCAGGCCGCCGAAAAAGATCTTCACGATGCCATTGATCGTATTGAATCGCGATTGATTCCGCTCGTGAAGAACGGCGACGAGCTCCTTCACAACGCTGAAGGTGTTCCATCGCAATACGCGCCTGCTGCCGAAGAAATCAAGAATGAACTTGATAAGGCCAACGAGATTGTTGCCAACGCTCCGCAAACCGATGACCGCGTCAAATCTTTGGTTGCCGCCATCGATGCTGCCAATCAATTGGTGCCATCACTCAAGGAGAAGGCCCGAGTCTGGGATGAATTCGTCGTTGCTCGAAATGATGCCGACGGAGTTGTGGACAAACTTCAACAAGCTCTCAATGGAGTCGTTTCGAAGCCAAAGCGATCAGTTGACGAAGCCGCCAATGATTTGGCTCAACTCCAGGAGTCGTCGAAACAAATTCAGACGTTGAACGATATGATCACCAATCTTCAACGCCTTTCCGAACAGCTTGATCCACTTGAGAGCGCTTACGCCGATGTTCGATTCCTCGACGTCGACGCCGAACAAACTCAACATCAATACGATGAAGCTCTCAATGATCTTGCAACAGAAATTGACGACGAAAAGGTGCTTCAAGAATCTGTCGATCAAGTCAAGAAGGAGATCAACGACATTCGAACACTCATTGACAACACCAATCCTGAACGAAACGTTCTCGACACCATCGCCAATACTGACATTCCAGCATTGAAGACACAAATCAATCGCATCCAAGACAAATCGGTTAACGCTGCCGCTTCACGCAAGCACGTTTCTACCGACGCAAACATCGCCGACGAGCTCAACGCGAAGCTTGCCGACCTCGAAAAGGAACTCGATGAAGCCATCAAGGATGCGGATGAATACGAGAAGAGTCAACTGGTGCTTGCTCTCACACTCAAGATCACTCAACTGGAGGAAACTCCACTCGAGCAGCTGAACCCAGAAGAACTCAAGAATGCTGAAAAGGAGATCAAGAACAGTTTGGCACCAGAAGAGGCATTGCCACTTCTTGCCAAGATCGACGAACTCCGCAATGTCAAGAAGGCCGAAGACGATCGCAGAAACGAGCTTCACAACACAATCGTCGCTATCGGCAAAGATGCTGACGATGCGATGACACCAAAGAAGGACAGAAAGAGCAAGAAGCAGACTCCACAACAGAAGCTCGAGAAGCTCAACAACAAACTCGACGAAGTCAAAGCTCTCGTGCCACGAATCGAAGCCGTTGAGAACGATCCACTTCTCACTTCTGATGACAAGAACACCGCCAACCAAGTTCTCGACAACGTCAACGCATTCATTGGAGATTTGAATCAGCAAATTGCCGAAACGCAAGACCACATCGACAAGATCAACAATGCTCAAGATGCGTTGAAACGACTCGAAGACGCTTTGGATGATGCTGATCGCGGAGTTGCCGGCCAACCGGCAAATGTTGCCGCGCTCAACGAATTCAAGGACAGCATCACACCACACATCGATTCGTTGGTTGCCGTCGTTCAAGATGTTCCAGAAGAAGTCGCACCAGAAGCAGCCAGGTTACGTGATCGCGCCAACAAGTTCAACGACGACTTGCAATTGCTCATCCAGAAGACCGCTGATGACGCACAAAAAGCTGAAGAACTTCGCAAGACTGTTGACGGAATTACCAACTCGTTGAATCAGATCGTTCCAAAATATGAGATCCCGCAACCAATCGACGTGGCACGTGCCGATGCCGATCAATTGAGAGCGATCATCGAACAACTCAATGGACTTTCGGATGGTGACAAGCCGGATTCGCAAGTTGCTCGCGACATCAAGGACTCGAAGACGAAGGCGAAGGATCTTCTCGCTAATCTTGACAAGGCTATTCCAGTCGAAGAGGCGATCCGTGCTCATCAAGACGATATTGCGGCTAAACTCGATGAAATTCAAAAGAATCTTAACAACATCGACGAGTTCAAACCCGAAAACGCGTTGCCATTGATTGACGAGATTTCGAAGGAGGCCGCCGCGATCAAGCAAGCTGCTGATTCGAACGCCGACAAGGTCGAAACGCCAAATCCATTCGTCAGTCACGATGACTTGGATACAACTCTGCCACAAAAGGCGTTCGATATTCAACATGCCATCGACGACAAGAAGCAAGCTTTGACAAACGCCGCTCAAATCAACGAGATCGCTCCAAAACTCCAAATCGTCTCTCAACAACTCGAAACACTCGCGCCCGAACTCCCGACAAGTCTCGATGACCAGAAGGCATTGCTCGAAGATTTGGAAGAAAAGAAACGCGCCTACGAGAATCTCATTGCTACTCTTCCACCGAATGATCCAAAGAGCGAAGAGCTACAAAAGAACAGCGAATGGGATCTTTCAAGAATCAAGGATCTCATCAAGAAGCTCGGAGATGCGGTTGGAGACAAACTTTCTGCGCTCGCCACGTTCAATGCCTCTCGAAAACAGGCCGAAGATGCACTTCTGAACATCACCAGCGATGAAGGCGATGCGAGTCAAAAGTCGCCTGAACAACTTATCGCCGACTTGTCGAAGAACGAAGAGCTCATCGCGAAAATGCGTGAGAACATCGAGCAACAGAACCCCGATCAGCTTGATGAAGCCGAACGCAAAGAATACGAGGATCTTCTCGCTCGACTTGCTAATGCTCATGACATTATCAAGGTATGTTTTGAATTCAATTCACGTTTCCCATTTACCAAATTAAATTCATTTCAGAAGAAGCGCGCCGAAATCGAAGAAGCCGCTCGAAAGCAGGCCGCCGAAAAAGATCTTCACGATGCCATTGATCGTATTGAATCGCGATTGATTCCACTCGTGAAGAACGGTGAAGAACTGTTACAAAATGTTGAAGCTGTTCCATCCCAATACGGACCGAAGGCTGAAGAAATCAAGAAAGAAATCGAAATAGCAAAAGACATTGTTGCCAATTCTCCTCAAACCGATAACAGGGTTCAAGCACTAATTTCAACAATTCATGCTGCTAGTCAACTAGCAGCTAGACTGGATGGAGCCTTCGATTTTTGGAATTCATTTGTTAAATCAAAAGAAGATCTCTACGAGGATCTTGAAAATCTTGAAAACAGTGTTAGTGATGTCCTGAACCGACCTCGAATACCAGTCGACCAAGCCCAACAACGACTTGAAAAATTAAAGGTAGTAATCTGGAAAGTTTTTAAATACATCTATCCCGAATTTTCAGAGCAAGGACATTTTACTAGAACGTATCCGGGAAACGAATCAGAAAATTGACGATATTGGTTTTGAGTTATGTCATCTGACTGTCGTCGCTGACGAGCTCAGATACTTATCGGTTCATGTTGAAAGTATCGAACGGCAGTACGAGGTAAGATTTTTTTTATTAAATTACAAAATATTAAAATAAAACGTATTATAGGATACGATGGACAAACTCAACAACGAAATAACTGCCGAAAACGAACTTCTCCGCACGTTGGACATTCTAACCAACGAATTGTCACAGTGCAAGGAAGATATACAAAATCCTAATAGTGACGTCGACGAACAAGTAATCCAAACAAACGCGATGATTTTCACCATTTGAAACGTTTTTCAGAGTCGTCTTGCACTATTGAATGATGCCATTGCGCACTTGGAAAATCAGAAAGCAGTTGTCGAAAATAATGAGAAGGAACGAAAGTTCGTCGAAAGCAGCACTTTGACGACGCTTGAAAACCTTCTGCAAGAAGCTCGACAATTGCGCGACGAACTTGAGCCAAGAGTTAGCGCGCAGAATGGCGAGGATGACGAATCCACAATCAGAGAGCCGTACGATGTGGATGCAGCTGCTGAGGTTCTTTCAGCGCTCTATCCCAACAAACATCCGTATCGTGTTCTCAATGAGCATGGATTCGAAGGTGTACCATCGGGCTCTGATACGCAAAGTGAATTCGACTCGATTGATAGCCGATCAGACGGTCTACTTTCCCCAATTCCGGATGATTCGGAACTCAACGCCGAGCAACTGCGTAGACAGAGATCGCGATGGAGACGGGTCTTGCGAACAGCATTGCCACTCCAGGTAAACTAAAAGGAAATCGTTAATTGTTTTAAACAAATTTCTTACAGGCATTGCTTGTTCTTCTTATGGGTGCCGCCTGCCTGGTTCCGCATTGCGACGACGAATATTGTTGTCAACTTCTCAATAACTTCGCTAAAAGTTTCGACCCAGCGCTAGAATTTGTTAATGGACCACCACCATTTTAATCATTTTTCATATTAATAATATGTCACACAATATTCCTTCGATAGCGAATTAATAATGGTTATGTAAATATACTTTATATGTTTTTGTTACGAGCTTCAGTTTAATAGTTAATAAATAGTTGATTTAATTAATTAATTGATACTTACATTTAAACGAATATTGGGCACGATAAAAAACACGGGAAAATAAAGCAAAGTAAATGAAATATAAAAAATGAAACGTACACGGAAGGAGTTTGAAAATCGTGAAAATTTATATAAACGAGAGATTACATAAGAAGATCGTAGACTTGATTTATGAAGTTCATAATTATCATTGAAAATTTCAAAAAAGCAAATACTACAAAAAAACAATTTAATTTTATAATTTACAATCATTTATAATTCACATTAGTAAATCCGTTATTTTTACCCTTTCACGCAATGAAAGTAATGTGAATCAAAATTCAATATAATAATTTTAAAAAAATAGATAACATTTTAACATTTTAACTCAATTTTAGGACAATTGAAATCAAAAGGAAATTAAATTTCGTGTTTTCTGTGTTTTTGCGTGAAGAATTACGTGCATTGTTTACAGTACACCTTATATTTAATTCTTCTTCTGATTATTCATTTAATCGTTTTTCAGATTTTTACCAGCTTATTTCATCGTTATTTCGATTTCAGAAAGTGAAAAAGTTCTTCCTTTTTATTATATAAGTTTTATCTGACATTCTACTTTTTTTATAGTTGATTTAGTTTTTAATAGTTAATTTCTTCCTTCATTCGCGCCGCCTCTCGTTTTGCCTCTTACCGAATTTACAATGCTCCGCGCATTCCGGTGAACACAGTTTAACGTATTTCGTTTCGGGTTGAATTTCAAACGCATTTTACTTTTTAAAAACCAATTTTTCCAATCTTCAGATGGTTAAATCGCCCGGTTCATCTCCAGACACAAAAAAGGCGAAGCTCGATGTTTTTCCCGATCTTCGCAAGGAATTGAAACCAAAAAATATCGAAAAAGCGGAAGTTGAGCAATATGTTGCAGCTCTTTCAAAATTTCAAATTCCGAAGGAGGTTTGATATATTTCATTGCGAGTATTGTTGAATAGAAAGTTCGAATTTCAGGATGACTTGAAGCCAAGCGACGAATGCCAATTTCGTTGTCATCCCGACAAAGACGTCGAAGGATATTTTGTGGCCAGCGCAATGTGGGGAGTGCCAGCCCTTTCTTGGGACATTGTCCGACCAGTGTTCCTCTGGAAGCTTGAGGTTGAAAACCAAATATCAAAGTGTAATAGCCAATTTCATTTTAAGTTCGTTATTAATGAATTTCGGAATTGCGACAACGAGCAGAAGCGTCCAGAAAGTGAGCGAGAATCACCAGAGAAGCCTGATACTCCTGTAAAGAATCGTCTATCTGTTCTTGGTAGAATCTGTAATAAATCTTTTGTAAAATTATGCCAACCCTTTTTGCAGGTAAACCGCAAAGCTTGATTCGGGCAATTCCAGTACCTTTCGATATGGATGAAGCGATTGAATTCATTCTAAACAAGGCGAAAAGTTTTGATGGATTTCCATTCACATGGCAAAGGCACCAATTCTTTAAATTTCTTCGGTTTAATTTTCTAATTTCAGAATATGTGAGCTTCTTAGCACACCGAAACTTCATTATAATCGTTGCGACAAATTTGTCCGAGCGGTTGACAAGGTTTTCAATATTTGAATTTTTAAAAACAAGATTTTGAATGCGTTTATTGGTTTTAAGGTTATAAATGTGGTCACAACCATTTCCGAATGGGGAAATCGAACGAATGGCGATTGGGAAATTCCCATGGATTCTTCGGAACAACATATTGAGAATGTTTTCTTTGGAGTTGTGGTAAGAATTTTCTTCAAATTTCATTAAATCAATCGTTTTGGTTCAATTTCAGGATGAGGTGGAGGCAATGGAAAAAGCTCAGGTAGAGCTTCAAGGCAATCATATTGGCTAATTATTAATTTTTAGGTAAAGAGTGAAGCTGATACAATTCTCGACGAGCCACTCGATATGAGTGTTAAAGAGGAAGCTAATGAAAAGGAGGAAGCAAGTGAGGATGAACCAAAGAAAGAGGAAGTGAAGAAGAAAGAAGAGGTTGTCAAAGTTGACAAAGAACCAGAAGGTGATAAAGAATCTGAAAAAGCGTCTGAAAATCCAGAAGAAACGGTCGAAGCGGTGGAAAATGCTAGCACAAAAGAGGCAGATCCACAAAACGAGAATATTTCGACGGTATGAGCGGTTTTTAAAAATTAATTAATTTTGTTTCACAGGAAAATGTAAAAAAAGAAGAGAAGGAGAAGGAAGTTATCAATGATGAGCCTCCTAGTGATCCGAGACTTAGATCGGCTGAAGAAGAGAAGCCAGAAGAGGCGAAATCTGAAGAAGAACCAACCGCACAAGAAGTTGCCCAGTAACCATCTACTCATCTAACTATCATTAAAGTACTCTGTAATATCAATGAGATCTCCATTCTTGTATACAGGCGGTGTATTCGTCAAAATCATTCACCACACTTAAATATTATGTTCGAAACTTTTTTATTTCATCTTTGTTTAATTGGGAATGAAGCATTTTGATAGGGGACTCCTTGTTAAAATCCGAGGATACATGATGATTTGAAGTGTTTGCTCGCCGTCAAAATCGCGCGAGACACTGCGCGAAGCGGCGAGACGTCGCGAAACGTTTGGCGACGAATCGGAGGAACAAGATCAAGTTTTTTTGCGAATGTTGTACCCATTCGGTTTTCTTGTGTTCTCCTGTATTTTCGCGCCGGTTCGGCCAAGTCGCTCCGAGACCAAATTGTTCACCGATTTGCTCAAAGGTTTGATGGAAAATGAAAAAATCAACCCCAAATTGACCGTTTTTGAGAATTTAGGATATAATCCATTGGAACGGCCAGTTCGGAATGCTTCGAGTCCGGTGATCGTGAAAATCAAATTATTCCTTCAACAGATTCTAGATGTCGATGAGAAGAATCAAATTGTGTCGATCAACGCCTGGCTCAGCTATGTACGATGCCAAATTATTGTACAATTATTATAAAATTGTTATATTTCAGACATGGTTTGATTATAAATTGCAATGGATTCCGCAAAAATACGCAGGAATTCAAGATATTCGGTTTCCAGGCTCTGCGGACCATATTTGGAAGCCGGATGTTTTGCTATATAACAGGTTTGGGCGTTTCTGAAGAGAAAATGTTTGCCTGAATGCAAATTCGGCGGCTTTTGAGTTCATGGCTTTATCATTTTAAATATAACGATTGTTTCGCGGAATTTGAAATAAAAAAATGTAATATCATAATGAAAAGTAATTAATTAAATTCCGATTCGGGCAGAAACTTTTGGTTTCTAATTGTTGATTTAAAGTGGTCTCACTCTGGTAACTGAAAACCAATCCGGTCCGAATTTTAAAAATCCAAATAAAGCTGATCGGATACGAACATTTTACAAGATATTCGCAGAATTTCGCGCTGGTTCAGGTCGAATTTTGTTATTCATTTTTGTTTTTTTTTAGTTGCAGTGAATAGAACGTTGACTATTTCACGTTAGAGGAGGGAATATGCTCAAAAATTATTTTTTTAATCATAGAAACGAGATAAGGAATCTAAAAATAAAAAAAAAGAACAAAAACCTACGTTATTTGGTTTGATAATCAACACGTGCATCAAGCCTTTGCAGTAATAGGATTTTTCGGCAATTTTCGAATAAAATTTTAATTTTTAATTCGGAATATAAATACATTTTCACAGTATTAATGTCATTTCATATAAAATTACAGCTGTTTCATTTTGAAAAAAAATTTTGTGCAATAAACATTTGAGAATTATTTACCAAATCGAAGGTTGAGTATTTTTCGGTAACAAATTGCCTAAAAATAATTTGGTATCGGCAATCAAAAAATTCCCATTGCCGCACATCCCTGATAAGCATTGTCGTAAAATAAAATGCACAAGTCCGAAATGATTTTAATTTCGAATTTTTTTCGATATTCCTGAAAAGGTTTTCATTTTATCGCTCGTTTCTCTGAAATCTCGAAACACCAAAAACATTCAAATCGTTCTAAATGCTTAGAAAACCACACTTTTAAAAATAGATGTCGAATAAAGTGCATTAGGTGTAAACACGTCATGCTCATCTATTTTTTGTGATATTTGTATAGTCGGCGTACCGGGCGACTGCTGTACGCGGGTAGATTTACGGCGATGCTAATTTCTCTTGGTCTCGCGCGGACTACCTGGTTGCTTCGCATTTTATGGGTGGATTCGATAATTTTTAAATCGAACGACTTTTGAAATTCCAAAAAAAATACCAAACTCATCAAGAAAAAATAAATTGTTCACGTGAAAACAGCAAAATGTGGTTTTTCAACATTTTCAAGGCGCATTCGCATAAATCTACCTGGCGTACAGCAGTCGCCCCGAACGCCGACTATATAATTTTGGATGTTACCCATCTTAAAACCTAACCAACCATATTTGAATCTGATAATTTCAGCGCCGCCGAAGACTTTGACTCAACATTCAAAAGTAATCTGCTCGTCTACCATACTGGCACTGTGGTCTGGATTCCCCCGGGTGTCCTGAAATTCGTCTGCCCGCTCGACGTCACCTGGTTCCCGTTCGACGATCAAGTATGTGAGATGAAATTCGGCTCGTGGACGTTCCACGGAAACGCCATCGATCTTCAAATCGACGACGACACAAATGGAAGTAAGAGGGTCATTCGAATTGAAGCTTCAAAATAATACATAGCTATTCAGCTCATTCAATGGATTTGTCGACATATTTGGTGAACGGCGAGTGGCAAATAATTTCAACCAACGCTGTGAGACACATTAGCTATTATAAATGCTGTCCGGAACCCTACCCAACCGTCAACTACTACTTACATATAAGGAGAAGGACGCTATACTATGGTAGGCGATTCGTCTCTACATTACCACAAAAAGCTTATAGGTTTCAATCTCATTATCCCATCATTGTTAATCTCGCTTATGGCGATTCTCGGCTTCATGTTCCCACCGGATGCCGGAGAGAAAATCACATTAGGTTTCTCAGCAATCCGTCTGGCCAAATTAATAACGACATTCAGAGGTTACCATACTCCTAGCGATTGTGTTCTTTTTGAGTATGGTGTCCGAAATGACTCCGCCGACATCTGAAGCGGTCCCGTTGATCGGTGTGTTCTTCTCGTGCTGCATGCTGGTGGTGTCGGCGTCTGTCGTCTTCACCATCGTTGTTCTCAATCTTCATTTCCGAAGCGCGGAGACCCATGAAATGAATCCAATGGTCAACAATTTGTAGGAATAGGCGAATCACCGAATAAGACCAATTTCAGGTTCGCCGGATTCTTCTCGAACTCTTGCCATGGCTTCTATTCATGTCGCGTCCGGGTTACAAGTATGTCAATGCCAGCGTCATTGATCACACTGACAAACTTCCAAAGCATCTACCGATTCCGTTAAAGTAACTCAAATCTTAGAAACCGACGAGAGTGTCGTATTCAGTCCCGAACTGCCAACTGAGAACAACGGTCAGGAGGCGCACATTCTGCTGCTTCATTCGGTTCACCGCGAGCTTCGCAAAGTCGTCGCGTTCTACATGAAAGAGGATCGCGACGAGCGCATCCAATCCGATTGGCGTTTCGCGGCGATGGTTGTCGATAGAGCGTGTTTGCTCATTTTCACCGTGTTCATTGTCGTCTCAATCCTTTCAATTATTCTATCAGCACCCCATCTCATCGCATAAATCATTTATTCACCATAAAAACCGTAACAAGTACGTTTAGAATTTTGTACAGACACCTTTAAAAAAGAAATAATCGATAAATATATCTCTGCTAATAAATAATCTGTCGCTTATTTGCCTTGTCCAACTTGGTAGGCGTTTCCGGCCGGAAGCGGAGCTGAGTAGACTGGTCCTTGAGCGATTGGCGCAGCTGCTGGCGGTGGTGGAGCGGCCAAGTATGGAGAAGCCATTGGTCCCGCCGGGTATGGGCTGAAAATGCAGATAACTAGCGAGTCGCGAGAGATGGGTGAAGCTTACGCGGCTCCGCAACCTCCTCCGCATGGAGAAGCTGGTGGCGGTGGTGGAGCTCCGCATGGTGAGGCTCCTCCGCATCCTCCACCAAGTCCGCCAAGTCCTGGCAAGCAGCAGAAGGCAGATGAAACGAGAAGCGAGAAAACGACGAATCTCATCTAAAATGCGAAAGAGATGGATTCGGAAAAAAAAGAAGCAAGCGGAAGATACCATGGCTATGTTGAAGACGTAAGCGATTGTGCAATACTTAAGATTCAACCGAAGCGCATTTTATAGGGGATCAGCGAGGCGCCGCCCACAATTTCGGACTGCGCAATTGCGCGAGGAACCCGTTTTCGGTGTCGACGGCTTACTAGCGCGAAGCTCTCTTGGGTGGGAGATCGCCTCGCACGGTCCAAGTCAAACAATACGGCCAAATTCTGAATAGCTCGATGAGGCAATCAACTTTCGATTTTGAAGATATTTTTGGATGAAAGTGAATTTCAATGCCAACAGCCGAATGCAAATAGGCATCCATCAAATTTGCTCAAGGTGCCTTGAATATTTTGGTCCGGAGATGTTGCAACCAACTGTTTCAGAAGGCATTGAAAAATCAGTTGGCGTATTTTTGAGCTTCAATGTGCAAAAATTGCTTGAAAAATTTTGTTTCGAAACCGCGGAAATTTAAAAATCCACAATTCGCTTGAAGAAATTTGGCAATTTGCCGAACAATTGTCTACTTCAAAATAAAATCCAATTCATTTTTTTTTCGATTAATCCACAATATATCATCGTCGCCTTTATGAAATCAGTTTATCCATTTTATGAGAAGTGCTTCTCATCTTCGAGGTTTCGTGTGAATAATATAGTGGTCCCATGATCCTTCGATACCATATTTTTTGTATATGGGCTTTATGTGATTGATGGAAGCATTTTTTTCCTGTAGACACATTATCAGTTCACCTCTTCCTCAAAATTGCACACAATAAAAAAAGGTTCGCTTCCCGCTGTTTGTCAGAAAAATTTTTAAAAAAATCTGAACTTGAGCTTTTCCTTCTTTCCATTCATGACCAAGAGTAGAGGATTCAATTAATTTTCAGACAAAATCCCGTGTTCCAAGATCAATTTTTGATTTTCACAAAAGCGCGCCATTAGCAATTCTTTGAATACACGAAACCGAAGACCATAATAACATTGGCTTAGGCTTTTGCGCGAAAATATGAAAAATTACATAATGCGCCTTTAATAATAATTTTTATGAATTTTTATTCTTTTCTTTTTGCGATAAGCACGTCTTAATTTTCGATAATTTTTCCAGAAAATGGGACCACACAAATTGATACTGTGTTTTGATGTGACGATTGGATGCCGAAAAGCCGATTCTTCAATTTCCAGTCGGCTTGTTTATCACCCATTCTCACACCTCAACTGCATACTTTATATTCCCACTCGATTCGAAAAACGATCCTTAGACTTTTTCGCCATTAAACTGTTGCTGTTAGGTACTATCGTTCACATCTTCATCGTTCTTTTTTCTTCTTCGCATTTCGCCATCAAATCATTTTAATGTGCGTTGAAGAGGGGCGATGGCGAATTCGTGGATTCTCGACGGCCGACGAGGCCCTATGGCAGAGATGAAATCGAAACGATAATCCGACAAGCGGAAGGAAGCCAGCCGACTATTACTGCTTTACTGTGAGCGGCTAAGCCGGCAAATCGCCGAAAAACGCGTAGGTATAAATGTCATCAAAATGGCAAGTTTCCGAAAAAAAAAGAGATGAGCGAGACGCTGGCGATGGGGGGTTCCAGATGAGATGGCGGCAATGATGCGTCGCTTGGCAAACGTTGTTTGTCGTTGAATCACATTGTACATCAAAGCAAATAGAAAAAAGGAATGGTGGAAGCTTGCTTAATTGGATTTCTAATGGTACCTAGAAGCTTGAAGGTTACTCAAATAGACCTCACAACGTTGGAAATTTTTACAAAAACGTTTAATCGCGTCTCATTTCCCGAATTGAAGATTTTTGGAATCACTTCTTCCTTTTTTTCATTTGTTTTCCATATAACGGAATCGCTCCACAAATAATGAGGGAAATGCAAATTACTGTAGTGTGAAATGTGTGCAAACACCGTGACGCAAACACACAGTTTTCACTTCATTTTAGTTGTTTCATTTTATTCAAAATCTCGTAACTTTAGGAGGTGTTGGTTGAATTTTCCCAAATTCTCATTCACTTTTTATCACAATCGCAAAAGGAAAACGAGGACCCTGCGTCGAGATTGATTCGCAGATTATCCGTAGTACGGTTCCCAAATGTCCACTGTTCAAATCAAAATTTGAAATTACCGCTTCGAGAAAAAAAAACACCCACAATTGTGATCATTTCACTTTCGACGGTGATAAAAAACTAAAATCAATTTAATTAAAATGTAAAATTTAATAATGTTGCCGACAATTGATTAATATTAAAACGCGGGTTCAAAATAATTATTCTGCACTCCCAATGGCTTTCTGTCGTCGAACATTGACGGTGACGCGATGGCTAATAATACTGTGCTAACAGCAATGGTTATCGAGAAGAATATTAAAAGGATTCGATCAATGACCATGCCGACGAACTGCCAATCAGCTTCCGCCTGAACTCCAACGATCAAATTAGAAGTTCGCAATGACAGCGAGCCACCTCTTCGCGCTTCCTCGCATCCGTCAACGTTTTCGCAATGAAATGCACATTCCTTTCAGCTTTTCGAAGCTTTTCCCTATCCGGATCACTGTCTTCCACCTTTTCCGGCTTACATTCCGCTTCTTGGGCGTCGTCGGTCATGTCGGAGCTCAGAAGGCGGCGTACTCGATTCCTGCAAATACGAAAACGCTGAGATTCATAAAAGGAAGTTCCTCAATGAAATAATTGACTTGACAAGCTTCACAGAAGCCTTCCGAATCTTGACGGATTTCGATCTGGCCATCATCGGAAGTTCCATGAAGATTTGATTAACGGTTCTCGGAGGTTTCGGTTTTTTCGTTTTGGTAAACGTCGCCATCTGAAATTCAATTTCCAGTGGAAAATATGAATTTGACGAACTTCTAAATCAAACAACGTCTTCTGAAAATGCTTCTCCAGAATATTCATAGCCGATAGCGCGTTGACTTGCTGCAAATCAACACCGATTTGACACTCAACGCATTCCAGACTTCATACTTTCACATGCTGCGCGCTTCTGTGATAATTAGCAGCTTGAATCTTCCTCGTAATCAGCAGCTTATTGCCAAGCTTCTCAATAAAAATTCTTTTGATAAATTCGGGCATCGGTTGATAATAAGTCCGATAATGGATGTTTTGAATCTAAAATATTTCGAATAAAAATTCTGACAACGATTTTGCACATACTATAACAGTACTTGTAACTGATAAGCTGACCATTATCATTGTGAAGCTCAAATATTTAAGAATCAATGGGGTTACTATACTAGTCGGTGGGATGATGTCAATCTGGAAGTATTCCAATTAAGTCAACCTACCCAGCTAGACCATACCAGCATAAGGAAGTATACAGTCAAAGTGACCAGCACCGAAATACACAACTGGATCTTCTGATGGCTCTCACAGGGAAGGTAGAAGACCTGAGGGTTTGGATATGAAAATTCTCGAGTGAATTTACCCATAAGGTTAGAGAAGCTAGGGAAACGCAAGGTACCATTAAATTCACTGTGTAAAAGAGTTTCTTCCTCCTAATAATCAAGTAATAGGTGATATCAATGGTCCTGAAGGTTTGATCGATTTTTATTCGAAGAAAAAAAAATAAGAGCTTACGGGTAATCACAACATGTGTACCATTTCTTATGACGGACCCCTTCAACCGAAAGAAGGTCCCATTCCACAGATTCTTGATAACTCATCAAATCGACACCATTCTCAACTTTCCACACATTTTCGCCTTTCTCATCGATGGTTTGATTGACGATATCCGTTGAGAGCTATAATTAGCATTCATGGCAAATTCAATTCGCATTTGAAATGTTACATGAACCAAATTCAATTGGGATCCGGGATACGTCCACGAGCCAAATTTTAATTCGCACGTCTGCGTGTCATATGGATACCTGCAACACCAAATTAGGCATGATTGCTGCCATCGGAGAACCATTCAATGTTGATGTTGCAGAACGCATCATAAACTACCGGCGGCTGCCACGTCTGAACAATGAGGCGTTAAAACGAACGGCTATTGTGACCGCTACTCACCACTCGGCCATCATACGTCACATCGACTTGCGTTGTTTGTGCCACCCATGGTGAACCGTGAGCACTAAATTTCGATTGGGACCTTCTACTTTTTTATAAGAATTTTTAATATGCAATTTTTTTTCAAAAAATATTATTATTATACACAGTAGGTGGACATATTGGAGAGAGTTTATTTAAAAAAAAATGTATTCAAATTTCATGTGTTTTGCGATTTTTGTTGAGAAATGACAAATGTACGTATATCTCGCTCAAAAAATAACTATTCCGAATATTGTTTAAATTGTCGTTTAAAATTATTTAAATGTATAGAAACCAAATTTATAAGAAATTTATCAATGAAAAGGCAAGAAGAATAAGAATATTTTTTTTTTAATGAAGAATCCAAAAATAAGATAGTTGAAACGCGTTTTAAGGGCAAAACACAAACAAATAATTTTATTAACGACAAAATAAATTTTTTTTGAAGATCCTATGCTGTTTTTTTTCAATCGATAAATATCGTTTAAAAGTGCATTTTCTGCGAAATACGTAATTAAATTCAGATTCTGCGGATTTTAAATAAACAATTTCGAAAGAAAATACGAAAATTGAGCGAAAAATGAAAAAAAAATGAAAAAAGGAAATTTGAAAAAATCCCCTGTAAATCGCTGCGAGGATTACGGTAACTGACTCAACGCATTGCGTACAAAACGCAGAATCTCACGACACCTGGATACATTTTTGTCATTTCTCAACAATACCTCGAAATTTTTGTGTGATTTTTGCGTTACGGTGTTTGCACACATCTCGCATTACAGTAAGTCAATTTTTTATTCCCGTCATTTAAAAAAAAAACGAGGACCGATTGGCGGTAATTCAAATTTGAAATTAAACGGTGCCTCCAAATTAAAACCATCACAGTGTGCTCGTTTTTTTGCGACTGTAATAAAAATAGAATGAAAATTTGTAGAGATTTGCGAAAATTCTGCAAAAAACCGCCGAAAGTGGTCCGAAATTTTGAGGTCATCTCTTAATTTTCAGATTAAACTACATAGTATGTTTTCCAAAAAAAGAGGCCAACAGAATTTTCGCTGCAAGACCTACAAGCTCATACGCGTTGCGGGTTTCACGTCTATCTTTTTTCTATGCCAAAGTATAAATTGGTTTACTTGTTATATAAAATAATATCCGGCAACCATAGCATTTCTCCGGGAAAATGCATCAGAGTAACATTGCCAAATTCATCAGGATTCCATGAGAGCCGAGAATCAAACCAATACTAAAATTGATATTTTAAAAATAAAGAGAAGCTTAAATCAGTCTTACATGCTCCAATGTCCCTTTTACGGTAAGCACTTGATCCTTCTCATGAACATCGACGATTTGATCAAGTCTCAGCTTGAACTCAATTCGAATCGTTCGGTTACCAAGAAGACCTGGAGGAAATGATATCCGATTGTATCTTGAAAGCCACCATTCGTTTTCAATTCTTAACTGATTTATACCTTCCCAATAAGTGTTCAAACAATATTTTATGAATACTGGAACAAAAAGAAAATGGAATGAATATTAGGAGAAGCTTCATCCTCCCTCCAAACTGGAAGATGAAGCCGCTCGTGTCAAGTGGGTCTGTCAAGAGGGTTGTTGAAGATAAATCGGTTTATTTCCAATTGAATAATAATCATTTTTTCATAATTCGAGCTCAATTCAAAATTTTCGTCGGGGCTTCGGCTCCTCGAGCATCTCATCAATATCGGTGTTTTTCAGGAACTCGATCATACTAAAGTCCTCAATTTCAGAATCTTCTCTGAAATATTTCGCACAGGGGGCGTTTTGCATAGCTTCGAATGGTCCCTTACTGGTTCTTCCTATCAAGCCATTGGAGCAGGTAGACGCCAGTGCACCGATCGACACCAAACACCTTATAATTGGCGATGATTTCGCCAAGCGAGTCATGATAAAGGAGCAAGAGGATGACGAAGCCGGTGACGACGGCGGTTAGGAACATGAAGATCGCGATCAAGATGAGCAGAATGAACACCTGGGAGCCAAGTTTTGATGTCAGCTTATCGACACATCCCACATTCCAGTATTTCTCTTTTCTGAATTCTTTAAGATTCTGTGGGGAATCATTTTGAAGTGGGCGTGGCTGCGAGAAAATTTTAAGTTGAAAAAAATAAAAATGATTTTTTTTAAATTTTTTCTGACCCTTTGCTGTAAAAATTTTGTTAGACCCCTCGGAGCCCCCTTTAAGAATCCTACGATGGAAGGACTTGAAAGCCTCGAATTCTGTCATAATTTCGCTCGGCGATCGCTTCGGCCACAACTTCCGCATTCGGTCCATTGTGCAACGCGAATTTGCAGCTTCTGCAATCATGCGCCTTTAAACGCGGCGCGTCACCGAATCTCACTTATCGTTGACGACGTTGCAACAAAAAATTGGAAGCACATGAAAACCGGGATTCATGAACACTCCAGAATTCATCACAACGCTCTTTTCGCCGGTGATCTGATATATTGGAAAATTAACGAATAATGTGATGGATGCCATTATTACGGGATTCTGATACGTCGTCATATTCTCAATTATATAGTCTTCGGGCGCATGGAATCCGCAGCACTGGAATGAACGAGTTTCAGAGAATTAATGCTGAAAACGCTGAACGTAAAACATCGTCGAGAGCATCTCAAGATATTTGATCTCATTGCCGTTTTGCATGTTTCGCGCGATCGCAAACTTGATAATATTTTCATCGTCGCACCAATACGTTGCTGAATAGCGGCATCATTTGCTCGTCGAGCATCGAAATTACCCATTGGCACCGAGAGCATTATCAATAGAATCGATAATGAGAAGTTGATTCCGAATGAGACGGCGATTTTCGATGGGACTTGCGAGCAGAAGATGATCGTATTTGTTAGGCATGTTGTGATAATTAGAAGGCAAACCGCACAATAGGAGCCAACAATCCAGTTAACCTGTGAACAATGCGCCTTTAATTATGGTCCCATTGCGATTCAATGTTTGGCTCGACAAAATTAATATCGTTCGCTTTACCTCGTCGAGAATTTCAGTCATATTATCCGTTGAGAAAAGCTCAACGGCATTCAGTCGAACCAGAATAATGCCGAGGAATATTAAAATCGTTACCAGCAACCGGCTGAACTCTAACAAATAACCGAAATACATTCCGTTCTGAAAATTTTTTTTTGCACAATTTGCATATTTTCAATTCGATTTCTATTTACTTCTAATGGCGCCTTTTTTTGCATCAAATATTGGTTGAGATAGTTTTTTTGAGCATTATGAAGAATTTCACCAAGGAAACTAATTCGACTTTGAACGATCTGAAATTTACTTTGAAATCATCTTCAACAAATTTTAAACATACCGCAGCATTGTCATTTTTCGGTGTTTTCTTATCTTTTCCTTGCGGACGTTCATTAATTTCCATTGAGAAATGAGCAATTCACACGTTTTTTTTTTTAATTTTTGGTTCAATTAAAAAATTTTTAACTCTTCCAAAATTATATTTTTATGGTGAAATGCGATGGTATATATTTATAATATTCATATTTACGAGAAATACAGTAACAATCCATACGAAACTTAATCTAAAAATCCCATGCGCCTTTAAATCTATTACTGTATTTAATTTTTTTCTTTTTTTTCCAGATACCTTATTTTCTTATTCTTCTTGCATTTTCATTGATAAATTTATTATAAATTTGGTGTCTATACATTTAAATAATTTTAAACGGCAATTTAAACAATATTCGCAATAGTAATTTTGCTTTTGCGAGAAACTTTTTTTGCAGCAAGTTTTTTGCAAATTTTATTTCGAAGATCTCCATTATAAAATCGGAGTGATCAAAAACGTGCGCTTCAAAAAAATCAAACTTTCTCGCCAAAAAATTGTTTGCCGCTGCCGTCGGGCCGACTAGATACCGTGTACTCGGCGGAGAGCGTCGAGCCGAGTGTAATGATGTCCTGGGTTCGGCAGCTCGACGGAGCCCACTCCGCCCAGTCGGCCAATATCCGTCGACGAGTTTTATCGATTTTCGCCTACTGATCGTAATGAGGCCCATTCTATTATTCTCCTTATTAGTTCTACTCTACATATCGAGCAATGATGTCGAAGCACGCAAAAAGGACAAAAATTTGAAGGTTATCACGATCAACAAAAGTTCGACATTTAAAACAATTTGGACGGGTTTCAGGTGACAGTCGCTGACGAAATTCCAACACCGTCGCAGCCAAGGAAAACAACTGGAAAAAATTCGAAACGAGCTGCGAAAGAGTCACCGCAACAGCAAAAGGTGAACAGAAGATTCACATTTTTTTTCTGGCTAATTTAATTCACTTAAGAGGCACTTTCTTTTTTTTTCTTTTCTCTTCAAGTTCCTTTTTTTATACTACATATTAATACTTGTAGAAATTCATTCAGGCTGCTCCAGCATCTTCGAACAAACATAAGGATGACGACAATTCGATCGATGACGTTGACGAGGATCGAATCGATGAAATTCTGCGCGACGCCACCAAGAATCTCGTCATTTTCTTGTGTAATCGAAACATTTTTCCAAATTCTAATGATGTGTTCATTCTCCAAAAAAAAATGTTGCAGATGACGGAAAGGTTCCATGTCCGACGTGCAACGAAGCACTCTCCGAAGTCGAAGAGATCGACGACGACATCGAAGCGACCGGTTACGTTCAAGTCGTCAAAACCGATGATCGTTCGGTGGCTCGCGAGCTCGGAATCAACACATTCCCGGCGTTGGTCTATTATCGCCGCAAGAATCCAATCCTCTATGACGGTTAGAATGCAATTGAATTGGGTGTTTGAAATTTTTCCGTGGTTCAGGAGACTTCAAGGACTCCGAGAACGTTTTAAGATGGCTCAGAGCTCATGAGGAGGTCGCCACGTGGGATTTGACCGACGACAACTTTGAATCAAGGTAAAATTCGAGTTTTTTGATCTCTGCGATCTAAAAAAAAGAAACATTTATAAGGAAATTTGATATTGAATGATGTGTCCTTGGGGCCAACACTTCCTGTTGCCTTGATCTTTGGCACTTTAATCAATTTCAATTGGTTCTGTGTTTTAAATTTCAGAACCGATTCACATTCTCCGGATGAGGGAGCCATCGATTGGTTCGTTATGTTGTAAGTCATCGAGTCAAATTACCAAATATGATTGTTCTTGATTTGTTTTCGTTTTGCAGCTACGACGCCGATGAAGGAACCAGCAACGCATTCGTCCCGCTTTGGGAAACCGTTGCCCACAAGTCGATTTTCTTTTTTTTCTGTTTGATCGCACTCGCAAAATGTTTCTATTTTTAGACTTCGCGGTTTGGTGAATGTTGGAAAAATCGAAATTTCGGTGAACGACGACGTGAAAGAGCGATTCCACATCGACGAGAATGACTGTCCCGTGTTTCTATTGTAAGTCAATGAAGAGCGCGACGGAAAAAAAGTGGAAAGAAAAGATAATTGAAAGGTTCCATCGTGGCAAAATGTACCGCTATAAGGATACGGCGAAGGATGTTCGCAGTTTGACGACGTTTGCCCTCAACAAGTATAAAGAGCAACGGGGCCATAGGTGAGAACGAAAGAAACACGACGAGCAAGAGCATTGGCATGAGTTTTAGAGTTCCCGAGCCGCCAACTGCCATCGAGCAAGTCTATGAGTTTGCCAAGGAGAAAATTATGGATATTATGGTAGGAAATTGCACTTTTTTGGGAATTTTAAGTCATTTTTTTTACAAATTGTGTCAAATTATTAAAGAAACTAGATTTTTTGCGAAATTTCTTTAGTATTTTTTTTTCGGTAAATTTGCATAGTTCTGCAATTCGCGAAACTTTTTGTTTCATTCAATTCCCGAATAAAAATATTTTTTGAAATATGGAATATATATATCGAGAAATGTTTATTTCAGGACGACAACCAGACACTTTCAATTCTTGGCGTGGGTGGTCTCATCGCGATTGTTGCCGTCACATTGGTCGTTAAAGCGTATCGAATTCGCGCCGAAAATAAGAATAAAACCGCATAAAATCGAATTTAGGCATAATTTTGTTTTCTCATTTTTATTTCCACTGTTTTTCCTTTCTTTTTTGTTCATTCTCACCTTTAAACATGCTTGCCTTCAATTTTATGAATCTCGATTCAAATTACAAAACATTTATAATTTTTTTTCAAAAAAATCGAATGACGAGTCTTTTATCCAACTTATATCCCCTAGCTACCTAATAATATTTTGTTTTTTCTATAGCCGGTCGAAACCTGATAATACTTGATAATAAATCGTTGTTTTTCACCGTATAGGTAGTGTTTTTTTTTTTTTAATTGTAAATAAAAAAAATAAAGAAAAAATGGGGTTACGGTAGGTGGCTAGTTCACACACTGCGACGCAAAAACGCACATCATTTAAGCTGTTTCGTTTTTTCTAAAATTTCCCACATTTATTTTTTTTTTGTTTGTTTTTGTGTTGTGTTTTTTCCCTTATCAATTCCCAGCATTTTCATGCAGCAGCATGCGCCAAAATGTTTTGTAAACAAAAAGATAACGAGAAGAAAGAAAGAAGACGAAGAAAAAGAAAACGACGCGAAAAATTTCAAACGGAACCCCATAAAACTGAATATTGGAAACAAACGAAACGGGGATCATCATCCACCCCATAGTGGCCATGCTTATAAGTGGCGTATAATCGCACCAGCGAGAGGTGTACAACTTCTATTACTGCTATTCGGCCGCCATCTCATTCACCAGATAGATAGATAGAGAGAGAGATAGAAGAGGGAACGAGAAGGCGAGAGAGAGGTCAGAGACGCAGAGGGAATTGTGTTTCCGCTGAAAACGACGTGTCCCCCCCCAAGCAGTCCCCATCGCGCCGCTGCCGCCGCAATAGCAGCAGCAGCAGAAGCTCAGCAGCTTTTCCTCCCCCTTCTGTTACATTTTCACTCATTTCTTCGTTTTTTTTAAAGAAAGAATGTATGCATTCTGAAAATTCATCTTTTCCTTCTCTCTCTCTCTCTCTCTTTTTCGTCGTCGTTCCATTGTGTCAATTGTGCGCCAAAATTTCGGTTTTCTTTCGGTGTTGCTTCTTCTTCTTTTTTTTTGTTGTCGAAATCTAATTTGAATCTTTTTTCTGTGTAAAAGGTTTTTTTTTTCAAATTGTGCTTTGCCGCCAAAATTTATCGATTCTTTCCATTCTCATTTTTTGGAACGCGCCGCCGCATAGAAACCACCCCCCCCCTTCCCATTTTCCCATTTCCATTGCCCATTTCGCGCACACGCATTCGCATTTATATGTATATATATATATGCGCTTGAGCGATTTATATATTCCTAGAAAATTTCTATTTAGTCTAATTTATTCGATGGAATGATACTTTTGTGGCCACGAAATGACGAAACATTGAATATCTTGGGTTTTTTCTCTGAAATTGTTTTTAACACAAACGAAATCGACCATTTTACACCGATTTTGGGGTTTTATGTATTTTTTTATTTTTAGCGAACATTTAAAAAAACGAGATTAAAAAATACGGGACAGCAATTTTTTATAAACTTATTTTTTTCTTTTCTTTATTTGATAAAAAAATGGGAAAAAATTTCCGCCAAATAATATTTCGCTTGAATATTTGCATTTCGACATTCCATTGATTGCCAGAGAATGGCAGAAGCCCTAATTAATCAATTAAGGATTTTCCAAATTGTTTTGAACCTAGCGAAAAAATTTGCGTCCAAAATATTTAGTAATATATGTTGGTCTATAATTAGACGTCGGTCGCCACGGGTTACACCTGCCTGCTCGGCCAGGCCCGTTTGCTGTAGTCTTATCGATTTCCGTTGTTTTTTCCAGCTGATTAGATAAAATTTCGCATTTTTCAGAACCTGACTGATAAGCAGCAGAGGTGGAGCAACTTTAGCATATTTTTTTTACCGCAATTTCTTTATTTTCTTGCATTTCTGAAAGTACGCTTCATTTTGGACAAACTCCTCAATGATTTTACTCGTTTCTTTTTTCATTTCTTCACAATTCAAAATTTGATTCGTTTGCATTGGAAATTGGCAGATAAACTTTACGAATTGAAAAGTGCCCGATCAATTTTATAAGATTTGCGGTACATTCTTGAAAATTTGAAGAAATTGAGACTTTGCTCCGGTTTCCATCCGATTTCAGAAAGAAAAAGACAAAATTTTGCCTTTAGTACGCAAGATTTTGAAAATGAGCAATTTTTTCTTAACTCGCTATTTTCGTTGATAAAAGTTTGTTTTTCAAATTTAATATGTGAGTATTTCATTTAAAAACATTTTTTTTGAAATTTGACAAATCTGAAAGTTATCGTCTCCAATTTAACTCCTTCTTTATTTGCAAATGCCTCTTTTTATCGCCCACATTAAAAATTTTTCTCGATTTCCGGAGAGTTTCATAATCGAAATTACTTGAATCTCGCCGAAATTAAGAAAATATTTCGCATATAATTTTACTACATTAATTTGTATTAATTTTTTCTCAATTCAGACTCGAAATTTCATGACGTAAAGTGCGAATATTTCGAAATTCATGAATAAAAAATGAGTTTCGAAAATCGAAAATTATCAGGCTCCCCCGTGTGAGTCAATAGTGTTGATTAGCGCTGAATAATTGAATCTTTAATGCTCATTAGACGAACCAATTTTGATGGTCCCATCTACTGTATCCGTTTAGCTTGAAAACTCTGTTCAATGCGATTTGAATTTTTAAAAAATTAGTGCTAATATTCTTTTTTACATGATTCCCTCATTCCTCATTTTCGAAGGCCTGATTCAGTTAGCGAATGCGCCTTTCAATGTGGTGGTCACGATAGCGTATTGATGCCTAATTTAAAGGAGCACGGAAGTTTGCATTTAGATTCGTGAAAAAGAAAACGGCGCTGTAGAAACCAAACGTTTCACCCCATACTGTAGATCTCAAAGTTTGCCGATTTTTTTTTCAAACATGTGCTTTTGCCTGATTTCGTGTGAGTAATTAAACTTTAGTGTGCTGGTTGCACCTTTGAAAATGGTCTTGCGGTGAAAATTTTGTAGAAATCGAGAAGAAGTCGCGACGTGCGAAATTCAAAGAAGCCCTGATGTGTAAATTTTGGCAAAATTCCATAAATTGATATTGAAAACTTCATACTCATATAGAATTGTCGTGTGAATTTGGTCTTAATCAGCAATAAAATACTCGATCTGTGGATTCTGTGTGTTGGCGAACTCTTTTTTTTGCATATGGAATCTCGTTTTTTGTCGATCGTCTCAAGACCCAATTTAAAGGAGCACACTGCTCGCAAATCCAACACCAATTATATTTATTTATGTATTTTTATTATCGTCTTGTTTTAAAGGCTCTCCGTCGGCTTGGTGGTGCCAGTCTCCGACGCCGCCGAGTTTTATGGCACACTCGTTCGAAGTGTACTTAAAGGGGCGAAACAAAAAATAGAATGTTCCTTTCAAGACCCATGCTCGTAAATCTCTCTAATTCTCGCAATAATCCATGGGATTATTTTAATTTCCAGTCTTTTCTTCGGTTTTTTTTCCAAAATATAAAAACATGGATTTTTTCGGCAAATATGAAATCTACAGGGTGTCATTTAAGTTCCCGCACAACTTTGAAGACGTATATTTCTGAAACTAAAAGTCCAAATCAAACGAGACTCGAAATATTTTTTATCTATAGTACAACAAATAATTATCTATTAACTCTTTTCGATTCGGCCTCTTTTCGCAGCTATGACTTCGCGGAGACGCTTCGGGTAGGATGTGACTGTGGTACGCAGGTATTCGATGGAAAGATTGTCCCATTCCGCCAGTAATGTCTTCTTCAGAGCCTCTACACTTGAGTGGGGTTTTGCGTTGACCTTCTCCTGCAAGACCCCATCACGGAGAAGTCAAGCGTGTTCAGGTCTGGGGAGCAAGCAGGCTATTCGGATGACTTGATGAAGTCGGGAAAATGGGTCTGGCACCACTCCTGAGTAGTTTTGGCAGTAGGGGCGGGTGCTCCGTCCTGTTGAAAGACCCATATCTTCCCACCGAAATGCGTTTGGGCCCAAGGCATCATATGCTTCCCCAAAATGTCCCGAACGTAGACTTCTTTGTTCACTTTCACCACCTGATCCACGAAAACCAGGGGCACTTCCCGGTTGAGCAGATGGCACCGAAAACAATCACACTGGCAGGATGTGAGGCTGGATAAATTGTTATTCCTTTCTCTGAAGCTTGCTGGGATGTCTGGGCAAGTACTCAATGGTTTTGTGAGTTGAATGCCGCCTCCACAGTGAACAGCTTCTCGTCGGAGAAGACAGTGGCGAGGTGTTCTCCAGACCGCGTGCGAGCAATAAGTTGTTTTGCTTTTTCGAAGCGTCTCTGCTTGTTGACGGCCGATAGAATTGCCACTTTTTGGACACGATATGGGGTCAGTACAAGCTTTGTTTTGACGATTTGTTCCATAGCGAAGATGCTCATTCCCATGTCTGACGCCATCTTTCTTATGCTCCTGTGCGGTTTTCGCCTGATCCTCGTTTTGACGGCGTTGATCTTCTGAGGAGTGGTTACTGAGACGAGTCTTCCTTGTCTGGGAAGGTCACTGGTCGTATTTAGCTCCTTGAAACGTTTGTTGGTGTCTTAAACCGTTCTACGAGGCACACCGAGGCGTTGAATGATCTCTGTCGGGCGCTCATTTCGCTTATGAAGTTCGATAATGGAAGCGCGATGAATGTTAGCCTTCGCCATTTCTCGGAAACACATCCGAATGAAGTGAAACTTGAAAAGTAAGTAAAATACACCTTATTTAACAAAAATAAATTGTATTGGTGCACGAAAAGTGCGACAGCCAAGCTTTTCATGGCGTCTAACTTTTGTGCGGGAACTTAAATGACACCCTGTATATAGTTGAAGCTTGAGGTATTTAAATGAAAATTAATTGAGATGTTCCGTTCGCGATTGAATTGTACGCGAAGGCGCAGATGGTTAGAGAACGGCTATTTTGGCCGACGGCGGTGTTGGCCACTCGCCGGCCAGTTGGCGCACGCGCGCCATACACACGCACGAACATATATGGAAAAGCCGCGGTTGGCAATCGATTTTTGAGCAGGCACACAGAAAAACGCGGTGATGAGAAGAAAGAGCACACACACACATTCACGGGCAGCCAATTTGTGCTCTCGAAGGGTCATTTTTGAGCTTCTGAGAGAGAGAGAGAGAGAGAGATGAGCTGAACTTGAAAATTTTTCTCATTTGGGACTGACGAATATTTTTTTTCCATTTTTTTGGCTTCTCAAATTTCCAAAATTGTTCTTCTATTTTGAGATTTGTGCGGAAAACCTCAATTAATCGCGATTTTGCTGCTCTTCTTCCGTGTTGTGTAGTGATTTGTGGATTTTTGATCATTGGGACCCTCATATCTCCTGCGATAAAAAAAGTTAAATTCGCATTTTTTCGAGCCTCCCTCTTAAAAGCCAACAATTTTCCAATTTCCTCTCGAGACCCATTCAATTAGGCAGATGGGAAATGTTGAACAAATTCAATGAAAATACATCTGCTTCGTTTGACGCCATCCGAATTTGAATAGCATTCGCGTGTGGGGTGTGTGTTACGGTAGCGTTTTCGCGGCGAGACCATTTGGTCAAATATGTTTTGGCGCGGCGTGAAACTCTTGAAATTGAAGTTGTCGTCGTCGACGACGACGAGCTGGAGCAGTTTTGATGACGAGAGACATGCTGAAGACGCAGAACGCGACTGGCTCGCAGCGAGAGGCGCAGCGCGCGCGATCAAGTCGAGATATCGCTGAGAAGTGCGAGGTGGAGGCGCGAAGAGCTCGACGAACCCCGCGACGAGCTTCACTAGTTGTTGTGTTGTGTAGAAGCACGAATGTGTGGCGGTATTCTGAAATATTTTCAGCTTCTTCTTCTTTTTCTATTCGTTTTGCCGAATATTATTTTTATTTTTTTGTAAAACGAAAACTGGCCAGGCAAGAATCTTGGGTTTAAAGGGGTTTGTGCCAAGGCACCCGAGCGAATGGTATTCGAGTTTTACAGCGATTTTCAAGCCGCAATTAATTTTCTTTTGGAAACAAGAATATTAGGAATCAACGCGCAGCCTCGGCCTTTCTAAGCCAATGGCATCGAGACCGATGTTTTTTAAAGGCGCATTTTGATTGACACAATATTTGATGAAATTATATAGCCAATACCAGCCAACGCATGCCAACATCCGTCGCTTGTTAATTCGTTATGCTAATTATCCGGCCTTGGTCGTTTCTCTTTGTCTCCCTTTTCCCCTTCCCCTCCTCTCCTCCCCTCGGCCTCCTCGCTAGCCTCGACGTCGTCATCGTTTTTTTTCGATTCTTTATTGCATTTCTTTATTACTATTTAATTTCGTTTTGTTGCAGAGCATAATGCAAAAACGTGCTCGATTAATAGACACGAAAATGAAGCGGATTCATCGGCGCGTTCGCACCGAGATCAAAGAAACGTGAGTATTTTTTCTAATTATTATTATTTTTGTTTTGTGTGTCTTGGTGTGACACCAACCAAATTGGTGGTGCGTGGTGATAATAACCAGCGGCTCACGAGTTAATTGGGTTCGCGGCTGCTGTTGCGCGCCCTTATTTGGATGATGTGGCCCTTGTTGCTTTTTTTTGCTCGTTCAAGAAAAGAAACGGCAGAATAGATTGGCTAGTTAGGAGCTATGAAAATTTTCCCGTAGAGCGATGGGGTACGGTATGCGTTTTTTTGGTTTTTTTTTTTTGAAATTTAAAATATTTCAAACTTGTAGAAACTTTTTGCGAAGAAAATGGTCCAAAATGAAACGTGGAGACGTATTTTTTCGGGTCTCAATTCAAATGTGGACAGTGGAAATTCGTCTACCGTACTACGAATAATAAAACATTTTTCTCGGAATGAGACACGACTATAGGGTATATCAAAAGATTGTCTATATATGGGTACGATATCACTTGGGGTCCTGGCATGGTAAAACATAAAAATTTCGATTGAAAATTTTTGTAAAAATTGTTTTTAAGTGGCTTTAACTTTTCTTTGCAAAAAATCGCAACTAGTTTGTGGAAAAAGAAAATTTTGCAAAAAAAATTATTGTAAATTCGTGTAATCGTTGTTGGACCTCATAAAGCATCTACTTAGACGCTTCTTTGATTGTCGTAATCTTCCAACTCCAACCATGAGACCCTCGGCATGATACTTGCGAAATCGCGGGTCCGGAGCGGGGCGTGTCGATGAAAATTTCCATCCGGGCCGCTCCGCCCCGTCGATCGCAAGTGTGCTCGGCATTACCGTAACCTAATGATGATGATGATGTCAGTTTCGGCAAATTTCCGATGTTTTTCAAGAATTTTTGCTATATATAAATATATTGGTACAGTATACCCGAGTACATCGAATTTCCTCAACAGCGACGTATCAATTTTCGGGGTGGGGGATTTCTGATAAAGCTGACCACCTGAACTAGTTCGGCTAATGAGACTTACGCAAGTTTCCATGGTAATCGAAAAGTTGTTTTACGAGCAATTTGTACCAGGCACGCGGCGGTCGCGGCCGCAAGCTTGAACCCCAATTGGGCATGACGGCGACGATGACGTCACAAAATGATCTCGGCTCAAAATGTTGAGCAATTTTCGAAAATATTCTTTTTTTTTCCTTTCCAGACTATCAATGCCGATTGCCTACATTCGCCTCGGATTCATGTGGCTCACAATCGTGTCGGTCGACGCGTTCTTCGGCTTCCGCATCGAGCTTCTGTGGCCGGTGTGGTTGATTCTGCGCGCCGCTTATGAGTCGATGAACAAATCGAATTATACGGCGGCGACGACCGCCAATCAGAACAATGCGGTACATTATTGTTGTTGTCGTTTCGAGTTTTATACTTTTTGTTGCGTTTCAGAAGTTCTCGGCGTTTTTCGTCTGCATCACAGCGACTTCCGATCTGATATTTTATCTATTTGTACCCGTACGAATATTAGTTTTACTCGCCACAACGTACGTGTGGATTAACGTTTTATGGCAAACGCACGGCGGATATGTGCGGACGTTCAATGCGTTAATAAGTGAGTTTTTTTTTTCTGGACACCAACCTTCATGTGTCTTTAATTATGTTTTGTTTGACAATTGAATTCAAAATCTCAAACAGAAATTTAAATGCAACAATTGAAATTTTCTGCTTTTATTATATGCGCATTTGAAAGTATTCGTTGCGAGACCCTTTTGCGAGGCTCATCAACCGTGTGATGTTTTAATTAATTTTTAATTGCTTCCTCGAGCAAAGCTCGCTTCAATTCAATTGTCGAGAAATTTCTGAAAAAAAAACGAATTCCTTAGAAATTTTGTATTACGGTAATTAAAGGCGCATAGAAGTTTGTTCTCATCCCAATTTTTTTGTTATTTTAATTTAAAAAAAAAGACATTTCTCGGCGGAGGCACTACGCAATAAATATTTTTGTTTGATTTCAGGCAACGAACGATCTCATTCATATCTGGTCGTCGCGTTCAGCGCATTCGTGATTTTATTCGAGTTTCTGATGCGTGCACGGTTTGTCGAACTGCCCACAAGTTCAGGAGCATTGTCCGAATTTTTTTCCAGATGCGATCAAATATTAAATTTGAATCGAGATCAAGCATTACAAGCCTATCTACCTAGTGGTAATGACAGTTCTCGAAACCGGGCGGTGCGGTGGGGCAGGGTTAACCGCGAAAATCATTATCATTAATTATAAGGGGATAGAAAATATTATTTTCGTTTCTAGTCAAAGCAAAAGTTGAGCTGTCGAAATGTCGGAAAACTCGAAAATTTCAAGATTTAGTTGTTTTTTGCGAATTAAGGTCAAACTTTCGATCTTTTAGTTTTTCATAGAATTCATGCTTCTATGTTATTTCGTTGAACGGTAAAACGTTATCAGTACATTAATTTCGACATCGTTTTCTGCGATCAAATAATTTGCCCATTGTATATTCGAGTTCACGACCTATGTTTTTTGACGCGCTGCGGTTCGCGTGCGGTCACGTTTTCGTGAATTACTCGGATTTTTTTCCCTAACGAACTAGATTAATATTTGATTATATAAGAAATTCACTAGGAAGCTTATTTATGTTGCATTGAAGACTGCACAAAAGAAAAGAAAAAAAGAAACGAGACGCACACGCTAACCGCAACGCATTCGACAACATAGTTAGTCGAATTTTTTTCAGAAACAGACAATAATTATATTTCATTACTTTTTAAATTGTGATTTTTGAGATTTTCGCGGCTACCTCCTCCACTCGACCCCCTCTCCCCCCTCTCTCTCTATCTCCTTGAAACAGTTAATAATTGTTTTCGCTTCAGGAGTTCCTACATTCATACCAATATCAATATGTGCGTTTTTCGGCGCGCATGGTGTTGGATATCCAGTGGTGCTGGTCACCTTTTCACTAAAATATTATTTTAAGTATGTGATTTTTTTTTAAATATTTTCTATTTAAAACAAAATATTTTTTTTCGTAGAGAATGGCAAATACGACGAAAACAGGGAGAGGTGGCGATAAAGAACGAGAATTTGAATCGATTACTAATAGAGGCCCTACCGGCTGATTATGAAGGTCCCAAGGATTATTCGGTGCTGCCGTGTATTGATGAAGGTATGGCGAATTGCAACCTCGAACGTTGTCCGTAGATTTGAGTCGGTTTTGAGTTATCTATATTTTTCAGATCCATACTTATTCGAGACATCATCGACGGCGTCATCGCAGCCGATGGCGATCACAGCACCATATCCGAATGGCTCGACGCCTATACAATCGACAAGTTCACACAAAAAGAACGGCTATAATAAGGTAAAATCATATGTGCGCTTATGAAAATTTGAGAAAACGATCGGCCAACTGCGTGTTTTTATTTCTTATTGTTGTAGTTTTTCAATATTGCGACAAAAATACAAAAAGCAAAAATTGATAGATTCAAAAAGAAGAAGAAAAAATCGGCAATCGCTCTTTTTCCTGGTTTTTTTTCGCCCAATAATTGAAAATCTAACACTTTTTTTCATGAAATTGTTAAAGTTTAAGAAAATCAATATCTCAAAATTTGTTTATATGTGCCTTTAACAATTCACACTATTTTTGAAAAATATTGGATTTAAAAAAACGTATTCGCTGCGATATTTTTATGAATATATAATTTTAAAAAATTTATTGAACAAATTTCCGAAAAAAAAAGTTGGTTCAATTTGAAATTTTTTTTGTAGAATCGTGAAGGGAAACGAAGTAAAAAGAACGGGTTCACACCACCAATCGAGCACGCGAAAAAGAAGGACAAACGAATGTACGAGCTGGATGATTATTCGGACGGCGAGGAATGCGGCAACGGCGGCGGCGGCGGAAGCAGCTATGAGTTTGCGACGCGCAACGAGCGACCGCGCGGCGGCGGCGTGTGGTTCGTGCGATTCGCCGGCATTCTCACCTCGTGGTTGTGCCACTTGATTGGCGGATTCGTGCATCGGCCGCAATTGTCGCCGCCGCGCCCCATGATCACCGAACGACGCAGCTATAATGCGATCGAGACGATTGCGGCGAACGATGAGGATGAAGAGGATCAGCAAAAGGTTCGTCGACGAGAATCCAGTTGTTCTCTCAATTCTGTATGTGTGTTCTTTTCAGATGAATGGACGGATTGAGGCGAAGAGCAGATCGAACACACTTCCGAGTAATGGAAGGCATCAGAAGAAGAGTGCGAGCAGTTGTGTGAAACCGGCGAAATCCGACAAGGTATCCACTGAAGACTCGGAGTCTGGTTTCGCATTTGCCCGATTGCAGACGTCAAATTCGAATGGCTATATTCGGTCGAGTTCTGCGGCGATACGCGACAGCTCGAGGGACACGAATACCAGCAATGAGCTTGAAGTGCAAAAGTGAGCTCGAGAATTATTTCCAAAATTTGCGCATACATTCAATTCATTGGTAATTTTTTGCATTTTCTTTTTCAGTTTGTCTAGAGAGCTTGACATGATGCGCGCCGAATTGAGCTCGAAACGGAATCTGGAGGAGGACATGAAGCTGCAAATCAGTATGCTCGAGTCGAGCGAATCAAGACTAACACAGACGATTTCGCATTTGCGGATGAGGATTGATCAAATGGAGAGCAAGTAAGGAGCACGAGCTGTTGGCTATCAAATGTGTGTGTGTTTTTTTTTGAAGGTGCAACACTCTAGAGAAGCATCGCGAAGCGGACAAGTCGAGTTTGGAGCAGAGCGAGCACAAGTACGCACAGCTCATGATCCGCAAGTCGGAATTGGAACAGGCGCTGATACTTGAGAGGAAAGCGCGGAATGAGGATACCGGAAAGAAGTATTAGGACCATCGTTTGAATTGCAATTACGTTTGGATTTTAGAATGGATTTGGCTGAGCATCAACGCGAGAAGGAGCGCCAACTTGAGAAGGAGGTTGATCGTTTGAGACTTGAGCTGAAATCCAAAGAAGAGACGAATATGTCGATGGAAGCGGAATTGAGCAGTTTGAGGAATTATAAAGAGGATAACGATATTGATGTGAGATTCGTTTTCTTTTTTTTTTCATTTCACTGAGGAATTTGACATGTTTTTAGGCAATTAACATGGAATTGCGGATACAGAAGGACAAATCGAGCCATTTGGAATCGTCGCTCGCTTCGGAGAATCGCCTCAAGCAGGAGTTGTTTCGGGCGCTTGGCGACGCGAAAGCGCACAATAAGACATTGGAGAAGCGCATTCAGGAGTTGGAAGCCGATTTGCGAGCGAGGCCGATTGCAGCGAGTATTGAGCCGAATGATGACACGGTAGGAATCGGAAAGAATCGGTTCAGAATTGAATATCAATGAATTTAGACTAATTCGGATCAGTCTTCACCTACTCAGCACAGCGCTGTCGGCTCTCCGGTGCCTTCGCCGAAAACGCCGCTGTCGATAAATGTGAATACGAGGTTGTCGCCGTATAACGACAAGGTTTATCCTAATAAAGACGTTGATTCCGAACTTTTGACTCCAGATGTCACCGATTGGGCCGTCGTCGCAGTTGTCGAATCCGTCGACGCCAGCGCCGCCGACCTATCAGATGGCCGTTCAGTTGCCGAAATCGGCCGCCGAGAATTTCGCGTACCAATCGCGTCAGGCGACGTACAATCAATTCCAGACGCACGCGTCGACCGGCGAGCATTTGCTGTTCGACGTGCCGCCGCCACCGCCGCCGTCAGCGACGACGACAACGGCGTCGACGTGCGCTTCAATCACCTCGCATGATTTACTCGCGTCGCGTATGGGAAAATTCGGAGCGCCGTCGAATCCGGCGCGATCGAACTGAACACCGAACTGTCCTTGCGTGTGTGTTTGCAATATTCCATCCAATACCCTCCTTTCCTATGGTCTTTTTTTGGTTCCAAAGAAGAAGAAAAAGATAACACGGTGATCAATCGCGCATTTTTTTCATACTAGTCACTATTGTTGTTTTGTTTCTTTTTGTTGTGATCTATTCTATTTTTTCTCTCTCTCTCTCTCTCTCTCTCATTTTTTCCTTCCTTCATTTCAACATTCAACATTACCTCAAAAGCACTGTCTGATTGTTGTTGGTTGCACCTTCTTGTAATTTTTTTTTCTGTCTCATATCCTCCCACCGAAAAATGAAAATAGTCGTTTAGGCGCCTCTTGTTGTTGTATTATAGTTTTCTAGGTTCAACCCCGCCCTCGCGCACCTCTCTAGGCAGCCGGACCACTATTCTAGGTAGCTTCTCCTTGATACTCTTGAACTATTTATTCTTTTTTTTTTCTCGACTAAGCGGGGACCATTTCTTTTTTTCGGCTGGTACGACACGTTTCTTTTGTTTTCTCTATCCTCAATGGTCCCCCGCGAGGTTCACATGTGTATATTTTTACTATTATTATTTTTTTCTCTTTCATTATTTGTTTCCCGCCACCATTTCTTGTACACCAATCCCCTTTGAATTTGGATCTCGACATACGGTTCTCGAAAACCCCCACCCACCCACCCACGCGCGCACTCAAAATACCCATTGTCAAACATTGTTGTACCCTATTTTAGTTTTATTTATTCATATTTAGACAGTGCTATTCCGAGCCATCACCACCCTCGTTTGCCCCCCCCCAAACAGACAATTTTTCCAATTTTTTTGTGCAAAAGCGAAATTTGCGTGTTTTAGTGTTTTAGAAAACGTCTATGTGAATAACATGTAGAAACTTGTTTTTGAATTGTTCGTTTATTTCGTCCGTGACGAACGGACCTGCAAAAAAGAGTGACGATGGGAAAAATGTCCAAAAAAAATGAAAAAAATTGATATTTGAATTGAACGCGATTGGCTCTTGTAAAGTTTACGCGAAATTCTTGGCAATTCAGCATCTCGATTTGAAACTAATTGCGTTGATAGAGAATATTCAAAAAAATCATGAACTATATGTATTTTTCGGGAAAAAATTGGGCTATCAGAGTCAATTCCAACACATTTTTCGCATTATTTTTTCAATTAAAAAAATTCGATGTTGAATCACAAATTTCATAGTTTTTTTTTTCCGCATCCACTCCAAATCGACCAGAACATAATTGAAAGTTCAGTGGTTTTCAATACGATTTGACGAGTTTTTCAAACTCGAAAATTATGTTTGGATACGATAATTAAAGGCGCCTACAATTTTTATTCAAAATCTCGTCGCGTTAGATTCGTTTACATTTTTCAAAAATCAACTATATTACTACAAATTTAGAGCGCAAAAAGAAATTCCATTTTCAAAGTATTCAAATCTGGCGCTAAAAAAATGAAAACTGGTGAATGGCTTCTAAAACAAAAACATAGAGGAATCCCGAGAGGAATGTGATTTGAAAAACAATTTGTTGAATACAACGAGATTAATTAATTAACCAATCAGCGAGCGGGTGGGCGTGGCCTAGCCATGGCTATCGGAATTTTTCGCTGCAAGACCTTGTTGTTCGGACGCCTTGCGACCTTCATTGAATGTGTCTTCATTCGAGAACGAAGATATACAATAAAAAACCGAGTTTCCGACATTCCGACAAATTATTCACCAACTCGGATTCCGAACATTTGCGTCAAACTCGGTTTTTGACGCACATTTGCACATTTCGTTGCATGGCGTCAGAGAGTTGAGGCGGAATTGCGCGAAAATATTTATTTCGCTCAACTCTCATAGGGATAGCTTAAAGGCGCACCGGAACCTCTTTTTGGCATTTTGCCGATTTTCCGCGATCGCGCGACGTCGGCAATGTTTGAATTAAAAAAAATTGCAACATAATCGGCCCCACCGGAATTGATTGATTTATTCATTAATTGGACTTGGCAAATTCGGCAAACCGTTGCTGAATGTGATCGTCGACGGATCGGCAATCGAGGGCGGAATCATTGAATGCGCGCACTCGATGCTGTGCTGAAGGAAATTGCGGCGATCGGTGCATTGCGTGTGGCACATTGTGCATTGGAACGTCGACGAATGCATTATCGAATGGAAGCGGTAGATGATGACGTCGGTGAAGATGAGAAGGCATCGAGAGCACTCCTGCAATCAAGGCCAACTCATTCTGAAGAATCTAACAACAATTTCCTATTTTGTTTTTTGATCCATCTTTTGGCTCTGGAAACTCAAAACCAATAGGATCCGACAAAATTTGGATCCAGAATCAATCCGATCCGATTGGAAATTTGTCGGATTCGATTCGAATTGAAAAATTAAAACAAGACGAATTCGAAAAATTACAAATAGAAACCGAAAATCCCGTCGGGATCCGATAATATTAGATTTAAATGATGAGAATAACTCGAAAAATGGTCTCGAATGGAAATGCTCACCATAACAATTTGATTATTCCTGCGCATTTCTTCGATCTTCTTGTAGAATCGAGTGCGACACCTTCTCTCGTTATCGCTCAATGACATATCGACGGCATTCTCGCCGCAATTCGGCACCGCAAACTCTTTGTCGTTCTGGAATTTTCGAAAAAATCAAATGATATAAGAAAGCTCCGCCCCTCAAAAAAAAAAGAAAATAATATGGTCTTCTATCAAAGGCTCACTTTTCAACTGCCGACAATTTTGGGGGCACTCAACTATGTAATAATCATAAATCGATAGAGAGAGAGAGCTAACCTGCATCGGCGGCGACGACGACGACATGATAATAATGCAAACTGAAGATGCGAGTCGCCATGGTAGCCCCCGTCGCATCTAATTATCTTTTTTGTCGCTCGCTGTCGCAAACTCAAACAACGCTCTATGTGAATCGCGCCAACCCAAATGCGAGCCGAGTGTAACTTTAAACATCTTCCGAGTTTGAAGCTAACATGTGAGACAAGGACTCAGGCAAATCAAATTGAATATTTTGAGAATCAAATATTCAATAATAAACTCTAAAATATTTTGAGAAAATCTAAAGTTTATTAATACATTCTAAAACTTATTGAGAATCGCTAAACATAAAAATTTTAAAATCTTATATAGTCGGGCGACTGCTGTACGCGGGTCGATTTACGCGCATGCGCCTTTAAAAGGTATCGCCACGCATGAATGCTTATTTCGCTGTTTTCGCGTGAACTGCTTCATTTTTCTTGACGAGTTTCGTATTTCCTTAAAAGTAATTCGATTAAAAAATTATCGAACTGATCCATAAAATTTCAAATAACCTGTTGGTCCGTGCGAGACCATTTCGAAAGACGCATTCTCGTAAATCTACCCACGTACAGCAGTCGCCCCAGACGCCGACTATAAGATTTTCTAAAATTCATTGAGCAAATTTAAAATTATCTCAATAATTTCTAAAATCTTTTAATAATTTCTCTGAAGTTGATTGAGAAAAATCTAAAATATTATAGAGACATGTTAGTTTCTCAATGAATCTCAAAATATTTTATTCGATTTAGCGGACGGGTTTTGATACTACAGCCCCGAGACCGGTACCATTCGATAGAGCATCTAAATTCCTACATCATTCTCAGGAACGATTTTTTGATCTGAGCTTTTCCTGAAGAGTTATGCCAAAAAAGGTAAAATCGCATTTTCGCACTTTTGGGCTCGTAGCACATCGTAGAGTTGATGGATCGAAATGTAATCGGTACCATTCGATGCACAATTTTATGCTCTATCGAATGGTCGACACAAGAAATTTTGAGCGTTTACCTTATACGGCAAAATTTCCAAAAAAGGGCAAATTTTTTCAGGCTCTCAAATCCGGTCTGTGCCAGTCTCGCGAAACTATGATAATCGGATAGGGCGAGGTTGAAAACGTAAATGATATTCGACGCGAAAAATATATGTGGGTGTTGACGAAATTTTGAAAATTTTCGCTTTTAGGGGTCCTAGGGGTCCGAATTTGGTGAAACTTCTGCTACCGTAACCTAAATCTGCAAGTATTCATCCGATCGATCTGAAAATTGGACCACTGACTAAATCTGTTGTGTCCTTATTATTAGACACAATATGAATAACTGATTTTATATCGATCCTATGTGTGCCACGTGGCGTGTCGAGGTCACGGCTCCAACAAAATCGAACATGCTGAATCTTTTAAAAATATTTTTATTACCGTAACCCGATTACTGTAGCTACAGTAACCCAAAAACTAACTCTTCTTCCGTATTCGCTCAATTTTCCACCAATCGATCTGAAAATTTGCATGCTTATAGAATAAGAGGTGGCGAAAACGATTCAATTGGTCACGTCACGATCATTTGATTACTGTAACTACAGTAATCCCAAATATGGTTTTTTGGGAATATTGGCGTGAAAAGTGGGTTTAAATGCTGGGGGAGTAGCATATTCGGAATCAGCATAAAATTCTGCGTCGATCGATATCGATAACACTCAAGGTTATCAGAAGCAAAATTTTTGCATTTTTTTCTCGAATTTTCACAAAGTCCAGAAAAGGGTAAAATTTGAAAATCACGAATAGTGGTTCGATTGAAATGAAACTTGGCACATAGACTAAGTTTGATGCGCTGATTACGAATCTGTCATTTTCGTTACCGTATTCGGATTACTGTAGGAGTTATTCACAAAAACTTTTTTTTCGCCGAACTTTTGTTCCTACATGGTCAAAATCAAATGAATCGTTATGAAATTTTTACAGTGTTCCTATACACTGTCTAGGTTCACTTTGAAAATTTTTTCAATCGGACCATTATTCGCAAAAATCGTATAAATGAGGTTATAGCTCCGTTAAACGTGAATTTCATGAAATCGCATGATGATATTCGGATTCAGCATAAAATTCCGCATCTATACATATATACTTTATGGGGGGTCCGAAAAACCACTGAGGCGTTACGATTAAAAATGTACCGTTTTGGGTTACTGTAGTTTTAGAGCTACCGTAACCCAAAATTGTCAATATAGCTACAATCGATCTGAAAACTTGCATACATATCAAATTGCATATGCTGAATTCAAAAATGATGCTGAAATTGTAGATTTCCGAAAGCTTCATGTTCAAAAATAGAAAAACCATGAAAGTAGGCGGTTTTTTACGACTTTTCAAGTGAATTTAGATTTATATGTAAAATGACTACCATATTCGTGATCAGTATTTAGTTTTGCGTCAGATGATGTACATTTAATGTGGGATTTTCAGGAAACGCATACTGACCAAGTTTGGTGAAAATTTACAAGTCCAGGAATTGTGTAGGTACAGTAACCCAATATCGTGAATATTGATTCGATCGATCTGAAAGTTGGTCCATTGACTAAATCAAATATGCTGAATCTTTCTATAATATTTTCATCACCGTAACCCAAAATCTTCAAAGGCAACGCCGGTGATATACGTCAATTTCTCGGGGGAAACCTAAGTGCTCTTCGAAGGCGGCTTTTTCTTTGAACTTTGAGCATGGGAACAATGAACAATGGAAGGCGAAGGGTACTTAAATTATGATGTGATACCTAGCACCGAAGACGATACAGCATTCATAATCATTCTTTAGTTTTCGTTAATTTCTAACGTTTTTCTGATTAACCGATTTTTAACCATTTTGAACCTTTAATCAACTTCTATATGTTTCAGAATGCATTTCTTTCTTTTGCTTATTCAATTTGCCGTTGTTGTGCGTGGAGCTTATATTATGTTGCCACAAGGCGATGGCTGGTAATATTTGAAAGCTCAGTTAAAGTGTGAAAAATTTATTTACAGCAATTTCGAAATAAACGACAAGCAGCAACTATGCGTTAAATACGAAACCGTATTTAACGATAGTTTGCCAATTAGCACAATCGAAAAATTAAAGGAACTCGGCTGCGTTTTAATAAAACGTTCGAAAAGGGGAACAGTGTCTCGAATTTTAAAAGATTTAATGTTTGGAGACGAAGATGAGGAAAAATTTGAAAAAGAAACGCTAAAAGTTGAAAAAAATTTTTCGACTCAAATTAAATATATAGCAGAGTAAGATTAAGCGCAATGAACGTTAACATATAAACACTTTTTTTAAAGACATATTGCCAAAATCGAACGAAAAGACGAGGAGACAAAATTTTTGGAAACAATCGCAAGGGTTCTCACTAATCCCACATTCAAGGATATTTTCGAACTCACAAACATCACGAAAAAGGTAAATCTGAATATTTTTGCGTCTTATTTTAAACATGTGAAATTTTAAGGATATTTCGAAGGAGTTCAATTACGATGAGGATTATTTCGAGGAGCTGTCTTCGCAATTAAAATTAAAAGCGCGTTGTGAATCCAACACAATTGCTTTTTCATTGTGCGGAGACAAGTTTCGAAAACCGTTGGCTTGCGGAGAAATCCATGCTGTACAAATAATTGCCAAAAACAAAAAAAAATGAAATTTTTTCGATTTCAGATTCACCCGATTGGAGATTTCACAAATGGAAACAAAATATTTAGATACATTGATCTCCCCAAATACGAACTTCACAGCAACGTGACCGATGGAATGTCGGCATCGAAATGTGATGAATTGGTTAGTTAAAATTATAATGATTTGAAATCTTTTACCAATAGAAATTATTGCAGAAAGACAATTTCTATATGTGTTCTTATAACAAATATGAGAATTGCACCGTAGCAAATCCAGATGGATGCAAGACGATTTCAAAAATTGTTAAAAAAGGAATAATCACTGAGGAGTATGCTCATGCAACTTATGTAGCAGCCGCAAATTTGGAGGTATATAGATATTCGAAAATGTTTGGTCCCAAAAATAATTGATCGATTTCAGCAATACCTAGTGAAATGCAACGGAATAACCAGATGGGAATCGATGCCCCAAAGCAAGCAACTCTTCGTCACTTTACCATATTCGTGTTTAGCACGATTTGGAAGTGTACAAATTGCGGGACGTCACACAGAGGAGAAAATTTACCATGTAAACTTGAAAATCGTAAGTTTTTAGAAATTAATCAATAACACAAACATATAATTACCCAATTTAGAAACACGATGAATTTGGCAAGGACGATTTGAAAGAATTGGAAGAGCAAAAAGGAATTTCGATGGATGAATTTGAGCAATTCAATGAACAAGTCCCCTCAACATTTATGGATTATTTGATGACCTTACCTTTTGAAACGGTTTGTGTTATATTTGTTATTTGCATATTATTAGCGGCTTTAGCGCCATAATTTATAAAATAATTTATTGTGCAATTAAAGTTTGAATGTTAAATAGATTCAACATAAAATATATCATTCATAAACTATATCCTATTATTAGCACATCTTTTCGCACATTACATTGCTGCAAAAAATTTACTTATCGGATCGTAAAACTTGATTAAAAAATATAATTGACACATGTTTCCAACCTTTGTTATCAATTCAACATATATTTTTGCTATTTTCAAAAATAATTATTTCTGTTCTACCGAACAGCCATAAAACTCCAGAAATCCAACTTCCAGTGGGGCCCCTTCGGGGGAAGCCTCGGACGCGAGAGCGTCCCATAAAAGAGTATTTGGAATTGGCTGAGTGCCATAAAACTACAGAAATCAAAGGGGGCCCCGCCCCGCCTTCGGCGGGGGTGTGAGCGCCGAATTCCAAATCGGCCTTTTCTGTTTCAATTCAAAAGTTGAATGAAAGGGGTTACCTAAGCCTTTTAAAACTGATGAAATAATAGACAGTCGACAATATTTCGGTAGAGTTTACTATCGGTTGGCACATTTTACGACGTTTCGCACATTTTATTACACGACCCTCATAATTTACAATCATTCGGGAATTTTTGACTCATTGAAACTCATTGAATGTTCCAGACAGCTGTAAATGATAGATAATGTATAAAATCTGGATATTAGAATAATGCAAAACAAATTAAACTTACACAATTTGATTTTTTCAGAAGTTTGACACATATATGTACGTGTTCACCAAAAAACCCAATTACACCATAAATTTAAACAAAATTAATAAAAAATCCCGTGAAACTGTAATCAATCAATAATCAATAATCAACCACAAATTAATCCACAAATTAATCAAAAAAAAGTCACAAATCAATCGATATTCGATCAATAATCAATCGATAATCAACTAAAACTCTCGGTCATGTTAACGAGACTAAAATCGTGTTGGAGCATAAAAGGCCGATTTGGAATTCGGCGCTCACACCCCCGCCGAAGGCGGGCGGGCCCCCTTTGATTTCTGTAGTTTTATGGCACTCAGCCAATTCCAAATACTCTTTTATGGGACGCTCTCGCGTCCGAGGCTTCCCCCGAAGGGGCCCCACTGGAAGTGGGACCGGCAGGAATTGTTTCGGTCTTCAACATGTTGTTTCGAGAACTCTGGAACACAACTTCTTGGGGAAACCCTCTCATCAAATCCTTTGTTATGACAGAATACGGTCAAATATGTCACCTAGAAAAAAAGATTCAAAAATGGCTCCAGTACAGTTAGACAGCTAGTGAAAATCTTTTATTGAAGCCTTCTATTGTGACAACCACTGCTCCAAGCATTTCATGATCAACAACCATAAAACTTATAAAAAATTTTTCAATTTAAAAAAAATTTTTTGAAACAATTTTTTTCTTATACATACCCTTTCAATATGATGAAAATGGCAAATTTGAATAGAAAAACGCAAAGTTGAACTTTCATAATTACTGTATCACCAATAAAAAAATACGCAAAAAAGTTCCGAGATATAAAAGGCGCGAGATAAGACATCACGTTATTTTATTTCGAGTTTCCGCACATTTGTGTGCAAAATTCACGTGGGGAGGGGCTAAAACTTTGAAGGTCCATATCTCGATAACTAGAAGTTTGCGCAGGTAGGGACCTAGTTCATTCGATTGGAAATTTTCTAAAGAATCTGTATGCAAGAAATAAAAAAATTTTAAGACGGACAGCAAAATGACCTCCATTGTGAGTATTTCAGACGTCCAATAAATATATTCTATCGTAGATCATGATTGTCTCGTCTCAATGCTTTATAATTTTTATTTCATTCATGCGTACGTGCAACTCGTCGGTCCACTATCCCGATGGTCCGACTCCATGCGTCCGCCTGAGTCTACATATAAATAAAAGACAAATTTGTATTTCAAAAAAAATTAAATTACAAAGCAAGTTTAATATTTATTGCATAAAAATTACGGAAATAACTTTTTTCTAAGCAATGCAGAAAAATTTTTTATTGAAAAAAAAGAGTTTCGTTGCGAGACCCAAACGGCATGCGTCTTAAAATACCGTATCTTTGCGTATATTAATTTTTAGGAATTTTACTTATTTTTTGATGAAAATTTCTCGGTATTTTATGACGCATGCCGTTTATTTATGCGATGGGTCTCGCAACGAAAACACGCCTATCTTCGCCTTCTTTTTTCTCTGCAGAACTTTTGACATTTGAACGTTTTTTTCGAAACTTTCCTTTTCTGCTCATCCTGCATTTTTTCCAATTTTTTAAAACATTTTCCAAACTCATTTTTTGACATTCTCTTCGAAATATTTGAAAACTGTTTTTATTGCGTTTTCAGTTAGAATTTTAAAAACGAATTCCGGAAAAAAATCGTCAATTTTCAATTTTATATTTTCTACAGTAACATTTTTCTATCGGTGCACACTGTCGTGGAATGCAGTGCTTTGGTACGCAAATTGTCGGCGTCAAACAATTGAAGGACGACGGGAGCTGCGCGGAATTTCAATATTAATTTTGTACGTTACGGTAGTGAAGTCCGCAATCAATATTACGCAAAAATGAACACATCTTTTTTTTATTTTCTATAAATTCTTTCGTTTTAAGAAAATCAATGTTTCACGTGAACGGAGCCTTCCAATTCGCGAATAAACTAAATATTTAAATTAATCGTTGACTGAGTATTAAATGCGCGTACGCTTAAATGCAATGTACGCAATCTCCTCAAGACGCCAACAAAAAGTTGAAAAAATGTTTTTCGAAAAAACGGGATTTTTGGTAGATCAGTTAAAAAACAAACGCGGATCAAAATCGGATTAAAAATGATCCACCACAAATCCCCTTTTTAAACAATTTTCCAATGGGCAGTTTTAGAGAAATGAATATTTGAATTTCCAATCCGAAATTGTGTACAAAATTCTTTATTAGGTCATTTTTTTGACAAAAATATACAAAATATTCATGATACCTGAGAGGTGAAACATGTTAGAGATCAAAAATCAAAGTTGAAAGACAGAAAATAATTACAAAATATTATTTCGATGGCAAAGAAAAATTAGTACAATGGTCCAATGCCATCAGATTTTGCTCATTGAGAGCACAGACCGATTTTTGGGCGCCGCGTTTTGAATGGTCCGATCGGTCCACGAGGCGGGTTTGGCGGTGGCGAAAACGCAGAAGAACGCATTGGTGAGAACGAGCAAAATCGCGTGGGCGAAGAAGACGGTCCGCCATTCGGAGACGGATGATGTCGGCAGCAGGAATGACACCTGCAATTCTTCTGAGTTGAGATTTCGACGATCGATGGAATTCATACCAAAATTGGGCAGATGAGCATCGAAAGACACCAAATAAATTGGATGTTCGCCATCACGAACGGACTGTATTGGCGGGAAACGAGGGTGGCACACTGCAAAATTGGATTTTAATTAAATTGGTATAATTGGCTAAATGCCAAAAAATTTAAACAGAGGTCTTGGTGCGTTTTTAACTATTCCTTAGGCCCGTGAATCTACACTTTAATTTTTGGGCCAAAATCACTGAAATTATTATTTTTTGGCATTTTGCCAATTTTCCGCAGTCGCGCGACGCCGACAATGCATATCAAAAACATTGGCGAATTTTTTTCCCGCAAGAATTGTTCAAACAGAAATTTTTGTTGTTTAAAGGCACACGTGACGAATCCTTTGGAAATTCAACATCAAAAATGAGCATTTTTCAAACTCTTGTCACTTTCGGTTTCGATGTCTCATTTCTAGCACGTCTAAATTGGGATTTGCCGCAAATGGAAACGTTGCGTGGCCTAAGTTTTAAATAGCGGGGACTGACTTTTGAATCAATCGGCATTTTGCCCATCAAATTTGTTTTTTTTTTTTCAATAGCACTTGTCAAATATCGCGCAAAAAACCTCAAAATACTGGTAAAAATCGGCTATGCAGGAAAACACATTCAAAAAACCTCGGCCACGGCCAGATTTTTCGAAATGAAATTTTATCCTAAGCGCCTTTAACGATTTTATTTTTTTATTCAATTTTTCGATTACAGATGCTATTTTTATGCATTTGTTTTAATGATTCTTGCAGAGATTTAATTTTAAAAAAGAAGTGGTACTGTACGCATCAAAAAACGTGGCCGTGGCCGTGGTTTTTGAAGTTAGGCCTAGCCGATTTTTACCGGCCCCATTAACTATTAAAATCCAGCTTCAAAAAATGTTTAGTAAATTATGGAACGCAAAAAAATACACGCGCTTCCAATTTAAAGGCGCATGCTTGCCAATCTATAGTTCACCAATTTCTTTTTTCTCGTGCTTATTCACAAACTTCACCGGCCAAACTTGAAAGAGCAATTCGAGAAACCTTATTGAATCCGCCGCCGTTGAAGCCGAACATGGCGGTCGCCAGCGAGATCAACGCGATTCCCAACAATCCCTGGCCCCTCTCGACGTAGCCGCACGCGGCGAGAAACACGGCGCTCATTCCGAGAGCGATCGTGTTGAAAATGCGCAATTTCGTCGTCTCCGAGACGCCCTTGATTTTGTCGCTCGAATGACCGGCGGTGACCTGCAAATTGAGATTTTTGCCTCGTGAATCTCATTGATCGGTCTCTGCATGTGGTACGTGCCTTGACAAAAAATTGGACGAGCACCGGAATCGCGGCGGCGATGCCGGTCTTGCTCACCGAGTATTGAAGAACATCGCGAATATACAACGGGGAGAAGGTGTGAATGAGCTGGAAGCAAAAAAAAAAAAGTTGAAAGCTCATTCAAATTGCGGATTCACCTGAACGGCAACGAGATCACCTAATGCTCCAACCCAAACCGCCCACACGCTCGGCGTCGTCATTATCTCCAAATATGGAATTTTTTCCATTTCTTGTGACAATGAAGCCGATGATTTGTTGGCGTTGATTTGCGACAATTCTCGTCCTTTCACGCGGCAATTCAATTCTGAAATTTTTGATGATTCAAGGAAGCGAACGAGCCACCAACCAGGTTTGTCGGTGAAGAAATAGAGCCAGGCGAAGAACACAACGAATGAGACGATTCCGTGGAAGTAGAAGACCGATTGCCAGCCGAGCGTCGACGTGCACAACTGGAATTGTTTCATTTTCAGTCAATCGGCGATTTTGACGACGAACCTGTCCGGAGACGGGCATCGAGAACACCGACGAGAGCTGGCCGAACGTCGTGAGAACGGCGATGAACAATCCGTGCTGCTTGAGAGAGGCCCACGAGGCGGTGACGCTGCCGACCGTCGGCATGCAAGCGGCAAATGAGACCCCCTGCGATATGATCATTATGAAGGTTGTTCAAGAATTTCGATGATACCTGTAGGAATCGGAGAACGAGAAAGAGCTCGAGCGAAACGCTGGAGGCCAGCGGAACAGCGGCTGTCGCGAAGCCGGTGAGCATTCCGGCGACGAAGAACACCTTGCGGCATCCGACGTGCGCGATTGCGTGCGAGACGGGCACCACAGCGAGCAGCGCGCCGATCGCAACCGCGCTGAACAGCCACGTGCGCTCTTGATGATTGTACGGCTCGAACGTCGACGAATTGAAGCGATGCGAGGCCGGCATACAGAGCACGGTGAAGTTGAAGCACACGATGTTGGCCATGATCGACGATAAGCAGACGATGGTTAGGAATAGGATGATGTAGCGAATGGAGGAAGACGACGAATCTGAATTTGAGTTGTCGGTTTTTAATTTAAAGAATAATTGCAATTAAAAATCATATTTTTAATAAATCCACTTTCATTTTTAGGCTTATATAATTTTTAGCTTTGAAATTTTTGCGATCAAATCTAGTGTTGCAAAAACAGATCAATAAAATGATGTCATTGATAAACGATTTATCGATTTTTTTGCAATTTGAAATTTTGAACAAAAATTGAAATCATAAACAAATGCTTTTAAAATTACCTTCATTTTCGGGCTTCGCCACTTCTTCAACATCATTCTCCAACGAGAATTTGATGGTGATGTGTCGTGAATTGTCGTCGACAATCTCGGAATTCGTCGGCGGCATCTCTGGAATGAATGCGACAATTGCGAACTGTTTATTTATATGTATGTAGTGATCGAATCCGAAATGCCGCGAATGCGAATGATTGATTGGCATCTCGCATATCGACGGGCTGTTTTCGATTCGTCACTCGGCCAAAGTGCGAACATATTTTTTTTTTGAATACTGCCCCTCTCGTGTGAGCGATCTTTGAAGCGTCGCATCATGAGAAATTCGGCCTTGATAATTTGATTAATTGATTTGATTAATTCCCTAATCATTTTTGGCATTTTCGGATCAAAAATTAATTATTTCTTACCTCAATTTTCATTTTTAAAAGTCACGTTTAAAACCTTCTAGAAGATTCGTATAACCCCTTTTGCATTTTAGAAAGCATTAATTTAACAAGATTTTATGAAACAGAAATTTCGAAAACATTGAAGATTCTGAGATTCGAAAAAAAAGTATCGTTATTTAAGCTTCTCCTTTCACAAAATTCCGGTTTTTCGAAAAAAAATGGATCAAAATCTTGGAAAGTTTCAAAATTTTTGGAATTTTCAACAAAAATTGTTTATTTTTTAAAATTCCAAAAGGAAAACTTTAAACAAACCTTGGGGCATCGCAAAAATTCGCGTTGGTGACGCAATTCGCCGCGGCGACGGTTCCGGAATAATGATCGCCGGATTCGACATTCCAGAAATTTTGGTCGCTTCAAAAATAACAACAATTATAATAATATTGAATAGCGTCAGAGTATGCAGAGCGGGATAAACCAGTAGTTGAACGACGCGGTCGCTCGTTGGCCACAATGGTGTGGAGAAGGAAGGAGGTGCGAGATGGTTCGAGAGCCATCGACCGTTCGATCGGCGTCGACCTCATCCGTCTGGCTCTCTCCTCCCACAGCCGATTCGTTTTATCATCATTCATCAATCAAAAATCAAACCATCAAATTAATTAAACCCATTGTTTCTTTCTACGGAAATTTTTTAGTTTTTTTTCTAATAATTTTATTTTTTTTTTAATTTTCAATTGGAAATTTTAAAATCAAGTTTCGTTTTTCGATTTTAAAGAAATATAGTCATCAAAATTTGGTTAAAATTCAAAGCTCAATTCGAAAAAAAATGAGTTTCACAATTTTTAAACCCAATTTTTCTCGAAATTTAAACATTTATCTCTCATTAAATCCAATAAACCTATTCAACAATTCTTACCGGTTTACAACAATAACAACATTAAGTGACAGTGAATGAATGAACGAATATAATTAAAATAAGAAAGTGAGTCGAAATTTCAGAATTCAATTTAATCCCGATTATTCAAATCGAACAAGAACGCGATGTCAGCCATTGTGAGTTTGTTCATCTTCTTCGCCGATCTGCAAAAAGAAAAGAAATGCCGACTGCAAATTAAGAAAATCCTTTTTAAAAACGTACCCTTCAAGCACATTATTCGCCATTTCCAGCTTCTTCGTCTGCAAATCGATAACCCTCTCCTCAATAGTGTCTTTAGTAACCAATCTAAATTCAAATCGTTCAAAATTGCCTCCTCCGCGAATTCTGCAAATCACCTGTGAATCGAAACCGGCTTCTTCTGTCCCATTCGGTAAATCCGATCGCACGCCTGCTGCTCAAGCGCGGGATTCCAATGCAAATCAACCATCACCAAATGATTCCCTCCAGTCAGATTGAGTCCGACTCCTCCGGCTGTCAACGAGAGAAGCATCACTCGTGCGCCGCCTTTCTCCTTGTTAAAGCTATCAACACGCTCTTGTCTGAAAACAATATGGGTTTTCATTAAAAAAAACAACAGTATGAGTTAAATTTTGAAACAAATTCGCAATTTCTAATGAAATTTTTAAAAAATACCAAAAAAATCCGACCTATCTTGAACTTTGACTTCTCCGGTGATCATCGTGTACCGTATCTCATTTCTCTTAACATGCGCTTCAATAAGATTAAGCACAGAAGTCCATTGAGAGACAATCACTCTAAAAAAAAAAAACAATATTTTAAAATTTTTGCGAACCAAATTTAGACGAATCCTACACTTTCTCGCCCTTTTCCATGATTTCCGTGATGAGTTCAATTGTCTTTTTGATCTGAAAATGGAAAATTAGAAAATAAAAATGAAGAATATCGTTGCAAAGTTCATACTTTCGCACTAGGATAATCTGGCTCAAAAATCGCCGGCGATTTGTCAAATTTCTGATTTCGACGTTCACTCTCTTCCTCTTCATCATCCGTGTCTTCAAGCGTCAAATTCGCAAGAGTTCGCTCAAGTAGGGCGTCCATCTCATCAACATTCATATTGTCATCGCCGCCAATTATGGAAAACGCCGACATATCCATGCCCTAAAAAATCGAGGCAACACTTTCAGACGATTCTTGAAATTATAGCTCACATTTTTAGTGATATGAAAATGCACACTAGCTTGTCGAAGTCGCAAAAGGAGGAGGAGAACACAAGACATTGACTGGAATCGGTTGTTCCCAAGATCACGAGGTCCGACTGAAAATATTCAATTTAAAATGTCGATTTCTCAAATCGCCAACAAGCAAACGGATTCCTCAAATCCTCCTCATTTTTGTTCTTTTTTCGCCTCATTATTCCAAACTCTTTCAAATATCGATTGTCATCGCCCTGCTCGACGATTTTCTTGACAAACTTTCTGAAATTCGTCGGCATGCTTCAAAGAGGACAACAATCGAAATTTACTGTGACGCTTTGAACATAATCGCATAAGCTTCAGCTTCATCGCCTTCAAGAATCAAATCATGCACCATGACTGTCTTCGGCGGAAGATCGACGAGCTTCTTATTCGTTATCGAGCAAGTCTGTTCCTTGGTTCGTCGCAGCAAAAAGTTTTTTGTAATCAGATTCAATCGATCCGTCATTCTTCCTTAACAAATGATTTTCTAAACATTGTCAAAAAAAGACTACCTTTCATGGGCATGATCTGCTCCTTCCAATACTTGTCCTCGCTGAACGGCTGAACTCTCATAAATCGAATCAAACTGTACAAATCCCAAAGATTATTATGAATCGGTGTTCCAGTAAGGCACCATCTCGAAATTCCAGACAATCGACAAACCGCCTAGAAAAATACAATGAAGCCTCCCGCCTATCAAAAACGTACTTTGGAGCACATGGAGGTCCGATTCTTAATAGCATGCGCTTCATCAAGAATGATTCTCGACCAACAAATTTGCGCCAACGGCGATGAATCTTTTCCAACTCGTCGTTGTCGACCTCCACCGCGCGGTTGTTCACCATCAGAATCCGATTCCGGATGATCGTCCTGAAAACGAATTAAGGCAATTGTTCGAAAAAAGAAAACAAAACGAAGAGCACCTTATTCTTTGTGGTGACTTTTTCAGTGAGCTCATTACCAACAAGCGTATAAGTAGTAATAACGACATCATAACGAGCAAGGCTGAAAATTCAATTTCAGGATTTTTTTTTAATCTAAAAATGATGATACATTCTTGGTTCGACATCCCTCTGCTTCTTCGTTCCATGGAACATGAACACATTCAGCGTATCCTCTTCAAGTCTCCTCTCAATCTCCTTCTCCCATTGGTAAATCAAACTCGCTGGCGCCACAATAAGAGTTCCATTCGATGGAATAAGCCTAGCAAAAAAACGAATCAAGCTCAAACGGACAACTTTCAGCGTTGAGAAAATTACCCCAAATTTCTCGCCGCCACCCTTCGTTCTTTATCGATCGCATCATTGCCAGCTTCTTTTCGCGCTCGTCGAGCCTCGCGCTGCTCAACGATCAGCGATATCATCGACAGCGTTTTGCCGAGTCCCATATCATCAGCAAGAATTCCGCCGGGCTGCGGCTGCGTCTCTCTCCACTTCAGCCACGTCAACGCCGACTTCTGATGCGGCATCAAATCAACGATCAATCCTTTCGGCGTTTCCGTCAGCTCCGTCTCTTCGGGCATACTCTCAGCCGCTCTAAATTTCAAAAATGCTCGTCAAAATCCGGCCCCTAGAAGACTTCTTACTCCAGAAGTTGTTTCGTCAGCTTATCGGTCATAACTCCAATCCGATGATACCTCTCTTCCGTCATTTTTCCGCCGAAAATACGCTTTCCATCCTTTTGAATAAGCATGTCGAGATTCTGCTGAGGAAGTGGATGCTCAATGAGCCGATTCGGTGGAAGAACACCTCCTCGAATGGGCACCGCGTGTTTCGGCACGTTTGGATGAATGACACGACGCTCGTTAACCACCTCAGTATCATCCTCGATAACGACAACGTCACATTCCTAGAAATTTTTCTTTTTTTTAAACTCTCACATCAAATAATCCCCTACATCTCCATTATTCTTTTTCTCCATTATCAAATTCTCAATAAAATTGAATTCCGCGTGGACTTTGGCGCCCTTATCTGGTAAACTGCTCTGATATTGCATTAATTTCTAGGAAAATTATTAATTGTTTTTGTTTAAGTTTAAAATTATTCCCCTTCCTACCATCAAACCATTTTTTTTGTCCTCAAGCTCGCCGATAGTCAATTTTTTTAGATCTTGCTTCTAAAATCAAAAAAAAAATTGAGAAAATTCCGATAAATGGTCACCTTTTTCTCGCTGACAGATTCCAAATCCACTTGCGGCTTCAATTTGGGCATCAGCGATTGATATTCGACAACAATACTGCTATCCGATGGCGATGAGACGTTCTCTTTGGAATCATCCGAGACAAGAACCACCGAATTGTTCTCATTGTCGGATTTCGTCTTCTCCGTCGCCATTGTTTCATCCTTATCGCTATCCGTGTTCAACGAAACATTGTTAATATCAAAAGTCTGAAAAAAAAACACAATAATTTAAGACACAAAATTTCATAATTCTCACCGGAATATCAGTAATCTGAGGCGTTTTGACATCTTTGGCAATCGGGCTCAAACACGTACTCAATAAATTTTCTTCTGGCGATTTCGATGAGCTTTCGCTACTTCCCCAACCACCAGACCGATCATTTGACGGCTAAAATCAAACAAAATTTGAGAAAAAGTTGTTTTAGTTGAAAACAAAAAATTCACTTTGGTTGATTGCTTCAAAGATTTTCGCAATAGACGTTCCCGCAAATTTTGCTTCGATTTTTTATCATCATTTTCCGAAAGTTTCTTCGAAATCGGCGAAAGCGGTTGCTCTTCTGAAATGTTGAAATTAAAGGTATTAAACTATGCTATAAATAGAAAACCTTCAAAGAAACTTCTACTACGATCATGCGCTGAAGATCCGGAATCCGTCGAAGAATACGTCCCAGATAAAGCTTGTGAGAGATTCTAATTATTTTCAAACAAAGACAATAATTTTGTTTTCTGTTGAAATCTTACTGATTTATTTCCTTTGGGGTTTGGAGTGGATGTGAAAATTGATGAAGCATAGGACTTGTCTTTACTCGCCTGAAAATGTTGAGCATTCTATTCATCTGAATTCAAACGATACATTAGATTCTCGAGAATTATTTGACACATTTTTTAATTCTCGACTTCCACTTGAGTCAATATTGGAATCCTCGACAACTTCCTCGCTGTCCTCGACGACTGACTGAAAATCGTAAATTATTTTTAAATTGACCAAATTTTCTTACATTTTTCGAAGAATTCGATTCCTCGTCACTGCTGGATTCGAGAATTACCCGTCTGCGAGTCGTCATTACTAGCTTTTAGTCGGAAAAAATAATTGCGGTTTAAAAATTTGAAAAAATTTGAAAACTGTACGTAAACACCGAGACATATCAGCGCACAGAGGTTGAAGGGAGAAATGCGAAAAAAGGCGAAAAGGCTTTTTTTTTAGACAATTTCTTATAATATAAAAATGCAAGTGGCAATAAATTACAACACATTAAAAAAAAACTTTATTTTCATTATATTGGATGAAAAATGCACAATTAATCTATATAGCAATAGGAATGATGTGCTTTACCAATTACGCTGTCATCCGGACAAATTAAAGGTGAGTTCGACGTAAATTGAGAGAAAAGAACGTATAAGAGGGCTGATTTTTCATTCAAGGGCTTATGAAAATCTTCTGGGCAATAATCCAATGCGGCGGCGAACAAGAACAGTTGAGTTTTGGCTTCAATTAATTCCGGATCGAAATTCTGCAAAAAATACAAATCGATTAATAATTGAAATTAATTTCACCTCTGACTCGGCGTCCGTCTGATTAAATAGTTTATACGAAATGTGAATCGCAAAGAAATCGTGGTAGGCCACTTCAGACACATTTTCGGGAGAGCAGTTCTTCAAAGGAGTGATTGAAAAAAAATACTATTAACGGAATTTTTTGTAATTTTGTTATATATTGATTTTTAATGGACCTATTCATATAGTGGATTTTTTTTAAGCAAAAAATGCAAGCTTGAAAGCCGAGTCGAATATTTTTATTCGCGCGCATAAAATCGTCCGCGTTGCGTATGCGTCGCGGTCGGCGTCGGTTTTATAAAATTGCCCAACTCAATAAAAACAAATCGGTTTTTTTCGCGCTGTTTAGAAATTGAAATAGGGGTTTTTAAAAGTTTTTATGATTTTTTAAAAATTTTTTTCATGATTTTCAAAATGTACGTTTTCGGATATAGAATTTTTTCAATAACTGAGGTTGTAATTTTTACATTTTATTGCAGGAATAGGTCCATAATTAAAAATTTGAAAAAAAAAATACATTTCAAAAGGAAATTCATTGATTTCTTTTCATGACGCGACATCGCACCGTCGAAAAAATTAATAGGCGGGAAATAGAAATGCGAGCGAAAAGCATATTTGAGAAATTGCGTAATTTTGAGGGACTTTTGAAAGAAAAATGAAATGTGTGCAAAATTGTGTCAGTGTGAAAACAGACAAAAACGGGTTGAAACGGTTTTGCTTTTTAGCGCAATATTACGTAGGAATATTTTGCATGCGCCTTTAATGCATTCTGTGCAGTGTGAGGTCTTGTCAAAACAAAAGCGAGATTCTCGCAAGGTCTTGTCTCGAATACAATCTCAAAATATGGACTAGAATTTAAATTGCACGCGCCTTTAATGCATACTGTGGTTTTGCATATGTTTGATACGCAGCCAAATCGTAATGGGGCAATGCTGAAAAATTTTGAAAAATGGAAAAAAAAGGAAAATGCGATGCAGAAAAAAAAAGAATCAAGGATACACGTGTTTTTGGTGGATTCGCATCGAGACCCATCGCATAAAGAAACGGCATGCGTCTTGAACTACCGTAAACGAAAGAATTTCATATAAAAAAATGTAGAATTCCTAAAAATGAAACAGTATGACGCAGACATCTCTTTTTTCTTTTTTCTGAAATGTCCCTTAAATTGTCGTCGAGACCAAATTGTGCAGCTTAGAGGCAAATCAAATAAAATATTTTGAGAATCAAATATTCAATAATAAACTCTAAAAAACAATGAGAAATTCTAAAGTTTATTGACACTTTCTAAAACTTATTGAGAATCGATAAACTTAAAAATGGTTTTTTAAAATCTTTTAAGATTTTCTAAAATTTATTGAGAAAATTCTAAATTATCTCAATAAATTCTAAAATTTTTTAATAATTTCTCTAAAGCTGATTGAGAAAAATCTATAATATTATAGAGACACGTTAATTTTTCTCAATGAATCTCAAAATATTTTATTAGATTTACATGAGTATCTAAAATTTCGAAAATTCCGCCCAAAACTGCGTTTTCACTTGTTGTTTTTTTTTGTTGAAATCCAAAAATTTCAGATTTCTTTGAGAATTAAAACATACCAGCGATTCAATTTGTTCGCATATTTTCGAGTATTGCGACTTCATGCATTCTTTGAAATCCGAGAGTTTGTCGACGAATGGTAGATAATTGACTTCATATAAAATCATTTTCAGCGCAAAGCTGCCAAATATGGCATACTAAATCCGTGCCAATCATTATTTTCAGTGATATACGCGCAAATCCTACCCTGGACGATAACATATTTGAATACGACGGTACCAGATGCTCATTGTCCACAAACAAAATCTATTCAATTCTTTTTTACACGATGCTCAATTGTTTAGAATACTCTTTATGGCTATTCATGTAATGAAAAAAATAAAAAAAATCAATTTTTTTCATTTGAATTCCCTATGCACGCACATCAAAAATTACAAAAAATTAACGCGATATATCGTAATTCTCCGCTATTCAAAGCCGCACGCGAAAAGTTGGCGCGGGTCACGTCGCGAAGTCGGTACTGTATTTTTTATTTTTCATTCTGTGTGCCATTTTTTCGTATTTTTCGAAAACTTTGAAGAGGAAATGAGTAACGGGTTGACGAACGAGGTAAAAGAAACCAATTATTGATATAATTACTCCTAATTCGACAATATAAGTCTATTTTTCGTTAATTAGATACCAATTATCATGAAAAATTGTGATTTTTGTGTTGATTTGATGCAGACTTCGCTCGGTGACGCTTCTGATGAATCTTTAATGTTGATTAAACAATATACTTTTACAGACTTCCAAAAAACGTTTTAAACGCTCAAAAAATAAAAAAAATCGAAAAAAACGGCCATTAAAAAAAATACAGTACCGACTTCGCGACGTGACCCGCGCAACTTTTCTCGTGCGCCTTTGAAAATAAATAGCGGTGAATTACGATATATCGCGTCAATTTTTTGTAATTTTCGACGTGCGTGCATAGGGAATTCAAATGAAATAATGGTTTTTTTTAAATTACTTTTTTCATTGCATGAATAGGTCCATTACATTCTTGTTAGGTAGAAGAAATCTTCTTGATAGGACCCTTTTTAAATTTGTGACTCTTGCACACTATTTTAATGTTTTTATCCGACGTTTCGATCTTTAGATCATCATCAGGGAAAAAATTAAACCCCAAGTCTTTTTAACCCAACCTACCCAAGTTTGAGGTAAATTGACCTTCCCTGATGATGATCTAAAGATCGAAACGTCGGATAAAAATATTGAAATAGTGTGCAAGACTCACAAATTTAAAAAGGGTCCTATCAAGAAGATCTCTTCTACCTAACAATAATCCACTCAAAACAAGTCGCTCCACAACTAAAAAAAGTTCTTACATTCTTATATAACTTGCTATATGACATTTTCGAGACAACATCGCTCAGAGGGAATTCGTCGAATTGTGCCGGCGGCTTCATTTTTTTCAGCGCGTCATGGCAGAATGCGGTGAATTTGAGAATTTGCATCAAATCGCCGTTGAGGACCTCATCATTGATCGGAAATTCTCCAATCCCATCGGCAAACCATTTGAGGCCAATCTCGACGGGCTCGAGAAAATCGCCAATGGTGACCAATTCGAAGCGTTTCAGTCGCTCGATTAATTCGTCGTTCGGCTGAAATTCACATGAATCAATCAATTTTTTTTGGAGTTTGCCATCGAACCGCCATTTGCGAAACGCGATCAAGACATTCTCTGAAGATTTCCTTGGCGATTTTTGGGGTTCCGTAGCGACGAAGAAGCGTGTAATATCGTCGAACATTCAAAAATACTGTTTGAATTGCTTCTAATGAGTTTTCCTGGATTTCAAAAAAAATATTTTTTTTCAAGATTTTTTTTTGGTTCATTTACCGCGAGCTCTTGGAAATCGGCGTGTTCGAGGATGCGAATGGTTGAATTGCATGTCATTTCATGAAAATCCTCAATTTTCTCGTTTTGCTGCACATATTTCTGATACATAAATGAAGATTTTGCGAATATTGGCTTGTATTTTTCGCAGCTGAAAAAAAAACCCCACTTTTCGAAATGCATTTCTATTATTTCAGCAAACTTTTCAGAGACAAATGCGCCCAGCTCGGCATGATCGCTTTCATTTTTGAATTTTACCGAAAACCCCTGAAAGAACGACATTTTTTGTTGCAGCGTCAATTAGCGAAACGGGTGGCCGAGAAAATGACGGCCTAGAAATTGTTAGTCCCCCGGGCGAGAATTTCAACGACGATTCGGAATTGGCTTCCAAACGTTGAAGAAATATTCGAGAATTTCGAACAGTAGCCACAAAAATCGAAATTCTTGACATTATTCGAATTCCTATTGACATTTCGTAGAATTTCTCAAAAAAAAAACTCTTCTTCAAGAGTACATTCAATGCTCTCAAATCAAATGATATCAAAATTGATTTACCACACTTTCAGCAGTAATTGAAGCCAATTCAGTTCGTTCATCATCATCCGAAAGTTCTCTTCTCAATCCATTTATAAAATTATAATCAGGCACGCAGAATCCGCCGTACAAATTGTTGCATACAAAAACATCTCGCCGATTTTTCGTATTTCTAAAATTCGTTTTTGAAAAAAATAGCGCACAAATGAAAAGCCACATTGCATATTTGAAGAAAAAATCCACGGGAAATGCCATAATCATCGTCATTGTTAAGTGGCCTGGTGAATGGTTTCTAATCGTATACGATCGGGTTTGCACGCGGGCGAAAATTTGATGGTCCGCGCCGCCCGTTGCCATACATACAATTTCATTCCAAGTACGCGAAGAGATTGAGAAAATCAATGTGAAAGAAATATAAATATAAAGCACATTCATTAATTTTTAGACCATGAAGACCCCCCCCTTCCATTTTAAGCGCTCTTTTTAGACCCCCGGGTTGAAATTATATCTCCGATGATCATAAATGCAATTAGTGTGAGATAAAGCATGCTCATGTAACGTTTCACTGCTGATAATTCCAAAAATGCTCAATGCTAAACGAATTTGTTCGCGGCCGTCTTATTCTGGCCTAATTTTTTCACGGCCGCCGCATGGAAACTTTCATATACGAAAAAACAGCAATTTAAGAATCGTATACAATCAGATTATAATTATATTTGGTCACACTTGAAGATCAATGCGGCCACTGCCAAATGGGACCAATAGGGGGCCAACTCTTTTTTTATATCGCTGCAGTTCATTGGTCGGTCCCATTTGGCTGGTCCCATTTGGCATTGACCCATTTACCTGGGAAACTTATATTTGCATTATTCTGCAGAACGAATTCCATTTTTTCCACTTAATAACTCAAAATGTCCATTTTACACAAAATATACAAATAGTGTTTCACGCGAGAATTTCAAACAATTTCAAAGAGAATTGATAGTTTAATAATTTATTAAGTTTAGTAGAACGGAACTTCAAAAATCCTTTGCGAATTTCCTGGTCAACGGCCCGTTTTCTCCGTATAATTCACAATGGTCCGCTTTGCTTCGTACCATTCGATCCGTCTTCTTACATTTGAACGCTTTCGCAAATTCGTCTGATTGCGCCATCATCATTAATATGCGGGCGTAATCGCCAGAGTGAACGTCTCTCGTATTTTCCTTCTTTGGATGCACATCACAATAGAAGACGGTCATAGAATAAAAGAACAATTGCTCATCGTCCATTGGTGCTCCATAACCAAAGTACGTCTGAAACAATACTAATTTTTCAAGTATATTTATTCTTTTTAAACCTTCCTCTGTTCCATATGTTTCGCTTTTTGAAACAAACGATAAATTAGGCGAAATCCCATCAAATCGGCCGCGTCTTCTTCAAACGTTCGATTCGTCGTCGAGCATTTCTGAATGAATCAATATTGAATCGATCAACTCTGATTTTTGAATTTCAGAATACCGCTTCTGGAAACATTTGGCATGTCTTCGAATGCTGACTCAGAATACAATGCGCATTCTTCGTCGAATAATTCTTCAGTGGCGACACATCGTCTTCTTCGAAAACGAATGAATGCATAATCTCATGAGCCAATATGAAACCAATTGAGCCATACTAAATCAATTGTGATTTTGTGTTCAATTCATATCGAACATCATACTCTCGTCGCAATATTCTTCAAATATGATAACTGCAAAATGGATGTATCGCCAATCACATAACGCTTAAAAAAAAGGAATACGATGAAATATAGTCCAAATTGCTCCAATTTTCTGGCTCTATTCGAACCAGGGCTGTGCGGTCAATCAGAAATTTTCGAAAATACCCGAAAATAAAAATTTCGGCTATTTAATTTTTTCAACGATAATTCGAAATATAAATACCGATTTTTCACAGAATCCCAAATTATTCAATAGACATTCCCTCTTGTTTCGTCGATTTATTTTTCCGACATCAAATGGCCGAAAATAAAAATTTCGGCAATTCCATTGCCGCGCAGCGCTGATTCGGACTAAAGAATAGAGCGAATTGTTCCCAGCACGACTGTGGATTCTGTTAGCGGTCTACAGTAGTAAGGAATTCATGCGAGCAGGCGAATATTCGAATAGAGAAGCCTCTCGGCTCGCTTTTCACCCCGCGGCCGCAAATTATTCGGCCACGTCGCATTTCACGTCCGCCATTTTTTCGAAATTTTTTATTTATTAGCTAAATTTTTCACATTTTTTTTTCGACGATTCCTTTTAAAAATGCATCGAGTATGTCTTTAATAATACTAAAAAACTCAAAATTTTAGGTGAAATCAAAAAATTGCGAACAAAAAAATCGATGCGTACGGCTGTTTTTAAATTTACGCCACGCTGTTTCGTTGTGCATTGTCCATGTGGAGTACACAACGCGCGTCTCGTCGTTTCGACACCATTTTTGGCATTCAGCCAATTTGTCGATTTCGACAATACCCAAATTTGAAACTTACATCATTATAATTTGCATGGTTGATCAAATTTCCATTAAAAAACTCAATTAAATTCTTCACAAAATTTTCTTGCTTCCCAAAACGATATTTGGCCATGAATCCGATGTTAATAAACTCAATGATTTCATGCCGTTTGATAGCGCGATTCTTGAATTTTTCGTGTTTCGGAATCAATTCTCTCAAGCGTTTTTCAATAATTTCTTTTGCATTGCCAAATGTATAATATTGCATGATTTCCAATTGTTTCTTGTATTTTTCCATTGCGTTGTAGGTTTTGATCCAAGGCGTCTCCTGAAGTATTCGATGTCGTCAAAATCGTGTTCTCTATTGATGCCACCTCGAGAACGATGTCCATTTCTCTTCGGAGGTCTTCAAATATATGCGCCGCATTCGTTGGTGATCCATAGAGTCTTTGAAGCGTATAATGTCGCCGAAGATTGAAGAAAAGATAAGAAAAATATAGGTTTGAGGTTTTCTAAAGAAAAAACCGATTTTGCTGAAATCAAATTTGATCCATCAATCTTCGATTACCGCAATATCATTCATCGTCGCATTGTTTAAAACGCCGACAAGATCATAACAATCGACTGACGAATTTGCAAATCTTTTATTTTTCATATCTACATGATAAATAATTGCCGCTCTGACGAAACTATCCATATCATTGTTGCATCTACAAATAAAGAAATAATGACATTTCATTTTAATAATCCTTACAATTCCATTAGTTCATCATAAGAATAGTCATCGGTGCTTTCAAATTCCAATGGAAACAGCTAAAAATAATTTATTGTTAAATTTCTGTAAAGCATTCATCATAATTATGTCAAAATCTTGATGTCTGAACCAAGTTCCAATTCGTTGACTATATACCTCGTAGCTTAAATTACCGATTTTTGTGTTTTTGTCATCATCGCTCATATCAAAAATTAATTTCTCATAAAGTGAATAGACATATTCTGGCGGGCAAACATGCGCATAGAAATCATCGCACGGATCTATCGAGTGGTTAACATAGCTGGAAATCATCAGCTTATCGCTCGAATGCCTCCATCTCATTATACTTACCTCATCAGATGTTGCATTACAATATCATAAGTGAGATGAGATTTCGGGATAATTCCATTCGATATTGGATTGACATGAATACCAGCTAATAGTAGAATTATTCGATACATTCCATTTATAGTAATGATTATTCACCTCATTCATTTTTTTCGCGTGAGTTTGATAGTAATCAAAAAAGAAAACAGTATTGTTGTGGATTCTCTCATCCAAATACTTTTTTTCCTGGCGATGAGGGTTACGTGGTCCAATGAGGCTAAAATTTAATGCTGAAAAAGCTAATATTGTGAACTGCACAGTTTAGTCCCTTTTGGACATCAGCCGTGCCGTCCGTTTCCCGACTCATTTCCTTATTCATGATTTTAGTTAATACCAACAATCACCAACGGAATAGTTTATTGAGAATAAGTGAATGAGTACAATATGAATATTTGGTGGACCATTGTGGTGTTTCTCAGCTTCCAACCTCCTCGCTCGCTTCGAGAGCATCTCTTAAATATAAAGTGAGAGTCAGATAACTATCAGATATTACTTCTCCCGCTCGGAGGATTGAATCTATAGCTCATTCCGGTCGCCGATTGATCTGACACACATGATTCATTTACAGAAAATTCCAGAAAGCTTTCCAATTTATGGTAGTTGTGAAAAAATCCCTTTTTTGCGGAAATTAAATTTTAAAATCCTCACTCTAAAGAGTCTGACTGAATGGTTTTACAAGTTTTTTTTTTATGAAACTAACGGAGACTACTAACAACATCAAACAATACGTATCATTTGGGAGTGCCAGACCATTACTTTGCGGACGATAGACTGGTGTTCTGATGTGCTCTATTCCATTTTCCTGGCACATCCGAGTAAATAACTCTAAAACAAACTGGGTTCTATTGTCTGATACTATTCTATCCGGCAATCCATTTCGAGCAAACATTTGTTTCAGCCATGAGACTGTCGAGGACGCTGAAATCGACTTGGTGATCGATACCTCTGGCCATTTTGTTAACACGTCTACCAGATACCAAACTTCATTGTCTGGTCCTGCAAAATCTATGTTAATTGGGCTCCACGCTCGATTTAGCCATGGTTCCAATGACACGTTCATCGATGTCTTCTGATTCTCCTGACATTTGTTTACCGTTTCGGTGCATGCTTGATCGATATAATACGCATACCAATATACGCATGTTCGTGCTAGTTGCTTCATAATTTCGATGCCTGGATGATTCTCATGAAGTTGTTTTAATACCTGATTACGCAACGATTCTGCGATTACAACTAAGTGTTTCCATAACAGACATCCTTCCGCGACTGCGATATCTCCTTTTCTCGCGATGAACGGTTTTATCGTTGCATCGCCTTGGTTACTTTTTGGCCAATTATTTGATTTCCAGTATTTGAAGTTTGTTATCAATACGCCATCCGTGGCTGTCGCTTCCTGAATATCGGACACTGTTAATGGTAATTTTCTTACCCCTTTCCGCCAAATAATCCACATGTAACACCTTGACTTCGGCGATTACGACGTCTTTGTCCAGAATTGGTGCGCTTTGCATCATCTTAGATAATCCATCCGCTTGTCCGAACCTGTCCGTTTTTGGCGTCTGTTCGGTTGTTCTTTTTTCCATATATTGCATAAAACTTTCCATATATTTCATTTTAAAAAATGCATAATTTCGTCGGTGGGGCGATCTAAGTCTCCAATGAAAACGAAAACTTTCTAGTCTTCTACGCTCAACTCATCTAGCCCGGTCCTTAACTCATTCACCCAGTTTGTATATTCTGTGGGTGATTCTTGCAAATTTTGCCATTTCTCCACCCTTTAGTACTTCTGGAAAAGCACCAAGAGGTAGTCCATCATGACAAAATCTCCGTCCCTTTCGGAACCTTCTTCGGTGGATCGGAAGAGGTTTCAGATCCCTGAGCCTTCATTGTCGAAGCTGGACTCTGGGCATCATCATTAACCCGCCCGAGTCTCTCGCTCGTGCAAAATTCTTGTCTAGGCAAACCGAGATTGAAATCGACCTCTCGGGAGGCAAAGGTTTCTTCTGTTTAAGAAAAAAACCGGCTCGAACAGTCCCTTACTGCTGGATGGACAAAAACACGAAAAGACCGACCCTTGAATGTTAACTCCCGTTCGTAGCATGGCTCGGATAGTTTCTTCAATAGGAGTTGGCGGCCAGATCGAAGTAGAATGTTGGGATCCTTTCCGCTAGTGCTTCAATGATGGGAACCTCACTTACCGCTATTTTTCCACATTTGTTGGTTATGCTGGACTTCCTGATAATCGTTCCATCAATTCCGCAAACTTTGCTGTTTGCGTCCTCCCTTCTTCCGCTTGTATCTGCGCCAACTTCATTTGCTCTTGAAGCATCTATCATTTTCCACATTGCTGTCTCTTTATTGTCTTCCATTGTCACGAATTTCCCTTTTTAGTTCTTGAATCTGGTCGTCACTGTTGTAAAGTCGATTTCGTTACATTGAGTATTTATCGCAAATATAATTTCGACAACAATATGCAGAAGAGCGAAATATGGAATAAAAAAATATATAAATGCAAGAACAAAACAGCAGGTTTTTTGGGAAAAAAATAATCAACTCGACAACTAATGCGCGTCAATCATAGTGTGTGTGTGTGCGTGTGTGTGCGTGTATGCACCGTGATTTGTACCGTAACCGCAGGATTTAAATGGCTGAGATTAAGTTGCTATTTTTTCTGCTCCTTGCAACATTTCCTAACCCTGAAAACAAACTCAAAATGATTATGGGAATTAGAATCATTATGTAATTAAAAACATTTAATAGAGAAACATTCGTAATTCAATATTTTATTAAGAACGAAAATCCTTTGCGAATTTCCTTGTCAACGGCCCGTTTTCTCCGTATAATTCACAATGGTCCGCTTTGCTTCGTACCATCCGATCCGTCTTCTTACATTTGAACGCTTTCGCAAATTCGTCTGATTGCGCCAGCATCATTAATATGCGGGCGTATATGCCCGAGTGAACGTCTTTCGTATTTTCCTTCTTTGGATGCTCACGACAACTCGCGATTGCCATGGAGTAAAAGAACAATTTCTCATTATCAATTGGTTCTCCATATCCGAAATATGTCTGTAACTCGAAATTTTTGGTTTTTTTCCCTCTTCTAAAGTTTACACGAGGGCGAATATCTGGTTTTAATAACGTAGAAAGTAACCCCCCCCCCCCTTTCTCCCATTTAGACCCCCCGGGTTGAAATTATATCTCCGATGATCATAAATGCAATTAGTGTGAGATAAAGAATGCTCACATAAACTTTCAAAGCTGATAATTCCGAAAATGCTCAATGCTAAACGAATTTGTTCGCGGACGTGTTATTCTGGCCTAATTTTTTTACGGCCGCCCGTCTCTCTATTAATTGTTAAACCAATACCTTCCTCTGTTCCATATGTTTCGCTTTTTGAAACAACCGATAAATTAGGCGAAATCCCATCAAATCGGCCGCGTCTTCTTCAAACGTTCGATTCGTCGTCGAGCATTTCTGAATGAATCAATATTGAATCGATCGACTCCGGTTTTGAATTTCAGAATACCGCTTCTGGAAACATTTGGCATGTCTTCGAATGCTGACTCAGAATACAATGCGCATTCTTCGTCGAATAATTCTTCAGTGGCGATCTATCGTCTTCATCGAAAACGAATGAATGCATAATCTCATGAGCCAATATGAAACCAAATGTGCCATACTAAATCAATTGTGATTTTGTGTTCAATTCATATCGAACATCATACTCTCGTCGCAATATTCTTCAAATATGATAACAGCAAAATGGATGTATCGCCAACTATAAAATCCTTCAAAAACCAAATTTAAAAAAATTTAATTTATACAAATTTTGATGCTGTTTTACATTCGCAAAAAAACGAACAACCTGTGTAGATGTACGGTGAGTTTGATTGGCAGGCTATGCTTAATATGGTACCAGGGCTGTGCGGCAATGGAATTGTCGATTGCCGAAATTGCCGAATTGCCGAATTGCCGAAATTTCCGATTGCCGCACAGCCCTGTATGGTACCCAAATGCCCACTATTTTAATTCGAATTTGAATCGGCACCTCGAAAGTGCGATGGTCCACAATTATTCAAGGTGTGAACCGGGTGGTTTTTTCGATAATATTATGTAATATAATTGTAATAATGTAATATTATTGTGAGGAAAATTGACTAAATGCCAAAAAAGCAATGGCAGTGGTCTTGGCGCAAAACGAAAAGTGTAGATTTACGGGCCTATTCATAAGGATAGGTTAAAGGTCCGTGACCCTTTTTTTCAACAGCCCGTGTGACGTCATCGCAAAAATAAGAGACTCTTGCATAATTGTGGACCATCGCACTTCTCTAAGGCGGTAATTCAAATTTGAATTCAAACTGTATCAATCCGTGCGAGCCATGCCCCAATTCACTACTTATCTAACACAGCTCGCCGCAACTCACGCGCGGCCTAGTAAAAATTGTCCTCGGCCACGACCACGACCACACTTGATGGGTTGGTTAATTAAATTAACTTAATTTAATTAAGTAATAGAACTAAATGAATACGTATATATTTGGCGTGTTTAGAATTTTAAAAACCAAATATCAAAAGAAAATTCAAATCTTTGTGGAACTAAAAAAAAAAAATCGCGACTAAGAATAATTTCAGAAATTAGCCTGTGATAGTGTGCGTCACTTGCAGTTTTTCTCAGAATCTGTGTGCCGCATTTGCATTTTTCCTTTTTGAAATTGTCGACTATTGCTTCTAGACGGCACTTGAGTTGTGGCGAGCCATTCCAACTCGCAAATTTCACCGCGCCCGTAAATCAACACCGGCCGCCTTCCGTTTAATTGTTTGACACAGCTCTTACTTGATAATTAACATGGTTGGAAAGTTCTAAAAGATAGAATTGATAGATGGAAATTAGACGATTATCCGAGATATTCGAAAGGAACATCGCATCATATCCCAATGCAATGAATTGAGTGATATTGTTTCGTTTAATTTCGTTTTCGGTGAATTTTTTCAATTCGGGAAGCGCCTTTTTCAACTGTTTTTCGACAGCTTCTTTCGAATATCCCAATGTATAATATTGCATGATTTCCAATTGTTTCTTGTATTTTTCCATTGCGTTGTAGGTTTTGATCCAAGGCGTCTCCTGAAGTATTCGATGTCGTCAGAATCGTGCTCTCTATTGATGCCACCTCGAGAATGACGTCCAATTCTTTTCGGAGGTCTTCAAACAGTTGATCCGCCTTAGTAGGCGATCCATAAATTCGTTGAATTGTACGGTGTCGACGGAGATGTTTGTAAATATTGCGGAAAAACGAGAAAGAGGTCTCCTGAGACGAAATGCAGATTATTTTGATTTTTTTTTCTTTTACCGCAATATATTCCATACGAATCTCATTCAACATCGGCGCCATTATGGTGCAATTATCGCTAAACTCGATTCGGGTGTAGTTGTTTTCAACAAAATATCTCGAAATCACAATTGTCTTCAAAAAACTCTCCAAATCCTGGTTGCATCTCAAAAAAATCAAAATTGTTGTGAGTCGAATTGAATAATCCTACAATTCGACGAGGTCCTTTTCAGAATAACGCTCAAAGTCTTCAAATTGCAAATCGGAGAGCTGAAATTGAGTTGTTTGTTCTTTTTCTCGTTTTGAAACAGAGGACGTTGCCCGAAAATATCGTCAGCTACTAATATAGTCGCGACTGTTTGTACGCGGGTAGATTTACGGGGGCATGCGTCTTTCTCTTGGTCTCGCGCGGACTAAATTTCATGCATTTTTTGGGGCGACTCGATATGGTTGGAAATTCAAAGAAATTCCAAATTCATCTTGAAAAAAAAAAACGAATTGTTCGTGTGAAAACAACGAAAAAAGCTTTCACGTGTGGTGAGACCAATTCGGAAGGCGAAACCCCGTAAATCTACCCGCGTCGTGAAGTTGCCGGACCCTGACTATCTTAATTTCAGGCTTGAGTCATTTTTGTCACATTATCAATCTTCATCAATTATTAACAAAATTTTAAATCCAAACTATTATAATCGCAAAAAAAAACGCTTATTTCCAATGATTTCTTTACAGGAATAATTGTTTTTTTTTCTTATTCGAATTTTAAAAAACCATTTAAATCATTTTTCAAAACCCAATTTCTATTTATAAGCAGCAAAGAAAATGTCTACGCAATTTTTTTTTCAAACGACGCCGACCGCAACGCACACGCAACGCGGACGATTCTTGGCCGGAACTTAGAAACGACAATATTAAAGAAAAAAAGACAAGCTTGTTGTTGAAAATTCAATGCAAGATAATTTGAATAAATGGTGTTTAATTATTACCACATCGCTTTCATTAACATAATCGAGTTCGGTATACGAATTGGCAAATTGAAAGGCTTCATCCAAATTGACGTAAAAGTTGACATCTTCTGGCGGGCAAACATGCGCATAGAAATCATCGCACGGATCTATCGAGTGGTTAACATAGCTGGAAATCATCAGCGAATCGCTGGAATGCCTCCATCTTACCTCATCAGATGTTGCATTACAATATCATAAGTGAGATGAGATTTCGGGATAATTCCATTCGATATTGGATTGACATGAATACCAGCTAATAGTAGAATTATTCGATACATTCCATTTATAGTAATGATTATTTGAATTTTCCGAAAACGGAACACGGCAGAAAAAATGTTAGCAGATATAAAAATCAATTTATTTAAAATTAATCGAAACGTCCGAAGATTATTTGGCCTCACGTTATCACAACAACGTAAACAAGATCTTCATCGAGAGGACATCCGCATCATGTCTGAAGTTCGGGACCCCCTACACCACATCACGAAGAGGAAGATGACCTGGGCTGGACACGTTGCTAGACGAACAGATGGAAGATGGACTACTCTTCTAACGGAGTGGCGGCCGTGGAATTGGACCCGGCCAAGAGGAAGGCCTCCCATGAGATGGTCGGACTCGCTTCGGAAGGAGATCACTACAAGAACAGCTGAAGGAGCCGTTATCACCCCCTGGTCCACCCAAGCCAAGGACCGAAAAGCTTGGAAAGCTGTGGTTCGCGCCTCAACAGGCGAACGACGAACCGACTAAGTGACTATGTAAGAATTGGATTGACATGAATACCAGCTAATAGTAGAATTACTCGATACATTCCATTTATAGTAATGATTATTTGAATTTTCCGAAAACGGAACATAACAGAAAAAATTTTAGCAGATAAAAAAATCAATTTATTTAAAATTAATCGAAACCAAATACTTTATTGTGTAATGCTAATTACGGACTACGATAGAGAGAGAGAGAGAGAGAGAGAGTGCTGGAAATTCTCAAAATGTTGAAAAAATCTATTCGAAACAATTTGAAGAATGCATTTATTTCTTTATTCACCAATAAAATATAAGAAGAAAGAAGGGTTACAACAAAAATGAACATTTTTGGAGGATGGGGAATAAAAAAAAATGAAGAGGCAAAGAAGAGACCTGACAATGAAGAAAGCGGACCAGTTAAACAAATCGTCAAACTCGATTTGCTTTTTTTTTTTTGAAACTGCTTATATGGGTCCAATACTATAATGTGAAACTAGATTTTAAAAATTTTATTTCAATTTGCCTGCGAAAAAAAATAATCGAATTTAAGTAGTATTTTTAAGGGCAAAAATAAGACTATTGAAGAACAAGATTGAACTCGTCACGGCCGTGGAATTGGACAAGAGGAAGGAACGCCTCCTATGAGATGGTTGGAATCGCTTCGGAGGAATATCAGATCGGAGTCCATCAAAGCTAACAACGGAGGTCTTTTTGCAATCCGTCTGCCTCTGCAGAAAATTAAAAAAAAATTAAGACGAACTTCAAAATGACTTCCCTTGTAAGTGTTTCATCTTTGATCATCTCATCTGATCGCCATCAGAGCTGCACGGCCTTCCGTGTTCCGTTTTTAGAAAATTTAAGTTCCGTGCAGCTCTGATCGCCATCCCATCAAGTAGATGTGGACAAACCTGATCGAATGCTCATAAAAAAGTTAATTTAGAAAATGCGCGGAACGAAAAATTGAATATAGAAGATCCTTGTTTCAGGCGGTTTTGGGAGGCTTTAAAGGGTTCCAAAGATGATGCACTACGTTATAAATTAAAAAGCAAATTAGACTAGTTTCGATTGCAAAATTATATATAATTCATGAATGCATTATCTACAGTATTCTAATCTACGAAATAGCGTGCACAATCGAGAGAGAGAGAGAGAGAGAGAGAGTGCGCAATGGAGGAGACGCAGATGCTTCATCTAAAATTTAAAAATGAATTTCTAGAAACATCCGCAACCTTGTTTGAAAAGCTTGGTATACCGTAGTTCGTGTCTCGATGAGAGATGAGGTGAAAGTGCTCTGAATAAGTGGAGTATAAAATCAGCCGGCATTATTCAAAATTTTTTTGCCGATTCCTGAAATGATGTCTTTATTTCAACATCAACGCGAGAATCAACAAATCGAATTTTGGAAAACAAAAAAAAAACGCTCGTTCCTCATTTTTTTCTTCTTCTTCTTCTCAACACCTTCTAATTGCAGTTTTTGTCGCCGTGACAACGTTTTTCTTTTTTCTCACACTTTCACCCACATGATTTCAAAAACAAAACAAAAAAGCAAAGGCTTCTCTGCCATATATGGGGGGGGCGGATATATATGAGTAAGTCGGATCAAAGTTCACTTTATTCATTTTCATTCATTCGTTTTGTGCTCGAAATTTGCGAATAGGGCGCACAGAAAAAACGGAAATTAAAAATTGGATATCACGCCAAAAAAAATCAACAACGTTTAGCGGTGGCATTTCGCTCATTTTTTGTGTTGGAAAATGTTTGTATGAGCTGTTTCGATTTATCCAAATTCGGGTGAGTTGGTTGTGCCACAGATTTTGAGCTCGAAAATATGTGCAATAAACTACTTGAGCTTCATAAAAATTGCAATAAAACGTGCACATAAATTGGTTTTTTTTTCTTGTTTTTTCATTTAATAATTTAGCAAAAAAAATTGAAAACGATTTTTTGAACTTTTTATCCTTGGTTGTCCCCGTTTTGTTTTTGATTATTGAATCTGAAATTTTCTGAAACAGAATATAATTTTATAGTGTGCCAACCGGAATTGGTCCAACTAATTAATTGCAATTGACTTAATTGGACACTTGAATCAATTATTTCATTTTTTTTAATTTCGCGATTTTTTAAATTGAAATTCCTTATATTCGAACATCAATAAAAAATTTTGAATTTAAAATTCAAAATTGACATTTCCAGTAACTCAACTGCTCCATTTCGCCTGTAATTCTAGATCAAATCCCAAAACCATGGAAACATGCTTCAATTTAAGTCCCCATAGATCATTTAGACCCCCATATATTATGTAGATCTCCACAACCAAGAAAATGCCGCCACATTCTTTATAGGGGTCCAATTTTTGGCAGACCTATTTTTGACTGTCTGGAATTTTAGCCGAAATTCGAATATACATAGAAAGAAATTTTTTATTTAAAAATGGTCTCAAAAAGCAAAAAGCGAAATCAACGTCTTTCAAGACAATTTGAGGAGTTTTCCGAAATCTATTTTTGAAGCGATAATTAAAGGGGCCGCGTCAAATGGTCTCAACACGATTTCGAATTTTTCGAATTTTATGCGCTTTTTTGGGTCCTCTAGATTCGAAGACTATCGAAAAAATGAAATTTTCTTTTTTTTTACATTTTGCATAGCAAAAATTTTTTCGATTATTTGTGTCATCGTGAAGCTTAAAACGTCGGAGCCGATTTACCGACGATATTAAAACGGCGATAAAATTTGCCCATAAATGTCGTTGCATTTTTTTTACTTCGAATATTCCAAAAAAAAAAAAATTTTTCATGTTTGGCCGCGATTTTTCAATTAAATCTGGCTGTCAATGACCTTCTTGGCACACAGATTTCAATGCCATATTTGGTATTGTCAAATTTTGTTTCCAGAATATCATCATCTATCAACGCGTGTGTGCCAAATTGTCGAAAATCTTTCAAATCAGGTACAATAATAATAATAATAATAATAATAATAATAATAATAATAATAATAATAATAATAATAATAATAAATATCCTCGTAATCCTCTCATTTTTCAGTTTTTGCTCAACATGCGGCGAAAACGTGCCGCAATATTGGTCTTCTATTCAAGCATATCAATATTTTGTTTGTTTCTTTTGGCGAGAGACATCGAGTTTAAAGTTTCATTCGAACCCCGAATGCACTCAAATCTCGTTTTTTCTTTAAAGGATGATCGCGTCGAGAAATGGGAAATCGTTGACGAAATTCCCGACGAATGCAAATGTCGATCGAATATGACTGGAAAAATTCACAATTTCTGCTATTCGCTTCCGGAAGTTGATGCGACGCGTCAATATTTGAATCTGAAAATTTCAACAATTGCAGAATCCGCGAACACGTGGCAAACCGTTCGATTGCAAATGGGTGTCGGAAATTGAACAAATTGGTATCAATGAAGACCGAATTTCTTCTGAATTTGTATTTTTTTTTAATGTCTTCTTCAGACGCCATCCATCGGGGAAATTATATCGATTTGAAGACTCAGAATATTAGCGAACCGGTGTTTGTCACCGCATTTTCGGTGAAATTCGAGAAAAATGGGAGACGAGTGGTTCGTCGGACGAATCTGGAAAGAAATAAATGAAACGAAACTAATGATTTTCAGATTCATTCGATTCGGAAACTCGGGTTTAGGAATAAAATTATTGTCTATAATTTGGGCATCTCAGAGAAGGAAATGAAGCTTTTGAAGGTGAGATTTCAATTTAAAGGAGGAGAAAGGGGCGGGACGGCTTTCTTATGTGCCATAAAACAATTCGTTTGCCTAGTGATTTATACTTGGTTAATTAAAAAAATTAACTTGGTTAATTAAACCGAATAATAAAAAGAAACGAAGCGGTTATATTATGGGCCAAAATAATTAATACAACAATATGACGCGGCGATGAGCAAGATAGTAAATTTCTAGGCGAAAACACATGTATTCCTGCGGGGGAGAAATAGTCATGATCACATAAAAATGATTTTATGGAATTAAAAAGGGAAAATTGGATGGGCGGCGCAAAACAATCGATTATTTATTCATCCGTGTGGAGTACACCGGTCCGAGTTGACCACGGCCATTTGCAAGTCGGCCACGGCCACTTCCGGTTGTGCCAAGTGTAAGGGACCTATTCATGCAATGAAAAAAAAAATAAAACAAATCAATTTTTTTCATTTGAATTCCCTATGCACGCACGTCGAAAATTACAAAAATTTGACGCGATATATCGTAATTCTCCGCTATTTATATATTAAAGGCGCACGCGAAAAGTTGGCGCGGGTCTCGTCGCGAAGTCGGTACTGTATTATTTTATTTTTCATTCTGTGTGCCATTTTTTCGTATTTTTCGAAAACTTTGAAGAGGAAATGATTAACAGATGGAAGAACGAGGTAAAAAAAAACCAATTATTGATATAATTACTCCTAATTCGACAATATATGTCTACTTTTCGTCATTTAGATGTCAATTATTATGTGAAATTGTGATATTTGTGTTGATTTGATTCAGACTTCGCTCGGTGACGCTTCTGATGAATCTTTAATGTTGATTAAACAAAATATTTTTACAGATTTCAAATAAGACGATTTAAACGCTCAAAGAATAAAAATCGAAAAAAAAACAGCCATTAAAAAATTACAGTACCGACTTCGCGACGTGACCCGCGCAACTTTTCGCGTGCGCCTTTGAAAATAAATAGCGGAGAATTACGATATATCGCGTCAATTTTTTGTAATTTTTGACGTGCTTGCATAGGGAATTCAAATGAAAAAAATTGATTTTTTTTTATTTTTTTCATTGCATGAATAGTCCCAACATCAACACATTTGAGAATTGTAGCGCATGGTCTGCAATTATTTTAATGTTGCTTACTATCGATAATTTTTGGTTTTTTTTGCGGAATTCTCTCATTTATGGGAATTCGTACTTCAATTTTCGATTTTTCGACTCAACCACATATTGAAGTAATGGAAAAAAACCGTAAATAATTTTGCGGACTTGTGCATTTTATTTGACGACAATACACGTGTTCTTGACATCGCAATAGTTTTCTCAAAAATAGAATAACCTAGAATTTCCCATATTTTTTGATTTTCTATAAAAATAAATATTACAATAGCATAAATCAACGAACGCCTTTGTGCTGATTTACGGTTAGTTTGATTCGCAGGTTGTTCATTGGGCAAAGTCCTGCAGCGAAAAAATCCTACTAGCCGCTTTTATTTGGGAAGGCTTAAAAAATTGCGTTTAATCGTTTGACGACGACAATAATAGATTTTCGCACAAATGAGAACGTTTTACGATAGAACACGGGGCGGTCGTACGTGTGGAGTGTCGTCGCATTTTCAATACTTTTTGTTTCAGCGTGGTTGCAATGTTGAAGTTCGCCACTTTCCATTTGAAAAATATCCGCGGACCTTTAAAAGCTTGTCGTTTTTCAAATGGAAACCAATTATTATTGCCGTAAGCAATTTTCAATTCAACGCAATTAATTCCGAATTTCGCTATTTCAGCAAACGACGGCCGAATTTGGCGCAGTTTGGTACATGGACACTTCGGTGATTTTGACGAAAAATGACACATCCCATGTGTTATCGCTTCTCACTTGCCATCAAAATGTGCATTCTCCGTGAGCGCTTGCCCTCATAATTGGTATTTGGAGATTTAGGCCAACAATTCCGCCAAGTGAATATCGCGATCGTAGGGAGAGAACGCGAAAACATGAAGACGGATGGGATATCAACGTGTGGGAGGAAAATCGTCGAGAATGTGCAAAAGTGCGTCTTAAAATTTGACAGCCAGCAAGAAAAGGCTAGCTAGTCTGCGTTTCGGCGTAGAATTCAGCGGTGGTCCGCAGTTCACAATGACGCAGTTTTGCACAGCTGACTCAAAAGCGGCTATCTATGTCGTCAGGCGCATTATTTTTTTAGATTTTTTTCGTAAAAGCGTAATTTTGTGATCTTTAGTTGCCGTAAGCTGGTTTCGGTTATTCAATAATGCATTAAGTATCTTCACCTTCAGAAATCGGTGAAGAAAAATGCGAAAAAATTGGGAAGAATAAATTTTTTAAGCCGCACCTCAAGATTTGACCCGCTTTTTTGTTAGGAACCGACTATATTTTATTTTTTTGAACCGAAAAACAATTTGAATTGAAGATATTCAAAAGAGACTGACAAATTTCAGAGTTCCTATCTTCTCCACGGCTACAGCGGTCATGGGATTTTCTCGGCAACACATCCAAAAGTGTTTGACTATTTTCCAACCAATTTCGACGAAATAAAAAAGGAAAAAGCGAAAATGTATGAAGCGGGATTCGTTTTTTCGGTGAGAACCGAAGACACAATGCAAAATATTCTCAAATGGTAATTTTTGAGCCAAAATTTCAAATTATTTCCTTCTTTTTTTGAAAGGTATGTCCTTTGTGCCTTAACCGACGAGTGTATGAATCCAATTGGTTCGAAGCATTTATGCCTTTTTAAAAACGATCGATTCTCGCAATCCGCCAATTGTCATAGGTTAGCCAAAAGTTGTTTCAGACAATTATCCAATTATTTCAGATATGACCAATCAATTATAAATATTGTTTTGGCCAATAAATTCGGATACGATCGGCATTATTATTCCAGCGAAATTGTCGATTTCTTTGAAATTAAACGAGAACTTTCAATGCAAACGTATAGTATCGAATGCGTTTCTAACTCAAATTAATTATTTTTTTGTTATTGTTGAAATCGCTACGGGATAGACTTCTATAAATATCGAATTTCCTCATATTCGTTCAAAATCGCATTTATATCAAATCAACAATGACTGGGAGCAACAGAAAAAAAGGCACATACGTAACAAATCTATTCGCTAGAATATCCTACAAAACAAAACAAAAACACACAGTAATACTAAATGAAAAATGAAGAAAGGGTCCTAGAGATCTCGTTGATGGTCCCGTCGTTTAATGCGTTTTCGGTTTCACATTTCTCGGCATCATCGGAAGCGGCGAGATTCGGCGAAGGCTGTTCATGTAGACGAATCGGCTGAACACGATGAACAGCGCTCGGAACCAGACGAACTGCGATCGATGGGCGAGCATTGCTGCCCAACAGGCGCCGACGTCTCGGAATCGCGCGAAATAGAAGAATGGGGACCGTCCGAACGAGAATAGCGCATCAAAAAGGCCAATATATCTGGAAATCATACATCGCTATGGTGATTCTCAAAAACGCATCTCACTTTCGAAACAGCGGAATCGAATCAAGAACGAATATCTGAACATCGCTGGGCACGACGCCGTTGCTATAAGCGATTTGGAGCGCTTCGAAGCAACTGATATGATTCTTGTGGCCCGAAACGCCGTAGTTGTCGAAGGATATGATTGCATCCACCGCGAGAACCTGAAAATCGAGAATAATTACAAATAAATGGCCTTAAGTTTCTGCAAAAATTATTTTTTTACGATTATGGTTAAAAAAATCAAAAAAAAAATTTGAACTTGAATGACAATTTTGTTTCAAAAACGAACAAAAAAAATTATAAAAGCCCAGAAAATCGAAACTATTTAAGAAAAGCTAAAAAAAAATACCTCAACATGACGCATGACGACATAACTAAGATTCTGGCGATTCCAATTATCGCCATCGGCGAATTCGTCATAGTCCAGACATGTCAGATCGCTGGCAGAGATGCCGAGACGAGACACCGCCAAACATAATTCGCGCGATCTAATGGATCCCTGAAAATTGGGATCTTGAAGGGCACGAACTAGACGAAATGCAACCTTTCCGTAGAAATTTCCATTCGAAACGCACAAAGTGAACACCCGATGGCCCGATTGCAATAGGGCGCGAATTGTCGGCGCAAAAAACATCGTCTCGTCATCAGGATGCGCGATGAGCAGCAGGACACGACTAGAGGGACTCAACGGCAGCGGACGAGAGCGGACGGCGAAAAACAATAAAACAACAAAAAACAATATTGCGATCAAGGCGATCACTGAAAGCATTGTGGATCTGAAATTTTTCAAAGTTTCCTTTTTGCTAACACCCTTTTTATTATAGTTTGTTTCTGACGAAAAAAAAAACAAATAAACGGCTATCAGAATCAATCGTCATGAGACCCAACTCTAATAAATGAATGATGGCGTAGTAGTGATCGAATTTTATAACTTCTTTTTTTTCGGAAGTTTTTTTGTCCCGGGTTTCAAAATGAGAGAATTTCAAAAAAATTTGTGAGGGAGCATAATTGATATCAAAACTTCATTAAAGGCGCACAACGCGAAATTAGTTGAATTTCGTGGCGAGAGATTCTGACAGTCGCTTTAATTTCAAAAAAAAAAGACGCGATATTGAAACTTCGATTCGAAAACCGTCAGTTTTGACAATTTTCCGAAATTTTGGTGGTCAAATTCAGAATTAAAATTTACAAAAATTGAATAGATTAAAAAAAGAGCTAAAATTGCAAAAATGCAATATTTTTTTTAATTAAAAAATTTGAACATCTATTTTTTTCTTGGAAAAATCAGTGAATTTCAAAAACGTACATAATAATGAACGACTATTCGTCTTTTTTCTGTTCGCCTTCAGCTGTTTCGCCTTCAACACCCGTTTTCGTTTCAATACTCCGCAAAAACTTCTCGAATGTCAGCGAATTGGCGCTCTGTGGTAGTCGAAGCGAGTCGCCGAACGCGTTTTTCATCGCCGCGCCGAATTGGCGCGGCGTGTTCACCTGGAGGATCGCCGAAGCGGCGACGATCAGCAGCGAGAAGCCCGAGACGGTGATGACGGTGGCGACGCCGAGCGCCTTGCCGGCGAACGCGGCACCCGACAGAAGTTGGGCGCGCGCGAGCTCAGCGGCTTCCGGCTGACGCGTGTGCTTCCAGGCGCTTCGGATTCCGAATAGAAGTGTGACAAATGATGTTCCGCCGATCACTGGAAAACAATATAACGGTGCTACGCAGATTTTGAGAACAAAACTCGAAATCTACATTTTTTTGCCAAATATTGATGTGTGCTTACTGTATATTTTGAAGTTTCGCCGTGGGTCTCGTATGGAAAAATGGTAGGAGTGAATTAATTTAACAAACATATTGTCGACAGCCGAAAATTGGCTTAATGCCAAAAAAAACTATGGCAGGTCTTGGTGTAAAACAATAGGCGTAGATTTACGGGCCAATGCATAAGCATAGGTTAAAGGGGGAGACCTCTGCTCTAATTTTTTTTTCATTTAGCCAACTTTCAAAAATCGCACGATGTTGTACAATTTTTCAAAAAAATATTAAAATACTTTGGTTATTTTTAAAATTGCCGGAGTGTAAGCATAGGCGAGACTAATTAATCGGCAGCCGGCGAAAATCCAATTTGAAAAATTTCTCCATCCAGGACTACTTTTCCTTCAAATTTCAAAAAAAAATTCGAGGAAATTTGTCTTGTAAATCGACCAAAAAAATTTTTTTCATCCTGTCACGTTGATTTTATTTAATAAAAAACTGTTAACACATTATAAATAATTTTAAACACTCTTCGCTTGCGCATCAAAAGAAAAACATGCAAATATATCAAAAATTAACGACCGCAAAATACTGAATTTTCTAAAGCCGAGTGTATAAGCAAAAAAGATTCGACGAAATATTTTTACTAAAAAAATATACCTGATTTCACAAATGTCGCGGTATTGCTCGTGTCGATTTTATCGATTGCAACCAGTGCTTGGCCCGACAATGTTGACGGCGCCGTTGGCCTCACCTCGGACATACAAAACCTGAATTCAATTTCGATTGTTTTTAGCTGGAAATCGCTGCCAAATTTCTAGTAGCAGAACCCGGAGAAATGTCGGCAGCATAAAAAAAAACAATGTCAGTGGTCTTCTCATAAAAGAAATTGTAAATATACGGGTCTATGAATAAGGCGCACAAAACTCTCTTTAATTTTTTTGGCATTTAGCCAAATTTGCCAAATTGACAATAAAAATTTTCCAAAATTCAAATTCAAATAATCATTTGGTGTCAATTAACCCGTAAAAATGTAAAAACAAGAAAAAAGTCGCCGCCAATGTTTTATTAATTATTAAATGTTTCAAAAAAAAATGGCAAACAAATCACCGACAATTTGGTGATAAAAAAAGTAGAAGAAAATCGAATAGAAAAAAATCAACAAAAATTAAAATTGGAGACCAACAATGTAATGATTGAATATCAAAAAAAAAAGATCAAGAATATAATAAATTAATCGATACAATGATTTAGTCTGAGTCGGTTGCCGAGCTTTCCGACTCGGTTGGAGACGGCGATCGCTTTCGGTGCTTCTTCTTGCGATCCTTCTTATGCTTCTTCGACTTCTTCTCCTTCTTCTCACGCCTTCTTCGACGACGCTCCTCGCGATCCGAATCCTCGCTTTCCGACGACGATTTCTCGCGCTTCTTCGGCGGCTCATCATCGTCAGAGCTATCAGAATCTCTTCTAAAACACAAAGCAATTTAAAACATCACATGTCTCAATTTCTGCTTAAAAGTTCTCACCTTCTTCTTTTCGGTTCCTCCTCAGTGAATCTGCGACGCGGCGGGCTTCTCTCGCGTCTTCGAATCGGGCTTCTCGAACGACGTCTTCCAGAAGATCTCGGAGATCTTGAGCGTCGACGAGGCGGCGTTCTAGAGCGTCGTCTCACCAATGGCGATCTTGAACGACGTCTGGCTGGCGAACGAGAACGACGTCGAGCTGGCGAGCTGGAACGCTTACGAGAGCCCGAGCGGCTTCTTCTTCTCTTCTCTCTGTCAGAGTCTGAAAAAAATCGTTGAAATTGGGAAGAAAATGCTTCAATCTCCAACCACGACTCTTTTCCTTCTCCCTTTCCTCCTGATGACGCTTCATTCTTTCAATCTCACGTCTCTTCGTCTCCTCTTCACGCTCCTTCTCGTCAACTTCGCGTTTTCTGTCACGATCACGATCGTCGCGTCGTCTGTCATCCCGTCGATCGTCTCTGCGATCATCGCGCTGAAATCAAATTTTTGAAAAAATCTAATTTTCAGAACATTCGATATTTACCCTTGGCGAACGATTGCGGTTGCCGGGAGATCTGCGACGCGGCGGCGAGCCAGCTCTCGGGCTTCTCAATTTTCCTTGAATTCTGTCATCTCGCACTTCCTTCTCCTTCACAGGGCCCAAATATCGACCACCGGACAATGTCTTGTATCTGAAAATTTCGATGTACTATTGGAATTTTGCCACATTAAAAAAATAATTTATCTCTATAGAACAGAGAATGGGATTATTCACGCGTTTGTCTTACCGGTATTGCCAACAAAATACCTCGGCAACGTGCTGAAGAGCATTGTCAGAACCATAGGGGATATGCTAAACCTTCCACCGTTTAAACTAATCAAATTGGGGAAAATATTTAAACTTATCCTAATAATTTTATTGACTTTTTTTTAAATATTAAAATGGTTACCTATTGGTCCAGTCATTGTCCTCTGGCTGAGGCTCACTTTTGACAGGCTCCGTGATTTTCATCTCATTCATCTTTTTCTCCACCAGCGATTTTGGAATTCCATCCTCGGATTCGTTTGCTTCAATGAAAAGATTCCAAAGCTCTCCAACAAATTGGCGAGCTCGGCGAGCGTTCAAAAATCCTGTGACGTTAATCTGCAAAGAAAAAAATCGAGTTTTTAACGTTTAAAGAATGTTCCAACTTGAAGAAGCTTTGGATTGATGTCTTTGAGCTCTAACTGCGACAAAATGTACTCCACCACAACATCATCCTCCATTTCCAAGATCTCGTTGATGCGCATTGTGATCCACGGTTTGATAACGTCGAGATTCACGCGGCTCATGTCAATCTTGAATATAATGCACCTTTAATAATCTTGTTTCACTGGGTAATTGAAAATTTTGCACACACAACACAATTAATTCGAAAGATTGGGAAGAATTTTATAAAATTCCAAATGTTACCTTTCGATCGAGCTGATTCTCGAACTTCATCGTTTTGAGAAGTTTCTTCTCTTTGTTCGAAAATCTGCCATCTTGTTCTGAGCTTGCACCGCGAAAATATCCGGCGTCCATACTGAAATAGGGGGTTTAATTCGGATTTTCAAACGAGAAACGCGATAATGCGAAGAGCGTTAAGACGCTTCGAAAATGCGCCAGCACAGCAATGTTGGCGCATTTCGTGTGCATCTGTTGACGCGTTTGCTGCCGAACGCGCTAATGTTCGATTTTTCGGACCCGTCTCGCCATTTTCCGCTATTGGAACAAAATAATTTGCAATTCAAAAATCATTTTCAGCAATAATGGATAAATGGGCAGCTTATCATCAAGCCCAACCAGCGGAAAACGTGGATTGGGCGCAATTAGCCAAACAATGGATGGCAATGAAGGAAGCCGAGGATAATAGGGGACAACAACGAGGTAAAATGCGAGGAGTAATCAATAAAACAACAATAAATCAAATTTAGACCAAAATCAATATTCGCAAAATAATCGAGTTCCATGGCAACAGGATCATCAATGGGGCGATTGGACGTGTAGTATGAAATAGACAATTAAAAAAACATTATTGCCAATATTCAGACACCTCTAATCAATATCCGCCACCGCCGCGACATTTCGCACCACCACCCCCGGGTAATTATAGAAACAATGGCAATCATGGTGTGTTCTACTTGATTTTCAATTTCCCAATTATTGTCCATCGATTTCTATTTGCGATAATGTGCAGGTGTTCCGCCTCCTCCACCTCCTCAGCAGAATTCTAGTTCATGGCGAGCTCCGCCGAAACCGATGTTTCCTTCTGCTGCCGGCGCTCCTCCTCTCGAACCTCCTGTCGAGGTATGGTTATCCGAGATGAAAATCCTCGCAGCCGACGATTCGTTTTTTTTAGAAATTTAATAATCAATGGGGTCCACCGAGGGGACCACGTCCTTCGGCGCCGCCGCCGCCTCCATTGTTCGCTGCAGGAGCTTCGAGACCAGAATTCGAGAATCCGGTGATGGGACCATCGAATTGGTATCCGCCTCCAATGGAGGGACCATCCCGACGACCTCCACCGCCGGGTCCTCCGCCGGCAGACGCTCCGCCTGTTCGATTCTTCGATAATCCGCGTCCAACGCCGCTTATGGCTCATCCGATAGCCGCACCGCCGATCGATCCGAGTGCCCCGATTTGCTATCCGACTGTTCCCGATGAATCGCCAATGTTTGTGATGGACGCAGCGGCTAGGAAGAAGCTTCCCGCGTGGATCCTTGAAGGTCTCGAAAAGGCCGAAAAGGAAAAGCAGAAGCAGCAGGAAAGAGAGGAGAAATTGAAGAAGGCTGAAGAAGAACGAGCGAAACGACGCGCCGAATCGGGAAAAAGCAAATTTGTAATATAGACAATGGAACTAATAATAATAATATGGTAATTGAATGATTTAGGACAGTTCCAGTGATGAGGAAGACGACGAATCTCCAAAGAAGAGTTGGAAGAATGATGGTGAGCCACCATTCTCGGGACGAAACGAAGAAAGTGACACGGACGATACGGAAGAGCGACGAGAGGCGTTTGTAAGTTGACCTATAGGTCGAATTCACGCCCATACTTGACACATTTGCAAAAAATGTGCCAAATGTGCCAATGTGCGACAATTATGGGAACTACGACTAGGATAGATAGAACAGCAATTTTAAGATATCACCTAAACTCGAAAATTTCCTTGAAATGAGAAAGCGATTGAATTATCGCCAAAATAGCGGACTCTCGATTTTTTCAGCTTTTTCTCGCAATTAATTTTCACATTTTTAGTCTTTGATCTTGGTTTATTAACATTTGAAGTTTAAGAGCTCCGAAAATTTAAAAGAAAACACCGTGACGCAAATTTTATAGAAATACCAAAGAAAATAGAACCGGCTTGATTTGAATTTAATTTTCGATGGTTTTTTTTCGAAATTTTTTACTTTTCTTATCTAGGTTCATATTACTATTGGACCTATAATTAATGCCGTATGAGCAGTTTAAACATAACAACGAAATTGGGAAGTTTCTTTAAATCAAAAGATCTCTGAAAATTTGAAGGCAAAAGCTGATAACCTGAGGACAGAAATCAACAATGTTAATTCACGTAATTTCCTCTGCGGTTTTCCCATGTTCGGCTTTTAAATTCTACGATTTTTTGCCAAAATCAAATAGGTTTTTTTTGAATGTGTGGTCACTTTTGAACTTGTGATTCTCCAAAAAAAATTATTTTCAATTCGATGATAATAACAGTGACGCTTGGTATGGTTTCAGATGCGCTGTGTCAAAGGTCTCATGATGAATGTCCTAATGGAAGCAACAAACGAGGAAATTATGCGAGTCGTCCAGGAATCGCTTCGAGAGCACCAAAAACGCAAGAAAGAACGCCTTTCGAAAGGTTTGAATTTTGTCTTTTTCAAAGATTCTTCTCTTCAAGAAAAAAAGCCAATTTTGAATCGTTTTTCAGCAGCCCCACAAATTGTCACAAATAGTTCGGCACTCGCTGCATTGGCTGCATTTGGTATCCAAATTTTTGCACGCATTCGTTTTTTTTTTCAATTTCAGTTGTCGTCATTTTTTAGGTGATGGTGATGAGAGTGATGATGAAAGCAGCGATACGGAATCGCCGACGACGAGTCGATCGCATCGTGGGGGACGATTCAACGGAGGCGACGGAAGCGGCGATGAGAACAATTCGAGAGCGCGAGCCGAAACGGACGACAATTTTAAGGCACCCGTGGGTATCCCTACTCGAAAATTTAGTTCTAAGCCTATGGTAAACGTGGCTAACAGCAACACTTCTTCGAGCCAAACGGTTGAAGAATTAACAAGCCGAACAGGTATGTTGGTTATACCTTGTTTGGTTGGGTTATTATACAAACTTCGCCCAAAACAGGTTTTCATGCGATTTTGGTTTTTTTTTTAATTAATTAATTTTTTCCGCGACTTCCTCTTAAAATTCATTTTTTGATATTGAAATTTTTAGGCGATCATGGTGCGATGAACGAATCGGGAGATTTTGCGAAGAGCAAGGATGATAGAGGTGGGAAAATTGAAGGAGAAAGGGATTAACCCCAGAAAAAAAAGAAATGAGAAAATATCAAACAAAAAAGAACAAAAATTATATATTTTTTTGATTGTGAATTGTCGTAAAATAAAGTGCATAGTACGCAACCGAATAATTAAAAAATTCCAGCATGTATAATATTTTTATATGTTTCCAGGCTGCCTTCCTACGTTTAAATAATTTTTGTTCGTTTCCGCTTTAAGATTGTTTTTTTTTTAGATGAAAAAAAGTCGAAAAGTGAGAAGAAAAAGAAGAGAAGCAGGTAAATTCTCGCCTTATCCTTCCGTTTCTTTAATTTTGCGATTTTAGATCCAGAGAGTCTCGTCGAAGATCGCGCAGTCGTAGCCGAGAACGGAAGCGTAGTCGAAGCGGAGAGAGGAAGAAGAAACGATCAAGAAGTCGGAAGAGGAGTCGATCGCGTGAACGGAAGCGTAGTAGGTCCAGAGAGCGGCGAAGGGATCGGAGATAGGTGGGAATTGTAAGAGCAATCTTTGGCTTCTCATATAAATTTCAATGGAAATTATTTATTGATGGTCTCGTTTTCTTCAAATTTTCAATACATTTGAAATATTGTTTGGAAATGCCGAAGTTTCTTTTTTAAATTTCGATTAGACTTATTGTCAATCCTTTTTTTCTTTTTTAATTGAATAGTATTGAAATATAAGACCACGAAAAGCAAAAGGCATAGTGATACTTTATGTGATTTTGTGCTGCCATTAGACCATAATATAAAAATAATAATTATAGGTCTCAGCGGGACACGAAAACGCGGTGAAGAAACGAATTGATCAACGCTTTCATTATTCTATCGTTGTTTTTTTTCCTTGTTGTAATTTTCGCTTATTTTCGTAGATTATTTAACCAGTCGCTATTTTCATTCACCCTATTATTATTACCCTTTTTGCCCATTTTTTTTCATTTTATAAATTAATTTACATTTTAGACAAAGGAATTTAAAGCTTCGGGGTCCATATAAATAGGATATGAAAGATTTGAGAGAGGAAATTTCTGTTATTTAATTGTTTAATGATTTCAGCTGTATTGCAAGAAAAAAACTTTTCAATTATTTTGAGTAATGCGGTAAATTGATTTTGAAATAGTAAAAAATGCATTTTTTTTTGTCACGAAAAAATAATTTGATTTTTTTATTTGTATTGTACGTCAAATAATGTTTGATTTGTCTTTTTTTTTACGCTTCCGACAATTTGCAGGTTCGTAGCAACATTTTCAGCATTGCTAGCTAACAATTTTGAAAACAAAAAGCAATTATTGGAAATAGAAAACGTTGGAAAACATAGAAAAATGAAAACGAATTAAATTTTGAAAAAAAAATAAAAACCTAATATTTTTGTGTAGTCGCTTCAAGACCACAATTACATAACACCACGTCCCTTTAAATGAATAAGAGTACTGTAGTTGAGCATTGTTTTGATTAATTTCTGCAATTTTTTTGTGGAGAAATCGATTTCGATGTTTTTTTTTTCGAAAGAAGAAATAGCGGCGACAAACACGTATATAGAATTATTCAAATAATTGTCATCTCGAGAATTGAATTAAATTCGCCTATAAATGAGGTCTTCGTGGATAACAATTCAAGCGACAAAAACAATTTTTTTTTTCTGCTCGTCTCTGTTTTCGCAATCCAATATTGGCGCAATTTTGCACAAAATGAAACAGTGTTTGAATGCGTACTTCCTTCGGATTGCACCTGTCGCCAATCGACGTCAGCCCAATTGTTATTGGCTGAAAATGTTCGCGAATTTTTCGTATTAAAAGGGCTTGTGATTTGTATTGCAGATATATATTCCCATTGGGGGAACTCGAATCTTTCGAGTTTTTCTCCATTATTTTCCGTTTTTGGTGAGTTATTTACGCAGAAAAACCTAACAGGTATCGAATTTCATCGCCGTTTTTCATTTTCTCGATTTTTCCTCATTTGCCAGCCACTTTTTGGTCAGTACCGTATGTTTTTTTCACTTTTTGAAATTCAAAATTGATAATTTTGTTTTTGCCTATCAGAATCGATTTTAGCATTCTCTGTTCTAAAATCGCTATGCGCCTTTAAGTGCCGTATCCAAAAAACTACTAATTTCGATCGTTTCGTGCCGCCCGAAATTCGAATTTTCTGCTCTGTATGGCGTGATGAATGTGGCAAATCGATTGCGCCTTTAATCAATTCGCTGTGAGACCAATTTGAGAGAAGCATTCTTTGAAGCGCTTGCAAATCGCCAGCTGCAATGCGCCTTTAAATTGAAGGCTTTTATTTACATTGTCGTTGTTTGACAACATATCCATAATAAATGTATGTTGCTTTGGAACAAATAAACACAAAATGAGCAAACGAAAACAGTTGATTCCATTTTTGGTCCCATCATCCAATTTTGTGGCAACAACAAAAAATGTGTGTGTGTGTGGGCGCAATTATTGAAATTTATGCGGATTTTGTGTCCATTTCTTATTTGCTTTTGTGGTTTTTACGAGTTTCAACTATTTATGGCCTCGAAGTTTGTTTTCCGCCAACAATGTCTCTCGACATTTTCAAACCGAAATCTCGACATGAAATTTCCGAGCATTTTTCATCTAAAAATTACAGTATCGACATTTAAAGGCGCATTATACGGCGAATATTTCGCTTCTTAAAAAAAAACGATTAAAATTTTAGTTGTTTGTTTTAAACATTTTTTGAATCGAATTTTATTGCTGCGGACATCGAAGCTTATTGTATGTCTGTTTTAAATGGTCCCTCGCAACGATAAACCCCGCCCACTTCCTCAATTATTATTATTTTCTTTTCCACCACCCATTTCTTCATTTAATTTTTTTTCAAAATCGCGTTTTTATAGAAAAAAAGAAATCAAATTGAGGAGGAAGAAGCTGAAAATTGAATTACAATTGCAAATTGCAAATTTTTTTCGTCGTGGTGTTAGTGCAAATAAATAGCCGGCATTTATGCGTGAACATCATGAGAAAAAAAAAATAATTGAATTCCTTTTTGTTTTTATTTTCAAGGATTTTCGTTAATGTAGTTGTTTTTTTGCCACTGCTCGAGGCGTCGAATGTCACGCGAAATTGCGGACCGCGTGTTCCTCAAAAATCGTCTCAAAACCTTCGGCAATATTGATCAAATTTTGGGCGCGAATCGTTGAAAATTACAAAAAAAATTGACGCGATATATCGTAATTCTCCGCTATTCAAAGGCGCACGCGAAAAGTTGGCGCGGGTCACGACGCGAAGTCGGTACTGTAATTATTTATTTTTCATTATGTGTACTATTTTTCCGTATTTTTCGAAAACTTTGAAGAGGAAATGAGTTACGGATGGAAGAACGAGGTAAAAAAAAAACCAATTATTGATATAATTACTCCTAATTTGATAATATAAGCCCAATTTTCGTCATTTAGATGCCAATTATCATGAAAAAAATAGTGATTTTTGTGATGATTTGATGCAGACCTCGCTACAATGCGGCTTCTGATGAATTTTTAACGTCGATTAAACAAAATACTTTTACAGATTTCCAAAAAGAAGCATTTATAACGCTTAAAAAATTAAAAAAAAAAGTTCGAAAAAAAACAGCCATTAAAAAAATACAGTACTGACTTCGCGTCGTGACCCGCGCCAACTTTTTGCGTGCGCCTTTGAAAACGAACAGAGAATTACGATATATAGCGTCAATTCTTTTGTAATTTTCGATGTGCCTGCATAGGGAATTCAAATTTTGAAAAATTGATTTTTTTACAATTTTTTTTCATCGCATGAATATAAAGAAAAATTGCAATTTGTGGATGCCCGTATTTTTTTTTTTGAAATCTGGGTTGGCGGCAATTCAAACACAATGTCTCAGAAATGAGTTTGCCGAGGGGTCCAATTTTTGGCCAAAAAAAAACAAGCTGAAATTCTGAAATTGATACGATGGCTCATGACCGCATACACCGCCACGCAATATTACACAATTTCGCGTGTCAATTCAGTAGTCTACAATAGAGCGCATTTGCGTTTTCTGTCTGTGCATGTTTGAATTGCCGCCAGCGCATCCCGGAAAGTGTCCGCAGATGTTTCCCGTCAAATAATTTTTGTCGTGATTCAAAAAAACGCCACAGCAGAGGGTCCCAAATGGGAGAAATCAACTAGCGCAATTTTAAAGGATGACCCGCCCACCTAAATTTTTTGCACTAAAATAGAGAATCCAAAAATTGCTAAAAACAAGGTCCGCTGACACAGTCAAGCCATCCCAGCCGAGCGCATCAGCGAGAGATCGAAACGTCCAAAACAACGCACTAATTATTTGTTGGTGCTCCTTGAGCTTCATGCTCTCCTCAATTATTTTTTTTCTTTTCGGACGCCGACGAGACCGCGTGTTGCGCTTTTGCCTTCGAGCTTCTCGCTTCTTCACTTTTTGCCATCTATAATTATTTGTGTCCCCCCCCCGCTTGTCTCCGCCCCCTCGAGCCCATTTTCTTCAATTTTTTCCTCGTCGTCTTCTTCGCTTTTTTCTATCTCTTTACATCATCTAAATAAGACAAGAATTCGAATTAGTACCCATCAACTCCCCCTCCGACCAGCTCGAATGCATTCGGCCTTTTTTTTGCATTTTTGATCTACCATGTGCTCGAATTCCTCTCAAGACCCAAAATTGTTCAAATTTCAAAAGGGACCATATTTGGTTACTCTACAAAATCAAAGATGGGGAGGGGGGGGGACCAATTAAGTTTTAGGGTGCCGCCCTGGTTACCAGTGTATCTACCCGGGACAGGATTTCCCCGGGATCCCGGGAATATCGTTTCCCGGGTTTAAATTTGAATTTTTTAAAACTTAGCAGAAAAATGAGCACAATTGCAATGTGCAAATAACGATTTTTCCAAATTAGCAAGAATTTTATACGAAATAATGGTTTTAAACTTTTTTCAATAGACTATTTCAACGAAAAATTTTTTCATTGCTGATTCAAAACGACCTTTCGTCTTTATCGATCACATTCACTGTCATCTCCTCTTGGCGCAGATTCAAAATTTTCCAAATTGGGACTTCCTACGCCATTTTCTAAGCATTGGAATCTTTTTAAAATAAGAAAATTCATTAAAAAAAAACGAGAATACGCAATATTCGAAGAGTGTGCGTTTGCGCGCACGGTGTTTGCAGACTTTTTTCCGGGATCCCGGAAAATTAAGTTTCAATGAGTCCCGGGAATTTCCCGGCCATTCCCGGGAAACTTCGTCCCGGCTAGACACACTGCTGGTTACTGTAGCAATTGTTCGCCTACCAGATCACATTAGAGTTTATCACTTTAAATTTCGTTCAAAAATTTCCAATCGAGGCCCCAATATTAATAATCGCAAGGATTACTGTAACAATTGTTTTTTTTTTCCTCAATGGCTGATTTTAGTATTTTCATAACTATTCATTACGCAACAAAATGCGTAGTCATGTCGGACCAAAAAAAAATTAGTCATCAAAATGCGACATTCGTACGTTTTCAGCTGTC